GTGTTAGATTGGTAAATTTCCAGTCACATGATACCATTTCTCTGCTCAATTGGCCGGCTGTAGCGTCGTTGGCTGGAAATTGCGGTTAGGTTATGTGTCGCCTCCCGTGCTTCAAATATGGATTCCAACTTATGATAATAAATAGCCCAGACACCTCCAACAATATTATTTATTACCATGTACGACTAATTGGCAGCGCTGTGAAGAGTGCCTCGATTGCATATCTAGCAGTCGCGTAGTAGACTTCTGCATTTCAGTGGCACGGATGGTGGCGGCAGTCATGACGCTCTTACCAAGGGGTCTGTGCTCTATTTGCACGAAAAACAAATGATTGACTGTACTAGGAACACGAAGCCATAGGCAGTCCTTTATTCTAAATTTGTACAGACGTTTTCTAAAATATAGACCACATAAAAAGGTATGTACCTGCTAGTAGAATGTCGAGGCGGTGCAGTTCGTCCCCCACGTGGGCGGGTCAGACCTAGGTGGGTGCACGAGGGAGACCAGCATGCTCAGCACAGCGAACTCAAGCTTCAGCTTTATGCTGTAGACGGTCGCCTTGAAAATGATCTGCGTGAAATAGAACCCTAAGTACTCCAGAACTACCAGAGATGCATCCATGGCGATGGCTATGATGTTGATAATCACTAGTTCGTATAGAATCTTGTGTCGCCGCTTATCTTCAGTAGGGCTAAGTCGAATCATCCAACCCGTGTGCCAGATGTATACTAGGGAAATAAAGCTCTCCTGCACTGCAAACCAGGTGACTTGGATCCGTTCAATCGCTTCGTATGCTCGCACCCATGGAAGTGACTGTGGCACGTAACTTGAGCCGACGTTCAACACAATCGTTGGCACCACGATCATGAATAGACTCCATATTATCAACCAGCGCACGAACGCAAGCAACAGTTTATTTTGGGACACCAAATGTAACCGCGAGTATAATACCACCGACTGATTTGGGACCATCATGACAAACCCAAGATTTGACAACAGCATACTCAGCCATAATGGTGTGAAATCGAAGAACTGCAAAGACGGTCCGAGAGTGGCCGGGATCACACCGAGGACGGCGGATGTCATCAACGCCCAGAAATATAAACTGCTGTACCGGTGGAAGCTCAACGGAATGACAACGGCTAGCTCGAGGGCGTTGTAGAGAGCAATGGACATGAATACGATAATGCTGATTCCTAGAGCATTGTGGCCGGGACCTGAGCCAAACAGTGAGGTCGGCTCCGTACGGGACATGCTGCGATGGCGATGGCGATGGCGATGGACGGGGGGACAGGCAGCCCGGAAGGCATTGTGGGTGTCCAACGCATCTAATGCGTCTCAGAGGGGCAAAGGGGGAAAGTCGGTCAAACGGCACGAAACTCTGCTTTATAGCAATTATCGTGACCGCAGCGAGTGAGTGAGCCCAAGTAAAGTTTCCTGGGGAAACCATCACGAGGCCAACTTCCCCAGAGAACTTAAATTTATTCCGCCACTCAGTCCCCTTGACCAATAAACAATTTCTCCCCGAAGACAGTCTTTAGCTTTCAACATTACTCACTTTGCCAGCCCATGCGCCAATGAAGCTTTCCGTATTTGAGAATTGGACGACGCCCAGCGAATCAAGTCCTATGTCATCAACCTTAAGTTTAAATTTCCCGCGGCTACAGCTGTATACTAACAGATAGCCTTGTAACTAAAGATTGGTTGTAGCATGTTTTGAGTTAGCTCGCGTGCCTTTTCTGTATACGGCTACGGAATATTTACTAGGGGCTGCCAGCTCAACGAACTGGCAGAATAGTGGCACAGCGAAAGAATCACAGAACCTTTTATTATATAATTTATATCACCTAAATTACTAAGATTATTCAAAAGGCTATACTATATTATTTAGATTACCTGGATTTTCCAACCCAATTACCTACCTAGATTACCCACCTAGATTGCCAACCCTACTTTCATAGGCTGCGCAGGTATTGCAGCGTGTTTAAATACTCTAGAAATCTAGATATTGGAGTGTATCCAAAGGCTCTCAGGATCTAGGCCAGGCAGACAATTCAAAGCTTTAGAAATCTAGGCATTACAACGCATTTAAATAGTCTAAACATCGGTTAGGTTACTGGAGCTACGCTGCCCAGATTATGGAAATAGGCTTGAAATGATTCTCGAAGACAAAACGGAAATGACGTAACTCATGAATTCTCGTCCAATCAGAACCCAGATTTGATTGAGCATGTCTCCTCTCTGTCTCCTATATTGCTTGCTCCGCTTGCTCCGCTGCGCAATAATTCTTTTCTTTTTTATACATGCCAGAATAAGAAGTCATTAATGCAACAAGGTCTCAGTTTTTGTGGTGCTTATACCTAGCTAATATATAAGTTGTTGGTGAGGGCTTTCGCCTGGTCCTAAGGCCGGAATGGGTTTCCCCGGGGCCGGAAAGCGGGCCCACAACGCCGAGGAAGTGGAAGATGGGCAGATCAGATAGCTCTAAGAAGAATATAAGGACGATTATGAAATTGGCCTCTTCCACCCACTAAGATTAAGTTAAAGGCAAGCCATTCCGAAGTAGCTTGTTAGTACGTCCTAATGTATAAATAAATCACCATATTCAGATACCAATCTGTTTATCTGATCACGGAAGGGCTATTTGCTTGCTGGGACATTGATTAACCTAAGCCAGTGGTATGTGTCCTTAGCCTGCAGTCCCATCCAGCAACTCTGGATCTGTACTGCACCCTATTAGTATGCTCTCTTTTTATGTTGCCTGAAGGGTTGCCTCTATTGCCAATACATTATCTATCCAGTAACTGTTACCGGTGAGCTCTATTAGACTGTCGTGGCTAAAAATACTCCATCGTCTTTGGTTAAACGACACCTGGGGATACCATATATATTCTTTCATCAAGTAGTCTCCCCTTGCCTGGTTTGCCAGGTTTCCATAATCTAGACAGGGCCCTCAACTGTAAATATATGGGTTGATTGATGCCAAGTCCAAGAAACTATTTACTATACAGACACCAGGTGAGGGGACAAAGACGAGGTAGGTCGCCCAGGCATGTTGCACTATGGGTTTAGTCACCTTTCTTAAACAATATAAAAATACCTCGGCTAGTGGAGCATTCAAATAGTGTCCCTTTCAGTGAATAATACTTACATCTCCCTTCCGTTCAGGTTTACATGTTCATAGCTGTACCTAGTTCTTCTCTCTTTTGTTATTCATGGAATAGTCGCTTCCTAACCTTACCCGATAACTGACAAGCAAAGCAAGGTTCGGTAGATCCGACCATCCAGATCCGAGTTACAATTCAACATATCCTCTACGTAGAATATGGGTAGCTCTACTACAGTGGGCAAGGATACTTAGTTGGCAATCAATCTACAGCCTCGCAGAGTTAGACTTTGGATCCAACGTGGGACCCAGGTGCTATATAACGTCTACAACACGTGCTCGAATGATCAATCTATGTTGCCTATTTCGGATCTGTCGCTTGCGATCCACTGTGCAGTAATCAGGTTCGTGGTCCCGCTCAATGCTCCTCCGTACTCCATATAAGAATATGACTTGTGGTCTAGGCATGAACCCATAATCCGCATTGAAAACTCAGCCTTAAAGCCGGATCTAGGCCCCAATGGTAATCCTCTCCTCGTCCGGTATGGTATAAAGCCCACGAGTCCTCCGTAGCTAGTTCGCTGAGAAGCTATGGCTGATTCTGCGAACTTTGACAAAGCAGCCGTGACGCTAGCATGTACTACAGAATCCTTTATACTGTCCCCACATGTAACGACTTCTAGCAATAGGGGAACAGAAAAATCCGACAAAGCTCAAAAAAAAAATATTTTCTTGCACACTCTATCCAAATTCACCTGCTCTTGTTTCGATTTGGAAAGATTAGAGCCACGACCTTCTTGGGAAAGTTCTATGAGAGGCGAGAGGCCTAAGCATGTGTCTCCTATGCTTGTCCAGAGCCAGGCCGCATTGGTTAAGAGTGTTGCAGCTCTTATGACAAAGATAGGGGTGTTATTAGCTTCGGGGGATGCACGCCAAGCTTCCACCTGCAGACGATTAAAATGTGTTGCATCATGGCTGACTAGGAGTCTCGTTTTACCGCTGAGGAGTCTCCTTGCGATGCTCTTCTCCACTGATGTTTTTCGCAGTTCATCTGCCCAGCAGACAAGTTGACTTGAAGCTACCTAGCGAGAATAGGATGCGGGTGCTGTATGTAGAACTGCGCCCCCATTCAAGAGCCTTACCGGTCAAGGTATGGTGAAAAGATGAGTCAAAAAAGAGGATGAAGATCAGAGCCAGACCCACATTGAAGAACGTCGCGCCCGGGGGCCAAAAAGAAAGGGGGCACCCCATCCTCATTCACAATCTTCTGACCCTGGCCTTCAAGGATTTGTGCTAATGCAGGCGAAACTCGTATTAGACCCAACATGAAACTCCTCTGAGCTGACGAACATTCTCTGGTGGAAAACCGCGAATAGGTCATAAAGCAAAGTAATTTACGTTCTGACCACTGTTCGGACGACATGCTTGGCCTTCGTATTTCCCAGGCCAAATCTGAAAACGGCAAAAGATCAGCCTAAGAGTAGCCATGGAATATGGTTACTCTGTACAGCCTCAGCCGAGCCTTTTGGTCACAAGTCTAATTGCCAGAACCCACAAGGCACCCTGCTTCAGCCTCGTAAAGTCCCACGCCAATCTCTGACAGTTCTCTCTCATGACTATCAGTGGGGTTCAACATCACCTCTGTATGGCGCACACTCGAGGACACGTTCGTGATAGGAAATTACCCTACGCCCGACGCATATCTGATTGGGCTTCTAGAAATAGTATCGATGTGTGCTTCGTAGAGTTTGCGGCTGTGACCAAGTTTAATTGAAGGGTTCTAGGATTGCAACTGCAGTGAACTTCAATATAAGTAGATAGGCAGTCGGCTAGCTCTCCCTGCAAGTCTCTCTCTTTTCATCCTTCCACATTGCTAAGCCATTTCCAAAGCCATTCTCAAGGCCCTTAGAATACGTCACGCTTACTCCTATCATCTTCCACCATGGAGAAAGTACCATCTAGTAGGTTAAAACTTTCGGCCCTCACTGTCAACCGACTCTCTCACTAACGCTGGTCATAATAGCCCCCGTCCCCGTGTATGACCACGAGCCTCAATTTTACCAACCGCAGCCAATTGCTCCTCCAAATGCACACGTCCAATCTCCAGTACATGATCCTAACATGATGGCCGTACCACAGCCATATGTTCATCCCGCCGGCGGTCATCCCAGTGGATACAACTCCGCAACTCCGTTGCATGCTTTGCAACGCGGCCCTACTCCAGTTGATTGCCCAATTTGCGGCGTCCGTGAGATGACCAGAACAGAGGCAGAGTCAGGAAACACAACACAGTACGTACAATGATCCCAGGGGCCTCCGAGTAGGGCAAAGGCTAACAAGGAATAGTGGATGGGCTGCCGTGATTTGCTGCTGTTTCTGTCTGGGATGTATCCCATACCTGATGTCCTCTCTGAAAGACTACAACCACTACTGTGGTCAGTGTGGCACTATGCTGGCTACATGGCATAACAGCGGAAGAGTTGAGGTGCATCAAAATGTGAGACAATAAAGTGGGTGGCTTGTCTTGGTTTATATATTTTTCGTTTCTGCTGTCGGCGTTCGGGGAATACTATTGTGATGATACCAATTTTACGTCAAGGAGAATCTATATGCTATGCGAATAATATGTTACAACTCATTTCCATACGAGTAAAACCCACTCCTAGCCACAGAAATGATTCGAGATTCATATGATCGATTTCTTTTGTCTTCGACGTATCTGGTAGGAAAAGTTGCGACCGAAGGATCACTAAGCCAAGGCTTTATCTTATCAGTGGACACGATAAGATTTGACGCCATTCCCCCATATCATGGCGAGTCTCTCCACACCATATTACTTTCTACCCTTCATGCTGCTGCTCGTGCCATAGTATCCACGCGAGCCCAATGCCCCCAGATCGAGGCCGCGCTTCTCGGGCGTGCGTTTCCTGCCGAAAGCAGAAGACAAGATGTTACGAATCGGGCACTGGCGGGCGACCATGTCTTCGGTGCGAACGCCTTCAGCAAAGATGTTCGTTTGAGCATCAGCAAAGCTCCTCACGAGAAAATGCTGCTTCACACAACACAACTGTAGATGCAAGGTAGCTTCATTGCCCTGGATTTTAAAACTGTACTGTGTTAATAGAACGAAGAATAGAGCAGCTCGAAAGAACGGTCGGGGCGCTATTAGAGCGCTTGGGAGAGGACTCGTCTAGTATCATGCCTCCGCCCGAGCGCCCTAATAATGTAGGACTTTTATCGCAAAACAGTGCAGCGAGTGCAACAGGCAAGTCAGACTATCCCTCAGCTCCACCCGTCATGGTCATCCGTGATCTAGCATCGGATGTGGGAGTAAAATCACCCGATGCCAGCTCGAACGAATCCGTACTAGATGGTCTCATATCAACCGATCTAGCAATCAATCTCATGACCATGTACGTTATATTGCCCCCCACACAGCAGCAAATCTGACAGATATAGCTTTCTTGAGCATTATGGTCGATGGGTTCTGTTCGATCCAGAAAGTGGACCCAAGGCCTTACTGGACAAGGCTAGTCGATCGCCACTGCTATTCTCTGCTTGCTGCTTAATCGCTGTCCGACATACAACCGAGAGCCTGGCGACGACTCTGGCACCGAAGCTCTACCAAAGCGCTCGATCCTTGATCTCAACGGCACTACTTGTATCACCGCAGCCGATTGAGTTCTTCCAAGCTGCTATCGTCCTTTCATTATGGTCCACGACGGTGGGCCAGGTTCCGCTGAGTATCGATAGCTGGCTACTGAGCGGATTCGCCTTGCAGCACTGTCAATCCAGCCATTTGTTCGACGCAGTCAACACAACTAACGCACATGTGGAACTCACGAAAACGACTCTTGATAATTGGTGTATTTGGAACCATCTCTGCCTTGCACATCTCCAGTATTGCGTCGGTACAAGCAGAAAGTCCATGATACACGCCTCTCAAATACCGAGATGTCGAGCAATTGTTGGCTCTGACCATGCTACAAACTATGAGCTGCGGATGGTAGCCGAGGTCCATCTCTACTGGACACTGTACGAGCACACATCAAGCGAATCAATAGATCTCTTGAAGTCCATAGCCAGTGTGCAGGACTGGAAGAAAGAATGGCAATTCATCCTCGGTATAGCTCATCCTCCCAATCAACATATATCGTCCACTGATGAATTAGAGCAACCCCGCGCCCAATTCCTGCTGATGGGTTTCCATTTCGCTCACCTCCTCCTATACGATCAATGCCTCAAATGTAAGACTGCACGAGCCCGTGAATCAGTCATTTCCGAAATGATCCGTCATTCAACAGCAATCATTCGCCTTGCGATGGACACGACAGATGACCGTACGCGCCATTTAACCGACCACATCTACCACATGATCACGTTCGCTGCGATTATCGTATGCAGGTTACTGAACGCGTACGAGGAGCAACTAGTACAAATTTATAACCTAGACGAACTAGATTCGTTGATCCTTAGCCTCGTAAATTGGATGCAAACAATCGGTCTTCCCTGTCACGCAGCGTATACACTCGGTCATGTCATTGGGATGGTACATCAGAAATTGCGTCCAGCGGTTGTGACCCAGCCTCTTGCTACGGAACAAAGTGACGCTTTCTTCACACAGGATTTGGCAAGCTACTTCCCCGAATTTCTGGGCGTTGAGACAACAGAGGATGGGAACTGGGATTTGTTGCCTAGTTGGGGATTTTCAAGCCCTCCATAACTTGTGCCATCGCATGTGCACCGAATATATCGTTGATACTATAAATATATATAAATCATGTTCCCAACGAACCCCTAAACTCCTAGTAAAAAAGTAACTCACACCCCACCAACGTGTCTCTCAACCCATCTCAACCCCAGAAACACTATCCCCGAAAATGCCCCCGTCAACTCATGACCCACATTGGCCCCTTCCCCAATCAACCCAGCAATGGGCCCAACATACCAGGCTACCTTCATCCCGAGCGCAGCACCGACAAATCCGGCCCCGAAGGCCCCAATAGCAGACCATCCGAAATGTATCTTCTTGGGGTCGTCCCAAGCATCAAGGTCATACCCCTGCCAGCCGCGACGGAAGACGAGGTGTTCCTCTGCGACGATGATGATATGGATGACAGTCCAGTACCCGATGACGCTTAAGAATGTCTGTAGCGTATCTTTAAAATACTGGGCGGCGCAACAGCCGACAACTAGCGAGATGATGAAGCCGAACGTGACGAGGGCAATGCGGGGGATGCGGAGGGCCCAGGGACCGAAGTTCTGGGCGTGTAGGGCGAAGGAATAGTTGTTTGGGATATTGTTCTGGTGGGGTTTATCAAGTTCAGTTTAACACCTTCTATGACTGGGGTTAAAGGGGTTCAGAAGGGATGTACGTACCGGGATAGAGCTCAACGCCGCAAGAACCATCAGGAATTTTCCAAATCCACCAGCCGGTTCAAGAGCCATCTTCAGTAGTCCGCCTACGCCTGCACTTGTATATGCTGACTTCCATTCTGGGTGATGTATCGTTCCGCTGAATAACGCGGCTCCGAGAGTTTGGACCAGGACAGAGGGAATGAGGATACCGATGTATGTTGCGCCGAATATTCTCGCCCGTGAGGTGTTGATCGGCATGCGGACGTTGTAATCCGCGGCGCAGTTGACCCATGACACCGAGAAGGAGAAGATGATGGCCATGAATGATAATATGGCAGCGGCTCTGTCTTCCCTACTTCTGAATTCCTTCGGCTCGGTACTGCTGAAATGTGATGCGCCTGTGCCAGCAGTTACGCACCAGACTATCAGGGGTGGGATCCAGATGAAGGTGTCGATTTTGTGGATCCAGTTGATTCCTAAGACACACAGTATCCAGACTGCTGTGCAGATAATGATTACTCCGGCCCAGGTGGGACATCGCCCGTCGGAGAGGGCGTTGAGCACAGCGGCGCCAGAGATAGAGTTGATTGCGTTCCAGCCTGTGGTAGCAACCATGGAGAAGACAACCACGAGAAGATTGCCCCAATAGCCGAACGAATACCGCCTACTATCTATTAGCTATCTTCCAGTATGCAGGTGGATAGGCCATACGAGAAGGTGGTCATGCGGAGTCCCGTCAGTCCGAAGGCCGCAGTCCATGCTGGAAGAAGGTCGCTAACCAGGTTAACGACGAGAATGACGATGAAGCTATCCCAGAATTTAAGGCCCATAGGCCCCCCGAGAGCTCCAGTTGTAAGTGTGGCCACGGCCATGTTCGCACTCAGCCTGGCTTTGTTAGTCAGGTTCGGGGTCGCAGTCTGCGTGGTGTGTCCATACCAGAAAGTGCAGGCATTCCAAAAATGGGTTACATTTTCCTGTCGTTGATCGGGTGTAACACGCTCAATACCACCTTTCTCAATAGAAAGGGTTTGCATCCATGTTGAGGTTGCCTTCTCGGGAGCTTCTATGGTCGACAAAGATTTGCGATGTGTATCTGAGATTTGGTCCATTTTGATCAGCACCGAAGAACCCCCAACAGTCTTTCGAACAAAATACTCACCTTCCAGCTAATCCATCCCTCAGTTATATCTGAAATCACCCATATCACTCATATCACCAGACACCGCGGCATCCCGATAACACGATAATAGTCAAATTGACGCCATATCAGTTACGTAGACCCCAGCCTATCTCACCGCGGCATACCGCGGCATGCCGGTCGACCATTCAGGATCCACAACAGCCTTATTATATAAACCCCCAAATCTTCAATAAAATCTTTAAAACATCCAGTAAGCACAATACCCCTTATCACATACCTCAAAAGACCCAGAAAAATGGAACAACACACCCTCCGCCGCCGCGGGTTAGGTCTCCGCGGCACCGACCCCAAAGTCTCCCCAGGCTACATTCTCTACACACCCCTAACATCCCGCACCGCGCACCTCATCTCAACAACCGGAAAGGAAGTGCACAAATGGACGCTTCCCTACCGCGCAGGCCGACACGCCAGACTTCTCCCGGACGGCAACCTCGCCTACAACGGTGCGCACCCGGATGCCCCAAGCCTCTTCCCCATGTGGGCCAAATACCGCGGTGGTGCAATGATCCAAGTATCGCCGTCCGGAGAAATCGTCCGAGAATACCGCGATCCAAAGGCACATCATGATCAACATCATCTTCCAGATGGGAAGATCCTATACACCACGTTGGAAGCGTTGACGCCGGAAGAGGCGGCGAAAGTACAGGGAGGGATTACAGGCAGTGAAGCGCCGAGTGGTATTGTGTATGGGGATTGCATCAAGTTAGTCGAACCGTGGTCTAGCTCGAATAGATCTTCCTCCGAGGACTTCGAGGGAGAGGGTAAGGGTGGTGCAAAGCTCCTCTGGTCTTGGCGTGCGATCGATCATCTTGACCCCGAGCTATTCCGCATGCATCAGGATTATCCGCGGGAGCATTGGCCGTTAATCAATAGTGTTTCGTTTGACTCAGATGGGAATATCATCGCCTCGATGCGAAACACCTCTTCTGTGGTTATTATTAGTCGCGAGACTGGTGAAGTGCTTTGGCATTTGAGCCAGCCGGTAGTCAGTCAGCAGCATTGCGCCCATGAGCTTCCGTCGGGTGATCTCTTGATTTTTGATAATGGGGTCTTCCGACCTGGCATCTCGGTGCCGTTCACTCGGGCTATCGTTGTGGCGCGGGAGACGAAAGAAATCGTCTGGGAATACAAGGATAGGAGTACGGGAGGTATTGGGCTGTTCACGCCATTTATGGGCTCTGCGCAGAAACTACAGAATGGGAATGTGGTGCTTTGTGAGGCGGCTACGGGCCGGATTCTTGAGGTTACCGAGTCAGGAGACGTGGTCTGGGAGTTTGTGGTGCCACAGTTGAACGATTATACTGCTGCTCTTGGAGAGGGTGAACTGGAGGAGATGAGGAAGATGGGCTTTGCGTACGAGAGCAACGCTATATTTAGGGCATATAAATATCTACCGGAGGAGGTGCCGTGGCTGGGGAAGGAGTGAGGCACTGAAATTGATCATCAAAAGATTTGCTGGAGACGGCCGGAAGTGCTATATTATCCTAGATTGCAAAACTCCAAATTGGTATCATATATCGAAATTATAGTGTATATAACAAATGCAGTGCACGGCGGTCAAGTGTAGGCCGTGTAAACGTCGCCTCATTGGTAGTAGTTGTCGTCCAATGTCCCCGAAAGTATCATAAACCGTACAATCAGGGACGTTTAACAGTGCTCGTTCCATCCATCTCCGCCAAGGGAGTGTTGCCCATTTCTACCAGCTGACGGCTGCTGCTCAATTCAGCGCCAACCTTCTCCCCCGGTAGCTCCACAGTCTTACCCCCACTGGCAGGATAACCATATGGTGACACCGAAGAAACCTGGGTCTGTGTTTCTGACATGGCTGGCTTGGATGGATCCACAGCCTCGGGTAAAGTTCGATCTGGACCAGGAGCTGGAGTTGCACCAGCCAAAGCCGGTGCAGCAGCGTTGCGCTTCCGTCGACCCCAAAAGAAGAACAACGCAGCGAGGATAGCAACACCGGCAACGGCACCAACAACAATGCCGGCAATTGCACCACCAGACAGCGAGTCGCTCGGGGGATTGTCAGTTCCGGATTGGGTAGTTTCACTTGTTACCGGACTCGTAGTCGCAGAAGACGTCGTAGCCGTCGTGGAGGATGTGCTCGATGTGGATGTCGTACTTGTACTCGCCATACCGTTCGCGCTAATGTCCGCAGGCGGCATCGCGTACACGTTAAATGCTGAAATATTCCGCGAAGCAATCTGTTTCCACCTCCGTCCCTCGCATGTCTTTCCGATCTGCGTCTCGCATGTTGACTCGTCCCAAAATTTCAGGCACCATTTGCCTTCCGGGTTGAATGTGAATTCCTCGCCTTGCGTATGATAAATTCTGGTACAGTTTTGGATAGAGTCGCCGTCCACTATTTGGGCACCAGTATCATTTCGCCAGGTTAGCGTCCATGCGTTTGCGCAGGAGAGAAAGGCAAGGGTGAAGTATGCTAGGCAGAATATCGACAGACGAGCCATGCTTGTGGCCGAGCAGTCAGTTCCCTGAGCCTTGGTGAGTAATTTCTGACGGCAGATGAGTGGGGTTTGCCCGGGGATAAGTATGAGACGCTTGCACCCTCACAATGTCCTGCACAGGGACTAGGAGTCGCCAGCGCAGGGCGCCGAGATGCGTGAAGAATGTCTCCGCGGCACATGGCGTGGCTCATCATTACTCAAACAGGAGCCCCCAAGCATTTGACGGCCTCTCAAACGCGGGCACACTAGCACTTCTCCAGACACAATGAGATTATTATCACAAGGCTAGAAATTGTTGCGAGGTTAGCCGTGGTGACATTCAGAGACGGGAAGAGCCTCCATCAGGGCACGATCTCCCATGATTGGCCTGTGACAGGAGCCCAAGGTCACATCTCGTGCGTTGTGGTGGGTGTTTCAACCCTTTTTCTTATGATCCAAGAATCTTGGCCCTGCTATGAGTATTGGCAAAGAGGCTGATTGGTGGCTGATCTGCCGAATACGAGGGAATGGATGCAAGGTGGATATTAGTCCTTCAATTAGGTCAACTTTAAGGGGAGTTGGGTAGATTGACTAGGTAGGTTCCGCCAGAGTTGACACTAGAAAGGGAAAATGCATGGGTCTATCAGAGGGGGATGTGGGAACAAAACTTTCAGCTGTTAAGAGATCAACGTTTGTTGCAAAGTCTGAATGCTGAAGTTGAAGTCGAAGTTGGAATGTTGGCAAATTGCCGAATTGGGATCTGCACACATGACTAATAGATTCAATGCTTCACGTGTATCGATACCCAAACGGGAGGGCACCAGCATAAAGCCCTGAGCCCTGAGCCCTGATAGGGGTATTAATTTCTGTCATCGAACGTCAAGACGTCCTCACAACAAAAGCTAACTTGTCAATGAAATATTGGAGAAGCCGTGTGTCGGTAGTCGCTCCAGCAAACTGGCAAGAGTCAGTGATGAGCTAACGTAGTACTGTTTGATATCAATGACGTCACAATACGGCATATACCCAAACAACTACAAATCAGTGTGAAGGGGAAATTAGGAACAGCCCTGTTATATATGAGCCTTGAAAGTCAGCCATCAGGCTACCACTCATCGAGCAAGCCCCCTCTCTCGACACCTTCTTTCAATATGACACCATCCATGGGTATTGTTGCAGTGGTGACGCCAGCGGGACCGACGGGACCCGAACTTTATCACCTTCCCTGCCCTCGAAGAGTCAAAGCTATATCTTCTGGTTACCGAGATGTAAGGAAGTGACGTGGATAATTCTAGGTTGAAGGAGTGCACCTGCCCGTCTCGTGTGGAACGCAAAAGTCCAGGCATGGTCGTTGATATAAACCACCAAGTGGGGGAGCGGCTAGCCCGGAAGGGTCAATCAACTCTGAGGCTAATTGATGTGTGGGGAAGTGACAGAATATACTCTGACAGCTGGAGAAGTCAAGCAGTCACCGTTTCTGGGACATAACCTTCCATGAAGACCACAAACTTCCACCATTCTGTCACCAATTCGCCAATGGCCTTGCAGCATTGGCACGACAAACTGTAATCTAAAAGTATAAGCCTTGGAAGCGCAGGACAGGCATTACTTAAACTTCTATCCTGACTGGGATCCAGTTTCCATTCACATTGTGAGCCCTGGTCCTGAACGCCAACCCGGTGAGGTTGCATACACTCGTCTCTTCCACGTCATTCTCATCATAACTTCCGCGGCTCCCGCCATGTGGAATAGGTCTCGCTGTATGCCCCAGCTCACGTCCTTAGTGCTTTCATGACCTCTCCGTAGTATGCTTAACACTTTTCTGCTGTCCTGGGACTTTCTTGACAGGACATAGACCACCTCACTGTTGTGTTTCAAGGGGCATTGCTTTCCCACCAACTCCGTAAGCACAGCGATTTCTATATCCACAATTGCGAAGAGAACTAACAGAAATTAGACAATGCCTGCAATTCAAAGCCTAAGCCCCCATGTCCGGGATGAAATTGTTAAACGCAGCAACTGGGCTGGAGAAAATCCAGGTGTCATTCTAGTCTTCTGTATCGTCTTTATCGTGGGTATGGGCATTGTTTCTCTATTCGCGTACCGAATGTGGATGAAGCGCAAAGCAAAGAAGGAGTCCTACCAGGTGCAGGAACGAAAGTGACCGAGTGCAAACAGAAGTTAAATAACGAAGGCAATGAGGTCCATCTCATCGGAATGTCACCGAGCTGTATTTGATACTGTCCAATCTGGCATTGGCAATACCCATTCCTGTTTATTTGCGGACATGTCCTGGTTGAAGACTCCTGGTCGACGACAAATATTGGGTGACCGATGCCTATAGTATATAGTGTGTGTTTTGCTCTTTGCTAGTATATTGGAAAAGACTTGTAATCGTAATTTGGGGGTTTTTACTGCAGCATATTCATGACAGGAATGGATAGGGACTATCGGCGGTTAATAACTTGGATTTAAGCAAATACAAACCGTCACCAGACCATTTCCTTGGCATACTTAAATATAGTAACTGCCGCTTTTCATTCGTGGGTCCAATACGAGATTGTGGCACCGATTGATATCAACTTCTCATCGCTCGATCATATTTAATTCTCTTTCTTCCCCACTGCCTTCTCACCATCTTTACATGAATGATCCGCTACAGCAGGCAAGATGCCCAGTCTTCTATATGTATCTTCTATACTACTAGCTACGTCCTCTGCCACAGTGACATACCTCTATTTCCTCCATCGTTCTCTTGGACATCGAATCCATCACGAGTTTCACCACAGCGAACTCCCCAAAACCGTTTCTAAAGTTGTATCGCTCCCTGTAGAGGTCACTCGTGGAGAATGCCGCGCTTTCTATGACCACGCTTCTCGTCGCGTTGCGCGCAAATTACTTCCAACGCAAGAGCTAGAGGACTTATTCACACTGCTCTTACGTCGCAATATGACAGCTTTCTCTCGTTTTCCACAAGCTTGGATCTTGAGGTTCAATGTAACACCTACAGACCGTATAACGTTCCATGCATCTCATATCCAGTCACTCCGATTCGAAAAAGGTGATCTCGTCTGTGGGCTTTACCGTGTCCAAGAACGGGCACCCAACAAAGTCGTGCTTGAGCTGCTGTTCAAAGGGGACGTCAACGGACGATTGATTATTCGATTTTGGGAAGAGGGCGAGGATGTTGTCTTTTGCACGGAGACGGTCATGTGGACCAGTAAGGTAAACTCCGCACAAAGCAAGAAAGTTATCGTCCCACTGGAGAATCCCGTGTTGAGGTTTCTCCATGAGATGGCTGCATGGTGGTTGATTGATTCTGGTGTCACTTATCTGCTGGATCTAAAGGGGAATACAGACTCTTTAGACGGGGGATCTCTTTGACTTGAGTTGTTTGCCATGTCGCCTTTTCTTTGAGAGTATCAAAGCTTCGACATAAAGAGTTTAAGGACAATCAATTGTGATGGGGAATATATCTCTTTCACTCCTTTATCCTGATCCCCATCCTTTCGCAACTAATACTATTGTTTATCAATAGTATATAACACCTTCCCGATACGATGATATCGACGTTTCCCAGTGTATACCCCAGAAATCCTCTCTCCCACTTCGCTAGTATAGAATCTCTATTCATACGGCCCGCCATGTGCTTGTGTACATACCACCACTACCCCTGCGGGCACATTGCATCGTTCACATTTGAGAGCTGTATCGATATAACCAACTTGGTGCGAGCAAATATCAATCCGCTGAACCATCATAAGATCAAAAAGCTCGATCTGTTAAATGAACGACGCCCTCATCGTTGTTTCAAGTGTGAGGAGAATTCCAGAGGCGCATCAACCGCCAATAGCAACCAGTCATCTTCAGCAGCAAATTCAAAATATATACCCCTTGAAGGGGACACAGCAGACTTCCCTATCATAATCAGAGGAAAAGTTATACAATCCATGGGCCAGAGTGGTTATTGCTTGGGTTGGGATGCTGACATTTCCTCTTCGGATGAGCGACCGGCATCCTCCAAGTCACTCGTTAAGACATTTTGTCTTAGCAGACGAATAAAACATAGGCGCGACAATGGTTATCATCGTAACCCAAGGGTAGCGTCACAGCGCGCGCCTGGCTCGAGTCGCCGGATCAAAACTCTGTCTCAGGACCTCGCAGCCACGATTGAGGAAGACCCCGGATACGAGGCTGAAGATGACGAGCGTGGTCGAAGCATCCTCAAGAGCAGGCGGTATCCCCCACAGTCTCAAGGGTACATTCATGAACTTACTGGCTCGTTTCCTGAATCGGATCAATCTGTATACGATACTGCGCCTGAGGCTACCACACCTCTGAGTGAGGGAGGCTCCTCGGATCTCGCGCACGAAAGCTCACACTGCATTGGAGGCAGGGACAATAAACGCAAGGTATGACCCCTACCGCAGCATACCTCTTGAAGCACCTACGCCTTATCGTTTTAGGAACATACGACAATTGCTGTCTTTTGGTACTCAAGATGGTTGTCCCCTCCCCCTAGCGAGTTTGCCTTTAAGGGAAACCACACACGGCGATACTGAGTCGCATCCATGTTTGTAGGTTCCGACTCTCAATGATCAGAGGTGCCACGATTGACTATAGAACTGGTGCTTGAAGTGCGAGAAATATGGCATGGTACGACCAGGGAAGGTTATGGGCATTTCAGACTCTGGGTGGCGCAGCCCCTTCCCAACAACCTTGGTTATAGACTGTGTATCTGATACCTAAAGAGAAGTGCTTTATATTATCCTTGGATTGCCCAGAGCGGAATATGCAGCGACTATGGACACATTTGCTAATATAGTGTCGTAATTGAGAAATAATCAATGGTTCCGGATGGCGAGTTCCCATGCACGAGTGGTGGCGTTGAGTAATACTATTACTGAACCCGTAAAAATATTTTATAACTAGCAAGCGTCTAGTATGTCTCTGACAACTCCTCAATATTCCTAAACTCAGATCATTTTCCTTGTGTCGTGCTAGGCTACTACCTTTTGGTATGTTGTTGGCAATATATATATATTTTTATGGTATCTGACGGAAGATGTTACAGTACAAGGTGTTTTACCCCCCCAACCACGAATGGATCTATGTGCCATACCTCAAATATAGCCTTTTTGTATTCTGTTTTTAAAAAGGGTATGCCCTTCGCTCCTAGATCAGGAAAATGGCTTCAATAGTCGATTAGTGGTTTGTTGGGCGAGATGAATGGACAAGATGCCCGTCATGGTATGAGGCTAGATACCAACTATGCCAGAAGTAGACCTTGGGCGTAGAAGGTGTGGAAATCCACACTTCGACGAACTGTGGAGATATGCTAAGTAAAAGCAAATAGAGTGCCTGCTCTAATAAAAACCGAATCAACTGTCTGTGGTTAATTGACCTCATTGTATAGTCTTCTGTAAAGAGTATCAACTAGTAGCCTAAAGCTACCACACATTGACCATAACCACAACCAGCTCCTGTCACTCCGTATACTATAAGTGTTAGCTTCCATCGGCTATTAAACAATGCCTGGCACGTGGTATTGGATGGAGCCACCAGGAATAGCGCACGATTCTGTTCCACCATAGAGAGGAAGGATTTAGCTTAATTACAGGCCCCGCACTCAAATTCGCTAACTCACTCTTCTCAGCCAACTGCAACGGTGAAAGATCTTCGAGAACAACGTGTCATAATTCCAAAACCAGATCTGTGTGAGTGGAAGAAAGAGAGGGGGTGGCAGGGGTGATAGCAGGCGATCATTACTGGGTCATGTTGATACGACCCTTCAGCATTGACTGATGCGCTTCAATGAAAGTTGGATCGGATGCTCGGAAGCTGGGATAGAGTGCCCTATCGCCCCATTCGTCTACTGGCCAAGTGGGACTAGGCCGGTTTGGTCTTTAATTTACGTCCTGGTAGTGGTCTTGAGAAGAGGATAGAACAGGGGCATGGGAAACCTTTCCGATGTTGTTGCCTACCATGCATCCGTCCTGAACGTTGAGGCTGTAAAGGCTGAAAAATCGTGCTTCCCTGTGGGTTATCGAGAGAATATCGGAGCATACTCGGCGAATCGATATGTTTCGGATAGCATCCACAGTGAATGATATTCTAATCTTGGATCTCCGAGCATGTACGGTACCAAATGCATAATGCCCAAAGACAGGGATAACATAAATGCCAGTCCCACGGTGAATCTGGAATCGGAAGATTGCTAGAAGAGAGGTGTATATTAATTGAGCCTGTTATTGCCATCCGGGTGAAATGATCAATGCGACCCAAAGTTAGAAGTGATCTACGATAAGTGCGGCCCTGAACCAATTTATATCCTACATCTTCGCGAGCTATCGACTTGGCAAAGGGTCCTGGGCACCTGCGCATTTTTAGAATTAATATGCGTCAAACACTAATTGGCGGTTTAAGATATTGTGCCCTGAATGGGGTCTAAATTAACGGATTTGGCTCGCCTTGGCAAAAGATCCACGCATGCTCGAACGGCGAACGGAGCAGCTCAGGGTCTCGATATTCGCCCTGGTGCGAAGGTTGTTTTGGCCGCTGAACATGTGGAATCGGAACGTTGATTTAGGGGTAGTTTGAACGTCATCTCTGTGCCTATTTAACCATGATCGACTCTCACCGGATGCTGGAAACCAGAACCTACCTACTCTGAGAGTGAATCGACCACAGAAGAAGGCACAATGAAGATCGCCGCCCTTTTGGGTTTATTCTTGGCAGCCACTGCCCATGCGCAGGTCCAGGGCACACCTTTCGGCTTCGCTGCTGGTACCACCGGTGGTGGAAATGCTAAGGCAGCTGCCCCCTCCAGCCTGCAGGAGTATGTTTGATTTGGACGGTGTTCTGGCTTTATGCAGATTTGCTGATAAAATGGGCTAGGCTTGTGGGCTGGTTGTCAGACGATGTTCCCCGTGTGATCCTCATTGACCGTGAGTGGAACTTCCTTGGTACTGAGGGTACCACCAAGGGTAAGTGCTGCAGCACCAAGACCACTACCTGTGAGGGGGGTACCTCGAAGGGGCAAGCTTGGATCCAGGACAAGTGCGACGATGGCACGTGGATAGACTGTGAATATGACAACGCTCCTAAGAAGGCGATCGACGTCGGCTCGAACAAGAGTATCGTCGGTGTTGGCAGCAAGGGTGTTATCCGCGGAAAGGGTCTCCGTATTACCAACGGCAACAAGAACGTGATCATCCAGAACATTCACTTCACTGTAGGTCTTAGGTGAGCTCGCTGTTGTTGAGATTACTAGCTGACCATATCAGGACTTGAACCCTCAGTACGTCTGGGGCGGTGATGCCATTACGTTGACTGGCGCTGACCAGGTCTGGATTGACCATAACAAGGTGAACCATATTCGTCTATACATCTTCACGCGTGCGCTAAACTGACTAATGTGATAGTTCTCCCTTATTGGCCGCCAGCACATCGTCAGCGGCTGGCAACCCGCCGGGCACGTTACCATTTCCAACAACGAATTCGACGGCCGTACGGAATGGTCCGCTGGCTGCAACGGCAAGCACTACTGGACTCTGCTGCTGATCGGTGAGAAGGACTACTACACCTTTGCCGGTAACTGGGTCCACGACGTCTCCGGCCGCGCTCCTCACATGGGCACGACCAAGACTAACTCCGAGAACTTCTTCCACGGCGTGAACAACTACTTCCAGAACATCGGTGGCCACTCCTTCGACGTTGATGCCAACACCTGGATGCTGCTGGAGGGTAACGTTTGGGAGGGCGTTGACACTCCCATCACCGACACTACCCTGAAGAGCGGTGCCATCATCTACAACGTCCCCAACACCCAGGCTGGCCGTGGCTGCGACGGCGCCATCAGCCGAAGCTGTGAGGTCAACCAGTTGGTCAAGTCTGGCCAGTTTCCTCCTCGTACCGATGCCGACGTCTTGAAGAAGGCTGCTGCCTACAAGGCTTCCATTCCTCCCACTACCCCTGTTGCTGATATTCCCAAGAACGTCATGGCCAATGCTGGTGTTGGCAAGCTCAAATAAATGAGTTCAACCAATTTATCGCCCGGCGGACGTGTATTCGGGGGGGTAATTCCTTTGTATTCTTCCACTTCTGAACTCTTTACCGTTACCGTCTGTTCACTTCAACAATACCCAATTCTAGCGCTGGCTTCTGTGAATATTATTAGATTAGAGATTGTTTATTATTGAGATCCACAATTAAAAACAAGCGCAGTGCGGCATTAGTCATCATTTTTTCTGCCTTAGTCCTTCTCGGTCTCGGCGTCGGGGTCTGCTGACCAACATGACATCACGATTATCCCTTGCTAGGGTTGAATGTCCGAAAAAGACCTACAATTCTGTTTGAAATCAAGCATGTAAAGCTCTCGGTACATAAGGAGGACAGCCTTCCAAGCCTGTCAGGAACCAAATCATCACAGTGTCATTGAAACATCCTCGATAAACTCTCCGCACAATGACTATCGCTCTCCTGATCACCGGCGCCACCGGCAAGCAAGGTGGTGCTGTAGTCGACGGGCTACTGGCCCAGGAGGCAGATGTGGAGATCCTCGCCGTCACCCGCAATGCCCAGTCTCCAGCGGCCCAGAAACTGGCTCAGAAGTCCGACAAGGTTAAGTTAGTTCAAGGCGATCTTAACAATCCTGCGGGGATTTTTGAAAACGCCAAGAAAGCCTCATCCTTGCCCGTTTGGGGTGTGTTCAGTCTCCAGGTACGGGATATCAAGCAGTCACTTGGATGCAGAATATGGTAGGCTGACCGAGGGTGTTTGAAATAAATAGAGCCCCTTTGCCAAGGGCGAGAGTCTCGAAAGCGAAGAACGCCAAGGCAAGGCCTTGATCGATGAAGCAATTATACAGCGCGTGCAACACTTCGTCCAAACATCTGTAGACCGCGGTGGCGATGCCTCGACAGACAATCCCACCAATGTTCCTCATTTCATTACCAAGTATAACATTGAACACTACCTATTCGAAAAGACCAAAGACGGGTCTATGGATTGGACCGTTCTGCGACCCGTGTTCTTCTATGACAACCTTACAGCGGACTTTATCGGCAAAGTGACCTTCACTTCCTGGGACGCCTATCTACAGGGAAAGCCTCTCCAATGCATTGCGACTAGCGATATCGGCATCATTGCGGCCAAGGTCCTGTTGCAGCACGACCGATTCAAGAACCAGTGCCTCTCCCTAGCAGGCGATGAGCTCACTTTCGAGCAGATGGCAAAGAAGTTCAAAACCCATACGGGGCAAAGTGTGCCCACTACGTTCCGTTTCGTGGCTTACTTCATTATGCTGATGGCTAAGGATTTGAAGCTCATGTTCAAGTGGTTCTATAATCATGGATATGGTGCCGATATCCAGCAGATCAAGCAGATCCATCCGGGGTTGAAGGATTTTGATACCTGGCTGAAGGAGGAAAGCCAATTTCTCAAGCATTGATGTGTGATACCTATTTGGGTGTTTGTATTATGTTTTCAGCTTATAGTTATCCTAATGACTGTTACATTGGCATCTGTATCTAATATGGATTACTTGGTCAGTTCGTTTAATAGGTCTGCTTCTTGATGGGCAAAAGTGAAATTAATCACAACTCTAATGCAGCAAGCATGCAAGAAATATATGTCTATCGGTGTTAAGATGTAGACAGCACACCTCCATACCTATGTACACCATGCGAGTGTTCTTCGCGCTTCGAGGACAGAAGTCTTTAGTTCGCTGTCAAGTTCTGCTCACTCGTATTCCTCTCATAGAGCTGAGTAGCAAAGGCCAGGCATTCTGGATCTCGAGCGCAGAAACTCATTACCTTATTAGTGTATTCCCTCGCAATGCCCAACTGCTCTTCCAGCGTATCCGTCTTAGTTGCACCAGATTCACCCTCGGCATGGCCACCCTGCAACTGACTCGCCAAGCGCAGACGAGAAACATAGTCCCGGACTGTAGAAACACCAAAATTGAAAGCCCTAGCAAAACCATCCACACCACTGCGGAAGACCCTCTGTAGGCTGTTATTCTGACGACGAGCCTTCTCACATACAGGCACACTATATTCCGCAGACCATCCACTGCGAACGAGTCCGTTTACCTCCTCATCCATAGTTCTAAAGCTTATCTGTAAAGACGGGGAGATAAGAGGTCGTATCTCACTGCCAGCCTGGCCCTCTTTGTCCTTGGCAACGGACTTGCCGTTGCGCGTGCTTACTTCTACAGGCTTCGGCACAATGCGAGCGGACTTGGCCTCAGTGGAGCCAATGATGTTCTGAATCAGACATCCTTTTGATTTGTGGATTACTCGGAAGACTTCGCCTTCGCAGGTATCGGATCGGTAGAGGGCGATCTCGTATTGATCGTCGTTGTTGTTATCGGGCTCCATGCGTGTTGCGAGTGTAGTACTCCCATGGAGTCTTGTGCAGGGATGAGCACTGTTTAGATGATGGGTGGCTAATGGTGCTTCTTCGCATTTGCTGTCTGGGTATTCGGTAACTTGGTAGGAAGTAGCATGTAAAGGAAGAAGACATAGTGAGACGATGCTGAGGAGGGACTGTTGTGACAGCTTCATAGTAAGTGGCGATTTTGGAGTACGGTCTCTTAAGTATTCCTAATAGGAAAGAGAACTCTCTTAAGTAAGGCTGTTCGAAGGTGACCATAAGATTGTGGGGATACCGGGCGCTATCAGCTGGAAGTCGATCCAAGTGGAGTGCAGCAGGAATGGTAAATCTTAGGAACTATTACTAACAATCATGGTCTCAGTGCTTGTTATGCGCACTGCCTGGAAGTCCAAGTATTCATCGTCTCATACTAGAAACGGGGGCTTCAACTCAACTACAGTTAAACTGAACACACCTCGACGCAGCGCTTGTTGACCATGATATAATGCCAAGCTGTTGGTAACGCACTACTCGGCCCCGAAGCCATACAAGGGGGCATAAGCTGATCATTTGGACGTATGAGAGGCTAAATCGAGCCCAGCCTCTCCCGCGGTCGCAGCCTTATGCATGTTTGGCCCAGCAATGCCACGCCGGCGCCCAAGTGGCCCTTCCGGATGTAACTCCCCATCCATAGATAGCCAGACATTGGCCTTCGCTTTCAGGGATTAGTGACGCAGACTGTCGCTGGAGAAATGCCACCAAGGTATACCCCGCACCCTACAAGTAGCTGCCTGCTAAGACTCATCAACGCTCATTGGAGTTGAGTAAACGCTCCGAAACATTGTGACCCGTGACCAAGAACCAATATTTCGAATATCGTGTACAGCAGACTATACCGCAGTCCATATTCGTAGCTGTAAGAGCCCCTTTTTGGTACCTATTCAACTATATGTACATTCTTCACCCTTAGCCGTCGTTTCCAGGCGCGAGTGTAATGAAAAACAGTCTACTCATTATCATCCTCCATGGATCATTGTCTTTACAGCACTCTTCAAAGCTTATCGACACGACCCAACAGCCATTGCAGATGACGGTACGTCACCCGCGGCTGGTACTGCGGCTGCATATGTCCAGACTGGTAAGTCTCAGCCCACATAAGTCCACGCTCATAATGTTGCACACCCATAACGCCCTGGCTCTGCAACATCGCCTGGCCATTCTCCTCGAACACCTCTCCCCACGCAAGATCAGGCAGATCGATGGTAATAGGGGTAGCCGGCGCAGATTGGAATCCAAGCTGTCCGTTCCAGGTCATGTTCTGGATGGCAAGCAATGTCCCGTTGGTGAGGATGATCATGTCATAGTCGCCGTTGCTAACCAGAACGCGGTTTGTTCCCTCAATGACTTGCGGGAGGACGCGCTCGATCGGGTTCGCAGATAAATCTCCCTCTTGCTCGGGGCCGGCGTCGCCACCGACGTAGACGTTCTCGCTTGAACAGCCCGACCAAGTGACGTTCAGGGGCGCGTGCATGGCACGTTTGACGTCTGGGCGGTCGAAGTACACGGTCGCTCCAGCGGGCTGGTAGTTGAATGCTGTAGGCATGGCGAGGACATCCCAGGCAAGGGGACACATGAGGTTGATCTCGTAGATGTCGAAACAGGAGTTGGCGACCATGGCTTCGTTGCTGATGAGGTCGAAGACGTCACAATCGGCGTCGCTGGTATAGTTGAAGGACTTTTCGGGCTGCACGCCAGCGGGAGGGAAGACGAGATATTCGTCTAGATAGTCCTTGTAGCCGCATGAGTCGTGGAGCCTCTCGAGTTCCGACATGAAGCTGGTGTTGAAGTTGAAGAGGTTGGCGTTTTGCTGGACGAAGGGCACGGCGGGCACTTCTTCTTGAACGTAGTCGTGTTGGCCGATACAGGGGTCGTATACCAGGGCGCCTATTATATCATTAGCGTGAGTTCCATACTGGTTTCCTGGCAATGCGATAGCAGCTATTCACCTTTCAGGTCATAGTGCTCCGTGTCGTTCCGGTCCAGCATGGCAGCGGAGATGTATGGAACATAACGCCCAGCGTAACTTTCACCAGTAACGTAGATCTTGAAGTTCTTGATGCCAAAGAGCTCTTGGAAATTTTTAAAGAATCTCACAAAGTCCTCAGCGGTTTCTTCCTGGGTTGTGGCATTTGGCTTGCCGATCGCAAATCCTGTACCAACCGGCTGCTCGACCCTGTAGCATGAGAGGTTAGACCACTCGTAGACCGTATTCAGTGAGTGTGAACGTACCAGAGCACATTTGTCAAATTCACCCAGGAGTATGGGTTCTCGACAGGCGCAAACGTGCCTGGCTGCCATGTAAACCGGCCGTTTTCCTGAAAGAAACCCTCAAGAGAGCTACATCCGGGTCCTCCGTTGAGCCAGATTGTGATCTCGTCAACAGGATCGCCAAGTGTAGGCTGGAAGACGAAGAAAAGAGCCCTCGACTTGTCGTCTTTGTCGATGGGGACCAATCCTGAGTACATCTCACCGACATCAAAGGGAACATCTGGGAGGTGGTCGACTCGGTAGGCTATTTGGAACCAACCCTGTCTGTTAGCTATGTCGCGATATAGATATGTTTTGACTCACATTTTGTTTTATTGGTTAGAAACCGGAAGTCATCAATTGGCGTCTTGAACGACGACTTCTGCTGTTCCGCAGCTCGCTTAGCGAGGTTCAAAGAATCGCGGGCCTTTTGGCCGAACCGGCCATGTTTGGCAGCAGATACATTGTCGGTGCACAGGGCAGCGGCTAAGATAGCCGTTGACACGATGCTTTTGAATAACATTTTTTTAGGGCGTGTGATATAATAAAAGAAAGGCCTTTTCCATCAGGGTGCGGGGGGATTTATAGCCGGGATGAGCCCACGGCCTCCATGAGGGTAGAGCTTGCTCAAGCATAACTGCCACAATCCCAGATTTGGAGATAACATAACAGAATGTGGGCCGCACTATGGAATCGTTCAATCAGAGCAGGCTAGGATGCGGAGACAATGAGTCGCCAGACTCTCTTATCGCTGCTGGCTCCAAGTGGCGGAACAAAGGCGTCGGGGGGAGTTGAGTTGGTGGCCAATAACAGCGCAAAGCAGGAGCGGGAATGAATAAAGCCCTAAATTATGGACCCCAGTTGAAAGCTTGAATGGCAACCTGCTTATTTTCCCATCGACTTTCCGGAAGAGGCCGGATTAGCGGCCCCTCTATCGACAACGCCATGGATCACTCTGCGGCGCTGTCCGACGGTGATAAGCCATATTATATTGACTTGCATATCTTCTGTTTCACGCGGGTATGCGATTGGACTGGTTTCAAATTAGCCCCGGCCCACTATGATTGGATTGAAGACAAAAGATAGGGATTTGGGAAGCTGCCAATAGAGACGCGCCAAAAATCGTTACTGTCCGTTAATTAGTAGCAATAGAAGCTTTTTCGACTGGGTTAATGTACCTACGTGGTAATGACTATTGATATCGATAAGTAGAGCATAGTGGCATTGGCAAAAAGTGGTAAGATATTGAGATAGACATCGTGGACCCATAATCAATACTACTATGACCGAATTGAGTATAGATTTACAAAACCATGAAAATCCCCGCCCAGGGAATACCCGAGGGCCGAGAGTATGATACAGAAGTAAGAATAGAGAGTTATTTAACGTTTCTAGTCATTCAGACGTGAAAATGGGTACAAATACAACTCGTTCTAAACTACATCAAGAGGCTGACTGCAGAACTTCGCTTCGACTTCTTACCCTCAATATCCAAGCCCATCAATCGACGCACTGCCATCTGCGCCCCTCTCACACCATAATCCATGGTAACCACGACCTCATCCGGTATATCCACAAATTGTCCAATTAGTGCCAAGTTCGTCATTCCCTCTGGTATCACCTGTGGTCGATCGCCACATGTCCGGGGTAGCATTGTCGCGGTCATGCGTGGGACGACACACGGGATCGTGATGGAATTCTTCAATATCGTCTCGACCGGAAATTGCAAATGATGAAGTATTTCCCTCAAGATCTCCTCCCCAGAACAGGACAGCATCGGCTTCTTAACATAGTCGCCCTGCGCCTCGGGACGGAGCGCATAACCCCAAAGCACTTGCACGTCGCCTGGTTGATCTGGGAATAGTGGCTGCTGCGGGATATTCAGGCTGATGATCCAGCTACTATCCTTCAAAGTCACGAACGCGGCTGTACCAGGCTGGTTACCTGTTAACTTACAGAATCGGTTGAAGAATTCGGGATCCTTGAGCGTGACGGTAAACGATTCCAAGCGAGATTCCGACATGCGCGTGCAGAAATTGTATGCATTTCCGAATTTTGGGTTCTTCGTCGAGAGCTCGAGCCATAAGAGCCAGTTTTCATCCAGATCGTTGTCGATCTCCATTAGCCCTAGTGACGGCGGTTCGGTGTTGCTACCCGTCGTCGTCCCGGACATGACGGAGCCCACGGAAACAATGACGATGTCGTTTGGTCCCAGCACGATCTTGTGGTCACGCTCGTCATCTCTGTGTGCGCAAATAGCCGATACGCGGTTCTCGTTCTTCGGGTCTATGATGATATCGGAGACAGTGGTATTGAACTGAAAGTCCACACCTTGGGATGTTAGGAAATGCGCGATGGGCGCCACAATGGCTTCGTGGCGATTATAGCGACCACAGTCGAGAACGCGCGGGAAGTTAATATCATGGACATCGTGCATGAAACAGGCGATGTATCGACGTAATTCGGCCGCGCTGTGCCATGGCTGGAAGCCGAACCTGGTAAACAATTAGTCTTCACATCACTCCCTATTGGTGACTGTGTTTGCTCACGTGGTGGCCAGTGTTAGCCAGTAATTACTCTTGAAGAAGCTCTCGCCAAAGTGATCCTTTATCCGGGTTCTCCCTAGAGCCTTTTCGGTTTTCGAGACCATCACGAAAAGCTCTATCCGGTCTCGGAGCCCTAGGTTGATTTTGTGGGGATCGATACACCCCAGGCCATGGGACCTCCGGGTGAGGAGGCGTGTGTGGGATGTCCCATTGAGAGCGTGACTTCCGAACTCTATAATATCGTCTAGAGCGGTCTTTCCCTTTCGCGTCCTAGAGGGAACCACCGAGAGGAGTTCTTCCATGGCCGAGCCGTTGAAGGGAGGCATCCCTCCTGCCCGATAATTGTACCCATTCACAGAGTCCCCTCGGCTAATCGTACCTCCCCCTGCCACAGCGAGCTTCTCCAGAATATGAATCTTTTCTGCAGGCACATTGGCTTCCTGGATTAAGTGTACGGCAGCTGTGAGGGAGGCAATGCCGCTGCCGAGGATCCAGACGTCAAGCTTATCGGGCGGGCGATGGTTCAGTCCAGCGCTTTGCGTTACCGAAGATCTTGATGATTTGCGACTGGGCATGACGGCGATGATTAGAAGGAGAGATAGGGCAGAAGGGACGACGCCTACATTGGCCCGAGGGAGGCGGTTGAAATAGTCAATGAACTAGTGGCTTAATTGGCTTTATTGATGGGATTCTAGGCGGGCGGTGGCAATGAGATTCCTCTGATGTCAGAGAAATAATTTTATTTTTCTATCATCAAGAAGCCTTTGGGGGAAAGTCAGAACCGTGGGACGGGCAGGTCAAAGCCTGGAGCCTCGGTGGTGATTCGCTTGAAGTCAGAGTCTGGATCGCTTCCGTTATGACGCCACGACAGCCCTTTTTTCTAGTTGGATGGTAGAATGGAGGCAGAAGAAATTCTGCACGCGGGGCTTTTCTAGCCATACGTTTCCATGGAATTTGTCAAGCTGAAATGTAATGCCAGGAACGCTTTCGATAAAAAAATAAGTCTAAGTATATACTATAGTAGCGGCTCATTGCTAGAGGAGCCAAAGGACCGACGTATATTCTATGGACCATTCAATCCACAAAAGGCCTTACTTTCCTGCCTTTCACCAATTGATCATAATATTCTCGGACTGTGCTGCGGCCTTTTCCTTCAAAATACTTGGGCCCGAGATCGGCTGTCTCAAACCCCTTGGGATAATACTTCTCCCCTTCATCCCCAGGTAGTGGCAGTCCGAACAACCGACTAACCCACGCCGATAGACCCCAGCGGTTCAATAGGGTGGGCTGAACGTAGTATGGTGCACCACTCCAGGTACGCACATAGTGGCGACCATGCTCATTGGCGTCCTCGGAGAACACATCCAGTCGGAGGAAGTTGGGCCGTGGCAGAGAAAGATATCGGAGGTAGAGCCTGCGAGCAGCGACCAAAGAAAAGAAGATGCCATAGTATATGCCAGATGGGGCGTCATACCTGACTCGTTAGCATCTCGCTACCAAAGCTCGCAGCGCACAAGACTCACATCATTGCCACCCGTAGTCGTTCATCCATCATGCAGGAGGCAAAATTCACGCCGACACCCTTCAGCCAAGCCGGCAACGCATACACCAGAACGTCCATAGTCTTATCCGCGACGGCCTTATTCTCCGGGCTAGGCTTCATGTACTGCTCCTCGTATCGGTGGCTCCATTCGGTCATCTCTTCAAGGAAATGTAGTCCATCTCGGAATCCCGTCTTCGCAGATGGCAGCTCCGCGAAGTCAATCTCAAGTTGCTCCCCTAGGTTTTTCCAATATGTACCGATGGCACATTTCTCAAGTTCGCTCATGGAGCGCCATTCGAACATCTCCACAAAGCGGATCGGCTCGGTCGCAAACAAGCTCAGAGTATATAGCATGTCGGAGTTGAGAATACTACCGCTATTGCGATAGCCGGTGTGCAGGAACTTGGTTCGCGCGATGGCAGTCAGGGCACGGTCGGAGGTGGGCTCAAAGGACATGAACTGGCCGATGAGTGCACCGGTGTCGGCATAGCGCTTGAACGAGGTGGCTGGGTCGGAGAATTGGGACGTCTTGAGTAACAGTTTGGAGATCGTGGGGATACCATATGTCTGGTCGGCCAGTTAGTATTCATCTGGGTCGCATATCATAAGGGAGTATTCACTCGGAAGAGCGCAAACTGTAGGGCCTTGAGAGATATCGTCGGGAATTCCAGTTGGAGAACCTTTTTTTGAATGGCCCAAGCATCATGGTCGGTCATGTAGGCCATCCCTTGACGGGTCGCGTATTGGCGATACTCGCGATGCAACCTCCGTAGTCTCTGAAACCGTAAACAAGCCACCAGGATGAGATATGTTGCGACAAGACCTGCCGATGTGGCACCGCGTCGTATAGGATTCCCCCACAGTACTCCCAACACCCTTCTAAATGGGACACGCTTGGATAGCGCAACTATATGAGAGACGTGGTTCTCCATGGTGAACATCGATTTGTTCGGACAGTGTTCTTTGACGCCACCTAAGACCCATGAGATAGCACGAGAAAGTCCATTTTATACTCCCCGCCCGCACCTTCCATCTTGGAACCCCAATAAGATGAGCACATTAACAATCCTCCGGGTGTGAGTCCGTCTCTGTCAGGCCACCTTCTTGCAGTGAAAGTAGAGTGAGATGGTGTAGCTGTATCAATCATATGCAAAGTATGCTAACTTTACGGCGGACCGAGGATGCGGAGTGCGGGGACGGTTTTGTCGATCAGCCGTGGAGGGCACGAACGATGGCTGCACGAACAGTTAAACGGCGCTCTCAATACCCGTATCTCCGTGCACTGTAGCAAATCATCAGAATGATATTTGTCGGATAGACGAAACCGACATCATACGAGGAGTCGATCAGTGAGATCTGAGCCTTAATTTTGCCGGTGTCTGAAGGATCTACCGTAGAAAAGCCGAGAGCCTATCAAGCAAGGGCATAGCATTGGGCCTATGCACGTATGCCTGTCTTCTGACTGGTCCTAAGTAGCACAGCGAGAGTTTGTGCTGCACGACTAAAGCCTATAGTGCAGGTCATGAGCATTAGAACCCTCGGTTATAAAACAACCAGACGCTAGCTATTAGCCTGTTGGATATTTGCATGATAGCACATCCGACCAGATACCACTGGCAGCGTATCGGATACGGTGGGATATGCTAGAATCGTAGTCTTATCACAGCCATGAAGTAGTTATCAGGCCGAGGCCAGAAGCCGAGCGTGTTTCACAGGCGTGAATTAATCACCGAGTCCAGAACGTCATACTCTCACGAGACAACCAAGATTACACTTTTCCAGTGTGTCTGTTGACCTTTTCATGTACCCGTGGCAATGGCCTTAGAAGTTTCTAGGCATGTTCTAGGTAACTTAACCATCCATGGTTGCAACTCACGTTTATGTCTCTTAACTTATTCAGTCAAAGATTCCACTAGGACTACGAAAGTCGGCTATCGTAGAAATGTTCCGCAATCTTATTGATCATAGGTATCATGCGTTAGACCTTCGAGATCTCTCAAATTGTCTTAGATCTAAACGATCAATAATGGTAATGGACATTGAGACAGACCAAGATTTCCACCAATGCTGAGTCAACCTGCGCCTCTTGCATGAAATGATTCTGATAGCTCGAGTCTTCCGGCTCGTGCCACACTGAAGAGCAAGCAGGCCTGCCAATATATAGTTCGTTTCAGCCTGAAGCCCTAACATTATTGATGAATTGCCTACCTATTCAAATAGTGCAATCATCATCGGTATAGAGATCAGTGTCTATGGATAGCCAGCATCTCAACTGAACCCAACGCCACTAAAATCAACATTCGACATATCATCAGACATCCGTTTCTCTTCTGAGACTGTCGGTAGCATCCCTGATGTCAAGGACGATCTACCAGCCTGTGGCCAAAGCACTTCACGATCATGAACGTCCCGACTGATAGTCGTCTCGACCCTGATAAAATCCCCTGTCATGCTTTCTCTGCGGTCGCGCACCTCCGCAGCTGACGCAGGATAGGCCTGTGCTCGCACCTCGGAGCGACCGTCCTGGGAGAAGTTCGTGCAGTGCTTTTGAAATGGCCAAGATTCAGCGCGTTGGGTACATTCCGCTGTCATCAAGCGACCAATGGTTTGGCAGTAGATCCTCCTACAGGTATCGGTACAAGGTTGGAATAGCGGGGGCATAAGAACGATTGAGGCGCAGACAATAGCAACATCAATTTCGAGAAGCGTCCAGATTCTTTCTCTTGTGCTGCTTGCTGGGGTATGTCAGCGGAAATCAGGACTAGATTGCATGTCGATATATTCACCAGTTAGATTGTTTGTTGGGTAATATCTGAACTCAATCAGACGCATAAGACTAAAAGTACAAACACTAGTGGTGGTCAGTACATAGCACGTGCCAATCTGTTGAAGTAACTTATCGACTTACATTCCACCCATACTGAACAGAATGGTAAGAAGTACCTTCTTTCGTGGGGCCATTTGCAGTCGCCATAGTACAGCAAAAGGGATGGCCAACAACATTATATCTTGCAGGAAGGAGACAGATCCAGTTGCCATGAAAAGTGCCTTCTCTCCACTTATGCAATGGCCCTCGACTTCCTTATTCCAAAAATACTGCAGTGGCCAGCATTGGAAAGTATTCGCAAAAAGAGCCGCCAACCCCCAGGCGACAATAAAGACAGCGAGGAATAACGTAAGAGAAAGCATTCTTTTCACAGATCCCAGCAACCGACGAAGAAGGATAATAATGGACAGCTTGATGCAAACTTGAGCGGCTGGCCAGAATTCTTGGGCTATCCAATACATCTACTAGCAGTAAGTGAATGTCCCATTTCAGTGGTAGACACCTCATACCATTGCTACCCGATGAGCAGTCCTCGGCGGCAGAGTCGAGAGGTCTATTCCAGCGCCTTCCAATGCCGCTGGTTCAGTCAATTAGGGTGCCGTAGCCCATAGGAGCTGGTGCACGTACCGATCACGGTTGTTATGGTAATGCCATAAGACAATACCAGTCCAAAGCCTAGGAATACATCGCTGGCGTCAAACTTCCCGGTACTGAAGCAATGACTATACAACCGGAGAAGGTAAAAGAGCGTAGCTACCACAGCCCCAGCAATCGAGAGGGCGATGAGTAGCCGGCTCCAATATTCAGGACTGGTCATCAGCTACCAGCCTGCTCCATTCGTAGCCAGAAGAAATCCCCAGGACAGTATCGTAGTAGTAATCTCGCGTTTGGTGGCAGAATTACCACTTTCATTCATCAGTCACCTACATACCTCACGTACAATCGACAGTTTTGACAAATATACGCGGTGGGATTGCCTGTAATAAGGGTTCCGATCGTAGCATCAGCAGTGATCACTTGGGTCTCGTACAGTGGTTGTTAGAAGTTAATCAGTGTTCCTATCCTTCTAGAAGTCGTGATGTCACGCTTTTAAGGCCCGGTACTGAACTATGGACCGCTGAAAGGTCAGAACAAAAGCATACTTTTACTGATCAGAGTATAACCGACTCAATGATTGGCTATCCACAAATCCCGGGCCGTGGTGCAGGTAAGTGTAGCTTTTTACCAAGCTGTCTCATACCCGATTAGGGTACTGGTAGATATCGGGGAGGTCTCATCCAACGTTCCGCACCACCATCCGACTCACATTTGACTTCGTTGATTGATGTTTTCCCTGGTTCAAGTGATAACATGTGAGGACGGAAGCTGCTTCCGCATGAATTGGGGATCGCTGCACTGGATCTACGATTCCGGTATTATCAATTGCCTTCCACCTGATCCATCGCCGTCTTCGCTGTGCTCGCAACCTGTCCGACGTCACCCCCTTGATCACTAATCTGGCTCAGACGTTTCTTCCAGAAGTTCCATCGTTCAGGGCACAACTTTGCTGGTCCTTGGTACAACGATCCACCAGCCATAATTCGCTCTTCCTTGTTCTCTGTAGCCATAGTTTCCTGTCGCAAAACCGGCCCACCATGTTTAAACCATTCTCTAGCCACGGCCATGTCGCAGTCCGCCTTCCTCCCCGACGACTCTTCCTCGAGAGCATCGCGGAGAGCCCATACGGCGAGAGCAACCCATGGTGCGAGGCTGATGCTGAGTAGACGTGCGACAAAAGAATTTAGGTTGATCCATTCTTTGATTTTCTCTTCGGCTTCGCTACCGGTAGGGATGACTGAGATATATTAGTATACTTTTCTTTTCCGCCTATTATCCGTGAACACGTACGGTTCCAGGCTTCTCTCATTTCAGGCCCCAAAAGTGGTAGGTCCACCCAGAGTTTCGTATCATTCTAGAATTTTTAGTCCAATCCAAAGGGATCATGACACGGGACCACTCACCCCCCAAATCTGTATCGTCGTAGGTGGGATCTCGGTCAGCGCTTTGACAAGGTCCACTAGCCGTTCCTGCGACGGGCTATCACATGGAATCTGTTTCGCGACATTGATGACGATATTCCAGAATTGCCAGAGCAGATTCTCTAGGCCGTCCACTTTGGAATCCGACAAAAGTGGAGCTGCGAATCCATGGATACGCTGCGCCACTGCGGAAGCTGTGGTGGAGCTGGAAGGTTGGGCATATTCATTCAATATCGCAAAAATCTGATTCTCCTGCTCTGAAGGCGATTGAATTCTCGAAGACAGCGTTAGAGAGGCCATTTTACGTAGTGTAGGTTTTTTCGTGAATGCCGAAGAGGACACGAAGGCAGAAAGACTGTATTTTATAACACCAGCTTATCAGGGCGGGGTTTATCGCTTGATTGTACGCATGAATCATAATGCGCCTTCTAGCCACGCGCTGATCTGATCTGCAGCATCGAGTCGGTGTGATTGGGGCTGGTGGTTTTAGTGTCGGTCGATAGACTCCATCTTACTAGGGCATGCTTGGCAAATGTTGGTTCATTGGTCTATCTGGCAAGAAGCTGCATATTAGTCGAATTCACAACAATACATGATATCCAATAAGAAATCAAATGTTTTTCTTCACCCTACACTTGCAGTATTCCGACGTCATATCAGATTTCGGCATGTAACCCTGCCAGGTTCAATGACATTTCCCACAACTGCGCCTGTTTTGCCTCATCATACACCCAAGGGGCGTATCCCTTTCCAACAGTTCCAGTATTCGGGTCATATTTCACTGCGATCTGACAATCCTCGAGATATTTCCCGCCCTTTCCTTCTAACTCCTTTGCTACCGCGGCCCAAACGGTGGTAGCAGCCCCGTGCTCTGAAGTTTTCCACACACTAGCAATCGCATCATCGTTATCCCATGCGTCCTGCTGTTCTTTGGTGACGTATTGCTGCAACCCAGACCTGATGCCACCGGGGTGGACACTAAAGCCGTGAAGACCCTGAGATCCATATCGTCTCTCGATCTCACTGGCCGTCCAGATGTTCGCTGTCTTGCTCTGACCGTATGCCATCCACGGCTCATAGATTCCCTCCAGATTAATATTATCCAAGACAGGTTCACCATAACGATGTGCCATGGAAGAGACATTGACAACGCGCGAATTGAACTCTGGGGTTGAGGAAGCCAACAGGGTAGGCTTCAACAGGTAGAAAAGCGTAAAATGGCCTAAGTGGTTGGTACCGAATTGAGTTTCGAATCCATCTTGCGTCCGACCCTCCGGTGTCGCCATGACCCCTGCATTGTTGATCAGGATGTTCAATTGGGAGCTCTTGGAGAGGAAGTCCTCCGCACAGGCGCGCACGCTGGTCAGTGAGTCGAGGCTAAGGGCTAGGAGGTGGACGTTGGGTTTCTTGACAAGGTCCCCTAACGCTTTCTCCGCCTTGTTCAAATCACGCGCTGTGAGATAGAGGGTAGCCCCGGTGACAGACAGAGCACGGGCTGTGTCGATGCCGATACCCGACGAGCAGCCTGTGATGAGGATGACTTTGTCCTGGAGCTTGCCTTCTAATCCATTGCTCTGGACGATCTCCAATGCGGTCGGATGGCAGTTGGCACCGCCTTTGGAATTGTTGAGAGAGCCGTTGGTGGTGGACATCTTGACGAAATCGTTGGTTTATTGGTTATAGGGAGTGGGTTGTGCATATATGTTGCACAGGATATATTCAATCTGAGGTGTTCCAGTCAATGGCTCTACAAAGCATGGATTTGTCGCCCTTTTATATTCTGCAATATGCCTAACGTCATGTCAATCAATCGTACAGCTCCATGGCGGAGTTAGATCGTCCTTAAAGCCGCCAGCGTCGTGAATAGCATCATCTTGAGGGTCCACAAAGAATGGATGTGGATACACGTGCGGCCGCACGCTACGGCTGACTAAACTTACAAAACGGTCAAAAGATGAAATCTTGGCGTTTTACATAAAGCCACGTGTTCTAGGGTAAAGGAAGGGCTGCGGTAGCTATAGTGTCATGATTGTTTTCTGTCCCTATATCCCAAGATCCAGCCCCTATTATACATTCCTAAACCAACCAGTAGACTAGTAAAGCAATTCAAGTCGTGCAAGCAATTCGAATAATGTAAGCCCTTTGAAAAGATTCCAATTCACGCAGTTCAAGGAAGTTGAGCCATTTGAGTCGCCATTTAAAGCAATCTATGAACTCGTAACTTGTTAGAATTAGCACTCAGTGGTGCGTGGCTATTAGTATTTTCTTGAGATTAACTATTCTACCCTTGCCCGCCCGCATCCGCACCCGTACGTCCGCCAAGTCTGTCAATTTCGGCCGCATCGGCCGTCAGTTCTTCCTCGACGTTCTTTCTCAACGTCATGGCAGATCAGCAAAAGCCTAGCTCGCGAGCTATTAACGCATGTCTCACCTGCCGCAAGCAGAAACGGAAGTGTACGAAAGAGAGACCTAAATGTTCCGTCTGTCGGAAGACTGGGCGGGTCTGCGACTACACCCCTATTGGCAGAAGCGCCGCGACAGCTACAGACAATACTACTGGAAGTCCAGATTCCCAGGAAACCGGTGAAAATGCCGCTTTCTCCAGCAGAAGCATTCATCTGAGCGGATATGAGTCAAGTACAACGGCTGTTGGTTCCTCGATTACGAACGGTCTCTCCACTCTGTTTCTCGACTCCGATGTTCCTCGGGATCAAAGTTACCCGGAATCCAACCGACACATCTCTCTGCCGCCCGAATGCCTCCGTTATCTCCGGAGTCCGGTACAATTTCGACATGAGGTTGATGTTTACTTCAATAGTGTTCACACGTTCTTTCCTATAGGTAGGAATCACCGCAAAGGCGGACTTGGCACCGGGTTATCTGCTTGATCGAGACTGAAGCTCGTTTCTTGACAGTTTCCAAATTGCGGCTGTACCAGCAACTTTCGAATGCGGATCGTATAAATGACCCTGATCTTGGTCTTCTATTAATAGCGATGCAATTGCACACGCGGTCATGTAGCGAAGTTGAATCTGGCGATGCAGAACTTTACAGATCTGCAAAGGCTTGCCATGTGTATGTTGAGAGCAGCAATGTCTTCTCCATAAAGGTAGTGCAAGCGTTGCTGTTGATTGCATTATATGAGATATCGAATGCTATCTATCCCACGGCATATCTGACAGTGGGGCATTGCGCACGACTGGGACATGCTATGGGGATTCACCAGCGCAGTGATGCGCCGCAGATGCTTAACCGAGTAGGTGTGTATTGTCCACCCACCCGTATGTTCTCGTGTGCTTAAGAACACAGGCACCTGGGTCGAGCTTGAGGAAAGACGTCGCACTTGGTGGGCCGTAATCATATTGGACAGGTAAACTCTACCAAACAGAAACCTATGCTGGTTGGCAGACCACAAGGCGAACTGATGGATTTGTCTAGATATGTCAACCTAGGCGGCAGGAACCGCCCACTTGCGTGTGAAGATGCACAACCAGAGGATTTACTTCCTGCAGATGACAAGTCCTGGGATCGTGGTGTATACATCAACCCTTGTACCAAGCGGGCTAAGCATGTTACTAAACAGCACTAGGAAATCACGGTAGTGGAACCGCTCGCAGTCCGCGCCAACACGACAATTGAAGTTTGTCCGTTCACACGAACCTGTCAAGCAGCGCACGTACTCACCCGTGTACTTGGTCATTTGAACGATCGCAACGCCGACGTCGACTTTCGATACAAAGAGGCGATGCAGCTGCATCGCACCGCCCAGGCACTATCGTATACACTCTCAAACGAACTGGAACAATGGATCGAGAAAGTATACGACCCAACCGCGCACCTTCCACTGTTTTCTGCCATTGGAATCTGTTACAGTGCGTCACTCCTCCTATATGACAGATACTGTTGTGGCGGTATTAGTGGGGTAGCAGGGAATGTAGAAGTACAACAAATGGCGCTCTCCAACATCAATGAGGTATCTGGGGCTGTCCTTAATTTCGCAAAAAGCATTCGCTCGGCCATGGATCTTGGTGGGGCTCTCAGAATGAGTCCCTTGGTACTTGACTGTCTGTATCAGGCTGCGGCAAATCTTATGTGGCAGAGTCGCGAGACCGGAAATTCAGACTTCTTAAACATGGCGAATGAGATCCAGAATGTCCTCGAGGTCCTTGGGGCGAGATGGAAGGCCCCCCGTAAGCTATACTACTGGACTACTCGCCTACTGTTTTATGCTGACGAACTGGGCTTAGGCGCGTATCTGTCAATTCTTCAAAATGGTGGTCATTGCTGACTGCCTCCGACAAGAAATCCCTGCGCCGATGTCATTAGCCCGTAACATGATTAGAAGCTTAAGCATGTCATGAATTACTATCTATTGGTCTTAATTTCCCGGCGCTGTATGATTTACAATATCATGGAACCAGGGGAGACATGCGGGGACTTATGACGCGACGCTGAGGTCGGCCTAACGCTATCTTGGCTCAAATCAGCGTTCAATATACTTTTAGGATTGATCGGGTGTTGAAGTAAATGGCAGATACCAGCAAAGAATTAGGCTCGAGCGCCTGGAGCATGACCAGATTTGTAATAATAGAGCAATAATCGCTCTAGGAAACGAGCACGCCACAGGGTGTAAAAGTCAGGATCAGATGATACTCGAAGCTCACATGAAAACATGACACATCCGATGGTCTGATTCATAGTACGATCCCCCGATTTGCTCAGAAGGCTTTTATTCGCCCGGGCCGTTTCGCCTTTTCATATTATCATCGCATGACCCAGAAGTCCAGGCTGTCGCCTGGGTAGGCTTCGGGGGAGAAAGCCACAAAGGATGTTTGTTTCAGGGGTATAGGCTATTGGCAGATGCTGCTTTGTGGCTGAAAATCCCCTTTCATGACCCGTGGTTCTGCTTCTTAGTTCCTATCATTCTATACAAAACATCCATTCTACACCGATCAATTCCCGACGGCGGCCGAGATGCATCGTCGATCATGAAGCAGTAATCTCAGCCCAGTGAATGGCTCACTAGGGCTGTTTAGTAGCTATATTGGGATAGCCCATATCGTCCCCCGTGCTCTGCTAAAATGAAAGCCACTGATGGAGGCAGTTGATGCCAAGACCAAATCACCAAATCGATACCCCAAGCAAAATGTGGCTGCTCTCGTCAAATTGTTCTATGCTATTAGAACCAGAACCTTCCAGCATGTTAGTTAGATGCTGGTAGTACTTCCAGGTAATTTTTTAAAAACAAATACCCTGTTACTCCATGGATGCTTTCGCTGGATTTGCTGTCTTTTACAGTAAACCTTGCCATGTTGGGGCACACACGAAAGAGAGTTAACCAAGTTCAAGATTCTGTTTCCAAATGCTTGAACAACCCTTGAAGTTCAAACGCTGTCAATGCTTACCAGTTTCACCATTGCGTAAAGACCTTCTTCCATGGAAATCAAAATATGATGTTGCAATGAAGGGATAGTAGCAAACACTATTCGAAACTTTCACCTCTAGGCTTGGATCATACTCTGACCGTGTCATTCCCGGTGTCTTACTCCTTCTGTCTTGTCCTTCCTGCTTCAAGTGTGGTCTAACTTCTGCCTCAACCAGGGCTCCATATGAGAGATTAGTTGGACCAATGTGGGGTATCGACATATCTGGTGTTCGTGGATGCGGTCGACCCGTGCTTCGGGGCTCAGGGCACTGGGTGTACAACGGCTGTAAAATGCTGGCAGCCTGACATTCGAGGTGTGTATATTGTTTAATTGAACTTGGCATTTCAAACCTTTTCTGCTAGGAAAGCCAATATTGGTCGCCACACAAGACCAATCAAAGACAGCACCATCTGTAACGGCATACTCAGAAGGTTGCTCACACATTGGAAGAATATCCAATGTAGCAGGAGCTCATACCATTTGAGAACGTTAGTCAACAAGCTAATCGATCTCCTGTAGCTCCAAAATTGGGAGAAGGCACCAACATCGTTATCATTTTACTCAAGCTCTGCAGCATCCTAATTAGTTACTCGGTACCATTTACCGATCAAATACTGCTTTTTGTCTCAGGTCTCTCAGATGAGGCACTCTCTCTGTCTTATTTCATGCTCCATTGTAGCCGCTCTTTGGTCCTTTCCAATTGTTATTTGCAATTCCAGTTGTAGCTTTCGCGTTGGCTTTTCGATGTCTTTTGTTGTCACAGACAATTACCTGAATAGGCATCTCTTATCTTATCTTGATCCGATCCGTTCGGTCGTTCGGACCGATGCCCGATGACGACATGGCATATTAAATCGATTTCCGCATCCAACAAGAATCGTTCGCGTCACTTTTAGTTCAACGCTTATACGATCACTAAAGTTAACACGATATTGACCTGGAAAATGGCCACCGACACTGTCGTATCACTCCTATCATCGCTGATGCAAACCCAGAGTACAAGTGACCACGAACAAGAAATCGCCCACTTCTTAGACGACCACCTCACTAGTCTCGGTTATACCGTCGAGCGCCTTCCAATTGCCGAAGACTCAACCAGAGAAAATGTCTACGCCTATCTAGGCACCCAGCGGAAGACCCGCGTATGTCTCACATCACACTTGGACACCGTTCCGCCCTACATTCCACTACGAATCGAGGGATCTACAATCTATGGGCGGGGCGCATGCGACGATAAAGGTCCCATGGCAGCGCAAATATGCGCTCTAGAAGAGCTGAGGGCAGAAGGCGTTGTCAAAGAAGGCGACGTGGGGCTATTATTTGTCGTCGGGGAAGAGAAAGGTGGACCCGGCATGATAGCGGCGAATAGCCAGGACCTCAGCTTCGAGGGTGTCATATTCGGGGAACCGACCGAGGGGAAATTAGTTGTTGGACATAAGGGTCATTTGGTATTTGAGTTGATCGGGGAGGGCAAGGCTTGGTATATATCTTCCTTTCCTATCACTTCGGCACCTGTTTTGGCTTGCTAAAACTAACGATGACAGCCATTCTGGTTATCCTCAGCATGGGGTGAATGCTAATATCGCACTTATCGAAACGCTGAATGACTTGGTTAAAGCGGAATTTCCAGGCTCCTCGCTGCTTGGGCCATCGACTTTCAATGTTGGGAAGATTGAGGGCGGCGTGACCTATAACATCGTCCCGGAAACAAGTAAAGCGCTTTGTGCTGTGCGCGTTGCGACTGATATGGCTGGGATAAAACAGATTGTCTCGGATATTGTTGCCCGACATGCAAATGTTCGACTGGAGTTCAAATTCGAGTATCCTGAAACCTTACTAGATCATGATGTTGAAGGTACGCTCAACGTTGGGTCTTGCTTGTTACTTGTAGGAGCAATGGGCTGACACTTCTACTTAGGATTCGAGACTGCCCCTGTTTCGTACGGGACTGATGTTCCACGATTTAAGGGAAACCATAAGAAATACCTATATGGGCCAGGATCTATCCTGGTCGCACACGGAGACAATGAACAGATCGAGATTGACGAGCTTGTGGAGAGTGTTCAGGCGTATAAAAAGCTGACGATTCACGCGTTGAATTCTGCTCGGTAGACAGGTCAACTTCGAGGGACATTCCCAACTATTCTGTCTCCTTTCGTCAATCGTTTTGGTATCACTGTCCCTACGTGCTGATTATGACGTCCTAATGTGAATTCCGTGAGGCATATGTAAATTACCAATGCTCTACCCTGGGATGTGATCGAGAAAGGTAGTAGTAGGTTTGAAACAAAATTTATACTATTTTGCATTCGCCTGGAATTACTTCGCGCTTAAAATGGCAGCATTTCAAAATTGCAGACGTTGTATGGGGTTATTGTTGGATTGTTGGTCAAATATGTATTTCTGGCGCCCGCATCAACTGCGAAGTCCCAAAGGGGAACAATCGTAGGAGACTTCTTGATTATTGACTTCAAAATTAAGACAGGCTGATAAGAAGATTAGAGAGCTGAACAATCATCATAAAATCAATGTTGAGATCTGTTTCTCTCGTACTCTGTGCACTCATAATCATTAGAAATCACTCATTTCAAGGGCCGTGCTCAACCGCTTATTCAGCGGGTGTCGGCCATAGTGAAAGGCCGGCATGTCACGTGCAAAGGAGGGACCCTAACATTATTCTCCTTGAACAGTGACAAAGTCTGGCCAGGTACAACTAAGAATAGCATTAATCGGCGTAAAAGGCCCGATAAGATCCAGGGGCAATTATTCAGCGTGAGGGGGGTCAGTTAAGCTCAACAGGGGCAGCCTTGTGGATTGGATCTTTGTCAGACTCAACGTGCGGTTATCCGTAATTCCGCACTTTTTCCATCAGCAGTGGCACTGAAATTCCGCACAACCAATGAGAGGACGGGAGAGATACTCTCGCCGCTTATAAATTTCTCCAGCGGTCTTACAAAGCCACATTTGCCGATAAAAACGGATCTCAACGAGACAACGTGATTGGCGACTGATGGGACCATCTGAGAGAAATAATTAAGAATTTTTATGGAAATGGAACTAAATCGCGGGGTGCCAAACAATCTGCGATGGCGAGATTGCATATATATAAGATCTCAATTCCCTCTTCAATACATCCTCAGATCTCATTAGCTTCCTACCGAACACTCCTCTAACAGTTATCACCTCTTCAATACTCATCAACACCGTCACAATGGGCTCCGCTCAGGTCGAATTCAAGAACCCCTCCACCAACACTCTCCTCGAGTTGGTTAAGGCCCGCCGTACCTACTATGGTCTCAAGGCTGAGAGCCCCATCTCCGACGATGCTATCCAGTCCATTGTTGAGACCTCCGTCCTCCACGTGCCCAGCTCTTTCAACACCCAGACCTCCCGTGTTGTTCTCCTGTTGAAGGAGGAGCACCAGAAGGTTTGGGACATTGCCATCAAGGCCATGGAGGGTCTCGTTGCCGCCGGCACCGTCCCCAAGGAGATGTTCGAGAACCACACCAAGCCTAAGCTTGAGTCTTTCCGCGCTGGCTACGGAACTGTACGTTCGATTTCAATCCTTGTCACTAGAGCGTGAGAAAAGCCAATACTAATGTAATTCTCCAGGTCCTCTTCTTCGTCGACTACGAGTCCCTTGCTCCCATTAAGGAGAAGTTCGCCATCTACGCGGACAAGTTCGACCCCTTCGCTCTCGAGTCCAACGCCATGTCTCAGTACCTTGGTATGTTCCCATCCTTGATAAATTATCCAACCGCATATGTGGTTAAACTCCATACTAACAACTCCCAGTCTGGACCGCTCTCGAGTCCGAAGGTCTCGGCGCCAACCTCCAGCACTACAGCCCCCTCATCGACGCCGACATCCAGAAGACCTGGAACCTCCCCGCCTCCTGGAAGTTGGATGCCCAGCTCGTCTTCGGCACTCCTACCGGCGAGGCTGGCGAGAAGACTTTCGCCCCTCTTGAGGGCCGCTTCAAGGTCTTCGGCAAGTCTGCATGAGTTTCACGATAGAACTACTCTTTATGGTGTAATTTGAGCGTTACAGCCTAGATTTCAATGGCATATTCTTATAGACTTCTTTGGTTCTGTTATTTAAGTAATGTTCTATGTAGGGGGTTATGCTTGGCCTGCTGCTATCATTGGCTGAGATGGTGTTGGTTTGTTAGGGGAGTAGCTCCACTTTTATTAGATGTCCACCTTGGATAACGGCCGCTCAGTGATAAAGACCTTCACCTTAAATCGGGTCCATAGTCTATGGTATGACTTCATGTTTCGGGGTGCACTTTACCCAATGGGGCAGTCGTATCAATAATCGCCAACTCGGGATACCTACCAATGCCTCAAAGGCAATAATAAAAAGCGACATGGATCAACAAAGAACACACAGCCTAACCCAGGCAACAACAAACGATCTAAAGCCAAAAAAAGCATTCAACCAGAATAGTCCACCAGCAAAGCATCAACCGTTTCAAGCCCATAGCCCGCAGCGCAGCGATCGGCATGCAAATTCTCACGCCACAAGTAGGTATATATGAAACCGCAAACAAGATTCGTTCAAAACCCAATAGACCCACAGAGTAACATTGAAAATCATCACCAGGAACCAAACCCAAGCATAGCTAAAATTAGGGTTCTCCACCAGGGGCGTTTGGATCCCTGCATTTAAGCTTTTCCAACAAGCTCCACTCGTATTCGGGAGCAGAATTCCCTAATCCGGTAATATTGTCGTTTTTCGATACGGACGGCAAGATCAGATATAAATTCGGGATGGGGATTCAGGTTCTCATGAAATGGACATATCTTCCTCCCAAGTCTTTTGATTGACACCCAGTATCTTTGCACATTGACCAAACATCTCAACGAAAATGGACTTCACATTCCACGAAGGCGTAAACGGCTCCGCGCCCTGGGTCGAGTTCTACCCCTACAACCCATCTCAAACCGCTGGCTATGCCTTCATGGCCATATTCGGCATAACGACAGTCGCCCACATCATTCTGATGTTTCCATACAAAGCGGCCTATTTCATTCCGCTAATATTAGGCGGAGTATGTACGTACACCATATACTACCCTTCCCCCCTACAAGTTATACACGACGAACACCACTAACAAATATAATCAGGCGAAACATTTGGCTACTACGGCCGCGCCTGGTCCCACAATAACAGAACCCTGATCAAATCCTGGGCCCTCCAACAAATGCTCATTCTCTGCGCGCCGCCCTTCGTCGCCGCAACAATTTACATGGTACTCGGTCGCATCATCCGCGCCTTCGATGCCGAGCACCTCTCCCCCATGCGAACTAAACGAATAACCGTGCTCTTCGTGCTAAACGACGTTATCTGTTTCCTGACCCAGCTCGGCGGCGCAGGCGTCCAGATCACAGGCGATGTCAAGGTCATGGATATCGGACGGAAAGTCGTCCTCGTCGGACTTGTGTTTGCGCTTGTGGTGTTCCTGGTGTTTGTTTGGATTGCGTGGGTGTTTCATCGGAGACTAGCTGCTGAGCCGACGAGGGTGACGGCTGAGAACCCGGATTTGGGCTGGAAGAGGTATATGTGGGCGATGTATGTGAGCTGTTTCTTTTTGATGGTGAGAAATTTGGTTAGGTTGGTGGAGTTCGGGGCGGTTAAGTCGGCTTTGAATCAGCAGGAGGCATATATTTATGTCTTTGATGCCGCTACGATGTTTCTTTCTATGGCGGTTTTGGTGTTTTGGCATCCGGGATTGTTGATTAAGAAGGCGAGACGCGCTGGGGAGGCTGGGAGGTTGTGTGCTGGTATGGAGGAGGGGGAGAGCGGTGATGGGGTGCCTTTGGCTGGGTATAAGGGGTATCAGAGGTGTTGATTGTTGGGATGTTTTTATAGGGTTTGGGCGTTTCTGGTGTTTAATTTGTTTCGTTTTGCTTGATAGTGGTCTGGAGATTCTAGTGGATAGACTATGTGTTCCTTTGAAATGTAAAGACTCTTCATGAATGCTGGTGTCAATCTTTTTTATAAGGATGAGTTCCACCATAATTTAATTGGAGGCTATGCAATGTACATCTACGGTAACCCTGTCGTGCAGATTTTGGGTCCTCTGCCTTGTCTATCTTCTTGCACAAGGCCTGCAGCAGCTTGTGTATGCACAACTATCTCAGTCCTCCCTTCACTCATCCAGGTCACCGCGTCGATATCGTCCCGGAAATATTTAACCATACCACTGAGTCGATGAGCGACAATAATCACCGTGTATCCTTTCTGAGTAAATTCATCCTCTATAATATCTTGCATAACCGCTTCGGTGCCGGGGTCGAGCGCGGACGTAGCTTCATCCAGAAGAAGGATAGGTCTGCGTTCTGCTACAGCAACCTGTGTCTGAAGGTCAGAGTATCTAGAATCTGTGGAAGCCCTTCTGTGAGCAAGTGCGCGTGACAGTGAAAGCAGTTGCTGTTGTCCTGCCGAAAGTGGTGGGAGTGAGGACATCGGAAGGTCTAGCAGAGGTTCGGCTGCAGAAGGTCTTTGGTGGTTAAATTTCGAGAAATGACAGAAATGCTCCCAAAGTCTTGTCTTCTTTAGTACTTCTATCAGCGTCGCATCTGGGAGACATTCGTCTGGGTCAAGGTTGAAACGAAGAGTAGCTGCTGCCAGGATGAAAGGGTCTTGTGGCACGGTGATGAAGCAGTGACGGCGGAGATATGTCTTGGAGATTTTGGAAGTGGTGATGTTGTCAATCGTCACCGATCCGTGCGGGAGGTCCAGCAGACGAAGGAAGGCAAGTAACAATGTACTCTTTCCGCTATATTCGAGTGATGATTCGGTCAGCCTGGCTCATGTAAAAAGGACATGGTGGTCATACCTCCCAGTTCTACCGCATATGAAAAGCTTCTGTCCGGCATTAACCTTAAGGGAGATGTTCTCGAGCGCAAGTTTTGGCGGACTGGAATTTCATTAACTTTCAAAGCGAAGGACCACATCCGACCTGAACTTGCCTGTACGAAGCCTCCAGATCACGTACAACAATACCCCCAGAGACCGGCCAATTAACTGGTGGAGACAAATTCTGTTCACCAGTATTTTCTTCCTGAGGTGTCTCCGTCACAACGGAACGCAACCGCGCAATTGCTCCAAGAGAGACCTCTAATGAAGTCCATGCCTCGACAAGCCGGAGCAGGGTTGAATTGGCAAGGATGATCATATTAAGAGATAGACCCACGGCCGTTGCTCTCTCTGTCCCCTGGGATGTCACGGCTAGAGCTACGAGACCCAGCGCGACCACGGCGATTAAGAGGTCAAGAACAAGGTTCAACCATCGTTGAAGGCAAAAGAGTAAATATGTCGGTTTTTGTGAAGAATCGATCATACCAACTATGTCGCTAGTATACTTCTGCTGCCATCGCAGAGCACGTATTGTGCCAAGGCCATCGACCTGTTGCTCCTAATTAGTGTGATAGGACTTGCCGATCGCAAGGGGAGCCCATACCATTTCGACAAAGTTCGAATAGAGAGCCGACTTTGACTCGATCTCGAGAAAACGGAGCTGCCTCGATGTCCGCAAGTAGACTCTCTGCACAAAGTAAACAACAGCCAAGCAAATGGGTAGTGTGACAGCCATCGTCGGATTAACGACAAAGAGTATTGCTGCCTGCACCAAGAGCTTGAAAACCTCTATAGTCTGATTAGAAACAACATCAACTCCGGAACGGGCTACTTACGAGTGCCCAGAACCTGAAACGCATTTGGTAATTGACGGTCTACGAGCTGGATATCCTCTGCAAACCTTCGATGTGTCAGCTCTCGCATACAGATGACAGGGGCGTATCCTCACCGAGTTAGAATGACTCCGATATTATTGTCTGAGAAGTACGATAGTGGAGCCCTATGTGCATCTCACGTCAGGATACGACTAAAATCCACAGGTTTCTGATAACAAACCCGACTATAGAGTCTAACAGCCGGCTATGTAAAGCAGCGCCTGACTTTGGAGAGATCCTCATACTCGTGGACCTTGTATTATCAGCAATCGTGTGTTGAATGACTAGAAGGTATTGTCATCAATTTTAATGATTGCTTACCACATAGTACCGTTAGTAGAAATCCAGGCTACCAAAGCTAATATCAGATAGCCCCCCATGTAATATGCTGCCTTCTCCTCACCGGCTTCGGCCCACCACTTTAGCCAGTACTGAGAAAAGGTTATAAAGAAGGAATATGATGCAGTGCAAATCAACATGAAAAGACCATTCCAAACGCCCATTGCATTGAGGTAGTACGCTGGAGGACAGTTAGCCAGCATCAAATTAGATGGGTCTATCCTTACCATAGAGCTGTAAGTCCCCACTCTGTCGTATTAAATCTTGGGCTGCATCAACCCTGGAGCATTCCTGTGTGTTACCGCCAACTCGGCCTTCGGCCTCCTGTAAGATATCTCTATATTCTGGCTCATCGGGCATGAATTTGGATATTTGTTGGGTATCGTGCTGTAGCTCATCCCAGGAGCCTTGTAGCTGAACTTTAGCGTCCGATAGTACTAGAATATGATCTACTAGCGGGAAGTATTGGGCTTCGCTTGGTGAGTTTCAAGGCCAATATAATGTAGAGGGATCATTGCCCTACCAGAGTTAGTTATAACTATTGCTGTTGTACCATGTTTTCGAAAGATGCCGTCGGGACCTAACAGGTTATGAACGATAGCCTCCTCTGTTTTGCCGTCCAGAGCTCGGAAGATGTCGTCAAGAATTACGATCTCACATCTAGCGTACAAAACACGGGCAAGAGCCTTGCGAGGGTTAGTATGTCAGGTGGAGGTCAGACAGAAAGATACTAAACCAACAGACGTACCACACGTTGTCGCTGGCCACCAGACAGATTGAGACCCGGGTACTTGATCTCGGTACCATCGCCATCTGGTAGGGCACCTAGATCTTTTACCAGGTCAGAAGCAAGCAAAACCTGCTCGTACCAAGTTTTGTCAATCCGAAGGCCACCACATATAACCTCCTTGATACTGCCACTTGGTAGCCATGGCTCCTGGGCACATACGCCGATGCGCTTAGAGGACGTGTAAATCGCACCACTGGAGGGAGACATTTCCCCGAGTAGCGCCCGAGCTAAAGTTGTTTTGCCTGACCCAACGGGGCCTGCGCACATAATAATTGAACCGCTGGTGATTTTAAAGTTAAGCTGCTTCAATGTTGGCTTAGATGTCTGCGGATATTGAATGGTCACATCGGCTAGAAAGATGGCTACCCGCTCTTCAGTTTCCGTAATGTCCGAGCCGACCTGAGCCTCCCGTATGTCTAATCGGCGGTCTTCGTTTGTACCGCGTATCAAGTAATTTGTAATTCTTTCAGAGTTTGCCAGCGATGCAATGATGCGAGGAACAATAGTCATCACCATATTTGCAGGGTGGGTAACCATAGCGAGCAGAGCTATAGATGTGAAAGCTGTTTCCGCGGGGAGGACTCCATCAGATTTGGATCTTGTGAAAAGTACATAAAATACCAATGTTATCACTGGTGTAAACATGCCTAGGGCGTTGGCTGTGACCGTCAGGTGAATAGTGAGTATTGATCCCATTCAGACCTCTAGTCATATTGTTCGCGACTTACCACTAGCATTGTATGCAAACATCACCCATCGCAATCGTATCGAAGCTTGTATTTCCTTGGCTCGGAGACCAAACAGTAGCGTCTTAACAGACTCAGAGATACCAAGCATCTTCATACTTTTGACAGATTGAAGCAGGCTTGTCGTGACTGCCATCCGTTTCTGCGTGGCGGCGTTCCAATTTCGCTGCCGCGGTTGCAAATGGCATGCTACGTACGCGCTCATCCCGGATGAGCCTTTCTTAATATTAGTGCTAGAAGGCACGAGGATAAAGTAACATGACAGCACTTACAGCATACTCCGACTAGTGGAACCAAGCACAACCAGCCGGTTAGACCGGCTAACAGGGTTGTACCGATGATTACCTCCAAACAGTAGGCCCATGTTTCGTGTAGCATATCCCCAAGTGTGCTTAGAGCCTCTACGTCAACACTCATGAGAGTTATCGGTCCGCCGTTGTCATGGTGTCTGCTTCCAACATGAAGCGCTCTATGGTGAAGGAGTGCAATTAGAGTGCCGCGAAACATGATTTGTAGCCGGTTTAGCTGATGGTGGTACACCGCGGTACTGATCTATGATTCAGTTAGCTACGAGTAACGGACATCTAGGATGTCAATACTTCCCGCCAGTCCAAAATAAATCGTACCAGCCATAACAATCAGCCAATAGCCATAGTTGGGATCATTTTGGTTTTCGCTCTGATTCTTAACAAACCGAACGGTGGCATTGATTAAAACCGGCTGGCAATATCGGAAGAGGATCAGGAATAGCCGAGGAATAATCGCTAATATAAATGGCCCTCTCGTAAATCGTAGCAATGTTACCGGTAATGTGAATGTGGTTTCTGGCTTCCCTGAGTAGGGATCAGCATTCGTGACTACCATGTTCGGATGGAGCAGGGACTCACTCCTTTGGTCCCAGGCTCGAAGAATACCCGTCCGTAGGTGTTCCAAGCTCAATCTTCTCTCTAGGTCAGGAATATCTAGCGGCTTTAAAATACGTGTATAGCCTTTTCTAAGGATAGGGTAGATCCAGGTAAAGCATATCTTTCCAAAAGGTCCAGCTAGTTCCTCAGGCGATAGCTCCCTTGAATGGGGCATTAGGAATGGTTCCTTATTCCAAGATCCAAGGGAAATAAGGGCTGTCTTTAGTAACGCTAGCCAGGCAACTAGGCTAATCGGAAGCTGATATTGGAAACTCATTTTGGGCGCAGTCAGAAACAGAACATCCCCGATCAGGCTTCCCACAAGGTATAGTAAAGTGACGCACGAAGTGCGAGTTGCTCGACGGTGCTCCAAGAATGACAGCATGCCTAACAATAAGAAGGAAACCAAGGAAAGCGCAGCAGATAGAAAGTTGTTTTGCAACGTTCCTGCAATCTCAGTTGGAAGCGGAAAGAGGCAGAATACTTGGGAACCAAATGCCGCCATGTATAAAACCTGCAGCGCCGGTCAATTGATAATCGAGTGATGCTTCATTGAATCTTAAGAATATTGATACTGACCATCTCCATGTATGTTCGACAGCTCGGAAATACCTTTACTTTCTTGTGTCGTAGTAACCATAATTGAGTTACAGCACTCAGGATAAAGAATAGCGATATTGATATTGTGTAAGAGCGTAGGAATTGAGACATCCATGGCAGTCTATGCAGCGAGACGTAGTCCTTCTCATTTTGGGCTGTATCCAGGAGTGCGCTCTGCTGAGATCCCCGACGTAGGCTCCCCCAGGGATGAGGGGCACTCAATCGGCCGTTAGACAATAATTCGAGGTTCATGTAAGCGTATAGTGCCTAGCTTCGATATTGTATTATGCTGAAGGGGCTATCATGACACTGCCGCGTGCACTGCAAGCAGTAGTCTAGAGAAGGACGGTAAAGACTTCTCCGAGAGAAGAGTCGTCACATGCTAAGCCATACCGCACCGGGATTAGGGCTAACAATAGTACTTCATTATTGTATTGCCTCATACCTGCATGTATGACGCCGTCAGGGCCCAGATGTGGTGGATACTCACTAGTTTGCTACTAAAAATAGACTCATCCTCAGATATGACGTGATAACATTCCCTGCCATGGGATGTGAGCTTGGGTTCCTTCTATGAAACCTTTTTATACTGACTGACATTTGCTTCCTCAACCACAGCAGATTTGTATAGTGTCAAAGGAATCCATGATACAGTTACTGTCGGGCCCTTGACCCAAGAGGGTCTACAGATGAATTATATACTAGGCCCGTACGTTAAGGACAGTCTCAGGCCATCTAATCCAGTCGTGGAACTCCTCCTTTAGAGTAGCCCGAATGCCTTTGATAACATGTTTATCCCAACCAACAAAGAGCCAGGACGAAGTCATATAGGTTAGAAGAATGCTCCAATGGCCCAGAATCACGAGCGCGAAAGGGTCCTTCTTCTCCAAAAGGATGACGAATGGTTCTGGGAGTCGATATATCCAGCCTATGACCATAGGCAATAAACATACACCGTCTTTCCCCGCACTTCGCATCTTATATGTCTCCTCGAAAGTGTCTGGTAAGCCGCCCACAGCACCAAGGTACAGCTCCTTTTCGGGGCTAGCCGTCTGCATCTCGATCAAAGTTTTTATCTCAGCAATGCGATCGCGATGTTGACGTAATTCCTCCTGTAAGTCGGGACTGACGTTTTGAATGCCATCATCCGTCTGAGGTGTCAGAATACCTGAGAAAATCTTGTCATGATTTGTTGCCAGAATGGAGCGAACTCCCCTCATGAGAGCTAGCCACTCAGCCTGCCCCTGGCTACTGAAAACAAGATATTCACCAGGTCGGGGGCCATGTCCGAAATAAACGAGACAGATCATGACCGCTGAGATATAAATCATCTGACAATTCTCAGAGTTTAATTGAGAGAGAACCGTAGTAACAGATCGGATTCCGAATGTAAAATGGTCATTGGCCTGCATCACATACTGGTGTCGAAGATCTGGCTTTTGATGACCAAGATGGAGGGCGGACAATGCCAGCATTAGGTGGAGGATTGAGGGAAATGAAATTGCCCACTGTGGGATGTGAATCGACCAAACACCATATCGATCCGAGGCCTCATCTGTGAGGGTGCGATATGTTGATATAAGATAGTGGTGAAACAGTTGAAGATCCACAAACGAGATTCCGCCCGTGGCACTGTTCATGGCGGACAGATCGCACTGAACGGCGACAGAATTGCCGCCAGGGCGCTGATCCCCTTCATTAGGCGCCGAGGAAGCTAAAGTCTGGTACTTGGATTGCTTGAATCGGTACCGTTGACGAGCTGAAGATGTAGCAGGTGGTGATGGTGATGGCGAGGTCGCAGTAGATATGGAGAAGTCACAATCGATCGAATGGTTTACGCAATTCGTACACGAGGGTCTCTTCTCGTCACACTGCCGCGTGTCAGTCGCATGCTGGGGCAAGTTTTGATACAACAAGTCATATCCTCTTGGCCGAAAGCATATAAGAGAACGTAGATAAGTCCACATGCTGGAATGCATTTTGTGCCTCCCACGGTTAGGAACAATGGTATCATGCCAAAGATGACGAGCACTTCAGGTTTTACAAGAAAGGGGGAGATAATAAATAGTAGGAATACTCACTTTTACCCGCCGCCTTTTGCAATTTTTACAACCTAGCCGGGACTTGTGATGTGATCTCCGAGAGCGAATCTTGTTCAGTGTGGCGCTGTCCATATCGGTCGTATTCGTGTCCATTTTATCCGTGTTGGGCTGTGGATGGAGCGGAAGAACAGAAACTCAGATACCAGACGGGAGATGAAATCTACACAATCACGTGGACGGCCCAACCATGGAACATCCCCCGTTTCGAAATCACTCACAAATCAGGTAACCCTGAAAAGGGCTCCGCCAGATGCCTCATTCCGAGACTGATAAACAGAGAAAGGAGAGGGGGAAGAAGGGGCCCTTGAATCTACTTGAATATATATCCGCCGCCCAGGGGCAATACTAGTACCCCCGTTCTAGTTATCATGTATCATCCTCGTAACGCACTGACCACTCAACGATGATTTTTGAGGAGAAGTTTTCGTAGTTTCAATAATAGGAATCAGGCTACTACGTTTGGGACAGACATGGCTAGTACTGCAATCAGATAATAAGTTCGCCGTGTGGATGCTAACGAGTTGCAATGAGATTCCTCTGTCGACGGACGACGAGCTGATGTTCATTGCCGCAGCTCCCTGTGGGCGAGGCTTTTGATGACGTTGGGGTTTTAGAAAGATTCCTATCATCCGAGTATAACGGCAGCCGCCCAAGCTAGGAGCGCTTTCTATACCGGTTCCTCTCTTGTTTTTATCCTCTAGCTTCTGCTTGGCACAGTACTCTGATCTTCTAAGTTGTTTAATCACTGAGATAGCAATAGTTGTGGACAGTGGAAATGGCACAACACGCGATATATTGAAGAAAAGCCATATCTAGATAAGGTTCTGAGAGAAGGTGAGTATATCTCAGTATAATGAATTCATACTTATTGTTGCCCTATGGTAGTACTGCGACTCTATCCATCCGTTCCAGTATACACTAGGACCGCCCATAAAAGGACTATACTTCCCACTGGTGGCGGGAAAACGCAATTCCTGCTCACACCAGCGTTGCCGAGCTATCCCTCACCCGGAACATCTTCTGTACCTTCAATATTCGCTGACTACACTGGTATCGCAAGTAGGGTAGATTCGCGACTAGAGTTGATCGGGTCCCCCGCTAAACCCGTGTAGGGCGCCTTCGGCGTACGTAATCAGGCTCGCGCTATGCCGTTGGTGCCTTGTAGGCCAAAGGGCTTCAGGGTGAATAGTATAGGAGGACATATCACGTTCGGACAGCTAGGGAATCTGTACGTCTATTCAAACAGAACCAATTGCTTGAAGATCAGAATCCTCTGCACGATCCGAATCTATATAGTGCGATTTAGGGCACCCGGTGGGCACCCAACACCTCGCGTATGGTGGGTCTGTTGTTGCATGAGGCAACTGTTGTTACAATTCTATATATATAGAATTAATAGCAATATTAGTAGGGGCGTATGCGATGAATACGTTGATGTATTAGTGTTGGTGTTCAACTGACGTAGTATAAACTAGTACGGTGGGCGGAACCTACCAACAACGTAGAAAGCGGTAATGCTATAGAAGATCTTAGTGTGTGTGGAAGGAGAGCTTTTCTCATCTGCTTGATTTCATTCTTCGCTATCTCAGCTCGCTGCTACCAATTCCTCGGCGTTGTGGGCCCCCGCTTACCGGCCCCGGGAGATCCCATATTCCGGGGCCCTAAGGCCAGACGGAAGCCCTCACCAACAGAAGATATAGGGCTTTAAATATTTCTATAGTCGATCTAAATAGATAAAGTATCTAATTCATAAGTAGTATGTTACCTATTTAGACCTAGTAGCAGATTTTCGGGATTTTTTTCGGGTTTTATATCGGGTCGGGTTTACCTAAATTGGTACAGGTTTGGGGCGGCGAGCGAGCAAAAACCAGCCCCGGAGCCGGGTTATAGGATATAATTCTGGATCAACGATCCAGAATGCCCTGAAGTCACCTACATAGTATACCCCCGTTACAGCGGGTCCTAAATTTTGGACCCGAACCCGACCCGATATCAACTCTAAATACTATGTAGGAACTAAACTGATAATAAGTCTAATCGGAGGGCCGAATGGCCTTTGGCTGATCAACCCAATCAAATGTGCCGAGTCCCTTCGTCAACCACACATCACCCGCCTTGTCGGCCATCCTCGGAGTAGATTGGTCAAACAGAGATCCACTCAAGAAAGTGTGAGGGAATCCGTGATCAAAGGGATATGCTTTCTCAATTTGTTCAACTTCTTCTTCGGTGAGTGTGACTGACAAGCCGGCGATACTCCCGTCAATGTGCGCAACCTTCCGTGCTCCCACTATAGGGAATACGTAAGGAGATTTTTGCATCACATAAGCTAACGCAACGTTGAGTATCTCCACTCCCTTGGCATTCGCGATATCTTCGAGAACCGCAGAAACGTTCTTGTCATGCTCTGATGTTGGTATGAAATTGCGGCCAGGGTTATGCGCCTGTCGTTCCTCGAATCCTTTTTTGGTCTGGAAGCGGCCCTGGTTGAAAACCCCATAAGGACACAAAGCCATTCCTTCATCACGGCACATTGGGATAATGTCTCTCTCAAAGTCTCGCATTGCTGCGTTCCACATCCCTTGGTACACAGAGAATTGACGAAGACCCTGGCACCGTGCGTATTGATTTGCTTTCGCGACCACCCAGCTTGGTGTGTCGGAGATGCCGAGATAGATCACCTTTCCAGAAATGACCAGATCGTTGAGAGCATGCATCAGCTCTGGAATTGACGTTGTATAATCCCACCAGTGAACATAAAGCAGATCGATATAGGACGTCTGTAGTTTGCGTAATGATTGTTCCACGCTAACTTTCATGGACTTGGCGTTGTTTCCGCCATAGTTGGATTGGATACAATCTTGGTGTGTCATATAGGCCGTAGTGTATTTGGTGGCCAGCACAATCTCATCGCGGTTTTGACGCACGGCCATCCACTCGCCGACCAACATCTCAGAGTGGCCTGCCTGGTACCCACTAGCCGTGTCGATGAAGTTGCCTCCTTGACTGTAAAATTGATCGAGCACAGCAAAGGCATCTTCACGTGAACATTCTCCATAAACCTCTTGCTTTTGGCCACCGAAAGTCATGGTTCCCAAGCACAGTGGAGACACTCGGACAGCAGCTGATGGGGCTAGCTGCCGATGGCGACGAAGATAGCCATCTTTGGTAGCTTTGGTCGAGAGATTAGCCATATTTCTGAGATTGCGTGGTCGAGGAACAACCAGATGGATTCCTATAACCAGATTTATAGCCACCTTCTGTTTGTCCCTTTAAATACTGACATCATCCATGTCATTTGCGCCATTCACAGGAAATGGATTTAGCTACCCTCTAAACTCCGACTAAGTCCGAGATTTGGGCTGAGACGACACCCCGGGTGTCAGCCACCGGAAAGAACTTGCTCCTTTTCCATGCTCGCGAGCCACAGTACATTGACACCTCATGCGTGACCTTGTAACCTAACTGGCACAGACCTCCTTGCAATAACAGTACCACCACCCTTCCAGTGGTTTGCCATTGCTCGGAAGGCGGTGGTGGTTGGCAACATTTGTCCAACTTTGCTCTCACTTCCACTGCTCACTCGCTCCTTACTTCCTTTATACCTGCGTGAAGTTTCTTTGGTAATCCCAACGGAAACCTACAGAGTTATCTAGTAGATCTCCGCATACAGGGGCTAGAGGCTATTTAACGGTGGAGCATTCAGATGTGTCGCAGTACTATAGTGGGCAGCGCTTCTCGATTTTTTTGGAGATTAAATCACATACTTCACAGCAACCACTTTGACGCTCTGCTTGGCATCTAGGGATATACTATTTTCATTACTTAAACTTTTCCGATATCTTTGTTCCATTTCCTTCCTCAGCAAGTAGTCAATCCACCGTCGATCATATGGACAGATCCACTACAAAAGGCGGATTCTTCACTTAATAAATAGGCAACAAATCCTGCTACTTCGTCCGCTTTACCCAGTCTCTTAAGTGGTATAGACGATGCCATTGCATCAAGTTGAGGGCCTGGAACGGCGTTGCGCAGCATTGGAGTATCGATCGGGCCACTTCATCATAGTCTGATTAGGTTATGGTGACAACCAATGAGCACAAGCGTAACTTACGGACAGATTGCGTTGACGCGTATATTATACGGCGCCGCATCCATTGCAGCAGACCGCATAAGACCGAGCACAGCATGCTTGCTGGTTGTGTAGGCAGATAGATTTGCTGCCCCAGTTACTGAAGAGTTGCTCCCAAAAATAATGATCGAGCCAGTCTTGATCTTTTGGTCAGACACTGCATCGACCATGTAACCAAGCTGAGCCCGAACGAGATTGAGTGTCCCACGGACATTTATGCGCTGAGCAAATTCCCAGTCATCGTCGGTCACCTTCCAAATCGGCTCCTTGCCAGATTCCTTAGGGTGTGCGCCGGCCGCATTGACCGCGCCGTCCAAGTGACCGAAATGCTTGACAGTGTTTGAGATCCATCTCTCAACGGCCACCCGATCACAAATATCTGCCACATAACTGAGAACATTCTCCTCGCCAACGCATCCTTTGAGCTCGGCTGTGCACTTTTCCAAACCCTCGGCAGATAGGTCCGTAACAGATAACCGTGCTCCCAAATTTGCGAGGCGTTGAGCAACCGCGTAACCAATCCCTGACCCTGCACCTGTGACCGCAAAAACTTTACCCTGAAAGGAAGACATCCTCGAGAGAAACTGGAAGAAAATTCGCCCCTGATTGTACAAGAGTCTGAGTCAAATGGTTATATGTTGCAGAGTCATTTACATTTTTCTGAGCTCCACTGGAACCCGAAGAGCTGGTTGGGAGATCTAGCGGTCATCAACCGTGGGACAGCTCCGGTATCCCCGTTATCACCGAGAGTGATCCACTTAGTACTAGGTAATGTAGTAGTAATCGAGATGGAAAAATGAGAACAAGAGGATCAATTTAGACTAACGCATACGTCCGGGTCCGTGAACTAAGATAGTTGATGACGGGTTCTAAAACTGGGTCATCTTGACACACCACCAAACCAACAAAGAGAACGTCCACCTGTCAGATATATAGTGACGACGTTGGAGCCTCTGAGTGTTTGCTTTTTACTCGTTAAAGTTGCACACATTTTTAGCTGAGCTCCGTTAACGTGAACAAAAAAAAAAGGAAAGAAATTGTCGGCTAATATGTAACATTGATCTGACATTGTCCCTGAAAAGGGCGAATATCCGCAACTCGTGACTAAAGCTATTGGTCGTCTTCAGATGATCGAATCATTAGTATGCTGTCGTATTTCATGTACATATTCTGGTGTGCCGCATCAGTATGGCTCATCTACTACATATTGCGGACATACTTGGTTTTTCAGGTATGTTGTTCATCTGGTCAGAATTGCTGATCATTAATAAATTATCACCACTAGCCCGGTCGGAAATTCGGTATATTGCACGGCTGCGAGCAGCCTCCCAGGAGACGCAACTGGTGGCCATGGGGCATTGATCGCGGGATCCAAACATGGACTGCCGACTCAGAACAGCGTTTATTCGATCTCTTTACCTTTCATTTCCAAGATTGCGGCACTACAGTGGCGCAGAAGTTCCTCAGAAAAATAGCATATTGGCACGACGGGCCCTGAAAATCTAGAGGCGATGATGACAAACACTAATGGTATTTTCTACGTCTCTCCAGTCAAGCCATGGAGTCACAAGCTGACTGTATCAAACAGAATTTGACTTCGGCTCCGGACCATGATTCTCTTTCCCTTTTGTAGGGGACGGTATCTTTACGCAAAATGGGGATGCGTGGAAACATTCTAAAGAGCTACTTCACCCACAACGGTCGCGACAGAAGTACCGAACCCTCGGCGTATTCAAGTCTCATGTCGACAATCTTCTCCGTTAAATACCCGCCGATGGAATAGAAGTGGATCTACAGCCGTTATTCTTCCGCTTGACATCTTGGAAATTACGACGGAATCCCTGTTTGGAAAATCTACCAATAGCGTCGAATCTAGTGTATTGAATAAGGGCGAGAAGTTTGCGGAGGACTTCGATACGGCTCAGAGCTATGTTATTCAACGCTTCCGGCTGCTAGACTTCTACTGGTTGATCAGTGGCCCTGACTTTTGGCGTGCTTGTGCCTCTGTCCATCAGTTGATTGAGGAGATGATCGACGCTGGCGTTGGAGATATTCTGGCGACCTCCGAACCGAACAAGTAATATATTTTTAATTCTGTGGCACAAGAGGTGAGCAGTAGAGAATGCCTTAGGGGCCAATTACTTAATGTGCTCCTGGCTAGTCGAGACACAACAGCATGCCGGTTAAGTTGGACATTGTAAGTAACGACCATGACGGCAGCCACCCAACCTAGGAGCCCTCTCTATACCGGTTCCTCTACTACTTTTATTCTCTAGCTCCTGTTTGGCACAGCAACCCAATGTTCTCAGATGTCTAAATGTCGAGATACCAACAGTTGTGGGTAGTGGAGATGGCATGACGTGCGATACCTTGAAAAAGATGCCATGTCTAGATAAAGTCCTGAGAGAAGTGAGTACATCGCAGCATCGTGAAGAACAGGCATGCTGATTTGTTCCCCCATGCCAGTACTGCGGCTGTATCCGTCCGTTCCAGTAAACACTAGGACCGCCCATAAAACGATTTCGCTTCCCACTGGTGGCGGGAAAGACCGAAACAGACCAGTTTTGGTTCGCAAGGGTCAAAATGTTGCCTTCTGTGTCTACGCAATGCATCGGCGTCAGGGTCTGTATAGACCGACGCTCATATCTTTCGTCCTGAGGGGTGGGTTGACAACTTACCCTTTTATCGAGACGAGAAATCAGCGACGTGGGACTACTTACCCTTCAACGGCGGCCCTCGTGTCTGCCTCAGCAATGGGAAAAGTCCTCCTTTATTTTTTTTCTTTTGGTGGATGGTGCTTTGAACATGGTAATTTATGCTAATTTGATAGATACGTAGAGGACCTCGGACTTGTTGAAGCTACATACACAGTGGTACAAATGCTTCAAAGGTTTCCGCGCGGCAGATTAAGGGATTACCCGCGTCGTCAAAGGCGACCGTGGTTAGCATGGTCTTCTCATCACGCAAAAGGGATTGAAATGGTTGCTGAAGAGAGACAGAAGGTGACTTTGGTCCTCTCCTTAAGCGACGGCTGCAGAGTGGTATTTGGTCGGTAGTTAGTCGTTATGTTTTACGTACAGTTACTTCTAACCTATACTTGGTTCTCAATATGATTGGACAAAATATTATTGCCTATCTCATAGGTGAGCTATACTTCGAACTGTTTAATAGAGTGATATTTCCTTCCGACAAGAAAAGCCCCCTGATAACCCCATCGGTGAATTTATTGTGTATTTCCTAGTCCCTTGTCGCCCCCGTTGCTACCCTCCTTCGTTATGTATACTCACTGACCAACAAGCTTTCACTGACTCCAGATAAGTGGGGACGGAATGAAGCCCGATCCCCACCAGATCATAGGGATTTCCTATTTAGGGTTCTTCGGAGTCATGCCTCAACTCCGGGCGTAAGCAACGACAATATCCCTGAAATCCATGCGCGACTTCCAATAAAAAATTTGCTAAATACAATTAGAATAGCTAGGACTACGTTGCTGTGACATTAATTCAGTTAGATCCTTGTTCGGAGTTCGCGGCGATACCCAACAATGACAAGCATACCAAGAAAGAGGGCCGAGCGAGGTGTGATTGAGTCAATTGTGACCATATACTCGGGATATTGGCCGGAGAGTCAGCATATATAGGGTGTTGGTAGTCCGCTGAAGATTGTTGCCAGTTGCAGCTCAATTGAACAACAGGGACATTAGTATCCAACATGAGTACGCAGGTTCTTCGGGCTAAGGGTGCGGCCTTGATGGCACGCCATTCATTCCATAACCAAGCAAATTTGTGAGTGTTAAGTTTATCGTTCTGGCCCTAGAGATATTGTGACGCTGACTATTCTTCCATTTCGCAGTCGTCTCTTCTCCTCCTGCACCCGCCGCTATGCCGATGATAAACTAAACAAGGTCTCCTCTCATATCACCCAACCAAAATCACAAGGCGCCTCCCAGGCAATGTTATACGCGACCGGCCTGAACGAGCAGGACATGTCCAAAGCCCAAGTCGGAATCTCATCAGTATGGTTTGAAGGTAACCCTTGCAACAAACACCTACTGGACTTGTCGTCTTTGGTACGCGACTCGGTCGCAAAGGCCGGTCTCGTACCGATGCGCTTTAACTCCATCGGAGTATCAGATGGGATCAGCATGGGGACAACAGGTATGCGGTACAGTTTACAAAGCCGGGAGATCATCGCAGATGGTATCGAGACGGTGATGAATGGGCAATGGTACGATGCCAACATCTCACTACCTGGCTGCGACAAGAATATGCCCGGTGTCCTGATGGCCATGGGTCGTGTCAATCGTCCTAGTATCATGATATATGGTGGAAGTATTAAGCCCGGATGTTCTGCGACCGGGCAACCGCTTGATTTGGTCAGTGCTTTCCAGTCGTATGGTCAGTATATTACGGGACAGATCGATGAGAAGCAACGGTTCGATATTATCCGCAATGCGTGTCCTGGGAGCGGTGCTTGTGGTGGTATGTATACTGCGAACACGATGGCCACTGCGATTGAAACCCTGGGGATGACCATGACGGGGAGTAGTAGTACTCCCGCTGAGGATCCGGCTAAAAGGGCTGAATGTGAGCAGATTGGCGAGGCGGTCAGGAACCTCCTCAAAGAGGATATTCGTCCGAAGGATATACTTACGCGACAAGCGTTTGAGAATGCAATGATCGTGGTCAATATCCTTGGCGGCAGTACGAACGCTGTTCTGCATCTGATCGCCGTCGCCGACGCGGTTGGGATCAAGTTAACAATCGATGACTTCCAAGCCGTGTCGGACAAGACGCCCTTCCTCGCTGATCTCAAACCCTCTGGCAAGTACGTTATGCACGATTTGTATAAAATCGGCGGCACGCCGGCACTTCTGAAGTTCCTCCTCAAGGAGGGTCTGATCGATGGCTCGGGAGTCACAGTCACAGGCAAAACAATGAAAGACAATGTAGCCTCGTGGCCGGACTTTCCAGCTGATCAGCCAATTATACGTCCGCTAAGCAACCCTATCAAGCCTACGGGTCACCTTCAGATCTTGCGTGGATCCTTGGCCCCGGGGGGCTCGGTCGGCAAGATCACCGGAAAAGAGGGTCTACGATTTGAGGGTACAGCCAGGTGCTATAACTACGAGGATGCTTTCGTCGAGGCGCTAGAACGAGGCGAGATCAAACAAGGCGAGAAAACAGTCGTGATCATTCGTTACGAGGGGCCAAAGGGTGGACCAGGCATGCCGGAGATGCTTAAACCCAGCTCCGCTATCATGGGCGCCGGGCTTGGGAAGGATGTCGCGCTGCTCACTGATGGTCGATTTTCTGGTGGCAGTCATGGTTTCTTGATTGGACATATTGTGCCAGAGGCCATGGAGGGTGGTCCAATTGCATTGGTGAGAGATGGCGATAGAGTTGTTATCGATGCGGAGAAGAGGGTGGTTGACCTGGAGGTGTCCGATGAAGAGATAGAAAGAAGGCGAAACGAATGGAAGGCTCCTAAGCCAAGGGCTAGCAAGGGAACCCTCCGGAAGTATGCGACTCTAGTCAGCGACGCCAGCCATGGTTGTGTCACTGATGGGGCGATATGATGAAATACTTCGTACCATAGTATGAAACATATGCAGGATGGACTAGACCGCCAGGACTCCTAATCCTCGAACAGTGAATGGCATTTATAGCCGGCAATATAGGGCGTCTTTTCTCTGCTTTAGCACGGATCAAGGATTCTGCAAACGCACACTCGGACCACCCGGTGTATAGACAGATTACAGAGTTGCTGGGCCCTCATGTGCTGGGATCTTTTCTTACTACAAAGACAATGATACGCACTTGTTGCAATTGATTGCTTCTAACTAAGTAGTCCATCAATTGATTCAATGAACATTTGTATCCGCATGCTCCGTGAAATTTCCACACTACTACTATATATAACGCGTTCGTTGACACCGTCACCAATTATGTCTTACCTATGACCATGCCACAACAGTTGCCTCATTGTACTTCATACATATTTCCGCCTTTCGGCTCTGAATACGAGGTTTTACCCCAACATCTCCCACAGATGCCAAATATTCTCAACATACAACCCCTGAATGTGGAGGTGAAGAACCCTCGAAGACCGCCAAGATAAGACAACCTGAGGCACAAGGCAATCAGCCTACAATAGCACCGTGACCTCTCTCAGGTGCCTATTTTCGATACCAAAATTCAGGATATTAAAGATTAATTGATTTGTCAACTACGCCACAATACCTAACTACCACTAGCTACAGGCGGACACATATTTCCGCGGACATTAGTGATCGGACCCATATCGGGAAAGATTCATAAAACTGACTATTGAATTTGTATGCAGGAAAGGTTGCGTCGATCACCGCCCTGCATAAGGGGTTAGATCTACGGGGTAGCAGAGAGATTCGTGCTCAGTAGGGTATGGTATGCAAGGGATGAAATAACCCCATGAAGTCCGAACAAGGCCAGGACATATAAAAAGCAAAGATCGATAATTGACACAGACTCGACACGGTTGAAATATAATTAGTGTTTTTTCCATTAAATCAATAGTACATAGTAAATATATCGTGTAGAATGGTAAAATTTCCCTCAGAAAATATTTGAATAATTAAGTAGATTCTTTTGTTTTTGGCAACTACTAACGAATCAAGAGCCATACAGCCCATGTCAAATCGCTCCACATTGCACTTCAAGCGAAATGACTATGGTCCCTATTGTAGGTCACTGCATATTCCGTACTCGTCATGATACCCGGGGCATCATTCTGCCCATCAGGCTTGACCAGTTCTTGAACACTTTCCGAATTCTTCCGATCCTCCGGATGTTGTGTCGTATGTTGGGTGCCTTGGAGGGTTGTGAGATGGTCCCAGTTATGGATCTTCTTGCGTGGTTTCAAAGAGTAGCTGCCGCCTGAGCCTTTGTAATTCTTATTATTGCTCCGGTCAATGCTGCTAAAGACTCGTGGGAAGCAGCGGGCTAGGAGCGGTCGCATCGTGGGCAGACAGGCGCAAATTATGCCTACGTTGATCTCAATCATGCTAAAGTACTGACATTAGTATATCGCATCACAGTGGCGCAGAATAGCTATATCGTAAGCAATGTTGAACATACCACCAGTTTGCAAGGGTAACCTTGAAGTGTGTAAAGTCATTGCTGTGGATATATGGCATCATGGTCACAATTCGGAGGATGGCTACGACACAGCAACTAGATCAACGCCATTAGCAATGTGAGCACATCTACGCTGAGGTCTAACGTGCTTACAATGAGCCCGTTCCAAAAACAATCATAAGAAGCATCCTTTGTCTCACCGACGTCTGCAGCGACCAGCATATCTTAATAGGGAGCAGCAGAGTCACGATGTCGGAAAACACGTTGAAGGCGGCGTTGGCATAGACGAAGGCAAACTGGTCGACACATTTGGCATCCTGAATGGTGACGTCCCACATGGCCTGGACTGGGTTACACCCTAGTGTGAAGATCAGGATGCTCAGGAGACTGTAGAAAGCAACAAAGCCCATGATTGCGAAAGTCATTTGGCGGAAACGTTTTTCGGGATTGAGCCGCAGGTAGAAGAGTAGGATGGCCGTTTTGACGAACCAGACACCGAGCGCGTAGACGTCTTCTTCTGCGAGATCATACTGTTATCGCTTAGTATGATGGATGTATTGCAAAGGATACGTGAGAGACAAACCTTCTTGAATGGCGTTATTTTGTCAAGATGCAAGTCCCAGACATGAACACCGTAGCCGTTTTTTATGTCTTCGTCTGTTAGCTGCTCGTCTGATGGAATGTTGTCCCAGCCAAATATACTTACTGATTAAACTTAGGATAGCGAAGATCCATGCACAGATCTGCCCCATCACACAACACACTACGTGATGTTAGTATCGACAAAACATCATGCAACAATGGCAGAAGGGCATGGATGGGCTTGTACATACAATCATCTAGCCCATATGTTCTTAGAAGGTAAAAGCGCGTATATAACCGAAGAAGTAAGATCAGAGTGGCGGACGAGCACATTGCAAGGCTGACGGAGTAGATCTGGTACTCGGATCCCTCTGGGTTGTCGAAGTTAGGCGTAACCCCTGGTGGCGGAGGGGCTACTGGTATTTTGCTCAAGTCCATAGCGAGTGTTGAGTGTTATGGTAGTTGAAGTGTAGTCGGCGCCTGAACCTCGATCTCCGGTTGAACTCGAGTGTTTAACAGATGATGGAATTCGATCATGGCAGACGTTGGTACTTATTATTAAGTCTGACCCAACCTGAACATCGGGGGACATGCACTTATATCTATGGACATTACACAATATTATGCTGGATGACTCCATTTTGACATGTCGCCTGCTTCTATGATCACCGATAGGGTTCGGAAGTTAGCCAGTCAGTGTGGTCATTGCAAAAGCACGGACGATGATCTTCACAACAACCGCTTCCCCGGTAGAATCTGAAAGTGTTCCGATAGCTTTCGTCGGCTGGCGATCTTATGGAGCCATGTTCATTGCACTAGTTAATACAGCTAGATACCCAATGGTAATGATGCATCATGCGTTGCCACTCCGGAATCTCTGTGTGCAAGTGGTCAGAATGTAACCCTACCTTCAACGGGTACTTCGTACATCCAGGAGTATTGAATGAGCCAATACCTATGCAGCTCTAGACCAACATGATCTTCATTTGGTACTTGATACCTCTCCAGGCGGCATATTTTACTACTCCGAGTAGACCGAGCCAAACAGAAGGGGTCTTGGCACTGTATTGGATGGAGTCTACAAGTGCACTATAAGGGGTCCAATTGAATGTCATTAGACATATTTTCAAAGGTGACACCCCTTGCTTTATGTGTGTAAGAGTATCGTACCGGTGAATTAAGAAAGAATAGCATGATTCAGCGAGTCGCTGGTGAATGTGGTAGTTCAATTTCTTTAGCATCTCCTTATCGTGGTGCAGTGCTAACTTCCCCCGAGCAATTTCATAGAATAAAGATATGAGTTGGTCTAGGTACGGACATGAACTTATGATCCTCCCCTGTCCACTAAAAGGAGAAATTGATACTACGGTTGATGGCTCCTATCATTCAGGGTCACTTCCACTGTGGGTGACGTGGCTGATGTGTGGGTCATGCAAAGTTGCCATAGCCGCGGTGGGGACGGGATAGAACTATCGTGAAGCGAAGTCCATGACCAATGTTGACGTGTAGCAGGCAAGCGCACCCGAGGTGTTTCCATCTCGCAGACCCTTGAGCCAGGTGGTCGGGAAAATTGGTTGATTGTCAGATGGGCTCGTATGGGCAGCATATTCTAGGCAGATAGTGCCATCCATGATAGATCCTGGTTGGCGGATATTCCTCGCGGAAGATATGCTAGTACGACTAACCGTGCTCCATTTGGCTATGATAATCATGGAGTGGGGGTGAAAGTGGACATGTCAGATACAAGTGGCTCTGGCTGAGAGAATACGGGAGCCATAGCTCTAATGTCTCGGCATTCGTGTTGGGTGTGAACGATTGATTCTGTGCGAGAGTTGCGGCCCCCCAACCTTATGATCTTATCCATGACAGGTGGTCTGAGCGACATCCCTTGTCTCGGAAGTTGGTCATCTTGTGGGTGTATATATTCCGTACATTCCTCAACCTTGACGGCCGAAGCGCTGTAGATCATAGCGTCGTTCCGATGGTGCAGACAGCAATTGGAAATTTTACTTTTCGTATGCCCCTAATGAATTGGCTACAGCTCCGGGTGGGGGCACCAAATGTGATTTCTCAATCGCCCCAGCCCTAAACCCTCACCATCGGTAGAGCGTCTGGTGGGTTCCGCAACGTATGTAACAAGACCCATATCACACTACTAGTGCATTTACCATAATGATTGGTGTTGCTGCAGAAGCCACCCCCTCGCACTCCACATCTGACACTTGAAGAACCATCTATAAGTTAGTTACTAGGTCCTAACAGGGATCGTGCTGGCAAGGATACGTTGTCTTCATTCTTCATTGTTATGAATTAAAAAAGTTCGTCCCGTACAGAATGGGTAGCATCGATCCAACTTTTGATCCCATCCAGGAGGACCTGGACCAGGTCATTGCTGCCGCTACTAGGTACAAGGAGCGATTGTCTGAGGCAGACAGCCACGATGCCAGATATGATCTGATGGCCAAGGCCGGTCGCCTCTACCAAACCATTCGCGGACCCGCAGATATGGTGTTTTCTAAATTTGAGGATGTACGAAAAGCAGATAAGATACAATATTTTCTTCGTCTGAATGTCGCATTGCATAACTGGCTAACGATGTATATGATTAGGCAGCGAATATGGGAGCGATCCGAGCACTGCTTGAAGCGGGCGTCTTTCACGCCATCCCCACCGGAGGGAAGAGTATTTCGGCTAAGGAAATTTCGGTGAAGACCGGCGTAGACCAAGAGGTTATAGGTAGGTTTTATAGTCAAACATATGTTCATGATATTCGTCTGACTACAAACACAGTGCGACTGATGCGCGCGGTCACCCCGATGGGACCATTCCAAGAGACTGGGGAAGAAGAATACGCCCACACACCATTTTCAGAAATCTACATGGCACCTCAGATGATGGCGGTCTACAAGCTCATGTAAGAAATCTTTTTGGTGCAATCTAAGAATGGATACCTAACAAAGTCAGGGCGGATGAATACTTCACACCCATGCTGAGAAATTATGAATTTCTACGCCAACAGAACTGGCAAAACAACTTCCGTCTGCGGAACAACCCTTATACATTTGTACACAACTGTGAAGGGGAAACTATGTTCGAACACGTATCAAAGTTCCCCGACCGCTTTACCACATTCAATGAGGCGATGGTAGCTCAGGACTCGGGGCTCATTGCAATTGGTCTCTACCCGTTTGCGGAGGAATTGAGCAATTTGGCCAAGGAAAATACGGCTACCATTGTCGATGTAGGAGGGGGGCGAGGTCATATTTTGCGTCAGATCAAAGAAAGCGCTCCTAAGCTGAAGGGAAGGTTCATACTCCAAGACCAGGCCAGCGTTATCGCAGATAATGGAACAGAAACGCAGCCGTATGGCATTGAAGCCATGCCACATGATTTCTTCCAGCCACAGCCAGTAAAAGGTAGCCAGCAATTCCTTCTAAAGCCCGCCTTCTCGCCTAGTAGCTAATCATTCTACAGGAGCATTGGTCTACTATATCCGTCGCTGTCTCCATGACTGGCCCGATGAGCCAGAGTCAAAGCAGATTCTGGAAAACTTGGCCGCAGCAATGGATCCCGAGAGGTCTCGGGTGTTGATCACCGAATATATCCTGCCGGAAGTTGGCTCCAACATGTTTCATGCTTGGATGGACCACACTATGATGACATTCGCTGGACGTGAACGCACAGAGAAAGACTGGGAGCGCCTACTAGATATATCGGGCCTTAGGTTGGTCAAAGTATGGAGAGCCCCAGGAATACCGGTCGGTGTTGTTGAAGCTCGCTTGAAGTGAGGGTCGAATGGGCAGAGCTATGAGTTAGGAAGATTACTTGATGAAACGATGAACACCCTTTAATCCTCTCTAGGTATTGTTTGAAATTTCGTCGTAACCGATAGGATCTTTGCGTGCAGACTTGGCATAATCCCGCTTCGCTGTGTTTACACTATTCTTGCTGTGTGGGTGTCGAGATCCGATGGGGCTTATAAAATTCCACTAATATTTTTACTCAGTTGGAGAAGGAGTAGAAACAATCTTTCAGTATTTTGCAGCTTCCCCGACACTGATAATCGATCTCGTGGGAATATACCCTCTCTGGGATACGCTCTCCTGGGCCGCAGTAACATCATGCGTCGTAGAGAAAAAGGCTAGAACAATTATCTCAAGATATCCTAACTACTACATAGATATAACTAAAAAATACTAAGCGGTAAACAAGGTGGGAGTGTAAGTAAAATAAAGGGTTCCAATCGATAGTGAGCTTGTTGGCTCGAGCTGGATGCTTGAAACGTAATGATATAAGGTACTATGGATACGGCGTTATAACAAAGGAGCCCGTGGAATAGGAATACGGGGACAACAAAAGCAAACTTCCGTGTTTTATGGAGACCTGCATACGGGAGCAGGTAGATATGGTCATATTGTGATTAAGAGAGAACCCCCGCGTCCTCATCACTTGTCTCTACCGTGGTGTTCTTTGTAGCCGGACATCTAAGGACATGGGACTCAGACCAGCTCTAAATCTCGGTGTTTGGAAAACAAGGTCCAGTAGCGGTTGCTGAGCTGGGGGTCACTATCCCAATCAGCCGATGCAGACTTTATAGAATCCATTTCGGCTTGAAGTTCACGTTTCTCCTTCTCCCGTGCTTCCTCAGCTTCTGCGTCGATCTCATACATCCACCATCCCGCCACCGGTTGAATAGTATTCAAAGATCCAGCATCTGTGCCATTAGCACTTGGCGTCGGCGAGGCTTCGATTCCGACCAGACCCGCGACCATTTTGGTGTTGTAAACATGTCCGAAGTCGTCGACCTTCACAGGAACAGTGTTGTAACCAGAAGGAATCGTATCTGTCTCTACACGATGATACCAGATGCCGTCTACATTGCCACCCACGCCGTTGGCCACGGCGTCCTCATGGTAGAGGGGCTCCCCCTGGGCATTCCAGAAGCAAAATGCCGTAACCCAGCCAGACAAATAGGTAGGGCCACTACCGCCGCCTTCCCTATGAACCGATCTTTGCCAGAAGTCCACAACATCAGGGGAGGACGGGTTATCGAACGATGAAATAAAGTGCTGGATAACCGGTCTGAGAAGGGTTGCAAATTGTGTCGGTTCTTTACCCAACTCAGGAATCTTGTCGATTTTTGATAGTAGCAGGACCCAGTCATCCCGCTCGCCCAGCAACGTCACGGTGGGGATTCCGCACATCAGGCACATGTTATAGGAGAAATACTTTTGCATGACCCCCATCATCAAAATGGCCGAGACTATTTTGTCAGATGTGGTGGTTGTGCTGAAAGCAGGCATGATCCATTCTCGCAGCTCAGGATCCTTGACGTTCTCCTGAATCTGCTCCGTCATTGCGATCGCCAGAGCCCCAAAGTCCCGAATCGCACTTCTGACTGTGAGCTCCTTCTGTCCCTCGTGCGAAACAAAGTACGACCTTAGTTCTTCGGCATGCGCGTTGACGTAGAAGCCGAGTTGGGATAGGATGGAAAACCACACATCTTCAGGGCGGATGACCAGATTATAATGATTGCTATACGCCCTGAAGATTGCCCAGACAAGGCCGTTTTCTGATGGTGAGATATGTCTTTCCTGTAGGGCGTATGTGCCATTGAACTGGTTATTGTCGAAAGAGCTTTGAACAAGTCGTTTGGAGCGTCTGTAATCTCTAGGAGACGTTCCATCAAGCAAGTCTTCAGCGCTGGTGGCCTTTTCCTGCCACCACTTCTCCGCTCCATGATTTGCAACTCTGAACGTGACAGGCATACTGCTTTGTCTTTATTCTCTTTGACGGTGCTGAAATAACAGGTCGTATTGGGTATAAACAGTGCTCCAAAGACAGCAGGATACTGGGTTTGTTAGGGAAGTAAGAAATGGTGAAGGAGGGAAGGTGAGGGGCAGCTGGGAATTTATATAAACTTTCCTCAGGTGATCTCAGTGACCAGGCCGACTTGTCGATCATTGGAACCATCCACGTACTGTATGTGGGATTTCCCGATGTTCTGGCGGTAGTTCCTTGTACCAGACGCCGGATTTCGAACGTTTTCTTTGTATACCACCCAGCGTTGCTATGTTGAATTATATTCAGCGTGCCATCATTCCTGTTTCCCTGTGCGCATGTCCACTGTGAATGCTTATATTTTCTTCTTTTGGTTTGTCCTTTTCTTTTCTTCTTTTTCTTTCTATTGTTCTATCTAGGATGAGGGCTAAAATACCCCTGAAAATGTATCGCAATTACATTACATGAAGGGAGGTGGGGAACAAGTACTAGGATTCGCCACTAAGCGTGCGGCTGAGGGACAAATCAAAGATTCAACGAGGCTGTGCCCATCTTGATGTGGAGACCTGATGTCCAATGTAATGCCGAAATTCACGAGAGTCCAGCCGAACGTGGCTTGCCTTTATTCAGCAAATTTCCCACAGTCAACAGAGCAGCCCTATGACGTATACCCTGCAGGATAAGGAATGATGAATAGACAGCCCAATAGCGCCCTACTAACGATAAATTGTAAACAATGACGGGGACCTTATACATGGATAGCAATCTCAATGGCTATACGAAGAGAGCGTTTCATTTCCGAGAGTTATCGTCATTTAGATATCAGATTCACTCAAATGGTTCATTGTGAACCAAGTGTGACATCATCTCAGATCTTAATAAATGTAAATGACTCTCCAAGAACGAAGGAACGATATCTACCTTCATAGTCCATGACTCTAACGGCAGTATGACCTCCAACACAGGACAAGGCGACCAGAAGCCGGCATTGGCAACTGCCATGCTTCCACAGAACACCCCGCAGGTTATTGGAGATACCGCTAGAAGTCTCAAGAAGTGTACCCGAAGGGAGATCAGGCACGGCAACGAGGGATCTTATATACTGGCCACTCAAGTGCCGGCCAAGCTGGTTGACCCGTCAGCCGACGACCATTGTCGTGTATTTGGATCTAAATGCCGGGTAACCTATGATGCCGAAACCCGTCAGCTGATCGCTCAAATCCCATGCGGGCCTCACTTAGTTGCTGCGGGAGCTTTTGGACAAGAGATTATGATGCAAAGCATCAAAATGGGCGCACACGCGCGTTTAATTCCGATGGGTAAGACAACGCACATCGATGGAACTGTCCAAAAGGAGCCAGCAGCGTGTTTTCGCCCAAAGTTCACCCTTCTGTCCGGAAGAACTGCAAAATGGCCAACTCTCGTCGTGGAATGCTGTTGGTCTGAAAGTCTAGCTCACATACAATGGGACGCAAACCTATGGATAGGAAGATCTGAGGCAGAGGTCAAAGTGGTGATTTTAATGTCTATGACAAAGGACCAAGATGCACTCGTTGTGGAAAAGTGGACTCCGGGCAACCCACCCCAGACAAGATCTTGGACTCGGTTTTCGGCCTCCAGGGAACAGTCCGTCAGGATCTTTCGTTATGCGAACGGAACTGTAAAGACTGCTGGTCATCCTCTAATAATTCGCTTTGAGGAGGTCTTTCTACGCCCTCCAAAGCCACCCCTCGAACAGGACTTTGAGCTCGACCAAGCAGCACTTATCTCCATCGCAGAATGCGCGTGGGATCGATCAATCTAGAACTATGACCACTGGCACGGCTGGTTACCTTTTGTCCTCTACGCTTGCGTTAAGGGTTTTACTTGTCATACCCAGAAAGGTGCCTTTGTGTTAAAGTCTAAGCGTTATACTGGTAGCACCATTCTACCCAATTGCTTGGACTAGCCTTAGACAGGGCATAAGAAAAGAATGCCATTTGATTAGCGGATAATGGTAACCTGGGCAGAGATCTACCGTCTCGGTTAGTATCCGATCCCAAGTAGTTTTTTTTTTCTTCTCTTTTCTTGTCTTTTTTTCTTAACTGCAGCTTTTTGCGAGTGCTCAACTCAGGTCGATTGACCCTAATTCAAATTGGATTGGGAGACGTATCGTCATACAAGGGGCTGAGCAATTTGAGAATTTGGATGGCCGGTTGACAAGATTGTATTAGCCCTTTCTATTATGTTTAAATGTCCAAAAACCCGATCTAAATGACATGCTTACATCGGAGACAATATACCGGGATTACAATAGTAATTTACTCTCCTGGATTACGTATTTTGTATCCCATGGCCCTACTCCATTGAAATACATACCTTGCTCTATGCACTACAGTCAGCTAACAGCCAGCGATGAGTTGCTATGTAAAGTCTGAGTTGAAACTGGCATTGTAATTTCAGAATGTATTAGTCTAAATCATATCGCCGGTTAAGAAGAACTTGTTCTACCATTTATTCTGTAGTTTCAGTAAATCTAGCTGCGATGGACGGCAGAGTCCTCACAAGAACATCGCCATTACCACCAATGGCTTCTGCGTAAAACTTCACATCATTTGCAGGGTGGTACCCACTCTCCCAAAAGAAAGTTGTTTCAAACGACTTCCTGCTCTGCTCACCAAGATACTGGACCTCATTGTTGGAACCGCTACCTTCTTGAACCTGGTAAAACTTCCAGATCTTCGTCTCGGTATCTCCATTCCAGGAAACATATAACCTAGTAGTATTGGCCGAGTCCACATAAGCGGCAAGAGCCGGAGCCTCACTCGGTGTACCAGTCCAGTTGGCTACAAACCCACGGTAACTGACCGCGTCTTCGATAAACGCATGATAAATAACTTTATTGTCAGCACCAAACTGCGTGAAAGCGCCTGCAGACCCCCAGCTAACAAACAAATCGTCGTTCGGAAGCAATTGAGTGTTACCCTGAGACTTAGCCTGTAGCTCATATGGGGCTGTGGCTTTGCGAAGGACGGTTGCGGTATTATCCGTGTGGTTGAGCTGGACAAACAAGGCTCTGGAGACGTTGTTGAAAGTTATTTCCCCGTTGCCTGAGTTGTCGAAGAAAGATATCACGTCGATGCTGTCGGACTGCGATCGCCAGCGGGCGTCGTGCTGGAAGCCAAATGTGAAATCCTGGGTAAATGTGGAATGGTTGCCACCGAGTTGCCAGATGATAGAACCATCGGTTCCGTTGATCTTGAAGATGGTGCTGAAGTGTCGCGATGAGACGAGGTAGTTTCCATCTTTGTCTTTGTCGATGCTGTTAATGTGAACATAATCCCAGGTTTGAGCGGACGAAAGTCCGCTGTTGCTAGCGGTTGAACCCAATGGATTCAGTGAGTCTTGACATATAGTGAGAAAGGGTCTTGGTATCTAGATAGATAGGGCAAACTAGAACGAACCTGCAGGGTCTAAATAGTCCAGAGAGTTCCACTCAAATACTAGCTCCCCAGTTGTGATATCAAACTCTGCTCTCTCGTTAATGATATACATACGCCAAATGATATGCGAGAGTAACAAACCTTGGAACAGCCCGTTTCCAAGCCATTGCTGCGACGAGTTTCCACCGTACTGTGTCAGGTTTGCGATGGTTGGAAGGTAAATCTCCACAAGAGCAGTCTCGCCATTGACCACGGTAAATTCGTGGATAGAGGGAATATGGTAATTTCCAGTCTTCGTAGATATCACATGTTCATAGCTTTGGTCGAGAAGCACATGTTGGCCAACACCCTCCCCATGATTTTGGTCCATCGATCCCTGGAAGGCCTGAAGGACAGTTTTTCCATTGTATGTGGTAGGATGGAAATTCCCCACAAACCCTGCATAGTAGCCAATGCCAGACCACACTAGATCACCGTCCTTCCGATAGATATAAGCGCCAGGCTGTTGGATGGTATTGGCGTAAGGAGCAACAAAAACATACTCCGTACCATTGGCATCGGGTGCAGGCACAGTTATATTCAACTTAGGGACTATGAGGTCTGGACGAGATCGGTAGTGTCCATCTGCTGAACTGAAAGGCAAACCTGCTGCTGCTGCTAACAGTAGACTATATTGTGTGAGCGACCCCATAATCGTGTGTTGAGCAAGCCCTTTAAATGGTAAGAATAGGCTTGTTAATCCCCTGGTCTATGCAATAGTTCACATCCCAGGCATTGAGGGCTCCTCATATTTATAGCTTTGGCATTTCCCCTTGCTTTCCATCATCCCCACGAGCTATTGTGACTTCGGAGCATCTAAGCAGCGTACTTAGACTGATAACGCCATTGGCATAAAGTCTGAGCAATTGTTAATCTCGCTTATATGCAGCTAAAGTATAGTTTATACATTATTGCCCGAGATGTGAACGTTCTGATAAGACATCTCCCGGCAGTAGGTTTACTAGTACTTGTATCATCGAGTTCATCAATGACGCGATCCCGGGCGAGATGCAGTAACCGAGCATAACTACGTTTGTTCCTCTATCATCGTTCATACCTCCTACACCTCACGATCACAAAGATTATTGTCCTTTTTTTAATGCAACATTGTGGTTGAAGATTAAGGTCCTGCAGCGTATGCCTTTGAAACTGCATAAATATAATGCGATATTGTCGGGATATACTGCCGGTCAAGCCTTGGCGTTCCTTCATATGGCTCCGATGCGAACAGCGAAATATAGACAATCTCTACACAACAGGATACTCTAGCCTTGGCTCGCTATCCTACATCATAACGCGCCAAATTATGTAACTCCGTTATCCCATGCCTTTCTCAAGATCCCAAGTCACTTCCCCGTGGAGACATCTGACTTTATACCACATCACATGATCGAGAAGATAAGGATAGATGGAGGGCGTGAAACTAGGGGCTTTAAAAGCCTACCGGTTAATGTCCTGACATTAGACATTGGTTCTATGCTTCGAAAGATCGACTATATAGGATGGAGGACTTCCCAGCTAAGTGAGAACACATAATTACAGAAGGTATAGACTTTCAATGTTTTAAAAAATATAGAATATTGAAGATATTGTAGCCTTTATACTGCTCATGGGCCGCTGAAGCTTAGGGTAGAATTCCTGCATGCCGCATCAGACTCAGTACTGGTGATAACTTTATCAGGTAGGTCTATATCTTCGGCTCACAGTTCGCTATCAGAGGGACCCGGATGGCTTTAACAGTAGCATTGCTAACATTAAATAGAAGACTATGGTTCCTCTAGTTCAGAATGCAATCTCTCACACATATAATGTAGAACAAGCCTGACCTGGCTTCATGACTACCATGGCTTGACTTTCACCGAAACCCCTGCGTCACCTTCTCAGCCCAATTTTCTAATTCCTTTGCATAACCCTCGTCGGTCATCGCCTCCAATAAATCCGCTCTCGGATTCGGATGCCACTGTCCAAAAGGAATCACATAACGGCCCCCGTCACGGGCCGTGATGTCCCCACTACAGCCAGCCCACAGTAAGGTATGCGCTCCATCGTCCACAGTAGCGAAGAAGGGCAAGGTCAACCAGATTGCGATCCGGGGTGCATTATCATAGATGCCCGTGCGGACGGTTGCAGGGTTCGCGGTGATGCTCACGACACACTTCTCTGAAGCCGGGCCGTCACTGGCACCCACCGACGCCTCATTGAACCGCTTCGCAAAGCGATCGGCAAGGAACCAGTTGCCGGTTTTGCTGATGGTGTAATTTCGAATCGGGTCTTCACTGGGATGGTCAAGTTCGTTGGGCGGAACTCCTTCCGGCGGTGCCGAGGTGTCGACAAGCAGGCTGCTAGACCAAATCACCCGCACACTGTTGGGTACGGTGTCTGCAGCAGCAGCAGTACGGACTAGAAGATCCGACAGCAGTGCAGTCAGCAAGTAAGGGCCCACACAATTGGTGCCCATGTGTGGCTCCAGGCCCTGCGCGGTGCGCTAGGACAGTAGCACGCAAGCAACCCCGGCGTTGTTGTGGAGCACATCGAGGCGTGATTCCTGCGATAAAAAGGCCGTGACGAAGGGTTTGATTGTACGGAGGTCGGAGAGATCGATTACAAGGAACTTGATCGTCCCGGGAGTTTGCGAAGTGCTGGTAGTGGTGACGGCTTGAATGGCGGCATGGGCTTTGGTCTCATTGCGTGCGGCCATGTAAACCGTGGCTCCGGCATCATAATAAATCCGTGTCAGCGCCAGGCCAATACCTGCGGTGCTGCCGGTGATGATCACCACGCGGCCCACTTGAGACGGAACAGTGGCTGAAGTCAGGGCGGCCTTGGCGGGGAAGACCTGTGGCCAGATTCGTTTACAGTACTCCATGGTGGTGAGTATATGTTGGGGGTAGAAACGGCTTAGATTGACCGAGGTCCGAAGGGAGAAAGGGGCCAGAGAGAGATAGAGAAAGATTCTCTTTATTTGAACAGCTTGGGGAGCAGCCGGCCGCTATTTAATCCACCTGGACAAAGAAATATTACTAGTGGTATATGCAGTAAGTCCCCATCCCTGCCTCATCCCGGTGATAATAGCAGTTACCGGTATCACTTCGAAAATTACAACAGAAGTCCATTTCGTATTATAAAAGATATATTTCGATCGCTCGCCTGATGCCGTCGTCCATGATATACCTGTCAGGTTTCCTGCAGTCGGGTGACAATATTCTCACAAAGAGTACTCAGTGTCTTTGCACTGATGACATCTGATTGTACTAATGGTCACTTTTAACTCCTGGCGGATCCAATTGCGAAAGTCCACCGCCGCCAGCGAGTCCAGTTCATAAACTGACAGGGGCTTGGCTGACTCCATCGGCTCCATCAGCCCTAGACTACGCGTAAAATGTCGATTAACTACCGCAATGGTAGCTGTTAGTTGCTCCGATAGATCCGCCGTCGCACGAACTAGCGAGAGCAGTGCCTGCACGTCCCGCGTTTGACCACCACTTCCGACTTCCTATGCATCACCTCTCGGCGGTAGCGTCAGCGTTGTGAATGGAGAATCCTGAAGCAAGTCGGCATTCGTGCGCTGTGAGAAAGTGATACCCGTGATAATGTGGGGGCTTGTATGTTGGCCCATAATCGACGCTCGGAGGATCTGATGCAACAAGGCCTCGTTATTCGGGGTCCAGATGTTCATGTCAAACCGGTTGGCGATTGACTGATGCTTACTGACATATCCGACATCCCCAGTGACTCCAAGATCGACAGCACAGGCCGGAAGACCCTGTTGATGGCGGTAAATAGCGAGAGAGTCCAGCAACGTGTTGGCAGCGGCGTAATTAGCCTGGCCCTTTTGGCCGATCATACCTGAAAGACTTAAGAGTCATGTAAAGAAATCCAGCTGCTGGTCAAGCTCCGCAGCAGCCTCGTGCAAATTCCATGAACCAGTTACTTTACATGAAAGCACATCATGGAATTGCTCCCCGGTCATGGCCGTGTAAATCCTGTCCTGTCCGTCAAGATAGTGAGAAATAGCACGTACACATCCAAGATAACATACCTTTAACTCCAGGACACCTTGAATGATATCTCCGGTTGGTTTAGGCCTTTGTCGGAGCTCCCGACGAATATCATCTTTGATTGACATTGACGCATCTCCTTTCACGATCTCTCAGCCAGCACCTAGGGAAGAGAGATCTTTAATAATACCTTGGGACCCGTCGTCGTCATAGCCACGTCGAGACCTTACGTTCAGCGTTTGTTAAGCGTTCTGCCACTCGACCAAAATACCTTAGGCATTTAGTTGTGTCTCCAACCGAACAATCTGGCCAACACCTTATGACCAAATGTTTCGCACCGTGGCGGGCCAGGTACACAGCTAAGCTTTGACACACTCCTTTCAGGCTGCCCACAATGAGATACGCCTTATGCCCACAGCATTTGAAATTCACATGATCGACCTGGATAGGACTTGTAAAAGGGGCTTGTATTGATTAGCCGTCTTGGTATTCAGCATAATTATTTGGCCATCCAACTTCATCCCAAAGTCCTTGCTAAAGTAAGTAGCCTGAGTCTACCGTGCCTTTCGTCATAGCAGGCCTAATCGTACCCATAACAAAGGTATCCGCCCTGAGTGTTCATAACCTCCCCAATAGTAACATTGGGCTTGATGTTGAAGGACGACAATTCATAGTGAAGGGTAGCATTCTGCCAGCCACCGGCAGGTTCAACATTGGCCGTATGGTTCAAGGTCGGTCCGCTGATATCGTAGAGACGGTTGATAGGGTCCTCCTTCTGCCACTTCCACCAAACACGGTCGATGTACATATGGTGCATAAAGAAAATCGGGTCACCGGGAGAGGATTTGATATCGGCCATCTAAAAGTGAAAGTGGTTAGCAAGAGGTCATTCTACTGCAAGTCGTTAGAGGTTAGTACATACCACACCACCAATGTAGGTGTGCACGCCCTTATGGGGAATGTTCGAAATGCAATCCCACCAAGGTGAGAAAGTGTTATAAGCGTTACAATGGTTAAGGGCGGTGCTGTTCGCATTGGCAATCGCGTTTTCGTTGTCCCATGCGCGTCGCAGGCAATAGTCGGTATCCTCGTCGCCGGGACCAATGTGCAAGGTGTAGTTGGCGAAACGACCGTCAGTCACACAGGAATCCGATCCGGTACCATTGCCGCCGAAAGCATCTGGTCCCCACATGGATGACTGCCACATATTGCCGCTGTCGGCATCTTTCTGCTCGTCCCACCATCTGTAACGCCGCTTAGTATGCAGGGAATAGGTGTAAAGCAAACATGTTGAACCTACGGGATGGGGCCAGTATAGCCACACTCATCTCGGAGTAAGTTCTCGTATATGTGCATGTAGTAGCGGTGCCACGGGAGGAATTGGCCCTTTTCACAGAAAAGTTAGAGATGGGAGAAGTACAAGGAAGGATCAACTTACAACGTGATGAATGATATCCGCGTATGCAGTAGTGGTCATTCCACGGTGAAGGGCTTGAAGATCACTGAACCGGCTGGTAGTGGCGGTCAATCCGGACTTGGCAGGCTTGTCCATCAGGCATTGGACGGCATCGAGAAAGCTACTCTGCTATTTTGCAGTCAGATGACGCCACTCCTTACGGACTGTCATCTTCTCTTTGCTGCAGCTGCCGGTGAAGTACCCTGGGATGGACTGGCTGGTGATCTCACGTTTGTCGACGTTGGACGACATCTTTGGGAAAGCAGCAGCAGGCACACTGACTGCCAGAGCCAATGCCGCGCTAAAGACAGAATACTTCATGGTGAAAGTTGAGTAGAAAACTAACTTAACGAGTGACAGGCGTCTGGGCGCGCCGGAATAATGAAAAGAACGGAGTGACGATTGTCCAAAGAGATGAATGGATGATGTTGGATGGAGCCAGAAGGTAGTATCCTCTGTTTTTATACTTCTCATTCCCAGCATTGCAAAATTCAAATGTCTTTTGAAATCTTCCATATCCCGTACCAGCGCCTTGCGGGCTTGGCATGAGAAACCACGAGTACAAGCCCTATATTTGGTATTGGTGTGGGCGGATGATGAATCGGACTCCATCGGGGAATCCACATCACATTTTCCTCGATTGCATATTTGACAGTTGCGATATACACGACTGACCTTCAAGTATCAATTCACTTGACTATTGTCTAGTAAACCTGCCGTGAAGTCGAATTCAACTGGCATGTTTGCATCTCAGAAGAAGTTTGTTTCTTCGAACGTACTCCAATCCTACAATGAGATGCTAACATTTTAGTCGAGAAAAATCAAGATACGAACGCCTTAATCCAACATGAAACATGCGGCTGAACTGAAGCCGGTACCGTACATACACTAACCGAACTTCCGCATCCATTGGTCTTTTCGACCGCGGTTATGGCCGTTTCCATTAGTATCACAGCATCGGCATTGAACCAGTAGTTTGAGTGGCGTCGGGATGAGGTGTGTTGAAAACGCGTTGGTGAAGAGTTCCGTACGTATGCTTAGGTGGGTGCTTTTCTTGGCACGATGGGAAAAACCCGAAGACGCGTGGCAACACGCTAAGATATCGGGATGGGACTCCATGTAGACGATCATTTCCCTCAAGAGAATGACAACCATTCAATCGCACTGGTATTCAGTCAACATGGCAGTTCGAGACTACTACAGGGCTGGATTTTCCGAGAGCTTGTCCATTGGAACGCCCGACCAGATGCTTATCGGGATTGATCAACAAACTGCGATCGGCGGATGAAACATTCGGATACTGCCCATAATTGATGTTACAATGCAACTGTATTAGCAACTTCCCAACTAGCTAGATAGATAGATAGATAGACAAAAATTGCAGGTGGCACTTCAGTATCACCCATGATAAAGGCATATTCAAGCAGGTATTTCCTTTGGTTGGTAGGATACTCTAGTAGGACCGATACCTACAATCCCGAGTATTCTCGAAACAAGAGAACGTCCTTTTACTATCATTCATATCTAATACAAGGGAAGAAAGCGGAATGAAATTTGACACCAAGTTTGAGATAGATGAACTCGGCCAATGGACTTCCAAAGGTCCTGTTCGACCGGACGCGCATACCAGATTGGGGCAGTTTTCGGCAGGCTCAACTCAACGTCTGCTGAGGTTCAACCCGCTCGGCATCAATCTGCAACTTTCTTTCTTCGCGTCGGGCCGAACCTGGGCCAATCTCTTGGCAACTTCTCGATCCGCCATGAAGATCTACAACATTCTGTATTGACCACGTAGTTTTTACAATAAATGGACTGAGATCTCCTCCAGGCGATCGATTGCTTTGTGTAGTATGTCTTCTGAAAATTTACATCAGTTGTCAGTACAATCATGGTACCCCTATACACAATTCGTAAAACAATCGTGTTTTATCAACAACAAAAGATATATATTTTCATAAACCTTAAAGGCTCCGACCATGGCTAGCTCTTTTAGACCACAATAACTTGCTGTATTTTCCTAGAAAGCTGTCTCAGAGACTTCCCACACTGTGCATTGCCTTTTTAACCGTCAATATTTCGGTGTCTATAAAAGGGACTTTGATTGCCAACCTAGTCTGCAATAAGTTGCTCACGTGACGGATTCTGCAAGCAGAATTATGAATACATGCTAGTAAGGGGCCAAGAGTCTTCGAAAGCTTGCTTAGGTAGAAGCTTTACGCCGAGTGCTTGTCTAGGAACCCGATCGATCCAACCCATTATGCTAATGGCAATGCTCCCCTTAGATCATACGGCTACTGTTGTGATACATCGTATTGATCCATACTGCGCATTGTAGGAACCCTCAGCTTTGGAACGATGGGCATTGAGAGTAAAAATCAAGATAATACAGATAAAATAAAGCAAACATATAGTTCTACTGGATCCCTTTCGAAATAAGTAATTACGCCATTTGCTGCTTCGCCATGCCGTAACATCACTCGGTAAAGATAAAATGCAACACCTTCAGGTAGGGTTACAAATCGAATGTTGTTGCGTTTACTATCGTAATGTCTGGTTCACCTCGGCTCGAATGTTTGCGGGCTGGACATTGGGCAAGGAGGACACACATTCTTCACTACGGAGTGCCTACTCTGTAGTTCCGAGGCAAAAATACCGTAAGGCTGCCAAGAGGCCCTTATATAGATCTCGGTGCGGAATCACTACAGACCGAACGTGTCGTATGTATCTGTATGCCTCTGCATATTTTTGTTTATCCAATTCCGGACCCGATCGGTATTCGAACGATCTGATTAATGTCTAATATTTCTCATCACGATGAGACTTTGACCGAGCATCAATATCCGACAGTATATCGCGCATAGCTTTATCCGTTTTTGTTCTAGTCGTTTAGATCGTTTGCCCGTTCTAAACGAGCTGCCCAATGACCTAAAGATACTAGTCCCTATTCCCCACGATGGTGACCCACAAACATGGCCTTGTGACCCGAGCAGAAGGTATGCGCTGAGGGTCTTCGTGCTGTCGTGCCTACTGGCTGTGGTAGTGGCTGCTTACCTGCTGCCCTGTAAGTTCGGAGGTTTAACGGCAGTCACGGCCGTCTGGCGCGGTCCCTTTTACTGGTTATGTCCTGTGACCACGTGCTTGTTTGTTACTTGGAACTTGTGAGCGATTTAGCCCTACGAGACTAATAGCCGGAATTCAGCCGCTACAGGTGCAAGGCTTCTGGCTTCCCATTAGCTGGAGTTGAACGATGGCCGACAATACACCAAGAAAGATCCGGGTAAATATATGAATATTGCCCGTGAGCATAGTAGTCTATCCACGCTCCTTCTAACGGAAAGAGCACCATTGTATCTATAATCATATGTCGAGTATCGAGAATATCTATCCTTCTTGGAATACCTAGTTTATTGCAAGAATATGGAGTATATTCAAACCCCTGGGCTACTCGACACGTGATTGTCGAGGATCCACTTTCTTACTAGAAAAAACTTCATCTTTCCTAGAACAGTAATTCTCAACTACTACTAACCGAAGGCGGCAAAAGCACCGACCAATGAAGGCGGTTACTCCTTAATTGATATACCCCGTTAATTGGCAGGGTGGGCTGTCTGGTCTTTTTCCTTGTTTCTCAAGATAACTAGGGCTGACTTTTGCTACTGAGCCCCAGATCTAAACCTTTTCGATACTGAATCAACTGGGGATAATAACGGAAGTACTCCGGAGTAGGTCCCCCCATTTCCCCCCCCCCCCCCCCCCGTGATATATACACCGGTGTTACTTCTACTGGAATAACTGTAAGATTGCTTGACCTATGGAATGCCAATAAAGCGAGTATATATGGGAAAAACATGGCAGTCGCCCCGTAGCATTGTGAATATGGCGGGTGCATATTTCCGAAGTTGGGGTTCCCGGTAATATTACTCCATGGTAAGGATCATTGTAATTGCTCAAGGCTTCCTACAGGGTTAATTATGCTGGTCGTACATACTCGCGTGACAATACCGGTCTTGAGGTATCTACGGCCTATGGTCTACAATCCCTCGCCATAGTTGCCGATATAGGATTGATATCGCCCCCAACCTAACATGTCTCAAATTGCTACGTCTCAAGACGGTAGCATGTTGCTAACTGTCGGTAGTAAGCGAGCCTGATATGTTACATTCGCCTCTAAGTATACAATGCCGAGAAAGCTTTTCTGATATAACCGTACCGTAACAAGCCGTAGGACCGCATGTGGTCACCTCTAGTGTTGATATGTTGCAGTATGATCGGACAAGGACGCAAACAGAGAAAGTACACAACCCAAGTATGTATGTTGACTGATGGGCAAGCAGGAATTTGTCCATTCAGGGTGCAATCAATTATGAAGTCCGACTACTATGTGGGGGCCGGGGATGGCACGGTATAGGGACTGTGGAGCTCCACGGCAACCCGGGTTGTACTCCAGAGCGAAATGGGTATGGGAGGACCCTTGAATCGGCAAAGTAGTCGTCTAGGGTCTCCGACTATGAACAAAGAATTAGCCGAACAAGCGAATATAGCCCCCTCCGAAAGCTATATAAGGCACGTCGTAGACGTCCATATGCCCTTGATATCTCGTCACTCACAAGCATCTATTCCTCTGGGAAGCAATCACCTCAAACTCTCTTTGTTCCCATCCACCAAGATTCAATCACCACCCAATCAAAAATGTTCGTTAAGAAGGCATTCCTCGGCCTCGCCATGGCAATGGCACCTGCCACGGTCCTTGGCCTCGACGATTTCTGGCTGGGATCCTATTCCGGTGAAGGCCTCGCCGGTACCTGGGCCAATCCTGGCTCACTCGGCATGTGTTACTATACCATTGTCGGCAAGGGTGTGAACCAGTGTGATGCAACCCGACTGAACCCTGCGGATGGTTCTGGTGGCTGCCCTGGACAGAACGGCAAGCAGCCGAATTTCTGTCATATGGCAATCGGTGGCGCTGGCGTACCCGATGGGTATCAGCTTGGTGTGTATTCTGCGAACTTCATAACAGGATTGTGTACTAAGTGACGCTCTAGATCGCAATGGAGGTGATTGTCCGGTTGATAGCCGTTCCGATGGAACATGGTACGCTGATGTGGTCGACACCAACAATGGCAACGCCAAGGTCGGCCGTTGTGTTTATGAGCTCTGGATAGGCCCGAACTGTGCCTCAACCGGCAGCTTCCTGACTGAGACCTTTGTTCACTGCTACCAGGATTAGGCGAGGACTTCTCAGGGAATGGTAATTGGAAATGATGGAAGTGCTTGAGAATTTGGGCTGAAGCTGGGTGTGGGGGTGATAGTTGAACGGCAAAAGAGTAAGACGGAAAATGTACAGTACAGTGATTGGATGTATATCAAAATTCTAGTTTTGGACATTGACGCCTCCCGGGCTATTGCTAGTGTATTTGACAGAGCAGCGATTTGTTGTCCTGTCAATGATTTCAATTGGATGGATGACTACTTCAAAGCCCTCTTTCCCGGCAGTCTTCCGCTCGAAGGACAGGCATGAGGCTATATCGGAAAACAGCAACACCACAATGAGGACATGAATGTATGCACTTACTAGAGATGATGTTCCACCATCGCTCCTCGCAACAGTAGTTTGCTCATAGTGATTAAGTAGCAATGTCTATGACTGCTTACACTGAATCAGGAAGACTCTAATAACGCCTAGTAGTAGTAGCCGGTATAAGGTACAGAGAATACCAGTCAACGATGCCCCCTTGTTAGGCTCTAATAATGTTGACCCTAATGCTAGGCATTCACTGAATATTGTGTGATTGCCTTACTCATCGCTATTTCAAGAACTAAGCAAGGAGGATTCTATTTTATAGGTTCTAGTATAACTATTAAACGCCTAGCTATACACACAACCTGCTGATAAGGCAGAATCCATGCCATATGCACCCCTCAAAGCTACCAGAGCTGTGACAATGCTTTAATTCCTAGTGCCACTATTACTGCTTCCTGGACGCATTGAATTTATACTGCCCCGATCCAACTTCCCTTGTCACATTCCCGTATGGCAATGTAATGACAGCATTTGTGTTGGGCGGAATGGTTACCTCCAAGTCAAAAAGATCCCCATTCAACTCCCATTTGGCACCGACCTCTCCGTAGGGACTGATAAAGCGAGAGTTGGCACTAGTAATGTTGCCGCCAGGGACAGGTGCGATTTTAATCTTTTTCCAACCAGGCTCCGCAGGAGCAAGGCCACCAATAATTTGGTGAATCCAATCTGCAACAGAGCCAAAGGCATAGTGGTTGAAACTTGTCATTTCTCCAGGGTTGACACTGCCATTCTGCAAGAGGCTATCCCAGCGCTCCCACGTCGTAGTTCCATTTTGAACCACTTGGTATAACCAGGACGGCACCTTTGTTTGCAGGAGCATGCGGTAGAAGTCATCTGTGGCGCCAATATCGGCCAAAGCGAATCCCAGGGGTGGGGTGCCCGCGAAGCCTGTGCCAACAAGGTAGTCATTGTCGGCAATTAGACTGCGCAAAGTATTGCCGGCAGCAGATCGCTCCTCATCAGATGTAAAGAGGCCGAAGTGCAATCCCAAGGCATATGCTGTCTGAGTCCGGTTTGCCATTTCACCATCCGTTAGCCATGCCTTGCGGAATTGATCGACCAAGCTGGTGTGCTGTTCACTGTACTTTTGCGCCAGGTCGCTGTGCCCAAGGGCAGTGGAGATATTCGTAAGGAGCTCGGTCATTCGCACCAAGTAGGCGTCGGCAACAAGGTGCGAGGCGGTTGTCGCACCACCTGGGTTGTCTGGTGGAGATTTCGGGTCCAACCAATCTCCGAACTGAAAGCCGTCTCTATCCCACAGACCAGTATCCTCACGTGGAATACCAGTATCAATCCAGCCTTGGGCCTGTGAGTACTGCTCTTCGAGTATGCCCAGGTCACCGTATGCCTGATAATGGTTGTATGGCCCAGCAACTACAACGTCTCCCCATACTGCCGCAGCTCCTTGCTCCGAGCCTGCGTTCGGCGGGACAATTGGAACAAAGGGTGGTACGATCATTGTCCCATTTTCCTGCATCTCGGACCAAACGTCGCGGTGCCAGCTCCGCCAAAAGCCAGCTGTATTGTAGAGATAATCAGCAGTGGGCCCAAAAGCGTGTGCATCGCCAGTCCAACCCAACCGCTCGTCACGCTGAGGGCAATCCGTCGGGATAGAAATGAAATTGCCTCTCATTGACCATAGGACATTTTGATGGAATCTATTGAGCAGCGCGTGGGAGCATTCGAACCAGCCTGTACGTTCCATATCACTATGAACAACGACTGCTGTGATAGAATTTTCGTCCAGTGGTGTCGATGCTTCCGGCCAGCCGTCTACCTGTGCATATCTAAACCCGTGGGTTGTGAACCGTGGCTCCCAGGTTTGGGTACCATCACCGTTCAGGATGAACGAGTCGGTGGCTTTAGCCAAACGCAATGGGCGAAGGGCAAGCTCACCATTTTCGAGGACTTCGGCATGATGCAAAGTGATATTTGTGCCTCTGGGCCCGGACACTGAAATCCTAAGCCTACCGGCTACATTCTGGCCAAAATCGATTAGAGTCTTGTCTGATGGAGATTTGAAGATCTTCTGCGGTTTAACCTCCTCGACCCTCCTGACTGGCGGGCCGTCAGGGGGGGTTAGCTTCCCTTTCAGCGTGGGCAATTTCTTGACTGCCAGCCAATTGGTACCATTGAAAAAACCCGAGGACCATCCGGCAATGTTGGCTTCAAGCCGTGAATCGTATGTCTCCCCGTTATAGATCTCAGAAGACACTGTGGGCCCGGTGTTTGCCTGCCAAGATGCATCGGTCGGGATCTCAAGTTTGGTTCCGTCTTCCAGCGTAACGACAAGCAATGAGAGAAGGCCAATTGTGTCTCCATAGTTATTCCTATACTTTCCACCGAAACTAAGGATACCAGAGAACCAACCCTCTGCGACGGTAGCACCGATTCCGTTGTTGCCTCGCTTGATAAGGTCGGTCACATCATATGTATCGTAGACATGCCGATTATTGTATGATTGCCACCCAGGTGCCATAACACGGTCGCCCACTCTTTCTCCGTTAATCTCCGCCTCGTAGACGCCTAGAGCGGTGATATACAGTCGGGCGGATTTGATTTCTTGGTCCACAGCAAAGGACTTTCTAAAGTATATCGGACGCTTAGGTCCATTCAACTCAGTCTCGCGGTCAGCAGCAATAGGGGTTGCCCTACCCCAGTCCGTCTCGTTCAATAACCCGGGCTCAACTGCCACCCAGTCAGACCAAGGTGTAGATGATTGATCCTGCATGCCATGGGCTCGTGCTCGGACTCTAGCCTCCTCGGCTGTTTCCAGAGCAGTGTCTGGCCATGGGACGAGAATTGAGTCGGACGAATTGACAGAGTAGACTTGAGGTACGCCGTTTCGTAGTATCTCGATATCATAACCTGCTTGTGTCCAGTTGGTTGCAACACCCTCGAACCGCCAGGAGATCCGAGGTTTAGACTCGGCAATTCCCAAGGGTTCGCGATGGTGCTCGAACGATAGCTGCGATATCGAGACCGCCATCCTTAAAACGAAAAGAAAAAAGTTGGTTCAGGTCAGTCTCCACATGGACCTTTCTCGTGCCTGAAGAATACGAGGTGGGTATTGTGATAACTGACGAGACCGGTGTTCAAATACCCCACATAAGACTTCGAGAAAGGCACAACATATCTATTCGCACGCTTGCTATTGACCCGAGCGCCGACGGTCTCGGTCATCTAGCTGCAGCAAATATCTAGCCCTCATGCCTGGGGTACCCTCCGGGAATTTCTCCGATCGACGATGTGCCAATTGCTATTCAACAACGATTGATGATGTTCTTCATTCTAGTCCCAATTGAGGACTCACTCCTAGGGTATGGCGGAATTTGCCGGCTTCCCTGCATTGATAATGTGGGGTATCAGTGACACAGACTCGATAATCCTGCGGGGAATCTGGGGAGCAGCTGATATTGACTGCCGATCCTCGGGTTCTCCGAGCAGAGAGTCGTTTATTATGACCCGACTAGTCTTGGCCTTCGGAGTGCATTGCGCCGAGGGTAGGCTGCCGCATAAAGGATCATGTCGACCTATTAGACTTTCATGGCAGAGAGTTTGCTTGGACCAGGAAGAGCAGAAAAGAAGGAGACAAGGGAATCGAAGATGTGGAGGTCCGGCGTATAGCAGTCAGTAGTGTGGTTTGGTTTACTTCGCAGTCTCTCAAGAATTCGTCCTATTACGAATTATTCCATGCGATACTTCAACAGTACACAGTACTCCCTCTGATTCATCCTATGCTTGCAACGGGTTTCCTAACACAAAATTAGAAGTGGAGCCATTAGTCACCTTGTGTCGGACATGTTGTTGTATAGATCATTAACATTACCTGTTTCCAAATTTGATCTTGTCTAACCTACAATAGTCCTATACAAACCTAAGTATTTTCTGATATCTAGGAGGAAGTTGGACAAGAAAGACAGGAGGAAGTCAAACCTACCGAGCTTCGTGGTGGCCTGTGGAACTGTACGTTCCCTTTTAGTCGGACAGCTTGCTTGCGGTAATGCAAGAAAGAACAGAAAGCTTTGTATAAAGGCTCCATGAACGCTGTTTGCGTCATCTAACAAGCAGGCTAGCAACATGCATTACGGAATCCCGTTCCCACAGCGTGCAGGCTGCGGTTATACTGAAGTTACTATGGCCGGGCATCGGCAAAATTGACGGAGTCTGCTCCGTCTCCGAGTCGGAAGGAGTTAGAGCTTGTCGGGTAATTCTGATATCCAGATTTATCTTCTGGGTGGGTCGTCATGCATCAGTCAGACCATGTAGGATAGATTGCAGCAGAACCCCTCAGTGTCGTCTCCACTTTTGTCTTACCTGTGTATATCCTGCTTAAATACTGCCTCGAAGGGAATCGCCAAGCAGAGTCCATCTGCTTCTCCTTGTCAGAGGATCCACGCATATATACGTCACCAAAACTATGATTCTCGGCTTCGTGATAGCTAGCCTAAGTCAGGCGGCTGTAGCTGCGGCATCTCTACAGATTGTGAGCATCTACTTGCAGCCGAATTCGTATTGTTCTATGCTAAATTGAACTCAGGTCCCTGGTGCTACGTGGACCGCGGCGGGCACCAACCAGCATGTGCAGGCTCATGGTGGAGGTATGGGACATACAAATAATTCAGCTATTCTCAAGCACTGACTCGTACAACTACCGGGACCTAGGGATTATCGAAGTCGATTCGACGTACTACTGGATCGGCGAAAACAAGCTGGATGGAAGCTCTTTTCAGTCTGTCAATTGCTACTCGAGCAAAGTTAGTCCGAACTCGAAATGCCTTTTTTATACGACTGACTTTGCATCTAATCATTCCGACGATAGAACTTGGTAGAGTGGACGTTTGTCGGAGAGCTCCTTTCCCGTCAGAACAGTGGAGACCTCGGCCCCGATCGCATCGTCGAGCGACCGAAGGTGATCTACAATGACGCCACATCGAAGTACGTATTATGGATGCACATCGATAGCAGTGACTATGGCGAGGCAAAAACCGGTGTTGCAACGTCTTCCAGTGTTTGCGGCACATATGAATATCTGTAAGTGCGCCCTTCGCCAACTCACAATGTCTTCGGTTCTTGGACTGATGGACGTGTGTATTTAGAGGCTCATTCCAGCCTCTCGGGCATCAATCTCGAGATATGGGTCTTTACAAGGATGACGATGGCACGGGATATCTTTTGACTGAGGACGTAAGTGACGGGTCGTATCGACGTAGAATTGCAACTGCATATAGCTCAACCCTCATTAGCGCCCGAATGGCCTGAGAATCAACAAGTTGACTGATGATTTCACCAACGTCACGGAAACCATTCATCTCTTTCCAGAACACGTGGAAGCCCCAGCGTTATACAAACAGGACGGAGTGTACTTCTTATTTGGCTCTCAGTTAACAGGTTTTTCTTCCATTCCCCTTATTCGTCCCAAGACTCCTATTGTTGGCTAACGGATGATATAGGATGGTGTATGTCTTTTCATGTTACTTAGCTCCAAATAGTCAGACGGACTAACTATTTGAACAGCGAACAACGATAATAAATATGTTACTGCAACAAACCTCAGTGGGCCCTGGACAAACTGGGCCGACTTCGCGCCAAGTGGAGCCAACACATTCGAGTCTCAAACAACTTTCGTCCTAGGAGTCGGCGATTCTGTAATGTAAGTGCATTCTACCAAATGTACCGTAAGGCTTCGATCTCTAACATCCTCAGGTACATGGGCGATCGCTGGGACTCTTCCAATCTCATGAGATCTACCTATATTTGGCTTCCCTTGACAATTGAAGGCACTACGGCGACTCTGGTATGAAATCATCCGCTGCTCCGATAGCCTTCCAATAGACTACAGTTCTAACATTGTCGATATTTACACAGCACGACGAATCCGCCTGGGTTCTACCACTTGACGGAACCTGGTCCTCCGCCGGAGATAACACCATCTACGAAGCCGAATCATCCGACAATGCCCTTTCTAACGGTGCCAAGATTATTTCCTGCAGCGGCTGCTCTGGTGGGAAGTCTGTTGGTTACATCGGTGGTACCGACGACGGAACAGTGGAAATCAGCAACGTGGCCAGCGCGGCGTCAACCGATACCACTATCCGTGTCCGGTATGCGAACGGAAATAATTCCCAGCGCTACGCCAATGTCACTGTGAATGGCCAATCTCATGTGCTTGCGTTTCTTCCCTCTGGAAGTGGGAATACGCCTTTCACGTCGACCCTCCATACTACATTAACGAAGGGAGATGCAAACACCATCACCTTCAGCGCGTATGAGGAAGGATGGGGTAAGTTGCTTTCCTCTTTCCGCGTCCATGAATCACTAACTAAATGGCAATTATTAGGTCCCGATATTGACCAATTGGTTATTTCAAAGTAGAAACATTTGTGGACAAGGTAATGAACTTGAGAAGAGTAATTCGGTTATAGGATGGTACATCCTGCTGGTCTCAAACGAACGCTTGAATATATTGGGATATGAGCATGTGATCGCACCATACCCTACATTCTGGTGATTGTTCTTGTCGATATTCTATCTTATTGCAATTCCTTCCTAAGCTTAGAAAATTGTCTATATGCCGAACGCTCATCGGGAAAGATAACCGGGAAACGGATGATTCAACGCCAGGGGGCATAATCATTTCACGGCGTAACTGACACGAGACTTCCCCGACTTCCTAGAGATCTTCGTAACGCTAGTTGGTCCACACAAATCCGTAGTATCGACATGCGTTCCTCCACAGGGATAAACCTCCGTGCCGACAATGTTAACCACGCGGAATTTCTCTCCCGGCATCAGGCTACGGTCGGGAATCAGTCTTTCCAGACCCTTTTCCCGAAACATGGCTTCATCCCACCACTCAACTTGAACCTGGCGCTTGTCGGCAATATAATCATATACCCGTTTCTGAATCGGCTCCTTCCACTTCCCTTCGATTAGACCTTGAAATTCACAAGAGGCCGAGCCCGGGAAATGAGACGCCTTTAGTTCATCAAAGCCCTCAACCTCTTTTTCCAGGAGATGCCTCACAGCTGCACCAAGGACATGACCTGCGGTGTGAAGCCGCGAATGTAGTAGACGCTTCTCGGCGTCGACTTCCTGTCGGACGGTCTCGCCCTGCGTAAAGATCGGTGGCGAACTATCCCCAAATTTCCCGAGGTGCAGGACCTGACCTTGTCCGGTCGCATCCATGCGAACGGCTGTCACTGTAAATGTGGTTCCTGCGGACCCTGTCATTGTGCCCACGTCGGAGGGCTGGCCGCCCCCTTGAGGATGGAAGATGGTCTGTTCTGTGGCGACGACATGGTCATCATCTTTTCCCGCGGGGAAAAGCTGACGGTTGGGATCTTCTAGTTCGTTGAAGCGATATACTGTTGTGACCGGTGTGTCGAGGGTGAGAAGGTTCCAGTCATGCTGGTATGCGAGGAAGGTCCGGCTAGACGCGGCCATTGTAATTTTGCGTGCGGAAGAATGTAGCCAAGAGTTGTCACAACCTAGGTTGCGGGGTTGACTGGAGTCTCGAGGTTGTGGGCGCAGATTTCGTGGATTGGCCGACGCGGGGAAGGAGATCTTACCCGATTAATGCAACCGGGAGAGGAACGTTGTCCAACTCTACCAACCCTACTTTTATGGAGTCTAGGGATAAATGTGGGTGGCTCAATTGGACTTGATGGAGGGAGACTATGGACGGGGAGGGAAGGAGGTTGCGACCTTTGTGGGCCCATCCGTCGCCAAGCCGAGGAAATACAGCAAAAACCAGTTAATTACCAGGGGCCAGATGATCTACGAAGTACAACCGGTAGGTGACCGGCCCGGTGAGCATCATGAGTACGATTGTGGGACTCACGCGGGGTAAAACGAGAGAATCAGGTCTCTTCAACGTCAAGGTCCGCTATATTATGCTAGATAAGCGTAGAGGCGCGATTAAGCTTACGATGGCATTATGGCCTGAGCGTGATAAGCTTGTCTAAAGCCTGTAGGAAGTGTAGAAAACCATTCGCATTGTGTTTGTCTCCCTTCTGCTATAGATTACCCGAAGAAACCTATACTCCGTATATAGCCGTCTGATACTGTATGTACACTGGTAACCTCGTATGGCAGGCTCTGGGTCTATAACAACAGCTATGTGAACTACTGTCTGCCTGAATTAGATATTGGTAACGTGATGGTTTAGCCCTAGCCTTCGAAAACAGTGGAGAAATAAAGGTGCAAGACGCGGGGTTGAAAATGGTTGTTCTCTGCACCGAGCGCGGCCGGTACCCTCCGTAAATTACAGTAAGAATGCTAGAAATGAGGTACGTATACGAGCGAGCTAATCCGCAATCGACTTCTGATTTGTCGCCCTAACCATGTCCACTATAGTTGGTACGTGCATTACACCGATAAAATTGAGAAACATAGTCAAAGACCCACGGTATTTTTGAGCAAAGAGATAAGTAGCATTCTTTTCCAGAAAATGGCAGTCAACCAGGTGAATTTGGGGGTTAGCATACCGGTTGCGGGAGGGATATCGCGGGAGACTGAGCGGACCATGTGGGGGAGCAAAACTTGGACAATCGATCTAATTTACGGTCAGCAACTCGTATAGCTTTTCCCCGGATCTTGAAGTTGTGGATATGATAGTGGGCTTTCTTTTTGGGTAGCCTAGGCGATGTGGGGACGAAATACGTTGGATTATATTTGCACATGAAGTAGATATTGGGTAATAATGAGAACGCTTGATAAGAGAGTCTAGGATCTGCGTCAAGTCGTGTTCTATTGCCATCCAATCCAGTGATATCTTAACTTATCCATATCTCCACATCCATCCGTACGTATATTTGAACATGGCCCACCTCCTAGTCAATGTATTCTACTTTAGCTGCCCTTGACGCTTCACATTATTCTCCCTCTCACAATTGTACATAGCTGTGAAGCATCGGGTATCATTATGACTAGCTCTGAACAAGAGGCCAAAGAAGGCAATGACGCAAAGAATGCACTGTCGAACAACACGGATGCCTCTGCTGGGGACGTTGAGGAGGCAAATGGCAATAACCTAAAGAGGGCCCTCGAAGGCCGGCACGTACAGATGATCGCTATTGTGAGTCAACATCATCCGCATCGGTAGTTTTCTGTAATCGATGAATATATCGATACCTCTAGCAAGAATCCAATCTCTTGGTTGGGGTTCGTGCACAATGGTCCAAGCGTACTAACCATGAACCGTCTCTCTAGGGTGGTGCAATTGGTGCAGGTCTTTTTGTGGGCTCGGGTGAAGCACTTGCAAATGGTGGCCCTGCTTCCGTCCTGATAGGGTATCTTGTTGTTGGAGTTCTACTGCTGTGCACAATCATGTCGCTCGGGGAACTAGCCATCATGTATCCGATTAATGGAGCTTTTTACCAATACAGCGCTAGGTTCATAGATCCTTGCTGGTTAGTCCTAGGCTCATACCCCATCCACATGTCTGGGTCATTACTAACAGGCCCAACTTATATAGGGGTTTTGCAGTCGGCTGGGCGTATTCTCTCGGCTGGATGGTCACTTTGTATGCATCACGACATCATGAATCTTGGTTTCCAAGACTAACACATTCAAATACAGACCTTTTGAAATCACTGCAGCCAGCTTAACGATCGAGTACTGGAATTCGAGTCTGAATCCCGCAATCTTCGTTAGTATTTTCCTAATAGTGCTGGTCATAATTCAAGTGTTTGGAGTACGCGGTTACGGCGAGGGTCAGTCATCCTCAAGCTCCCCTTAAACGAGGAAACATGCAAGCTCACAGTGTGTCTACAGTGGAGTTCGTTCTTTCTATAATCAAGGTAATAGCCTGTATAGGGCTGATTATTCTGGGGATCATCATCAATACCGGTGGCGTCCCCGGCAGTCCGCAAGGATATATTGGTGGACGGTATTGGAGTGATCCGGGTGCTTTTGCAAACGGATTTAAAGGTTTCTGCGCGGTATTCGTAAATGCGGTAAGCAGGAAATCTTCCAGTGATATCATCGTACTGACCATTGTCAAGGCAGTAGCTTTCAGTGGCACGGAACTGGTCGGTCTGGCCGCAGCAGAGACAAAGCAACCCCAGAAATCCCTTCCCACGGCCACAAAGCAAGTCCTGTGGCGCGTGACAATATTCTACATTGTGAATCTCCTCATTGTCGGTCTCAACGTTCCATACAATAGTCCCCAGTTGCTCGGTTCGGATGACGCAGCCAGTTCTGCTGGAGTCAACACAAACGCCAGTCCTTTTGTCCTCGCGATTCAGGATGCTGGTATCCACGTTCTGCCCTCAATTATCAACGCCGTTGTCTTAATTGCTAGTCTGAGTGTGGCGAATTCGTCTACATTCGCCTCAACAAGAACCCTACAAGCGCTAGCAGCCGATGGAGGTGCCCCATCATTTTTCGCCTATATTGACAAGGCCGGTCGACCACTAGCTCCAATCGCTCTCCAGGTGCTCTTCGGCTTCCTGGCATACCTCCAGTTTGCATCATCCGGACTTGATGTATTCAATTGGCTACTTTCTATTGCTGGCGTCTCAACCGTAATGATGAACCTGAGCATCAACATCGCCCACCTCCGGTTCCGTCTCGCCCTGAAGGCCCAGAATCGGAGTACAGATGAGATTCCGTGGAAGTCCTCCATGGGTATAGTGGGAAGCTCCATCGGTGCCTTTCTTTCTGCTATATCTCTTGTGGCAATGTTCTATTCCGCACTATACGTGAGTTCCACCCCTTCCAGAGCCAAGCGCTCTGTTTACCGTTCCTCGTATCCTGGAGAAAAGGAAATGCTAACCTTTCCATCACTAGGCACCTGGTGGAGACCCTCCTACTGCGTACAATTTCTTCCAGCAATATCTCGCTGGATTCTTGGGCCTCTTTCTGATGATTTTCTGGAAACTGTGGAATCGGCAATGGTGGGTTGGAGTCCCGCTCCGCCAGATTGATCTAGACTCTGGCAGACGGTACATGGAAATCGAACAGCTTACTCCAGGTGAAACCGGAGAAAGCCTTCCCTGGTGGAAGAGAGCAAAAGAGGCAATATGCTAAGGGACAGTGTCGAGGTAAATATTTCACGACTTACGTGCTACGATCGTGTGAGCGAAGCCGGAGCCGCCCACCGGAGAACATCACGCTAGGTGAGATAGCGGTTGGGTTGGCTGGAGATCGAGCTCATTTTGATACTATCATTCATTTTATTTCGATGACTCCAACATAGATAGCGTCTGGCCAGACAGTGTATACTGCTGCACGTAAAAAAGCAACATTGAATCGCTTCACGATTTCTACTCCAAATTCAATACATAACTAGAGCTTGCAGATGACTCCGGAAGAATCGACAGTGGCTAGATGACTTCGACTAATATCTTTAATACTTCTGCAACTGTTCCAAGTATCAGCATCAGACCCTGGGAAACGGTAAGTCACTTACCCAGCGAGGGCCATCGTCACTTTTAATTCCGTCAGAAGAATCTTGACCGCGAGCTCTACGCCCTTTTTACCATTATACTACAAATATTGTCAATCATAATACTCCGGTTACCGGACATCCAACATACCGCCAAGCCCCATAGAGGAACACGACCGACAAAGCAATGTTGCGCGCCAAGGGCTAGGGCCTTGAAGATGTCTGATCCTCGCCGAATACCCCCGTCGATTGCAATCGGAATCCTCCCTTTGGCAATCGGCGCACATTCACGGAGAACATCAAGTGTGGCAGGAACGCCATCCAACTGACGGCCGCCGTGATTTGAGATGATAATACCGTCGAACCCGTGCTCGATAGCTAGAATGACATCCTCCGGGGTGTAGATACCTTTGGCCCAGATCTTCATGTTGGTGATTGAGCGGACCCACGATATCGCCTCGCACCATGTAATCTCGGTGTCTTACATATTGTTAGATCTGTCTGCCGATGTGCTGTGGTGTGTAGGCTAAGGTAATAAAGGGAAAGTCATCATACCGTATTCAATATCTGGGAATTCCTCTCCCAACCCGAAGGGCTTCGAAGGGTCCGGTGAGAGATTAGGGTATGCCATCCCCGTAGGGAGTGCGAAGTTATTTCGATTCTCGTTATATCTGATCCCCAAAACTGAGCAGTCTACCGTCAGGAAGATTGCCTTGTACCCGGCAGCTAGGATGAATTAGCCTACTGTTGCCAGGAGTCGTGTAATGGAGGCGGTACCTTCGGCGCGTCTAATCATTTGGGCCGCGATGCTGCGATCTTTGGGGATGGCCAGCTGAATTGCATAGGGATTGTGACCAGTACCTTGCGCAGCAACATCCTCTAGTGGCGTAGAAGCATATGAGGAGAGAGCCATGCCGATGCCCATATTCGCTGCAGCCTGTGATGTTGCAAACTCTCCGTCGGGATGAGCCAGCTTATGCAATGCAGTTGGAGAGAAACCCAGGGGAAATGTGACCTTGGATCCAAAGAGCTCCGCGGAAGTATCTAACTCATGGATCTTTACAAGAACACGGGGACGAATCTTGTAGCGGTCAAAGGCAGTCACATTGTCGCGCAGACTGAGTGGTTTGTTACTTTTACGTATTGTGGAAGTATCTAATTTGTTGAAAGCCTACCTAATCATGTCCGTGGCTCCATCATTGTAATACTCGCGGTATACCTTGGGTAGCTTCATGCTTGCCTCACGTTGAAGATCAACGATTGAGAGGACATTTTTATCGTAAACAGGAGGGCGGATACTCATTGTTGGTTTGTTCAAATGGCAAATGCACAACAGGTTGAGAGGAGATTAGCACCGGTTTGCGACACAGATTATATACTAGTTTCTGTTACATGTGTTGCAGTACACGTAAAGTAGAGGACCAAAAAGACAGCACATAGTGTTTGGCGTGAAGGGAAGGACAGTCCGTATGTCGACCTACAATACATCCATGACAATGATATCTTTGCCATTGTCATCTAGACTTACCAATGTTAGTTTGAGGCTACTCTTATCTTGCATAAGCCGGAACCCGAACGGAGTTGCCTACAGAATATTAAGCCCAGACTAAAAGAACAACCCCAGTGGAGCTAGCGATAATCATCCTTATTTTAGTTATCTGGACGAAGGCAAGACTCTCCGACGGACTCGAATAATTGGTCGGCCCATACCAAGCCGACCCACATTCATACACTAAGGCTTCCTTCGGAAGGGCAACTTCCTCGGTTCTCAAAACATTCAACTGGTGACCATGGACAATATACTGTTATCGTTCATATGAGCCACATTGCACTGTATCAACGATCACGGTGTCCCTTGTGCACCTATAACCCATGTTGTTGTCGGGGAGCCAGGATCATCTCGGATATCATCCTCGACTAAGATCCAGCCTAGAATTTCAGATCAACCCAAACGACTGTCTCCTCGCATAATTAGTTGGTCAGTTCTTGATATTAGAATATTGAGCAATAATACTTAGGTAGCTATGTAGAAGAGAGTGGATACATGGTGACCTCATTAGCTTCTCTTTAGTTGCCTATTCCAACTGGAAAATCAGCTCAGGTAATGATTTTCTGTTACGTTATATATTTTCCATCGGGCAAGAGATAGCGATCAGGTTTAGGCACGCTCACTACTCGATCCTTGCGAACAAATATTTAAGAAATATCTATTAAGCTTGGTGTGATGAATAAAAAGTGTCAAATATAATTAACAAAGGAATAATCTCCCATAATAGCGCTAGAAACTCTTTGCAGTCAAAGTTGGACTTGGATTCACGTGCCACAAGGGAGACACGGGTTCTGCCGCACCCTAAATACCCCACAATTTACCAGGACGTCACTCAATCGAATACATATGCTTCAAAGAGTTTGAGACCATGGCCAACCTGCTGCGCAGATATGTTGCACCCAGGGAAACCGCTCGTCATATCGCGACGATCCTGGGGTTTCCCTCTAAGGTTTCAATTGCTGCCAACTACTACGAGGACGCCTGCAAGGAGATCGCGAGTCTAGCCTCTGCGATCTCCGCGTTTGAGCCTGTGCGCCTATACACGCGCCCAGAAGATGTCCCGAAAGCACGAGCTCTGGTCAGCAAAAGTATTGCCAATTTTAACGGCACAGATTCAAACATCAGCATCATTCCGTTCAGCACAAACCATTTGTGGGTCCGCGACACCGGTCCCGTCTACGTCTATGGGACTGGCGCGCATGCTAAGGATCGCTTTGCTGTCAACTTTCGATTCAGTGAATGGGGTAAGAAAGACGATATCGGCGACCATTACCGAGCTACAGATGGACTGGACTGGCCCGTGATGGGACCTGAGCAAATCAAAGAGAATGCAATTTTCGCTCGACAAGTCATTGCCCACGATGTTTCTCCAGCTACAGTCGTTGAGGTCGAGTCCAAAGTGTGCTTAGAGGGGGGCGCATTAGTTCTAGATGGTGATGGCACGCTCCTCGCGACGGAGAGCAGCATTCTGAACGAGAACCGCAACCCGGGTCTTTCTCGTGCTGATATCGAAGAGGAGCTGCACCGTCTGTTGGGCGTTGAGAAGATTATTTGGTTCCCTGGCAAGCGAGATCTCGATGTCACCGATGTCCACGCCGATGCCGAGCTTAACTTTGTTCGACCGGGTGTGGTGGTCCTCTCCAGGCCGCACCCCAGTGTACCGAAGCCTTGGCAAGATGTGCACAACGAGATCCGAGATACTTTGGATCGGGAAGTCGATGCAAGGGGGCGTCGCTTTGAGGTGCACATCGTGGAGGAGCCGGATCCCACTATATTTGGAGATTCATCCTATCCTGACCCGGCAACGAATTATGTCAACTTCTACTTTGTCAATGGTGGCCTCATCCTCCCTCAATTTGGGGATGTCGTCCGAGACTCAGAGGCCATTTCCACCTTGCAAAGACTGTGCCCTGAACATAAAGTCACACCAGTACCTGTCCGTGCCCTCCCATTGGCTGGCGGTGTTATACACTGCTCGACCCAGCCTGTCGTTGCGGTCGGCGAGCATTGAAAATATTGATATTGCGAAGTTGACTTTCCCTAAGCAAGAGTACCTATATTGCTCATCTGGCCTTATTGGATTATAATATGGCATAATATGACTATCTCCGCTCTATCGTCATTATTTATTCATCACGTGCGTTCCTGGGCCAGGGAGGAAAAGCTCACGTATATAAACCCTGGTTGAATCAATAATAGTATTTTTGATCCATCGAACTTTAAGGGTCAATAATGATCCGTTTCTAGTGGACTATGCTTGTATGACTTCCGTAAATAAGTGTTTCCTTAACCACACGGGTGGTAATGACGCCTTATCCAACGGGTAGGTACTATAGTATGCAAGCATTATTATATCATTTGCCAGTCACTCAAAGACTCCTAGATCTTAACTCATGAATCATGCCCACTGGTATCCATTACTCCCGGTAGTCGACCCATCATACTGATACTTCTCCTCCATCTCGTAATACCTATTGAATCCGACACCTTCACAGACCTCATCGTACGACAACACCGTAGGCGGCTTTCCCACCATGAATGACCCCTTAATGGCCTCCAGTGTCTCCCGAATACTCTTCAATTTAGCCGCCACCAGTGTCCAGGGATACGCAACGGCAGAGTATCCCAGCTCAGCCAAATCTTTAGCCGAGAGGTTTTCCGTCTTTCCGCCTTCGATGATATTCGCAAACACAGGGAAGTCGAGGTCCTTTCGTAGACGCAACATCGTTTCACGGTTGGGGAGGGCTTCGACGAAGACGCAATCCACACCAATCTTGATAGCCTCCCGAGCTCTTTCCAGGGCTTCATCGTAGCCGTGGATGAGGCTATCGGTTCGTGCCATGATCCAGATATCGAGGCCTTCATTACGGGCGTCGACGGCTGCGCGCCAGCGGGCATAGGCTTCGCTTCGGGAGACGACGGCTTTACCTTTTGTGTGGCCGCAACCTGTAGATTGTTATCTTCATCGTCCTTTCAGACAGAAACATTGTTTTATCTAGGTAGTGAACTCACGTTTTGGCCACGTTTGGTCTTCAATCATAATGCCCGCTGCACCAGCTCGTGCAAACCTGTTACAATCCATTAGCACCCGACCATACAAGTAAATAAAATTATAAAAGACAGGTACATACCCCTCAACCGTCCTCCTTACATTCATAGGCCCCCCATATCCAGTATCACCATCGACAAGAACGGGCACGTTAGTCGCCCTCACGACTTCCTGGACCTTGGCCGCCACTTCCTGGAAGGCAATGTACCCCGTATCCGGGAGTGCAAAGGCCGATGCCATTGCGTATCCCGCAAGGAAGATGATGGGAAACCCCGCTTCTTCGCACAACTTGGAACTCAAAGCGTCATAGCTGCAAACGTGGGCAACGATTTTGCTTGGATCATTGTGGGCTTCGAGAACCATGCTGCGGAGGCGGGAGGCTTGGAGGGAAGGGATCTTGCCCCGGCTGTTTGGAATGGTGACTGGTATGTCCTGTGTCTTGCCATCGGTGTTTGTTTGTACTGGTGTGCTGGAATCGAAGTGGAAGGGGTAGCGGTTTGTGTTGACGATTGATTTTGACATTGTTATGGTTCGGTTTCGAGTCTTGTTGGTTGCGGTTTCGTGATTTTATGTGTCGGGTAGGTTGGTAGGTGAGAGAACTTGTATATCTCGACTGCACGGCGGAGAAAAATGATTCGAAGACGTACACCTTTTAAACGTACAAGTATATGAAGTTCAATGACTCCGATCTCGGAGTATAGGACAGCAAAAGTGTCCTTTCATTGCTAGCTAGAGCAAGTACGTGGATGCGTTGTGGATAAGCAGATTGTTCTTCCCGAACTCTTCGGTCTTCGGGTCGGATAAGCGCGGTACATGAGCGATGCCGAAGAGGAGCTACAACCGGTCCTATCCGGGAGGGAAATGCTGATTCGCGACACGTTTTCACTGGAAAGGCGGGACTGGATGGAATGATTGCATAATTCTCGTTGCTATATCTATTTGCTACGAAATAAAGTCGCTCATTCACCTCCTACCTGCGGCAAATTCAACAGGAAATCCAACGAATCAAGCTCCAACCCGATGGAGACGCCCTCGCCGTTGAAATTGAACGGCGCAATATTCGGGTCAAATGGCTGGGCCCACCATGAGTTCATCTCCGGCGTCACAAAAGCGTCGGTGGACTGGTGGTCTGGGTAACCGCTGGATGCACTGTGCATATGGGGTTGCCCGCGCGGGTGTGCCATGGTTAACGGCTCTGGTGTTTGTACGTTACAGCGATGGTGATCTGGGTTGATGGTCTTGACACACTCAGAGATAAAATTTGCTCGAAACCGATCGACATGCTTTTCTATAAGCCTCGCGTACCGCAGTGAGAAGTCCATGTCGTCTGTACCAGACGAGCGCAAAGCAAGGATACATCGATCTAGTGTGTAGAGAGAGGCTTGTAGATCTGTATGGTGTGCCCCAAGACTTATAGCCTTGAGGAGATAAACTGATGATGAGGTGACACACACAAGAGTGCGTAGTGGTGCGTATCGTAGCATACCATCGGCTGCCATATGAGTGGCAATTTCTAGAACTCTCCTGCTGCTTTGAATAACATCACGAATGAAATCTTGATCGTGGGGCAGAAGACATGTATCGAGTGATTCGCGGCTCGTATCACCCATCCAGCTAACCCCCCTTGCAACAGCCCTCTCAACCACCGCCTGAATGGCAAGGGCACTGGTGTACGCTTTGAGGTGATGGTACTCAATTAACAATAATGGCCTGAGGTCCTTGGGTGTATCTGACTCAGTTTTCATTAATATCTAAGCCGTAGCCGCTGATGGAGAAAGATGACATACCCGTCGCATTGTTGAATTCATCATGCCATTTAGCCAAAGAAGGCGTAAAATGTTGTAATAGAGTATTGTAGTGACCAGATGACAGCTGCTGTTTCACATGGGGAATTGACTGGAAGAACAAGGCCGATGCTGTTTTCATGAGACGAGTCAATTCTGTCCATGATTTCATGTACACCTCCCATTGTCTACTTATAGGGTCCGTTATATTACCCTGCGATGCGTCTGGGATGAAGAGGATGCTGTCGGGAATAGGAGAGGGACAGCCCATTTTGACCGCCATCTGAGTGACATAGGTGTAGAGCAGCTTCCGAGCCCGATACACTCTGACTGTCTGGGAGTTAGCTAAAGGGGGTGTATTGGAGTAACCATCGGCAAATACACCCAGTTCGTAACCTAGAGTCACTCCTGCACCAAGCAGCATCCACGACATGCGTTCTGATCGCTTTGCAGGCTCAAACACATCCTCACGCCATCTAATAAGTGGGACGTCCTCACTTGTCTGAAGTCGATTCCGGCGGTCATACGCAGGTGAGATCAGCTCACCATCCCAGCCCTCTGTCTCGGGCGGAAAATGAACGGACCTTGGATTCCAGTCCGAAATCAAGATGAGACTTTCAATCGAGCCCACAATCCTGGTTTTGGCGGTCGAGTACTTTTCCTGTCCAAACATAATACGGCGGATCAAGAGTTCACAGTACTGCCATAACCGATGGTGAATAAAATGGCTCCGAGAGATTCCACCGGCCCCTGGTAAAACAAAGTATCGCGAAGCTATCATTAACATGGTGCAGCAAAGCATGGGTTCCTCAACGATCAGCTGTTCATGGTTTTTATGATCACAATATGCCACTGTAGGGACTGGCGAAAGAGGTGCTAAATATTTGTAAAACCTGCGTCTGTCAGTTCATCCCTCCCTATCTCTTGGCTGTCCAAGGCACTCGTTGCAGCTAACGAACATACAAGTCGATGTAAGTTACAGCTTCTTGCGCCGTAAACCATCCTTGTCGTACAAATCGACATCTATCCCACAGGTCGAGAACATCTTCGCTGGGGTGGGACAGACCGGAGACCGAAACCAGCCCACTTGCAGAAACAACCGTTGGGCTCTTGTCTCTGATGGTGCCTGCCTGGTCCATTGCGTGGGAGGATGAGGATTCACCTACATCGGCACGGGCAGCATCAAATAGCACATCCAACGCATCGCTAGGTCGCGCCAAAATTGTAGACATTACCCGACCAGAAAGGGATGGATTATCTTGGCCGTCAGATCCAGGTAGATGATGTGGGTCCGGTTCGGATGCAGCAGTCGATATCACCCTCGGTGTCCTATCTTCATGCCGGTGCCCAGTGTCCGATGGTCGCTCCTGTATTCTCGTTCGATGCAAGCTTTCTGGAGCGTGGCCTTGTACCAGTGACCACCTTGGAGCCTGTCGGTGTTTCCCCACCTTTCCGCTCGCCTCGAACACACACTCGCGGTGTTCCCTTTCGCATTTCGCACACGGTGGTTCATCACCAAGGAGACATCGGACCTTGCGAGCGCGGCAACTCACGCACGCCACATAGCTGCGTTTATACGTCTTGCCGGGATTCACATGTGGTCCTTTCGGGTTTCTGGGAGGCATGTTGACCACCATTTCATATCAAGTCGGGTGAAGAGATGCGTTGAGTGGCAAGCGCCACGGATATAAGCGGCATCGATGTGGGGTTGCTGTGCAGCCAACCATTTGGCCCATACATATACCCACTACCCATGTAGCAGTTGTCCTAGTCATAGCATCATTGAAAGTTCTACTTGATAAAAGGAAAAGTTCTACATAATCTTGCTCTTCGATATTAATTTTGTATCTGATTTCTTATACACTGTGGTCACTCGTGACCCACCCTTAGAAAACGAGCACCCCTTTTTTAGCTTAAACTAAACAAGGAAATAGTCGGAAAACAATAAATCTATGAAAAGATGTCTTTCCATTTTTCAACTGCACGGCTACTAAAGCTAATAGTATTATTGCTATAGAAACTGTACTCTGCATGTATACCCAGCCGTGTCATAGAATTTTTCTCTCTTTATTCTAGTTGGCTTATGAAAACTTATTTTGTCTGCGATGTAAAGCCTCATGATTCCCAATAGTAAGATTTCCCTAGTATGATATGTCAGGGTCGTCCCCGACGTTTATGATATTACCTCTAATGATAAGTAGGTATTTCTACTACCTGCAATGAATTAACCGGTTCCTTAGTCCACTTGTCGTGGGCAAGCCCTAACGTCTAGTATCATTAACATGCTCCGTTGTCTCCATAAGGCGAACAATTGTGATTGCATCACGCAACGTCCGGCTCATGTGGCCACGAACGGCTCCCTCTTCCAAAGTCACCAAACCGCCAATGGTGCACCCTTCAGACGAAGCTCCCTGGTCTTTTAGCAAGGCGGGATATATCCCACTTTGCAGCATTCCTATTTGCGATCAATGGTGGCTTGAAGGCTGCTTGCGCATTAGCATGATGGCTAAATGGAATGGACATCTTGACGTCGATCTGTACGTAAGAACATGTAGGATATTAGTCGTGTAATGAGAGTATTGGACTACTCTTCAGGTGGCTGGATCCCCTTATCCACCCTGTCCTTTATGCATCCTGTCATAACTCCATACATTATGAATCAGATGTGCCGAAGCTTTAGGTCGGATTAGGACTCCGATGCCGTCATCCTGTGGATATCGGTGGGTAAGACCTCGGATTTGAAGCTAGTTGGTGTCGTGGAGATATACCTGATAGGAAATGCGTTAAGCCAGCCCATTAATGTTCCCACGGGGATTATTACTTGCTCTGTCTGGCCTTATCCGGATAAAACAACTCCTTTAAGAAAGCTGATTTCAATTTGAGATGTACGCTTGCAGAGAGAAACATACAACGCAGGCCATTCGTGATTGCTAAATACTCCTATCTATCACTATAGCACTCCCATCACTGGCCTAAAGAACCCAGCCACCAGCCTAGTTCGACCCCTAACCTTCCTCCCTGATCATACATCACCAAGTGCCCTGCGTCTTCGATCACTACCACATCTCGAGCACCCAGCTTCTCCTTCAGTCTGTGGGCTGTCTCCACAGGAATCCACCTATCCTCCTTGCCCCAGATGATTCTCACTGGCATTCTCTTGCCTACCTCAGGGTACTTTCCCTCCACTTCATCCGTGTGGCGACTATTTGCCTGAACCATCTGTCTCACAAAGCCCTTCCTCCCTTTCTCACTACTGATCCACGGCCTCTTCAACATCCCCATCGTCTCCTTCCCCAACTCAGTATATGCCGCGTCTCGAATGTATGATTCCACAACTCCCTCAAACACTGGTCCAGTCAACGCGTTAAACACTTCCTCATTGTCCGCCATCAATTTAAACAACGGCTGGCCAAATGGTCCCAATGCAACCACATTAAGCAGACATAGGCTCGCATACTCGCAACCATGTAATATGTGGGCACGCAAGGTCATCAGCCCTCCATGATCATGTGCGATGACATGGGCCTTTGGGTGTTTCCAACCCTGAGCCCAGTAGTGATACAGCGCAGCGAAGACCTCTGACTGCTGCGCCAGATCGGCATCCAATGCGACTTGTTTAGTAATGATATCTTCCTTACCCGGGAGTGGCTGCCCGAGGGGGCTCTCGCCAAAACCGGGGTTGTCGAAGAGGTAGACATGGAAATATCTGGCAAATGATCGTGCGTACGTATCCCAGACTCGTGATGACCAGGGGGTACCATGGACAAAGATCAGCGGTGGTAAGGCATCGTCACCAAGAGCGGTCCACCGGATTTGGTAGCTGTGGGTAGTAGTAGAGTAGTGAAAGATTTGGTTTAAGTGGATGGAATCCATGTTTCTCGATATGGTAATAGAAGTATAGTATACGAGTTTAGTAAAGGAAAATGGAAGTTGGTAGCATGTATATTAACTTAAAAGACCCCATAGGTAACCCCGCAGCATTAGTAATGCGATCAGTCCAAAGTCTGGGGCAACGGACTCCAGACTATCCGAGTGTTAATTGGTAAAGCCTGATTGGCGCTTCGATCTGTTATGTACTATCTTATGTAGAACGCATAGCTACCACACTTACAGATAGCTGAAATGCGCGCGACACACATGTAGATCATTGGCCGGCGTATCTGATATATTGCTAACAATTACTGGCTTCAAAGCAGCTTGTCACCGGAAAGCGCCTGCCTGATATGTCGTAGGGTTGGTGCCCATGGTCCTGAGCCCATTCATAAACTAAGATACCATCTGGTCCTCATGCTCTATGTGTCGGCTTTGTACCCGAGTCGTCCTTTCGGGTTTGCCGATGTAGCAGTAGCCCAGGCATAAATTGTCTAATACCATGTCTAGTAGGGCCCACAGTACTTCTAGCCAATCATAGTGACTAAAACGCTCGGACTATCACCTAGTCCGCTTCCGAAGACACTTACCGCTTCTTTTAAGTTTAAAGGATTTATTCAATCTGCAGGCCCCATGGCCCCTAATTTTTAGGCACTACCACTATTAACTTTCGGGCACTGCAATCCCTAGGATTAGGGCTTAGTCTCTGGATATCTACACCACCACCAATACTACCACGACTATAATAATTAATCACAGTATCCTACTCCACAGTAGTATTTTATAATGCCCTACTCTACTACTATCATGTTAGAGTCTATATAAAAATCATAACTACAAATATGTGGCAGTCTTGGCTTAATGCTAACGCCAAGCGGCCAAGGTTTTCGGTAAAAAAAATGGCTGGTTAGGCTGCGAGATTCAGTCCGCCGGGACCACTGGCCGCTTGCGTCGATGACCAAAAGGAACCCTTAATACACCCCCAAACCTGACATTTCCCCCTTCATATAACTCTTACATAAAACCATGAAGTCTCCAATCCCCGATTATCTGCGACAGGTGTTGGAAAAGGCCCGCCCGGATACCTCCGGAAAGCTTGCCAGCTATATCGATGTGCTGGCTAAAGCGGACCCCTCCAAGATGGCCGTGGCGCTGTCGACCGTAGACGGGAATCTATACTCGGTCGGGGACGACCAGGTTGAGTTCTCCATCCAGTCTATTTCCAAGGCCTTCGTTTATGCCCTGGCCATCAATGATGCCGGGCTGCCACGCGTCTTGGAGAAAATCGGCGTGGAACCATCGGGCGACGCATTCAACAAGCTATCGTTGCAACCCGGCACCCACCGGCCAATGAACCCCATGATCAATGCCGGTGCGATCACCGCCCACACACTGGTGGCAGGGGAGAATGCCACGGTGGAACAACGAGTTGATCGCATATTGAAGGCAGTGTCCAAAGTGGCAGGTCGGAAGTTGCAAGTGGATGAAGAAGTCTACGAGGCCGAGCTCAAGGACGCCAATCGGAATATGGGCATCGGTTACATGCTCAAGGCAGCGGGGATCATCTCGTGTGATCCACAGGAGGCCGTCCGCGGTTATATCCGCCAATGTGCCATTAAGGCCAATGTCCGCGACCTGGCAGTGATGGCAGCAACCCTCGGCAATGCGGGTGTGCATCCCATAACGGGAGAACAGATCATGCCCCACCAAAGCGCCCGCCAGGTCTTGTCGGTCATGACTACCTGTGGCATGTACGATTCCTCTGGTGACTGGGTGTCTCGGGTTGGCATGCCCGCAAAGAGTGGCGTGGCGGGTGGGATCATCGGCACCCTTCCCGGTCAAGTCGGCATTGCCGTCTTCTCGCCGAAGCTGGACGAGCGTGGCAATAGCGTCCGAGGAGTCAAGATGTTTGAGCAGCTCTCATCTGAAATGGGCCTCCACATGATGGACAGCAGCCAGGTGGGTAGAGCCACCGTGCGCACATGGACGATGACGATTGCAGGCGGCGCCGATCAACCACACGAGTGCGAACAGGAGGTACCTGTCTTTGGTCTGCGAGGTGCAGTCCGTTTCGCGGGCTCCGAACGACTTACCCGTGCGATTGTGCGCGAGATCAGCCCTCCAAACCCTGCCGACCCCGGCTCTGGGCGACACACAAACGCTTGTGCCGTCATCTTCATGCTCCGAGATACCTATTCCCTCAATTACGTCGCACTGCGAATTATTAGTGAAGACATCCGTCGCCTTCTTGAGGCAGGTAAAAATGTGGTGGTGATAGACCCTGCCAAGGTCCTTACAATTGACGGGAATCCTGCGTTTGAAGAGAAATCACCCCGTGTGGTCAACGACGAAGCTGAGGCGCGTCATTATATCGGTGGTCAAGGCTGCAGGGCCGTTTCCCATAGTGATGAGCTTTATTGAAGACCGGATACTACCATAGAAAGAGGAGAGAGTTCGGCGTGCTTTTGATTATACAGTAACGGCTTGATAACAACGATATATCCTCGCTGCTTAAAAATCTCTGAATTCAACCGAAACCAGATAGATGAATAAACCGATATTCAAAACGGCACACGGTAGTAGGTTGAGGTAAGAGAGCCAATGAATTTCCATTCCTGAGTCGAATAGTTTAGAATCGTTGAGAACATGCCCACAAACTATGCGGCAGACGACCTGGTAGGCGATTAGTATCACACTGGCAATGGAGCTGAGGAAGCCGCCGTGAGCGGAGAAGTACGTTGTAAAGTGAAGCATGGTCAAGCCGGAGCCAAGTTGCCAGCGATATTTGTGCCAACCTGGGCAAAGCGCAAAGGTCTGCATCTATGTTGTGATTACATGTGTGCTTTGAGACAGCGGACATTGCAGTATATTGAGGGTCAGTTTTGAGTAAAGGTTTGTGGCTATCAACATGTCACAATGCCGACCACAACTATATATATTACCAAACCACTTTCCAATCGTCATGCAACAAAAGGATAACGCCCTCCAACTAAGTCAACAGGCGAAAGTGATTATGCTTATCGCCCACAGCACTAACATCAATGGGACCATCACCCTGTGGCACAGGACCGAATTCCCGATCTCTACGTCTGTTCTCGGCGGCGTAGGAGAAATGGAGGACCAGTCCGACGGGTACAATAATTCCTGTGAGACCACAGCCAATGGCTGTTCCCTTGATGAAGTAAGGTCTATGATACGTTAGTCCATATGAGTGACAATATTTTAGAAGTAGGTCGTCATTAGGATCTAGGGGAAGGCAGTGAACGTACGCAGCGCTATTGGGATACATAAAGGAGGCCAAGAATGAAGAGCATTGACCGATAATCGCGAGCAATGACATTCCAATTCCCTTCTTCGTGTCACCAGCATTGTTATTGAGCATCCAGGTCATGTTGATCGCCAATGCAGGGAAGACACCACAGCTAGTGAGCCAAATGGCGACGTACCGCACTGCCGTTCCCGTCTGCGTGGCTAACAGGGCATACCCCACGGTCGCGACACTGGCGGAGATGGCTAGGATCCACCCGCGCGATCCATATCGGTCCGAGAGCCATGCCACAAGTATGCTGGATAGGAACGCACCGAAATATGGTGGTGCAGTAAGGCCCTGTGCCTGCACGGAATCATAGCCCATCTCGTGGACGATGGTGGGAAGAAAGTTGGACAACCCGGCGAAGGAATAGTTGCAACAGAAATGGAGACATGCATGGCAGTAGTTCTTATAGTCCGTCAGACCGGCGAATAATTGAGCTCTGGAAAGTGAGCTCTTGCGCGTTGTGTCGCGAGTTTCCATGCGCTCTACTGCGAAAGTGCGTTCTTCGTTTGTGAAGAACTTCGCGGTCGAGGGAGAGTCCATCAGCACAAACCAGACAATAGGCGCAATGACAATTGACGGCGACCCCTCTGACATAATAAGATTAGCATTTAATTCTACTTGAAGTGCATAGTCGGCTGTAGCTCATTTACCGATCAAAAATATTAACCTCCAGGGCTCCATGTGGGAACGAATTTGGGAGATTCCATATGCGATGGCGCCTGCAATGCAGTTGGCGATGGGGCTGGACCCAAGCAGGATAGAGACACGTGTACCCAGTTCGTGACGTTTATAGCATAGTGATAGGTAGTATGGGACGCCAGCCCCAAATCCTGCCTCCAGGACACCCAGCCCTACTCGGCAAGCGATCAAGCCCGCCATGTTATGGACAAGCCCTGAGCACATTGCGCAAACGCCCCACCTTGGGTTGTCAGTTGGATCTTTCGTTGAGATTTGAAAACAAGTCAGTCCCTTTGGCATGGTGGACGTACAATAGACATAATCCTGTCACGTAGATGTGTGCTGGGAAAACTTTCCAGCAAAGAACTAGCCACTCTAGACAGGTGTATGTAATGTAAAAGGAGTTCAGTACCCAGGACCACTATCCTAGAGTGTTATCAGTAGCTCAAAATTATTATGGGGAGAGTTGACATGCCTGGTAGCTGGTGAGACCAAGGTCCTCCTGCGCCCCCGCAGTCTTTGCATTCCCGATGTTTCCACGGTCAAGGTACGAAATGACATACAAGACCCACACTAGGGGCAGCACCCATATATCATACTAATGTGATATATGAGCCGGGGGACGATCTCCATCGAGAGGCTTATTTACCTTGCGGACAATGCGAGCATTTAACAATCGCATCTGCTCTCTTTGCTCCGCGACATAGTTCTCTCCCGCTTCGATTTTCATGTCGTCCAGGTTCTCCACATGATTGGATGAGCCCATAGTTTGTTTGGCCGTTTTTGTAGCCATAGTCATATTGGAATGGGTAAAGGACGTTATCTAAAAAGAGAAATCTACATGCGGTAGAGATTGGCTTTATATAATAAGCTTCATGCGGAGCTCTGCTGTCTCGGATGTCTCCTATCCAAGCACAGCTTACCCCAGGGTGTGTAACGATAAAGGCCAGATCATATGAGAAAGAGGTCGGGATTGGTATCCAGCTAGCCATGAGACCCTACTTATACGGGCCTACGTAATAGAGCAATCCAGCTGAGAACAAAGAGGTCAGACACTGAGAGACGTAGTGGCTAACAGTAACTTTCCCCATACCCCAGACTTTGTCCAACCCCAGACTTTCCCCACATGAGCTGGTGACGGAATGTACCTTCGCTTACCCACCTTAGAGGATAAGTGGGAAAGCTTAATTCGTACTTCTCAAGAGGGGAAGGCCAGTACAAGGGCGATTCGGACACTCGCGGGTTTTACCGGTTAAGAGAAGTTGTACGGCTATACGAGGGTCGTTCGGCTCTCAGAACGTGGTTTAACATACTACAAGATGCTATGTCCGCTAGAGAATATATGAGCTAAAGTTAACAAAGGACTCCCTGTTGCGGGGTATCATAGTAAAGCTTACGTCAAGAATCACCTCCAATATCTGTGCTACACCGGCAATTTAGGGACATTGATTTCGGCAGATTCTTGAAGCAGCCGATATCGGCTTCCACGAGACAGGTCCTTCACTTCGCTCTGTTTCCCGTGCCAAGCGCAGAGCACATTATAGCAGCTATGACGGGTAGCAGACAGATGTGACGCTGACGTATCTTTCTTATTGGTAACTTTGTTTATCCTTTGCTATTTCCTATCGGGACCGGCGAATGCATCGATAGCTCGGCAGTACTTATATAAAGACAGTATGCCTCAGAAGATAATCAATAAAGCCATGAATAGAGATTGAGATCACTCAGCATCTCATATCTTATGCCTTGGGTCCACTACGTCCTGGGTATAAAATTTAACAGAGAGTATTGCTTCCAGCCTGTAGAGCTATTTCATCAGTGGCCTTCTAATGCTACCCAGTGTAAGAGGAGGAATATCGCGATCGCTTATGTGGAGTTACTCTAATGGCCTATAGAAAGGTGCAGGGCCTAGAAGGAGAAAGTCGTCAGATAATACGTCTGTGGCAAAATCTTCTCTTGGTTCATGGGGATTGCGAATAATCAACCTTCAAAGAAAAGGAAAACATCGAAGAATCTATATAACCTCGGGCCTTCGTGTGCAAAGTAAAGATCTCCGAAGCCGGAGTCCACAAAGCCTCTTTGGTTAAAGTTAAATGGACAGCCTATGGACGCATCATCCGTAGCAGATATCCCTTAGGTTCCCGTCACCCTCTGTGTAGGTGCAGGTTGCGATGCGGGGTGATAGACAAAGAAGGATAACTACTCTGGTCTACTCACAGCACAAGGCTACGATTCGTTCACTTTTGCCAGCGAAATAGGCTGCTTAATGTAGTATTGTGACTTCTTCATACAGTAATCACTAGTTCACTACGTTGTAGTACTAATGAACTCAATAAGGTATCTTATAATATGTTTGGAACTATATCATCATACTATATAGTCACGATGTACAATTTCCTTCAATCCAGTGTATTACTCACACTTGAAGGAGGATGTCTGGTTCCAATCTCCGCCAACGTACGTCGCGCGCTGGGGATATGGACATGTTCTGCGTTGTGCCTGGACACCAAGCGCGGGGGTATCATCGACATACTTGGTAGCAATCAGCTCGGTAGGAGCAGTACCATTTTCGACCCATGCCATCAGAGCCATAATAGCATCATGCTTTCTATCCCGGAAGCCAGGCACACCCCACACGTTACTTCCTGTTAAAGCAGAGGGTTGGTTGGCGGATCCAATATACCAGGGAGCGCCATGCACTGAGCCCGAGCAGTGTTGCATGCCAGGAATGAGGAAGAAACGATAGAAATCATCCAAATCATAACCTAGCGGGATCATAGTTTTCTCAACCTGCTGGTAGTAGTGAATGCTGGATCCGGTTGGGATCTCCCCATCAGCGAATCCATGGTAATGAATCAACTTGCCGCCACGTTGGTAGAATGGGCGCAGGTCATATGTATCTGCGGTAGCATTTCCCGGGTCCAGGAGGTCAGAAAGTTGTATCGTAGCGTAATCCAGATTTTCTGCGGGCCAGCTGGCATCGTTGTACACAAAGTCACGAGGATACGCAATTCCACTAGGCTCATCTACAGAATCGTCGTCTGTGATGATCATCAGAGAAACTTGAGCTTCTGACCCCCAAGCAAAGGAGGGGAAAATGAATGTCTGATTGATATCAACCCAATCATTGTAGACTCGATAGATCGTGTCAAGCTGATCAGCGCTGAAGCAGGTACTGGCGTTGGCTCTGGGGCTGCTGCAAAGCAATGCCTCGAGCCGAAGTTGACAAGCATAACCATCCATTATAATGTTGTCCTTCACACCATCCTGTCCATCACACTGTCGAAGCACTTCAGTGGCCAGGACATCCATCAATTCGGTAGTAACATGGTGAGAGGCGTTGTTCGGCAAGTTATCCAATGCCAGCTTTAGGTCCCAATTTTGCTGATGAGATGTCCACCAAGCACATGCCCCTGCCAGAACACCATCGAAGTCATCGGGGAACATCTGGACCTCTTTCAACCCCTGGCGACCGCCAGTGGAACAGCCGGCGTAGTACGAGTACTCAATATTGTCATTGTAGAATGCTTCTGTTAAAATCTTTCCCAGAGCAACACTGCCATGGAGAGCACGCCAGCCCCAGTCTGTTCTTGTTTCGGGGTTATTCAATGCCCACCCAGCATCACCAGCCTCTTTCACGGAGGAGTTATGCCCGGTGTTTGTTGAAATGACTGCGAAGCCGTAGTTCAACCCAGGTGCCATATCGGCAAACGCAACTTGGCCAGTAAATCCACCATTTCCGTAGGCCATGTAGCGTTTATTCCATGTTTCTGTTGGGAGCCAAAGGCCGAATTCGTAGGAGGATGTAGTGGATGAGCTGACGTTCACGTAGAGTGCGCAGTATTCAGGCAGGTCTGTGTAGTTTCCCAAAGGCCCCTCAAAGGTTTCCGTGGAGGTGAAAGTGCGAGCGTATACGATGCTGACATTGCTAGTGAGATAAGGCGCGAAGAAGCTTGGTTCGCATGTACTGGCAATTGATGCAGCGGGAGCCAATGCGGCAAGGAGCAATGAAGCACGCATTTTATAGTCCAGTTCCAGGCACGACAGCGAAATTAATGACAAGAGGAGAGTGGACGGAACTAGAGTTTCTTCAAGATATACCTCAGGAGATGGGGTAGCCCCTATCCAAAATATATGTAGTAAATATATTCAGCTCGCATACGTATGATAGACGCGTCACCTGCCCAAGTATCTGGGTTAGTGAAGAATGGAACCGTTCGGTATACAGACCATATAGTAGCATGGCTTTTGTAGATCACCGGCGTTCCTCGTCTTCTAGATCAAGGTCTAACCAGTGCGTGAGTGGACCCTGTGGAGTCATCTCAACGAAGGCCGAGCCACCGAGCCGCTGTTGGAAGGCTTCTGGAACACACTACAGAACTCTTCTATTCTACTCCGTAATAACGCCTCCCGTATCTTCGTCAAAGCCAATCCCGCTTGGTATAGATACAGTGCGGGCTAGAGTAACTCTCCACAGTGGAACAAGCAATTGACTTCATGCCCCTGCACTAGTCCACTCTTTTCTAAATTATGTCCCCTTTCTTTTGACGGACATATGCGTATCATTCTCATGGGGTAATGATTGTAGACGATGCCCTAGTAGACCCACCATGATTTCTGCTCGGAGATATATACTAATTGCAATGTCGGGCCTCGGAGGTAACGATCCACTCTGGTGGAGACTAGTCCTCATTCGGCAGTTAAAAGCGGGTCCGTACTAAAGGAGACAAATTCATATCGACAAATATTGTTGCTTTACGTCCACTGTGTCTCTAGGTTCCCCTAAACGCAAGGACTTTACTATTTCTCTCCACTCCCCATTCTCCGACTAATCTCCAAGTTTGAACTATAGCTTTCTTTAATAGGATCCTCGATTTAACTTTTGCGAGAAGCATATATGTGGTACAAACAAACCGAACGATCGGGAAATCCTAAGGCAGCAACACTTATATACAGTTGAAATATCTAGGAGCTGACTCGGGAAATTTTGAACCCACCCGGAACCTTCGTTTGGAAAACGCCGTTTGGATCATATTTTCCTGCAACCTTCTTTAAAAACTTCACCTGTTCTTCCCCAATACTTTGAATGGGATCTTGCCACGAAGCTGCGTAGTTCAGATAAGTGAACGGTACCTTCGTCCCTTGTGCCTCAGTGGTATTCTCAACTGCTGCAATGAACTCCTTGGTCCCATTGAGCATTCGAGCCGAATCGGTTGTATCAGACCACCAATTCGCGATCAGACAGATCACCAGGTCTTTTTCTGGATGAGTACCTGGGGCCAGTCCAAAAGTATCAATAGAGCCGTCTTCGCCTGTCACCGGGGGCACAGCTTGGAAGGTCAGGCTAGATACGAGGCCATCCACACTTGACAGCTCAGTTACTGAACTATTCCAAAGCTGGTAGACATCCTCGAGACCGGTCAGGCTACTTTTGAAGGTCGTTGTGGCCCAAACTCCTCTAGTAGAATGTTAGCCGCGGTCCATCGCTTTCCCGGCACATAAGGCCGTGGTAGGCCAGTCCGTCATGATAGTCGCGTTCCACTTACAGCAAGTTTGCCGGTTGAGCCTCCGACATCTCTTTACTAAAGTCGGAAGAGTTCGAAATCCGCATGGTATTGGAGATCTGCGGCTGGATTTGCGCAAAGCGACGCAGAGAACTGGCGTTGACAACCGGCTTCGAATAAAACATATTGTTTGAGCTCATACGCAGTTCTTTGGCCTTATAGTAAAGGAAACTTTGTTCAATCTCGGCGTCGGGGTCGAAGTTGGCGGGCGTTTTGAACTCTGCAAATGCGGCCAGCTGTGCTGAAACTGCTGATTCTGCATACGCAATACCGCCGCCCCAATATAACCCCTGCTTGAAAGATAGAAGGTCAAATCTAGTCACTACGCCCAGATTATTCTGGCCAGCTTTCAGGGCTGCGAAGAGGTCTGCATTGCTGGTTGCGTTTGCGTTGACGATTTCTCCCGAGGCAAGGACCACTTCCACGTTTGCGACATTATTGGAAGCAAAACCCAGGCGCGGAGAGAAGACCGATAGTCCACCTAGTGATTTCCAGGTATATCAGTTTACGTAATTGGTCGTTGCAAAGAACGACAAAGCTATGAAAAGTGAAGCTTCCATAAACCTACCTCCGGTTAGAAGACCGCCGACTCCAACAGTACCGACACGACCGCCGAGGACAGCAAGTCCACGTTCATCCAAGTACTCATATACCTCAGACCAAAGCGCACCCCCACCAACCGAAGTCACGTTCCCATCTCCATTGACAGAGATATGATTGAGACTTCGCAAATCGAGAGTAATACCCGTGTTTGAATTGGCAAAACCAACATTGGCGGAGTGACCACCTCCCCGCACAGAAAGAATTGCGCCATCAGTAGTTTCAACCTGCTTGATCACCACCGCAACATCCCGTGCGGAGTCTGGACGAACCATGCAGTTGGGCGTCAACCGTTCTTGGACGAAAAAGTACGATGCCACAGCATCATCGTAGCTAGTACTATTTGGAAATGAGACTTGACCAGGTAGGAGCTCCGACAAAGTCACACACACAGCCAAAGAACTGGCTGTGGAGAGTCCCAGAAAGAGAAACAGGAGCAACACGCGGAAAGACATGTTGTCTTTGTCAATGTTGGATACGAATTTGACGACGAGAGAGAGAGCTTTATAACCAATTACAGGGCCTATGGTGACCGAGGCTTTTTCGCACCCCCAGTGCTGACAGACTAACCTGGTAATATAAGTATTCTGTTTACTATACCGCCCCAATGTTGGTCAGGAACATGCAATGCAACACCCCCGACATTTGACCCTAGCCATCTTCATATACGCCGAGAAATTGAATTGAGGGGGCCGAGATGTGGATACCTACGCAATTGCAGCTGCATGTCAGCTGGAAATTCTGGACTAAAGCGCATTAGACTGTCCAAATAAATTAGCAATAAAGGTACTTGATTCGTTGAAGGTACTTTGAATAGTGATTGTTTGGTAGTTATAAACAGGCTGGCGGCCCGAAATACAAGAAATGTGACCATTCAGAACACTGGGAATATATGATATTTTACGATAGTAACTACATAGTGGTTAGTACCATAGAAATCGACTCGCCCGCTTTTCTCACAACTAGGAAAGTTTTTCAGTCGTCTAGCTGGTAGTTACTCATAGGCAAGCTTAACTATTTGATAAAGTTCGACTTTCGGTTGCAGAATCCAAAAACAGAAAAAAAAAAAATAGACGAGAAAAAGAAGAAGAAATTAAAAATATCCATAATGATAATATATAAATAAATCAACCAATAAATCTTGAAATTTCGACCATCTTAGTATTTGGGCAAAATGTTTAAACGTTTCCCATCCCTAGAATCTACAGGTAGAGAGCCGCGAGCCCTGACTGTTTGCTTTTGGGGGCCGTCCTGGTCGGACTTTACCAATATCGCTACTCCACGTGATCTAAGCCCTACAAAATGTATGGCAGGTAGGAAAGGAAGTCGAAATGAACTTGATTCACAGATTTGCGACATTTGTAAATTCTAGACTATGCTTCGTTACCGACCTCGGGAGCTTCCAAGTCCCACATGATCCTTCCCAGGATGGCCAAACTATACAGCGATTGGATTTGATCGAGGCTGCAGGATGACAGCGGTCGACTGGTAGGGCATGCTAAATGATTCATACATCCAGTGGCTACGCATGTCCTCCCTCTCGAGCTTAATATCCCATCGAGTAATAAAAGACGCAATCATCAATTTCATAACATATGTTGCGTGAAGTCGGCCCGGGCTATATAGCCCGAAAATTAAGTTAGTTACTGAAGCCTGAATGTCCAATGTCACATAAGGAGATGCTTACCAGGCGAGTGATCCATAGCCCCAGATCAGATGCTTTTCTGAAACATCCGCAAACATTTTAGTTCGGTCATTAGATTTCCCGTTCACAAAGCGAGCTCCATCGAAGCTATCGGGATTTGGGTATGTACTGGCGTCACGGGTCACGTTCCAGTTAGAAACGCAGACGGTCGCTCCTGCTGGTGCCGTGGTGTTATCGTAGGCAAAGGTATAATCCTGCATGGCCTTTCGACGGATAGCAACTGTAGGCATGGTCGTGTGTTCGGTTAGTGTGATTGGTTAACTGAGGTCGGGGTGGGCGAGTGCATACGTTTGTCAAGACAGTGGAATCTCGCACACTCGCGCATGAAGCTATCCAGGAGGGGCAGACTGCTAATGCTATCAATATCCATCCTATTTCCAATTGATCGGAGTTCCTCGCGGAGGATGTCCTGCCATTCGGGATGGCGGCAAAGCTGGTAAATGAAAATATACAAGTTAACCCAGGGCTGATGTGAGGCAGCAAACCAAAGACCCATTATGGCTTGGCAAAGCGCTTCGGGGGTCCAGTAAGCTCTCTTGTCCTCTGTCTCTGTCATCATGCTGTACAGGATAGTCTGGAAGGCCAAGGTCAGCTGAGTGGGTGGTGCGTCGGCACTTGGAGTGGGCTTCTGACATCTTCCTTGCTTGAGTGCTCATCCCAATCTTGCACTCCGTTCCGAATGATTGGAATCATTTTGGATTGTATAAGCTTCATTGCTTGTCCAAGTTTCGTAACAACGGCATGAATCAATCTATCAAGGCCAACCCAGTTATTATTCAGTCTGAGCGAGGTAGTGCAGTTGATACGCACGGGGAGAGGAACGAAGGAGTTATTTGGAAAAGGCTCATGCAGGTAACAGTCTGTAAAGGGTGCTGGAAGAGGGCTGCTGCGAATTCCGGATCCGAGGCTATCATGACCGAGTTGTTGTTAGGTATCTTTGAGCATGTACTGGGCACTGTTCGTACCTAGTTTCTCGCCAAAGAATATTACCGCCATCAGCCGAGAATTGAACAATTTGCATGTTTCTGCTAGCCCGACACGAATGGGCGCTGTAAAGCATCAGGATAGATCTCAGACCCCGGAATGGATGTGATTTAATTACCGCTGGAGTCAACTGGCGCGGGGCTTAGTTCGTTGTCTAAGAATTTCTGCGCTCGCCTTTGCAGCAAAGAAGAGAGATTGCGCAGGTGCCCCGCTCCCCTAACACTAAGGATCAATCCAAAGAGTCGGGATCGGCTAGAATTTATTTCATTGTGATTGAAGTTGCTTAGAGTACTTTTAAACCCAAACATCTGGATATAGTTAGTTCTACCGGTGGAAACTTATGGGGGATGCCCATACATCTGCATACACGGCCCGCTGGGACAGCAACGGCGTATCGCTCAGCTCAGTCATCTTTTTTGCCGTAGGCTCAATAACAATTGGCTGGGCTCCCCATGGATTGTAGTATTTTCCATTTGACTACGCGTGCGATCAGTCGTTTGATTCCTTCCAGAGAGTGGAAAGGCTCACAAAGTCGTAAAGAGTCCTCAGTAGGGTTGAGGCCCATTTCTTATTTGTCTTTACAGACTTGACGGTATCCTACCAGAGATAGTTAGCTTGAATGGCCTGGCAATTGCCTTAAATAGCACAAGTAATAGACAGAACCTTAAGCAGAAAAAAGACTTCTACGAGGACAAGTAAGATAGATGCCGCGATTGGAAGCCACGAAGGTAGGATTTCGGAAATCATGTTTGCTTGACTGTGACTTGCATATTTGAACGAGGATGCAATATTTAATATATCCAGGATCCGTTCATGAGCCAGAGGCAGAAAGCTCCAATTTTGTAGTTGGTCATTAATACATTAGCTACCTCTCTAGCGCCTCCGAATCGTTGCATATGACCACCTTGGAATTTCAGCTAATCGGAAACCTATTATGATATTACCACTGTTGGTGCATGCCTCAGCGAAAAGGGATCTACATGTAGTGAGATAGCGGATGACTATAGTAGGTAGGAAACATTATGCAGTAATCAGACGTGGCCTGCTGTCCACACAGTCCAGAGGATATCGGGTATGACCAGTAAGCCATGGTTACATAGTTGATTGATTGCTACCTATTGACACTAATCTATTCCCCGACGGAAGTTGTCCGATTGAAAGCAAGCCCCCAAATGAAGCCAATGTATTCACAACGTATCCAGCCGAGTGATCTTGACGAAGATGTCGTCCTGCATAAATGCATGCATTAGTGTCTCGTTAGACCGCATTTTCCAACGAAAGAAAAATAAGAATAAAAAAAACAGCACTAACCATCATGTCATTGGAATCACCGCTTATGGTAGCCTTCGTCCTGTCGGCGTTGGCCCCACACCAAAAGCGGCCTGTCGCACCATTTTCGATCTGGGCAACGACCTGACTGCTGTAGTCCATCAAGGGCATTCGCTCAGTGTCGTCCTGGCCCTGTGCCCGTGCGGCAATTGTTTCTTCAATTGGTTTATACAGAGATTGATCGGGTAGCTTAAAATCTCCAAAATACGTCTGCCCTTGAGTGCGAACCGCACCAGTCGGGATGCATAGAACCTTGACATGAAAGGGGATCAACTCCAGCCGAAGCGTGTCAGCCATGAGCTCCAGTGCTCGTTTCGAGCCGGCATAGGTTCCTAAATCCGACAATCAGCCTTAGTGAATCTTGATTCACACATGCTAAGCGCCAGAAGAACACACAAAAAAAAGAGAACAAGAAAGGAAAAAGAAAGACGAACCCATGAAAGGAACGTTCAGATAGCCGGAGATCGACGTGATGAAAGCGATTGAGCCTTGTGCTTTGATCAACAATGGGACAAAGGCCTTGGTCACTCGCAAAGGCCCCCAAACATTAATATCATAGAGGGCCTTAACTTGCTCCACGTCTTCGTCCAAGTACGGCATGAAGTGATTGCGACCGGCGTTATTGACTAAAACGTCCAAGGTTCCGCCGGTCTGAGCCTCAACTGCCGTTACAGCCGCTTCAATCTGGCTTGGCTCGGTCACGTCTAGCGGCAGCAGGGTGACATTCGACACGCCACTCAGCTTAGTCATTTTGTCCAGATTTCGGGCCGTCGCGAAGACGTGATAGCCTTGTTGGTGGAAAGTGAGTGCCAGACCGGAGCCGATTCCATCATCGCTACATCCGGTAATCAATACCGATTTAGGGGCCATCTTTGCGGGGTTTTTGAGATGACAGGATATGTATCGGTTGGATGTGTGGTCTTGCGATCTGGAGGGTTTGGGAGAAAGGAGGAAAAAGGGCACAACGTCCGCGCATTTTAAATTGGCCACTCTAGTACGTGGATGCGGATGGTTTCATTGTCCCCTCGCCGGAGCCCGTGCTCAAAGACTTAGTGGGGGCCGTTTTATCTTCTTGATCCTTGTTGATCATGGATAGCTGACTGGTTGATTGACAGTGACAGGGTGTGCTAAGCCCTGGTGGCACTGCTGCTTAGTTCTTACTACCGTGGATGACCAGTAGCGTAGACCTCGTACAGTGACGTGACCCCCACTAGGCTATATGAAATTACGAAATTACCCCTCAAATATCAGCCTAGACTGGCCTCCCAGTGTGCCACATGATTGGACACAGAATTTCAAGGTTCCTTTGTTCTTGAAAAAGTTCAATTCACAAGTCCACTACGAATGACAACCCACCATAGATTTAGGGTACGGAAGAAGGCGCGGATCTTCCGGTCCAACCAACTCCGGGAGGGTTCGGCCCGCCCCAACGACTGGAAATGTGGTGATCAAGGACATGATTTGACGGACCTTTCTCCCACAGACCACAATCCGCACACATCCCACGGGAGATAACGACCAACAGGGCTGCATGCAACGATGGGGCCAAAAGTTTAGGCAACAAAGCAGTCCTCCAAGCGCCCACGCTAGTCTGGGGCCGAGTGTGACGGGCCCAATTCGATCAGGCCGATTCCCACGGCACTTCAACGGACAAACATTTTCATTTCACTGGTACTAGGATGAATTTGCAAAGCGCGATAGCAGTAGATAGTGTCCACGTGAAGGGAACCAGGATAAATTAAACATTCTGCAACGCGCTTGGTCCACTATGGTACATGGTATCTGCAAAAGCCGGCGAGATACCGACACAGTGTATTTCACATTCGGTATCTGAATGACGTGACAAGAGGCTCTACTGGGTGAAATGGGTATTTCCGTATTTATAGGGTTGCATTCAATATTTCAGTGGTTCATACCGTCGGATGGAAATTAAGTAACCTAGTATTTCATGACAATACCCCATAAAGACCTAGCTGATCTATACCGGACTATCGCCAGTCATTCGCTTCCCTCGGTATTCGTATCCTACATCAAACCCACGATGCATGTAGATTTGATCTTGACCAACTGGTTCAGTGGAGGAACTCGCCTGAATCATCGTTTGAACGGTCTGGCCGTCATACTGCTCGTACCCGTCGTCACTCACCTGGTCTATTGGGGTTGATTGCTTCTTAATGGGGGACTGAACATCTTTCAATGGCAAACAATCCGAGTCCTTTGCATAGCCATCCGAACCAGACAGCATTTTTCCACCACCTGTAGATGAACGAGAACGAGTAAAGATGCTGACGAGTTGAGTGAGTTTGGTCCCCTTGTGGCGAACCAAAAGCGTCAAGGATGGCATCGAGCTGGCCGATATCCCGATACACATCTCCACCAAGCACATGATCAGGACAGGGAGGGTGTAATAGCTGAAGTCGTCGGTGTGATGATCTAAAATATTTTTGAAGTAGATACTGAGGGAAGAAGCGACACAGGCCCTATGCATCACTTATTAGCACTTCATCCAAGGCGGGAGTCGAAACCACATACAACAAGCCCGTACCGAAGACCACCATCACACCGACCCGTTTCCTGAAATCCATTTGGAGGTTCCAAATTGGGGCCATCGGCAGGATCAGAATATAAAGGTCAATGATCAGACTGCCCGATGCAATGGGAACGGTCCATTTCATAATTTTCGAGTATCGCGTGGAGACAAATCCCTCCGCCCACGTCTGGCCGGGCGTGGGGCTGGTGTAGTAGAGGGTGGCGATAAGTATGATAGTATAGAAAGCCCAGTTCACGAAAAGGCCAAAGTAGATCGCATAGCGTTGCCACTTGATTGTGCGGAACATTTCGAGATAGATAAGGAAGAAAGATGTTTTTGCAAACGGCCAAACGATTGCCGTCACCCAGTTGGCAAAATATCCGGTCTAGCCAGGATTGCTTTTAGCTGTACTCTCTATTGGAAAGGATATATCGGCATCCCAAGGGGCCATACGATTATAAAGGCATCACTCATCGCCTGAATTACCGAGAGGTCATACATATGAGTACCGTATTTGCCCTTGGCTACCGCTAAAACGAGGGTTAGATCCATGAGGTGAGTTCTGTGTAGGGTACAGTATCATACCGAGTATACAGATAATGAAGTAGAATGTCGCTCCTATCTATTTGCCAAACGTATGGTTAGACGTAAACGAATATGTGGTGGGACAGACAACAGACTGTAGCAATCAATCGTGTCCCTAGAGAGGCCCTTATCAGCGATGATCTCAAGATTGTCAATACCTCATCCAGGCCTCACTCACAGTCATCGGGCGCCATTCGCCTTCGAATAGTAAGTTTCGCATATAGACTCAGACCGGCGGTAATATACATTAATCCCATCACAATACCTCCCACGATATACAGAATGTCTCCATTGGACGGAGGATCCACGAGGTTTGACTGAACACCCGGCGGAGGTGTTCCAGCCGGAATACTCGCCATCTCCTCTGCCGACAGAGCGGACGTCATCATGGACAACGGATGAGCAACAATATCATTACAACAGCAGCTAATTAGGAAACAAGAAGTTCTAATCTTCCCCTTAAGTTCTCACTTCATCATTGTGCACAAGTGCTGGATATGGGTTTCTTCAAGGAGGACATGCTGGGGGCGGGGCCTCCGAGAAGGTGGGCATCCTGCAGAAGCCAACACAAGTGAGCTTGCATTAGCCCTGCGCTAGCGATGCAAAACACGTATTTTCAATGTAACTGAGTACATACTAATCCAAATATATTGGTTCCTAGTCCTCCCAATTACGTGGTATTTTTGAACAGCCCCCCGTCAGCCGCGCTTACATAGTTTCCCTGCGGCCTAGGAGCTATTGCTCAGGTTAGAAAGATGCTAGTAGCGACTTTTAGATCAAATTGCCTTTAATCTCGCTTCGATATCTTATCACCCCAGCTAGCGGAGGTCACAAAAGCTATTCAATCCAACCGTGCTGGGATGCACAGTTATCAGCCCCCACCCCGACTAAACAGTAATGGTATAAAGAAGCCGTGCACTCAGTGATATTAAATGAAGTTGGATGATCTCGGGGGAGGCAGGCTAGACATAGCTTCCACATTCTCTGTGTCAAATGATGTCCTCGGTAAATCCATTGGGATTGGTTCTCAACCACATTTTCAGCAACATGTTCCTAACCGTCCTCTTCGCTACGTCCGCTCTATATCTCGGCTGGAGAATTTGGAGATTCTACGTCGTACCGAAAATATACCCAAACGACCCCAAAGAGGCCCCTTATTTGATTCCGTGTGAGTATACACAAACACAACCCTTATAGTTTGAAATACGCATTCAATTTTGAGCGCATAAGCATCGCTAACATGAACATGATTGGTGGAACAGATCTTGGTAAGTTACAAGCCTCCATAAATACACCGAAGAACGGGCTCTACTTTACAACAATAGGCTTAGGTACACTAATACTAGCCCAGGACATACAATCCCTATGGCGCTTGACTTTAACCGGACACTGGCTAGTATGATGTGAGAATTGGCCCCAACCCAAACCCCCCTCCTGCCATAATCCTCACTGCTGAGAGACATCTTGCATGATTTTAACTAACTGCTTTCGGGCGTAGTGAGCGTTTTGGCAAATCCAGGCGTCCCTTTGCCATCACAGTCGCAGGGGATACATTTTACGTCATCACAGACCCTAAGCATGTAGCAGAGATCTACCGAAATGAGAAGACCCTGTCCAGTGAGCGTATTACTCGAATTATTCATACTCAATCGGGTATGAGCATTGAGGCGGTCGATAAGCTGTTCAAGGTCAATCCATCTGCGTCCCACAATAAACTGCACCCTCGACCTTTGCCACCTGTCGGTCTTATGTTGGAGTCTCTCCGCCAGCATCTAGCCCCAAGTGACTCACTAGATCAACTACTGGACAATAGCACTATCCCTCTTGTGCGACAAGCAATTGATCTCAAATGGCAGGATTTTGCTGCACCCCAGGAGCTTGAGGATGGAACAAGGGTCCTTTCTCTCAAGCTTCTATGTATTGAGGCCATGGTACGAGGGATAGTGGAGTCGTTTTACGGCCCGACTCTCTGGGAGCTCCAGCCAGATTTTGTTCATTGGTATATGCTCTGGGAGAGGGTGAACTGGAAATATCTGTTCGGGATGCCCGGGTTTCTGAGCAAGGACATGACTCAAGCAAAGGAGGTAATGATTGGTTTATTTGTAAAATATTTCTCTTTGCCTCGTACTAAACGACCTGGTGCAAACGCTTGGATACTGGAGACAGAAGATATTTTGATAGAAGGGGGGCTGAGCACAGAAGAGCTTGGTCGAGCGATGATGTTACAAACTTGGGCGTGAGTATTCCCGACGAGGTGAGACGGTTCACCACTAACTTTGTATAGTGTTTTGGGAAACCTATATAAAACGGCGTTTTGGATGGTTTCATACATTGTCTATGACAGACAGCTTCTCGAAGCAATCCGAGAGGAAATTACGCCAGCCATCAGTGGTGATAGAGTCCATCACCATTACCTCAATAAAGAGTGTCCACGTCTTGATTCCTTGTTCGCAGAGGTTCTCCGCATTTCGGTGAGTATGCCACTTGTCCGACATATAACTGATGATACCGTAATTGGGGGTTCAACATTTCGCAAGGGTAATAATGTGATGGTAAGATTAACTCTAATCATCAGAGAAAGGTTAGTCTACTTGTGCTAAATGATGTCACCCAGATCTCCTACCACCAGCTTCACCTTAACAAGGATGCCTGGGGAGCCAATGCCGACGGTTTTCAGGCCGATCGGTTCCTAAACAAGACATCATTAAAGTCTAGTCTGAGCTATCGTCCCTTTGGGGGTGGAAGCGGCCTCTGTCCTGGCCGACAGTATGCCCGAGAAACTACTTTCTCCTTTATTGCGATGCTGCTAAGCCGCTATGATCTAACCCTAGTGACTGAAGAGGCCGGGAGCTCTGGAGGAGATAAGGCCCATGAGGTGAAGAAGTCCCGGTTTCCACAACCTGATTATTCCAAGCCAGTTGTAGGCGTCACAGCCCCAGGCGAGCAGGAAGACATCACGATTTGCCTCACTCCTCGAGTGGTGGTGTGATAAATTCTCATAAGCACAATCATTCCACTTCGCCGAAACGAGCTTGGACTAGAATCAAGGTTGGAAAGAGATTATCCATAGATGGAGCCGGAGATTAGATACTCAATAAACACATGTTGTTCCCGCGGAAATACTCTTTAGTTGACACTAATTTGTTCTGAACGTTCGCAAAGCGAATACTACGTAGACCTAGGCCCCGAGTAATGCGACCTACAACCCGCACGCAACCATGGAATAAGTGAAACTCAAACTAGTGGCCCTTTCCCCTTTTTAGGTCGTAGCAGGATCCCATGTTCTAAGAATACTGTGGAGTTAATCCTTTGCTCAGGTACATATACGAGCAATGGGATCCACCGAAGAGTACTCATACCCCTGCCAGTTGCATACGCTAGTTCGCGTGGGAAATGGCAATAAGTAATAAGTAGAATATGGCCCCCATTGGCTAGATAGGGAGGTTACGAGCTACCCAGGCGCTCCGTGCGTGACGGGGAACTTCCTGATATAAATATAAATACGACAGAGGCAGCCGTCACTTTCAGCAGACCATTTAACCGGGAGGGCTTCTAAACTGGCCGCGGGCTATCTTCAAGCGAGACTTACGTCCATTCATTTCCGTCATGCTGGCCCGAATCAACTCGATCTTTTGCATTCTTTTGCTGTTCAAAGGAGCTTCATCGTCACATAATGTGTCCCGGCTAGCGTGCTCTCGAATATCACAGGAACTACCTGAAGAGGTCTATTACTCAGGCTCTTCGGAATACTCAAACTCATTATCCTCCTACTTCAGTCTCCAAGAACAAGAGATTTTACCTTCATGTATTGTGCAGCCTAAAACAACCGCGGATGTGGCCAAGACTGTGTCAATAATGCGTGGATTCCTCAAGCAAGGGGGTCAGTTTGCTGTCCGGGGTGGTGGTCACACCCCATTTTCGGGAGCTGCTAATATAAACCACGGCGTCACCATTGATCTTGGTCTTCTGAATAAGGTCGATGTTAGTCCAGACCGAAAGACTGTTACTATTGGGCCCGGCGCGCGCTTTTCTCAGGTATGGCAAGTGCTAGATCCGCTGAAAGTTTCCATCACGGGAGGGAGAGATTCAGACGTCGGGGTTGGAGGTTATATCCTTGGGGGTGGATTGAGTTACTTAGGACCGCTGTTAGGCTGGGCCTGTGACAATGTGGTGGGATATGAGCTTGTCCTAGCCTCCGGCAAGATTGTCACCGTGAATGAGCAGACCTACCCCGATCTTTTCCTAGCCCTAAAAGGTGGTTCTAACAACTTCGGAATTGTTACCTCTTTCACCATGAAAACCTATCCCCTGGGGGAGTTTTGGGGTGGTTTTATTGCATATGAATCTACGGCTGCTGCACAACAGGTGGATGCATTCTCTCGATTCATGGGCGTGGAACCTTACGATCCCCACGCAGCAATGATTCAAACCTATGGCTATACTGCTGGAGTATCGATCATTAGCAATGGATTAGCATACACTGAGCCTGTGACATACCCCACGGTATTTGCAGACTTTGTAGACAACGCCACCGCCATATCAAATGATCTTCGAATTGACACCATGGCTTCATTCGCCAATGAAACGGACAGTTACCAATCTTTCAATCAGCGGTTAGTATACTTCTCTGGCAGACATTGGGAGTTTAAATTAACCTCTACTTGGATAGGCAAATCTGGTATACGACAACATTTGCCCACAGCCCAAAAGTCTACTCTACCATACATTCTCTCTGGAACAGCTCGCTTGCGGGAATATCCGATATTGATGGCATCAACTGGTATTTCACCTTGCAGCCTACACCAGCACTCGACAACACAAACAGCCTAGGCTTGAATCCGGCAGATAAAAGACTTTGCATTGCTATGATAACGGCATGGTACACCAATGCAGCCGATGACGATACCGTATCTGTGGCAGTCGAGAACCTATTTGCCTCAATTGACGCCGCCACGAAAGCTGCCGGTGTCTACCGCCCTTTTAAATATTTGAATTACGCGGACGGCTCACAGGCTGTTATTGCCAGTTATGGAACCAAAAGTAATGCATATCTCAAATCAGTGAGCGAAAGGTATGACCCGCAAGGTCTGTTTCAGACCGGGGTTCCTGGGGGGTTCAAGCTTTTTTAGTCCTAGCCGAGAATACAAGTCCAGAGGTTCAAGGCTTCTAATGACACTATCTGGGGAAGAATGAAAGGAAGCTCAGAACATATTCAGAGATCGCTATACCGGGCATCGAGTCACAGTTTACTTTTGACATGTCGCCTAATCCTCACCCCAGTCATATCTTACGCTTCATCAATACCATATGCTAGCCCGGAGAAAACACCACTAAAATAGATTGTGTAGTTTATGGTCTTCGGAGGAACAGACATGCCCCGGATAAGCCATAACTCTGGCCGCCGGCTTGCTGGCTTGCCCAAGCGTAAGTGGAGAGTCTTTCTCACACCATTAATAGCGACTTGGCATCCCGACCTGGATTTTCTTTTGCGATATGCCCCGTAAATCCCACCAGTTTCCAAAATAGTACAGGTCTTATTCTGTCGGCATTCAGAACATATGTACCCATCCTCTTTTATCTCACAGGCCAGACCAACGCACTTCTTATGTGACCAGACATAGCAGCTGGAGCAGTAAACACTATCTATGTTAGGCTGAAATTGTTTCCCACAGCACGGTATTGAAAAGTCAAAGCTCTGCACATGAAGGCCATTAAGCTGTGGTAGAGATGAGTAATACCATTTTTCCACGGTGAAAGAGGCTTGAGCAAATGACATGATGTCCTTTGGCACCAAGGACTTGAGTATTCTATCGAAAAGCTCAGTAGGAAGGTTTATCTCCCATGTTTCTTTGTGATCGCGTATATTCCAAGAGTAAGACGATAGAATAGAGGCCAAAACTCGAAATCCAGGCGAAGGGTGCAATGCAGATGAGTTCACAACCAGCGGTATGGTTGAAGAGCGCATGATGCATGTACCATTTATCTCAACAAGCGTAACATGGCTTAGAGAGATAAGGATGACACGAGCATGGTTTTCCGTGCACTGGTCCTTATCTAAAAATGATTTGGCCTTCAGAATAGCGTTGTCGACCAACTCAGTGGCACTGTAGAGCGTGACAAGGAAACCATGAAACCAGAATATGTTCCCAGAAGGAACTGACCAACTCGGGACAGAATAAAACTTAATTGGGATCTCAGCCGTATCTGTATCGAGTAATACCTCAAAGTCCCATGCGGCAATACGCAGAATTCCAATGGCAAGGGTTTTGAGAAAAGGTTCGTGTGACCAAGATGCAACGTCATCAAAATAGAATTTCCATAGAAGAACAAGGTCGGTGAACAGTCGGAACTGAAGCTCGTTCAAGGATGTCGGTGTTCCGATGTCTACCTTCAGCGCTGCAGATGATTGGGTTTGATCGTGCTGTGTGTTGTGCTGAATGGGGAAATCCTCCACAGTCTTAAGAATAACCTCAATTGTAGCGAGCGAGGAATCTTGAACTTCAGACAGCTTTGCCTGTCTAACTAGGCGTGTTAGTACACCCTCAACTCCGTCCCATTGGGTAATCGTCAATATTCCTGAATCTTTATCGATGTTATATACATAGTCAAGGTCGATATGAAGCGGGGTAGGGAATGGTACTGGCTCCCAGCTATTAACACTAGTCTCCTGAATTATTTTTCTGATTGCTTGCAAAGTCGCAGGTGTGTTGGGAGACGTTATACGCCCCCGTGGTGGGTTAAACGAGCGGTACCATTTTCCTACGGTCCGGTGTTAACATTGCAACATAGGGACATAGTTACCTTTGCTATGCTTACCATCAACACGTAGATTCCATAAGCCCCTGGTAACCATTATGCCAGAATGGTTAAAGCAGCCCTGAGAATCTAATGACTCTTACTCTGTTTCTGGGAGCTGTGTTGAATATGCAATACTGAAGGGGCTGGAGCTTGGAAGTTATTTATCCGCTCCGAAAACCACGTCTATTGCTATTCTAAGCACGTGATCTCTAAGGCATGGCATATAATCCTATAGAAGGTGAATAGTTCTCGAACTCAAGAACCTCCTAATGGCGGTCCTCATTGTCGTCCCCTTGCACAAGTAGCCCTTGTTTTCCTTGTCCCTAGTAATAAGTCTTCAAGGAGCATTGCAATGCCCTCCATGGTTCATATGTACTGTTAAATCTATCAACTCGGAGTTCTAGATCTGCACGGCTACTGCATTTTATATATAGAATCGGCGATAGCTTGCCTCTCAGTAAAATCCGTGGCTATAACTGTCGCCTTCCCCGACCATACAAGGAGCTGGTTGTTCGCACCTATGAGCTCTAATGATCCTATCTCTGGGAAGGACGTTACATCAGAGGGTGGAACCTCTTCAGAATATCCGAATTATCAATTAGTATACATAGACAACGATTTCATTAAAAGAGGAAAAGCAGAGCCGAATGCCATTAAGACTAGAGTTCCCCATGATGTGTTGATATACCGTCTTCCCCGAGTCTCGCCACTTGGCCCTTTACCGGGGTATTAGAGGCCTGTAGGTCGTGAGGCCCCGGACACGGCCCGGGACGACATTCTGTCGGACCATGAGCGTTTGCTCAACTAGGCCAATAGGAACACAATACGAAATAATCGGCATGGGGAGAGACGGTGAGTTTTAACATATGGTAGTCAGAGTTAATGAGCCTTTGGAACATGCAGCCAGGCTCTAGGTGATAGCGTTACCCGTGCTAGTACCCAATAGCCGGTGAGCTTTATAGTGAAAAAGCTGGATTTATTCTGAACCAGAGTAGGGGTAAAAGCCCTTCCCTGCTAATCCATGTAAGTAGCATGTCAAACAGTTTTTCCACAAGGCTCAGATTCCGTTGTGCCACTTTCCCCACCAAATACCAATTAAACCCCAGGGCTTCCTAGGGTTGAAATGTCTTTTGCCCTTGAATCGTGGATTATCAAACAGCGTAAGAACAACCGCGTGATCCAAGTCAAATTGCTGGCGACACAGAGGACACGTGGTGCCGCAACAACGCATCCACGAGTCAATACATGGTTTGTGAAAGATATGGTTGCAAGGCAGGCGGCGGAATCTTGAGCTCAGTTTCATGTCTTCGAAACAGATTTCGCAGGTCTTAGGAGGGCAGAAGCATTATATAGAAGGTTTAGTTTCGTTGTGGGTTTACAGAGAGCATTGCGTACCTTTCTCTGATTCATCGGAGTCCTTGGAACGGGTTAACACCACTTTATCCATCATATTATTCGAATGCGATATCGTCGAGTGTTGCAGCTTTATGGCTTCGATCGCGTTGCAGTCGTTGTCGTTTTACTACACCGAAGGTCCTGAACTGAAAGTGAGATGTGTCATTTTATCCTTCATCCTCTATTTAAACTTTTGCCCCAGGATGGTAGAACAGCCATGGACCCGGCTGGGCTGACGTACCACAGCTTGGAGCTTCATGTCTTCTGCCAAGCCCCCAGTAAATCATCGAGGAAGCTTAAGGGGTACAATCCACGAATAAGACAACAAATACGGGACGATAGGATCGATTTGTCTAGTCTTGCATCATGGCAGCCGCTTTAAGACCTTGGCTTCTGAACATTTCCTAGTTAGAACGTTTCCTAGCAACGCTAGCTGCTCTATTTACCATTGACTAGGTTGCGTTCAGGCCTAGCCGAAAGTCGACGTAATGAGCTTTTGAAGTGGGGGGCAGCGATCCAAGGTACGATTCGGCTATAGTATTACTGAAACGAGTAATGAGATATTTTCCTGAAGCAGCTGCATAGAGCTTCGTTAGTGTGAGGTAAATCGACAGATGTGGAGCATCCAATCAAAGTCATACTATGGAAAGCTTTACGGCATAGCTCGCTCGATCCCGTCAGACTGTACCTTATCCGATCTATCCCTCGTTCAAGAAGAGGGCTATCTGGGGATTCAAAGAAAGCAATATATGTACGTGATTCATTACATTGTATTCAGTCTTGAGCCTCGCTGAACTCAGTTTAGTCTTCAATCGTATAGTCAGGACAAAATTAGGAGTGTTATTTGTTTTGATAGACATAAAGGCTAGGTTATATTACAATACAACAATATCCGACTACCTCGTCTCGTGTACTAACATTTAATAGTACATTGTCCAGAATTAGTTGTATCGGCTCTAAGCCAGATATATGCGAAGTGAGGCGAAAGGAACACGAAGCCAAATAAACAATAAGAAACATAGAAATAAGTTCAACATACCTACAGGAACCATGATATTTCCTGTGGTGCACCGTTCGGTAGTATTTGATACTAAGCAGAATTCAAACCTCAAACGACCTGAGCAGGGGTGGCGGTGGGCTCTTGCATGTTGTTATCACCCGGCAGTCTGGTATCGCTGTGTACGGAAGCCCTTGGATCATGTTTCTCATTCTGTGAGGATGAGGCATTTCGGCTCCGGCGGGACAACCAAAGTGCAAGTGTCTCCAGAAACAGAGCAAAAAAGGTAAAAATGCTGAGTTGAACAATTAGACATGTGGTCTGTGCTCGAATGGACTTGCTCTGTACATACAAGGTTAAAAAGATGAAGGCTTCGTTAGCCCACTTCACCGAGCATACAACACCCGGCGGAGCATTGGCATGGCAGTTCTTCTGGTTGTAATCAACAGCAGCAAAGATGAACCCTGTCAGCCATCTAAGATCATTCGTTATCCCTGTTGACCATGTTGAGCATTGCAAAAGCCTGCTTACAGATATGAGAAGATCACATCAACGAAAAGGACAAAGTCCTTCACTGGTGTGCTCAGGAATGGGGACACAAAAGCGGGCAAGAACACCACCACGGAGACCACAGCCTACATGACATGTAAGTAGTGCATGGTTCATGACGTGTTGAAATCATACTTACAACAATCTCTAGGTAAACAATTGTTAGCCCGCGAGGGCCTGTGTGGATGAAGTAGGATGTGATTCCAAGAACAATGACGGAACTTAGCCACTGGATTACTCGATTAGACAGGAGGAAAAATCGTAGTTGACCCTCGGTGAGAAATGGAATGATAGAGCCCATTGTACTCGATACTTAAGATGCTAGTAGTAAAGTCGCAGCTTCTGGTGTGAGACTGCACATTCCTTATCGCTGTCAAAGATCTGATTCTTATATCTCGCAACGTCGCTCGTGACGTAATAAGTAGAACATCTCCCCAATATGCAGCCCATGGTTAAAGGAATGTAATAGTAATATGATGCATTGACATGGCTGCCAAAGTCAAAAATAAGGAATCACCGTTGAATGTGCCAATCGGCTGTGTTGACCAGGCACTGGACCGACAAATTTGCCTCAAGCGGAGACAACTGCTCCTAACGAGCCGTTTGTCCGACTCGTCCGAGTGCAATTTTCTATTCCAAATAGTGATATGGAGAAAGGGGTATATGACAGAGGGAGAAGGACAAAGCCGAAGGATGGATGAAAGACAAGGCCATTTGTCGAGTGCTAAATATCGCATTTTCATTTCACCTGTGTCGGATGAGGTAGGATATAGGCTACAGATCTGCTGTGCGATGCGCCCTCTTGAGTATTCACTTTTGCCAAGGAAGAACCTACCTGCGGTTCTTATTAAATTGAGCCACAACTTGCGTAAAGTTTGTCGAGTTCTTACCAATCAAATATCATTTACACAGGGTTAATCAAAATGACTGGCGAGGAGATTTAGGTATTCAAGGATCAGTGCCAGATAACATGATATGCGATCTACGGTTACTTATCACACATGAGTTCGAATGGCCACGTTCACTTGATACCCGAGCAGACCTACACAATGAATATTGAAAGTTTATATCGTGTGAGCACCGATGCTTGCATGGTAAACGTGCTCCAGAGACTACTATCAAATTGAAACTTGGCAGAATTCAGCAAACCAACAATCCACCTCACCCTCAGTGAGGCTTGCCATATCATGACTTTGGCCGAATAGCGTGGCTTTGGTCGTCTATCATGCCGGACAAAACAAATCATGATTTATACCCAATCGGATGATGCCGACATGTGCCATGGCGAACGAAATGCTCCATCAAGTTCTAGACCCACCTGGTCCACATGCAATACTAGGACTCCTGTTAGGCTATCTATACTCTGCGCATCACTTCCCCACTACAAACCCCGCGATCCACTACTGGAGTGTGAATATACTGCAAACTAATTGATTTCCTCATCCTCATTCGCTCACTTGAATTTATGCATTCCTATATTAGAGATATTATGCGGTGGCTCCGTGGACCTATCATCCTGTCAAATTCCTCCTATACGAGGCTATGTTAGCTAATGTATCGGGGAGGCAAAGCTAACCCGAGATGGTCACGGTCCATATAATCCAAAAGCCGGTGCTCCCGGGTTTGAAGTCATGAGTACTCATGAAACGTCACGGGACACCTTTGTCGTGAAACGAAATCAGTGCGTCCTTTAGTTGATATTGACGAGAAACACTTCCGTGATCATTGTTTCAATATCTCCCTGATCGCACGCTTCTCACAGATGCCTTGAGCTTTTCACTTTTCACGATGACCCCTCTTAAAATGCCTAATAATTTATAGATGTTTTGTTCCTAAGCCTTGGAAAATCGCTACTATGGATTTTGACAGCTACACCGTACCATGGTTCCTCAACGCTTGATCGGCATCGTCGGCAAGGAACATGGGCGTAGCCTTTTTATTGGTCAATTACTTTAACCTGAAAGAGTATTGCTCTTTTTCGTGATTTGCTTGGCCCGTCTTGTACCCCGCGAGCTCCGCAGTTTCTGTGTCGAATTGAATGTAGCAAAAATGATAAAATATTCAGAATCATAATTTGGTATTCTAGTTTTGTCCTTGTTACACGGCCATATCATAAATCATTGATGTCCGGTAAGATGCAAAAATAAGAAAGAACGCCAAGAAGAGAACGAGAAACAAAACCCCCTAGGAACGAAATGATACACACGCTAAAAGGTCGACAATGTGATGGTAAGAGCATTTACTTGCGCTGACCATAAGCCTTGGTGGCATAGTCACCCTTGTGGACGATCAGGTCCTCAGGGCGGTAGTCCTCACGGCCGGAGAAATAGCTGTCCAGGATATTCTTGGTGCCCTCGGCATAGCGAATCTGAGCATCGATGGAAGTACCGGACATGTGAGGAACCATGGCGTTACCGCCGCCCCAGGGGTGCTCGGCGTAGCGGAGAGGGTGATCCTTGGGAGCTGGCTGAGGGAACCAGACATCTCCACCGTATCCGCGGAGGTGGCCAGACTTGAGGGCCTCGGCGACATCTTCCTTGACCACAATGGCACCACGGGCCGTGTTCACGAGCCACGAGCCCGGCTTCATCTTCGCAATGAGCTCCTTGTTGAAGAGACCCTTGGTGCTTTCGTGGAGGGGGCAGTTAATCGTGACAATGTCACACTGGGCAACCATGTCGGCCAGGTCCTCCACACGGCGGCAGCCGATTTCCTTCTCGGCCTCAGGGCTCAAGCCCTGGTAGTCGTAGTAGAGGAGCTCCTTGCAGTCGAAGGGCTTCAGACGGCGCAGGACACGCTCGCCAATACGGCCCACACCGACGGTTCCCACCACCTTGTTCTCCAGGTCGAATTCGTTCTTGGCAACCGCAGCAACATCCCACTCGCCATTGCGGATCTGGTCATGGGCGGGCACAAAGTTGCGAACGAGGGTCAGGATCGTCATCATCACATGCTCGGCCACGGACACGACGTTGGAGCCAGTAACCTCAGCCACGGTGATACCACCGTTGGTCTTGTTGGCGGCGTTCAGATCGACGTGGTCGGAGCCAATACCGGCGGTGACGGCAATCTTCAAGTTCTTGGCCTTGGCGAGGCGCTCGGCAGTGAGATAACCGGGGTGGAAGCTGTGGTGGGTCCATTAGCTGAAGAGCTTAAGTCTCGGTCGGGAACGGGGGGGTTAAGTCACGTACGGAGTGGTAATGATCACTTCGGCATCGACAAGCTCCTTCTCAAACGTGGAGTTGGGGCCTTCCTTGTCCGAGGTGGTCACCAGGGTGTGGCCCTGGTCTTCAAGCCACTTGCGGATGCCGAGCTCATTCTCAACGGTACCGAGAAGGCGAGGTTGTTGCTTGGCGTGTTCCTTGCCCTAGAAGTATAGGCAATGTTAGCGTGCTCGGAAAGGAATTGACCACCCAGCCGGTGTGGTAAATGTGAGACGAACCTCGTAGAGGACCATAAGAACCTTGGCCTGAGCGCTCGATGAGCTGGAGAAAGTGCGGGTGGCCCGGCTGAGAGGGCTAGCCTTCAAAGCGGGCGAGACCAACCGAGAAACAGAGCGAGCAAAAGGCATTGTGAAGAGATGCTTTTGAATTGGAATGGATTAACTAGAGTGTTAATTGAATGACTGGATTAGAGAGAAAAAGAATTTATGGGATGTGCGAGGAACTTCTGTGATATTTAAAGGAAGCGCCACGAGGGGAAGGGAGGGGAGGAGGAGGGGATTTGGATAGACGGACATATCTCGGATATCATGAGATCAGACCGCACCCTCACACAGTATGCCGGCTGGGTCTAGACAAGCAAGCAGCTTTGGAGGAGTAACAAACTTCTTGCGGAGGTGGTTCATTCCAACGCTTCCCCTCATGAGGGGAAACGTTTCGCATCGTCTTTGACCGTGTCTTTTTAACTCCGCACCTGCATCAGTCTAGTCTCCACTCCACATACCCCTTGAGATGCGGTGTTTCGCCTGATCATAATATGGAATCACATCCTTAGACAAGTAATTATTCCCGTAGTAAAAACTGCTTAGGCTTGATCGCTCCGAACCCTCCTCGAATTGATTTGAATTGAACACATTGCAACCCACCGTTCGTGTTGCGGCGGTTACGGCACATTGACGTTCGGGATCCAGGAAATCGCCAAGCGGATCCACGTTCGCGAGATTCGTGCCCCGATTTGGGAAATACTAACCAGCCAATGGCCACCGAAGTCCTCTCATTGGCCTCCAGGGAAACGGTTTCATAGTTAACGGTCGCATTAAACGTACTCCGACTACTACAGGGTCGAGAGATCATGGTGTGGCCTGTCTTCTAGCAAATAATACCCAGCACACGCCGCCATAAACCTACACACATCCACCGCGCCTACACCACTGAAGGAGGGAAGAAGGTCGATTGTTATAAATATTACAATCAATCGAGAGCGAGAGAGAATCATCCACACCTACACCTCGAATACGGATGTACAACGTCCAGAGTGTCAACTCACACTAACCCTACCGTCTGCGACGCAAGAATGCCCTGCCACCAGTGTCCTGACATTTATCACTGACTAGTAATATATTGTTTCGGCCTGATAGTAATCCGACACAAGAAATCCTAGCCGCCGAGCGTTGTCCGAGTTATCGCCAGGAAAGAAATCACTCCAGTTGTGGAGTCCGACATGAGCATGGATTCCACTCGGCGCCAGATGAACACATTAATTACCGTGTGATTGAAAGGAGTCCGCGGCGACATGATTTCTTCAAGAGGTGGGACTCTGAATGAATCCCATGGGGTAACAGTGACCAGCCCGATCAACGACCCACCATGACCTGATCGCCCGGCGCCAAACATAAGACGAGATGAGAGTGGATCCTTTTCTTCCCCTCCAGCGGCACCTGTTGCCTTCTATTCCCGGGAATTTTTTCCCAGATTCTTGTGCACGCGGGGAAAACCCCAATTCTACTCCAACGCGACACGGAGAGACGGCACCTTCTTCTGCAGAATGGGGGACGATAGAACTTTTCTCCACGCGGACGACGACAATCACAGTCATCTTCGGTAATATGGGCATTGTCACGGTCGCAGGCCTCATGCACTCCTCTCCTATCAATTTTTGAGGGATTCGGTTACTTGTTCAATTGACTGCGACATGGTCAATGAAATCGGCCACTGTTGTCTCGTGGTATTATTCTCTACGTTGAGGATTGTCGCGCACTCAATGAAGATCTCGTGGGTGATCATTGAAGGCCACTATTCTCCAGGTGAAGTCGGCAGTCGCTAAGGAAAGTCTTGATGTGCGCAATTTTGTGCACGAGATTTTATCTATACTAGGGACATTCCGACGAAGCGACGGCGTAACCTATCACCATAGGCGAAGAATGGTAACTGCCGATTCAGCGTATCCATTCAAAGAGATCCAGGGGCCAAAATGGTCATATACCCGATCGCGAACGGGAGGTATGCATCGATGTACATGAATCTCCTTTTTCTGGCCAGCGTTGCCAATACAACGGCAGATATGATTACCTTTCTGGCGCAGGTCTTCCTCATTACTGAATAGCATGCTCGAGATAGCGTCGTGTGAAAGCATGTTCAGCCAGGACCGAATACCGAAGACACGTTAGTAGCGCCATAGACATGAGCTGACGCGGGCAGCGTTTTCCTTGGACTTGCTGGCTAGTCGTAGCTCTTCCCGAGTCTACTGCCTCTATCACCCGCGACCGTCTAGCCTGCCAAAAAAAACCCTACGAGTCAGACTTCATGTTTCTCCGGAATCCACGGCCTTGAGCGGTAGCGACGGATCTTCCCCTCAAATCCTGGCATATAGGTGGTGGTCTTTTATAGTGCAACCTCTATGGCCCGAAGTACGTGGGTGTATAGCTGCGTTGGTGAAGGAGATGTACGTCGGTACGGTCCCTGTAGCTCTGTGGAGGCATTTATGGGTATTGTCGATTTCCTCGAACTGTGTACCACTTCACGCGCACCATATTCCCCATGGACTTGCCTCTACATGATAATCCGCCCCCGGGGCTGTCAAGCCTGGACAAAATTGCGATAGTACCATTCGAACGAGGCATAAACCGCCGCTAGCTGCAAGAAGAAGAACTAGGCAGTGCTGAACATTGAGGAGCGTAGTTGCTAACTGGAACTGAGCGCACGAAGGCTTATCGAATATGGCCTTGGCAGGTGGAAAATCGTAGAGTTGCAAATGGTCTTATCCGTCGCCAACCTATATTTCAAGGCGATGATAACGCACGAAATGATCGTAGCAGTATATATACCTGGTACTAACTGGTGACTAGCCGACCTTCACTTTTTTCTGGCCCTTCGCCCTCAGGGACATGGTAAAAGAGATGTGTCTGTGCCATGCGAAGAACTAGCAGTAGCAACCAAGCACGGGCGCCTGGGGTGCGAACGCCCAACGTGGCTTTATTTATGTTTTAAAAAACTGAAAAATAAAAAAACTAAATTGAATTAAACTAAAACCAATTAATGGATAAAATTGAAATTCAGTATATTCTTAGTAAGTAGTAGGACTTATTGTAGTATATCTTGGGGAAACTTGGTCATTGCACTGTTTACACTTCTTCCACAGGATGGAAATATATATTTGAACTATGTGATTGGAACCAGGACACAGTCATTGGGTACTAGACCGTAGTATGTACAAGGGCTACAATAAGCTAGCCCTCCAGACATTCAATCGCAATTACACTCTTTCTATATCATGAGGGAACCATAACAGAGTTTTGGCGTTATCATCCAAAAAGAATAACGTCTTGAGTCCTCCCATGAGACAAACCTTGATCTTGGCAGCCTGAGGTGTGGAGAGACGAACCAATACGGTTAGTGCAGATTCCACAACCCAACTAGCCCTTTAGCGTTAGACTAATCTATTCGGAAGAACAATAACCCTTCATCTAGTTACTATTTTTAATTAATTAAATTATTAATCTAGAACACCACATCATCGAACGCGTCGCTGGAAACCCACGTCGAAACTTGAGACAAACAACATCACTCCCTTCCCATGTAACATTTTGAATTCTATATATACATCCCACGCTCACCTTTTGTCATAACCCATTACCCACATCAGTTCAATTCGTGGGCAGCAACCTCCAAGAGGTTGTCTTCACCCAGAGCATTCTGAGTATAACGCGCGTTGTACTTAAGGATCTTCTTGACTTTGTTGTAACTCTGCACGTTAAGCGGGAGAGGCTCGGTGCTGAGATACCATGCAACCTCCTCAGTGCAAGGAGGAGTGGTAAGGGAACCGGTGTACTGGTAGACTCCGTGACGGGTGAAGTGAGAAAGAAGGCCGTCGAAGTCCAATTGACCAGTGGTAGTGTAAGTGCCGGCATCGGCGATGTTATCAATGTGAGCGAAAACAGAGTCGAAGAGGGGGACCGAGTAGCCGAACTCGGAGAGCTGGAAGAAGAAGCCGACGACGGCAGTTTCCTTGGCTAAAGGGGGAAATGGTTAGTGGTTATCTGATGGAGAATGTAGGGAAAAAATAGAACCTACTGGTAGTTTGGAAGACAAAGTGGGCTTCCATCGGGAAGTATTCCTCGTTGACGCGGTGCTCACTGGGGGTGTGGAAGTGGAACTGGGCCAGAGTGTAGGTCTTGTTGTTGGCTACCAGCGAGCCATTGGTCAAGGTAACTTGGAGACCGGAGCCCAAGTTCTCGAACTTGGCGCCGTTGGCCTGGGGCAGGTTGAGCTTGAGGGAACCCGATGCAGCATACTCGATGACAGTGCTATCAATGACAATGGGCGACTGGTGGTTTCCCTTGGAGCAGGCCTCGTTGGCCTCGTCAAGACCATACCAGTTCAGGGGGCCTCCGAGGTTGGTGTAATTGAACTTGTTGGCGTCGACCAGACCATCTGCTGCACGGCGCACGACAGGGCTGCTGGGGATGCAAGAGGCTGAGGCCCCGGCAATGAGGGGAAGCAAAGCAGTGATGAACTTCATGATGGATGAACAGCGAAAGACAAGATAATCTGGTTTGAAAGCAAGGTAACCACAAGAGTGAGAGGCACGACGCTACTTATACCTCGCCGAAGAAAGCCTGCTGGAGTATTACATCGGGGTGAATGATTCTACTCCAGAGCTCCGGTGATTCTCTCTACGTGCAGTCGAGATCGACGGCCCACAAGTCCTATTCCGCTTCCATTGCCACGGCCCTGGTCGACTCTATCTCCACTCCCTGATTCTCCAGGCCAGCACTATGTGCCGCCTGGAAACCCCATAAGAGGGGTCACTTTGTATAATTGGTCACTAGGCTACTCCGTGGATGGGCAAACCAGCTCTGTGGGTGGCTGCTGAGATTCGTGATCATGCACCGAGATCGGCCGGTGCGAAAATGCATATTGCTATTAACGGTGAGAAAGCAGGCAAGCACTGACACGGTTTGGATACTTAGGTATACATTCATAGTGGCCTGGGTGTTGGGAAGGATTGATGGGGTGGTGGACCATATGTCCCGCAAGACCTAGGGAATGGTTTACTACCGAGAGGGAGCTAGGTTATTCGTTTGCTACGGTAGGTTCGGACAAGGGTGTTGAGTTCAAATGACATTTGCCTTGAGATGCGATCCTTATTGTTACACTTAGTCAAAGAAGAGTTTGGATGGGGCAGAGTGGATCTTCCATAGTATCTTTTCGGAAGTTCGGAGCCCTTCCATGCATGTTAATCCACGACAACCTCATTGCTATTGGTTCAGTCACGAGTTCGTAAAAACCCTAGCCTGTTGAGGAAGTGCGGCACAAGCAGCAGGGCAAGAGCCGACTAGAACTGAGTCGAGCGGAGTAGCAGAGATTTCTTGCCAATCTTTTGCCCTATGGGGTTGCTCGGATGCGAGATAAAAAAAATTGTATACTGCAGGACAATCGTGTGGGGCATTAATAATAGTAACAAGCGAGGCTCACCTGAAGAAATTCGGGAGATGTCCGTGCGATATCATTCGCCAAGACGGCTAAGTGAATACTAAGCTTCCCAAGCTAATCGGAAATTTTGGGCTGTGGGTGGAGACATTTAGCAAAACATGACTCTTCTGGAGGCTGATCGACAACCCAAACTCCTTCATAGGTAGAAAATGGGAAGATTTTTTTTTCTCTGGCTCCTCTCACCCTTCTTTCAGGAATGTGCGTATCCCTGTAAGATATCACGTTTATCTGTGTGGTTTATTGTATCCCAAAGGACGCTCTCAGTAGAGCGCCTTGTGATGGTAGGTAGTATTCACCTGTAAGCCTCTTTGTACATAGGATGGAGGTGAGGATCCTGGGCTGGGCTTCTAGAATGGCTCAGGGATTCAATAGAGGTGCTTACTGCTCCTTCCTAAATTATGATCGACAACAGGATTGCACAATACCCATGGACCCATTGGAGTTATGGACACAATCCCATGGTCTTGGACTCTTGAAATGTGGAGTACATTTTCTGAAGAACCGGCCCACCCGAATATCCTCGGATATCGCCCGATCCAAAACATTTACCATGATAAAGTTGATGTCCTGTAGAGAATCCTTGACACTCGTTTAGCTGTGGCAGACTCCAGAGGCTTTTCTTTTCTCTCTATCTTTCTCTGCAGCATGAAAAATGTAGTTTGGTTTGGACGACGGTAACTGGGAAGAGCATGCTCCATGGAGATGCAGCCATGTAGGATTTATTTTTACACCGATTGTCTTCCAAACCCACTCCGTATCCACCAAGAGTAGATGCACCACTGAGATTGTGACGGTCCATTTGAAGCAAAGTCATCGCTCGCGCACTGTACCCTCATCGAGCTCCCGAGAGTCATTCTACCGGATTTGTGTTGCCGAATACATCACCCATTGAGAGGCAATGTGATAGGGATGTCAGGTGTATGCAAATGTGATGGAACAAACTATGTAGTTATGCCTTCGGCGGGACTTCAGCTGGCGACGGCTCCAAGTAAAGGTGAACCATCCGGGATGTATTTCGCCGTCTAGTGAATGTGTTTAGTGGCCACCAATTGACTCGTACACATATAACTATGGGTCGTTGCTCTATATACAGTAGTTCTGATAAATCAGGCTATCGATAGTCGAAGCAAGGATATCACTCAAATTCTGGTGTCATTATTCACCATGTCCCCTAATTTGCTTATTGGGGGAATAAACAAGGGTAGAGTCGATATCGGGTCGGGTTCAGGTTCAAAATCTACGACCCGCCGTCGGATATCACTGGGGTTCGGGTCCGGCGGGTAACCCCCTGTACCATTCTACTTCTAGAGACAATGTCCGTACAGGTCAGTGCATCGGCCAAGGTTGTAGAATTTGTGAACTAGTGAACGGTGCTTAAGGGTTGGTGTGAAAGACGCAATGAGTTACCTATTTGGGCCATTGATCAGATGGGCAATTACGGGTTTGAGCAAAGGGTTCGCATTATACTCTTCTTGTCTATTGGAAAATGAGGACGTTGAGGAGGTCAATCTGTACCAAGTTTGCATCATCGGAAGCACTTTGGTGAAAGGAGTCAGGTAGGACATTCCAAATCGTCATGTCCTGGAAATCCACAAGTGGCTCAGTGCGATCATACAGTCGGCAAGGTGTTGAACGGCGCCCCTAATGTTGGTTCACATCGCTCAAAGACACGCGACCAAGTCAAAACCGCGTTTCCCCCTTTTGAGATCCGGCGATGTGGATTGGAAAGAAAGCTATGAGCAAGACAGTTGCCATGGCATTGTGCAAACATATGGGTGAATAGAAAGAATGTTTGGCGTTGTATACATGGCAGAAAGCTTGACACGAAGTACGTTTTCTCAATAGCATAACTAAGAGTTCTATCAAAATAGTGCTGCTGGCCTGCTACCAGCTTCTTGCTAAAATCAGAGCACTCCCCCATTTCACATCGACTTCGATTTCTTTCCAATCCCCAGTCCTGCGCCTCTCTTGCAGCTCTGCCTCTGCCTCACGGATCGCGTCCATCCTCTGGTCGATAACGCCCCCAGGGTCGCCTGCGGCAGTTCGCCGCTCTCTCCTGGGCTAAGTTTCCTGCCATTTGCGAAAAGCGCTCCATGTTCGAACATACTCTTCCATTGACCCTAATTTCATCTTCACTTTCATGAAGCATGTTCCTTGCCCTGTGGCTAGGCCATTTGTCTCGGGCTCATATTCGATCCGAGTCACGTTTGTCCAATCTTCAGACGGAGGGACCACCGCTTGAGGTTTGCCTTGGACAACCCCTCGCCGCGCGACTCATGCAGCCGTCTCTGTCCCCGGAGCAGTTGCCAGTTGGTACTAGCATCAATATTATTCGTTCGGCACCTAAGCCGCTCCAGGCGAAGGTGACAGCTGAAGCCAAGTTTCTTGGGCAGAAGGGCAAGATCTATCAATCTGAAGTCACGGTTAGGGATGAAGTTGCGGAGATAGGGCGTGGCACCCATGAGAGTGCTATTGTAGATGTGGCAAGACTGGAAAATGGAGCAAAAAAGAGGGGTAGTACGGTTGAATGTTGATGCATTTGGAGTGAAGGACTTTGAGTGACCTCTGTTCTGCTGTTTTTGGATCACTCCTGGACAGCAGAGGAGGAGGATACTGAGACCACGTCTTGAGTGTGTCTTTTGCTCATACGTAAATGGCGAGGAACCGCCGAGCTCCTTGAATTCTTGTCTAGCGAGGCGGTACTGAGTATTTTTGGCTGTTTGGCATTGGACAATTGTGAAATCAATATCCACGGTGATGTAAGCAATTACGATACAGACCACTGGAAGTCCAGTTTATTTTATATCGTCAACATTTTCTAGTCGATGCAGAACATTCCAGCCCGAGACACGGTGCTCTATGTCAAGACCCCGGTGACCTGTAGTCGGAGGTGCTACCGGCTAAGACGGTCCGGCCGGAACTCCTGCCGTACACGTAGCGTATGCACGCAGAAAATGCCATGAATGTTGGTCCTCCAGATCCAGCAGCATGAGGCGGCTGAGGCATCATCAACTAGCAGGACGATACGTCATGGCAATAACTACCCCCCAAAGCAAGATGGATAATCGCTGACGAAGAGATAAAATGGGGGAGCAGGCAGGGTCTGGACTCATGTTTGTCTGTGAAGCGTTCCTATTCAGCCAAGATGAATTGGCGAAGTCAACTTTGCTATACTGCCCACGATGACCGAGCGCAAAAGTAAGGAATCGGATCCTCTATACGAAAATGGAAATTTCTCCCGATGACGAACAGACAAACCCACCTAATACGAATCCTCGGACCGCGCGAGCCGGTTGGTTGATCTCGGTCGGACTTTCTATTATTATTGTTTTCCACTTTTCAGACGGGCACTCGTGGTGAAAAATGCTCCTCTGCTTGCGCCAGCTACACCAATAAGTTTCCTAAGATACTTGGAACTCAGACCCTCTTCCCTCCGATGTGCCATGGAGAAACCTATACCTCCCCTACCCTACGATGCCCACGCCAGTCAATCGAACTATCCGGGGACGCAATCAACAAGGGCCAGAGTCAATGATCTATCTACAGGAAAGACGATTTCAGAGGAGGTGACGGTCTTATCACCAGCACACAGCAATCTAAAATTTCAGACCTTTTTGGAAGATGTAAGACTGGGTTTCGACCAACGAGTGTCTGGATCAAAAGCGCCAAGTTCAATATCAGATTCACAACGGAGAGGTAGTGATGAGCCACCTAGACCGAACATGGTGAATGATGAAAAACGGAATAATCCCAGCTTCTCGAAAGCTCTGACAGCAATTCATGTCTATTCCTACCTGGTACTTTTCTCATTCATAGGTACATTGGTGCGATTGGTCATTGAGAGCTTGACCTTCTATCCAGGAGCGCCTGTGAACACAAGCGTGTTATGGGCCAATGTGGGTGGCAGCTGTCTCATGGGTTTCTTGAGCGAAGACCGCGAACTATTCCGTGCAGCAGACCCGGAAATTAGTGAGGAACTTTGGAATACACAGCATGCAATCCGGAAGAAGACAATTCCGTTATACATCGGTCTAACGACGGGGCTTTGTGGCTGTCTGACTTCATTTTCGACGTTCGCACGGGATCTCTTCCTAGCCCTGGCCAATGATCTCCCCGTCCCCTCCGGTCCTTATAAAGAGGTCTCTCTCTTCCAGCCGGCCGCAGCAGATACTAGAGCCCCGAACGGTGGGTTCAGCTTCATGGCAATAATTGCGATCCTAATCACCGAGGTCGGGCTCTCCTTGGCCGGATTGTCGTTGGGCGCACACATTGCTATTTTTATAGCACCTTGGACACCTACCGTCCCCTTCCCTCGCTTGCGTAGAGTTTGGAACCCACTCGTGATGCTCTTTGCCGGCTCTTGTTGGGTTGCTTTGATACTCTTGGTAGCCTTGCTGCCCCACTCGCACGACGACATATCTCTCTGGGCCCCTGATATCTGGCAAGGTCCCTTTCTCTTCGCTTTAGTATTTTCCCCAATTGGGTGCCTCCTACGCTTCTTTCTTTCCATGAGGTTGAATGGACGTATACCGCATTTTCCATTGGGAACATTCGTCGTCAATGTGGGGGGTACGATGTTATTGGGGATGGCATATTCCTTACAGCACGCCGCAATTGCCTCATCAAACCTGGGAGGGGGCAGTTATATCGGTTGTCAAGTCTTGCAAGGTATCATGGATGGATTCTGTGGCTGCTTCACCACCGTGAGTACTTGGGTCTTGGAGTTGTCCGCCCTTAAACGAGGCCATGCGTATTTGTACGGCGGTCTCACGGTGATGGTTGCGCTAGGCGCTCTGACCATTGAGATTGGAAGTCTTCAGTGGACACAAGGCCTTACCACGCCAATCTGCTTTGCATAATAGAACTACATGACGAAGGGTGGTATGTATGCTCTAGTGAACACACTCCTGAACGTGTCATAACTGGGTGGTACTTGTCCGTAGCAAATGGAGTATGTTTTTCTGTATTTCACCCAACAACACCTCTACTAAGTGATTGTCATTTTAATGTTCATATATGCTGTCACTAAGTGGAATACACAGCTCACAAGTAAACTGGCAATAGTGTTGAGTCACGTTGGGTCGCTGGAGGCCAACCAACGGCGCGTGAGGACTGGACTGAACAGATGAAACAGTGGATATCACTAGTGACGTGTCGTCAATATTCACTTAAGGAAATCAGAACCAGGTGATTAAAAGTGTACGCCATAGAACAGTTTGGGATCCTACGCCAGCGACATTAGAAATGTATGAGACATATGGTAAATCTCAGGCTTCTCAATTCCGCAGGATCCCCCACACGGAAGAATGCACATCAGATCGGAGATACACAAGATGCCAGTGAATTATCGAATCCTAGATAGCCAATGGATTCTGTTTCCAGAAATGTCAAGAAAACGTCCCGGGGAACCTTTCAAGACTTGTTCTTTACCATAAAGTGGGGATCTGTTCGGCCGCGATGTATCACATATTAGGGTTAGTTGACCTCGACCATTCACATTCGATCGGACCGGGCGGCCCGTACTGCAGCCGTCAGGTTTCTCTGGTAGCACTGGCGGTATTTTCGTTGATGCAGTTTCAAAAGCGGTGAGATGCCTAGAGGGTCGATTGGCTGTTGTTGCTCTCTATAGTAATACCGTGATTTCCTCCACGTGATCAGATGAAGGAAGGATGGATCCTTTAACGTCATGCAAGAATCGAGACATGCTGCATCATCCGCGGCCGAATATCAGGCACAATCTTCCAAATATGAAACGTCAACGTGTTGAAATAGCTTGCGACAAATGTCGAGGACTAAAAGCCAAGGTAACTTCAATCTATGCTCCCGAAACCCGCTGTCGTGAATCGTGTCTAACGAAGGAGGAAGTGCGATGGAAGACAACCAATATGCGGGAGATGTGAAGGGTACGGTTTTCAGTGTAACTGGTCAATGCGAAGACGGACAGCATTTCAGGAAAAGAGGGATGATGGGGCCGATCAACCCCTGGAAAACAGCTCACCCGCAGCCGTTGAGCAATTGGCGAACTTAGCATCTTATCATCAAATGATGGAGTCGTATGAAATGCTCATAGATGAGATTCGTGCTAAGCTTGATGCGAGCGATCGACTAGCTCTTGACTTGAATCTCAGCAACATCCGACGACAGAAGCCCAGAGATTTAGCACATGGACAGCTTCCAAGACATCCGTCCGAGGGACATCAACACCCCAAGCACTCCAGTACAACGCCGCCTTCATATGTAGGGAAGGTGAGTGAAATTCACTTCATACGAGCAGTGCATCGCTGTATGCAGGGCCCTGAGCTGTCTGAGCTCACAGGAGAACCTGGCTACGGTTCTCCCGGCTTGTCAGACCACCTCGTCTCGTTGAATCGCCCACTTCTCCTGCCACCAAAGGAGAAGGCTTACCAGCTGTTGAACGTTTATCTTTCCACCATCCATATCGCCTACCCATTTTTATCAAGAAAACAGCTATTTGAGGAACTAGAATCCCTCTGGAACAAAGACTGCGACAATGTGGAGTATCAGCCTTGGCGCGCCCTGTTTAGTAAGGACTCGACATCTCCCCGCGACCGATCTGATAAAGTCTCTCATTGACCTTTGCCAAGGCTTTATATTTGCCATCGGATCATATTATACATCCTTTCCTCATAGAAAGGAAACTCCTTCTAGCCAACATTTCCGATATTTTCAGCAGGGTCTTTATTTTTCGTATGGCATTGATTCTAACTGCTCTCTAATCAGCATTTGGGTACTGCTTGTGCAATGCTTCTTCCTACTCGCCATATGCCAGACAGACCGGTATGTATACCTTTTATTATATGCACCTTGCGCAGGCTAAGCGGTGTGGAAGTTGCTGGAACACCCTCGGGCTTGCGATTCGCATGGGCCAGAGCATTGGCCTCCACGTAGAAGCTAGTTCTACCAGTAGTACCCAGGAAACAGCAACAGAAAGCCGTAGTCAACAACGGCGGACTTGGTACTCTCTGTACGTTCTGGACCGACTCTTAGCTCTTCAATTAGGGCGGCCAATGGCTATCCACGAGGAAGACTCCCACGTCGAATTGCCTTCGTTGCAGGACCAGTCAGCATTCACAATGGATGTTAATGAGCATACCTTGGACGATGCCCACGTGTCATCCATGATGGCGTACTTTCGCGCGGTAATCTGTTTCTCCTCCATTGTGAGCCAGGTGATCCGCGAGCTCTATCGACCTAGCCAGATTGACTTGAGACCGGATCAAATGTTGCATAGTGCTTCAAGTCTCGATCAGCAGCTGGCACAATGGAAGGAAAACCTTCCGCGTCACTTACGGTTTGACCGTGGGCATACGTTTGAAAGATCAATCTCATTTAAACGACAGGTTAGATTCGTTTACCATATCCTTTGTCTTTCATTTTGTTTGTTGACTTACTGAAGACCGAGGAGCTCTTAGCGCAACATGCTCGCTGTGAAATTTCATCACCTTCGAGCTCTCATTTATCGTCCCTTTTTGTGCCTACCCTTGCTCCAGGCTCATAATGACTCATATATGGACCTTCTGATGCAACACAAAAGCGATATCTCGCATGCAGAGTGGGCCTGCATCTCAGCGGCTCAGGAAACTGCCAAACTCCTGCATCATGTTGTAGATGAGCGAAGCCTCGTGCACGATTTTCCGTGGTGGCAAATGATATCCTGTCTCATTTGTGCCAGCTCTATTTTGTTTGTCGCGGAAGCATTCTACCGGGACCACGACCTTCTAGAAGGAAGGACATCGGCCTCGTGTGTGCGTGATGATGCCGAAATCTGCCTTCAAGTGTTCAAAGCTCTAAGTGCCAACTCTGATGCCGCTAGAAGAGCGGCAGACATGCTGGAACGCTTGTCGCATTTACGCCTCTCGGCAGTCGGTGAGTGTAATCAATTAACTCGCAAAAGCCGCAACGTTTAACCTTTTCATTCTAATAGGAAGAGAAGCTTGTAGTGACGTGGGTTCATGCCCTGTACAGTCAGCAATACCCGCAACTCAATTTCTCGGTGGTTCAGTAGTATCAACAGACGTTCCACCCATATCAGTCTCCGATATGCCAGCCCCCCTTTTTGCAGGCTCCTGGCCGAGTGAGATTTCAAATTCTATGGAATGGTCCATTCAGTTTCTGGACCATACGTCATTCTCCCGAGGCGATAGTCATTTCAACGCCCCTGACCTATAGATTATTTCAATGTGAATGCGTAATCGCAGAGGCCATACCCCGTCCCGCCAAGACGATTTCTATATATGGGCCGACATGCGCTATACAATATAGTACATTTCCCTTGTGATACATCTGACACTACGATACGATCGAATCTTGTCAATGCGGTGTCTGTAATTTAACGTGGAGGAGACATGCAGCAAACTTAAACTCTGCATGGAAGATACAAACGATTATTCTCAAATTGATTGCACCGGGGTCATAGCATTATTTAAACATCGAGCGGTAAACATTGTATTTTGACCATACAATGTGAAGTGAGGACAAAACACATAGAAGTAAAACATACATCTTATGAGTGAGTAGAGAATCGCTTTTTAACCCACGACCTCACCCCGCCGACCGATGCATGGCGTCGTCTATGCCATACATCACCAGAAGACGGGCTAGGTGGTAAAACGCAGAGAGTTCTTGGGCGGCGATATTCATAGAATGTACGACGGCAAAGCGGGCAGCTCGCATCTTCCGTGTAGAGCCAACAGTCGATACAGGGTAAATGGAAGATATGTTTACACGGTAGAATACGATAAGCGGATTCCGGACCCAACTGCTCCAAGCAAAGCTCACATTCTTTAGGTAGTGCGCCTATACTTTGGTCAGATATCTTCGTGAAAGACTTTGTGGCATGTTATCTCAACATACATGGCTGGCTCACTGTCCAGTCTTTAGATCCAAAGTAGCATGGCATGGGTGCCAATGCTAGCTCTTGTTTTGTCAAACCACCTCTTTCTGTCTTCGATGGCATATACACGTAGTATTCGGCCATGGAACTCTGACTGGGTCATAGGTTTCACTTAGTATAGTATCGGATATGACGATGGGAGATAATTACGCTAATATGGCTTACTCAATGGGCTTAAGTATCCCTTGCCCTGTCTGGGTGAATCCGATGGATAAGACGGCAGGGGGTTCTACCATGATGTATGGATGTTCCGGGGTACCGCCGGTCATGCGGACAGCACGCGTATTGATACGTTTGCCACCATATCCTTTCTTCTTCCCTTGTTCTTATGGTTATGTTTTCCCCCTCAACCGCTTTTAGATGGTTGATATTGTTAGGAAAAAGGCCAGTCGAGGTCCATTGAAAGCGTGGTTACAACATATGGGTGAATTTGGGTATTTTTCACTATAAATCCCAAACGACCCGGAAGGGAACTTGGTGGATACTCTTCCATTTGGTTCGGCCGGAAGAAACGGGCCACACGGAACGGGCTCTGACTGGCACGCATAAATACAATATGTGGTTTTCACAAAATGTCAAGTCGTCTACCTGCCATGGAACCTAGTGGCTCTTGCTATGGCGTTCCACTATGCGAAGAGACTATCCTCGAGCCCTGTTCAGCGGTAGAGTGCTCTGTTCCACATGGCTGACAAAACCTTAATCAACTAGATGATATCATAGAATAATATACAAATACCCTTTCGGGCTGTGAGCTTCTAGACTGAAGGGAATTTCTATGTAACTTTCCAAATTAAGTTTCCTCCGCTCTTCGAACGGATCTCTGGAAGCAAATACTGGGCATGTAGTGGGTATTGTCCTGTGCAGAGGTTGGTATTGCCGGCATTCCGAAACCTACCATTTTATGGGATTTTCCTTTTTATGTGAAGCTCCTCAGACTTTTGTGCACATGTAAATAGTACGGGTTGGACAATTAAAGTGACATATTTATGGTTCCTAAATCGGCAAATACAGCCAAGTCCGGGGTAAATGTCAGTGGCCTTCTAAAAGGCTTAATTATACTGCTCCTGCTTGTCCATTATGTGTAGAGCGCGTTTCAAAAGGTTACAGGAGAGCCCTATACGACTCTTGTGACTCCTGAGATAGCTCACCTCTAATCTGAGTGAATATACTTTTAGCCTTCAATTCATATAGAAGGTAGTTGTCACCTATTAGATATATATCTACTATCAGTGCGGGATGCCATCTGTCATATACATCCCGTAAATAACCAGAGAGACGTATTATCCACCGGTTGACCTTCATAGCTAGACGTTTAGTAGTTAGGCTCGAACAGGTTGATAGAATCTTGATTGATTGATATCCACCGGTTATACCAGTAATCGCTCCTATGTATCATGGCATCAAGGGTTCGTTTCTCAGCGTGTAATACGTCGTATTCTGTCAATGACAGTGAAAGCCAACAATGTGCTATGATACTGTACTCGTCCACCCTTGAGTCTATTATCGTGGCATCCCTACTCACCCAAGTCATGGATGTTGAATCACCAATTCCTCTATATTGCTTGTTGGGGGAATAGACAAGAGTTGTGGAGAGAGCACCCCTAGGTCCTATAAGATATAGAGTCAGATGATATGTTGTATTTTCGACATTGATCAACATGCAAGGTTAATAACTACTGGAAATAACTTGCTGAAAATTTCACCATGACACCATGATGTTCTGTTGTTGAGGCGGGGGGGGGGCAGGGGTATCGATGTCGTGGTATCTTGAATGCTTATTGTTATGAGTGCCACTATACTATGCGTGGTGCCGGTCTAGACCGAGATTGGTGATAGTATACTAAAATTACTTTTTACTAAACTAGCTCTTTCAGTCAGAATATATACTGTGAACTGTAATTCCAACATATAAACATTTATATCTAACCATCGCAAACTACATAGGAATACGCATTCATATTAACGTATCCCAGGCCAGTAGGGAACCCGCGGGCTAACTTTTGATCAGGTGCGGGTCGAACCATGGAAACCCGAGCTGACAAAACAAGTCTATCCCGGACGTCACCGAGCTCATTTTCTCCATTTGTCCTAGCCACGCTTACCTTGATGTTAATAACGGTCAACGACTATGAGTGAGAGTATTAATACCACACAGGTTAGCCTGGGTCGAAATTCTCACATTCCTGCTGTACGTATTGTTTGCGGGGGATTGGGCGCCACCACTAACGCGTGGCACAGTGTACCGAATGTCGAGCTCGGAAAGCGAAAGTAAACTTGTCTTGGAATGCTTCTTCTTTAGTGCTTATCGTGTCATCTTGCTGATACAAAGTAGTGCACCAAGACTCGACCATCGTGCGCACACTGTAGAGCTCTGAACCAGCCCTGTGTGTATCCAGAAAAGGTGGTGAGGTCGCCTTTGACTCGGCAGTATGCTCTCACGTGACCGAGTATAGAAGAACCTTCACTGACTTGACCACTGAGACACCTCACCAAAGTCGAAAACAGATTGGAAGTGCTTGAAGCGGCACTGGAGAAGCTATTTCCAGGAGGAGCCACCGAGACCCTAATTCGTTCGTTGCTGAGTGACTCACCGGGTTGTCATGTTTCTTCTCAACCGATCAGCACAGAACCGACCTCAGTTTCCAACACACCTGTCCATTTGACGAACGAGAATGAACGATCCCTGGTTTCCCAGCAGGAAGGTTTGTCTGTGCCAGCCCTTTGTGAGTGACAGCACTGAGAGGATAAACAGATATAATCGGCAATTCAACAAATAACTTGCCTGACATTGAGATGGACGAATCTCAAAGCTCCTTGGATGCCCATATTTTGGACCTCAATCCGAGTGATTTGCGGACTCCAATGACAGATATAGATGAGCCTAGACTGATTCGAGCGTATTTTGAACATTACCATACCATCTTCCCCTTTGTTCATGAAGCAACGTTCATGAAACAATATGAGATAAGAAGCCTTACGCCGCAAGACTGCGAATGGGCAATTCTCTGCGATATGGTATTAGCAGTGGGTTCATGGTGCCTGCAAGCCAATGAGGGCATGAACAACGGCCACAGTTTCTCTAAGCGAGCAAAGAAGAGGTTGGACCAGTTATCTATTCTTGCCCAAGCCTCTATTAGCCTGATCCAGGCACTACTTCTGATGAGTCACTATTACGAAAAATATGGCCAACCGAGAGATAGCTGGACCTATCTCGGTCTTGCAACTCGGATGTCGATCAGCCTAGGGCTGCACAAGGAGTCAACATATTCTCGGAATGATATTTCCCCCTTGACTAAAGAGACTTGGCGAAGAGTTTGGTGGAGCGTGTATTGCTTTGATAGTTGCACATCGAAGATCCATGGTCTGCCCCTCCTCCTACCAGAGGACAAACTGGTTACCGTCAGACCGGTATCGAATGTAGCCGATGAGGTAGTCACCCTGTCAAATGAAAGCACCATCAAAACTGCTGCTAATCTTCAATGAAGGACCTGACGGAGTTAAGTCAGTCTCATCCGAACGAGCGGGACGATTGGACAATATATACCGGACTGATTTTGCAGTCCAGCTATCACCGAATGGCAAATAGTATTAACCACCGGATACTCTCTATAGATCATGTAACTGTCTTTGATGTGAAGACATACGAGCAAATGATTAATGATTGGCATAATAGCATCACACTCTGCACGCAGCATACCATGGTGGATCAGCTGCCTGACTGGGCTCGGTATGCACGCGATCGGCAAATGCTCTGTGATCGGAGCCTCCGACTCCTCATTCATCGCCCGGCGCTTCTTGACTGGTTAAGAAGGAAACAGATCTCTCACGGACAGGCCAACCTCGGGGAGGAACCAAGCGAGCGACAATGCCGTGCTAGTGGTCTCAATCTGGCTCGGGGAACCATAAAGCTCACTTCACGCCTGATCCAAGACCATCAGTATTCTAACGTTGCTCTCTCTTTTATCCTGTTTGTGCCATACCCCCCATTATCCTGCCTCTTGACGGAATATTGGCTGACACTATCCCGGTCATCAGCTATGCCCTCTTGCACGCCGTCCTCGTTCCTATTATCCATCTGAAGGCTGATCCGTCTGTTCCCGAGTCTATAACATGGCATCAAGACATCGAGGAGGCCAAGCAAACACTGTCCTGCCTTTCAACTCAACATGACGCCTTGGCAACTCATTTTCTAGTCATCCTCAATCAGGCCGCCTCCTCGTCTTTTACGGCCACCGATGAGAGCCCGAATATGATTTCCGATCCGCTGCAGCCCCATGATCTGCAGCCTACGGCGACGGGCATATTTGGTAATAGTGAGCTCAGACTATTAGAGCCTAACACCGCGGGGCCTAATTCATTGGCCTTTTCGGAATGGTTGAATGGTTTATCATAGGCTATATGCTTTCAATCCAACGCTTTCATGGTAGGTACACCACTTGTTCGAGACGTCTCGGTTCATTTATCAAGCTTGCATGTTGATAGGCCTCACATCTTATCATACTGATCCTTCCTCTCGCCTTTTGTAAAATCTTAATGAGTGATTTGCTTTCTGGTGTACTACCGTCACCTAGTGTAACATGAACTTAATTTCACATTTGCTAGCCAAATATAAGATTCCTCCATCCAATGTTCATTTAAACGTTCGATCCCGCATTCTGGTAAGATCCACTCAACTCCTCGATCGTGTGGGACTGCATAAACTGCTTGAACGTTACTGGTTGCACCATGGGGTACTTGGAATTATCCAACTCTGGCTTGAGATAGGTTTGTCCGTTGGTACAGTAATACTGGTAGAACCTAACAAGGGAATTAGATCGTCAGCATTGGAATCTCAGGCCACGATCAGAAATTATAAACTTACAGGGCTAGGTATGCATAAACGTCCGAAGGATTCTTGTCATAGATTGAGTGCATCTTTTGATACAGGTCATCTTTGGACCCGAGTCGCACCAACCGGGGTCTCTTGCCGTAGACTTCAGCGAACTCGTGAGCGATCTGGTGGATGTTCTTCCTGTCGCCGACAACTGCCCTAAATTAGCACCCCCCAAAAACGGATTAGGAATGTCTATAGCCTCAAGGTGAACTCACAGTGCTGCAGGCCGACGGCATTCTGGTCTGTCGCAACAGCCGCCACGAATTCTGCGGCGGTGCCATAGGTTGTTGACTCCCAAACCTCATCGCCTTCGCCCCAGTACGAGAAGGTTGTCTCTGCGGGATCGAACACGCCGAAGTACCCGCTCCAGAAGGTCTCCATGAAGGCCCCAATCAGTACATGGACCCCTTGAACAGTGGCCTTGGTGTCCAGATGAGCCTTGACGAGCTTCATCGGGTCCTTCGCCGGATGTTGGCCAAGCTCCAGTTTCGTGAAGTCTAGGCAGTAGTCACTAGCTAGATAGCGAGTGACCCCCTCCTGCTCGCACGCGTCCACCAGCACTTTTTGCCCGTCGGTCATGAACTGATTGTCGCCTAGGTAGCAGCAGATGACCACCTCACACCCACGCACGAATCGTCGAGCATCTTCCAAGCTCAGGGAGTCACCCTGAATCGTGGTGATGCGGTTGGACTCCCGAAGATGGCCGGGTAGCTTAGAGGCATTGCGGCAAAAACCCCGGATGCGGACTTCTGGGTAGTTCTGGAGGAGATCCTTGACGACAAGACGTGCAAACTTGCCTGTGATACCCGCAATGCCGACGGTAAAAGCCATATTGTTTCGGAAGAAATGTTCCAGGACGTAAAGAAATATTGTGTCCAGTGACTTGAAAATACAAAGGATTCAACCAAGGTCAGCTTGCCTCTGTCTGCCAGCGAAGTTCATAGCTTAAATAAGATAGCTTGTGGCAAAATGAATTCGAGGCCGTGAATCATCAAGAAGATACCGTCGTCAGCAGGAGGCTATTGACCTGCTTCCAACCAATGGGATCTTCGGTTGACTGTGGTCCGGGCTGGGTCGCATGGGGGATTAGTTAGCATTTCCACCGTCCCACTGGCGTTGCTCCCGTCTAGATCCGAAACCCCAATTGATTTTAGGGCTGTGTCGGTCAGACCTTCACCTAGTTGGTTGACTTTTTACTACATTAATGAATTTATGTAAAAATTGACTGCTTAATCTACATCATCAAGCGCCCTGATGGAGTCCATTAATGGCCCACCTTACTAATGTATAAGCTAAGTATGAATACAAATAACTGTAGGTCCCTTGGAGTGAGCGAAAACAGCCACGATAACATGGGTTTCCCACGCCGTTTAAACTATTAATCAAGAATTCATATGCGAATTGGCCTATAGTTACACCGTGAGTGTTATGGCAGTTCTATAGATCTAATTTGATATTTTCTCATCAACACAACCTGATTTAATTGACATCGACATTGCCCCACAACAACGTTCATCTCGGACCAAAAAGAACCTTCGGCGGATAACACATGATCCTGTTTATCGGTAGTGGAATGAATAGCCCAACGTAAGAAGCGTCGCCCAATTGCGGAGATTCCATGGCCTGCGAATTTAGGCAAGGCAAACACCGTCAATGTGCTGCTTGCGGTAGATAGCAATGCGGCATTCGGTTCCATCGGGGTAGTTCTCGAGGGAGGACTTGAACTCAGGAAGGTCATAGAACGCCTTCAGGGCTGCAGTCGACTCCCAAATAGCGTAGTTGAGCATCGTGTCGCTGCCGTTGACGCCGCGGTGAAGCTGGGTTGAGATGAAGCCCGGTTGCTTCTTGGCCAGGTCGGCATCGATCTTCCAAGCAGCGAACGCCTCGTCCATTTTACCGGCCGGAATATGGAAAGTGTTGACGAGCACACAGGAGCCAGCCTCGGGGCGTTCTTCCAGCTGCTTCAGCAGCGGCGTGCGAGGGTCAATATCGATAAAAGTAGCACCCATCTTGATGGTCTACTGAATGTTATTGAGATTCAATGAAGAGCTGATTGATTCTTGTGATGATGGGGGGTTGGGGATAAGAAACACTTATTTCCTGTCGCAGGCCTGGGAATTTAAATGAATTGATCCTGTACGCTGTTTGCATTTTTACGCTGGAGCGGTCGCCTTGACCTCGATCCTTCTCATGGCGCGCGGCAAACCGGTGTGATACGAGTGGGCCCGGAGTACACTCTACCAACGGTTTGATTGGTCGAACGTCTGGATTAGTATTATTCCGCTGCAAGTATAAGAAGTGTTTAGCGCTGGCTATTCTATTCATAGGAATAGTATCGGATGGAACATTATTTCCAAGGCATTTGAAGGGTTCACAATGTTACCCACATCCGCCTAAGAAGGAATAGCCCATACCTGACAATGTAGGACTCCGTGTTCCTAATGGTTATGGGTCTAAACACTCCACCGTGAATCTGATTAGTTCTTTCTCACAAATATAGTGATTGACTTTGTCCTGCCTTTCCGATACATCCATTAAGCTTTCAACACTTGATTACCGCCGTGATGTTGTCTGGTAGGACTTCTGTTCGGGCATATCGCTCTTCTAGCGCTCACACTAGAATCATAGGATCAGTGAGTATGGACAAAGTGATTAGCAGCAGGAAGCAACCATGGAATACAGGGATAGGATTCGAGGATTGACCTAGCTCTCAACGGCTATAATACCACGATAAATTTAGATTGACCCCTTTGCTCATACAACTTCCAATGGTAGGATTACTTTGTACAGAGCTATTGCGTTGTTTTCCCTTTTTTTACGCGCTGTCTTAACATCATGTCCTGTGTCCAATCAGCGCTTTAACCTATATTACATCAATGCCAGCGAAGCAAGCGTATGCTGATCTTGGAGTGTTCAAAGTCAGTGGGTAGAAGGTGAGTATCACAGCCACCAGGCAGAAATCCACGCAATGCTGTGTATTTGTATAGTAAGCCCTTCATTCTTACGGGTGTGCTGAATAACCATTCTACCACTGCTGTCACCTACAGGTATTGTTTCAGGTCAACCTGCGAAGTGATAAGTTGGTTGATAGTTGGCAACAGAATCAGTAAGCATGTAGATCCATTATATGTGGAAAAGGAAACACAAGGCCGGATCTCTGCCCGTTCCCACGTTCTTAGTTAGGGCCATGCACCCAGCAAGCAGGCGATACAGCTATCCTATCAACACTGATAAGTCTTGGTGCTTATTAGCACATTAAGCATTTTCACCGTTGCAACTTCAAGTCTTCAGTTCCCGCCTTCACACCGATTTAGGAGGCTTGGTGATGTTTGTCAACTTGTCCCTATATGCAGTCAATGCATTTGATTACACAGCGAACAAAATGTGCACGGAAAGAAACATAATTTACCCGTTCAGCTTCTTGATGATCATACCGAGCCCTTCATGAGAGTAATCCTTGCAATTCCACATATCCTTGTGATACACAACCTTCTCATTCGGCTCTTTTCCTTCAAGCTTAAGGCTGATAAGACTGTCTGCAATTTTAGAAGCATGAATACCAGCAAAGGTGTACTTCTGTCGTTGCTTCCATACAAGCTCGTGCTCTGTCGACGACGTGACCTCCGTAGCCAACGTCTCGGACTTGGCAAATAGTTTCGGGATACCATACCACTGGCCAGCTATCTTGTACCTATCTTCTATCAGTATATCCTGCCTGCGAGCCGGTGTATCAAGAAGTACCGCGTGTCGCAATAACTGAACGGATCGTCGTAGATTGCCTTCTCGGCATAGACCTTCATGTCATCCTCGGAGGCGCTGCCACCGTAAAGGGCAATGATGCTTTTCTGAGTTGCCGCCCGAGCAGGTGAGATCGAGATGGATCTTTCAGGGTGAGGCACATAGTCTACGTCGCCATTCACGTTTTTTGGTCGTTCGGGGTGTGGCTCGACGGCCCTGGGGTCAGGGTGTGGTGATGTGGAAGATGGCATTTTGGGTCTTCGGAGCCCAGAATTTCAAATATAGGTCACGGACACTCTGTCTAAAACGGAATATATAATCTATAGTGTTGTTTAATAATGAGTAGGGAAGGTGACGTTCGGCCAAACCCTGTAAATATACAAGACTTTTCGAAAAGCATGACGTCACCTTCAGGTCACCTAAGAACGTGACTGAATCGGGTTCGTTGCTGTCTAAGCTTCTAACCCTAGATAACAGTCTTTTATATGAAGGGCGAAATCTAAAAGCATAGAGGAAAACTCGATATGTCCTTCTACGCATGTCTGTCTCTTTTCTCGTTCTCGTAAGAATACAAGTACCCGTGAAATATTAGAAATAGGTATACCATATATCTTCCGGATCAGCAAGCAAGCCTTAAAGCCATAGGTGCTGTCCAAAGAAAAACAAAATCAGTCATCATAGCGGTGATCATAGCGATGATAACACTGGGGTATCCCCTTTCCCGCTCACTGTCTTTGAAGAATTGGGGGGCGATCATGCTCCCGGTACAGGATCTGCATATAATAATTAACCCCTTTATTCAACATATAGTCCCTTTCCTTCTGGTCTCGCCCAATGAAGAATGAATGTCACGGCGGTCTTTTTCGTAAACTTAGCAACGTTGCTGTCGTCAGGTCTACTATAGCGCTATACTCAGTCGGTCCGGTTAACAAGTACAAATACATTCGAACAACTCATATGTGATGACGACGAAGCAAGGGGCCAGACTGGCAACATTCCCCGAGCAAAGAGCCTTGCCTTAGCACAGGAACCTGGCTCCTCCTATGCACCAGCGCCGTTTGTTTAAGTGGTGTATCACAGGTTAAGCATAGGCGATTGCCTAGTTGTTCACAGTTTGCTTTACATCCTTTTGTTCTAGGGTGGCCTCATCTACCCACCCTATACCATATCCCATAGAGTGCTGAAAAACCATAATTTTGGTTCTAACTTTCTAAATAGGCCATGGCGCAACATCAATATATGCAAATTCTGGCAGGGCCATTATTTCGCTTCAATGGCACCTTAGAGCTTATCTTATCAGTCGACTGACCCCCAGAATGCACATTGCTCTATGAAATACCTTCTGTTGAGCTATAAATGCATTAAACAGTCTTAGGTTTACTGACCTTGAGCTAAGTATTACCCTAGGTTAAAAACAATGATTACATATTGTGGACCTCTCCATCGACCGAGGCTAAATATAGAGTTGCGACCAGGGTGGGTCGAGACCAATTTTTGGGACGAGCGATGCAACTCTACCTAGGCTAGAGCTTAGGTCAAAAGTATGTCACCGCTCGTCTAAGCCAACGGTTGCCTTGTATTGCTTTGGTGCCCCCATGTCGAAAGACTAATCATGCAAGGAGTATTCCACTCTTGGTCCCTTAACGCCGAGACAATGTGCTTATCGCATATTGAAGGAGCCTGACAGTTACTATTGAATTTGGAGCAAGCATACTAATAGTGACAACCAAGAACTAGGTACGATCACAAAGCGGGTCATAATTGATTGGGCAATGCTACTGTATTAGTAGGGATCACATATATCTAAGACATGGGCAATCATACAAGCGTTGGTGAATGTCGATCTCTCGACACATGGCCCACCCAATACTTTGGGTCAGTTGTGACTAGTTCAATCATCGGGCTTTTGTTAGGAGAATTTTAATCTAGCCTTCTCAACGTCCAGAGACATATAAACTTTATTTATAAGGAAACTGTTATTATTTCCGTTTGTGGTACTTAGTCCTTGGGGCCTAGTCGTCTAATTGGAGACGATCCAATTCCGGGATTTCAAGGAAACTAGCCAGTCAATTGAGGTCAGCTGTCCGAAGAGATGGGTTACCCAGCAGATCGTTTCTCGCGGATACTGTTTCGTAGGTTTTGCGCCAGTATGTGGGAGTAGGGTTGGACTTGGAAGGCTTGCGCTACTTGCCAATTACTTTCACAGAAAAGCTTGGTACCTCGGTTTGCCTGTTTTAAATGAACCAACAAAGTAACTTTTCGTTCGTAATATGCACGTGAAATGGTAATGTCACAAGATCTACATTATGAGATGGATATCTTGAACGGGCATGGGCTGAGATAAAAGTCAATATCCTAGGAGAAGCAATGCAAGAGACAAGACGTATAATAATTAAAATTATGTAACATGTGAGGCTAAGCCGCTAGGCAGCCAGCTGCCTTGCCAGATACCTCAGGGCCTAAGTATTCCTCGTTTTGCTGGTAGATCCTACCTCTCCTGATTTCTAAGATTTGAACCTGGAACCCAAACAACCAATCGTCAGCAATATTCAAGGCAAGCCACGGTGCCATGGATTCCGACTGGTTGAACATACTTCAGCAACTCTACCAAGTCTCATGCAGGCGCTGCGGGTCCAGCTCGCTATTCCGACTACTTCTGTCCTCGTGGGTCACCTCGATCCGGTTGGAGACTAAGATACTGCTGGCGATGGTCCCAGTCGGAGACGCCGGGTAGGTCTTCAGATTCTGCATCTTGACGTCGCCCACCATCCGTTCCTCACTCTCGGTCAATGTCAGGGTCCCCACTGTAGGATGCCCGCTAGAGGGTTTCCGGCGATTCCGACTCCGGGAGTCACCACCCCCTCCCCCAATGCTCTGGAAACCACTGGGATATTTGTGTGTTGGGGTTGAGTTGAAAGCACTACCGTAAACGCGCCCGAGCCAGGATTTGAACAGGTGGAATATCATGGGTAGATTGGTCGTTATAACTGCGACGAATGTCTCGCGCGTACCCCATGCGCCGCTTAGTTCTGCGCCGTGGAGGGGGTCCTATACGATAACGTGTGATTAGAACGATGATATTGTGCGCGCGAACGAACATGATGGGATCACATACTACTAGGACGAAGACGCTCTTCAGGGTGGCACAAACCAGAACGAATACACCGGCACTGAGTACGACTGTAGAAGCGATCTTTTTTCCCAGTTTCAGTTTAGTGCTCCATAATACTGGAATTGGGATCGTTATTAAGTAGAGATCGGTGCTGACGTTTGCGGCGAAGGAAACCCAAACTATTGGTTTGGAGATAGCAGCCTGACAGATATCTAGAAATCTATGCGTTAGTATAACTCCAGTGGTCCAGAGACGGAGTACTTCCTGCCAGGGTCCGGGTTGATCTGCCAGTATCTGTGAAGCGGTCGGCATGCTGCGAAGATTGTTACAATGCTCGCTATAAAGGTCCCGATGACGAGGGCGAAGCCAATATAAACTGGGACCCGATAGCGCCGTCCAAGACCATCCTAGTCACTGTCAGATGCCATTGGGGATAGATTTGTCGTTCGAAGTTATACCGTAAGTCGAACGTAAAATGCCAACATGGAGAGCTTAAGTGACCAGATCAACGCCGAATATGTAGTCCATCCTGCGACCTGGATCTTGGATCCGATAATCCTATATGACCGAATAGTATTAGTGGCGACTGACATAATCCACTGTTGATGGGAATGGGACGCACCTAAATCGGTATTCGGGATCATCAACGGACAATCCAGCGCGCTGGGCATCTGTCATACCATTGTTGGCTAGGCCATGGGCAACGTTTCCCACGCTGTATGCGAGAGCTGTCTGTGCGGTGTAGAATAGCTGCAACGATCAGTGTTAGTAGAGTAGTGGGCTGGTTGTGGTCCATCGGGGACACGAACTATCCCTACCCAGATAAGGTAATCATCGGCTCGCAGATGCCTGAATCCCACAGCGCTTCCTCTGGCATACGTCCTGAGTATGGTCGCAGCGACGCCAATTGCATAGAGTGTCCAAGACTCAATTGCAGATTTGCGGAATGCTGCTTGAGCAGCCTCTTCTTCGGCGGCCCTTGTGACTATGTCAAGTGTGAAATCAGACGACATCCTTGGATAGGAGATTTAGAAGGGCATTTTGAAGAGAAATGACAGGCAAAGCGTAAAGCAGAGAGCAATCGGTCACTTTTATTGTTTTTTTCCTTTATGCTACACAAGGTTTCGCTATTCCCCCACCATAGGTTTGCGATATCGTTGTGTGTTGGTGGTAGAGCCCTATGAGCGCAGAACCACAACTACGGAGCCATTATAAGACCAAGACCAATTTTTGTGATCAAGGGTCCGTTTGAGACATATTTGGGAGCCGACAACGTTATCTGCACCTCATCCGTTTAGGTTACCGGGCTTCCGAGGGGTCCGATCCGTGAACATGTAGTCCTATTGTTATGGCTAACTGTCTGACCAAGACCCGCAACGGTATGGGGATCCAACGTGCTAGTTGGGGGTACCACGGTCGACAGTTGGTCAGAGGTTTAGGCTAGGCAGGGGTTGCAGAACGTATTACAACGCTTCTGTGGATCTTTCATGGCGAGAAAAAATGAGGTAGTATTCGCCAAGCATCGTCTCAGGTCTCGCACATGCTAGGGCACGAACATTAGCGTCAAACAATGGGCAATGAACGTATAATAAAAACCTGGCAAAATGGACCCGTACATAACAATAAATAATAAATAATAAGAATGCCACCCGCATCCTCATGCAACGCACAAGGATTCAAGTCTAACTGAGCATATTCTGACTGGCCACCTCGGCCGATCCGAACCATTTTTGCGACGGCAGGAAGCGGCCTTGCATCGTGAGCAATTTTGGTCTCCCCCTTCTACATCTCGTAGCATTCGGGAGCTTTTCTTTCCACAATGCTTCGAATTAAACTGGAAGCGGTCACGGCTTTGGGCGCGTGGGCGATTGCCTCAGCCTGCGAGACTGTGCCAATGTCTAGCCTTTGGAATAGAGGACTCTGCCCACGATCAAATGATGTGGAGGATCTTGGGATCAAGCTTTCGCCCACTGCCAAGGTCTATTGCCCAGGTTCGGAGGACTTCGACGTGGCATCAACCCGGTGGTCTGTCTTAGACGCTCCCAAAGTTAATATCGTCGTAGTGCCGGGCACGGAAAACGATGTGGTCGAGACGGTGTGTTTTTTTTTCCTTTCCCCTCAACCCGTCAAGACGGGCAGGCAAAGCTGTCCGATTGCACATGACATAAATTGGCAAGGGGTGAGACGCTAATTTGAACGCTATAGGTCAAGTTCGCGAATGAGAAGGAGTTGCCCTTCCTTGCGTACAATGGTGCCCATGGTGCAATTACGACTCTTGGTAAGATGGACCATGGCATTGAAATCTTCCTGGACCAACTGAACACCATCGAAATCTCGAAGGATGGGAGTACCGCAAAGATTGGTGGTGGAACTAAGTCTAAAGCCGTCATCGATCAGCTCTGGGCAGCAGGAAAGCAGACAGGTGAGTCGCAACTAGCGAGTCGACCTGGAAGTATCGTGATTACTGACATGGGAATAGTGAGTGGTACATGCGAATGTGTGAGCTTCCTAGGGCCTGCACTCGGCGGAGGCCATGGGTGGCTGCAGGGGCACCACGGTCTCGTCGCGGATCAGTTCGTTTCTATGAATGTCGTACTCGCAGACGGGAGCTTTAAAGTACTCGATAAAACGTCCGATCTCTGGTGGGCGATGAATGGTGCTGGTCATAACTTCGGTATCGTAACCTCCGTTACTACTAAGCTGTATGACATCGTCCACCACAACTGGGCAATCGAAACTCTCACATTCAGTGGGGATAAAGTGGAGGCTGTGTATCAAGCCGCCAACGACTATCTCCTGAAGAACGGCACCCAACCTGAGGGTGTTATCAATTGGTCTTACTGGTTGAATAACCCGGGCACCGACCCTGAAAATGTGGGTCTATATAGCCATTCCCCAGGACTTCTTAAGCGTTAACTAAAACCCATAGCCTGTCATCTTATTCTACATCATTCAAGAGGGGGTGAAAGCAGTCGATTCAGCTTACACAAAGCCTTTCCGCGATATTGGTCCAATCTCCAAAGAGCCAAAGGGAGGAAGCTACACCGACCTTGCTGAGTGGACCGGCATCTCCCTGTCATCTCCGCCATGCCAAAAGGCCGGTCTTGTCAACCCCCGGTTCCCCAACTATCTCGAAGAATACAATGTCCCCGCTCAAAAGAAGGCATATGAGATTTTCGCAAACGCAATCCGTGGAAGCTCGCCATTCAACAACTCGATCTTCATGTTCGAAGGGTATTCTATGCAAGGAGTAAAAGCAATCGACAGCAAATCTAGTGCATTCGCATTTCGAGGCGAAAATATTCTCTCCGCTCCACTCATCACCTATGCGCCCGCCGGCCCGGAACTTGATGAGAAGGCCGCCCAGTTAGGTAACGAACTTCGCGAAATTCTCCACAAGGCCAGTGGGCGGCCCGAGGTGCGCGCGTATGTCAACTATGCCTATGGTGACGAAACACCGCAACAATGGTATGGAAGTGAGAAGTGGCGCCAGGACCGCCTGCAGGCCTTGAAGGAGAAGTATGATCCAGCGGGCAAGTTTAGCTTCTTCGCTCCAATTGCATAAGCACGCAATGACTATCGAGAACCCCGGTCTCTATCCAGTTGGGCTGATGTTGATCGTGTAGCCTTTCGGCATTGTGCACGCTGTCGATCTTCCTGTAAATATTATCGGTCTCACGGACACGCTCTACCTAGCTTAATATATCCGGTTTGGGATGGAGTATTCAAGGCACGAACTTAGTGTCATATAGTGTTTTGGTCGAGTGGGATTGACATATCCTCTATATGGTGCGACAATGTAAAATGTACTACAAATAGGCCACCACATTCCAAATCACCAAATCGCTTCAACAACCCGCTATCTGAACATCACATGTAGATACTCCGTCAGGGGCGCAGTTACAACTTGCCGCTTTATTACTATCATGACCTTGTCACCAGTGTACGTGCCGGAGTAATGAAAAATGCATTGCGACAGTCGGGAAGGGACGACAGTATACGAAGTCAAGGAGACATAAACCTTGCATATCTTGCTCACTCCAAATACCAATGAAGCTAAAGGAACCGCACGTTTGTAATACCAGACAGATGGAAAACCTTCACCTTACAGATGCCTAATAATCAGAGAGCAATTTCCTCCTGTCGCCGTCTAATCATGAGTTTCATCGTCGGATCCGAGTTTAATGAGAAACCATTCCTCCTTACCAGGGGCACAGACCCATCAACTAACTTGAACTCGTACTTTAACAAGATATGGCACAACGCAATTTTGACCTCGTTGATGGCGAAAAACCGACCTGGACAAGCATGACGCCCAAACCCGAAGCCCATATGCTCCGGTGACGGAGACACAACTTGCGCAGAGGTCTCATGTCCAGGAACTTCGCGCAGCTTGAGGAACCGGTAACCATCAAATTCGAGGGGGTTAGGGTATATTTCGGAGTCCCACATGCGCTCGCTGGATACAGACAGGAACGTGTCTTTAGGGATATAAGTACCATCGGACAACTTGACGTCGGCCGTGGCAACCCGTCGCATAGAGACTAATGATTTCTTTCAGCGCCGTCAATCTCAGTTAAAGGCATCGAATACCACTTACCAATGCCGATCGGCTTCAGACGCTGACTTTCTTTCAGCACACTATCCATAAGCTTCAGCTTGTATAAAGTTGGTTTCTTCCACCCTTCTTCCCGTACTACCGTAATTACTTCCTCGCGTAGAGCTCGGATCAGCTCATCGCGACCGCACAGGTCATAGAGCACTTGAGTTAACATATCGGAGGTAGTGTGAATCGCAGCAACAGAAAATATTATCTGTCCGAAAGCGGGTTCATAAGAGCGACCCTTTGCGCATTCTTCCAACCATTCCATAGCATCGTTGTATCGTTCCGGTTTCTTTCCAGCCGAGATCGCAGCCTGTTTGGCCTTTCGTCTGGCGTCCAACACTGGTCGGATGATGTCTTGCGCTTCCTTCAATTCGTCGCGGATCTTTCGACACGATGGGAGGAACCGAGCAACGATACCTCGGAAAGCCTTCGGCCACAGGCGTAGTTCCTCAGCTGCCAAGAAAGAGTCAATAGTATAGTTCACTGTTATGCGGAGCCAGTCCGGGTTGCGACATATCTGATCGCCCAAAAAGATCCTTGAAGACATCTGGGCGACGAGTTTCAAAACATTGGATTTAAGAGGGAGCGCGTGCCAAGCTAGCCTATTAGCCTTTGGCCTCCTATCTCATATGGTGCCACAGGAGGAACCAAGTACGAGTTAAGTAGACGTACCAGTGTCATCCGTCCAATATGTCAGAAGTGCTACGGTTGTTTCGTCAACGAGAGACTTGGTAAGGCTCCCTGTTGTATAATATCAGATACCACTCTCGGTACAGGCACACGTAGTGTCTCACCAAGGCTCTGCGTCAGCTTCATCCGCACGGCATTTTGAACAATCTCATCGTCGTGAGAACCCTGTTTGAAGGGCTCAAAGCCGGCTATATGGGCGTGGAAATCATTCGCGGTGTGGAGGCCAAAACTCAAAGAATCGTGACTTCGGAGCTCGTTGGCATATTTTGGATCGAGAACAACCCTCTGCCCAAGCTCCGTTACAATGCGGAAGGCTGGTGCCTATGTTATGCCAAAAGCTGTCGTTAGTTACTGGTCATGTTGGTCGTGGAGACACATACTTTTGCGAGCCCTGCTCTGATGAGAGTATGCGCGTCGGCGAGGAAGCGCTTTCGGGCGTTTGTGAATCGGAATTCCCATGGCTTTTTATCATTGACCAGCGGGAGGTTTGACTTTGAGGGGGAGAAATATAGCGCAATCGCTGCCACTGTCACGGTGATAAGGAGGGTGACAGAATTATTGGTCAATACTCCTTCTAGAATATTACCCAACATGGTGGATGGGCTATATGTTGAATTGCTGAAGCAGTGTCTCTCTACGATTTCAGACGTTACCAAACGACTTTATATAGGAGCGACGCAGGCCACGGCAATTAGTTATGCCTGTACTTGACGCATAATAGATAATGTATTAACATCGTGCTCCTCTGGTAACACGAACGAATTCTCCGAGACTCCGCCAAACTGGATTGCATGTATTATGCAACGAGACGACGGAATATTGCCCTATAGTGTGGCGTATATTGTCAATACGCACAGGTGACGTCGCTTGAGGAGTTCAAGGCATGTATGACAAATCCCCATATTGTATGTAGATCTACTCCGTACACCGCGCATCTATTGGTGCTGACCCACAAGGCGATTGTCCTTGCCACTGACCTCCAGTGGTGCCCTGATGAGTACATGGAATGCAGTACATCCCCCCAGAATGGCCCTCATTCGGCAACCAGAGGCTGGGGCACTGACTCAGCGTTAACCCTAAGGAAGCAATAATCGACCTCAAATTTACCGAAAGAAGGAGCAATGATTCAGCGCCAACCCTAGCGAAGTAAAGATCGTCCCCGTTCTGCATCCCAACCAATTCTTGGCAATGATCTCAACTTGTTGTTCGGCTTCCTTCAGCCGAATGCTTCTTATTCCTTCTCGCCGGCACTCCTTTTCTGCACCGATGATTCGATGAAAGATCCTACCCAGAAACACACCGCTCAGCATCCATCCCCTCCAACAATCCAGGATATTTCTCCATGAACTCCGGCGTGAGGCCCCACCCACTCTCCCGCGTAAACACATCATAAAACTCCCGTCTGGTATGTAGATTGTCTTCGCTGTCGCGCTCGAGGATATCTTCGCCCCAGGGCCACCGTATCTTCTGGCAACAAGACATATAGTCAAACACCTCTTTAAAGTCATACTTGTCCCAGTTCTGGATGAGGTTGGCCCGTATTTGCGGAAAGACAAGGAGGTCTAGTGCGGCGGGATGACCGCGTTGTATCTGCAGCAGGATGGGCCGCAGAAACGGTGGTATGTGCGAGAAAGACGCGACATTGGGGGTAACTAGCCATTTGCTAAACACGTAGATGAGCCAGCCGCTTGCCAACCGTTCCGGATCACGGATAGCCCGCACTCGGAGGGCCTGACTGATTTTGTCGGCCAAGAAATTTCGTCTTGTACCGTGTAACAAGTCGAGCGGGGACGGTAGGGATGGGCAGGCGGCGATTTATTCCAGATGTGCTAGCCAAGGACATGTTGCCGGTAGAGGAGGGGATATATGACCGTACTCGTTTATCGGGGTCAGGCCCCAGGCTGGGATAGACTCTGGCACTGTCTTACCGGGGAAGAGAGGACTCGCTGGGATTGAGTGAGAAGAAGGGAATCCCTGTGGGGGCACCCCGTCTCTATTAATTCTCCGTACACTTAGTGGCTGCTGGATAGAGAGAGCTTGAGCTGGCACATGAGCGGCACTCGAAGGATCAATGCGTATCGACGTCACGTCACGACCTAGGTAGGAGGCGACCTTGAGCGATGAAGATACTTGTTCCTTTCCACCCCGAATGTGGGCACAGATTTGTTGTGGACTGCTCTCATCCTGGTCCCACGAGGAGAATAAGACGCGGAGGCGTTCCTGGTGTTCGCACAACATTTGGTTTTCGCGCTGTAGATTGTCCATTGCCGCCATGATGTGTTGCACCCAGTTAGCCCCATGGTGTCTCTCACAGTAATTCACGCGATCTTCCAGAGCTTTCATACGGACTCCGCGTTTTTCTCTGGCAGTTTTTTGAGCCTTCCTATCACGCATACGCTTTCTCTCTGACGCTGAAATGGTGTTATTGATCCCGGGTAATTCCATTAGTGCGAGACTCACTCGTGATTATAGTTTGTATAGTTTGAAGGCGTATTGACCTGTTCGAGTTGGACTAGTTTGTAGCACTTGTCAATGTACTCCGTGTTGCTGAAGGTTACTGTGAATCTCCTGGGCAGAAATTAATTTCCACGATATATATCAACAACCCTCACTGGCCTACGCTCACGAGTCGTCATGCATATCCTGACTATCGTAGGTTGTAAGGATCTGGCACCCTCACGAGACTTAAGAGTATATCGAAACGTGTATTTTGGCCTGTTACAGTACTACAAATGCCGGCCACGATGGGGACGACCCCAGGCATGTACTTTGATTATAGTGCCACGTGATCTGAGTAACTGAGGCAGCCAACAGTGCTCGTCGTCTCTTAGGTCGGCAGACCCACTTGCCCTTCGGCGTGTGTGTTAGTTTGTCTGCCTCACCGCAACGCAAAAGATAAAATTTATTCAAGCTTCTTGTATAATCAACTTAGCCATCTGCATACAGAACCTGGGATTTTAACCCCCTAAATCTTTATAAAGCTGCCGCCTGTTGCACGGCGCGTATAACGGCGGAATATAGTTAGATGAATATATATGGGGAACTGTTCTGGAATGCTCAGGCTGTGCTTTATCCATTGGTGTCACAGTCGCTTTATATTTTCTGTATTCAGTGATGGTACATCACCATGATCTTGTCTACTGTACATACACCTGGATATTCTCATTGGAGCTTCTTTGACTAAAGCAACTCAACTAAGATTTGAAATTCAATAATTTCCTTATGGACTCCCTTTGAGCCAGTGCGAATCCAAAATAAATCACTCTTAATCTGCCTCGCCAATCATGACTGAAGCAGAAGGGAGGTGATTGCCCTCTGAATCCTTGCCTTCCCACCAAGCTTGCCGAAATCTCCCCCTATACTCCTCGGCGCCGCCAGATGAGTTGACATCAACTCTGAGAAACAAAGAAGACACATTAGCTAGATATTAGGTGACGAACGAGGGGGGGGGGATTTTCCTACTTGATATGATACATCGCAGGGTGGATCGGAGGTGCAACTAAGTTCCGACCGCCAGAGGCACCCGCTTTCTGGGCGATTTCCAGGACGGTACCCTCACTGTATGTGTTAGAGAAGACTTCTTGTGAGGGGTACCTGAATGGACTCACTCAGAGCCAGGAGGACCTCCAAGATCAGGACCAGGGTCGTTAGTTTGGATCATGAGTTCCTTAAAGAAAAGAGTTAGTCCAACATGTATATGATTGACAAGGTCAGAGATCATACGTAGTGCTTCAGCTATTGATTATCTGGTTAGCTAAGGTATTCTATCTTAAAGCATGGCATTGATTGTGACTTACAGGCATTTTGGTGGTTGGATGAGAGTAATATCAGTCACGGTATGATATTTTTGGGTTCTTCACATTTGATGGGTGGGTAGAGGAGGGAGATTGTGGCAATTATGGGTTTATTTATACCTTTGATTTCATTCTACTGATGATCTCCTCGCTTCGTGTATCTTGTTTGTCCAGAAACTATACTTTTATTAAACTCCGGCGATGCATCTCCATCTGACAGCAATGCCATCATGAGTCCTGCATTTAGATACACTATTTCCGCACACAGAAAGTTCTAGACCAATCTTTAATTATATTATTCTTGTAGTATTATGCTGTTATGCGCTATGACTATAGACTCAGGCGTCACTTCCATCTATGATGTCATGGCTGCTATTTTCACTTAACAATGTATGTGTAAGGAATTAGTGCTCAGTAATAGGGAAGCTTATATTCGATACACAACGTGAGATATTATAAGAAACCATGTCACTGAACATTCCATCCAAATGTTCCATGGCTGAACTCGAGTCTTCTAAAGAGCAGAACAATGAGTCAATGACGTCACGACCATCACGATCAAAAGTTGAATTAGAATCATACAGGTATATTTGCAGGCCAATTCTAGACCTCATTCACGAGAATACAGACGTGGTTGACAGCCTTCTAGCGGAGATAGCCCCACGTACTATGATTCCCGCTGTCAACTCTAACGTGACAAGTAGATGACACGTAGGTCTGATGCTAAACACCGCGTTTCTAATTGAGGTATGTCCATATGGTCGTCTCATTGCAATGGTATATTTGGTACAATTGGAGTATATCTATATAGAATGCGGGTTGATTCTGTGACGCTTATAGGCAATCTCGCGCGAAGAAAGGCACAATGATGTATGGGCCATGGCCCGTCATTGACTCGCGCGCTTGTCTGGATGCAGTATTAAAGATAACAAATTAGATACTTCCCATCGTTTTGTACCAGACATCTAGCTTTGATATCATGATATCATTCTAGTCGAAATTTGTAAACAACCTTTGGCAAGGCCATGGATCTAAGCTGCCTGCGAGGATTATTCACAGTCCGCAAACGTCTATCCTTTATACTGGGGGTGGAAACTCTAAGCTGAGATAAGCCATTTGTAGACGCCTTTCCGGAGTATGATTGTACCATAAAGATACCGAATATAATGCATTTAGGTGAGGCAAACAAATCTACACACTGCAAGGCACGTGGGTCTGCTGACCTAAGAGATGCCTAACGACTAGGTGTGGAGTATCAACTCCTTGGGTTACTTTGTGATATGTTCATTTATATCTGGAGTTTACTCATTCACTAAATTGTGTATGCCATCGCATTGTCTGAGAACGTACACGAAACCTCCAGACTATGCGCTGGTGACAATCTCCGTCCGTAGATCTTCTGGCCAGCGAGCAGCATCTTGGCCATTGCTCCTTGTTCCGACATTGAACCGAAGATCCACTTGTTTATCACCGAAGCTGAGCACAGGTCGAACCACCTTGAAGTAACGATCGACCGCCCCAGAATACCGGATCTCGAAGAAGCGTGGCTGGAACAGTTGTGCACCGCTGTTCAGCATGAGTGACTTCATCATAAGTGGAATGGTGGCAAGCATATTGTCATTATGGCGGAAGGTGAGCCGGTTATGTCGCTGCCAGACATTCTCCCAGACAGACGGGGGATAGACTCCCACGCTGTTCACCAGCCACTGAGAGTAGTAGTTCAGGGCGGTCTGTTCCATGTTAAAAACCAGCTGACTTAGCAGTGAAGTCAGGGAGAATGGAAAATGGGATATTGACTTACATCCATGAGGAAAGATCCACCCTTGTTGCCCCTTTCGATTAGAGCGTTGATGACTCCGCAGACGCCCAAAACACCGGTGCTGTGGGGTGTGTTAGGGATTTCAAGGAAGGGCTTGAGGCATTGGAGGTTCTTACCAGTAGTCCGAATTAGGGAAGACGGGGGTAACTGCTTCATCGTGACCCATGGCACGGCCATACTCGAGGGAAACACCACAGTTCTGATAGTCATGTTAGTGGCCATGACTGCTCATTAGCTAGATTATCACTTACCGCATCACTGATTTGCTGCCATCCACTCCGATGCTGCCAGGGACCATGCCAGCCGTAGCAATTTTCGCGAGCATAAACAAGGCCGAATGGCCGGTCCTTGACCAGTTCAAGCACAGCATCCCTGCCGAATCCAAGGTTTTCCATCACACCCGGTCGGTATCCATCTAGCACAACATCAGCCTCGAGAATGAGCTGGCGTAGAGTCTCCTTCCCCTCATCTATCTTTAAATCAATCGAACAATTCCACTTGCCCCAGTTCAAGTCGGCATGCAGAGCATATACATCTACGACCCCTGGACCGGTTACCCGCATCACACTCGCACCAAGCTCGGCCAATCCCTTCGAGATACTCGGGCCAGCAATGACGCGACATAAGTCGACGACTTTAAGGCCAGCCAGAGGGCGAGCTACCCCTGTGTCTGAGACTGCCTTCCACCATCCGGGCTTCTGAGCGTCGTTGGGAACGTGGTTCAGCTCATAGAGACCAACATGAGCGTTAGCCTTCCCATGGTCACTTGCTTTGTATTCGTCCGTGGAGTAGCAGATTGTCCCAGCCTGTCGGTACTTTTCATTCATAAGCTCGTCTAGGTCTGCAGCTGTGTGTTGCTGAACACGTTCTTGGATAGTACTCAATGCATCGGCGGGCGAAGAGGCTTGGCGGTCAGGGTCTAGACCCAGTGCTGTCGAGGAGGGGGTAGGGTTCATACTGCCTGTTAGCAATTAGCCCCAATTCGCTCCCTGAATCAATTTGTTTGGCTAGGTAGTTATCACCGTGGAGATGATAGCACCGCCCATCCTGGGTCTTGTAGATGTTGGTGATGGCTGAGCGGTGCGGGGTCTCTTTTCCAAAATTCCTCCCGGGACTGGGGAATATCGATATGATACGCTCGATTGGGGACATATCTGGGTTTGCCGCTTTTCCATTCTCGTCGACCACGTCAATAAGGAGAGTCGACATGACGAACAGCGTGGCATGGTCGCTATAATGAGGTTAGTCCGTAGCATGTCAAACATCGTATAGTGGTCCACAATTGCACCATCCATACACTGCAATCAGAGAGGTATATGAATTCACTAAGATGCCAGGAAAGATGGAAGAAGGCTATGTGCATAAAATGCGGTACTCACGTATCAATCTCGACCTTCACCGGACCGTGGTTATACTTCGCCTTCAACAGGGCATTGATCCAGAGAGACTCAAGGCCCTTCAGTGCGGAAATACTCTCAGCAAAGCGCCAGTTGATAGGAATATTGGGGTTCTCATTTCCTGTGAAGGTGACATAGTCTGCAAGAGAGGATGCATCGTTGGGAATGTTCGCTGTGAGCAAAGGATTTTGTAAGATACCCTTGCGCAGAAGTTGGGCGGCTTCTATGGGGACTGAGTATACCATCTTCCTTTTCGTCTGGTAGTGAGGTGTGGTTCCTTTTTTCTTTCTTTCTTTGGAGAGGAGTCGAGGACATATATTGCGGTGAGGGTTCCTTATTCCTCGGCGAACCTTTATGCAGGGAGCATATGCATAAGCACTGACCATAGCGCTGTGTAAGTGCTCCACTAACCATTGGTCAAGTGGGTCCTTCAGGTCTTGGTCTTGGTGCGGAGAGCGAGATGAATTGTATGGAGCCTCAAGATAATTACTGAAGTAGGCCAGAAATGGGTGTCTGCGAAGCCTGACTGGGCCCTTGATCCGTCTGCAATACTCCGTCATACGGAGAAGGAAGATAAATCCTACGGTAGAGGCCCACTCAGAGAGTGAAAATTAACATACTGATGACAGAGTGGAGTACAAGTGGCAAACTATGCAATTACCCCTTGTGCAAAATGCTATGCACGGTCTATCAGCATAGGCCTAAGGTTTCTGTTGTGCGTAAAGAAGAGGTTATATGAATCCGTTACCGCTTTGAGGGGTGATGGTGTCTGAATCCAACTTTCGTGATGTTCTACAGCTAGTCACAGCGATGACAGGGAGACGGGCGATTCGTATTGGAAATTGGTATATCCATATCCATCAGATGCATTATTAGGCCAATAGCTGACGCCCTTTTAGCTCTGGGGCTGGCGATGATGGCCTCGACCACCTTTACCGTTTGGCTACTGAAGGTCCACTAGACGCCGTGTTTGCCGATTATCTAGCTGAAGTGAATATTGCCTGGCGAGCGCCTGAGGTAAGTCTTTCGCTATAATCAGTTAGTTCTATCCAGAACAAGCCTTCTAACCAAAATGACACCAACACAGAAGGAAGAGAATGCGGAGCTAGGTTACGAAAAGTGATTCATCGCCCATGCTAACTACAAGAATGCTGCAGAGGGTATCGCCCAGAAGGGGATCATAATAGTTCACGGTGGAGGTGCCCTCAACACCTACGGATTACACAAAGCAACCAAGGAAATATCAGACAAGCAAAGGTCTGGGTGATGTTATGGTGGCATGGGCTGACGGCGATAATGTTATAGCAGAGTTCCAGGTCACTCAGAAGGCTGGCGCAGCTGAGCAGTTTCCTCATCTGGAAATTGACGGCCAAGATCCGAGCGCAGTGGAGAATCGTGAGTGCAGGAGCCCAAATACTGTAGATATCTGTGGTCGGTGCTGTGATGCTTCGCCGGTCATCGATCTTGCTTCTTGGTGAGTGTTTTCAATGCATGGCGGGGAGATCACGAACTATTGACCTCGATTAGGTGGCACGGCTGGTCTGACATGGACTATGACCAACTCGCTGGAAGCGTGATTGCTGGGCACTTGACAGAATGTGGCCCTTATACAACAGAAGGCAAATACTGCGGCTTCAAGTCCATCCCCAGTCTTGTCCGAGTGGGATATCCCAAAGCGGAGGTTTATGACGACAGCAGTTCTGTTATTACTATACATCCCGGAAGCAATCGCGCGGTCACAGTCGATACCGTCAAGGCTCAATTGGTGTACGAAATGCAAGGACCAAAATACCTTAACCTCGACGTTGTAGCTCATCTGGATGACATAAGGATCAAAGAAGATGCCACATATCGGGTCCTGTAACTGGCGTGAAGGGACGCCGCCACGTCCAACAACAAAGGTTGCCGTTTGTAGCTTTGGAGGTTACCAGGCTGAGATGTGCACGTTTGCTGTTGAACTTCACATCAAGGAGAAGGTTGAGCTTCAGCGAAAGCAAATCCTGAACTGTCTAGATCAGTCGCGCTTCTCGACTATTGCTATCGATGCGTATAGAAGCGTGCCTAAGCACCCCAAATCACAGAAGAAGACAACAGTCAGGATTGGTCACTTCGTCCAGGAACCTAGTAAGGAGGCAATCGGTCATTTGACGGGTGTTATCATGTTTTGCAATATGCAGGGTTACGGCGGCTTTCGTCCGTACGTTGAGTCTGTAGCGATCCACCTCCCATGAAGCACATGTGGTAAATTCAGAATGAAAAGAAACATGAGCTTGTGCACGCTGGCACCGAAGCCCTACATCCGGTACTTCCCAGTTCGCTTCCAGCAGTCTGCCTTGAAAGTGCAGGCCCATGTCGAGGGACAACCTCCTAATGAAGTAGAGCCTGTCCCAAAGCATGCATTATTCGCTGGCCAGTCGTCCCATGAAACTACTGATCCTGCTGACTTACAGTCTTTGGGCCCAACTAGGCGCGCTCCTCTAGGTATGATAGGCCAATGGTTACCTGGTTAGTGTCTGTTTCTGACTAATGCGCCCTCTTCACTTCATAGGATCTATTATTCTCGCCCAACCTGGAGATATGGGTGGCACCGCAAGTGTCGCTCTTTGGGTTCGCAATGAAGACGAATGGGACTAGCTACGAATGTTCCTCTCTACCCATTGCTTTAAGAAGCTTCTCGGCGACGGTTACCAGCCGGAATACCATGTCAAGTGTTTTGCACTCCCACATCTGCATGCGGTAGATTTCGTAACCTACGGTATTCTTCAGGAAGGTGTTAGTAACTCGTCCATCATCGATGGCTTTGCCAAGTGGTTTGGGGAGTTTGTGCGTGTACGGTAGGTAGAGATTCCGGTGCGGTTCTTGGGTGGGCCTTGGGTGTAGTAGGACGTCCCATATCAGCTCATTATTTGATGAGAATACTTCTTACTTCTTATTAGTCCATTGTAAGTCAATATCAAGGACAGGCTGTTTCAGTCTCTGGCGGGGTTTGCCGAATCCAATAGTGCAGTAAGCTACCAACAATTGAAAATCCCCCCATCAAGTAAATACATTACTCTGCATATCATCGATTACCAGTTTGAGGGCCACTACCCATCACATAACACAGCACTTGGACATCAATGGAGTCGTCTCCGTGCGTTCTACTGCCTTGGTGTCATATTCATTGTCATCCATTCCGACCGTCTCACATTCGATTTCGAATTCATCTTGGTCCTCATACTCCCGGCGTGCCTGGTTCGCCATTTCAGTCTCTTTCTTCTTGGCATCTATCTCCTCAGCGTCCTTGTCGTACTGCTCCCATTCGATCTGTTCCCTCGTGCTGCCGCGAGTAGGCCGGAAATACGCGGCCCCGGTCTTCTCTCCATCCTCATCAAAAATATAATTCTCCCTGTGGTAAGGCACCCAGCTGATCTCTCGTCCATATTCGTCGGAAATACGGTTCCAGTACACTTTTCCAACCAGCTTTCGGTTTTCATCAAAAATGAATTCCTCCTTGGAGCTCGGCACCCAGTGATTGTCTCCATTTGCACCGCGAACCATAACACCAATTGAGATGCCAATTGTTTCTTGTTTCTCGTTGTACTCAAAATGCCTTGCTGGAGGATCAGACACTCTCTCGGCCTGTTTGAGTGGCTGCAACGGGCTTGTTAGGTTTCAATCCACAGTAATTACGTTCAACCACATTGATCCAGAATGGTCGGATGGAATGTAACCTATATCTAGCTCCACCATACGCTACGACAAGTCCCTGGTCGCTCTGTACGAAATGAGAATCCCAACTTCATTCAGCGGCTCTCTTCATACATACCTCTGTGGCTTGATATGATTTCCAGCCGTTGGATTCAAGCTTCTTAAGCGATGATCCACTACCTCCAACTTTACCAACATCGGTGGCTCCAAGGTCCAGCCCCGCACTGGTGTTGCGATGGAAAGCGCTGTTCATTTTAATGGCACATTCCGTGGACCATGTGGTATGGATCACCCATAACCCATAGCCTCGAATGTCATCGCCGTAGTTGGACTTCATCAGCATCTTTCCATTCTTCTTAACCCAGTCGCTGATAAGCCTGCTGGAGCCACCCTCGAGTCTCTGATTCTTGACCGATTGAGTAGTAATCAGAGCTGCTGTCCCAGACGAACCCCTCTTGTTGCTCGCATTGGCCTCCGCATCCACTGGGGCGGCAGCGAGCATGCCTGACAACCCGCCATTGAGTCCGAAGCTTGATCCCGCTTCATTACCTGAGGACACGGCATCCCACATGTATTCAGTGGGTTCATCATAGGAAAGCACTTTACCGATGTCCTTAAAACTAAAATCATCCGGATATCCTGGCTGCGAAAGATCTGTAATTTGATTCCAAAACCCATATTTGTCGAAAAATCCAACTGAGCCAGGGTGAAGCTTGCTATACCTCTGAGGGGTATACAGATAATGTTCATGGCCGTTGTGCTTCATAAGCTCGGCATACTCCTCGGGCATAGTTGGGTCAGGCATTTTGGAGATCGACAAAGGAGAGCAGTGATTCCTAAAATGAAATGATTGAGATGTACACTCTGAGAAGGGGTGATCCAGGGAAATAAATTTCTCACCAGCCTGATGGATTATGGGGCTGATAGCTAATTGCATCGGTCTGGGACGGCGTCTGATGAAGATCGCCCCGCTCAGTGACGGGTCTCATCGCCAAGGAACCCATATCTATCATTCTGTCATTTGATGAGAATGATATATGCCCCACTGACAAAGGTCTATGAGTATGTTGATCATCGCGCTATGACCGTCCTCAATGGAAAAGAAAATCCGGCAAAGACACAAGAAACAGGGGAAGGAAAATGGATGCAAACTATAAGAATAGAACAATATGGAAAATATTGGATAATGTCTTCAGAGTGCGTGCGTGAAAGTCAGGTGCTACGTTCCTTTTCCCCTTTCCTGTTAAATATTCTTCTTTCACTTTATTTTATTTAATTGTTCCCCCCCCCCAAGGTTCTCCGCGGACTGTGGTTACTGAGGTAAGAGGCTAAAAGGTTGTGTTGGCCTTTGTTGAGGGGTTCGCTTAGAATTTCTCGAGTAGAACTGTGCAAGCCACAATTACAAGGGTGATTGCCCTATTAGATTTTATATACTGTGTATATCTGTCAGCTGGCGAAAGTTCGTAGAAGGAAATGATATACAAACAAACCCACAGAGATCAGTATGATTTTTTCGCACGCAGGTATACTATGTGTACTGTTGACGATCGAGCTGAAGTATGACCCGCTTTCGGACCCGCTGGTCCACAGATGACATAAAAGAGGTGGTCGAATGGAACTGACAGGCTGGTTCTGAGAATGGGCTATATACACACATTGTGATCTGGTGAGTTAGCCCTGCCCATTCGACACCTCCAGCACTTACCTAGAACCTACGGGGTTGTCCAGGGCTGTTCATCCACTGTTCCTCTGACATGGGCAAGTCCATATAAATTGTTGTAATTGAACTATGACCATCTCTCCGCTATATAATATCTATACTCTATTCCCGAATTGCTGCGTCCTCGGTCCGGTTTCTTCGCTTGTGATTGGTCAAAAGTTCGTCCCCCCGTCGTGGGGGTGCGTGCAGGGTGAGTTACCCTAACCTTAAACCATTGGATTATCTTACTAATTTCTTGATATATAGTATACTAAGGTAACTTAGAAAGGCTATAATTGACGTAAAAGGATAGCATACAAGGATTAATAAAATATGATTTCCTAATTTAGCAGACCTTTTTCTGAGATATATATCCCTGATCACAAATTCTGCCACTTTTACATCTCCCAAATGTAAGCGTTCAGTTACCCGCTATTACTAACTGTTATTTAATCGCAGACTTTGCCATATTAAACTCAATGCTCCGGTAAAAGGTTGATATCATATTAATCATGCCAATGTCCAGGAACATTGCACACAACCTGTTCTGGAACACATCGCTCTTTCCCCGGAATTGTACCATCGTAGTGGAGCTTCCAGGCTATTTTCTTAGTTAGCAAATGACCTCCTAGTGATGGGCAAAATTGGCTTACTCATAGGGAACGCATAGAGACTCGTTTCATCTGCCCGCATATAGGTGTAGAAACCATGTCCTCGGTCAATCTTCTTCAATTCGCCCTGCGGTCCTGGAGCACGGCGAAGGTTTTTCAGCCGGCCAACCACACGTAACATTGCCGTTAGAGCGACTTTACTTGCCTCGCCACCCAAGCATGTGTGAGGACCGACACCGTAATGGATATATGATTCCATGGGCCGGTTGAGATCCACCTTATCGGGATTTGGGAAGACGTTAGGGTCACGGTTGGCGTTGACCTGCATTGGCAGTTAGCCGTAGTTGATCGACCAGCTCAAGCGCACTATAACGGGCACTTACAAAGCTAACGAATACGGTATCTCCGGGTTTGATCTGGACCATTTGATTCTTATCGTCGAGTGTTAGGTTAGTGTGAGACTTTCGGTAGGAGCCGAAGATGCCGTTCAGGCGGATTGCTTCCATGACATAGCGCAGGAGCATCTCATCGGACGCGGGCGTGTCTTCTTTGGCAAGGCGTTGGATGTTAGGTAGATGTTCTTTCCCATCATCGGAGAGGTAGTAGTCGATGATTTGTGTAAACACTTGGGCTTGATTTGGTACCATCGCAACGGCCGTGGGCAGAATTTGGGACCAGGTGACCTCAGAAGCATCCAAACCGTGGTCGAGCAGCCTTCTTATCATATGGACTCCGTAATCGGAAAGCGCGTTTCTATTGGTGCGGATACCATCGATCAAGCTGGAAAGGAAGCTGGCTGAGCTCACAGCTTTGACATTCGCTTCGACGAGTGGCCCAAGTTGCTCCGCTACCTCGCGAGCCTTGTGGCGGAGTTTGAATGATTTGGAGGGATCTACGTCGAAGAAGATGGCGGTGAAAATGACAGCCATAATCTCGTACATCTGATGTTCGGTGATAACTCCGAGCGGATGTTCCTTGGTCTTCAGAGGAAGTGAAAAGATGTTGGAGGCAAAGTGAACGTGGGCGAGATTCCCGACACTGTAGTGGAAAGGGCAGTGTTAGCAATGGGGATATGAACTAAACTTTGGGAATGAGTGAGACTTACTCGCGACTAATGTCAATCTGGTTGACGTTGCCCACCCGGCATGATTTCTCTGACAACAGCTGCTCCGTGATTTCTAGGTAGAACTCTTTGACCGCCTCATGCCATTGTGACCGATACAACGACTCCTTCATAATCCGCCGTTGATTGGCGTGGAACGGCGAGTCACCGGATAGCATAAAATCATAGCCACCCTTGCCAAAGACGTACCCGGTTGCTTCGTCCCAAACCACGCGGAAATTTGATGAATCCTCAAGGATGCGACGGACGTTCGCGTAGTCAAAGATCATTGTACGAGAGGGTGTGTATGACGGACGGTCCCAGGAGAATTCCTCTTCTCGTCCAAGCATTCTCATGATATCGCGATTTGCATGTGGAGTTGTCATAGGATAGTGGGCGTATATGGAGTTTTGTTTGAAATACTGTGGGAAGGCCTTCAATGCTAATTTATAAAACACACACCCCTGATTGATGTCCAGGTCATACATCGACTCCTCGTAACCCCAATTTGTGAGGTTTCTAGAGTTATATTCCTTCTTTTCGTGTGTCAGCATGTCTTCTGTGTACCATATGGTAAGGAATAAACTAACCGTGTAGAATCGATCACCCCGAACCAACGCCACCGCGTCGGACAACACTGCACGGGAGACGGTGTATCCAGGTGCAATGCCAACCCCTGGTATCATCGGTTCTTTAGCTTCCTCGGCAACGATTCCTGGATACAGCTCTACATAATCCGGATGCTCATAGAGATGTCGCAACTGGTCTGCCACTTCCGGGTCGGAATTGATCTCCTCGAAGCTTTGGTAAGGCTTCAGGTCAAAGAACTTCCGGAACTCGTTCAATGACCCAACATTCCACCTACGTGCCTGCTCCATGCCTAAGATCTCTACCGACCGCAAAACCTTAGGAACATTGCGGGCCCCGAAGGAACCCGCCACTTCGTCAATGGCCATAGTTAAGACGCCCACTAGCTCTTCATCTTTGAACTTGCCACAGGATTGCCGCTTCAGTCCAGCGAACTCGCGCTTCGATGGATCCTTAGGAATATTGGCACCAAACTTCCTCATGCCCCCCATCAAGTCCTGCACGGTGGCTTCGCTACCGGACTTGCCGACAATCGCCTGGTATGCCTGTTCCGTCCACGCCTCGTCCTTCCGACTGATTGTTGAATGCCATCGATAGGCTAGATTGAATTCTACTGAGCACTGGTTCCCCAATGCTGTGGGAACAGTATCGTGTTCCATGTGTGCGCGTGGATCCAGGGTCCAGGTAGTGTTATCACGGTTCAGGTTCACGATGGTGCGTAGATAGTCGTACAGAGTGATGTTAATGTACAGACCGCAGGTGATAAGGCGACCCGTCTGGAAAAGGTCATTGTCGTACTTTGTCCAGGCGGCCCTTGCTTGAACTGGATCGATGATACCGTCTGAGGGTTTCGTAAACCGGCCATTCTCATTGATAGCAGCCAGCTGCTCGACTACATAGTTGTGAAACCTGTTCAGCATGACCAGAATAACGCCGCAGGCCGCAGGTAGCGCATGCAGACGTGGTTCGGAAAAGCAGTCTGGCTTGATCCTCCCCCCTTCGAATTCGCGCATCATATTTTGCTCTTCTTGGTTATCACCATAGAGGATAGAAAGATCCAAGTATGATGATGTCTTGTTGAAATTCTCGTCTGGATGTCCCGTTTGGAAAATATCTGGATCTACTTAATTCTGTGCGTGATGCTAGAAGGATCAGTTGAACGCTTACCATGGATAATTAATGAAGCCCAAGTGAAGAAAACGCTCGAGACATTGTTAGGGTGGGGCTTGAATGTTTCTCGTGCAAATAAACTGTCGAAGATCAAGCCGGGATCTGGCAAACTGGCCGGTCTGACCTTCAAAGGCTCGATAGTCCTAGCATATTCCGTGTTCGCTGCGCCTAACCAGGGCAAGGTAGGGTTATTGTAGGACCCGTCGGCTGAGCGGTAAGCATATTTGTCACCTACATATCTAATACGTGTCAGGTTCGACTGTCACTTGATGCTAGGGTGTGCTTTAATGAATGCTTACGAAAGAGGGGGGTGAGGCAGCGAGTCCCATAGTTCTCCTAAAAACATGTTTGTGAGCTTGACACGGGTTCTAGATTCAGAGGGTAATTTTGCGACAAGCTGAAGATATACATATTAGCATTTTCCATTATTCTATGACTTCCGCGTCGGTCCTACCTGTATGATGCGTTCCATCAGCATCGTCTTGTCGTCTACCGCCTGGCCACTCCCCTTGACAAGCCCGCCAGCTTTGTTTTCAATCAAGTCCTTCAAAGTGTTTGCATCCTTAATCCCTAAGGCACGCAAATCTCTCCACAGACTCCCGCCATTCTCAGGTTCAATGTACGTTCCGTCTCCGGTCTCTGTGGGTAACGGGCGACGGGCGGCTTGGACCACTTTGGTCAATTTACTAAAGTTCTCAGCCATTCCGCCATGATCGCTGCTCATGGATTGCACCGATCCCTTCCTAGGGTGCTCCAGAGCCGGTTGTTTCTGAGTAAGGGGCTCATGAGCTCGTTCGGAGGTCTCAGCAGTCCCAAACATGCTATTTGAAGCCTCGGCGGAGCTTGGTATCCCCTTCATCGTGGCTCAGGTATTTCCAACAGGAAGTATTGAGATTATGGCAATGTCATTCATCTAGTCCAATCGATTTAAAAGCTAGCATTAAAGACGGGACGTTGGATGCGTTTGAAACGCTTAAGTATGAGTTCTGGGCCTCCTAGCTCCAGAGATGTTTAAGTTCACTAACTGTTTGGGTTATCATGCGAAATACGTCGTTGATATGCTTACTAGACTACATGTCGACGTATAGATGGCCCACAATATACGTCGTTCAGCCACTCTTATGGATTCATTGAACCCTGAAACCCCGATTAGCTTTCAAGCCCTACGGTGGAAGCATCCGTGTGGGTCCATGACATTCCGAGCCACAGCAATTAAGCTCTATTGCTGACATCAATGACTTTGACAGACACGCGAACAACGTCTTTCTCAGGCATTTGTTTCGTTGGTACGTTTTCAATTCCCTCCGCATCCGGCTAACAATATATCTGAATTACATGGGGCCTCCCAATGCAGATCTTAGACTTGGGGCATTACGAACGCCACTCAAACCCTACTCAGTATCTCGCCTCTTATCTCGCTATCAGCAAAAGATTACTTACTGGAAAGCGCTGGAAGTGAATGTAGTTTATTAGTCGTGTTCCATTTCCGCGTCGTCTTGTACTCAATGGTCAGGCATTGTTTGTAATCACACATGTAAGTTGTTGCAACAGTCATCATGCAAAAGTGTTCTGGGACCAGAGGTTACATGCGGATGTATTTATTAAGAATGTCTCTGACGCTCGCGGACCGCATGAAGTCATACCACCGAAAGCCTCGGGGATCCCGGAAGTTAATAGCAGTATATTCAGCCTTAAGTTAGAAATATGACGCTTCGACATGCTAAGTTCGTGCTTGGAGTAGGAATAAGCATTTGATTTTGGTCTATTCGTTAATCGGTGTCATTTCATTGTTTTCCACACGGTAAAGAAAAGTATTTCCTCTCAGTCCTGGCGTGCTGGGTCCTCGGCAGGACGGTTGAGGAGCAATTCATCGATCTCTGCGAGAATCTCTGGGGTCAACTTCGGTAACAGCTTTAAGCTTTCCACATTATCAACAATCTGGTCGGGTCTAGAAGCACCCGTAATAACAGCGGATACGTTCTCGTTCTTCAGACACCACGCGAGGGCGAGCTGAGATAACTTAAATCCGAGCTTATCGGCCAAGTCCTGGTTTACTTCATTAGTTTTCACCATACCACAACAAAGTGATCACTCAGCTTAAAAAGCCAAGAGCCATGACCAACAGAAAGTAGCAAAAGGATATAATAAGATCCTGACACTTACCTTCAGCTTCACAATCTTTTCAATAGTTCCCGCCCATTCCTTATTCTCCCAGTCATTCCTCACTTGATTCGCAAACTTATCCTGGCTCTCCGCAAATCGCGAACCAGGTGGAGGCTGGGTGGTCGCATCATTATACTTGCCACTCAGGAGTCCCATTTTGAGAGGAGAGAAAGTGGTCAAACCAATTCCGCACCGAGTGTATAACCGTTGGAATTCGCCCTCAACCTTCTTCCGATCCAACATGTTATAAAGTGGCTGCTCGACGATGGGTCCCACCAAGCCCAAAGACTTGGCAATGCCGCAAGCTTCGGTAATTTCGTCTGCAGACCATTCCGATGTTCCCCAGTAGAAGGCCCATCCCTGGTCAATTACAAAGTTGAATGCACGTACTGTCTCCTCCATCGGTGTTAGACGATCCGGGCGATGAGCGTAAATTATGTCCACATAGTCCAGCTTCAGTCGTCGGAGCGATGCGCGTGTGCCTTCGATAATGTGTTTCCGAGATAGACCGTGGTTATTGATAAGAATTTCACCGTTCGCCATTCCCCAGTTTAGCTAAAAAGACACTATCGTTAGCAATGATCATTATATCGTCAGGAATCTGCTTGTCTACCTTTGTGCTGATCACCAGGTCACTGCGTTGCCACCCAGCCCTCTGAATTGCGTCTCCCATAACAATTTCGGATTGGCCATTAGCATAGCTGTTCAGTGTTAGTGAATGTACTCCGTTTGCCGGGCCTGGAAAACAGAAATAAGTACCTTTCTGCTGTGTCAAAGAAATTGACACCGCAATCATAGGCCTGCTTCATGCACTTGAATGTAATATCTGCCCGAGATTAGCACTCCTTCATTCCTATTCACCTTGATCGTGTATACCATCATCAACGTGCCCGCCGAATCTTTTACGGCCAAATAGGTTAGCGATATTTTATTTTCTGTACGCCCCGCAGCAGAGCAAACTCACGTTAACCAGCCTCCGAGACCGATTGCAGACACATGAAGACCTGAGTTGCCCACCCGGCGGTAAAGCATGTCTTTATTCTTGTTCGGCCAAGCCATTGTGAGTAGTGGATATGCGGAAAATGCGATATGTGAGGTGTCCTCAGGTTGTCGTTACGGCACTTCCCTCTGAGGGGCGGCTGCACTGGAATTTATTGCGCTGACACCTAAACACACCATGCGACCCCTTGGTAGTAGGCAGTACTAGATCTTTCACTTAGACCACCACGTCGTCCACTCAGCGACGAGTACTTGGATCACATCCTGCAGTTCCGAAAAAATACTTTGCCTCCCAGTGTTGATAACGACGAATGGTAAGCGATAAGACACTGCCGTGCGGGGGCTCAGGTAAATAGCGAGATGGAGAACGGAGAAATGTTCGGAGGGGCAATTTGGTGCAGAAACGAAACTATCCTTTTCCCTTTAGGACTGGCGTCTCTGTAATGATCCAATGGCGACTATCTCATGCTCGTATAATGCGTTAGAGCGACAACGTTACCCAATTGGGAGCTGCGACTGCGGACCGGCGCGATTTTAGCCCTAAAGTCAAAAGGTGGAGCGATGGCGTGCGGAGTGGAGGCCGTCGCGCAACTGCTCCCCCTGTCCTCATGGTCTAGCTCATGGAATAGGTTTCTGACTCTGAATTTCCCCGCATCAACGGTTACTCGCTGTCGCACGTTGAGACTGATCCGACCTGTTTCCTGCGCTTGTAAGAGGATCGTTCTTATCGCCCATAACTAGGATTTGCTCAAGGCGGTTCAGTCGTACTATCGGCTCGGAGTTACGTTAATCTTATCGGCTGGAGCTAGCCCTGGAAACTTCGTGATGCATACGATAGATTTATTGCAAAGCTGATCGTCAACATGTCCTCTGCCAAACCAAGTGTGACCAAGCGCGCCTGTGATGGTTGTAAGATTCGAAAGATCCGCTGTGGCGGCGGGCAGCCTTGCAGGTCCTGCACCAAGGCCAAAATAAAGTGTACCTATGTTCGGGTTCAACAATGTCGAGGACCGAGGCGATTACGCTCCACGACACAATTCCTTATCGAGCAAGCGCAGGTTGGGGGCGACAACAATGACTACGAAGAGGCGCACCGCTCGGCTGCTGCTATGCTAGAGAGGCTCAATCCGAATACTACGCCTGCGCGACAGACCTCGCCCATGGAAAGGTCGGTGGCATTTGTTTGCGTGACGGACATAACCCGGTCAGCCGCTCTAACGCACTGTAGTTCGCGCATTCCTCTCGATACCTTGACGTCTCCGCTCTCCATTTACCACGTGCGCATGTACCCCGTTTGGCCGATTGTCAATGTCGAAGAAATGGTGTCCGTTCTTCAACGAGATACTGATAACAGTGACAACGAGACGTATGCGTTATCGACTGCAGTAGCAGCAGCGACAATAGCTCAACTACGGTTGGAGCAAGGCCCCGGCGCGGGGGAAACGATCACAGCCGAAATGTTGGCAGCGGAATGCTTGCGCGCTCGGAACTTATGTGATTATCGGTCCCGGGTAAACTTGAACAGTATTCGGACATCCTTTTTCCTGCATGTGTACTATGAAAACCAAAAGCCCGGAGGGAGTGAATCTCTTTTGCACCTAAGAGAGGCGATCTCTATTGCGCAGATAATGGGTCTCCACCGAGAGTCGTCTTACAAATCTCTGTCGTTTGAGGAGCAACAATTACGTCGGCGTGTCCTTTGGCTACTCTTTGTCACAGAACGGTGAGCCGCTAGAGCCATGGTTTATGCCGTTTCGCAGCAACTAATCCGTCCAGAGGAGTTTGTATCCTCCATAGATACCCAGTCACATTGAAAACAAATATCTCAGCCCCGGTGATTGACGAAAACGACGAATCACATGTCCTCCCCGCCTTCCTCAAGCTCCTCAGCCTCTTTCAGATCTTCGAGAAATCAGGCATGTTTGATATTATTCAAGATGGAGATACCGACATGCAGCCAGGTGCAAATAGTGTGGGGCGCGTCGATTGGCCCTTCCTGGAGAGTCTTCAGCGTAATCTGCAGGACGGATCGATGCTATTTGAGCATATCTCAGATGTACAGAAAGCAGACCTGTGCGTCACTCGACACTGGATGCGAATGATCCTATGGAAACTGTCCCCCAAAAGCTATCTGGAGTCTTCCCCGTCCGCTGACCAATCCATGTCTCGTTGCTTCCCACTCAATGTCGCCAAGGAGCTAGTGAGCATCGTCTCGCAGCTACCTCGGTCGGCAGTTGAGGCGCATGGCTTGGGCATGGAGCTGAAGATTTATGAGGTTGCTAACTCCCTTGCGGATGCCATTATGGACCTCGCTGCGCTGCCACTGTCCCCTGAATGGGATGGCGAGAGTCGTCCGAATTATATCTTATCTCGTCTCCACTCCATGCTGTCGACATTTCGCGGCGGAGGCAACAAGAAATTGGTTGATATTCTCTACCAGAAAATGGCAGAGGTGCAGGTCGTGATCGGGCCTGCATTAACAACACCTCTTCGAAATCCCGGTAGTAGGAAGCGTTGGACACCCCACACGGAGTGCGAAACTCAAGTTCACGGCCAGCAAGCCAAGAGAATTGCCGAGTTGGCCAATCATGATCCTAATTTATCCACCTGTTTAGACCCACTTGCTTATCTGGCCGACGCGAACGACTTGACCTACGCGTCGGTTTGTGATATGACCTTTGGGAGTTCAGACGATGATGATCAGAACCAAGCCCCACAACACTCAGGTGCAAATGATCTCTTTCAACCGACGTACGACGAGGCGGCATCCAATTTTCTGTTTGACACAAGTAGTGTAGCCCTTCAAACGGAAGAAATGACACCTCTGTCACCCTTATGGTCGTCGCTATTGCCGATGAACGCAATCACCGAGGACATAGCGTCCCAGATCTTACGAGCCTCAACCCAGGATCTCCTATTTCCTGGTGCTGAATTCACGAATTTTGCTACAAACACCGATTTTGTTGGTCTCTACTGAAAGTAACCCGTCCGAAACATTTAACACGCAATTAATGCCAAACGAGTACACGCAACACAAGACTAATACTTGAAGCGAAAGTCCAGCCGCTTGTTCCCTTCGCCTTCTCGAGCAGCCTGGTCGGACTGGTACGCCACTTTCTCCTCGGGGGTCATATCATTCCACTTCTTCTCTTTCTGTCGATTGAGGTAACGGAGGTACTCCCTCTGCGCCACGAATACTACCATTGCGAAGGCGCAAATCGCAATAAGAACCTTGTTCCCAGTGAAGTAGTACGGCTTGTCGTTGTCGCGATAAATCTCTGTTTTCCTCTCAGTCAGCCTGACTATTCTGAACCTCCATCTTCCGTAGGGGCGGTACTTACGAGACGCGATGACGGATCCCACCTGGACAATCACATTATATGTTGCAGCCGTAATGGCTCGCTTCTTGACGTCGAACGTATTCTCAGAAATCCAAGCCGACACAATCGGGTGAAAGTACGGGTATCCGGATATCAACGTGGTGATGGTGAAACGGCCCCACTCGCGGCCACCGTCCGGTAGAGCGAGCATGGCGGCCAGTAGTGGCAAGGACCAGAACTCGCCAAACAGACAGTGGAATGATCGCTCCCCGAAGTATTCACTACTGCTCGAGAGAGCCAGCATGAGGATAATCTGGAGCACTGCCGATGGGATGGAGAGCATGTTGGAGTCGAAAGTCGAAAACCCGATCCGTTTCAGGGTTAGGGATAGATATGCTTGCACTGGATTCTGCGGGATGTAGGCGACAAGGCCGATGAGGTACAGACCCCACATGGACTTGTCGCTCCAGGCACGGAGTACGTCATTGAGCGTAGCGCGTTCGTGGATGTTGGTGAGACCTTTGGATGGGTCGTCACGTAGCAGGCGCTTCAAGCGTATGAGTTAGCTTAGGATACGGGGATAACAGATAGCTTTTTGTGAAGGAACGTACATTTATCATAATCACCTCCTGGCGCTCTGTGTACCATGGTTTGGGAACGAGAACACTCTTCGTGTTGGTTGGGGAACCGGGCAGGTAGAGGAAGCTCTATGTGCAATCAGATCAGCTTCTGTCTTCGCATATACCCATCCACATCCTGACCGATGACAGGGAAGGTTAATCCATACCACTAGTCCAATAACAAAAGTCAAGAGACCCTCAATCAAGAAAAGCCAAAACCAGCCTGTCTTTCCGTGAACTCCACGCATCTCCAATATTCCTGCCGCAAGCAAGGACGAGATGATGCGAGCAACCTGCCGAATGTCAGCTATGCCATCGCGCGTTAGACGGCAGCCTATAACCGCTCTTGACTTACGTTCAATGTCGACCAGAAGAAAGCGAGCCGCACACTCAACTCCCTCGTTTTGTAGAAGTACGTTGCGAATAAAATAGTGCCAGGAATGAAACCACCTTCAAATGCCCCGATCAAGGCACGGGTGACATAAAAGCTGGCGCGACCGGTCATCCATGCCTGCGTCCAAGAAACAAGAGACCACAGCATCATCATGATCGGCAGAACGCGTCTGAATCCGAATCGCTTGATAAGAAGCTGTGCAGGGAATTCGGTTGCTAGGAAGCACACGAGTTGGATTGTCGTTCCCTGAATATCATTGTTAGTCAAGTTTCACAGCATTTAAAGCGTACATAGTTCGCATACATTGTTGTAATCATTCGACGAGAGGTTCAGGTCATCGAGTAGATTGTCCGTGAGTGCGTTTGATAAATTTCCGCGATCGAGTTGCAGACCAAAGAACTTCACGTTGTCAGCTCTGATCTCAGTCGAAATCAATCGGAGCGAAGTGGATAATTACCATGACACAAACCCATGTTAGAAGCAATAAATCGGTTTTCCACACAACCGCTCTCTCCTCCTTCTCCGTCCAAGATGCCGTAGGGTCAAACCGATGATAACCCTCGAAAGACTCGTGAGGTGCTGTCACAGCGGAGAGATTTTCCTGTCCGACAGCAATAGATGCCTTTGAGCAGTCATCGTCGATGGGTGTTGTCGTCTGGCCCTTAGGGCCTTTGTCGGCCCGTTCGATATCGGCCATTTTGAGCAATCGCCTTCCCCCGGTGTAGTTCTACCGTTGTGGATTAAATTATAAAGATGGAATTGACCAACAGGAAACACCAAGCCCTTGGGAGAAGAAGAACATCATCTCCATCCCGGGAGGGGGCAGCAATGGACAATATTATATAGAAAACGGCCTACCACACCCAAACAATACAATTGTACCGTATCGCACCATTTTAGTTTTAACCTGAGCGTAAGTAAACGCACATCACCAGCACGGCAGTTGTAGCACACGTCTTACACGTTCCTCCCCCAGTATGGCCAATGGAGGGTCTAGCGGAGACTTTGCATCACCGTGTCTTCCGAGCACATCATCGCCTAGCTTGCGTTTTGGCTTTTGGCACCTTACCGGGTTTGTTTAGCTTGCCGAACTGGATTAATCTGTATATATTGTTTTTTTCTGTTTTCTAAATTTTCAGTGTATTGTCTCTCGTGTATCAACCCAGTTCTATTCACAATAGAGGATATGACGCTTCTTCGTTCGAAGGTTAAATGGCTAGGAGCCTTGGAATGTTTTCTTTTTTTGCGGGGTTAACAGGATTGTGGTTGTTCCCCAGATTTTTCCTCCAAGAAGGAAGATGGGCCAATACATGTTCGGTCTAGTCGAGTCTAGTGGACGAGAACGAGACTGATCTTTGGCTTGGCAAGTTGCCTTCCGAAATTTTCGCCGACGCCCCACAAACCCCCGTTCTGGATTTCTTTGCCAGGATGGAATGAACCATGTGGTCACCGGTAGTCCAGGGACCGTGGGTCATTGTTTCATTGTCATGGCGGAGCACGCAAAGATAACATATATTGTTGTTGGTTGTGCAAGATGTTGGCGTGGATAGAATATATATTATTTCGGGAGGCTAGGCGGTTTGGTCGAAATATTGATAAAGTGTAAGGCACCTATACTACTACCCTAACTTAGGGGACCAAGTGACACAAGGCTATTTACCAAAAGACCAACATCGCTCGCGAGATACCTCTCGCGGACCCTTGAACCTACTAGGGTGGAACTGTTGGTAGCTAATAGCTTCTTGACTACCCACAGTCTCATGTTCAGGTTAGATAGGCTCCTGACTGAGTGTACGGCAATGTTATATACTGTTTCCCCCCGCGACATAGGATACTTTTGTTAAGAGGGATTTAATTGAACCGACAGAAGATTTTAAATGGCAATGGGGCTATGTAATTAGCTGGGAAGCTGACTATCTAGAGCGATACTATATCGATACTAGTACTCTATATATATCTATATAAAAGGTAATTTAGTACAGTTCTATACTATATTAATAACAGAAAAACTGGTTTCTGATATCCCGTGAAATAAAATTGCATTTAGATTAAAAGGTCTATTGGTAAAATAGTCTGATATTCTGTGTATGGTAAAACTTTGTGAAGGGGAAGTGAATTTAGTACTGTAACTACTATCAACTCGTGAGGTATTTTAACCCACGGGGTTTCATCACGCAGGGGAAAACAGTATTACTATATCCCAGGAGGAGGGGGTATAAAGGACCGCATTTCTTCTAAATATCCTTACCCAGCCACGGTGGGCCCCCGCTCAGATTATCTTACTATAGAGACTTCCCTGTCGTGATTTGTATAGCGGCCAAACTAATCATGTGATAGAAGGATATGGCTTTGTAGCTGGTCTTTTGAGCCTGGCTCTCGATATCTGTGGGTTCTAGGTGCCTGTATCTCCTAACCACATCGCAGTTGTTGGGCTTGACGACAATCACTCACTCTAAGGCGAAGATCGACAGAGACGCGACCGGCGAGCTCCTGGAGCTATAGGGGAACTTGTAGTAGACTGAGGAAGGCACCGCCCTAGATACCTCTATATATACTTATATGTGGCAGGACTCAGCTTTGACAGTAAGCCGAGGGATGTCACACTTTATTATTGCTAGGAATTTCGCGGAGTTTAGGTATCTATCTAACAGGGAGATCTTGGGTAAATTGGTGGCATCCCTTCATATGGTCTACAATCCCAACTAGGAGGCTGCATTTCTGTTCCTGGGTATAATGCAGGATATCACTTATACCCTCATGCCAGCCCTAGATGCGCTGTTGTATGTAGTCTTCGATTCTCGTTAACAGGTGTTTGCAGATCGACCCTCAGCGTTGGCCATCCGGCTCGCGACGATCCCATAGTTTGAACCAAAGCGAAGCCGATGTCAGATTTCAGAGCTCGTGCTCACGAGGAAGGTGACAGATGTGCAGACGATTTAGGGAATATTTACGTGGCCTAATTTGCAAAGGAGAGGTAAGATTTCCGAGGAAGAATACATTCTTCTACATAGGTCCTGTGGATAGGTCCTTTTCCCCCTTCGGCTATTGAACCTATAATTGGTGCTTGAGCCATGTGTGCCGATATTACTCTATACTATCATTCTACAGCCGTGGAAGACTCAGCCTTCAAGAGTGACACGTCCAAACACGTCGGATACTAGGCGCGTGTGTTGAGACCTACGGAATACTACAAACGTGCATTTGAGCTGAACATACAGTTTTTCAGTAATAATTAATAGACTTGAGAAGAAGTGGAAACTAAGATGACCCAGTACTCATGCTAAAAGCAGGCCATAATGCCATACCACTCAGTAGCAAGACTAGACGCTATCAAATGGAGTCGAAGACGTTCTCACCAATGGTCACCCTAATATTACCCTAGTACCAAGGATGTAATTGTTCCCACACATCTCACATACTGCGAATGGTGAAAGGACATACACCAGCAAAGTAGAGATGCCATGCCTGCCACACTTTTCCTTTCCATCACTGCCTGAGCGACTGATTAGTGGTTGGCCTGGGGGAGGCTAACTAGAGTTCGTTAGAAGGATATTGGGCCCCACTTACCAAGTAGAACCAGTCCTACTGATATACTATAATCCCTTGAGAATGGATATGCTACGATGCATACCAGACACGGTGTTGGACAAGACTGACTCGAGATAGTGAGTCCGAAGCAGTACCAGCTAGTAGGCAAACTGTGGATGTGGTGGAAGAGGTTTTTTTTTTTTTTTTTTTTTTTTTATAATAGACTCCCCCGCATTGGTGCCAATAGACGTGTCAATCTCGCGTATGGTGGGGTCAATTTCTCCTGGAGATTCGAGCATCTTCCCGTGACTTAATTTTGTTTTTGAATTTGTCAATGGAGCTTGCATTCCAACCATGGATATTGGAGGCGATAAGGGAAAGTCAACGAAAAAGTGGAATCTAAAAGGATGCTTCAGAGGACTAACCAACCGATGGAAGACCAAAAAGGAAACAAAACTTCGCCCTCGAGCACCGGCTCCTCGGAATACTTCAGAAAATGACCAACCCTCCATCCCGGACGTGCCCCTAAATACGACACCCGCTTTAGAGAAAAGTAAAACAGCGATAGGGGAAACAGTGGCCGTCGCGGACCTATGGCAGGAAGCCTTGACCAATGTGCAGCAGTCCGACGACTGGAAGGCTGACCGGGAAGAGTACGAAGCCACACTGAACGAATGCCGTAAAGTCAATCACGACACCCTCGCCCAGAGCAATAGGTCATTGGCGGACGCTATATCACACCGCCTAAGCACGATCTGTAATGAGGTTTCAGGGAAACAATGGGTATAGAAGACCAGCGACGACCACACGGTGTATGTGCGCGATGTGGTGGGCCGCATTGTGCGATACGTGCAGGTCTTTCGGGATCCCGTCAACACTGTGGTTGCTTTAGACCCGACCAACGCCTCCGCCATTATCTGGGGATTTATCCAATTCTTCGTCGGTGTAAGGCTCGCTATTACTACACAGTAAGTGTGACGAAGGCTAACAAATGTATGTCGGTTAGCGCGTGATTGCAAGCAGCGAAACACGAGATCTCGCATTGGATCAAGAGCCAGTGGCACATCTCACCAGCCGATGCGCTCTAATTGAGAGGTGCTACATCTACCAGGAGCGACTGGAGCCTTCGGTGTCGATCTTGCTGCGCAAGCGGCTCGTCAGCGTCTACACCACCATTCTCCTCTACCAGTTTGCAGTGTATGGATATATGAAGAAGGGGAAGATCACCCACGGTATTCAGAGCCTTGTTCCGAGTAAGCTGAAAGGATACTCAGAGGAGATCGAACGCAAGGCTGCGGACGTGGATTAAGTCATCCCCGTGGCGAATGAAGAGCTACTGCTCGGCATGGACGAGAAACTCCAGCCGCTGAGCAAGATAGGTGGCCAGGTGCAGCAGGTCTTGGATTTAGTAAGAGGCATGGAGGAGACTGAGTATTCAGAGGTCTTAAAGTGGATCTCTCCAATCCTCCATATGGATCACCATAATCAGATCAAGCCAATGGAGGAGACGGGAAAATGGCTCCTTGAACACCCCAATTTTGTATCCTGGCGCGAATCACATCAATCAGGTCTTCTCTGGTTGCGCGGAAATATGGGCACGGGGAAGTCAAATCTCGCGTAGGCGAATTAGTAGACCCGGTGGCAAAAGACATGGCTGACCTCTAGAATTCCAGCTCGATGTTTGTTTCCCATATCCTGAAACAAGACCATCTCGAGGAGAGTGCTCTCGATGAGGAACGACTCGCTTTTTTCTATATTGACAGGACAAGCCGCGCGCGGCAAGCAGGATCAGTGGATGATATACTTCGATCGCTCCTCAAGCAACTAACGATCACATGTGCAAATGCCCTATTTAAACCAGTCGTTGCCAAATACAAGGCCCTGCATGATACCTCAAGTCTGCATCGAGATGATTGCGTCTCCCTGCTCCAACTAATCATCCAGGCAAATCGACAGGTGTCTTTCGTGATAGATGCAGTTGATGAGCTGGATGACGCCAGTCTCATAGCTAATCTAGTAAAAGAATTAAAAGGTCTCATAGACAGCTGCCAAGGAACAATTGTGAAAATCTTTATTACGAGCAGAAACGATATGAAAGTATTTCTACCGATGAACCGAATGTGGGAAGATCGCCGCGAAATTCCGGTTGATGAGCTGAATCGTGAGGATATTGAGAGGTTCATTGATATGAAGGTCGACCGTTATTGTGAAGAGAAGCCGTTTCGGGGTCAGCCTATCCCCAAGAGTTACCGGAAGCTGTTGAAGGATCGGATGCGAGAGAAGTCTGGTGGAATGTCAGTCGCCCTATTTCAAATAATAGGCTACCCGCTCGCAATGCCATGATTAACTGATTGAATCTAGGTTTCGCTGGGTCGATCTCTCCCTCGAGTATTTGCGCCAACTGAAAGTAACAGACCCCATGGCGTTGGTTGCCAAATTAAATTCGGTTCCCCCAGACCTCATGGAGCTGTATGCTAAGGTGTTTGACTCTATCAAGAAGGCCCAAGACCCGGATGGCCCTGACATAGTGCGTCGAGTTTTAAGCTGGCTAATGTACGCGCAAAATGATCGGCTGCTCGGTATCGGAGGTTGGGCTGCTGAGGATGAGAGCCCTTTCCTGGCTGCAGTCAACTATGGTTTCGACGGCAAGCACACCGATCTTACGGAAGATGACATTCAAGAATTGTGCTCAGGATTCGTTACGTTAGATGATACTACTGGGAGATTCAGGCTCATCCATTTGTCTGTAAAGGAGTTCCTCCAAGAACAACCGGAATATACCCCTGAGGCGGGACATGCGTTCCTAGCTGCCTCCTGTGTGGCATACTTAAGCGAGAACTGTATTGAGTTCCAGCCTAATGCATGGTCATTGTTCGATGAACCAGAATATCGCTTTAACTATTATGTGGGGGAGTATTGGGCCCGTCACTGTGATAAGGCCGAGCGTCGGCGCCACGAGCAGCCACTTGCAGGCTTGTTGGACTCCTTCTGGCCATGGCCAGGAAGAGAAGCAAGCTCCACCTTTCACCAAGTTGTGAGCTGTTTGCAGGAACGCCAGGAGCTGTCGCGATCAGGCGAACCCCTGATTTACGGCGAGCTCTGCTCCTTAACTGTGAATGACGAACCCTCGGCATTTTTCCTCGCCTGTCAATACGATCTACGGGACATTGTCGAGGCTTACTTGGAGAGTGGCCTTGACATTAATCGAACAGCATCAAATGGCTTGACTGGTTTATTCTTTGCGTGTGTTGGTGAGAAGATTGATCTTGTCTCCTATCTCCTTTCCCGAGGGATTACTGTCTCCTGCAGCGAGGAAGAAGGTCGCCCCTCAGCCATTTTGCCTGCTATTTCTTTAGCCTGCTCCGGAAGATGTGAGATATTGGATCAGCTCTTAGCGCACAGTGGCGATTATATTACAGAGTCGGAGCTAAAATATTGCTTGTCTACACTAGCAAGGGGGAAATCTTCCCCCACATTTAGACTAGATCAGAGTGCCGCTGGGGACATATGGAGCATAAAATATGTTGAGGAAACATTGGAAAAACTCATATCCCACATGTCTGCATTCCACATTACTAACTCAATAGCAGAAGGCATGTTTGGCTGTGGAGTCAAGGTAACCCGGCTGCTTCTTTCGCACAATCCGTCTTTTCAGCTGACCGATGAAACCCTGAAATCTCTGGTGACAAAATGTGAGAGCTTGGAAGAAGCCATCGATATTTTTAAGGTATTACACTCTTTCGGCCACAGACCGCTTGATCAGCAGGAGTTCCACCTTGTCCTGAGCACTTGCCGAGGGTGGTCGGCTAAAACTCCTCTGCTAAGCTACTTTCTTGAGCTGAATTCGACCATATCCATATCATTGGACGCGGCACTCGTGGCAACGAGAAACTATTACTCTGCATATACCGTAGTGCAGGCTTTGTTCGAACTGAATCCATTTATGCCCGTTAATGGGGAGGTGCTCATGCAAGCTATGACGACCTGCTATGACAAAGGGGCGCTGCTGCAGCTCTTGTTGCACCATGCCCAATCGCTGCAAGTCACATCTAAACACATTCAGGTGGCAGTCGAACTCGATACTGGTAGGTCCATTGAGGCCGCCATGGTCCTCCTGGACAACAGCCGGCACTTAGAAGTGACAGATGAGGTGCTGAATGCGGCCCTCCGCAGCCGCTGTGCAACAAAGGATCTCTTGGAACGCTTGATCAGTCAAATGCCCTCAGTCGAATTGACCACAGGCCTTGTGACCCTAATAGAAAATCCGAACAATCACGTGGTTCTCAAAACTGTGATAGCCTCAAATCCACCAGAGCGAATTACGGAAGACTTAGTACGAGCTGCGACGAACAATGACTGTGTCAGCACCGAGACTTTACAGGAGCTTCTGAAACGAGCCCCAGCAGGAATCTCCCTTCCTGAGGTGACAATCGAGCGTGCGTGTATCAAAGATTTCAACTGACTACAGTTGATATTAGATCGATGGCCAGAGGTTCCTCTTTCCGAGACTTGCCTGAAGAACGCCATAGGCAATGAGGAGAGACTTCGAGTGATTTTCAACGCCAGGCCGTCCTTGAAACTTGAGGACCACATTATACTGTCAGTGTGCAGACGTGGAAATAGCAGGTCTCCAGCAGTGATGCAAATGATCCTTGCCCGTCAACCAAACACAGCTATCACCGAAGAGATGATAGACGCAGTGGTTAACTCTAGGGGCTATTGCGAACCGGAGCTACTGGAGATTCTGCTGTCTCATAATCCTCGATTTGAGATATCTGAGAGCCAGCTTCTGTCGGCAAGCCGCCGGGATTGTTACCCCATGAGTAATACCGGCATGGTGAGAGCCATTCTCACTACGCGGCCCCATATTCGTCTCACTCCAGATTCATTTGTGGAATGTTGTGCCAAAGCCAATAGGAGTCCCGAGTTCCTAGATATGATTATCCCAAGGCTTCAAGGCAACATCCTAGGAGAGGAGCTAATACTGTCGGTAACCTCTAAATGTGTGCCGAGGGTGCTCAAAGAACTACTTTGTCAAAGGCTGTATGCTACAATAACTGACGCCATCGTAGCTGAGGCGATACACCGTGTCAAAATAGCCATTGGGCCGTGGGGAGAAGCAGAGTGGCTCAGTGATAGTGCTAAGGAACTGTTTGCCATCCTGCTGGCACGGTCAGATTTGTCCGAGACAGAACGTCAGCAACGGAGGGACGAGTTCGACAGTGCATGGGCATATAACATGAGGGTACAAAAGCGACGCAGACAGTATTCGTAGATGATCCATGATACTATAAGCTCTCGAATGCCTCAGTTAATGCTCAACACCCATAAATACTTCTCCTTCACACACGTGGTAGTCGTACAGTCTTGTCTATAATCTGCCTCGAGTCAAACTGTGGACGGTAGCCGCTTATCCATCCATCAGGATAGTAAACACTCGTGTTCCGCAGAGGAACCATGGCTCACTCTGATTGATAACAAGACTCCTTGTACGTCAAGGTTGGAACGGGTGTATGGTCAGGGGACACTTCAATCCTTCGATTCTTTGTCTATCGTCAGTGGCTAAAATACAAACACAATACACAGGGCTTGACAGCCACCTGAATGTTCTACGCGGCGGTACCGGAAGATGCATGTTACGAGGAGAACAGAGGAAGACATAGAGGCGAGAGAGATGTGCTTTTGTAAACAACCGTATGTTTACATCTAACCTCTATCTCGCTTAACGATATTTTAAACAAGATTGTAAGATCTTATTGTCGATTAGGATGTACTGTAGTCCAGAAGGGGCGAGACTTAAGGGCAAGCCTGTCTTAAGGCCGAGCTGCATCCCTGCCGACACCTATCCTCCGCTGGGACCGATGCGAGTGACATGAAAATCATCCAGGGCTCGATCGCTACTACTAGTGCGTGGAATAAGCCAAGTACCCACCAGGTGGGACCAGATAGTTTGTCGCCTACTCTGCAGATACAATAGCCCAATCCAGGATACGATACACCCAGAAATAAACTATATATATACAACATATCCACTGCCAAAAGCTTTCTGTAATATATATACAACGACCACTGCTCGCCTCAGCATCTTCATCATGATGCGCGTTCTTCCCGTCAACTTGACGACAATCCTCGTGGAGCTCCCAGGTCTCGAGGAGACACTGGCGCTTCTTACCTCACTGCAATCCCAGCCAGTTGATGGCATTAAAGAGATGATCCCTGCTGCCCGCACGCTGCTCGTTCACTTCGATCCAGAAAGTGTAAGCGCCAAGGCATTAGCAACCGAATTTCACAAACGAGACCTCTCAGCCATCAGTCCCCGATCGGACTGTCAAATAGAAATCCCTGTTCGCTATGACGGCGTGGATCTGGATAACATTGCAAAGCTGACAGGACACGGCGTGGAAGAGATTATCCGTCGCCATAAGGAGAGCCAGTTCACCGTGGCATTCTGCGGATTTGCGCCGGGCTTCAGCTACCTGACTGGCGGCGATCCTGCGCTGTTCGTCCCGCGCCACCAAACTCCAAGGACCCGCATTCCAGCTGGCTCGGTAGCGCTGGCGGGGGCCTTCAGCGGCATCTATCCACAGAGCACTCCAGGCGGGTGGCAGCTCATTGGTTCGACATCGGTCAAAATGTGGGACACAAATAGGAGTCCTAGCGCGCTTCTGCAACCAGGTTACCAGGTCAAATTTGTTGAGGTGGATGATCTCGAAGCCGCTGAAGCTGATGCTACTCTTTTGATTGAAGAGGGCGCGACGGCTGGTTCTGGTCCGAATGATACGGAAGAAGAAAAGCTTGCTTTGAGCGAGACGGTGGGCAACACCAATCCACATTTCAAGGTTTTGACGGCGCCAATGCCGGCACTTTTCCAAGATCTCGGCCGTCCCGGTCAGGCAAACCAAGGTGTTTCCGCCTCGGGTGTGCTAGATCGATCGGCATTTCGAGCTGCGAACCGCACAGTGGGAAATCCAGCTGGCACTGGATGCCTTGAACTTACGTTAGGCGGCTTTTCATTTGAAAGCACCAGTCAGGCGGTGATTGGCTGCACAGGGGCGCCCTGTCCTATTACAATTCAGGATGCGAAAGGCCAGACTACACAGATAACGGAAACTCATCGGCCAATTGCGCTGGAGCCAGGGGATGTCGTGACATTCGGACATCCACGCACAGGGATGCGAACCTACGTGGCAGTTCGGGGTGGCTTTGAGATCAATCCGATCTTGGGCAGCGTCAGCACCGACACTTTGGCTGCGGTGGGGCCCAGTCCAGTCGTAGCGGGTTCAAGGCTGATCTTGAAGAACGCGCAGCTGGGTCTGACAAGCGTTTCAATTTACGAAGCCCCAGCTTTCACTCTTCCCGCTCCAGGTGATGTGGTGATTCTGGATGTAGTGCTTGGCCCTCGTACCGACTGGTTTACCAAGGAAGGCCTGGAAACCTTGACTCAACAATGCTGGAAAGTGACGGCCGAGTCAAGCCGTGCTGGGGTTCGTCTATCGGGAAATGTTTCCATCGAGCGCAAAGACGACAAAGCAGAACTACCTAGCGAGGGTACGGTCACTGGCGCTATTCAGGTGCCCCACAATGGTCAACCTGTACTATTTCTTGCCGATCATCCACTAACCGGTGGATACCCAGTCATTGGCGCTGTGGCTGATTACCATCTGGATCTCACTGGCCAGCTTCCTGTCAATACAATGGTTCAGTTTCGCGCTATCACCCCCTGGTCGGAAATTCAGCCGCAACACAATCAGCTCCACGCATCATAGAGAAACCCATTTCCTGTATTAGAAGTGATTTGCATGGTCAGTGACGATTATCTCTGCTATGTGTCATTAATATACGCTATAGCTATGAATAGGAAATAAAGTTTGCAATGAAACGGAGGCCGCGGAAAGTGAACGAGTATATAATTCAGCAAATCCTAAGTCGCTTGTTGGGGTCGATATTTCTCGCCCCTCTGGATCCTGCACATTCTATGTTTCTATAAAAATACCGTCATGAGGAAAGAATTAAGGAAGGTACTGATTGCCAATCGAGGAGAGATCGCCATCCGCATTATCCGTGCCTGTCACGATTACGGCGTGAAATCAGTTGCTGTGTATTCAGACCTGGATGTGGACTCTCTGTTTGTGCGACTAGCCGATGAGGCCTATGGGCTGAAGGGCGTTCAAACAGTCGATACCTATCTTAATATCGTCAAGCTTATTGATGTGGCGAAACACTCTGGGGCAGATGCCATTCATCCCGGATACGGGTTTTTATCGGAGCGGGCGGAATTCGCCCAGGCAGTCATCGATGCAGGGTTAACCTGGATTGGGCCTGACCCAAATGTGATCGAGGCGCTTGGGGACAAGGTCGAGGCACGACGTATTGCGTTACGCGTGGGTGCACCGCTTGTAGCGGGCAGCGATGGCCCCGTGTCGACAGCAAAAGAAGTGGCGGCCTTTGCACGACAACATGGCCTACCGATTGCGATCAAGGCTGCCCATGGAGGCGGTGGTCGCGGTCTGAAGGTCGCTTGGACAATTGATGAGGTAACTGAGTGCTATGAATCTGCCGTGAGGGAAGCGACGGCGGCCTTTGGACGGGGAGAATGCTTCATAGAGCGCTTCCTCCACCGTCCGCGGCATATCGAGGCTCAGATTCTAGCTGACAAGCATGGTAACGTGGTGGTGGTCGGGACGCGCGATTGCTCCATACAAAGGCGTCACCAAAAGCTGATCGAAGAAGCGCCGGCTCCATTTCTGACCGTGGAGCAGCAGGAGAAAATTCACAACGCTGCTCAGTCGATCTGTTCCGCGGCTGGCTATTCAGGTGCAGGAACGGTGGAGTTTCTCCTCGGAGTTGACGGTAGTATCTCGTTCCTAGAGGTCAATACCCGACTACAAGTTGAGCATCCCGTGACGGAGGAGACGACAGGACTTGACTTAGTCGTGGAGCAGTTCCGTATTGCTGAGGGACTTCCGCTAAAACTCTCATCTCCCATTCCTGCCCGGGGTCATTCCATCGAATTCCGTATCAATGCAGAAGACCCCGGTCGAGGGTTCCTACCAACCCCTGGACAGATCACGACGTTTCAACCTCCTTCAGGGCCTGGTATCCGTCTCGACAGCGGTGTTGTCCAAGGCTCAACGATTCCGGCGGTTTACGACTCCCTGATGGCAAAGTTGATTGTCTCTGGCGGAACCCGTGAGCAGGCACTGCGTCGCGCTCGGCGTGCGCTGAGAGAGTTCCAAATCAACGGGGTAGCGACCGTTCTACCCTTCCACATCGAGACGCTTAACTCGGGCGACTTTCTGGGTACCAATGGCTTTAATGTGCACACGCGCTGGGTAGAGACCGACTTCGCCGCGACACTGGCCCCCCCCTCACGGCCGGACCCCGTACCCGAACTGGATCTCATTCGGACTCATCTGGAAATTGATGGCAAACTGGTCTCTGTGGGCCTACCCAGCATGCTCCTGAGTGGAATTGGCTCCATGGCAGCCGGCTCTCCAGCGAATACCAAGGAAGACCAAGCAAAGAAAGACAACGGAGACATTTTGGCACCGGTTTCTGGAACACTTCGAGCCTTTAAGGTTACTGACGGTGCCTCTGTTCGTAAGGGTGATTTACTAGCTGTGATGGAGGCTATGAAAATGGAGACACAAGTTACGGCACCGAGAGATGGCGTTGTCCGTCTTCTCACCAAAGAGGGTGAATATGTCCAAGCAGGTGGCTTATTACTTACGTTTGAACAAGAACACCTTATGTTCAATAACTAAGCGGAACATTTATACCAAGACTAAATTATGACAGTTAATGATAAACAGACAATTATAGATTCCGAGTATGTTAGGGCGCTCGATTTGTATTATTGAAAGACCCGATTTCAATCATTGTTTCTCTTGGTCCTAGTTGAATATTGAATATTTCCATATTCCCAACGGTCCCTACCGTAGGACTAAATGAGAGTATGTAGTCTTATTGACAGTTGTGTACTAACTACCATAGTAGTTCAGAAGCAAGCCCCCCCTAGGGCGACACTACCAAGTCATAGTACGCTATGGTAGTGACTTCTACATTTGTATATAAATATATTGTATATGGACAATATTAGTTGGCTTTAGAGTTCTCCAAATCCCCGAGAGAGGCGAAAAGCTGGTTCACAAGGCTCGGAAAGAGGCAATCGGCCAGTCCATTGCAAACATAAGGTCGGGTTTAAGAGTGGAACACAAGGGGACGTACAGAATCTGTCAACATCAAGATCCACTTTGCTCAGCTTCAAACTTTTCCTTTTTTGTTAGCTCCCGCGCACAATCCTGGCAAGTGAACTCCTTGATGTATACCTTGAGTGTTATGCATTGCCCCAACAGTTTGTGCTTTAGCGTCCATTATCTCTGTGTAAAGTTTACGATATCGATTCCGGTGACAATGTAATATCCAAGAACATACATAGTGATGCTGTCACCCGAAATAACTTGGCTGACGGTTTAATGCCCATCGGGCGTTTTGCCTTTCCCCTGGAGGACCTCGGTAAAGAGTTCGCGGAAAGAGATTGGCTTAAAGTCGGGATACAGCTCCCTTGCGTCAAGGTAGCCAAAATAATTTGCGTAACGTGGTTGGTTGTCCTGCCGGACATACTTGCTGTATACGTACTGCGCAATGTAGACCAACGTGCGCTTGCCGGGATCTGTTGGATCAAGAGAAAGGGATGACTGGGCATCATCGAGTTGGTTTTCCATTTCTTGAACACTCTTCTGTAGGGTATGTAGTGAGTATATGCTCTGTGACATGCAGGGCCATACACACATGTTGGCTCTTGACTTTCTCGCCCGACAATTCCTCAACGATATCAAGAATCTCGTTTTCCGTCAGAATATCGCCCCAAGTGTAAACATACTTATTCACCGTTCGTTCATCGACAATAATTCGTGAAACAAAGCGGCCGATATCACGCATGTCTGTGAGTATATTGGGAGCGTTGCCATCGCCGTGGATAGTGGTGTTCGACACCAAACTACGTAATCGACTCGCCCAGATGGCAGGCAGGGAAAGGAAATCTGATGCCAGTACCCAAAATCGATGACCGTGTAGGGCAGCTCTAGTCTTTTGATCTCATTGTATATGATCTCCTTCTAATGATGGCTGTATGGATGTTCGAAGTCTCTTAATGGTTTATTCTCTCTGTTATTGGTATAGAACCGCGTACCTCGTCGCGTAGCAACATTGTCCCCTGTGGTGGAGCAATTGTGATGAAGGCACAAGGGATGAACCGTTTGATTCCTGCAGACTTCGCAGCTCTCACTAGAGTCTTCTGTTGCAAGACGTCGTGAGGGCCGATGGCACTGATCAGAATCCCAATACCCTGCAAGGTAGAAACAAGCTCTTCTTGCGATGCGTTGAGATCAGACACACGCAGTGGAACACCACGATCCTTGATTTGCTGAACGGATGGCTTTTCCACTGAACTTGGGCGTACTAGAACCTCGACATCCTAAGTGTGCAATGAGCAGAGTTAAGCAACAGAAACAGATGAATCCTATTTCACGAGACTGTATTGGCTGTTAGAGAAATAACATACGAATTGTTTGGTTTCGAGTAGCCCATCTAATATGGAAATCCCGGTTGCGCCAGTAGCCCCAAGGAGCAAAACCTTTTGTTTCGTAGACATTTTAGCCGACAGCAATATACACGACGGGTAACTACCGTATGGCAAGCCATTGTGGTCAACGCGCATTAATTTATTTTCCTACATTTTAAACGTGTCTCTGCCAGCAGAATAGTCTACTGTACTGAATCTACTTAAATTAATTACTTTGTCTGCTTCATCTGCCTAATCTGCTTCGTTTGCTTCGTCTACGTTGTCTGCGTCGGCTGTGTAGTAGTCTAATTATATAGTCACATGACTGCGAACTACTGGGTCAATTAGGATTTAGAACTAGTATTAACTAATCAAGGACGGCCAGATAACTAAGCGGTGAAAGAACTAGACAAAAAGAGGACAAGAAACCCTAAAAAATATAGGAAAATGAATTAATGCGCGTTGGCCGCAATGGCTTGCCGTAGTACCGTACCTAATCACCTGACGCCCGATTTTTTGATATACACCGACTTTTCGATACTTTTCAAATCGTCATAACTCTGTCAACATGGCTTCAATTGAGGCAGCGATAGCTGAGATCGAAAGCCTAAAGCCAGAAGAGAAGATAGATTACACAAGAACTGCCAAAAAATATGGTATAAGCAGGTCTACACTATCTCGACGTCATCGTGGTGTCCAACATACTCGAGCAGAGCAATATAATGATCAACGAATCCTCAACAACGAGCAGGCCAAAACACTCATAAAATGGATCAATGATCTAACTGATGAAAGGCCTTCCCCCTACGCTTGAGATGCTACGAAACTTCGCTAAGGAAATCACTGGAAAGAAGCCAGGGAAACAGTGGCCAACTCGATTTTTGAAGGCATATGATGATCAGCTTACTGCCCGCTATACAACTGGGATTGACTCCCAACGCAAGTGAGCTGATTCAGCATATAAATACTCTCTTTCCTTTGAACTAATAGCCAAGGAGCTTGAGGTAGTTATGACCTATAAATCCGTGTGTAGGTAGATGTTAACCCCATGCGCTTTTCATAGTAGCTGGGATATTATGACCAAGGTAAATCAAGCATATCAATCATTAATAATCAATACTTGAAGCCTGCGAAGCATGCTACCTTGGATGTAAATCTGCTAAGAGCTTTTTCAACGTTTAGCCGGCCTGTGCACAGGGTTCGCTGCACAACTTTATTCACAATTCAAAAGTCTAGGCGATCATTTTAATCGAACAACAACATAATGAGGTCAACCAGCTACACTGAATCTTTGATTTTAAAAACAAGGCGGACAGCCAGTAGCGTTTATAAATATTTATGCTTAGGATCTGTCCCAATGTTCGGTCGGCACTCGGTAAAAACAAATCCGCCATAGGTTACCAATGAAGCATATCAATACCTAATCAATCATATGCAGGAAGCTTTACAGCAATAAAAACCTATGGGAATCTTAAAACATTCATAATATACTGGCCGATTTCTCTTACCAGGGGAGTGCTCTTCAGCTCGCAGACTTTAGTTTCTAGATAGCAGGGCACTTGCTCTTAGCCGCGGGATTGTGGGTTACATACTGTGTATATGATAGGATCATAAACCTCTGCGAATGCGACTATATTAATGTCCATACTATAGAGTTCTGACGATTCGCTGCCTAAGGTTCTTGGTAAGTGGGTATGAGATTGTAGAGATAATATCGCGATCCTTTCTTAGAAGAGCTTATTCTGAGAAACCAATTCGCTTTCCACTTCCAAAGGTTCTTATCTAGCACCCAGTTGTGCCATTCAACAAACAATCCATGTAGACCAAGTCATGGGTTGGAGTTGCCCAGGGCTGACTCCCATGGACAAAAAGTTGGCAAGTCAACCCGATTCACTTGCCTTTTCTGTGCTCGGGGTCCACAGTGCCGAGAGTTCCTATTGGTCCTTTCTAGTTCAGGAAGGTCATCTAGGACCCACTCCGACTATTCGGGAAATCCCAAGGTGGCTTGAGGCATCACTGGGAATGGAAAGTGATGATATCAAAATCCCAGGTCATTAGATATCACCTTCCTGAAGCAATGTTCTCCGCGTTCAGATACGATGTGGTCCTTGTCTGATAAATCTATAAATCGGGCTCCAGGCGCTCGTCAGGTCACTATTGATATACCAACCACTCGAAACCATCCACAACGACGATATCCGCTTTCGAAATACATTCAAAATGTCCGATGCTCTTGATCTGTCCATGCTAAAGGGAACTCCCGAGCAAAGGGAACAAATCTCTGCTGAGCTGCTCCACGGCCTCAAGACTCGTGGCGGCGTCAAGTTGAAGAACCACGGTCTTCCGGACGAACTCGTGCATGAACTATTTGACTGGGTGAGTGAAGTGTCCCTTTTGAGTCTTCGGGTTGAAATTGATAATCCCCAGACTCGCAAGTTCTTTGCCCTTCCCCATGAAGACAAAATGCTTGCCAAGCACCCGCCCAAGGCAAACCCCAACCGCGGATACTGCTACGTTGGACAGGAGTCCATCTCGAGCATCAGTGGTTATGAGAAGGGACTTCCACAAGGGCGTTTCGTTCGTGACATCAAGGTATAGTCGTGCCCAACACTATTCAGACCGAGCAACATGTTAACAATGACACAGGAAACCGTCGATTTCGGCTCACCTCGCGATGCGCTCGTAGACAACATCTGGGTACCAGAGGAGAAGCTTCCGGGCTTCCGCAAGTTCATGGAAGATTTCTACGAAACCTGCTTCAAGCTCGAGCTCGAGATTCTCGCTGCTCTTGCCAAGGCCCTCGGCGTCGACGAAAACCAAATGGTAGCTCTGCACAACAAAGCCGAGAACGAGTTCCGCATCCTTCACTACCCAGAGGTCCCAGCGACAGAATTGGCTGACGGCACCGCGACACGCATTGCCGAGCACACGGACTTCGGCAGCATCACCATGCTCTTCCAGGACTCCGTCGGCGGCCTGCAGGTCGAGGATCAGCAAAACCCCGGTGTCTTCCGCGGCATCGAGTCAGCCGACAAGACAGAGATCATTCTGAACATTGGTGACTCGATGCAACGACTGACGAACGATACTTTCCGCGCTGCGTGCCACCGCGTCACCTACCCGCCTTTTGTTAAGGTTGGTTCGGAATCAGTCATTCCTGAACGGTACTCGATTGCATACTTTGCGAAGCCGAACCGCTCGGCATCGCTGTTCCCGTTCAAGGAGTTCATCACACCGTCAACGCCTTGCCGGTATGAGGACATCAACGCATGGGATTTCCAAAACCATCGCATCTCCAGACTGTTTAAATGAGCATCGTATTGAGATTTACAGAATGACTAATTTATGGAGTTTCCTTTTTATACGTCAAGCATATCGTTGAAGCATAGGTCGCTGTTGATTCGTGTAGACATAGAGCGGTAGATCCCAACATCCAAATCTGCAAGTGTCTTCGGATGGTTATAGAAGAATTACAGTTCATATGATGAGCGTGATATTGTCTCTTCTCGATCGTCGGAGAATATATCTTGCTTTGATAACTCGGAAGAGGTTTTGGGCTGGAGATTGGAGGGATGGGAACATATATCCCTCTGAAAATGGCAGATCCACGAATTATCGTTAGGCTACTTATCCCCAAAAAGAGTAAGATGTTGTGCGATGGCTGGCTAGTAGGAATAATTACGCAGCGGAGTGAAGAGTAGCAAGCAATATACGAGACTGCTCAATGAGATCTGCGTTCTGATTGGGCGGGAATTCATGAGTTACATCATTCCTGTTTTGTCTTAAACGTAACTGGTAAACGAGCGGGCCATGCCAGTCGAGTGGGCTATGTTGTATTCCATATAAAATAGTACTTTTATATTGAGTTATGTCAATAGCTAGAGATAGTAATACTATAATATTTTATACTGATATAAATATAGGGTATTTAAATAGAATCTGTATTTTATTATATTTTTAGTATATTCTTTCACACTGTAAAAACAATTATATATAGATTATCAAAGACATATTGTGATCTATATTACCTGATATATTATTAGATATAGAGCGTTGTCTTTTTAATATATATATCTATAGTATTAAATTAGTATATATACTGAAATTTAGAGCACTACTCCCTTTGGTTGTTGAGGTACTTCATTTCTAAAAGTACTCTTTTGTAGGGGATGTAACGGCGGTATACTATATAGGTGACCCCATGGCATTCGGGATCGTTGATCCCGAATTATATGAACTTTTCGTCTTGTAGAATATTGGGCCCAGGCAATATCTCTTACAGGGGATTAGAGTGGCCCGCTCGAGTTGCATAGCCTACTCGATTGCCGGTTACGCTATATAATTTTCAGGCCTATTTAGATAATCTGGGCAGTGTACCTCCAGTAATCTAACCGATTTCTAGAGCTTTGAATTGCCTGCGAGGACTAGATTTCCAGATTATTTAAACACACTGTAATATTTGCATAGCCTATTCAAGTAAGGTAGGTAATTTAGGTGGTGTAATACAAGGTTATAAATATGGTTCCCCCGCTGTCTAGGCTTACTGCCAGTTCCTGGAGCTGACAGCCTCTAGTATTACCTCAAATATATCCTTATTCTTATCTGAGCGTAGGGCAAAATTCCCCTAGGATTGCAATGTCAGGTTCTCGTTATCTAGGTCTTTGACAAGACATTCTTTCAGTGGGAGTTTTATTCCAAATTCGTCGGTAATAACAGTTGCGATAAGCCTAAAGAGATAAAGGAGGAAGTAAGCGTGAGGGTAGTTCGTTGTGGTTAAGCGATTAGGCATGGATAGTCTGTGAGTTGTGGTTGGGGGCGGGTTTTGCGGGGAACCAGGGCTATCAACATCAACCCTATGTAAACACTATACATATAGATTCTGATCGCGTAACGGAATCACGAGCCATATCCGGAAGTAATTCATTCTGTTCCAATCTTTATCCAGTTGCCTCTAGTATTTTGAACACGATAGATCATCCGCGTACGCCGAAGGAGCCTTACACCTGCTCTCTGGAAGGACAAGGCTTGGAAATTAATCTCGCCGATCTTGCTACAAGGCTGTGACATGCACCAATTACATCCCATACTCTGAATCCCTTTTTATAGATGCCCCTCTTGATACGACCTCAACCCCTGGCCCGCTATTGTTTTCTTAAATCTGGGCTATGTCTTCTGCCCCCAAAACCATTGACATTTTCATCCACCCGGGTCTGTCGTCGTCGTCGATTTATTCTCTTCGCATCCGAGGTGGGTGTTGAGCGAAATCAACGGAAAGCCCTTTCTTTCAATCATGGATCGACCGATCGGCGAGAAAAATGAAAACTATCGGAGCGTTAAAGATGGAAATCGAGTTCAAATGTGGACACCCATCATTCTCCACCCGCTCGTTCTGATCGCGTTCGCAGTCCTTTTCGCAATTTTCCTGGCCGTCATCGAAGTGCTGTACCAATATTCGAATAAACACCAAGGCATGAGCACAAGTGACCAGAAATATCATTACCTCTGGACTTATGCGCCAACTGCTGGTAGGAGAATCTCACCATAATTAGAAGAATCTCAAACTAATCGGAAAGTCTTCCTCATTGTTGCTGGTTTCTGGGGACAGGTCGAGTATCGCTCCAAGCAGCTGGCGCCATGGCATTCGATGAACGAGAGACCGCGACCGGCATCGCAGAGCTTGCTGCTGGATTATATCACACCGTGGAATGTCATTTCCATGTTTCGCTCGATAAAGAATAAGCACTGGGCTGTTGGGCTCTCGGTGTTGGGGTCTCTGCTTATCACACTGCTTACCGTCTTCTCAACAGGTTTGTTCGTGTTGGATAGTGTACGACTTCAGAATATTCCCACGACACTGAAAGCCTCGGCACAATTCCACAGCGGTGGCTATGATAGCAAAATGGTGGATGGTGTTCCTGCCTTGAGTGTTGCCGGGGCTGCACGGTTCAATCTTTCCTATCCCACTGGGACAACAAATAAATATGCTTTTTCACCTTTCAACGCGCCCGATACAGATCTAGGTAAGCCTCTCTGCATTTGGAGACCATTAATGACAAAGGATACAGGCACAAACACAGTCATCACAGGCATGGTGGATTTGTTCTCGGGACACCTCGAATGCGAACAAGGGAAACTCGTCAATTGGACCCCATACAATATCACCGCGAACGGTACCAGCGGGCCTTTTTTCATCCACCCAAGCTCGGATCTCACTCTCAGCTCGCCGTCATGCTCTACAAATCCTTTTCAGGCGTCGTTATTTGCTATCCCCAGTTACAATAGTACCGCCGCCGATGTATTTTTCGAGAACTGCACAGGCGATGGCCAAACCGGATCACGGATGATATTTGTGAGCGCAAGACTGTGGACGGTTGGGCCGAAATATGCCATATCAGACATGTACCCCGTCTTTTGCCAGCCCACATATACAGTATCCAAAGGATTGGTTTCCTTGTTTGCTAGTAACCAGAGTGTCGTTCGTCTCCTTCCACTCAATAACGAAACATCGCGCAGCAATGCAATTCCAGGCATAGGATCGTCCGAGATCGTCGCGTCGTTGAACTCCAGTTTGGTGGGGGCAGTGAAGCCAGTTACGGGTTTCCCAACGGGAAATACCAGCATTTCCCATCTTGGAACTCTGTACCAGCTAGCAAACATGTCTTCTCCCTTTGATGCGGAGAGTCTCTTTGAACCGTCGTCGTTCCAAAATATTTCAACAGGAGCATACCAGTCGATAGTTGCCCAGATTGCCCGACAGCACTTCATGACCCCTTCCGATAGTCAGTTCACAGGAACGTATGCTGCCACCAAGCAAAGGCTGATTGTCCGAGAACTGTCTCTGCGAGCCATGGAAGCGATTCTGGCTGCCCTGATCCTGGTGGCGGCACTCATGCTGGTCTGTAGACCGGTGCGTTCAACACCACGTGATCCTGGCCCTCTGTCCGGTCTTGCAGCCATACTATCCAGGAGTTCTCATCTGATGGATAGGCTGGACGGCACACAGAATAAGAAAAATATGAAAGCGAGGTTGACTGGTGGTCTATATGTTGGCAAGGCTACAAATCAGAACGGTGAGAAGATATTCCGCATCGAGGCACAATACCAGGGAGAGAATGACTCTCCACCAACCGATACCGACGTTACCATCTCTTGGTGGCATTCCATCTCCAGGTGGTGGCAGATTGTCTCCATACTTCTTCCTATCTTGATAATCGTTGGACTGGAGGTTGCGTATCAAGAATCTGACCGCCAAGACGGGCTCGGAAACATCACTTCTGATGGCTACATCCAATACGTCTGGGTGTATATACCTGCACTGGTCATGTTGATAGTGCGGATCTTCACAAATGGTATTCACTCCTCTTCGATGATTCTCCAGCCCTATCTTGAACTAAAACGCGGCGCGGGTACCGCTAGCAGCATCATGGAGAACCACCTATCTAAGATTACACTGTATTCATTTTGCTGTGCCCTGTTCAAGAAGCAATTTGTCCTTGCTGCATCTGCCATATCGGTCATAATCGCTCCTGTCTTAACCATCGCTGTCAGTGGTTTATACTCGACCGAGTATGCGGCTGTTCCTCGCTCAGTGTCGATAATGGCTAGTGATTCTTTCAACGAACACGGGGGACCTGCCTACGGTGATACGACCGGATCACCGCTCATTGGGTCGTTGATTGTGGCAAGGAACATGTCCTATCCAGCCTGGACGTATGACGAGCTTATCACTCCAATTCTGCGGGAGGCATCCCTGACTGACCTTGACGGGGATATCCCTTATCAACCATCAAATAAATCCTCCGATGACTCTGCTCAACTCGACCTGACAATTCCAGCGCTCCGGGTAAATGCCAACTGCACCGCTTTCCCGCGGGAGAAAATCTCATTGAAAGAGCTTCCCGCCGGAGGCTCATCCAAGTGGGAGTTACATATGAACTTTGGCCCCGACTGCCGAGCATATTCTGGTACAAGTATGACGGTTCAAAGCGACAACCCAAACTCCACACAGACAGTGTTTGGGCAGTTCACCGACTCTATAGCCTTCTTCGGCGACTGTCCCAACATAGCAGTACTCTATGGCACCCTGGCGCCGAACAATTCGACCAGTGGCGTCCACGGATTCACCTGCAAACCATACGCGAACCAGGTTCAAGCCAACACTACCTTTGCCTACCCAGGGCTGCAGATCCAGTCAATGACTGTGGACGAATCAACTATGAAGCCATTCCCAGGTTTCGCCATACCGGCAATGAGCTCTTCCATGCCCAATATCACCAACAGCGCTGGCAGCAAGGCCTTTGACAGCTTTTTCTCCATCATGATGAGCGTTCAGGGAGCCTTGAATACATCCGACATCGTGAATCCAGATGCCATGCCGTCAGTCATGAATGCTACGCAACATCTCTACCGCGTTCTTATGGCTCAATATCTCAATTTTGATGCTCGAACTGCCCCCTCCGCCTCGATCCCGTATAACGGGACCATCTCAGACCCTACACGAGTGCGTCTAGTGCAAAGTGAGATTTCCACCCGCATCTTGGAAGGATGCCTTGCCACAATGACAATCTGCTCTCTTATTGCGGTTTTCGGCACTCGAACCAGGAACATACTCCCTATCAATCCTTGCTCTATCGCTGGCGCTATGACATTACTAGCTGGTTCGGATATATTGAAATCCGATGTTTTCCCACCGGGATCAGAGTGGTACGAGGACAAGGAGATGACAAGACGGGGGATATTGAATGGACTGATATTCAGACTTGGATGGTGGGATAGAAAGAGATACGGAATTGATATCGGGGAGCCGGCGGAAACGCGGTGTGACGGCTGATGGCACGTCCGGCTGGCTAGGACGCAAATCAATTCGATCAAATTCACCAGCCGCGTGCATATGTCCGGCTATATTGAGCTATTGGGCCTACATTAGGGCCTGCCGAGGGCGTTGCCACTTGGATGTTGTATGACCGGTCGATGATCACGACTTGGCTTTGCAAGGACAACAGCCAGTAATTGATTGGTGTTATAGTTGCTCTCCTCCACCCATGCTTTGCTGGGATATCTCTAACTCATTCGCTATACAGCCCTTCCAACTGAAACAGGCAGATTGATCTGTCCGGAAAAGAGCTTATTGGGTTCCGCGCTAAACCCGCCCCGAACCCGACCCGATAACAACTCTAATCCTTGCATCACTCGAATCATAAGTGAAATAAACAACAATTTCAAATTTAGGGCATCCTATTGCCCATACAGGGCACATCTCCACAACGATAACTAACACCACATAAAAGCCAAAGTCAATAGATACAGATCTGTCGCATCAACCTACTTAACCTTTTTCAAGTGCAGCTCCAAAGCCGAGACCTCAATCCCAACAGCATTTCCATCGCCATCCACCTCAAAAACAAACGAGTCCAGCGCACGATCCTGGTACTTCAACTTATCCACATCCATCCATGAAACACAAGTCGGTGTCCCAGCATCAGCAAGCTCATTTTTATCCTGCAAAACGGCCCTGAACACCACTCTGGAACAACCCGATCCGGTCTTTGAGACCAGTCCAGTCGGGTATAACCGGATACTCAACGCGTTAGGATCCTCAATTCCAATCAACGAAGCCAAGGTTTCCCTGAAATCTGTCCCATTGCTGACGAACCTCTCGACGAATATCCCAGGCAACTCATCAACAGAGACCGTGATCGAGGAATTAAGCCCAGCAGAAGTGGTATACTGGCCGCCGAACTGAGCGCCCGCCTGCTTAACAGCTACCTTCATCAATGCAGGTAAGATGGCATCACCGATGATATCCGCATGCGCGTTCAAGTCTGGCGCCGAGGTGCTATCAGTTGCCAGAACGGTGAAGCCGACATTGTAGTCTGGCACGAGACCGATGTAAGAGCTGTACTGGCCGATGCTGCTGTAATAGGTATAGATGTCTACCATTGAAGTGTTGGGGTAGTCACCACTGCTGTAGATAATCCATGGGTACCCGAGGGAGTTAGCTGGATTGGATGTGTGGGTGACTGGTTTGAGCCAGCGATCTGTTTGGGCTTGGGGTAGGAGGGTTGAGTTCAGGATTGCCTTTCCGGCGGTGGAGAGGTCGGTGATTGTCGAATACATTGATAGGGCTCTGTATCTTTTGATTAGGCTCCTTGTTAGGATGGGGTCTGGGGTAGAGCACTTACGGTGCTTCTCCTCCATATTGGGTGGACCAGCCGCTGCTTTTGGGGTCTGTTGGGATGATTCCGGATGAATTGTGGGAAGGGGTGTGTAGGCTTGTTTTGCCGAGGGAAAGTGGCTGGAGGATGCGACTTTCGAGAACGTCGGTGAATGGCCGGCCTGTGACCCTCTCCATGATGTAGCCTAGGATTTGGAATCCAACGTTGGAGTAGATCGGGGTTACTCCTGGCGGGGCAACTGGAGGCTGTTGAGCTAAGATGGCAAGCAACCCTGGAGAGTAGTTATATTAGGGTCGGATATACAGTATTGAGAAGATTAGTGTCATACCAGCTTGGGAGCGATTATTGGATATGCAAGTACTACTACCATTGGGCGGTGGTAATCCATCGTCGGTGCTGGGGCCGTTTTTCTTTATGTCATGCGCACAGGCTAGAAGCAGGATGGTTAGCTCGGCCGGTGTTGGCTGTACGTTCCTTTTGGAAATACTCACAGTCCCGAGGAAGGCCTGCCATATGACTGGCTACTTGGCCCACAGTAATGTCTTCCCAATCCACATACCGAACAGGATCCTGCTTCGCGTTCGCACCCTTCTTAGTTGCGCCTAGTTCAGGGAGATACTTCGTTATGGGTTCGTTCCAGATGGTGTCCCCTTCCTCAATAAGACTAGTCCAGACAGTGAAGATCTGGGTAAGTCCACCGATGCGGTAAATGCTGTCCCGATTCGCATGTTGACTTTCACCGGATGAGTTCTTCAACGAAGGGGCAGTGTAATGATAATCGAAGAAGAATGGACTCTCGCTCGCAGTTCCCTGGTTGGTGGAGAAAAGCGACACACTGAACGAGGTGGTATTGGGAGAGACATCTCCGTGGGAACCGGACCCTTGGCTATTTTGCTCATCAAATGTCTTGGTGAGGTTGGCCAGGGCAGATGACAGTATTGACGAGTTCTTGTCGAGCGTGAATGCTGGGAATGCTGGTCCTAAGAGTGGACAAGGAGTAAATGATGAAGATACGGAATTAAAAAGACAGAGGACGGTGAAAACGATGGTAACGTATGATTTAGACATCGTGACATAGGATACTACTTCTGATGCTTCGACTATACAGCGTTATCTTTGGGTGACTTGGGTTGGATATTTATTTCCAAAGGGTCGGGTCGGAGATGGGATATGGACAAACCTGAAGCTATTCTGGCCCCCAGCATTGGGATGATCGGATCGGAGATGCGACCAAGCCTTGATACAAACACGAACACAGCCTCACGCAGACGGGGTCCTTACCTACCAACCACCATTCACAATCACTTTTAGAGAAGATACGAAGAGAATAAGTTTAATCTTACATAAAACAGAAGGCCGCAAACAAGACAGCCCAAATAAAGGCGGTACCAGGGTGGTACATATACAGCCAGGCACTGGCCAAATCTCTGAGAGCTGATTAAGGTGAGACAACATGTTATATCCAATCAGTCATCATTTCAAGACTGGAAGGGAGGAAAAACTGTGCAGCCAACTGGAAGTCATCCCCAGACAGTGGCGGAAGTCCCGACATGTCCAAGGGAGTAATGGAAGGGCCATACGGTAGTCCAGTTGCGGCATGTAGACCTGCATCTTGTCTCTGAGAAGGGAAACTTGTTTCCAGGTCCTGGACGTTGCGATCAAACCAGCCCTGGATACGGGAAACGCGTTTCTCAAAGTCAACAAAGACATCCCGACCGCCATCCAGATCCACCTGCGTTGTAGATAATGCTCCTAGGCGCTGCCGCAGTTTCTCCAGAGTTTCCGACCACATACAACTCTGTGGAAGTAGCGCCGCCTTTCCCATGCGTGAAGCTGCGACGACCTGCCGGGAAGCAACCAGTATGCAGAACGCCATTTGTACCCACTGCGTGTTGTTGAACGCCTGTTCGCTCCCTAGCGGCAGCCCCATGTACATGTTTAGAATGTTCTCTGCCGCGGTAAGGCCAGAACAGAAGATCTCATCCCACCATGTCTCGGAGACTATGGAATATGCGGACGGAGAGGACAGTGCGCTTTTCTGAGAAAGGCTCAGTTGATACAAACATAGCTCTGTGCTATAAAGCTGCATGGCCATAACGGCTGAACAGTTGAAGAAACCAGTTCTCAGCCTACCGGATGCGTTATTTCACGGTTTACGAGGGTACTCACGAGTTTCACAAAAGCCCAGAGGAAGCTGATTGCGCAGTCTATCCAAGTCAGACTTAATGTTGCTGACATATAGCTCCGCCGCAGAACCTGTACTCCCCAGCTCCATACCATGATTCCAAGACAGGTTGTTTACTTTTTCCGCGATAACCTGCAACTGAAAGATGTGCAGGATATATTTGTCATGAGAGATATCACCTTCATTGTATAGGGACTTGCAGCATTGTTCCAGATAGGGGGCTATATTTGGGAAACAAGACGGCTTATGTAAAAGAATGGCAATCCTAGCTCATCTCGCTCAGTAACTGCGGTACATGCTTTGGGGGCAATAAGAAGCTTACGTTGATGACAGGTAATAGCACCCAACCACTGCTCTCTGCTCGTCTAGGCCCCAGGATGGTCGAACATACTTTTCATCGTCCAGTGCATATTCCGTGTTGAATCTAAGAGCCGTCTTCCATGTCTTCGTCTGTGGTGGCCGATCCAGCCGTAGCTCCACCATCAGACCTATAGCCAACTGTAGGAACTGTGTGTAACGATGGGGTCGTGAGTGGTAATGGGACCTGTCGAGAAATGTCAGGGAATGGTTGTAACGGGTTGTTCCAAGGACCATTACCAAGCGAGAAACACCAGCATTCCTTGTAGCAGCTCAAAGGAAACTTCTGCGTGCATGATCATGCGAGAAGCAATGGCCTTTTTGACTTCCTTGCCTAGCAATCTCTGAAGTGGCATGTTAGAATATGCCGCAGATGCGAGTACAGCCAAAAAGAGAAATGGTTTTTGTTGCCGGAGAACTGAAGCCGTGACCTGCGACGAGATAACGACGAATGGAAAATGTAACGTCATGTCCGTCCTATAGAGATCGATCAACGACTGCGCGGTTTCCATATCGACTAGACCTTGCCCAATGACGTCCAACGTGGTTTTCTCTGTTTCTTCCCGGTCCGGGTTGTGTGTCGCATTGCCATGGGCTGTTTGGTTTACTGGAGGTAATTCAGAGCGGGTCATGAGTTCATTGATCCTGGACTCAAGAGCTTCTATCTGCCTGCACTGTCACGTGAGCTATGTAATATCCTAATCCTTCCACCAGGACTTCGTACCGATCTTTTTTGAACCCGTTAAAGCGCCGACCAGTCTCACGATATACACACTGTTTGTTTAAGCGCGCACACCTATACGATTTTAATTAGCTATCATATATAAGCTAGGCTAGCGCCCCTGCACCATTACCGAGAGCAGACATCCGACTCTGCACTATTTCGTACACACCGAACCTTGGACTTGGCACAATTTTGACAGGTGCTGGACAGCGGCATAGTGTGCGGGGTTACCGAATAAGGTATGTGATCAATGTTCAAAGCTTTCTTTAGACAGTCCTCAAGGATGAGATACTATTTTTCTATTCACACTATAGTCGAGAAAGCACAACGTAGGTGGGCTCTGGGTGGAGTTTCCTGCACAATCGTTAAGACACGAGAAGCTGGGAGTGAGGCTGTGGACCAGCGCAGCCAAGCAGCTACTAGTGAGTTAAACTTTAGCGCTTAGTTACTACAGCGGATTAAATCAAGCTTCCGGGCAATGTAGTGACTCTGTATAAGATTACTAATCTGGTCCCGTTAGTTACTGCTCCTGACAACTTTTATCTTTTGGTACTTCGGCCCCTAAACTTAGATTCTCACGCTTACTGTGAACCTTGGGATACCTAAGCTTAGACACTACCGTCAGTACTATTACTGTGTACTAAATTTAAGTACAGTGATTACTATACCCTGATTACTACCAGTACTATAAGTTCCTTACCTTTAAGATCTATCTTTAATTATGAATCTTGATATACTAGGTATACAATAGTAAATTTAAAGAGTAGAGCGCTGCTAAATAAGTACATGGCTTAAGTGTAAAACGCTAGTAACGGGGTCTGGAGTTGTTTGAATTGTATCCTTCGCGACAGATTGTTGACAAGGGATATAATTTACCATGGCGCAGACGAGGGAAAGGAAGGAGGATATCTCCAGTGATACTAATATTTCAATCTGGAGGGGTTTGAAGAGTCTTGAAATGCTGATTATGGAGACCTAAGGACTTGACATTCTGTTTCAGATGGAAGAAACCGTCTGAGGAGAAAAGGAGCCCCAGGTTATGTGTGAAGGGAAGCCATGCCATTGGAGTGAATGCATCATATAACGATGAATAGGTCCTATTTATAACGTCTAAGCCAGTTTGAGTATCATAGAGCACTACTGCAATCCAAACTTATGAAACTAATCCAGCAGGAATATTTGGGCTTTTCTCTTTTTCTCTCTCCCTTTCTCCCTAGAAAGCCACTCATTGTTGATTTCACTCAAAAGCTGCACTAAGGTAAACAGTGAATCGGGTTACGTTTATATCGGTTGACAAAAGAAAGCTCGGTCTCTTTATTTACTGGTCCAGATCCTCTGTAACAAAGAGAACTGGTCCATGGTGAGGCTAAGGAAAAGAACATTAACTGTGCAATAAGAATGATGTAACTTTAACCAGTCAACTTCTTTTCTCTTCCCCTCTCCTCCCTTTCTCTCTTCTCCACTTATCTCCTAGTCTCACTGTTCACAGTTACCCGCCTCCCTTGCCCTTATACCACCCCAAAATGGAGACAGAGTTTTTTGATGAGAGCTGGCTTGGAAAAGTCATTTCCTTTACCGGCCCCAACACTAGTTGGCGCCTGACTGGAAAGTTGCGCGATAAGAACGACCAGTTCAGTGCAGGCGAGATGAAGCATTTCCCAGATGCTATCAGTGGCGCTTACGGAACCTTCAGATGTCAAAATGTACATTCTATAGCTGAATCGGCTATCATGAGGATTGCCATGCAGTATGACCATCCCGTCCACCATCCAACTTGGCCCTTTGCTCACAAGTTTTGAGAATTCCGCATGCAGGCGCGAAACCCGATAGCTTCACCGGCCAGGCATCCGGCAGCCTTCCATCCTATGGACAGCTTATGCTAGATGCTTATGGTACCCTCCAGACAAGGGAATGCAGATCCGCCCCACGTCTATTAAATATGAAAAGAGAATCCCAGGACCACACAGGCATGCTTCCAGGCGGATCTATTCTCTATCTTCTTATCGAAAAGGCACCAGGTGAACAGTTAGACTCTCCTGGGTTCTGGGGTCTAGGGCGCCGGGAGCGTGATAGAATTCGGCAGGCCTTCAAAGCTGCATGGGAGTAAGTGACTATTTTCCATACATGACGGAGATCTATTAACCAGTTCAAGGGAATGTGTTGCCAAGGGGTATCGACCTTACGGAGATGTCTCGAGCTTATTCTGGGATAGTTCCGCGTGCAAGATGTCGGTATCCCTTCCTTTTTTGACTCGCTCCAAGGCTGACAACACAAGTACCATTTACAATTTCATGACAGCCTATCCGACCGAGCCTCATACCGAATGGTTTAATGTCCTATGGATCGTTTGGGGCCTAGCAAAGGCGCCTGATGGGTATCGCTGGTGGGTGGAAACCGAGAAGGACTCCGACATGAGAAGATGGACTTTTTGATTTGCAAGGATGTGGGACCTACCGGTCGAGGAGTGTTCAGCTGCAGAATAATAGCTAGGGGATTATCCCTCCAGAGCCAGACACTGCCCATATCCTTTTGTCCAGGCTTCATGCTTCTTTACTGTGGTCTGTTTTTACTTTTGCGGTTCTTGGCATAAACATCGAAAATGAAGGCCTTCTATGATGATTTTGAATTTGACAAGGTGGAAAGAGTTCGCCATACCATCTCATACTGGATAACCTCCACCATAGATCCATTCATTACTTTGCATCTCAATATTGCTATGCATGAGATTGTCGCCTGCTTGTAGGTGAAATAGACTACTTATACTACGTAATATCAAGATAAAAATGGATCATCCTCCGCAATTCACCCGTTATATGATCACCTAACATGGCTCTCTCTTAAGGACATAAACTAATGTTCCCGCGTCACCATCATTATTTGCCATCATTGTTCAGCCTTGCCATCAGTCTTACTGCTGAAACGGCATCTCAAATCTTTATCCTTCCCTCCCTTATGCTCAATCCTGTGGCCTTTGTTGATCCCTCACCTTCTCAATCGCGTCTTACCGCTAGAGCCAAAGAGTACGCTTTTGAAATGGAGAACCAACAAACATATGGATTACTTGTTCCCCATAGTAAAATACTCTTTGTCTGCGAAGAGGTCGATAGTCCGTACCGCCAAGAGGCCCCTGCTGGGATAATAGTATAGAATAGGCGTTAGTCCGCGATCCATTTCGTATTATGCTTACATCTTTCTAATATTTCTATGTTCAGCTATATTGCTGGCCCTCTTGAGCAACCAACCGGTTCAGGGGAATGGGAACCAGGTTTGTGAAAACACTGGTTCTTGGATGAAGGGTGTATAACTGGAGAAGAGATTCCCACCCGATAAAGGGCTATGTGAGTCTCGTATGACTATAGCTGTGGTATTCGACACCAGTCATGCTTTTCTTTCTGGTTGTAGCTTTGACCCTGTGGATCTCGTCATACACCTGGAATTTTGTCTATTACGACTTCTTCTTAACATGAATACACTTACTGAGTGCAGTGGGATTGTATACCTGTTTAAAGTTGCCACTAGCACTTACACCAAACCATTCAACCATTCTGGGGATGCTCGTATATTCCCTAAACCCTGTTACAGTTGGCAATACTCTATCCAGCACACACGATGTCTGCCTTTAACCGAAATACCAATACACCGTCGCTATTCTTGGCTTTGCATATCGCCCCCTAAAGTTCGAATGGCCTACCTTCGCAGGGGTGCCACGCACTTTTCGTGCACATCCTGATTTAGCTTACACGTTGTTTTCATGCACCAAACCCGATCATGTTGTTTTATTTTTGGATCCAGCCACCACGATCAGCGTATCAGCTGCAGACCTACCTGATATGCAGGCTCCATGTGCAGCATTTAGAACGTCAACCGTACTCTACCATCATATTATAACATGTATAGTATAGTAACTAATGAAATGTCTATTTGACGCCACTCACAAGCTGCTCTTCGCTATGGGAGTCACAAACAAGTTGTATCACTCTGGATCACCTAAACGTATTCGGCAACTTGACAAAATGATGAGATGCCTCCTAGGTGCCCCAAGGGGCCCATAAATTAGGGGCGGTATTAGAGATGGGAACTTCAGAGTCAGGCCCACTACCGCAATACGTTCGATCTCGCCTCCACATACGTTCAGCGATCTACACGTGTAGGCTCGCCACTCCAGTCCATACCAAAGCCCCAATATTAGAGAGGCTTTGTTTAAGAGCTCTAATTCTTAGTCATCGGCTAGTATGACTGGCAAACCCTTTGGACGTTGTGCGGAGACCTATCCTCCCCACTTAAGAAACTACTAATTTTAGGGACACAAACGACAAATGTGCCATACCAAGCTTAGCTTTATCTGAGCGATAGTTGTGGTCAACGTAGGCACATAATGACTATCTCTCTGGTCCTATATGGGGAGGCACAAGGGACCCTTGAGGAACGTCTTGGGGTACTCGCCGCCGACCCACGCGTTGCAAAAAGGCAGAGCAAAACAGACCGAACAGACAATACAGTACAAGCGTCGATTCAACAAGCGCAGGTTAGATACAACTTTGATGTACTCTGGCTAAAGAGCTTCCATAACCGAGGGAACCTGCCTCATACAATTAAGAATGCATTCTCTCGTGACGAACTTAACATGATCTTAAACAGCAGGCAGAGCTTCTATTTCTTGAGAGTCAACTATGCTTTGTTCATGTGTTACTTTTTTCAACTACAAGGCATTGATTGAGAATATGCAGGATGCGGTAGCGAACTGCAGTAAGTAGAATGGTAAAAGTGGGCCTTTATGTACATAGTAAGCACGCGCTAACTGTGCCACAAAGACACTCTGCGTCCAAGCCAGTATTATTCAAAATGGCACCCAACGGTCTTGGCGCTAGCGCGATAGTGCAAGATCGACTTCCTAATCTCTTGGTGGGCATAAGACATACTAATACTACGAACGATGCTCGCCATCCCATAGTATTTACCGGGGCATTGAGTCCCTCGGTCAACTTTCCAGGGAGGTGTGGAGGCGACACATTTAAATTTTGCTTGGAACCAGCGGGTGGTCGACCATCAGCAGAGGTCAGGTAGGGTATCAGACTGGAATGTGCAGTATGAACAAACTGCCACGGGGGATGAGACGGACGTCCAAGACCGCTGGTGGCAGTACGCCAATCAATAATGTCGGCAGTGTTCTGATCTCAAGGGATGGATCTCCATGTAGGGGACTTTCGGGCAACGGCCATTACAAGGAAATCCTGGATATGGCGGGAGCAGGAGGGTTCTCCTGAACAATATGAGACTATTTATGACATAGTTTATCATATCTAATTAGCTTTTTCGATCTGATTTAAGCTCTTTCTGGGTGAGGCTGGCCTTGTTCCCTGCGATACACGGAAGTGATTGTGTTGTACAGACTCGTATATGCTCCTTGGCAGTTGACAGTCTCAATGCCGATTGCATACTATTCAGACAACGCAACTGTGTCCCGTTCAGATTAAGGAACGCTCCCGAGCCATCATCCCACTACTTTCACCTTCCTAATGTATTATCCGGTGGTTACACGTGCGTCACTATTCATGTAGGGCTTGGCAGGATACGGCTTGTTCTCTCGCTGTGGAGGAGCAGTCAGCTGGCCTGGGGGAGTATTGGCGGGAATGGCTGCAAAGAGTGCGGTATTGCTTGTCTTCTCGGAACCTATAGGATCTTTCATGTTGCCGTTCCTGACATATTTGATCACTCAATAAGCAGCCATGTTTCAGCGAATGGACTGCTAAACTATAGATATCATCAGCAAGGCTTATACGCACGGTCTTCTAGCTGTGAAACAGGTTCCCTTGAGTAATCGTGTCCGGCCAGCATATAAATGTCTGTGCCACCGTATTACATGTGACATTCGGTGAAGCTTAATCACACTGATGTAATAGCACAATACCCTCCGTATTAACCACTTGGCATTCTCCTGCGTTCAGGTTCATCATGTATGTATCCCTGCTATCTCAGGTCTCTACCACATCATTCATAATTATCTTTAAGCCCCGTAACAAGCTCATGGGCAGGAATGTAAGGTTTTTGGGGGCTGGCGCCGCCCACACTTCCTGGTATATCTGATAGAGGCTTGATATCTACAATGTGTGCCCCTCCAACAGCTGAATGGTCTATATTTGTATCATGTGGTGTGGTCTCGACGCCGCCTTCGGTCATCAGGGCGCAGCAATATAGGTTGCTAATAGTAACCCTCAATGTGCTAATTTGTCATTGTCCGTTGACAATGGCGAGCAACGCACGTAATATCACCCGATTGGACTTCGAAGAATCAGCCATCTTGATTCTTCAGAGCCAGTTATAGCTTAGTATTGAGTGCTTCTTTGCCTACTCGGCAAGGGAATGCCCTGTGATGGGTCACAGTGATCTTGCAGAGCTGCTGCAGGCACTCCAATGTCATGTTGGCATTGCAACTAAGGGGGCTCAAGGGGTATAGCAAGGAGTAGGGGTGGTGCGGCGTCAATTGCCGTAAGAGCGGCCTCTGCACCAATCCTAAACATATAAAATGCGTTTCATCAGCTAAGGCAGGTCAACTCAACAGACAAATCACACTCGTACGAAAGTTCGACTTGGCTTGAGTTTTCACTTATAGCATGACAAGCTTACTTCTCTCACTCATCTTCGTCATGCTTGCCGCGAGTATTCAGCACACCGGTCCACTGTTTCGAGGCCCCTTCTCATCTGGGGCAGGTCTCCTATCCCGGGGAATTTCAGATAACGAGAAGTTTAACATCAACACCAACTACTATTCCAAATCCCCGGCCACAGGAGTCGTAAGAGAGTACTGGTTTGATATCACCAATGTCACAGCAGCCCCAGATGGCGTCGATAGGCCCATGATGCTCGTCAATGGCCAGTATCCAGGCCCCACCATCGAGGCAGACTGGGGAGACACCATCAAGGCTCATGTACGAAACAGCCTGGAAAACAATGGCACCAGCATCCATTTTCATGGGGTGCGACAGTTTCTTAATAACCAAATGGACGGCACAGTCTCGGTTACCCAGTGTCCAATTGCCCCGGGAACGAGTTATACCTATATCTGGAGAGCCGAGCAGTATGGAACAAGCTTCTATCACTCCCATTTTTCTCTTCAGTCATGGGAGGGAGTGTTTGGTGGTATTGTGATTCATGGCCCTGCAACAGCTGAGTACAACGAAGACCTTGGTGTGCTATTTCTCAATGACTGGCCGCATCGCACGTTCAATGAAATGTATATGGGCCAGATCAGAAACCCTGCTACACCAGTCATAGATACTGGTCTTATTAATATGACCAACGTTTGGGTCAATGGTGATGGTGATACAGTTGGCCAAAGGTTCAAGACAGAGTTCGTCCCCGGGCAGAGGTATAGGATTCGCCTTGTAAATGCCGCCATGCACGCTCATTTCCAATTCTCAATAGACGACCACAACCTAACGATTATCGCCAGTGATTTTGTGCCAATCATCCCATTCACTACCAACAACATTGCGATCGCAATGGGTCAGCGCTACGATATTATCGTCCAGGCAGACCAACCCGTGGATAACTACTGGATCAGGTCCGTTCCTCAATCAGCTTGTTCTAATATCCCGACCGGTGACAACATCAAAGGCATTGTTCATTATCGAGGGGCAGAATATGACGGAGAGCCAATGACCGTTAAATGGGATTATGGAGATGACACTCAATGTCTAGACAGACCAATGTCAGATCTTGTCCCCTGGGTCGCCCTGGATGCCAGAATCTCCAACGCAACCAGCATTAACGATGCAGTCGCTCCCACTGCCGTCGGAAGCTCTGGCATATACCTATGGATCATTGGTGGACGGGCCTTCAACGTTTCTTGGAGTGACCCGACCCTGCAACATTCCCCAACTCCCGGCATAAACAGCACAATCCCTGACCGAGGAGCTATTGAGCTTCCCGAAGCAAACCAATGGGTTATCTTCATCATAACCACTAACCAGGGAGTCACACATCCAATCCATCTTCATGGTAGAGTCTACCTTTCTTTGGCATCCGTCTTGCATTCTAGGTTTCGTTGAAAGAACTAATAATCACCGCTACTTGACAGGCCACGACTTCTATATTCTCGCCCAAGGTGTCGGGCCCTTCTCCAAAAGTATCCCCTTGCAAACTCATAACCCTCCAAGACGGGATGTCGCCTTACTGCCGGCCCAGAGTAACGGAGGGTATTTGGTGATAGCGTTTCCGACCGATAATCCGGGGGCGTGGCTTCTACATTGCCATATGGGCTTTCACTCATCTGCAGGCTTCGTGCAGCAGATTATTGAGCGGCAAAACGAGTTCTGGAAATTCCTGGATCCGGAGCTCCTGAGAGAAACCTGCGAGGCATGGGACAATTATGCCTCTGTCAATCCTTATGGAGTGCAGTATAGAGGGACTAACGGGCCGTACGAGTCTGGAATGTGATAATGACTGTGTACCACATTGGGCATTTCAGCGCAACCCTAACGGGAAGCGGTGAGATGTCTCATCATTTTTTGGTAAACTCATCTTACTATCCTGCAAGTCTTATCCATCGTGATTTTGCCTGTTGTATGTACACTTTATGGCACGTTACTCTGCAACGTTAGTCTATAATCGAGTCAGGTTCTCGGATATATATTTCGCCACTAGGTCCACATTGTCGAGTGCAATGGCGAACTAGCTAAGAGGCCACTTGCCAAGTTAAATGACGTCACACACATATATATATATAGAGACAAAGTATTAAAACCCACAATTGGACGGAGTACTCCGTATGTACTCTGTAGTAGCAGGCGAAAAGGAGAGAAGTTGGGCCAGAAAAAGGGTTTGTGGCTGTGTGAAGCGTGAGGATCAAGCCACCGCCACGTTGGGCGTTGGCGCTAGTCCCAAATAGCGGCGTCGATCTCCCGCGGTTGAATTGCCGAATTCGGTCATCATAGCCAGAAGTAGATAAACTTTCGCTCAATTCTGCAGACCGCCCACGAAATTATTTCGATAGTGGACGACAATCCCCCTGAACCTGTTTCTCTAGCCACAGACCATCACTGAGGAAAAGAGCTTCAAAGATAAAAAGAGCCAAGAAGAGAAAACAAGACAGGCATGTTATAGCCCTCGAAAGGTCACCAGCAAAGATGAACGCGACAGACCGGTCGCCACTCTTCGTCGTCGAAGAGGTGCTGTGTACCTACCCCATTAGCACGAGCTATGACTCGTGTCCACGATATCTTTTCTACGCTTTGCTCCTGGCAGTATGTGTCACACGCTGGACTGGCTGGCTGGCAGATGTTTTTCTCGGTGCCGCAGCTACATATGCGGGGACAGCTGCGATTCAAGCGTTCATCTTGGTCTCCAGCTCCACAAAGCATCGCACCCCACAAACAGTCTCTATCCCGCAGATTCCTGATAATACCAGCCTATGGGATGACTTTCCAGCGCTGGTCACTGAGACGAACGAAATTGACATCAGTCCCGCAGCTATAGAACTAGATGCAGACGCAGTGCTTTCTATTGTGGTGACTGCTTATCTTGTGTTCCTACCACTCCAATGCTGGTCCCGTGTATTCGCTAAAGAACGGATAAGTTCTATTATATTCACGCTGTGGAACGTTCTTATGTTCGCAGGATCAATATGCTCCCTGGTCTACTGGCCCAGACTGAAGAAAACCCCAATTCAGTACGCATTCTGCCTTCCACAGCTGCCTCCGACATCGCCCGTATCAAGTGATGGATGGGAGTCATGGCAGCTCACATCGACTTGGAATAGCAGTGTATGGAGCATCTTCAGCAATGCCTCGTTGTTGCTTCAGCTGAATGATGTCTGTTTCTATCCATGTTTCAACACCACCCAGGTGCTACGTCAGCAAACTTCGCTACAGGCAACCGTAGCATCAGGGGGCAATCGATTCACGAGGCGCCATCGATTCTGGGGCAAAGTTATCTACTCTCAGCGATATATCTACAGTCTGGTCGCACTCAGCATGATCCTGAATGTCCTGTTGATGATGATCAGGGTATTACCGTACCATTCTCGGGTCCCTTCGTCGCGAGTATGGGAGATCTGGAAGGAAAAAAAGAACATCATCAGAGGCTTGAAAGAAGACTTTCACGCCGCAGTTCATACATCAAGAGACCATCGAGAAAGTATGGTGGAGAAGTCGCAAACGAAATTACCATTATGGAAACGCGCATCGCGATTTTTCACTCTACGCGTGATGGGCTTGTGGGCAAAGTTGACCTTTGATGTCATAATTATCTGTGCCATCGTATTCAGCATTGTTGTCAGTCCACTCACCGTTATTGCGTTCGTGGCTTGGATTGAATACTACATCCATCATGATGGGCCGTCCCAAGAGACACCCCAACAGGTTGGCCAGTGGTCGCCTCTAGTGTCCATTGCGCTATTGTGCATCTCTGCTGCGATCTACAAGTTGAAGTACTGGGTGGCCCCCCGCCATGAGATTGAGCATGATATCCAAGAGCTGAAAAAAGAAATCGAACGGTTGGAGAATTTGAGAGAGGAGAAGTCCAACACACGAGAGTTTCATTCACTTCACTCTCTTCGAGATCGCTTTAGTACCGAGGGACAACATTACGACTCTAGTCAGGTAGAATAGAAATCGGCTTAACGAACTTTGCTTTTCAGATAGTATATCCTCGATTTTACATCTAGCGAAGCCCTATGACCATTCGGTTGGCCTCCAACTCAACGGGTATCACTTGCATTTAGCCCCAGCAATTTGCTCACTAGCTTTGGGGTGTATGTTAGAGTTTAGTTCGGACATTATATTTATCGAGATGATGCCGATCATTCCAAGTCCCGATACAGAAACATGGTTGCCTACCAAGGTTGATGTAACTAGCTACACCTTGATCTGCTGTCCTAAATCCCTCACCGGCTGAGAGAAGGACTGTGCGATTCCGACCAAAGCTTGTTTATTATAAGCATGACCCACTAGTATCTGCTTCAATCAGCCCACAACTGCACTGTAAACGGAAGATTAATCAAGTATTGGTTTTCACTTGATCGCAAAACGGAGAATATTAAAGTCACCAATAAGCAACATATCTACAGGTATAACAATGGACGAATGAATCTAAGATTCTTCGAAAAATGTGTCTTGCGGTAAGTGAGGATATAATATCTTCTGCGAGTGTGGACGGAACCCGAGGATCCCGACAATGCCGTGTTGTGTGGGTATAGGCAGCAGAGTATGCTGGTACTAGTCACCGTTAGAAGTCTCTTCATCGTATCTCTCGGCCGTTGGTGCGCATCCAACTCTCTGAGCACGTGCAGGGTACATGACTGCTACATACCCTACTTGGGTCTCAATCATTTACAATTCGACTTTACAACCCGTTGATATGGTACCGAAACCGGGCCAACCGTCACAAAAGTGATTACTACGATTATTATCACTACAACAACCGATAACCAACGCTTGACTCCTCTTCAATATGCGTTTTATTACTTCCTCCGTGGCCTGTGTCTGGCTCATCGGCTGCGTTGCTACTTCGCCACCCAGCTCAGCCGATGCCACTCCAAACTCGAATTATGATGAATCTCGCTCGCCTTTCCCAATTGCATCCGGCCATGAGATCCATCTTCCATGCCACACGTCGTCAATCTGTGGAAGCCGCCCTACTGAAAGGTTCAGCTCACACGACTACCTCGTAAGTGCTTCCGATGACTAAAGCTCACACCAAGATTAACATCATAGGCATTGACCTTCTCCACCGAGAACGACTCACTACTGGTGAACAACAACACTATTCTCCCAGCTCGGCTCCCAATGCGCTTGACTGCTACGATACACTCGAAATCACAGAACGCTGATCCCGTCACCCTCACTCTGCGGTATGGGATGAACATACTCCCCGTCCAGCGATTCCAAACAGGTCCAATAACCGACCAGTTCCGCCTGGATCTCAACCTGTTCGACGAGTCCGGACATGCAACAGATGCCAATATGCTGTCCGTCGGACTTTCCCGCGATACTCATGATACACTACGGATCACAATGATCACGGTAAACCCTAGTCCCAAAGACTCAAAATGCCAAGGCAATAACACCCCTGGACCCCGACACTCAACACCTTCGGAACCATCACCATCGACGAAGCACGCCGGTCGGAGCCATATATCCGAGTCCGAGTCCGAGTCCCAGGTTCACAAATGGCTCGATTCTGGCCGGAGGTTCGGCGAGAAGAGTTACGGGTCATTCACTTCGGCGTTCAAGTCGCGGCCTTGTAAGTCGCATTGTTCCGACCGGTACCCATATCCACCCAGTAGCCACGGACACAGCAGGGTGCCTATAGTGGATATCCTGCGTGTCTTTTACCCGGCTATTCTCCCGTTCTTACTTGGTGTAATGGCGGGTGGTGCCATTTGCCTTATTGGAGTTATGGTGCGCAAGTCTGCTGCGTACTGGTCTTGTGGGAAGAGGTGTGAAAGGGGTCGGGAAAGTTCCGGTGCTCGGAATGAAGGGGAAACTACCGTCGAGAAGTCGTAATTGGGTGTTGTTTGGGGTGTATTTGGGATTTTGAAGTTATTATTTTCCTATGTACATCTTTTTTTGGGTATAACTTTATCGACGAATTATGGTTTTGGTTTTTACACTCTTGCTATTCTCCTCTATGCGTGATCAATCTACCATTGAGTCGGCTGGAGCAAACTCGCTACTTCTGGTTTCATATAAGGGCAAAAGCCCCGGTGTGCAAAGATCCCATCCCGTAGCGATGCAGATAGGCAACCGTTTTCAGAAATCTCGAAATAGAGTAGTAAACCGAGTTTCGCACGTGGACGACATATTATACTCGAGAGCACCATGAATATGGGTAGCGGACCATTTCCCTAGAAAGGCTCCTGACTCGATGAGCTTCTGAATTCGGCAGAAGTAAAGTGAATCCATAATGAGTATTAACCGCGCATTTGAGAAAAGACACCGTACCAATGTAGCACATCTAACAATTTTACTGTCCATAAAGGAGAGCGACGAGGGTTAGTGACTGACGCGGCTATTAAGGTAAGGAATGAAATTCTCTACAACCTAATGTACAATAAGCTAGATGGGAAATTGATCCACGTTACGGAGTACCTCCTTTCGTCATTTCAGACATGCACAAACTATTAGCTATAAATCAATATTGCTCCCCGTCATTCCAGTTAAATCATGTTACCTGCTAGATATTCTGGAACATATGATCCCATATAACCACGGATGAGTGGTGGCCGTCACCTACTCGCAGGTGAGAATAGTGTCTCCTCGTTGGTTGTGGGTAGGCCTTAAAGTTTCGTATCTGGCACAGGCTATTTCTCCGCGGCGAACTGACTCGTCTGACATTGGTGAAGGAAACGTCGCTGCCTGGATAGAGTGAATACGCAAGCGTGCAGTGATCCATGTTTTGCACGGCGGCGCTCCTAGAAGTGGATATGGGGTCACTAGAGGATCAACTGAGGGCTGGAAGTGAAGACGGCCACGTCATTCACAGTTTGAATCCTATACTGACACCGTACATAGAGTTTCACAAAGAATCGTAGTTGACTCGCGGCTATGAGTCCTCTGTTGCACCTTTCTGTTGGCAGGGACTACTGATCCTCGTAGTTTATGATTACAGAGTCCCTGGCTCGCTGAAACACCACCCCAGAAACAGGTAGACCAAGCATACTCCGTTCAAACCAGCAGAAGCTTCATCATGATTTATGATAGGATCTTACAGCCGTTTTGGGGATACAACTAGATTTCAATAACAGTGCTAAATCCACTTTATCCTGGAGTCGAACGGCTCACAATCCTTCTGTCACGATCGAAAAGCAAATAGTGTAGTAAATAGTGGGTATCAGTTGAACTGCTTGACTTGGAGGAGAATTGCTAGGTTGGCACCGTCGCTTCAGGCAACAGTGTTTCCTCTACTGCATTGTTTTCTCGTACACGTCAGACGTAAGGGCCCAGTTCCTGAAGTATACTTGATCGCCTCCCCTGAGGACCATGATAAATATAGTCGTTATTAGGGCGACGCCACACAGTTCGGTATGGAGACTTGTGACAACTTTAGGCAAACTATACTACAGCGCAATGAATGCTCAAACGCAGTGCATGATCAATGAACCGTCTAAAAGCCCCCAAACCCCATGTGGAACACTCGACAAGCGTTATTTATCAGTGCCTAATTTTGGAGCCGTGTCCTAGAAGGCCCCTTTTGCAGAGATAGTCAAACCAATAAGACCATCTGTTATCGTAATGAAACCAGATGCCTTATGGACAGCATATATCATCTTACATTGAAATGATGGATCAAGGAATCTTTTTATGGTGAAACACTAGGGTATGTCAAATGACAACGGTGCGTTCAATGTTGTGTCTGTTATGTTGCCATTGGGAAACTCGCTGCAGTGGAACAGCAGTTGTGCAGAAAACCGACACGCCCTAGATACCGCTTTTAATCAAACGACACCTATACAGAGGTTTATGAAATTAAAGGACCGAAAGATAGTAGATAGCATGTCTGCATGGCGATATGCGGCCCTCGTTCTAGATCTATGTATTTTGGGGGACCTCTTACGAGGACAGGATTGCGGCCAAGCACAGTTGGCTTTCTGCATCTTCCTGGTCCTCTAACCCGCTATTCTACTTTTATTCCATCATCTACGTAGTGCTCGCTTATCTCATACTCGAGAATGATGTTTAGCCAGTGGGGGTCACTAAGGATGACCGCCATCTCACCGTACGTTATAGGATTATACATACAGTTTATCTCCAATACCGACTAGGCAAAGCCACATAATCTGCCTATTACTACAATGGGACACTAACGTAGGAACAATCATACTCTAGCCAAGGCCCAGGATGAAAAAGGGGTCAAGACCGTTCTAATGTGGATTCAACTAGGTAGGTCAGCAAGGCACAGATTTGTCCGCGCTTTAGTGCTTACATGACAAAAGCAATTGTTCAGATGTATGAGAAACTTCTCAATACCCAACTCTAAGCCCCGAAAGAGTAATGTAAGCCAGACCCCTCAGATCCCGTAAGGAATGATATTAAAGGTGCACTTGCACTGACCAGCAAGGCTAGACAACTTAGCCGAGCTAAACTTGAAATGAAATAGTGCTTGGACCCTTTACAGGGCCAGGTGAACGCGGGACACTAGAACTCAACAACAAGGGTGATAAATTTCTCATACGAATATCGTGCCTTGAGTCAGCGGGGGAGGCTTTCCTGTAGACCGAGCCGGGTCACCGACGATTTACTCTCTGAGGGAAATTAGCGCTCACGGCGCAGCATTGTGCGTCCAGGCAACAATGAGAAGCCAAGTAGAGTGAGAAGAAAGCATTGTTGGAAATTAGACTAAGCTAAGCTTTCCATACAGCCACCTTAAAGTTGGTACGGGTGGGCCTCGGGGTCCGAGGGTTCCTGCTCCGTAGATAGAATAATCAGAGATTTTCTCCCCGATCTTTTAGGCAGCCATATTTTGGGCTTATGGTTTGAACCCTACTCGAGACATTTTTAGGTTACAGCTGGATTGTGCCGCTGTTGTAACCCGAAATTTAACAGACTCTCTTTTGCGAACCTGGGACAGGATCTGCTTGGTTCGCTTAGGCGTTCGTGAGGCTTTACCTTGGGTGACCTATTAGCTGGCGAACTGATCACTCTATTTTGGGATGGACAGGCCGGAGGAGAATATTGGGGCTGTATTATGCCATTGATGAGATGGGGCCAGAAAAAAATCATTCTCAAAATGAAATCATGAAGTAATAGTACTGCGACTAGTACTTAGTAGGTAAATGTAGCGAGTTGACACCATTTACAACTCGTTTGGAGGTCAGGTTACCGTGACCAGATATTGGCGGACTAGCTTCTAGCCCCTATAATTTGATCTCAGTAGGGTGAGAAAGTGGAGCTGAGTCCAATGGATAGAAGAACCAGTATCCCAATTCCGAACCCTGTACGCGTTCCGATGCAAAGGGTACAATATTTTTCAACAGGGATTTTGATTACTCGATGGTCACAGCGTCTGGTATTAATGCTGCCAGCCGCCAATGCCACAATCAATCAGGCTAATTGAAACAAGGGTCTACTCAATGTCATCTGGGACGGCCGTGTATTAACAGGACTGTTCAGTGGTACAATGAATCTCGAACTAATAAAACACCCTCTTCCATAGCAAGGCATTGATTGGCGCAGGCAGTACTGGGTCAGTATGATTTGCAATAGGGCAAGATCGATTGTGGTGGGCACTCTGGCATTGACTCTGCTATGGTTGTCGTCGTCTTCACTACTCAGGCTCTATTACCTTCTTCGGCTACCGTTCGTATGGAAAGCATCCTCGGCAGACGCGATCATCTCTCAACAACACGACGACTTTGACGTCACATTTGCAGACTACGATGCAAACTACTCCACATATGCCACAGGCATACGACCATACATACCTAGAAGGATACATCATATCCACCTAGGATCGAGCTCACCGCCGAAGAATTGGCTGGATGCCAGAGCCGAATGTCTGAAACATCATGAATTCTGGGAGGCATATCTCTGGACGGACAAAAATGCGGACAGCTTCGTTCAAGACAATTATCCCCATCTCTATGAAATGTGGACCCGCTACCCATTCAACGTACAACGCGTGGATGCATTGCGCTACATGATACTGCAGAAGTACGGAGGTATGGTCTCGACGTCCCTTCATGCGCAACCAGCGATCAAATTGTTTACCCTGACTATTCATAGGTGCCATCCTTGACTTCGACCTCGCGTGCAAGCGATCGCTGGAGCCGTTGCGTCGATTTGAGTTCGTAGCTCCGGCTGCGCATCCTGCTGGGTTCTCAATCGGCATGATGCTTGCAGCGCCCAACAACCCCTATGTCCATGCGCTCGTTGAAAACCTCCCGGTATACAACCAAGTCTGGCCATTGTTACCATATGCGACCGTAATGTTCAGTACAGGCTGCCACTACGCGTCGTAAGTGCTGTCGCAACACCCATATAGCGAACCAAAGACCTTAATTGACTTCCCTTCCCTAGGACCATATTCACTCTGCAGTCCAATCGCACAAACCTCCGCATTCTTGCAGGCCCTCCCGATCAGCCCAAGATGCATATGCTCAATGGGGTAGTCAATACGCCACTTTTCCGGCATTTCGGCTCTTCTTCATGGCATGGCCATGATGCACGGTTGATTCAGTTCTTCAAAGACCTCGATCAGCGGATCTTGTTTGCGGGTCTCATCTTGCTCTTGGGTAGTGCGGCAGTAGTTACACTGCTATGTATTGTTCGAAGGCGTTCACCAAAGGTAGACGACGAAGAACGTCGCTTGCCGTCATTTGCAATCAAGTGGATGGCAAAGATCGCTTAAGTGAAGCAGGAATAGGTGGGGTGGTATACATATATATTAATCTGGTTTTGTGTTTTCTTTCAGCGTATATACAAATTAAATTATAGTCTTTCGTCGTATCGTTAACTTTTGCGGAACCGTAGTAAAGAACTAGATCATCTTTTCCAATGTGTTGAACCACATATACCGGCTGACCACCAGGTATAGTGAACGATCCCACGAATACTGGCTATCATGCTGACTGAATGCCGCTCGTGAGACTCGATATGTTTGCCACGAGCTAACAATAAGCGCTTTGTTATTGTATGCAGCCAATGGAACGACGTCATGTACAGTGTTATGCTCGACTTGTCTACCGAGTGGTGTGGTGAGGAGGGCTTTAAGGATGCGCCAGGCAAATGGGATGGAAGTGGGAATTAGGTCCAGGAGCGAGGAATATTTTCGTAGAAGGGGCGTACTCTGTAGCATGTATGCGGCGGGCGCATCTGGTGTGGATTGGACATATTTACTACACACATCGTTAGCATGGTGGTTTTCTATGAAGAGGGTTGAGCAGAACATACCGCACACCGGCGCTGACGGATCGATGGTTGATATGGCCGGATATACCGCCATGGTCAAATGTGACTATCTGTAGGAAGGAATCAGCGAGACGGGCAAGATGTGTATCTCAGTAATAGGAACTCATACCAGGTCAACATTCCACTTTGCCCTATAAGAGGCAACGAGGTCCTGGACCATCTCTTCGTTCCACCATTGCTTGGGGTTGTCTTGCAGTTCCGCAATATCTAGAACAACACATCGATCCTCGGAGATGCCTAGTTGCTCACAGCTGCCGTGAAGCTCACTTTGTCGCTTGTCCCCAAGTCCATCGTAGTTACCTATTCAGCTATTAGATGTTTCCTCCATTGTGTCTGTTAATTAGCATCTACCAACCCGATGATATAACCAGCAATGAGCGCTTTACACCTGCATCATTCTGGCGATAGGTGATAGTCGGACTAAAGAAAAGCGTCTCATCGTCGGGGTGTGCGGTCACCAGGAGGATACTTTTAGCTTCCTGGAATGCGACCGGAACTAGCCGAGGATCGTTTGCTAGGGAATATGCAAGCAGTAGATAGAGTCCAAGAGAAACTGCTATTATGAGGAGAGTAAGGGGAAATGCCAGACGCCTAAGGCTTTGCCCTCTTACCATTCGACTGAGGCGTTTCAAGAACCAGAGGACACGCATAATAGCGATAATGAACAATATTACCCGAACGAGGAGTACAGGTATCGAGTTGAGCAGAGATTCCTACTAGAGTTCCTTTCCTAAGAGCAAGTGTCGCCCGCGGAATCTACGGGCTCCGTCACTGTCCCACCTTCGTCTCGCAACACTACTCAGGGTCGCCGAGTGGGGTCTGGAACCATGGTTAGTCTGGGTAAGGCTGGATTAGGGCTTGATTGGCGATCCACCCCAAAGGCTTAGCGAAGGCTTGGCTTCTCTGACCAATCTGTGCGCATTTAATGTGACTGCCTATCAGGCAACCCTTATTTTAGCTCGGAATGTAATCTTACCTTACAGGGGAAAGGTTCCGAGCATGTTGGGTGAGAATCCTCCGAGGACTTAAATGCCTCAAATTTAGCCCCGGCAGAGGGGCCACCCTGACTAACAGTCCCACAGCGAGCGTCTTATAACAACAGCTACTGAGGTGTTTGGTTGCCTGCAGTATCCACTGCTCTAGTATTTCTTCGGCCCCACCAAACAGCGGTGTTGTGTGGAATGGCCTAGATCATCTTGAATTTCCATCCTGACTGAGACTACTTACTGTACGAGCACACCATCAAGCCTCCCATGCTGATTGGACATGTGCTGCAAGGTCAGAGAAGAAAAGAACTAACAATCGGTAGATTTACGAGATCAGGCTGCCGTTATTCCACCTTAAGCTTTTACATTACTTTGGGTCCAACCTTCGAAACAATGCTCTTGCATAGCACCTGACATGAATTACATTGTCGGATCTTCTCGGCGTATAAGGTTTGGAGAATTATGAATCGTATACATTAGTCGAAAGCTTATACGTATGTATGATCCTGTCACTCCAGAACATACGATACTTTTCGCCAATCCCTACATAGTCCAAATACCGTGCGACAAAACTTCCCGGCTTCGACTACAAAGTCAGTTTTTCTCCACGAGCCCTGCGCATGATGAAATAGGCGTGCGGACGGATCGTCAACGGACTTTGAACCCATGTTTCCATATATGCCTCTTCCCGGACTGCCCCTATCAGCATTGGCACACAGAATAAAGGTCAGGAAAGCCACAACCCACCTAAACCCAGTGATTGGGAGAACCAAGATATCTCCCACAGCCTTACTTTGCCCTCCATCCGCCAATCCGGATAGGGCATTCCATCGCAACCCAGTAGTTGTTGCCAGCCATTCCTTCACGGCTGCTGTAAAGGCTGCGGGTCCCGTAAGGAGGAGGGGGTCTATACTGTTCAGCGCTGTCTGTTTCTCTGGGGAATGTTTCTGGCTCGTCTTTTTAGATGTTGTATTCTTGAGATTCGCGGAGAGACGATCGAGAAACGTCTGGGAAATAGGATGTCCTGGCGCCGCCGCAAGTGACCACTGCGTAAGTTGAATAGGCTCCGCGTAGCCCATGCGCCAGTACGCATCGCTCTCGGGAGGACAGTCTGCTTCTAGACCCACGATCGCTCGTATCGGGCCAGCTGCCCCGTACAGTTGATGTGTCTCTGAGTCCTCCCAGCTCCGGAGATCATCTGTCGTGATCCAAGATGAGGGGTTTCGAAGGGGTTCGGTGTCCATGTCGCCGTACTACCAGCAATGAATATCCATTAGACTATCCGGCCGAATCGCTTTGTATAGAATCAGACTCGGGTACTCACAATCCCACCGATCCATTTCGCTACCAAGATACGAAAAACGTCAGATCTTTCTACATTGCTAGGAAGGGAGTAGAACTGCTCCGCTAGCTCAGGCTCAAAAGATTTGACGAACTGCGCTACACCTTCATCATCCCAGAGAAAATAAGCCATATTACTTTCCTCGACGGCCTGGAGCCATCTGGTCGCGCTTCGGCGCATCAAAGGCGACCATGTCTCAACTTGGGTATTTTTCCATGTCTGGTGAACGATCAGGGGGATCTCAGAATGCGGTATTTTTCTCTCGACCGATGCCGTAGCTCTGTGTGTGGCTAGCTTTGCTGCGTCGACAATTGTGTCGGGGCGAGATGTGGGATCTTCAATCCATTCGTCCGGAATATGCCATGCTGCCATGTGTTAGTCATAATTGTCACTCAACAGGGATTGGCAATAGCGTGACAATACTCACCTCCCCCTTTTGCCGTGCGAGCATGTATGTATTTAGAAAGAAGGGGGTATCCACGCGCCGCACTGAGAGCTTCAGCATGCGACCATTGGACTGCGCAAATAAAAACAAACGCCAGGGCAGATGATAAGAGGACTAATCGTCGAAAGCGCCAGCGCGGCAGCGCCATCGTGAATCGCATGTGTAAGCCAGAATAGATACGCGGTGTTTAGTGGTTGCCAATTAAGACATTATCTAGCCATCCACGTATTGGGGCAGTTCGAGCGGGATATGTGCTGACGCACTGGTCATGTCATGGATGACCTGCATAGGGGCTAGATGTGAATTTTTGATTTGGAAAAGAACTTGATCCAAAATAGTCTACTGGGAACTGCAGGACACTTTCCGTGGAACGATGATCGCACCGGCCTGAGCTCACCAATGGCCACTTACTCTCCTCAGGCAACAGTCCTTCAGCAATTGTAATGTGGGGCGAGCTACTCCTCGACTAGTAAAAGTATTTTTAACCCTGTTCATGCTTACGAGAGGTTTTTGTTCCTTGTAATTCGTTTTTCCCAATAGGGTTGCGTTTGGCTGACAGAGCTTTTGAGCTCTAGGCCAGAATGGAATTGTTTGCCTCACAGCCCGCTTACCAGTCACGCTAATAATATTATGGTGGGAGTTTAGGCTTGGCTACAATCATCTCTGCGAATCTTGCTTACACCAAGCGCAGGTCGTAGCGCTTACATCCTCGTTTCACCATGGTTTTGAATTCACAGCCATACATAGAGGCCCTCACCTACAACACTAATTGCGCGATGGTGTGCGCAAGCTCATGTGACTCGGCTTTTAACTTCCAATAAGATAACTTGACCATATATCTAGGAAAGGCTTCATAGTACAAAAATACACATTTGATTATTAGTATCTTCGCCGCCTTCCACACTTTATAAACTCGGCATCTTAGAATATGCAATGATCGCTGAAAGGAGACTTCACTAGCAAGCTATCTTTGCCTGGGCGGTGGCATAGGCATCCTTTTTGAGCCACAGCAAACCCTAGGCTCCCTTCCTCTCAATGGAGCTAATAGGCATAGTCCTCCTCGCCTTCATCGAACAATGGTTCATCTGAGCCACCTTTGCTAATACTAGCGCGTGCAAGGGCCATCAACAGCTTAACACCGGTTCTGAGATGCTTCATCGCGGTAAAGTCACGAAGTCACGGAGTGACGTCGGCCGTCCCTCGGTGTAGTCATTCTCGTATGGATCCTCTCTCATCGTATATTCGCCATCTTTGTCCCAGGATCCTGGTCGCTGATCAGTGAATTCCTCATCGACGTCCACCTCGAGCTGCTGTAGTGTATTGGTATGGTACAGGAGTGCGTCTAGCAGATCCGACTCTAAGAACATAGGGTAGCTGCCATCGACAGAAGCCCGTCCGCCGATCGAGTGTTTGAACGCTTGGAGACGTCTGCACGACTTGATGATTTCGGCCAGGCTTCCGCTGGAGTAGTTCGAGTTCCGGATGTACACTCTCTTGAAGTTGGTCGACCGCGGTTCGAGGTCTATACCGTAGTGTCTGTCCTCTATGGCTTCCACACTTATACTTTCCAGGGCCGGCAAGTTGCCGACCAACTTCATGCGCTCCGCAAGGTTATAATTCTCATAGAATCGCTCGTCACTCAGAACAGGATCCTTATTACTGAGACAGTGTACGTCGCGTAAATTCTGAAGGTACGGTATCTCCGTTGGCGTGGCATTTGCTCGCTCCAAGAACGCTTGCAGCATCAACGAGCATTCACTCGGGGACTCGAACTCAGCACTTATATCTGGGAAGGCCAAAGACTCTAGGTTGGGAGCCACGGACAGAATCAAAGCCGTCAGTGCCTGCGGGTAAACAGGCAGATGTTTCTTGGTGCCTTTCTTTCCTCTTGGCGGAGGCCGTTTCATTTCTCACGGAACTCTTGTGCCATATATGAGTGAATATTCTATACATTGCGTATGGCAGTGGTCAGCTGTCAGTTCCTTTACCCCAGATTTCACTCCTTTGTTCACCTTGACTGAGCCAGTAGTGTATCTCCCCAAGCACAATATGCAATCCTGGTGGGGAGCCTATTGTTCTTCGGCTGGAGTTCATTGTTCTCCAAACATTCATCCCAGATGCTCTCTCCTGTAGCTTAAATATCCACCCTTCCACCAAAAATACGAAGCTCAACTGCGTCAGGGTAATGAACAAATATCAAGACGGAGATAGAGAACAAGAACAGCACAACCGGGGCAGGACAAACATGCAAGATGTCAACCATGAAAGCATTCCAACTCGACGACGTGCAAAGTGGCCTCCAGTTGAGGACCGTATCACGTCCCCGACCAGAGCAAGGGCAAGTGGTCATCCAGATCAAAGCAGCTGGTCTGTGTCACTCCGACTGTTTCATCCTCCGGGACGATCAATACAACATGATCATGAAACGACCGATCGTACTAGGTCATGAAGTTGCCGGGACGGTCGTCGAACTCGGTCCAGGGATCTCAGATTATGAAGTCGGGGACAGGGTCGTGGCTGGAATCCCCACGCATCCCGTGTCTCAGGACAGCTTTTTCAAAGCTATTGGGCTCGGCTATGATGGCGGTTATGCACAGCAGGCCATGGCTTGGGTGGACAATCTTGTTCGGATTCCGTCCGGCGTCTCTTTCGCACAGGCCGCGGTCGCGACCGATTCAATCGCGACTGCCTATCACGCCGTGATCACGGAAGGCCGTGTCGGTCCCGATAGCACCGTGGCTATTGTGGGGCTGGGCGGATTAGGTCTGCCTGCCATTCAGATTGCTACTATTCACGGAGCTCAGGTGTACGCGGTGGATATTGATGAGACCAAACTTCCTCTTGCTCGAGAGTTAGGGGCAGTCGGGTGCGCCAACGGACTTGATGACTTGGGTGATATCGCGTTTGATACAGTGGTTGACTTTGCTGGTGCTGGCATAACGACTGCGGCAGCAGTGAACGCTGTCAAGCCATGCGGTCGCGTGATAGTAGTTGGTCTGGCGACGAAGCAGATGAATTTGGATACACATGCTGTGATTACCAGGAACATTACCCTGCAGGGGTCCATCGGGTCTAGTCTGGAAGAGTTAAAGGAGGTCTTAAGGCTCATCGCCGACGGTCGCCTTTCTCCCATTTTAGAGGAGATTCCTTTCGACAGTATTCCACATGGACTTGAGCGATTGGCGCAAGGAAAAGTGACTGGCCGTTTGTTCACTGATCCGACGGCATCTGATCAGCGGTGACTTAGAAGTACGGTTTCTTGGTCCGTAGGAGGACACGGAAATACTGGCAAAAGGGCTGCTTGAGTCGAAACTACTATGTACATGTAGTTTCCCCACGGACAAATACCGAGGTCAGCCCCGTGTGGGAAACCTAACCTTACTATGAATTAGAGGTATAATAGTTGTGGAAGGTGACTAGGTGTAAGTTGTAACTGTTGAACCTCGCCTCTCATGTCTGATACACGCACTCAGTGTCTGGTCTTGGGGTTGTTGACAATGTTCACACTCATCACCAATGGCACATACGCCAGCATGGCTGTATATCATGAAATGACAAGAAGAACAACAACACATCCATCCATCCATTCTTTCAAATACTTCCACCTCCAGATTCTCCTCAACTCGTCCTCTTCTGATGATTCAAGGTCACAATGTATAAGTGAGGATACGTCCCAAAAGAGGCGTTACTCAACTCTTGCTTCAACGGGTGTGGTGGTCCTCCCAAAGCCATATCCAGTATTTTGACGGTTGAATCATATTCAATCAGTCAATCAATACTGTATTAGCGTTTTAGAGTCTAACTGACGAAATGTCTAGCTACGCAGGCGCCTTGCTGATGAGAAAAAATCTTAGTCCAGAACCTCCAATCCCTTGGACCCATGTTATACGTAGGAGATATAAAAACGAGCGAAAAGCTTCTAGTACAATTAGTATGCCCGCCACGGTACCTCTACTTGCTTAAATTACTCCCTTATGTTTTGTCTATTCCTCTAATTCTCTTTATAGTTATACATGATTAGAAATCTTAGGACTTAATTACCCCCCGATAGATCCTTGCGTGATCCTTTAACCAGCATCTTCCCCTTCTGCTCCAGTAGTTTGACTGGTATATTCTGGATCCTACGTGATCAACTCCACTTCACAGAACTGGCCTAGTAGGTCTGTCTTGTGTATAAGCTTGGCAATGTGACGCATTGCCCACGGGTAGGATGTGATGACATTGTAACCTGCAGTTTTACCGCAGAGCCCCCGGATTTCAGAAACCATTCTAAGTACAGTCCTGTGCAGATCGATATACAGCAGACATTGCTGGAGAATATGGCTTGATATCCAGGAGCCCTTCTCACAGCGACGCCAACCTGACTCTGCTATGTTGTTCTCATATAAAGGGTGGTAACGTTCTCCTCAGTGTGTGCGTATCTCAATGGCAGTCACTGTGTGCAGATTGGATAAGGCCCTTTAAAATTTATAGGACCTTTCTGTAGAACCCGTTGGATGGTCAGTGCGTTGGTGCCGTAGCTAGCCGAGCTGTTTTGGTAAAATCCCGTATTCATTCAGACGCCTATTGCTTTTGCTGCTGCTGCCAGGTGGATCAATGCAATCTGACGTAAAGTCTCATGTGACTCATCGGGATCCTTGTCTTAACATCTTTCAGTCCTAAACGAGGGTTAGCGCCACGCCTTGTCGGCATATCGGTTAATAGCATCTAATCCCTAGTCTTCAAAGAGTATCCTTGACTCATAAATGAGCGGGGAAACAACATCAGATAATGCAAGCTTTAGCGGTGTCGTTCCCGAACCACGTAACCTTAAAAGCTACTGAAACCCCAATAGAATCTCACCATCACCCCCAAAAGAAGAGGTCTACGTTGCCTCATTATCATCCTATTGGGAAGACACCAGCAATAGAATGTCCTCACCGAGCCCCCTCGAAGGCGTTGCGCCACACATCCGCAGCCTCCTCACCACCCTCCACAAACGATCCACGACCCAGGAATCTGCCATCACAGATGCCGACTTTGAAAGCCGAACCTTCGATGATGTAATGCGCGACAAGTTCATCGCCCTCGATGAAGACAAATCCCAATATCTCTATCAGCTCTGTCGCATCGTCAACGCCAAAACCGTCGTCGAAGCCGGCACCTCCTTCGGTGTGAGCACCATCTATCTGGCCCTTGCCGTGTCGGCCAATGTAGCGGCCACAGGTGGCACGGGACGTGTTATAGCAACTGAAAACGAGCCAACAAAGGCTGCCAAGGCCCGAGAGCATTGGGCGCAATGTGGGAACGTCGTCACTGACGTTATTGACCTGCGGGAGGGAGACCTCCGTGAGACTTTGAAGCGGGATGTAGAGGCGGTTGATTTGCTGCTTCTCGATAGTTCGTCTCCTTTTCCTCCTTCCATCGCTCACTTCCCTTCGCTAATTGTTGTTGATAGTTTGGACGCCCATGGCTTTGCCGACGTTGAAGCTAATCCTGCCGCATATGAGATACGGGGCTGTGGTTGTGGCGGATAATACCATTGCCGCGGCGGACAAGTATAAGGAACTTTTAGACTTTATGCGTGATCCCAGCAGTGGATTTGTTAACATGACGCTGCCGTTTAATAATGGGCTGGAGGTTAGTACTTATTTGCCCCGGCAGTAGAGCATCGTTCTACCGAAGACAGTGGGAGCGACTATTGGGTAAGGAGGAGTTATGATCCTGCAATATGGATAGCCAAATTAAGTCCTCACGAACTATTGCTCCAAATGCCAGTGGGATTGCTCTATGGTAGGCAAGGTGACGGGATTATATACTATACCGTGGAAAGCTGCGCCTGGGCGGTAGATGATACCAATGCGAATGAAGAAACTCAGTCAGGATTGGATATTCATATCTGTAGATAGTCACCGTATCGCAGGATATGTGTCTAAGTCCAGAAACTACTAGAGCCCCGCACTATAACAACATAGAAAGTTGCAGATATGGGGACGTTTTTACACTCCTGCATTGGGATCTGACCGTCAGAAATATATGTTTTCAAATAGGATCATGGTTGATTGATATCCTTTGAACATCCGAAAACAAACACCCCTTATATAGATAAACAGATATATCTTACGGTGCACTATGAAGATAGCGGTATACCCTTACATAGGCTCTTTTCCAAGAGGACCTTTTACAACACCTTGTTGTAATGTTATTAATACTTGATGACCGTGAGGCGGATCATCTATTGAGCCGTGCCGCCGGTGTTGCTGCTTCTTGATACTCCACTAAGCCTAATCCGGAGCTAACTGCCTTTCCCCAGCTTAAACACTGAATGCGCAACAACATGACCATGAGCAACCTCAAGGCCTGACTGGCTTCATGAAAAGCATACATATTGATTGCATACTGATGGAAGGCCGGCAAGATACATTCAGAAAGGTGGATGGCCAGCAATGTTGGGCAACATCATGCAATTCACGGCAAGTGGCTTGAGCACCGAACTAGACAAGGAACACACTATTCAAGATAAGTCGTCTGTAGCAACCACGGATGAACCGATATGACCAATGCATTGCAATATATCCAGCGCTTGATTCACAGATCGATGATTCGCTTATAGCTGTTCTTGTCGGGCGTTGACAACCGGTTTTACGCGTCGTTCGGTCGGTGGGGTCTACGCTTGCAACACGCGTTAGCAAGTGCTACATGGGCCTGTAACGAGGAGAGCTAGAATCCCTGAATGGCTGCTTCAGCGGTATTAACACAAAATATGGTATCTGTGTGGCAGCTGAGCCGATGAGACATTTACCTAACTCAAGTATCATACATCGCCGTTTCCGGCATGCTGGGTCTGGGCTCCGGGTTAAGGCTGGAAACGGTCTTGGACCAGGATTAGGGCAGTGATTGCGCAACACAGTATCGTTCCATTTCTCCTTTCTTCAACTGGCATCTTCTTAAGCATAGTAGATTCGATGCATCTGCAAACTCGAGATATTCTGATACGGCAAGCTCGAGGAGGGCTGTCAAGGCTCGAAATTCTCTATACGTGCCTCTAACCTAGACGATCATTACTACGAGATTCGAAACCACGGAGGTAGTTTGCTTCAGAATGATAGCGGACTCTCCATTTGGCTGCCTTTCTCGACGGAGGATTCAGCTCATCCTCGGCATCGCTGTCTTTCTTGTGCTCCTCTCCTACCCATTCCGCTCATCAATCGTGCCCTCGGTAGTGCCAGCTTCCTCGCCTCCAATCGCCCGTGCACTACCTGCTCGTACTCTGTTATCGCGTCCACTGTCCCATGATGGGACTACGATTCCTAAGATTATCCATCAGACATGGTTTCCAGCGGGCAGCAATATGAGCGAGCGTGCTCAGGACTGGGTACATGGCATGCGTACGCAGAACTCGGACTGGGAATATGTGCTTTGGGATGACGAAACCAACCGAATGCTTGTTGAACAGTATTTCCCTTGGTTTCTCCAGACTTATGACAGTCTCCCGAAAGAGATTCTCCGGGCGGACGTTGTCCGCAATTTGTATATGTACTTGTTTGGCGGGTAGGTCTTTCAGAGTACCTGGTCTACTTGGCCATAATTATTGTAACTAACTAATGGCACAGGATGTATGCCGACGTGGATACCGAAGCCCTGCGCCCCGTTGCGCCATTGTTTGCCGGTCATGAAACCGCTCTTGCCGCCCATGAAGATATCCTCTCATCGGCACCGTCGTTTCAGAAGGCTACCGTCCAACGCGCATTCTTGGGACGCATGGCTCGCACTGTCGATATTCTGAGCTCTGCCGCGGTGCCCAACGGCTGGATGGCATCACCCCCGGGTCATCCGTTTTGGCTTCTCCCAGTTCTCAACGTGATCGAGCATCCTGAGGGAACTGGTGATGGGTCTGTTGAGGGTCTGACCGGACCCGGGGCATTGAGTTTGATGATCAAGAAATACTGGGATAACTTCAAAGATAATTCATTGCGACAGCATGCCTGCAAGACGATTCAACGGCATCAAGAATCGTGGCAGTTGTTTTGCGATGAGAGTGAGCTTGCCATGGGCGCACACCTCCAAGACGCGCTGGTGCTCCTACCTGAGAAGCAGATATACCCCTTTAGCTGGGTAGATGATGCGAACAATGCCTCCGTTTGTCAGGCGGCGTGGGAGAACCCGACCTTCGACCCGGAGGAGTGTAAGCGGTTGATGGAGGTGGAAGCCTGGCCTAGTTACTTCATTACGTACTGTACCCATTCTTGGTGAGGCTTGTATATCCAGGGGTTTTGGTTTTCTTTTTTCACTTCTTACCATACAAATTGATCACTTCGTCTTGTTCACATTCCTATTACTACAATACGCACGACGATTTGAATTCTATTTCATCACCACCTGCCTTTTAGGTTAGCAGCTACACAGAATCGAAACATGGGACCCATATAATTATTTTCTCGAGAAATTACTCCGTAGAACTAAAAGAGTGCGATTAAAACGGAAGACTCAAAAGGGCTTGAATGGGAATGCAGTGGGGCGGGTCCCTTACATGCCGCATGCGGGTGACTTGTGTCGCCGATGACTCCTAAATCTAGACCTCGGTGCAGAAATAAATGTAAGATAATGGATGACTGCATCGCAAGGTTTCATCGACCCAAACAATTTAGACTGGGAAACTTAGCAAGACCAAGGAACGGGCACAAAGACCCGCTATTTCCCCACCCTCTATGTAAGGTAAGTAATAAAGAAAAATCAAGCTAACTCGGCCTGGGCTTCATGTACTGTGACATCGGCTGGTACCTGACTCGGCTTCTGGGGCGCGCCTGCCCCGAGCTTTGTCGCAAACGGCCAAGCGAGCGCAGAACAGGGATTATGATTACTAGCTTCGCGACCCTTTTAGCCTTTTTTTTAGGGGTCTGGTGGGAATGTGGTGCGCGCTCAGCGAATGGAAGGTGTTCCAGGCAACCATTTTTAATCTGGTTAGGGCAACGGGCAATCACACCCATCCGCTAGTTCCGTACAACCACCCAGTCAAATGATACCTAGACCTCCAGGTCACGAATTTAAGTAAGTATTGGAGCCAGCTCATGGATTTTTCTCTATTGCTCCTGGTGGTATTGCAATTTTGCACGTACACTTGACGTCTACCACTTAATAGTAATGGTCGTCCGACTGCACTAAACGCACCCTAGCCAAATGGACCCCACTTAACGACCTGGTCTTACATCGCTCCGCCACCTTTTCTCCGTTTGATCTGGGGCTGGGATTGGAATTGGAGTCTATTCGAGAAATCTTAAACTTCTTCTCGTCGGAGAAATACCATGGGAAACGAAAGAGGTGAAATGACATACCAAGAACTCAATGGCGGCAAAAAGCCGACATGGAATATCACCTTAGATATTCTGTACGTAGTTTGATAGTCCCCGGCTTTGCTTTACTAGCTGACAGCGATCAGATCCTGGGTCTTCTGGTCAAATCTCACCGTCTTGTTCAATAAATGGATCTTAGACTCGACGGAATTCAGTAAGTTCAATACGCACGCTTTGCGAGAAAGTTATTCTAACTAACTATCTTGTCAGGATACCGTGAGTGGGCTACTATCTGACTCTGCGTTCAATTGCTAAAGAATTGCAGCAATCCTTCTCACGACATGGCATCTTATATTCGCTACCGTGGTCACGCAAGTTCTGGCGCGGACAACGACATTGCTGGATAGCCGTAAGAACATCGAGATGAATAGCCGAATGTATGCACGCACGATGGTTCCTATTGGCCTCCTATATAGCGGCAGCCTGGTCTTTGGGAATATCGTCTACCTCTACCTCAACATTTCATTCATTCAAATGCTAAAGGTATTATCTCCTAGATAATCTTATTTCTCTCGCCCTGAGACACTTTGAAACTGACAATTTCCTCCAGGCCGCCGGACCAGTCGTCACCCTCCTCGTCAGCTGGTCATGGGGAGTAGCAACACCCTCAATGGAGGTACTGATAAACATCCTAATCATCACATGCAGCGTGGGCCTTGCCGTATCAGGTGAAATCCAATTCTCATTACTCGGCATCTTTTACCAAATGGCCAGTCTCGTCTGCGACGCAAACCGTCTCGTAATGATGCAAATCTTGCTCTCTGACGATGGCCAGAAAATGGACCCGCTCGTCAGTCTCTATTATACGGCGCCGGTTTGCGCCGTCATGAACTCCATAATTGCCTGGAATACAGAGCTCAGGGATTTCCACTGGAGTGTTGTCCCCAACACGGGGTATTTGACATTGTTGTCGAATGCTGTAGTGGGATTCATGCTGAACGTTTCGATCTTTGTTCTTGTGAGTCACCCGGTCCAGCGCATGCAAACAACAGGCTAATAATATGTTCAGATCGGAAAGACATCCGGACTGACGACAACACTTGTCAGTATTCCGAAGAATATTCTACTTATCATTGCCTCAGTTGTGCTTTGGCACACGCAGGTGAGCACCATTCAGATCGTGGGATATTCGATTGCTTTGCTTGGATTGGTGTACTATTCACTTGGGTGGAAGGCGATCAAAACTGGTATAGAGAACCTTAAGGCATGGCGGAAGGATCCTGCAGGGAATATATATTCGGATAAAGTTTAATTATATGATTTTATGCAATCAAAGCGAATGCATGCGGCGTTTTGGGCGAACTGGAGTATATATAGCTGTGTGTTATGTCAGCAGGGTTGAGATGTGTTTCAAGTAAACGCCGACGTGCATTTGAGCTTCTAATATACTAATTATATTATTCATTGTGTTCCGTAATGATGATATCTAGCTCGCATCTAGGCCCTTTTCGTGTGATTTAGTGATCACATCACAACAATATCAACATTTTGATGCGCCAAAGGTAGATCATGAACCGCATGTATTGGGTGATATACCTGAGTTGTGATTTAACAAGGGTATCTATACTGCTTAGGCCGTAAGGAGTTTCTGATATACACACGATACCGTAAAATAGACCAGATGCCCCGCTGGTCCCCCTCAATAAATCATCAGCATTAATGTTGACACAATGTCATTTTGTTCTTCTCAATCCCGGCTCGCGATCAATCGGTCCTATTGGCTACATACCTAGGAGCTTTGTATAAAGTTTTCACCACAATTGTCTAACAGAAAATATCGTCCATGTACCTTTTCATCATGTAAGGGTTGGCATACAACATACACCATTTTTTCCCATTTCTTGCAGGTAAGAACACCACCACTAACTCCCAGGGACCCCACCATCAGAAGCAGGCTCCCTATCCAATAACTGAACCATACCCATGGAATGCGGCATCGAATCAACAAACCCATTCCTAGCATACAATTTGCGGCCCGCCACATCAGCGAACAAGCTCACATAGGTACCCATCAATCTCCCATCCTCCGCTTTCTCCGGAGGAGGTGCCAGCGAGCGAATTCTGTTCATGAGATTCTTCAAAATCACATCGCCCAGTCCCTTGCGCTGGTGATCAGGCAACACGGCCATATCGGCGATGTGGAAATACCAGCCTCCGTCGCCGATGACACGGCCCATGCCGACTATTAGCTCATCGCTTGTTGTATTGTTCGAGTTGGATATAGTAATATCCTTGTCGCTTTGCTCTGGGTTCTCATTGTATGTAACGTAGCATCCATACCAGCTGCCGCGCATCGCGGCCTCTGCTTGGGCAGCGCTATGCGGGGATAGACCTGAAGCGGAGCGGAGGTGGATGTAATCCTGTACTGAGGGGTAGCCTTGGCGGAGGGTGTAGCCGGGTGGGAGTGTGGGTGTTTTTGACATTGTTGCTTTTTGTTAAAAATATGAATTGAGAATGAGTTATAGAGTAAGTAGGGTGTCAAATGTTATGGGGGGACTACTCTATATATGAGGTTTTTGTGAGGGGGTGAGAACTCCGTATGTATCGGACTACGGAGTAGTTTCGGAGTTCAAAGTCGTCTATGCCTTATCTGGCATGGTTTGAGATGCCCTAAGGATCAGCCAAGATGATATGCCTTTTGTTGAGCAATATTCATCCATATCCTGATGTATAGTTATCTTCTATTTTGATTGGTATGGGTTGATACCTGGACATAGTTACATCATACTCCTGTTTGGGTAATATCGTCGAGTTGGGTACTACTCATTGCCAATGCAACGAGGATTTATTAGACGGACCCATTCGATCATAGAATAACAGTAGCCAGGGGAAAGCTTCAATAGGATAGCATAGTGTTGAAGAAGTAAGTGGTTACTATGAATTGGAAGCCCCTTAGGATACAATGTTACACGACAGGGAGAGGAATACGGAATAGTTGCAGCTGACAGGGTGCATGTGAACTTTCAATACTAAGTCCCGCTAGTTGCTTCACGTAACTCTCCTCGCATTCAACCTGGGCAAAAGAAAAACACTGTGTTGAAACCCCTTCTGTACTTATGGGCGTTCGACCACTTTTCAGACGGACAGCAAATGCAGAGTGCATCACATTACCACTACATACACAAGATATTCTATGAGAGGCATTTCAACTACGGCACCATGCTCATCAATCGATTAATCGGCATTTTAACCCTCTCCGCTATTCTGACAAATGCCATCTACCTCAAAGGATACGAATACATCGTCGTCGGATCCGGTGCCGGCGGTGGCCCTCTAGCAGCGCGTCTTGCTCTAGCAGGCCATAAAACCCTCCTCCTGGAAGCCGACAATGACCAAGGCCATAATTTTAATTACAGTGTTCCCGGCTATGCACCAAAAGCTTCCGAAGACCCAGCTCTAGCATGGAGCTTTTACGTCCGGCACTATGCCGATGAGGCGCGTCAAGCCCGTGATTTCAAGACGGTTTACGAGACACCAGATGGGAGGGAATACATAGGGCCTGACCCTCCCCCCAGATCCAGTATGAAAGGTATCCTCTACCCTCGAGCCGGAACCTTAGGAGGCTGTACCGCACACAACGCCTTGTTCGCTCTCTACCCGTATCGCTCGGATTTCGACTATATTGCTGAGTTGACGGGTGATTCATCGTGGAGGGCGGCGAACATGCGGAAATACTTCGTGAGGTTAGAGAGAAATAGATACCTACTTCCTGGAAAGAGAGGTCATGGGCACAATGGGTGGCTTGGGATTGAGACCCCGCCGTTGCGACTCATACTGCAGGATACACAGCTGTTGAGCCTGGTCCTTGGCGATGCCTTTGCGGTAGATAATGAGACGGGCCCTCTGACCAATGTTGCTTCGCTAGTTGCTGGCGATGCAAATGTTGATGATGAGGCGCGCGATAAGACACCTGCCTACTATACCTTGCCTTTTTCGGTTAATGATGCTAAGCGCAACGGGGCACGGGAGTCTATAGTCTCTGTTCGCGATGCAGTCAATGAGAACGGTAGCAAGAAATATCCTCTAGACGTTCGGATGAACTGCTTTGTTACCAAGGTTATATTCGATACTTCTGCCAATCTACCTCGCGCAACAGGCGTTGAATTCCTCGACGGCGAGTATCTATACAAAGCTAGTCCCTTGTCTGGGCAAGGTAAAACCGGCATCCCCGGCATTGCGACTGCGTCGCGCGAGGTCATCGTCGCTGGAGGCGTTTACAATTCGCCACAATTACTGCAACTAAGCGGTATAGGCTCAGCAGGTGAGCTCGAGAAACACGGTATCAAAGTCGTAGTCGACCTACCCGGCGTGGGAAGGAACCTTCGGGATCAATACGAAACAATGGTACAAGTGCACACTCCGAAAGACCTCTCTCCTCTCAAAGGTTGTACGTCCGGCTTCCACGGCCAGCCCGAACCATGCCTCGCGCGCTGGATGAAATCAGTCCTCGGCGACCGCGGCATCTACAGCGCTTCGGGTGGTGCTGCAGCGATGTCCTACAAGAGTACAGCCACCACTAACAACGAAATCGATATCAATATGTTCGGAGTGATCGGCAACTTCCGAGGCTATTACCCTGGCCATGCTTACAACACCACTACCAGGCACGACTGGTTCACCTGGTCGGCGCTTAAAGCTCATCCGCGGAATAACGCTGGCACAGTGACACTTCGGTCTGCGGACCCGCTTGATCCTCCCAAAATTGTGTTCAATTACTTTGACACCGGCGTTGGCGACTACAGAGCAGACCTGCAGGCTATATGTGAAGCACTCGAGCTTGGTCGTAGGGCTTTCAAGCGTCAACCTCTTCCTGTTTCTGAGGTTCTACCTGGAGCGAACGTTACCGCTCAAGAAGATATCGAGGCTTACATCAAGGATACCGCATGGGGGCATCATGCTATGTGCACTTGTCCGATTGGGAGAGACGATGACCCAATAGCAGTACTTGACTCCAAGTTTCGGGTTCGTGGGGTTGACCGGTTGCGCGTCGTTGACGGTTCTACTTTTCCTCGTATACCCGGCACGTTTCCTGTTGTGTCAATCTATATGGTGGCGGGAAAAGCCGCAGATGTGATTTTGGGTGAGACCAGTACCAATCTAGTACAATAAACAATGTGATCGACGGGACTTGCGCCCTAGTCCATCTTTGGCTTATATAGGCTTAATTCTATTGCATCAATTTCTTTCCCCAGACGCAAATACAGGTCTATCCTCTTGCCCTACCAACCCCATATTCGAAAACTTCCTCACAACCCCCAAAGTAGCATAATAACTAAACGGCAATGCAAAACACCACAACCCCAGATTAATAGCCGCAGTAACAATCAAAGCCGTCGGCACAGCCTGCACCCCAAACCCCACCGCCACACCAGCGGTCTCAATCCCCCTTAACAAAGAGCTGTATCTAATCTGATCCCCCGGTGAATCCGACAGATTCCCAATACACCAGTAGATATAGTTCTCCACCATACCCAAACTAATCCGTTCAAACATGTAGACTCCAAAGCCGCGCCCAAACGCACTTTGATCCGCCCAATCCAGAACTGGCTTTGTATGCCGGTATTCGTTTTGGATGATCACGGCCCATATCCAGGTTGTAGTGTTCATGACTGCGATGAGGACGTATGTTGTTATTGCTCTTGCTTTTCGGCTTGGAAGCCAGGGCAGGTCGACAAGTGTACCACCCAGCCAGGTAGCTAGCGTACCGACTACGGCTGAGAGGAAGCTGCCGAGTGCCCGGGAGCGAACCGTGAAGTAGGTTGCCAGGTATGTACCCGGGTAGGCTTGGATCCAGCCGAAGTACCAGAATAGGGGAGTGAGGAGAAGAATGGATTTGCTTCGGGCGAGACGCCACATGGCGCAGAGTTCTATGCGCCAATCGATGTTCCTGGGTGCCTCGATGTGAGTTCCGTCGTCGCGTTGGACTTTCTCGGGGTTCGATAGAAGAAGACCAAACACTAGCCCCAAGCATTGAATCGCAATGAAACCGAGATAGGTTTGGTAGCCTACTTGCCCGCGTTGGTTGACATTGTGGTTGATTCCCAGGGAGATGGCTCCGCCGATGATGTTTCCGAAATTCCGGAATGTGAACCACGTGGCGATGTAGCGACCTCGTTTGTGTTGTTCTGGATAGCCTGTTGCGATGGCTCCTTCGACGCTCCAGAAGAAGCCGGCGCTGAGACCGCAGGTTATGGAGCCAAGATAAACGAGCCAGGTTGCACCGGTGCGGTTGTTCAGGTACAGGCCTGCTGCGTAGAGTGGATAGCCGATTGAGCCGATTGCCAGTGTGTAGCGGAACCCGATTATATTAGTTAACCAGGGACCGGCGAAACAGGTCACCGTCATGAAAGCGTAGAGCAGAGCGTTGGCGGCGTTCACTAGATTAGGACTTTGTGAGCCACCCACGCCCAACCCATTCATTGCGCTCCATATCCCTGGGGCACAAAAGGCGCAAAGACCAACGACGAGGATTTGAAATAGGGTACTACGGAAAAAGGATCGCTTTCTTTGGAGCTGGCTCATGTCATTTTCTGGTATTGCTTGAGATATTTGTTCTCCGTGCTTGCCGCTTGCTGTCATGTTGGATCAGAAGAACGGTGGTCAACCTCTCCTCTTTGCTTTTTCCAATGTCTGGCGTGGTGGAGGCTTGCAATTTCAATTCCATATTCTGAGAGATTCCTCGCTATTATCGATAAAATATCACTCATCATATCCCCAAGCACGCAAGATCATTCGCCCCTTGCATGATATCTATATAACCTCGGCCATTGGCACTCCAAAGGTCTGAAGGAACGATGGGTCGGAACCTAGACTTGTGACGCGATACCAAAATTGGCCACTCATGACCAGCAATCCTTGTCTTTGTCGAGGATTATCACAAGCAGCTGCACAATGGCGGGGTTGGCGCAATCTTGGGCGCCACTGAGCACATCATCGGCCTATCGCAGTAGATGCGGGGGATGGGTGGCAGTTCCATATATACCCAGTAGTCTAACATCTTTCCCTCACCAAGACCGATATTCTTCTAGCCATATAGATTCACAATGACGACCTCCGTTGAGCAACTGAATATTCCCAGCCTCCATCTCACCGACACCCCATCTCCAACAATAACATTCGAACCCTTCACTCTCCCCTCAACCAACCAGCGCATTCTCGGTCCACCCCACCCCAGCAACACCGTGATCCCCCTAGCCCTACGCCCAACAGAGGAAAGCAAGAAATCCCTCACCCTCGACTCTATTATCTCCACAATCGAGACTTTACAATCCCGCGATCAAACCTGGACTAAATATCTCGCCCGCCACGGAACTCTCCTCTTTCGAGACCTCCCAATCCACAACGCTGACGACTTCAGTAAATTCGCCCTTGCTTTCGGCTACAGGCCGCACGAGATCATCGGCATTGTCGTCGATCGCCCATTGCTCGCCCCGAATGTAGCCCCCGCAAACGAGGCACCAAAGGAAGTGCAGATCTATAACCACAACGAGTCGCCGCAGGTTCCGCATGCGCCGGAGTATATCTTCTTCTATAATCAGCGCGCCCCGGTTAAGGGTGGGGAAACGCCGATTTCCTCGTCATTAGAGTTATTCCGTCGTGCACAGGCAGAACTACCGGAGTTTATTGATGAGCTTGCTGAGAAGGGGATTCTGAGTCGGGTTGCCTACAATATTGAGAAGCAGTATGAGGGTGGTGCAACATTGCACCAGGCATTTGGAAAGGAGATCCAGGATGGCGACGACGAAGAGACGAAGCGGAGGAAGATCGAAGCACAGATTGCTCGGTATGGTCGTGGGAATCATACGACATGGGAATGGACTGAGACTGGGGTTGTGCTTACGCATCGACTGCCGGTGATTCGGACGCAGCCGGGGACGAATCTACCTACGCTGTTCACTGGGCTGGCGTCGTATTATAAGAGGTTGCAGGCAAATGATGAGAGGAAGAATGTTACGCATCAGCTTTATGGTGATGGGACGCCTATTCCGGAGAAGTATCTGGCGCATTTAGCGAAGATTACGGATGAGATTCGGGTGCTGCATCGGTGGCAGGAGGGGGATGTGCTGGTGTTTGATAATATCATTGCACAGCATGGGAGGGAGCCATGGGAAGGAGAGCAGACGGATCGTGTGGTTTTGGCGAGTTTGTTTGACGGGCCGTTTGTACCGGGTGCTTATGGGTTTGGGAATTGGGCACAGGTTGTGCAAGCACTTGATGGGTAGGATACAATTCATCTATCGCAGAGAGGGCTAGTATAGTTTGCTTTTCTCTTCGGTTATCTGATCTAACATGTTCTCTGGGATTCCAAAGTATTTGCCAAGGGGGTATTGATAAATATTCTGAATTAAGTATTCCTCGGCTGTCATGATGAAGCGAAAGCATAGTAGTAAAACATAATGTATGAAAAGCTATTTCCTGAATAAAAGATATGTCCCACCTGACCAGTTGGGGCGCGACGATCTGTACATGAAAATGAAAACCAACCCGCATCCCTTATTGCGTCTTGATTAACCACCCTACGGCGCCTATCGCACCGGCGGCGATCATGACCGTCAAGATCCAGGCTCCGGCCCGATCCGCTGTCTCAATCGGCTTCGACTTGGTGGGGTCTTTGCTGCTATTCTCGTTATTATCGATATGATGTTCCCCGGCGTCGGGATTTGTGTCGATGGTCTGTGGCGATTTGCTCTCCAAGAGCATCAGGTTGGAAGTAAGTCCCGCTAGTGCGGCCATCTGAACTTCCAGGCCCTTTACACCGTCCCAAGTGGGTTTGCCCCATGTTACACCACAGAGATTCTCGGACTCACCCGAGCACTGCTTTGCGATTGCTTCTGCGGAGCCTTGCAGCTTGGGAGTGATTCGGTCCGCGGTAGAGGGAACGAGAATGGCGGTATGGGCCAGCCACATAGCCGTATATCCCTTGAAACCCAATTGGTTCCGATCGCAGCTCAAGATGGGCTCACAGGCCACCTCCGACAGCACGTTACCGCCGTAGTTGGACGGGAAGAACGTGCCAAAGGTGCTTTCTAACAAGCCATTGACGCGCTTCAACCACTTCTCGTCACCATTGGTCTAGTTACAGATCAGTATGCGGGCCACAAAACAAACAGACTGGGATGCAATGACCCACATAGTTGTACATGAAGGCGGCACCGGACAAGAAGGTTCCGTAGTTATACGTCCATTGGTTGTTGCCAGAGTCTTTGCAGTTGTTCTCATTTTGTGTCGAGTCGGCCACGTACCAGGTCTCGGTGCGGATGAGAGGTGAGCTTGCCGACCAATCCCAGATCTTCTCTGCCCACTCTGCGTAGGTTTCATTCTTGGTGAACCGGGCTAGACGAGCGGACAACTCGAAAAGACCACCATTAGAAATAGAGTTCTTCATGGTATAACCCGCCTGGTAGGGCCAGATCTGCCAACGCAGACCACCATTGCAAGCGGTCTCGTCCCACCGCTCGACCTGCATATTGAAAACGGTCCGAGCCAGGGAGGTCCAGGTAGGTTTACCCGAGATTTCAGGGAACCCGGTCTCGGACGCGGTGATACTGGCCAGACCCCAGAACATTTGGTCATCATTTCCCTGGTCCCGAATTAGCCATGTCATCCATCCATGGGACACGTCTCAACCCTACCAGCCATTGACTATAGTTCGCCGAGAAGTAATCATAATTCTCACCCGACTGGAACATAAGATCATGTGACACAACCTTGTTGTATTGATCGACGCCCGAGGTGGCCCAGTACTGAATCAAGGTCATGAACATGGCACCAGCAATGTACCAGGTATCGGTGAGCTTGCCGGGAATGCCTTCCGTCTGATTTTGGGCATAGAAGTCCATCATAGGATCGGCGATCTGCTTCCCCGCATTGGCCAACGAATCTGGAAATCATGCCCTAAGAACTCATACTCTTTCAACCACATAACCGAAATAGGAAATGGAAAACATCAACATACCCTTACTATTCACCTGCACGCTGAGCGCCGAGAGGGCCACTTGCCCCTGAAGAAGGAGCAGGACAGCTCCACCGAGCTGCTGCCAACTTAGTCCGCGCATGGGGGGGTTGGGGGTGGTGTGTGGTAAGTATGTATTATGCACTGATTTATGCTTAATTCTGGTTTAGTCGCCCTCGTTACCTCCAGCAATGGGAAGGGCTGGTATAACGGAGCTTTATTTTTTCCCAGGGGCGACGGGAACGACATTATTATTATGTGGTGGAATTTTAAAGGGGCGGGGGGGAGAAAAACAGAAAGAGGGAAGTTTTGGCAGTGAAACGCCAAGAGACGACAGTATCCGCCAAGACATCCACGCCACAGTCGCTTCGGCCAATGGGATCGCTGCGCTACCTGCTTTTTCGGGGGCTTTAGCGCGCGCCAAGTCTTTGACCTTTTTTCCTGGTTGCCTGTTCGTCCTCCATTAGGGGTTCATGTCCGTCTCAGATCGCTCTGGTCCTGGGTTTGATCGACTTCGGTTCCGTCGTCAGCATGTCTTCCCCGGACTGTTGCTCCGTCCGTGACGAATCTTTTTGCCGTCCAAGACTGGACAAGTTACTGATTCCTTGATTGAGTTTCTGGGCATCATGTCTCCCAGGGTACGAGCCCTACGTTGCGACGGAACGGGGCACAAATCATGGACGTTCAGGCGATAGGGGGTGCAGGAGAAAATCAGGGCACAGAGGCTCCTCCGTACCTTCGAACGAAAGGTACCACCTCAAACTATCTTGAAATCTTAAGCGGGTGGGGATCAATCCCATTGGATTCCTTGCATATAAGTCTGCTATAAATAGCATTGAAACCAGCATTTTCAGACCCGACCAGCTGATGGTCGTATTCGTTTACAAAAAGGAACAAAATCCCACCGTCATGCCGGCATTGTTTGTCTTGCTGTTCTTTTTGTGATCAAAGAGAATCTCGACGCTTCAGAAAGGAAATGAACTCGCCACTCAAGAATTGGATCGTCTCCACAGGCAGAAGGCAAATAGCGCGACACGTGTCTCGACGGCTTTCCCCTTTTGAATTATCTTTCACTCTTTCTAGCTCTCGGGACTTCCGCATCCGTCAACTCATCTCGTTCCCCTTTTAATTGCGATCTCTCCGCATGCCTAACCGATCTTCAACACAGCCCCAAGGACTCCGTATTTATGCAACAGAACAATGGAACAGTGCCAAAAACTGCAGAGGGACCAGAAGGGAACCAAATGACCGAGAGAATTGGTGGAAAAGGTCACAACCGGGCTAATGGCCCATCACTCCTGACCACGCCCAAAGAAGCCGGAGAAATATCCGCTATGCTTTGACAGCCCGTGAGCTGCATGCAGCGTTTGAACTCCGTATACAGAATGTCCAACACTTTACGAGCCCCCGCCTCTCCGTCATACTACCGTGAGAACGTGGTCAGCGACAACTACTACTGGGAAGGTAGGACACGCAACGGTCGGTGCCTGACTTACTGCAAGACCCCAGATGATCGGTCGCCCTATCCAGCAGCATTCGGCACCAAGCGCCAGGGCTTTGAAGATATCCGTTCCGTTCCGGATACCCCCATCGATGTGTACTCGAATCTGACCCTTCGCAGCTTTAGCACACTCCGGAAGGGCGTCAATCGTGGCCGCGGTGCCATCCAGCTGTCGGCCGCCATGATTACTAACAACCACTCCTTCACAACCGTACTGGATGGCAAGCGCCACGTCTTCCGCCGTGAGCACCCCCTTGATCCAGATCTGCATTTTTGTCACACTTCTCAGCCAGGGAATTTCTCGGGCCCATGAATGGGAGCTGGAATTGACTCCCGTGAACCCATCTTCGTGTCGCTCAGCTCGAATCATTTCCGACGTCTTCTCCAGCATGGGAAAGTCGAGACCTTCAGGAGCTCGGAAATCATTCCGATGCTCACTGTACCGGACGCCAAGAATCGGACTGTCCGCCGTCAAGAAGATCGCGACGCAACCCGCCGCTTCGGCACGTCTGATAATGCGCTCCTGATGTGCTCGATCTTGCATAGTATATATCTGCATGGTGTGCTGTATCGGTCCAATGTCAAGCCCAGCCGCCCGGATCTCCTCCACAGAATAATTAGCGAACGACGAAACCCCCATGTGGACCTGTTGTTGAGCACACGCGCGACTTGTCGCCAGTTCACCGTCCGGATGTGCCATTGCCTGGATGCCCGCCGGCGCTACACATAGCGGAAAGTTGATCTTTTGTCCGAACACGGTAGTGCTAGTATCTGTGTTCGAGACGTCGACCAATACCCGCGGACGCAGCCGGTACTTCCCATAGGCCGTGGAATTCTCCGTTACGGTGACTTGGTCCGTCGAGCCTGCATTGTAGAAATCTAGATGGTCTCGTAATTAGTAACAATGCCGTTGTGTGTGGAATGTTCATGTCGGTATCACCCCGCACCTCGCGATGATGCGGGTAACTTCTGCCCCGCCGCGGATTTGATATCCTCGATGCACAGGATCATCTCTTTCGGCGATTGGCCCCCCATGATGCTCCAGAGCCTGATGCCAGTCCAGTTCTCGACCAGGCAAAATGTAACGCGAGAACTCGGCTTCGTTGTATGTACGGATACCTTTGTCTGTTCTACGCAGCCTTTCAGAGGAGCTTCTAACGGACTCACGTGATACCATGACTTGTACGTTTCATGCAGTCTAGATGATCGGCATCCTGGGCGAATGATAATGGGTTCTCTGTAGCGGAGTTCGGTCGTACTCTCCTATCATCCCACTAAACCGACCTTGGTCGCCGAAAAGCTGGATGACGTTTAGTCATACAACGCATGATTTTCTCAGGAACATCGATTGAATTTCGGCTGGATCATGCGGGGTAAATCTTTAGACTATAACCTTCCATAAGAAAAGAAGGTGCAGCAGTATTAGTAGCCCCCTGTGTCGCTGTGTTTGGGCCCATTGCTCGGTAGATACTGCGCATTACTAGAGGAAAGATCGGAAAGTGCACGAGCCACAAGAGTTGGGTAGGGTGCGATAACCTGGTCAGCATTGTGGAGCGGAAGAATTCATAGTATTGCTCAGATGCAGTGTATCTTGTTGGGCGTGGTTGGATGCATGCTGTGAGGAGAGGTGAGCCGTTGCAGAGTGGTCCTATATATAATCCAGTGACTAGCCAGGAATTGTATATGTCGCACCGACAACACTTGACACAGCAACAATTGCCAGAATCCCATTTATTTATTATTATTATTTTTATTGGACGCCTAGCATAAGCTATCGGAACAAAGATATATGTGTACGACATCAAATTTATTTCATCCTCACATAACCATTATACATCGTGATGCCCAGCCCAGACACATTTATTTCTTCTCCTCGCCTTCAGGAACCAACTCCTCGAATCGCCTGAGATCCATCTCCTTCTCCAACAGGGGAATAACATAGGGATCAAACGTCTTCCAGTAAGGGTTCTCAAGGTGATACTTCTGAGATCCCTCATTGAGATAGCGCTCAACGATACAGAAATCCTGCTTATCATGGACCGACTGCATAACGAACCAGGAGAGAGTCTCCTTATCCTTCGAGTAAACGGCCGAGGCCTCCAACAGCTTCGCGTGGAGCTTGGAGATAGACTCCTCGTCGGCCTTCGCGCGCATGTCTAATTCCCACCCGGTCGAGTTAGCATCAATGCGCTTTTACCGAGAAACGCCATTGAGGATTGCGAAACGGGAGATACGTACGGACAACGATGGTGTAGACCATTTTGGGCAGTTTTGGGATTGGTTTCCGGGTGTGAAACGTGGAGGTTTGGAGGGGTAATGGAGCTAAGTTGCGAGTTCTTATATGGGACTGTGGGGCGGAGGTGTTGCTTTTGCCCTTTGGGGCTTCTTCGGTGAATAAGGGTTTTGAGTTGGTGGTGGGGTGACTTTTGGCGGTTGGAGTGGTTGGAGTATTATGATATCATAGAACCGGGGTTTGTTGGACTCTCGTGAATATATTCCTCACTGTTTGTCAATATCGTTCCTCAAGTTGGGTCGGTAGGAAGAGAAGAAAGGAGCTTTGCAGGATGATATCCACGACCGGCGATTTCGGATGACGATGCTCAGAAAGCTTATCTTATCGATTCGGTGGTGTTCTTGGTGCCTTAGGCGATAAGATGTGTTGTCACGTGTAGTGTTTTCGGTATCCCGGTTTCACCCGGTGTGGATATGCATCTCCAATTCTTCAATCCTGGTCAGACACAGCCCCGGTGGCCGAAGCCGACTTTTCTTGGAGTATCAAAACATGGACTTTAACAACGTCAAAGCAGCTGTCAGTTCTGCCAGGCACTTCAATCCTGACTGTCCGAAAGAAAAGGTCTCATATGCCAAGAGATCCATGGAATGTGCTCCAGCCGTTCCGGCTTGCCGATCCGGGTGGAACTCGGATGCCGAAGCCAAACAGATGGGGATTGCCAGAAAACCGAGTAGGGTTTGGGCCTTTGCGGTCTAGATTCCGTGCTCTTTGCACGGTCCAGTATAGTCGTGATATCTTATAATAGCGCGTATGCCGTTGATGAGTCATGTTTTCTGTCTTTGTAGGCGGTTTAAAGCGATAGATGATAGACGAATCGGTGACTTGGGTATTGGTGTGCTTCTTGTTGTAGTTTGGCAAGACCCCGGAAGTTGAGGGCTGGAAAGGTCTGCATGATTTGAAATGCAATGTGAAAGTGCATGAACTATTAGCTGCTGCTGAACATCGTTGGACTGTTATATTTGGATGGTCCGGGTGTAGATACAGTGAAGAGATTGACCCTGGCAATGCAAGTTTCGAGTCTGTGGTCTGCCAAGTATAATATACAGGGAGCGATGGAAAGAGAATCAGCCCCTGTTATCGTTTAGAGACCCGTTTCTAGCTATTGGCATTTATTCACATGGGCTTAACCAAAGGATCGCGCTAGTCTATAGAAGCTAAAAGTTGGATCCTTCCGAGTTACAACCAAATACATCCCTAGATAAATCCCGTACTTTTGCGCAGATACTTAAATGGGTCTAAGTATGGCTCAAAGTAAGACAACCGGTCCACATGGATAGGCACCCACGGTAGAAATAGATTAGGGAAATTATTCGAATCTCGATGCACTCAGGGGCTGCGAGCATTTGATTGATAATACAAATAACCCCATGACATGGATCTTGCTCTGTGCCAGCCCCATAGCCGATATCAAACAAGATCACGAGGTAAATATGCAGGTCATAAGTATCATACTACAAGAGAAATCTATGTGTCCGCCTGGCTCAAACGATATATCAAACATGGAAACAAATGATGTAAGAAGGTCCTCCTCGATATCCCGACAGAATGCCACACACCGCGGAGCACAAGCATTTAACCAATCTGCCACGTCATGTGTCTCTCTGGCACACTATGCGTAGATCTAGTGTTGAATTCTACTGAAACATCATCTGTCCGCACGATAGCACCAAGGGGATGGCTATTTTTCTGCCGTTCTTCAGCACCAAGGATACTCTCTTGGCTTTCGACGTGCGTAATCGAACGATCCGACCGTCGGTTTGTTTTATGTCCGGTCCTCTGGAAAAAGGAATCGCGCGGATAGTTGGCGTCTTTCCCTGGAGGGCTTCGAGTGCGAATGTGACCCCTAAGCGTCAGCTCGAGGATCGGTTGGAGAGTCGGAATACAGGATGCTAGAATGAGAACATTGGATTCGACGCTACAATCATTAGCAAAGGCTGTTGGGAGAGGACCCGAATGTCTTACTTTGTCCACATGACAAGATCCGCGGTTGCATCTGGTGTTGTTAGCGAAAACTAAGGGGAACGGCATTTTGGGATTTCTCACAGGTATAGTCATCTTGATGAGCAAAATCTGGAAATTTCGTGCTTTTTGCAATAGCCGTTGCGGCAGCACTGACATTGATTAGTGCTCGTCTAGAGATTGTATTTGACATTTAACATACATAGACCCCATACCCAAGGCCGCACAAAGTGCTAGACGTTTCCCCAAGGGCATGCGAAGTTTCATGAGGACAGTACTGGGATATATGGCCAAGTACAGGTCGACACTTGCGGATAGCGCTGACGCACAATCAGCTGTATGCGCACAGGAGTGCTAAGAACAACTTACCAGCATTGAAGATGGCATACTTAATCAAGATTTGTACATCATTGCAGTTTGCTTTGCCCTCGGTGACGAGGTGGCGCTGCCATGCGGCCTGAGGGGGATCGCATTGCATGAACAACAAGAATATGCATGCGAATGACACCGAAGCCGTGATTCCAATCATAGTCCATAGCCATATACGCTGTAAGCGGCTTGGGTTGAGGATCCGAGTCAAAAGAACTGTTACTGCAATCTTTGGAATGGTAAAGCAAAATATGCCTATTGCAAAGCTGATTGTATTGACCAAGCTTATTGTCTCCACGGTGCTCTCCTCTAGGAACCAAGCGTGCTTTCCGTATCCCATATGCACGTTTGCAGTTGTCATTCCCACGGATGTCAATGTTAGGCACTGTACGCGGTAAGCTGTGAGGTTATGATATGCGAAGTTGACATGGGGGCATACCAGTGCCACAACAATGATATAATCATCAATACCTGCATTGCGGATCAACCATTGACGGATGTACACGCGTGCAGCCACAAAAATTGTCGTAAGGGCGGATAATGTCCAAACTACTGCGAGAATCCGTGGACCTTTATCATGGGTATCAGTCACACTGGCAGACATTCTTAAAATGTCTGCCTCTGCCGTTGCCAGGGACGGGGTTGCGGTAGAGGTCGAGGTAGAAGCATTGATCAAAAATTGAAAGAGAAACCCGACTTCGGACTTGCGTTAAGGGTAGCCCCCACCTAGTATATAACTAGGGACGATACAGAATCCGTGCAAACACAGTGGGTTAGTAAACTTGGTACATATGTATCGCTGAAAATGGAGTCAGGTAATCCAGCCGAGATGAGATCGCGCTATGCCATGATTTCTGCAGCGCCTTGCGCAAGGTTGTATTGGTTAAGATTAGTTGCACCCACTCGCAACAAAAGTGTGAAGCAGATCAACGCTAGTACTGGGCCGTTGTGACTGCTGATGCTAGAACCCACTCTTTCGGAGCATCTTCTGCATTTCCGTCCCACATTGAAGAATTATAAGGCAAGGTGGATACACATAGACTAATCCAGCACAACATGCGTTACGGTGCCAAATCATAGGGCACACCCTTTAATAAAATATAGATCAATCATGAGCAGAAATTTTTCGAGCAGTTTGTCTATTTCCTCGGGCCGTGGCCAGTTGCGTTACATACAGTACATGCCAACACGGCAGGAGAACGGGATGATGACACGAAGGATTCGATAGCTTCGACTTCATATTTGTAAGACCAATATGATCTGCCCAATACTCGTCGTTGGATTTATCTGGAGATAGGATTCCCCACTCAAGGCGAACTTCAGGCAGCGGCCGAAAAATGGCGTGTCTTAGCCATGTAGATCTTCGTTTTATGTGGAATAAGATCCGCTCGCTAATTATTCTTTAATCGCAGTAGTTTCTCCATCGTTTCTCCGAGGCATAAATTTAAGAGGTGAGCCCCCGTAGCCTCTCTATCTGGGTTACCCTTTTTCCCCTCCCTTCCTTTTGCTCCTTTGAACACTCCTATAGAGCTTCCCTAGCACACTAATGCGGAATAATTGACACTGACAGCACATAGAATGGATCGCATAAGTAATGTTTATTGCCAAACAACCGCCTGAGACAAAGAAGCCCGAAAACCTGCTCCCACTTTACTTGAAATATCATGCCCCAGGAGACACCTCGATATGAAGAAGTTGAAGAATAAAGCAGATAGACCCTCACATAACAATTACAAATGATATATAGACTCCCCTGACAGGGATTTGTGGTGTGATGGCCCCTCCGTATTGTGTAGAGTTAGGCTGCTGAAATTGATCCACATTTTGTGAGACATCACGTACGTACAACTGATGATGAGCTTACCAGGGAACAGAAATGGAGATCGGATCCAACTGTGCCTGCCAGTCCCTGATTAAGCTTATTAAATTCGGAGGCTCTCCGGTATGACTCCGAGCCGGTGGCAATCATGGGTTGGACTTGAAACTAGCAGATTTATGCAGACGCTGATCTTTTCTGGACATGCATAAATTGAAAGACTATGTGGCCATTGACGAGGGAGGCGCGTAAAAAAAAAGTTGAAGTGGATAATAAAAAGGCCCCAGTCTTCACAATGCTTGGCAAGGACCCGCATGTGTAGCATTTTCCTTTCCAGGCAAGTTTTCTCAAAATGAGACGACCATGTTAATACTTATGTCCTTTCAGGTGTTGTCATCGACGCGTCTCAGAATGCTCCACGAAAGGAAACTAGGGCGAGTGCTGTACGGCTCTAGGATGTAGGAACACCGTCAAAAGAGCTTCTGTCCCTCTTAACGAATGTTTCCATTCTGATGGACCTGCTGTCGGACCCCTGTAGGATTAAGGTTTATATGCGAACTGAAGTTCTCGTTGCTGCCAGCGAACATGCAGAGTAGACTGGTCAGTGGCTAGAGCTTTCGTGCGTCGAAACTGTTGTTAAATCTCCGAATGCCTTCCGAGGCGGGACATGTTTCCGTGGCTCTTGGCTTCTAGGCGCACTACAAAGGTACAACTGGATTTCACCCCAAAGTTGTCTGGTCTTAAACAAAATTTCGATCCGAAGTCATCCGTTGCAGAGCCTAAATGCAAAATTGAAGGTCACGCGTACGATGTCTTCTGTACCGGCTTGCATAACACCTGATGCGCCTTTAGCGTTGCAGCTACTGAAGAATCAGTGGCGTGACCTGGGTCATCGCTTAACCTAAGCCTTGGATGACAACTTCACGACGCTCTTGGAACTCTACATGAGTATTACGCCGGGGTACTCATTACCCAAAACCTCGGGTTTGAATACGTACTTTCGAGTGGCTCCTACACTGGTCAACATGAAGTTCCTACAATACCATTTAATCTCCAACGTATACTATTTTCCTCCAACAAATCTTACCCAATGTATGTTTATCGTCTTCCCAAGCCCTTCCCGGATAAGGCATGTCAAGCCTGAAAATTTGTGAATCGGCTTTGGCATACCTGAAAATTGGTTAATGTACATACGATAAGACTCAGAGCACAAGTGGGCCGGCAACAGCCACATCTGAAGCGAGTAACCTGTTCACGGGAGGTTTATTTGCTAATCACAATATTATAATCCACGCGTACTGCCGAGGCATTGGAGAAAAGCAACTAAGACAGACAATAATGCAATGTCTTTTTTCTTTTCATTCATGTAATACCCCACCTTCACTCGGCTGAAGATAGATAAGCAGTTAAGTACAAAGTTAAACAAGTCAGATGGCGTGGGGGCGCCACCTTGTGGACAACACTAAGCTACAGCAGGCGATCTTCAGTCCATCAATTTAGATATCATGGTAAGGCTCCCACTAGCCCAGGCACAGATTCAGGAGAGTTTGACTTTAGAAGCAAGCTTCCCAGTACCGCGTCATCGGCGCAAAGTCACATTTAGCTTAACAGTGATTAACCTAGTTTTATTCGTGGGTTTACGAGCCGGTCCTAAGATTAGCCAAATCCTTGCCTTATCTTGGTATAGACGGGATGCCGATCATTCGGCTACGAAAAGATGCCGTACCACTATGTTTTTGCCGTCTGATGATCTCCCCACTGGAGCTTACCCAGTGGCTATCTCGGTCTTTATTACTTTGAAGTTCCCATGTCGCTTCTCACTTTCCATTTTCCGAGAAATTAAAACTGACGCGGTTGACGCGGGCACTCGATTCTAGCTTTGCACTGAAACATTAGTCTGTATATTCACTGTCGATCAACCCTGACTGCGTAGATCACTAGGTATGTGCGATTCATGGCATACCGTGTGTCTATGGTTCGTCAGAGAAAAGAACCAGAGGAACCTGAAGAGCTCAAAGCGCGTGCCGTTCTGTCGTATTCGTTCGTATACCCGCGACCTGCCTTGGCAGCGGCCATCCAATAAGAAACCATAAAAACACAGCGAGTGGGACTTTTTCTTGATCGCGGCGTAATGAGATTACGAGTTGGCCATATTGTCAATATCATCCACAATCCGTTTGGAGAGTATACAAAAGAAGTTGAGTAGAGAAATCTATAAGTTACTATGATGCCGACACTCTCGACATATAGTTTAAATGGGGCAGCAAGTTTGATCATAATAGCATAGTGTACGGTGTGTAGGTAGTAATCAACCTAGTTCAGAATACTAAATATATATTTCACCTTCACAATGCTCAGGTCATTCCACATCCACTGCAAAAGCATTCAATATCCTGCCTGCACTTCGATTTGAGAACAAGACTATACTAAGTAAATTAGCTTCTGCACTTATATCCACTACTCTAGTCTGTTTTTAAAAAAGCAGTAAGCTGACTACAAAAGACATTTTTTGGCTCGGGGCTGGTAGCCCAGCAAATAAAAAGAGGGAAACCCCTCGAAGTCCGCACCAGACAAGAAAAGAGCGTGAGAAAGTCAAGATATATACGGAGTACAGGTTGACATAAAGGAAATAGCTATGAAATCATTTGTTTACTAAACGTGTGAGTACGAGTCATGTTGAAGTCGTCAGGCTCCAGGATCTGAGCATGAGCGGCATCATGCATGGAAGGGATGCGAGTGTCTGTTGCCACATTCCCGTAACCCAGAACGCGTGAAACAGAACGCGTTCCTTGCTTGAATCATTTACAATTCTGTGCACTGTGAGCTTAAGGTGAAAAGTGTATTTGCGGTCGCAACTCCTTGAGCGCATTTGGTAAGCTCAGTTGCTGTGCAATATTGGGCGCATGGTTCTTGGGAAGGGCTAAACCATGGCTCAGGGCCGCTGGGATAACGGATAAAGAGGATATTATTATTATTATTATTATTATTACCATTATCAATTTAAACGTCAAGTATCTGACCTACGGTCGAAGGAATAATATAACTGAATGCAAGTATCCTATCTATTGTAGCTTTAATATCTCGCCTAGAAGATTAATTGTCGGCACCAACGCTACCTAGCGCCGGCAATGGGGGTGTGTTTACTTACCATTGGCTAGTTTGTCAAACGTGACAAGTCTATCGAGGTTTGTGGATAGCCAACGATGAGAATCAAGTACGAGAATTGGAGGTTTATATTAGCCTGGCAGGGAATTGCCGAAGGTGGTGCGAAAATAGGATTCTAATCCCTGTCACACGAGAGGGTGAAGGTAAACGCATAAGTTGACGTACTACTTACTCCTATATCGCCTCAAATCCTGCACAAACCGCTGTCTTTATGCCAATGCTTGTGCGTGTTTGCAATTATCGCGATGGTCATTCCCGTACTCATCCTTCTGTTTGGCCTCTGCAACCCGACAATTGCAAGCTCTGTAGGTGGATCGGTTGCTCAAACATCCAACGGTGAGATATTCGGCCATAGCTTGGACAGGTATCCCGCCGTGATAGAGTATCTGGGAATTCCTTATGCTGCACCACCGGTTGGTTAATTACGCTTCGAGCCACCAGAAGCATATAATGGCGGGTCAATGTATAACTATTGCCAGTGATTATGGAAGTCTATCTTGTCTCTGCTTTTCAATGCTACACTCTTGACTCTCCATAAATATTGACCAATATGCCTTGTAGGGACTATCAGTTACAAATGCAAAAACCAGAAAGGTATTCTGTCTAAAAGGTGTAGTGACTGTATATACGCTGTAGGATCCACGATTGATTACCTTGATAAAACACCACAATTCGACAAAACAATGGCGCTTTTACTACATCGAACAATAGGAGCCACAGCGAGAACTGCCTGACTCTAAGCTTTTGGAGTGAATAGGCACATAATAACACCTTAAAGCCTGTTTTAGTTCATTTATATGGCGGGCGTAGGCTTAGAATTGTCCAGGTATCTGACTGACTATAATCCAGGATGGACGTCAGGAACAACCAATACGCCTTTTTACCATGGAGGAAATTTTGCCTCAGGATATTGTTGTTGTCACTGCGACATACCGAATGAAGATTTTTGGATTGCCCGGTATTCCTGGGAAGCAGTCCAATCTGGGACTCCTCGACCAGTGAAGGGTAGTAGAATGGGTACGAGACAATATCCAGGCATTCGGCCGTTGACCCCAATCGAATCGTAATGTCTGGACAGCCCTGCGGTAGCGCCGCAGTCGACTATTGGGCATATTCATATCGTGATGATCCTGTTTTGGCTGGCCTCGTTTCGCATTCGGGAACTGTTGATAGCTTCCCAGCCAACTCCCCAGAATTGTCTGTACAGCACTGGGAGGAGATAACCTCCTCGATGGGATGCAAATTGGGTGACGTGCTTGGGTGCATGAAGACACAGAGTGCAGCAGCATTATTAACTGCGTCGGGCAAGGTCAAGCTTCCTGTAGCCAGTATTGCAGCCCGAACGCAACCTGCCTTTCAGCCAACCATGGACAGTGTGACGGTTTTCAGTGACTACAGACTGCTTGCGAGGACGGAAAGATTTGCCCATCTTGTAAGTTGCTGTATACACAAATTCTCTGGTTTAAAACTCACCGCGTATTATCAGCCATACCTCGCTGGGCACAGCCATAATGAGGCCGACTTGTATAAAATCTCAGCCTAGGCCAAAGTATCTACCTTGCCTGAGCCAGAATGGTAAGCCTTCAATGGAGAGACCTTCACATGCCCTACCGATGACGCTGTCGTAGCACGGATACGTGCGGGCGTCTCCACCTGCCGTTTCCGTTACTTTGCCGACTGGAACAAAACCAGTCTCTACCCAACGAGTGGTGCTTATCACAGAGTGGAGTTGAACATGGATTTTTGGCAACTTTGAAGCCGTAACAGATATCCCCGCGAGCGCCCACCAGGTACAACCACAGATGAACATGCAACGGGCTTGGGCTGTCTTCGTGGCCGATCCATACCATGGTTTGTAGAAGCTCAGATGGCCCCGTTTTCTTTAGATGGTGTGTACACACTAAAGGGGATACAAAGTCAAGGTTCACTCTAATCCAAATTAGGGATTACACTGATCGCTTTGGGCGAACAGATCAATCCGGGTGCAAGATTTATAAATTCTAGTATATACAATGTTGGTTGTTGGAATAGCAGCACGGAGATTGCGAAAAGAGAAGGTGATGGCTTGATCTGTAATTAACTCAATCACAAGCTGACATTACAGTGAGCATACAACAGTTTGACTTTTTAGACTAACAGGTAATTGATTACTAGTAAGGTACATTATTGTACGTGAGACTACTAAAGATGATCACTTTTGTGCCAGTAGATCCCTCGCGTACCTTGCTTTAGCTTGACCTTGATGCGCGAAAGGTCTGCGTCGGCATCTAATTATCTTAATGAGCGGCCATACAACACCGAACACGTAGAATTTCAGCTCACCCCGATTACTTATGGAAAACTGCTCCCAGGCTATCGATATCTCCTTCCGCCCTTCCGATAAAACCATGGAAAACGTGATTTCCGGGTATTTCATGGCGTTCATAGCCGCCAGTGCCACCCGCAGCGAAGGGGTTATCTGCTTCGAACTTGAGAGCGTCGCAACGACCCTCCGACTCTGGCGGGGCTCCATTCAGCGTCATCCAGCGGACCCTTTCATTTGGGGCAAAAGAATAGCTAGTGTGCAACGACTCATGCGATGGATGGCCAACCATTGGGCTTGACCTGTCGCCCCAGTGGACTCTCAATCCCTTCAATACCGTGAAATCCGCATTCCATGCATGGCCGTACCAGGCCTCGACCTCTGTCACTGGTTTATCACTCCATAGCGCGTCGCCGAAGTCCGTACCGCCCTTCCCTCCAACGAGTTCGTTGAAGATATAGTCGTCTTTGTTGGGCATTGCGGCTGCTCAAGGTGACTCTTTGTAAGATAAAACGAATACAAGATCACTAAAGTTTAATAGAACAGATATGTTGGGTGTTAGTGAAGTTCGAAGTTCGAAGTTCGAATTGTTACCGGTATTCGACTGGGTATTTATACCTTCGGAGTCTGTAACAGGATAAATCTTCTGGCTCAGTAATGTCATTATATTCATAGGTATGACTACTTCAACATTGCATTACACGTCAATGTTCATTGTTCAAAGTGTCCATCGTCATCGACTCTCATCCTCTTTTGACTTATTGTCCTACAGAATGGAGGCATAGGAAAGGCCCCAGACCTTGATATCAACTACCATGAGCTAGTTGGTAATAGTAGTGAGATCATGTGGGGTACGTCTAGTACGTTCTTCTAATTGCATATACACAAAAAAGGCACTTAACTGTTTCCTGTTGCGGAAATATAAAGATTACCACCTGGAGCTGCAAACGCAATGGACCTAATATAGTGGTCGGTAAAAGACTAGCGTCATACTTTGACTGGGCCATCCTGAAAGGGACACTTAGCCTTGGTTCCGAACTTCGCTGTCCAAACCTTTACTCCGTACTCAGCAGACGTGGAGATTAAATCTTACAATATACGTTCCAACACCACACAAAGCTACCAGCATGACGTCTGGCCTCAACATGACACTGTTAGTATTATGCAATTACAAACCCTTCATACTTGGGCCATTAATGTTTGAGACCCAGAACCGGATGTTAAGACCTTTGTATCGGAATGCCGATTTGCTGGGTTAAGTCGGAACCGCTAAAGGGGACCCAGAACCTTGGAACTTGCTTCCCATCAACGACTTGACGTACACGTTATGGTTCGAAAACGTCTTAGATTACAAAGTCTGCTTTTCGAAGTTTAAAGTGATTATTGCATTTGTGCAACACGGAATGGTCCATGATAGGATAGTGATAGCTCGAATAGGTCATGGCACTTACTTTAAATCAATCCGTACCCTACATAGGCACCATTGAACCGACAACGAGAGCACTGCACTGACTGCAAGCGGTTTAGGAAATAAAGAAAGTTTAATATTTCGAAGAAAGTATTAACTCATCATAGATATCAACAGTAACTCTGACCAGGTAGTATGTAGCAAATTACAAGTCTATTACTGCCTGAGAGATTTAACCACACCTAATGTAGTTAGGAGCTGTCTGTGGCCTTGATTGAATGCTTGTTACTCGTATGGATAACTGTAAGCTTCTCTTAGACATCTAATTCTTGAAGCCTTAGTACGAGTAAGCAACACATGCATGAATAGTCAGAAGTGAGACAAGGACGGATTCACATGACTGGCCCTGTACCCTATCCCCATCGCCGCCTGCCGGCGCGACCTGCACTCTCCCGACGCATCGGTTCGCTTAGTCCTGGTGCTCCTAGATCTGGCCAATAAACCTATCCCATGGACTCATATGAGAGGCCCCTTTAAATTTGCGTGCCGATATCCAATCAAATTATCATGGTAGTGGTGGTGGAATGCAGGCGCGATGTTCTGTAAGCAAGGGGTTGGTAGGTGGTATGGTGCCCCTGCAAAGAGTCGCACCATGCCTTGATACCGCGTCTGTCAGATAATAGGAGTCCCGTGAACGAGTTACGTCGAAATTGTGAATTTGTCCCTTCCTGCCGGGTTTCTTTCTTCCTCAACAACTATCCGGATGATTTCCACGGTCGAGAAGGAATGACAGGCAACCCGGAGATTTGGTCGGCTACAACTGGTGTTCTCGGGCTATTACTGATAGCCTTGAATACGGCACCAGCAACACTCAATGTTGTTCACCGGCTGTCGAAAAGGTCCCAGCCAATACGTCTCGAGACGCTGCTAATCGCCAAACCGGGGTATCAAGATGAGGATGGAGAAGCTACAGAGTCATCCTTGCTCAGCTTCGCTGATTCCTGGCAGAGAGTGACGATCGCGATACTATCGGTGGTCGGATTAGAGCTGTCGCTCGCGCTGGCAATTGTTTGTCTGGAAACTGGTCAGAGCTACTTCATTGTCCCTTTTTGGTTACTCTTGGGGTGCTGGGTAAGTGTTACTGCTACAATGATGCTCGCATGATATCCTAATATGAATGAACAAAGGCTTTGCTCTGCTTGCAATCTGTTGCCTTCTTTACAGAGTCCTCGACAGTAGAGCGGTATCGGCTTAGCATCTATTCGTTCTGGACGAGCGCACTCACGGTCGCGGTTCCCTGCATCGAACTCAGCTTGTTTTGGTCAGCCGGTTACGATGTCAACCCGGGATATTCGCAGACAGGGCTTCTTATCAGTCAAGTTGTGACAGCACTCCTACGCGGTCTTTGCTCCATCCTAATTCCCCGACGGCCGAATGTGTACCATGATGGACAACTCGTTGATCAAGAGCTCACATATAGTGTATACAGTCGCTTTACCTTCAGCTGGGTCAACGATCTCATGAAGTATGCCGCAGAGAACAATAGCCTCGACATTGACAACCTACCGAAACTGCCGTTTGCTGTTCGTGCTGAGAATTTATACACTCGTCTTGAACAGACACGTCAGTCCCGCAAATTGTGGAAGGCACTCATGCTTGGGAATATGCGACCGCTCATATGGCAGGCTGCGCTTAGCTTGGTTACTTGTGTGCTGAGCTTCGGGCCGCAGATAGCAATGTATGGAATCCTGAAGGCACTGGAGGAGCGGTCGGTGGGGCTTGGGAATAATCTTCATGCGTGGTTATGGGTGGCAGCTTTGGGAATCGTGATTGTCGTGTCATACAGCATTGAGTCGTGGTTGTGGTGGATAATATCCTCGCAGCTGTGGGTTCCGATCTATGAGGGGCTGTCGTCCATCATCTTTGCCAAATCGATGCGCTGTAAGGATGTCAAAGGGATGAAATCGGTGAAGGACGATAGTACACCTGATGATGAAGGGGCACAAGAGGAAAAGGGTCGCCAGAGTATCATGAACCTGGCAGCGGTAGATTCGAAGCGAGTTGCTGATTTTGCAACATTTAACTATCTTATTCCCTCGTGCATTATGCGACTTCTGCTAGCTGCTGGATTCTTGGCTCATTTACTCGGCTGGAAAAGTCTTCTGGCTGGATTATCTGTGTCACTAGTGATAACTCCTCTCAATACGTTCGTGACGAAGCGTTATTCTGCTGCACAGCAGGAATTCATGAAGGCTAACGATAAACGCACCTCCACTGTGACTGAGGTACTGCAAGGCATCCGACAGATCAAGTTCGCTGCTCTTGAGCAACAGTGGCAAGATCGTATAAATGAAAAACGTCGGATTGAACTCGATCTTCTGTGGAAGACTTCTCTCTATACTACCGCTTTGGTGGCAGTGTGGATATTGGGACCTTTGATGCTTTCTGCAGTCTCCTTGACTGTATACGCTTTGACTTACGGTGACCTTCCTGCATCGATCGCATTTACTGCCCTCTCGGTTTTTGGAAACCTCGAGTCCGCAATGGCTGGCCTGCCAGACCTTATCTCCAAAGGCATGGAAGCTAAAGTCAGCTCGGATCGTATCGACGAGTATCTTGCGTCCGCTGAAAAGGTGCCCTATACGAGCAACGTCGATGAGATTTCATTCGAAAGCGCTACAATTGCATGGCCCAGTCAAGAGGAAGGGACTCCCAAGCTTCCGGAGATGGACGACAGTTTTGTTCTCCGCAACTTGAACCTGAAATTTCCACCGAAACAATTGAGTGTCATTGCAGGCAGGACTGGGTCTGGAAAGAGTTTACTCCTTGCCGCCATCTTAGGTGAATGCGACATTATACAAGGCTCAATAGGCGTCCCGCACGCGCCTTCGTTAGAAGAACGACAAGATGACCGAGCTACCCGTGACAACTGGATTATAGATACGGCTCTAGCCTATGTCGCGCAAAACCCGTGGATGGAAAATGCGACCATTCGGGAAAATATTCTCTTCGGTCTACCGTACAACTGGCGGAGATACCGGAAGGTCTTGAAGGCATCAGGACTAGAAAAGGACCTCACGATCTTGCCCGACGCAGACATGACTGACATTGGTGCGAACGGCATAAATCTTAGTGGTGGGCAGCGATGGCGTGTTTCCTTTGCCCGGGCTTTGTATTCCCGCGCGGGCATTCTCGTGATGGATGATATCTTCAGTGCCTTGGATGCCGAAACTGGGCGTCATGTGTATGAGCATGGGCTTACGGGAGAGCTGGCGCAGAACCGCACCAGAATTCTGGTTACACACCATGTCGGACTATGTCTTCCCCGGACCGACTATTGTGTTCTTCTCGAGAACGGCTACATGACGCACGCTGGGACAGTGGAACAAGTGCGCGCTGCACATGGCTTAACTGAGTTCCTCCAGGGGTTGAATGCCGAGATGAGAGACTTACAGGACAGGGAAATGGCGCGCGATGCCTCATTTAGGAAGCGCTCATCGGTTGGCCCTCCACCTCCAACTGAAAGCCACACCCCAAAGCAATTCACGCAGGACGAAGATCGCGCGACGGGGTCAATACCTCTGAAGGTATACACCACGTATATGACGAAGGGGAATAGCTGGCTGGCATGGGCCTGCGCCATCCTGATGTTTGCGACCTTTATGGCCCTCTTAGTCGGTCGAGTAAGTTACCTATTTCCAATGGGATATGAACATGTTTTCTAATTTCATAGTCATGGTGGGTGAGTCTCTGGACAAGTCCTAAGGCTGTGTCCCACACGACGGAGTCAACTACAATCTGGGAAGATACAATAGATCGATTCAAGGCTGTCCGCGTCGACAATGACCTCATGTTCTATCTCAGTGTCTACCTAGCGTTGTCAGCTGCTGCATGTATCATCGGTGCTCTGCGACAGTTTGCAATCACTTACGCATCCCTTCAATCCTCACGTCAGCTTTTCCAAGACTTACTTGCAGTCGTCCTCCGGGCACCCATGCGCTGGCTCGATACGGTGCCTCTTGGTCGGATCTTGAACCGGTTCACGTCCGACATCTATACGGTGGACTGGCGGCTTGCCTTTGATCTCGGACATTTTGTGTACAAGGCACTAGAGCTTGCCGGCATTATGGTTGCTGGTCTTCTTGTATCGCCATTATTGCTTGTGTTTGCCTGCTTGTTGTTGCTTTTCTGTCTCTACCTATCCAATTCATACCTCGCCGGGGCGAGAGAATTGAAGCGGTTGGAAAGCAACTCCAAAAGTCCTGTCATGGAGCTATTCGATTCTAGTTTGGCAGGCCTCACAACAATTCGTGCGTTCCACAAGACAGACGGATACATTCGGAAGATGTATTCAAAGATCGACCGCCACGCCCAGACGGTGTGGAATTCATGGCTTTTCAACAGATGGCTGTCCTTCCGGATGAGCATTGTCGGTGCTGTTTTCTCAACAGGAGCAGCTGCACTGGTCGTATATGTTCCCACCATCCCGGCAGCACTGGCGGGCTTTGCAATTAGCTTCGCCCTGCAATATAATTACGCCGTGTCTATGGGTCTTCGCTTCTACGCCGAGATGGAGATGGACATGAACGCTACTGAGCGGGTGCTGGAATACTCAAACATCGAAACAGAAGATCAAGGAGGCTATGAGCCACCAGCTGCATGGCCATTGCGTGGGCGTGTGGAAGTCGAGGACTTGGTAGTCAGCTATGCGCCCGATCTCCCACCTGTCCTGAATGGACTCAGTTTTAACATGCAGCCCAACCAGCGAATCGGTGTCGTGGGCCGCACAGGAGCCGGAAAGTCCTCACTGACTCTGGCCCTGTTCCGATTCTTAGAAGCTAGAGAAGGTCGTATCATCATTGACGGTTTGGATGTATCTAAGATGACTCTTCAAGCACTCCGCAGCCGCTTGGCAATCATTCCCCAGGATCCCGTTCTTTTCTCAGGAACTGTGCGATCCAACCTAGATCCGTTCCATGAGTATACGGACACAGAGTTGTACAATGCGCTGGAACGCGTACATCTCCTTTCATTCGAAGACGCTATTACACTCGCCTCCGGGTCTTATCATGGCTCGTCCAGTGGTAGCGACACGGTAGCATCGACGCCTATGTCACTTGCTGGTGGACCTTCTAAACCTTCTAGCTTTTTCACATCCTTAGCCTCGCCTATATCCGAGGGTGGACTCAACCTTTCTCAGGGCCAGCGCCAGCTCCTTTGTCTCGCCCGTGCTATCGTCGCACAACCTAAGATCATGATCCTAGACGAGGCCACGTCGGCCGTGGATATGGAGACCGATGCACTTATCCAACGCTCAATCCGGTCCGAGTTTGGACGTAACGAGTCCTCTTTACTCGTCATCGCCCATCGACTTAGCACAATCGCCGACTTCGATCGGATTCTTGTGATGGACGCAGGCAAGGCAGTAGAGTTCGGACCACCACGAGAGCTACTTGGAATCGAAGGTGGTGTCTTCAGGAACTTAGTCGAGAACAGCGGCGAAAGGGCCGTCCTGGAACAGATGATTCATGGGACAGAAAATTGAATAATACCAACCTAGTAATGGGCTAAGCGTAGGGCGAGGCCTGTTGATTGAATGTTCATGATAAATTGTATAGCCTGCTTCATTGTATTTCAGATACTCATATAATATCCAATACGCAATTACCATCAATCTCGAACATGACTGTTTTCCAACCTGTAATTTCTCTACCACCCTCTAGGCCAACCATCACTCCCAAGTACAAGTCGATACCTCCTCTGCTCCTCTACCACGCTGTTCCGCTGCACCACTCCCTCAAACTCCGGGACCCAAGCTCTCGGTACCGCGATGTCTAGCTTTCTCCAACTACGAGTGGACGCCAATCCCTCCCATGGCGCAATCCAATCCCATTCTTCTTGATTGATCCACTGCACAGGGGCTCCACCATGATGTGGCAATCCCGCAATCGAGAACCGAAGATCCTTGAGGTTCGTCAGCTCACTGTGCAGGATCCTGAAGACGTCCGAATAGAAAGACTTGAATTGGAGGTCGATATGGGGGGGCCACTTCATGATTCGGTAGATGTCGATTTCAACAGAGAGTGATACGATGAGCGCCAAATGGTCCCGTGGCATGACGCGCGACAGGCGGAAGAGTTGATCGATACCATGGGTGAAAACGAATGTCGTAGAGTTGTACAGTATTGGGAGGGTTTCTTGGTATCTGTAAATTGGTTAGTACTTATTTATGGGTAGGTTAGACCGTATTTGCGGTTAAGATACTCACACTCTCCGACAAGATCTTAGCCAATCCACCGCGTTTAATTTATACTCAAACCCCTCTTTTACCCAAGCCCGTGAGCCGAATTTTAACATCGCCTCTTCAGCGCCGGCGTGCTCAGGACACTGGAACGTTTTGTCGTGGCAGTTTTCCGCATCATCACACACTCGATGCCACCATTTCCACTGACCTCGTTGGGGATGGAAGTTGAAATCGAGATGAACTCGGCGGTTCCCAAAGGCGAAGAGATATATTAAATTTCGAACCTCGGGTGGGAGACGAGAAAAGAATGGACTTTGACTCTGCGGGTGAATGTCTACGGATGATTTATTGTGAGGCCTATTGTCACTTAATGTAGACAACAGGGAGCAATAGTTTGGCGGGAGGCTTGGGAGATAATTAGGATCAGTGGGAGACCCATTGACATAGCAAGTATCCTTGTCGATACCGACTGATTCCAAGACGGCTCGAGACCAGTTAGGGATGTCGTTGATTGACGTTGGGTCTGGTTCTGGTATTAAGAATGGCGGTGGCCTTGATGACTCCGGGTCTCGGTTATTACGGTTGAAAGCTTTATGGAAAAACCGTGATGGTGCCATACTTCGTTGTACCTATGCCTGGTTGCTTCTTGGACACGTAGGCATGAAGTTGCATTTACTCATTTTACCCCTCTGGCGACGAGGCTGAGGCTGAAGCGCCCGGTGCACGTCCCATCCAACATCTGTTGATCGGCAGCCACGTTACCCCAGACTAACCTTGATCCCGCATAGTTTGGAACTCAATCCTCGTCGCATGAACTCTTGGCTGTCTGAGAATTAGCAAGCCTTGCCTCGCCACATATCATGAAACCTGCCATGGTTTTATGTGATCCGAAACAACCTCCTGGTTAGAGCAAACGTTCAGTAGAACGGCAAATAAAGGATAACCGGAGAATGTGAGCAAGCAAAAGGGACTGGATACTGTATTATTGGATGACCTATTGACTGAGGCTCGGAGGATACGCCGTATTTTCCAGACACACACTTCGTCCTCATCATCACGTAAGGGACGAGCTCGGTTATTTGGGTATGATATTTCCATTCCTAAAGGCCGTTCCAGTAGGGCTGCGTCTTCAGTTTCAAGCCTGATTCATAATTCACGTCTGATTTGAGTAGTGCATTGGTACGGACGACAAGGACGCGTAGTAGCTGGAGCACGAGCAGATAACGGATGCTCAAACGGCGGCACTGAAGGTCAGAGTGCCCATGACCATTTTCAATCCAGGCAATAAGACCACTAAAAAGCACGCAAGGGAGGGGTACGGATTTCTCATTCGAACCTGCTGGAAAGCAAATCCGGCTGCACATTTGGTCCAGGAATTGAGGGAGCCGAATACGCCGAGTACGGCCCAAGCTAAGCTATTTCGTAACTCTAACTGAAATAAAGGTGTTCCTCGTTCTCCACTACAACGGGCGCCAACCACTAATGAATATTCATTACCCCCATTTTTCATCAGATCGGAATATATCGGCAAGGGAGAAATCAATCCATTAGCAACAAAATTGGGTATGAATAATAATAATTTGGTAACGAAATCAGAAACAATCCAATAAGACTCAAGTGTTAGGTAAGGATATAAACCCCACGGGGTCAACATCTAACCTCATTGGCACATCGGTAAACAAAAGTTAAGCTTATTGGGACCTGAATTTCTATAGTTTGGGACCTTTGTTTGGAGTCGTTTGGAGACCACTCGTACGAATCCAATTTACATCGCATTTTCATAACAAAATCCTTTGGCTTTAGCGCAACTCCCAAATAACCGCCCCAACAAAAAGGTGGAGTCGGTGCGAGTGTATATAACGGGAGACTTCTCTCCCAATTTCCCCCGACACACTCCCGACACTCAACGCCGTACCTGTACTGAACATAACCCTAACACCAACATGGTCCGCAGCATCCACATTGCCGTCCTTGACGTTGATATTCCTCCTCGCAAACTTTATGAATCGCACGGCCTATGCAGCGCCCACTTCCGTAATATCCTACAAGAGACTGCCTCACGTCTGAACGAAACCTCCCTAGCCCATGATGGCCCCATCGACATATCAGTCACTCCATATGACATCCGAGGAGGACACTATCCTGACTTGCGCAAGCTAAGAGGTCATCCAGACCACCTCACGTATCCCGATACCTCTCAAATTGATGCCATCTTGATCACAGGGGGCGCACCCGGTGTATACGAAATGGACATGTCGCCCTGGATGCAGCGCCTGCAGACCTTTCTCAAGACAGTCTTCGAACAATACCCAGAAGTCCGAATCTTAGGTACTTGCTTTGGACACCAACTTATCGGACATGCTCTGATGAGAAACCCGGCCGACACTGAGCGAGAGGTGTTCGTTGAGAAATGTCCCCTCGGCAGAGAGGTGGGTATATACACTGTTCAGTTGGAGAAGGACTTTGTCCAGGCTTTTCCATTGGCACTAGGTCATTTGCCGCAGGAGCAACTGAGGATCCAAATGTTCCATGGTGATCGTGTCATGGCGGTTAAGAAGGGATCTGCTAGCACGCTCGATGAGAAGGCTTCTCTTCCTGCGCCGTGGATTAATGTCGGAAGCACACCAATTTGTCCCATTCAGGGGTTGTACTACCCGGGAAGGGTCCTCTCTGTCCAAGGTCATTATGAGCTGGACGCGTTCGGTATGCAGAACATGTGCTTGGAATTTGCACCAAGCTTTGGATGGAAGGATTCGAAGCTTGCATTGTTTCTGGAGCAGGTTGGTCCACATGTGGCGGAACGACGAGACGATGCGAGGTCCTTTGCTACTGCCGTTGTTTGTTTTTTGGCAGGTATGGAGCAGCTTCGGATTGGCGAATAGGGCGAGTTTATGTATGTACTTTTGTTAAGACTGACCAATCTATCTTCTATTCATCACTTACCTCCGAGTCTGATTCACATATTTTTGGGCTGTGAATGGCTCATCGATATATCATCTGCTCTGTCATGACATGCTTGAACGGGTGCATTATTAGGGCAGACTACTTGGCTTCTTTTCATGTTCCCTTTTTTTTTTTTTTTTTCCTTTCTTCTATTAATTTTGCTCCTGTTGTTATATCCATGGTGATATCCTTAGCGTGTAATAAATATCTACGTGATCCAATAACCCAATAAACGTATGTTCTGAATTAAATATAATAAACGAATCTGCGTAGAAGGAACGAGAACAGAAATATAGTAAAGACACGTCATCCACCGACTCCTCAACACACATCCCTACCAGACCTCCGCAACAATATCTACCACTATCCTACCCTTTGAATTACTAGCAACAGCCTCAGTAATAGAGAGGGTTCTCGGGATCTGTCAAGTCAAACACAACACTAGAATGCGGCTTTGCGCCACCCCTCTCCGGAAACTCCTTATTGAAGTCAATTGACCGGTTGAAGCTCAAGCTACCATCCTCATTCAAGTCGATGTACAGCGCCTTGAAATCAGCTGGTGTGTTGATCAATCCGATCTCACCGGTCTGCACGAAGTAATCCGTGACGACGATATGCTTCTGGTCCGGCGTCACCTTGACATAGTGCGGGCCGACAGTTGGCTGATCCTCGTCTGGGTCATCAAGGCGCTGGACGTTGTTGAGATTACTAATGTCTAGGGCTGCGATGTGGTTTGCTGTGGTTAAAGTGAGGTAGATGAAGCGGCCATCTTGGGTAATGTCCGTGCTGTTGAAAGTATGATTAGTGGGTCTGGCAAGAAAGTATATTGCGTGGAACAGGTGACATACTAGATTGCAGTTGTATCACGAGCCTTAGGGCCTAGATCATAGAGAAGTTCTGCTCTCCCGGGCTTGCCATTGGCATCTTCCTGTCCGGGATAGATGATCCAGACTTGGCCCAAGTGGACTGCTGTGGCGAGAGCAGCGCCGTCGGGGTTTCCGGGGATGAATTTGACGTCTTGGATACCACCTCCCTGTGTCTTTATTAGCGGCCAGAAAGCGACAGATGAGCCACGTGTGGGAAAGACGTACGTCGGGGATGGTAATAGTGTTGAGAATTTTCTTAGTCTTCAAATCCCACAGCCTAAGTGTGTTCGCGCGCCGGATTCCCGTACTAGGCTTCAAGATACTGATAGGCTCGACGAAGTCAGAAGTGAGAATGAAGTTTCTCTCCCAGTCAATACTAAGACCATGGGGAGAAAATTGCTCCCCGAGAATGTTTAGCGTTCCGTCTAGATCTTCCGGCCATTCGTGGATGATGTTGAAGTCTGCGTCGGTCTCAACCAGACGTCCTGGCGATGTGCCCAGGGCGGAGCCCATGTATGTGATGTAGAATCCGCCATCTGGCTTGGCGCGGATCTCATCTGCAATGGATGAGAGGAGGGCACGGTTGCTTTTCTTGAACGTTGGTCGGTAGGGGTTCGTGGTGTCGAAGTAGAAGGCCGTGTCCTAATGCATTGTGAGGACGGGCATGCTGGGAAGATGTACCGTGCGTGCTTACCTGTGTTTTCAGCAGCGACAAGAGCCCACCACCAACTAAAGTCTTGCCGTCGAGAGAGGGTCCAAGGTGATGCGGGTCGTTGCCGCTAGATGGGACATCTGTTACCCAGAGAAGAGTACCGAAAGTATCCTACGACTATGTTAGCAGTGTCCAGATTCTATCTTCATGAGGGGAATTTTTACGTCGTCGAGACTGTACGTAGCAAGGAAGTCTAGAAGCTGTATTAGATACTGTACCATGACCACCTGTTCGCATATACGCACCCTTGTGGAACTTGTCCCCAGAGCCAGTCCAAAAGTAGCCAATCTTCTTTGGCTTGATATCGCTTGGAGTGAAGGGTGGACTCTCCAGAGGAGGGGTAGGTACTTGCAAAATTGGCAAAGGAGGGGCATTCTCAGTGAGAGGTTCAGTCACTCCCGGAATGAGTGGAATCAGAGGAGGCAAGGAAAGACATCTTCCGAGAGAGGCCAGAGAAACCGCGTACACCAGAGATGACTTCATCCCGATTAGGATATTTGGTAGGAAGTTATATCGACTGTTCAAATGAGAGACCAGGGTGGGAATGGAAGGTTTGCTGATTTACGTGATGAGAAGATTTGAGCAAGATACTTCCTTATATATTCGTCTCCCATGTCCTCCTTTGCTGGCATTCCGCTGAATATGCTATCTCGCGTTAGTATATGCTCAATTGGTCCTCCCGCATACGACATCCTTTCACAGAAGCACGCAAAATTTGCTTTGAAATTATATTTCTCTAGAGTATTTGGAATCTTGCAACGAAAGACAAGCAGTAAGGACATGATCCGCGGTCTGTTGAGTCCAGCCATCCGTGTTTACCTCTTGGCATCTATAACGAGGACAGGAGGTATTGCGAACCAGTGGAGGTGTGATTGAGCTAACATCCACTTCCAAATGGCGCTTTACATGCTACTTGATGTCGTGATCAGGTACAGATAGATCAATATGTATGCTAACGCAGGATACATGACACTACTCAGGAACCCAGATCAGGCGATGCAAGGGCAACCAGTTCGTCCGCCAAGCCTATCTAAAAAGGCGCATCCAAGGCGTGGCGATTCTGTCAGGAATCCAGGTCATACCGATTGCGAATACGAGTGCAACTATGAGCATTCGACAGTGCCAACCGGTAATGGCGAACTGATTCAGGCCTTGATGGCTGCAAAGCGATGATCTCCTTTGGCCTTAGAACTGATAATCGCTATGTCACTTCTGATGCCAAGCCAGTTACTAACCTATCAATGGCTGGGCTCACTGGAGTCTAATAAAGTTAGAAAGTGTCCTTGGAGAGCTTGTTATATTCTTGTCTTGTCATTTTCGGGTTCCGGTAACTTATCTAATTTTCTCAACTGGCAAAGATACATACCAGAAGCTCTTCAGATAACAGAGACCACATGATTCGGTATAATTTAATAATACCTAACCATGATCTTTCCTATCCGAGGTCATTTCGTGACTGAGAAGTGGGCAAACAAAATACCATGTTGGTTGTGCATGCCAAGACCACGACAAAGACCTCATTCCAAATAGGGTTATGTAAATGCCGATATCGAGGGGGCAAGAAGGAGTTTACGAGCCAAGTTTATGTACCAAGCTGCACTAGACGTTAAATTAAGTTTTAGGAGCCAAGTCGAGGGTTCCTGGAGCCAAGCAAGAGCTTTTACAAAACCCCAGCGCACAGCGGGGGACCCTAGATTTCATCACAATGCCAAGCATGTCGTTATACCTCCGGAATGCTGATCTGCGCCGCTAGGGATTTGTTGACTGCTCCTACAGTATGATAGTGCTTAAAACGTGAGTGGCCTCGTTTAAGGAAAATTATTGCGAATGTTTATTGAACTTTGTTGCTCCTGCGAATGCGGGATGGCTCTACACCAGCACCAACATCGGGATTTACATATCAAATTCGTCGAATGAAGAGGATATGTCGTGATCATGAATTCCCCAGATGGGCCAAGAGGAGGGGTTTGGATGCGAAAGTATTTATCTGGTAAATATACTCATGATGTAGGACCCAGCTTTTGTGCCCCAATCTCCCTCTGGTGAATATCTTTGTGGCTACAGTTATTCGCACCCAAAGATATACTCCACCATGAAGGCCACGAGCCTCGTATTCATTAGTTTTCTGTCGTGTGTTCTTGGAGCAGTCGTTCATGACAAGCGCTCTGGCTTTAAGGATGGCCAACCTATAAGTGACACCGGCAAAGGAGCACCACTCCTAGGTAAGGCCAGGAACCCCAAAATCACCAACGCTGTCCTTCAGAAATAGTACTCACATCCTCTACTACAGGCGGTACAAACAAAGCACTAGACCTGCAAAACCCAGATAACCTTGGCCAACCCAGTACCGACAACGGCTTCGTCCCTAACCTAAAATGGAGCTTCTCTGACTCCAAAACAAGGCTCTTCCCGGGTGGGTGGGTACGCGAGCAAGTTATCCAGGATCTGCCGCAGAGCCATGATATTTCTGGTGCGCAACAGCATCTGAAAAAAGGTGCCATCCGGGAACTTCATTGGCATCGTGTCGTAAGTGATACTCCAAATTTTCTTTGCTCCTAGGAAGAAATGATGTGTCTAACGATACTTTCCCCTAGGCGGAATGGGGCTTCCTATACTCGGGCTCTCTCTTGCTTTCTGGTGTAGATGAAAACGGCCAGTTCACAACCGAAAAACTGGAAGAAGGCGACATCTGGTACTTTCCTAAAGGTGTTGCGCATAATGTGCAGGGCCTTGATGATGAGAATGAATACCTTCTCGTCTTTGATGATGGCGACTTTGAGAAAGTTGGGTAAGTTCCATCCCCATCCGCCAGAAGGGCTGAATCTGACAAGAGAAAATGCAAGGACGACTTTCATGGTCGATGACTGGATAATCCACACACCGCGCGACATTCTCGCGAAGAACTTCGGCGTTGACCCCTCGGTCTTCGATAATGTGCCTGAGAAATTCCCTTACATCCTCAATGGGACGGTCAGCGAAGAGGCGAACGAGACTCCCAAAGGCACATTGACTGGTAACAGTTCATATGTGTATCATACGTACCAACATCCCTCTGAGCCGGTACCTGGTAGTGGCGGTACTTTTAGGAAGATTGACTCGAAAAACTTCCCCGTCAGTCAGACTATTGCTGCCGCATTGGTGGAGCTTGAACCCAAAGGGCTACGGGAGTTGCATTGGCATCCGAACGTGAGTTATCCTCCCTCGGTGAAGGCTATAGTTCGGTTACTGAACGCACATATAGGCGGAGGAGTGGCTGTATTTCCACCAGGGGAATGCTCGCGCTACTGTATTCTTGGGTGATTCCAAGGCTCGCACTTTCGATTTTACCGCCGGTGACACAGCCGTTTTCCCTGATAATAGCGGTGAGTGAATGTTTCTGATCCCATTTACTATATGAAACTGAGATTTAAAATCAGGTCATTACATTGAGAATACCTCGGAGACTGAGAAATTGGTGTGGATCGAGATTTACAAGAGTGATCGCGTAGCTGATATCTCGCTGGCGCAATGGCTTGCTCTCACTCCTGCTGATGTCGTAGCTACTACATTGAAGGTCGATATTGAAGTCGTCAAGCAGATCAAGAAGGAGAAACAGGTCTTGGTAAAAGGCAAATAGTCTGAGCCTTCCTCTGAAGTGTCTGAATCGAGAAAGCGTGGGCGCTATCTTATGAGCTTCTGGATATAGTTTAGTATACCTGACTCTATGTCGAGACACCCTATTGATTAATATCTGCAATTTAATTATATAATTATTTCCATATAGACACAGAACCCAGACGGAACTTTCACTATTAACTAGTCAGATCCACACGTCCGTACCGTATGCAACGGACCTGTTGACTGGCCAAAACATCACAAAATTGATCTCGGTCATACTACTCACACATCCCAGGGCCTCACTCTCGGTCCTCCCAAACAGATACATGCTTAATCTCCGCCCCTTCTAAGAAGTCCCTTATCCGACTAAATTCCTTGAACCCATCGGATTCTGCGAATCGGAAATGATCCTGCACTTCCCCCCAACCACTAAAGAGCACGAACTCCTCTTTGTGCTCACCATCATCCGATTTCTCCTTGGGTTCCGCCCGAACTCCACCCTTGAATCCCCTCGGAGCAATATACGCTTGCAAGTGTCTTTTCGTCTCTTCAAACTTGTTCAAGAACGCTTCCTTCTGACCAGCCTTGAGGAAATAACGCCCGATAGCAATCACAGGGGCGTCGATTATTGGGACTTCTCCCGAGCTTCCGGCAGGTAATCCGAACATTCCGAGCACAGCAGGATCGATTTCGATATGAACCATGTACACAAGATCCAACTTCTCCTTGAGAGAGGCAAGCAAGGATTGGTTTGTAGAGCTGGGGATCCAATCGTCCATGTGAGCCGAAACTGAGCTCCAGCCTCCAAGGAGGTAGATGTATGATGGGTCTTCAATCTGGGTGAACAGGTAGGTCGGGTACTTGGAGTAAGAGGCTTGGGCCTTTGCCGCCGATAATAATTCCTTTCGGATGGTAACTCGGTCAGCTGATGACTTCAGGTGGAAGAGCGCTAGCTCCGTGACTGGGCTTGAAGATTCGGTGGAGGTCATTTTTGTTATGGTGTTGAGTAAGTAGAGTTATGTTGGATCGATCGTGGGGCTAGAATGTGCAGGATAAACAGAGGTTATGTAGTCACCAAGCTTGCGTCAGGAATATATGGGATGCTTCTTGATTAGGCCGGTTGGTGGAAACATTTATTTATATAGTGTAGGCTTCCGTGTCCACGTCACCTCTGTGGCCTAGTGTGAGGGAAGTGCGTCCACTTGATATTTGGGGTTAATTGAACCAATGCAGTGAGGTATGAGGCACGTATATTGTTAGTAATGTAAATGCTAGATAGCATATACCTACAATGACAACTTGAACATTCGATATATATATTCAGAGGGATGGATAGCTAAATGGTTCGGCGACCGACCCACCGGGGATTACGGCTTAGTTTCCCGCAACATAGGGTCGTAGGTTTAGATCCCACTCGTATTACTAGTTGTACCTAAACTATAAGGAAGTTCAAATGCTGGATCAAGAAATATCCCCTTGGACAGGAAGGCAATAATACCCTATAGGTAGGGATACTAATGAGTAACGCTAACTACGTGGAGAGAAAATAATAACCTGTATATTGAAAAACCATCTGGCGACTAAATAGTATAAAGTAATAGATATATATAACGTGAGACACACCTAATTAGTCTGGAGGGTTTTCATCCGGAGCAACCTTTAGAGGTTCTCACAGTTTCCCCTCCCAACCTCACCCCCCCCGGGGGATCGCTCAGATGGCTAGGTAGCCCAGCGATGGCAAGCAATGTTATTATTGGTGTTGTATATTCAAAGGGGGGTATTGTAGAGGAGTCCTCTCCAGAAACCGGGGTCTGACTCTCTGCTAGTTGCTTGGACTACAATCTAAAGACATTAGTGCATTCAAAACTGGTTGGAGGACGACTTCAAGAGGTAAGCATGGCTGTAGCTCTCTTGACAGTATCCTCGTTGGATCCATAGTGGCCTCTTTGGTCCTTGGAGACAACTCTCTCCATCCCTTCCTAGATCCGTGAGACGAGCTGTTCCGCCGGATCATCACTGTTGACCAACAGTATTTCCTCACAGGCGTATGATGTATTGAACAGGATGTCCTGCAGGTATCGTGTCCATCCCGTCATCCGCCTCGACAATCAGGCGAGCCTGTGCCTCATTGGGTGCCTTCCATACAGCCTCGATCCGCTATTCACGGTAAATATTACCACCACGGTCGTGGCGCAGTCAGTCATGGACCTTGCGCCAATGCCATCATATAATCTCAATTGACCGTCCAATATATGGGCATCCGGGGGTAATCTCGAACATCAATCTATCGGGGTATGTGGGCGATTCGAGCAATGGGCCATCGATCTGGTGGCGGATAATAGCCTCCTGGACATTCTGGGTGACTCTATCCGACTGTTGAATTGCTTCCTGAATTTAAATGACCTCCGCGTGTAGCTTGCGGTAGACACCATTCTTCAAATCGCGGATGTACAATCTCATTCGGCCAAACACCGTGTTGGCAGATCTTGCCAATAACCGCGGGCAAGTCGTCAATCTTCTGGAAAATCAGATGGTCCCAGGAGCAGTAGCTCAACAGACAAACGGACGGAAGGATGGATATGTGGGTGGGATGGGTACTCACGGAATATAAACCTAGCGACGTACGGAGTACGGATGGGGAAATGGGGTTAAGCTGGAGAGATCAAGTGGAGATGCTATTCATTCGGCGGCATCGCAGAGGGGCAACATTCACCGCCTTCCATTATTGTAGTCAGCCAGACATATCACGTGGGGCTTCGTAGGATGCGATCATTTCACTTCTTCTTGGCATCTGCGCCCGCTGTACATCTTGCCAAGCAATGTTCTTACAACAATGGAGTCATGAAACGCTCGCGACAACAAACCGGGTTATTATTCTTTTATCAGCGATGCCGCACGCGACCTTCCAGCATTAGTTTCACCGTCAGTGGGCATAAGCTTGCCAATTTGTCTTCCAGGGCCAGCAACTGAAGCTAGCGCGGGAACATAGGGGACTGAGCATGCACTAAAGACTCTCGGTGATCAATGGCTGACGGGGGAAAGGACCCATCAGAGGTTGGCACAACTGCTCGAGAAATCCTGGGTTCACCGAAAAGCACAAATAACTGGAGACGCGAGGGCCAATGTTCCATTGATGAAGACTGAAATTACCTCGCACTTGGGCCCACTGCCGCTCGGTTCGGATCGTCAATATGGAGATGTCAACTTTGATTCCTGCAGGTTATCCGATTAGATTACTCACGACTAGTGACATGACTGAGTTACTTCCTATACCCTGTGGCAGAGAAGTTCTTTTCCGAGTCTTTAGGTGTAACCCTTCTTTGTGTAATATCTGGACGCTAATGGACAAGTCGAATTCCATGTTTTTTCTCCTTACTAAACATTATAACTGGTGTATCAAGGGCAGGATGTCTATATTACAATAAATAAGGAATAGAGAGCGTAAGTAGTATCTATTCTAGGACCAGAACGGAAGTGCATACATAAGCCAATAATAGAGCATACCCTTTTTTTCGAAATTCACGTACGGCAAATCGCATTTTCTTTCCACTCAATCAACTAGGCCACGGAAGGGTGAGATTGTGATTGTCGGATGTTTTTGGCAACACGAGGTTCAATAGGCTATTCGGGAAAGGCGGCCAACGAGTCGAGACAATGTTTTCCGTATCCATAGCGTCTTGAGACCGTGGAATGTCAAAACCTAAGGTTTAAGTATCCAATACCTCCCGTATTCATCGTTCCAGGCCACGCATCCACTGACAAATGAACAATCTCGGGTATCACTCTCATGACCTGCTATGTCACCACCGAACTTCCGGATATCCATAGGCTATTCTTGAAAGCCCCCAAATATATATATAAGTACGAGATCAAGACATGGAGGCATCCACAACTGCAAATCATATCTCAGAACCTTCAATATACACAGCCCATTCGCTATCGAATAAATCCAACCAGAAAGAACCCCGCTCAAAATGTCCACCACAAGCCTCCCCAAAACAATGCGTGCTCTCCTTCAACCCAACACCCAAGAAACCCACCTCATCCAAACCACACTCGACATCCCAACCCCGGACCCCAACACCGACGAGCACCTGATTCGCGTCCACTGCGTCTCCCCCTGCGCAAATGAACTGAACTGGCTCAAATACTTCCCCCCGCCGAAGCCTCGGACCCAAATCCCCTGCTACGACATCGCCGGCACCGTCGTCAAATCGCCCGACAATTCCCCGTTTTCTGTCGGAGATGAGGTCTACGCTCGAACAAATTATCTGCGACCCGGTTGTGCCAGCGACTACACCATCGCCGTCACCGATGAACTGGCGCATCGGCCGAAGAAACTAAGCTGGGTGGCGTCGACGGCCGTCCCGCTCTCCGCGCAAACGGCTTGGCAGGCTTTGTTCGTGCAGAGCGGAATTGGAGATTTTGGCAGTAAGGAGTGGAAGGGGAAGAGGGTTCTTGTGACTGCTGCTTCTGGGGGAGTGGGGATCTGGGTTACTCAGATCGCACGTCTGATCGGTGCGACGGTGATTGGGACGTGTGGATCGAGGAATGTGGACTTTGTGAAGGGGTTGGGGGCAAGTGAGGTTATCGATTATCGCAAGACAGATATGCGGAAGTGGGCACAGGAGCCGAAGAACCAGGTTGATGTGGTTGTTGATTGTGTTGGGGGGAATTCGTTGTCCGATGCGTGGTGGTGTGTGAAGGATGGAGGTGTTTTGGTGAGCATCTTCCAGCCTCCGGAGCAGGTTCGACCGGAAGTGTTGGAGAAGAGTGTCAAGAGTTTGTTCTTTGTGATGGACCCAAAAAGAGAGCATCTTGAGGCTATTACGGAGCTTGTTGAGATGGGGAAGTGCCGCCCTGTTGTGGATAGTATTTGGCCCTTGGAGCTTTTCGAGGAGGCTTTTGCGAGGTTGGATGGGGGACATGCGAGGGGGAAGATCATTTTGGATCTGTCTCTCAATCAGGGAGTTTAGTTTTATGCCCGGGTGTGATGTGGTGGAGCCGAATGGCGCAATGTATGCAGCAGGAATTCTTATGTTGGTGGGGTTCAATTTGATATACATAATGAAATTGGATATCTTACCGTAACCGTGCCAGATGGTGCTTTTTCAATCTGGGAACGTGCTGATCGAATGAATATACAAACCCGTTAACAAAGTTTAGGCCCTGGGATGAGTTTTCTTTCACTGCTGGGTATGTTGAACGGCCAGTTTCATGTTCTTTGCTACTGTCCCCATGCCAAACAATTGCCTGTGTCTGCCAATGGTGATACAAGGATATACCACTCTCTTATCGAACCATTCGAAAGGCCCATGTTAGCCTGAAGTGAGAGGGAATTTCGTCGAAATGACACCGTGCGATACAGCACTCTGCAAACAACCGGTTTTCTCAATGTGGAAATAATGCGTGACAAAGCTGTTTGTTTAGCTTGACATCCTGAAGTGGTCAAGCAAACCATGGTCCCTCCTAGTATCAAATGTAGACAAGGAGAGGCGATAAGATAAAGATTGCCAGACTTTCAATAAGACCAAGAATTCCGTGAAATTCAAAGATGAACTCAAACTGAGATGTAAATCGACGTCATTCGATATTGACATTCCCAGTGAAATAGATCATATGGCCACTTCCTCCTAGCAAAATATCTAAGAAAATGGGAAGTAGATGGGCCATGGAGCTTGATTGAACTGCCGAGGGTATAAAATTCATTGTCAAATGCCAAGAATTTCATGATATCTAAAGTGTATTAACTATGCATCACATGCAATCATGACTAAGCAAATGCATAAGGAATCAATCGCACATTGGCTCAATGATTGTGATCTGCAACTGTCATTCAGCTACTGGCAAGGAGGAGTCACATTGCTACAATTGGGTGACAGGATTAGTTTACATCTCTCTAACCGCTACCGTTGAGGATTGATCAGCCAATTGTCCAATTCTGTGCACTGTGACTGTGACCACATCATAAATCGCATCGCCATAAATACCTCCCCGCATACAATGTCCACCGACCCTTTTCCCTCCATTCTGGTGACTCCAGAAGAGTTTCACAGTGTGAGGAGATCAACGACCCGTCGCATCATTCCGGTAGCGGCAGGGCGTGGGGCACTACGCTCATCTTACGAAAAACAGCATATACCAGGCTCAGTGTAGGTCAAGTTGTTACCCCACATACGATACCATGTCCTCAGAAGGGAATAGGTTCTTCGATATGGATGTCATCGCAGACACCACATCACCATACCCCCAAATGCTCCCCACAGCGAATTACTTTGCTCACTGCATGGGAAAAATGGGTGTCCAGCCGGATGATATCCTGGTCGTTTACGACGCAGTCGAGATAGGCATGTACAGCGCACCGCGTGTCGCATGGGCCTGTCGCCTCTTTGGACATGAGTCGGTACATGTCTTGAATAATTTCCGTCTGTATACGGAACAAGGGTACCCTGTTGAAGAAGGAGGCATGTCGTCGCTTCCACAAACTGTTTACCCTGTTCACAAACCAGATGCGAACCACGTTATCGCATTCGAGGAATTGCGGAACATAATCTTGCACGAACGAAAGAACTACTATATCATAGATGCCAGAATCCCAGGTCGCTTTTCAGGCACGCAGGAAGAAGCTGATCCCACACTGCGATCGGGACATATGCCTTCGGCGATCAATATCCCGTTGGCAGCGATGTTGGATGCGGAGTCGAAGGCTTTTCTGCCATTGTCAGAATTGAAGGGGCTCTTTGAGAAAGCGGGTCTTGATGGCACTACACCGGTTATCTTGACTTGCAATTCTGGAGTAACTGCCGCCGCATTGGACTTATCATTGCAGGTGACCGGTTACGATATGGAACGGAGGGTGTATGATGGGAGCTGGATGGAATGGACGAGGCGGGCGGGAAGCGACTTGGTAGTCAGGGATTAAATTCTACTTGCCTTGCACATATTTGTTCAAACATTCCTGCCGTCTGCTCTACTTGTAATCCGAGAGCAACTGAAGTAAATACATAGTCTAGATGGTACCTCGTGCTCAAATGACAAATCCCTTTTGTTCCTTTAAATATCCCGATAAGCAGTACTTGAGCATCAGTTGTACCCTCTTGGGGCAACAAAGCCAACAATAACATGTTACATTTTCTTTGTGTCATGAGAAGGTTATGATTCACTCTAAGATCAGGCATTGCGCAGAATTAAGTATTTGCTTGCTTAGTGCGGCAAATCCAGTTGTTTGGAAGGTATGAATGAGATATGAGCTCCTGATAATAGATTGTAACACATTAGCTGATCCTGATCATATAGCATAGGACAAAAGCCGATAATAACCCTGCGGTCTTCCCTCTCTTAGCAAAAGGTGAATGTACTTACTACTTGACGTCCATGCAAACTACACAAACCTTGCAGAAAGTCGTTCTTTTGTCTTCGAAACAATGATCGGATTTCTTTGGTCACACCGATTGGATACTCAGGACAAAGTCCCAACAATTTGAGCAGTGATATCATTTTTTTTACCTCACAACCTTGGCTTTCTTCTTGTCTGTTCCAATGGCATGTCGCGGCGTGTGGAACCTGTGTATTAATGGTCTGTGAGATACATTAGTTGACTCTATAGCTCTTTACCCTAACGACTACGCTTAGGAAACTGGTATTGCTACGGTGATTCGGCTTCGCCAATTTCCCCTCCTGGGAATATCTCCACGCTGTGAAAGCTCAACCAGTTGGTTGACAACCGGGACATCAAAGGACGAAAGAAGATTACATCACCCAGCCTTAGCCTTCCCAACATTGACTTCATCTACACTCTCGATACGGACGCTGGACCTTTCAAAATCTCCCTCGGGAAGCGTTTCACCAGACCCCCGTTGGCTGTGCCGACGGACGTATATCTCAAGCCCGCTGCTCTTCGGGAGGGTCATGATATGGATCTCCGCTATACTGTACTGGGGGATTCTCAGCTTGCCCCCCAATAGTATACCGGAGTCGACGAGCTCTATTTGCAGCGACTTAATCTAGAAAGATTGCAGTTGAAGTTTGGTATTCCGACTGTCATCAATGAGCTACAGAAGCGGGTGTTTATGACTTTTTCTTCAGATGGGATGAGTACCTTGACCCGCCTAATTGGGGATACATAAACCGTGGCTTTAGATCGCTTTCTGTGTCTTGCGTCTCGCAGCCTGGGACGTTGAAGTCAATTCTGGACCTAGACCCGCCATGGGTTCCGCAGAGCTTGAAGAATGGCAGTATGCTGAGTCGGAGCTTTTCTGGTTCCACACCTCCCCCCTTCGAAACGTTTCAGCTGATAGCACAGTGATATCATCGTCTCTACAGTTTATGGTAACTTTCTTCCCCGTTGTAATCCATGGGTTCAAATTGTACTCGGTTTATGTGGATAGTTGTTCTTTATCCTTTTCTCAGGGGCCGTTTCCGAATGACTGATCTATTTGGGCATTCCTCGAATTCATATATGCTTTAAGAGCTTCAAGTCCTCCAGCACCATAGTATCATCATGGCACTAACATTTGCAAAAATGATGCTCTAGGAATGTATTTATCTGAATAGGCTTCCCCATCACCGGCAGAATACCAGCCCCTAATGGAATATCGTGGGATGGTACTCGGCATTAATAGCTCTAACACCGGAGTGCCGATCGAGTACATCGCTAAGTCGTGAAAGGCAAGAACAGTCGACCTGAGGCACCAACCTCACCAGCCATACAACTACCACGTCCGATCATACAACTCATCCTCTCTCTTCTCAGTCCCCTCCAACTGACGCATCGCCAGCCTCCTGGCAGCAGATCTCAGAGCGGGATGTTTTGCATCCACAATTGGCCTCACCAACCGCGACACACGACCCTCGTCGCTCTTCCCCTCCTCAACAACAGGAAACCACGTATCCCCCATCCCTGTCGGTTTCGCGTTGATATAAATATTTTCCCACTTCCCCTTCGGCACAATATACGTCTCATGGTAAATTGCGATATGCGGATGATCCTTAACGATCTCCGTCCACCACCTCATGCCCTCCACATGGAGCGAGCCATGCGCAAACCGATGTAACGCATCGTAATCTCGGAGATAGTAAATCGCCATCACCTCATTACCTGCGGAGTCGTCCTGCTTCCCCCAGGTCGAGACTCCGAGGAGGCCGTACTTGACAGGGTCGGAGTTCATCTCGCGGTTCATTGCTATGACTTTCTTGTTCACCTCGGCGAAGCCTGGAGCGAAGATACCGAGAGGGTGGTTTGAGCGTGTGCCGAGGTGAAAGACCACAATTGACTCGGAGGCAATTTCCTTTCCGAAGATGCCGTTTGCATCGGGGGCTTGCGCGGAGACTTTTGTCTGGATGACACCGTCCATGTAGCGGTTTCGGGTTATGTTGGCAGCCATGAGCAAGTGCTCGGTTGTGCGGTATAGGAGGATAAGCATGGTCGGGATGAGGGCGTAGGTGCCGAAGACGATTACGGCGAGCCCTTGGAAGAGTCCGCCCAGGAGCAGCCAGGTTGACAGGGTTAAATTGTCCCGAATTGCTACTGATATCAACGGCAGGTTTCGCGGGGGCTGAAGTATTCCCCGAGAGTTTGTCGACTCATTTGAGACGGTGAACGGTGCTAGGAGAGGTTTGAAGGTCATCATTGTAAGTCTCTTCTCGACCTCAGGGTTTGCAAAATATATCTGAGAATGGTAATGCGAGAGCAAGATCTGAGGCGTGCAGAGACAGAAACGAGGCCTGCTGCTTTATATCCCACGAACATGTATATGTCCGTCGGACTTTACCAGAAACGGAATTTGCCGACATTACTAAATATAATCGATTGACCTTGAAGCTTTGAAAGATCTAAATATAGAGCATATTACATTCGAGAGTTATCATGTTATCCATCCACTTTCAATTAGAATTATTCTCCTCCAATAAAGGTTGGGGGGGGGAATATAAAATCTTAGCTGTTGGTAGCAACCTACTATCCTTATTCGGGGCCCAAGACGCGATCTAAAGGCCCCCACCAAATTCCCGGCCACGGACAACATTAAAGAGGGGCTTTATACTGTCCAATATGAATATGACAACCTTTTCGTCTATTGCCTGAGCATAAGCCAGACTAACTACAACACAAAGATATGCAGGATCTATTGAGTCTTCCTATCGAATCCACCTCCCCATCCATTCCTGATTAATCCTCTTCGCCTCATCAACAAGCCCTAACTCCAACAGTAACTGTACAACACCCCTAACAGATGAGTGTAAAGAGCTACTCACCCACGCATGCGTGGGAGCTGTATGCTCCCCAATGAAGATCGTATTATGCTCGGTCTGGTGATACGCCGGGATATACAGCCGATGTTGCTCGACATCAGGTCGACACCACGATGTAGCGGTATGCTCATCCTGTAACCAGCAAAGTCTTTCATAATCACCAGTGTACAAATCACGGGCCTGTTCGCCATGTAGTGACACCACGGCATCTAGCACAGTCTGCACATGCTCTTCATCTGAGAAACTGACGAATCGATCACTCCAATCGCCACCACGGTAATGCATGATAAGGCCTGGGCGGGACTCATTGAGTCCATAGACGGGATAGTACAACGCTCCAACAGAATTGCTCGGCGGAGTAGAATAGCCCCCGAAAATCGGCTTGTCGCCTTTTTCCCAGAAGCGCTCCGAGAAGAGCAGAGCCACCTTACAGGCAGACTTGAACCGCAACCCAGCTTCACTGATCGCGCGGTCCAGAACTGAGGAAAACTTAGGCAGGTCCATGAACCGAGTCATGGTAAAAGGCACCGCCATAATCGTATAATCATACGTCTTGCTCTCGTAGGTCCGATTTCCAACAGATGGATACCACGATAACCGCGTCTGCATGCGCCCATCAGGGCCATCCACAGCCTCCAGCTTTCGAATCTTCCTGTCGAGAACCAGTCGGTCACTCACATGGGGCAAAAACGCATCCGATAAGCGGTTGAACCCCCGATCAATGCAAACCCATTCCGTCTCCCCCAACGCACCAGGACTCCCATCCAACCCAAGGTTCGAATTATGATGCATCTCATCCCAGAACACATCGTAATCACTATCCGTCCAAATGGCATCGGTCACGTTGACACTCGCATTAAACACATGTTTCATCATCGCCTGTTCGCTCCACTCGTCCAATCCACGATCCATAACCGCCCGATGCGCTCGCCACACATCCCTCTGAATGAACTTCAGCATCTCCTTCGCATTCAATATCCCCTCCATCTTGCTCTTAGTTTTCTCATACTCCGCAGTAGTCATGGGGTCCTTAATCCCCAACCCAGTTTCATTTCCAGATACCTCCCCCCTCGTCGGAATAGACCCATCAGCCAACCGACCCGTCCCTCGTGCCAGCAGCTCATTCTCGTGATGCTGAATCCACGGAATAAAATCAATCTTCCATTGACTCTCATTGCCATTCATATGATTTAACAGCTCCGCCAGCTGAAACACCATCGCATGGTCCGAGTATTCCACCGTCTCGCCATCGTTGTATCGAACCCGGACAGGCAGCCGCATGGGCCCCATTTCCGCCCATTCATCCGTGTTCCCTACGAGTTTCGTCCGGAACCGTCCTCCCACCCGGTCACTCGCTTCGAGTATTTCCCAATTATGGATTCCGACGCGGTCAAGGAGGAGGGCGGTTGTGAGGCCTGAGATGCCACCGCCGATGATGGCGATTGTGGTGTTTTTGTTTGTGCCATGGTGTGTTCCATTGGTGGTGGTGTTTATGGCGTTGATGCCGTCGAACCAAGCGCCGAGGGCGTCGAAGTCTTGCAGTTTAGGCGTTGCGGTTGTTAGAGGGAGGAGGAAGGGAAGGAGGGTATGAGGTCGCATTTTGAGGGAGTTGAGAATGAGGGTTGTTTTTTGAGGAGAGTGGCTTCGGAGGGAGGATGGATCGGTTTCGAATTCATTGTGAAGTTATATTCGGCTCGGTAGGGACCTTGTAGATGTTAACCTTGGTGGATAGTTTTTTTGATCTGCTTGTTCCTGGTGTCGATCGTTATTTAGATGCGTCCGCAAGGTACTAGTTGACCGCACCAGGAATTTTGGGATCCCAAAGGAAGTATTAATTATGTGGTGTAGCGAGGGAAGAAAATATTATATGGAAAGAACTTTTCAGCATTCAACACTATCTGATTAAAAAAGGGGGGGTATATTAAAAGTAGCGAAAGCCATCCTGAACAACAAACCCGGAAATCTCTAGACAAGAACGCCAGTCAACGTGCTATTTCAACCAATTCCAGACAGTCACTAAAAGTGAGGGGCATTCAAAGCCATCAAACACATCAGTCCTGCCACCAATCCAGCAGCAGGCAAGGTCAAAACCCAGCCCATAAAAATGAATCCAAGCTGGCGCCAGTTCATGGCGCCCATATCAAAGTTCATGAGAGCCACACCCGTCGCGGCTCCAGTAAGGCACTGTGTGGTCGACACGGGGAGACCCAGTCGAGATGCCAGGAGGACAGTGATAGCAGCTCCAAGCTCAGTGGCAAACCCACGGGTGGGTGACATCTGGGTGATCTTGTTACCCATGGCGCGCATCACGTGGTACCCATAGAACCAGAATCCGGCACCCAGGAGCAAACCGGCGATGACGAGGAACCAGACAGGAGTTTCCGCTTTGGTGTTCACCTCACCAGAGAGGTAGGTGGCGTACGAGCCCGCCCAGGGGCCAACGGCGTTGGCGACATCGTTAGAGCCGTGAGCGATGGACATCATCATGGCGGAGACAACTTGGCAGTAGGTCCAGAGATGCTCGACGCGGTCGTCGTAGCGCTGGGCACGGGCGTGGACGGCACGGAGGTGCTCGGAGTCGTGGGTGACGACGTCGCGAGTGACACCCTGGAGGAGGATAAATTTGGTCCAGCCCCAGTATTTGGCCGGGTTGAGCCAGGAGAGGTGTTCGACGGGCTGGAGGAAGCGCTCGTGGGGGCCGAGGATGGGCTTTTTGGGTTGGATTTGGGGAGTAGCCATGGCTGATTCAGCGGTGCGCTCGAGGTCGGAAATGTTCGTGTCCTTCTTATCGGTTGCTTTCTCGTTATCCTTCTGGCCGGCGCGGACTTCGCCATGGGCGTCTTCGTAGTAGTTGATGACAAAGTTTTCACCCTTGCCAGGCCAGTAGAGGGGGCAGTCATCCTTAAGCAGCCAGGGGCCGAGGGGAAGGTGCCAGACCTGGATGCGGGGATCCTCTTTCACGAGGCGACGGTGGAAATAAGGGACGAAGAAGACGTAGGAAATGAGGAGACAGCCGAAGAGGACACCGAGGACGATACCGACAGCCTTGCCGGCACCGAACTCCTCGAGCGAAGGAGCAGTCGGGGCCTCAACCACGATGAAAAGGGCGAGGATAGCTCCGGTCATGGAAAGGTAGATGGGAATGAGACGCATACCCCATTTGAAAGAGTCCTTACGCTCCAGCACGCTGTACTTGAGGATCCCGAAGATAAGAGCCGAGAAACCGCAAGCCACAGCCGGGGCAATACCCCAGGATGCTGCGACTTGGGACACACTGCCACTCTTCCATCCCCAGGAGATCTCTGCTTGTGCAGCGAATCCAACACCGACCAAAGCACCGACGACGGTTTGCGTGGTTGATACGGGCCACCCGAACTTAGTCGCCACCATCAGCCAGGTGGCACTTCCAATTTCTGCACAGCCCATGGCCAGCATGAACGTGCCGGGTTTGCCCACGAAGCGGTCCGGGCTGATAATGCCCGATTTAATAGTTGAAGTCACACGACTACCCAAAGCCACGGCACCGACGAATTCGGTGATCGTAGCCAGGATACCAGCCTGCCACATCTCCAGGGTCCGGGCAGCCACGGACGTTGCGTATGAGTTGGCCACATCGTTGGCACCATTTCCGAAGGCGCTGAAGACGAAGGCAATCGAGGTCAATGCCAGAATCCAGTCATACTTTGCAGTAATGGCGGGAATCATGTTGGGCGGCGTGCTGAACCGCACCGAAAAGGGATGTGGAGGGCGAGGAGAAGGATGGGTTGGGATAGGGTTGCGGTTGTGTGGAAGGACTGGATATCTTTGCACCTCAAAACTGGTGGTTCTACGGGCAGAGGAGTATTAAGTAGTCACCCTGATCGACTATAGTCGGGAAGACTGCTACTTTCGGGAGAAAACGTGCTTACAGACTTCACGCCAAGGCATCGAGCGCTGCATCCTCATCTCGTTCCCTCAGCTGGTAGTGATTGGTACTCAGGAGAACGTGAGCTCTGGCATCGCACACATTGGTCGAGAGCTCGTCTTCCGCTCGCAGCATGCCGAGAGGAGCGGACTTGGCGCCAAGTGCCGCCGAGACGCCATCCGAGGGTACTGGACCCCGATGGCACCCAATCAGAAGGCCCTCTCGAGCACGTTCCTGATCTTCTGGTTGAGGATGGGGTTCGACATGGTCGTTTAGGGTTGCTGCACTGGTGAAAAGATCTCCTAAGCCCATCTTAGTATTTCGGTGCGTGACTTGGCAGAAACCTTGAACCTGCGGATGCTCGCATGATTTCGAACTCACAAGGGGATTTGCCACGATGGGAAATTGCTCGGGCAAAATCGAAGTTTCGAAACACCATGCGAGGCATTTCCTGACCCACGTGGGAGCGTCTCGTCGTTCGTTGCAGTCGAGGCGTCATAGACTGGCCTGGACATTGGGTGGGTCGTGAAAGGGCAGTGCACACGCGACCACTTGCCACTGAGTATCAATGAGAGCTCAGCACCCATTCATTTGGGCAGAATGCCGCCTTAGAGTATGTTTATGGAAGATTCCATGCGCAATTCTGTAGAATATGCCGATCTCTAGCGAAATGTTGCAGGATATGTAGCACGCTCTAGGCTTATAGATTCTACCTACAAAGAGGTACCTCAATCAAGGCGAGATGGCCGAGCGGTCTAAGGCGGTTAGTACCACTAAATCTCGAGTATCTTATCGAACGTTCACTAATAATCTCTCAGCTGGAGTAAGGTTCCAGTCTCGAAAGGGGCGTGGGTTCAAATCCCACTCTCGTCAACATCTTTTTTGCTTTTTGCTTCCCTCTTTTGCCTCTCTACCTCTATTTCAATGTGTTTGGACCTTTCGTAATATTGACAATTCTTGTATAAGTTAACTGAACACCACTTCTCCAACCTACCATTTCGCTCCGTAAAACTAACAAGGCCTTCATCTACCCTAAGATCAACGTTTATTGTTCCTGTCATCGTTATGGCAAAGTACACTATACTGTCAGCTATAAAGGGACAACAAGGCCAATATATATAGTTAAATTTCGATCACCGTCTTCGGTCCTACCGTAGGAAATATATATATATCGCCTACAACACCTTTAGAAAGCTCAATACGGCATTCGACGAAGAAACCGTGGAAAATCTTAAAGCGACAGTTTAGTCAATTACTATGCACGAGTAATCCAGGGCTGTCTCCACCAAATTGGCGTAGCTTTTACTCTTGATTAGTGTGTGTGAGTCAATATACTTCTCGATTTAGAGCCAGGCCGAAGAAGCTTCCCTGTTTTGCTTCCCCGGTTTTGTATAGACATAATTAAATTCAAGGTACAGTATCTTCCCAAAATTCGGCTAAGAGTATAAAACAAAATATATATCCAAAATTAACATAATCGCTAATATATCGAGATGATTGCTATAAGCGTCATCACTTCAATAGAAAACTCCTGCTCATGTCCATTAATAGCACACTAGTCGTCAAAATCGTCGTAAAGCTCATCTTCCTGGTCATATATTGTGCCGTGCGCGTCCTTCATATGATTGTAAATAGCATCTTGATCGAATTTGCCCCCGCAGAAGTAACACCAATGGGTGTGGCAACCTTCCACTTCACACTCAATGTGACCGCATCCACTGATCTTTTCCGTCATGACTCCACACCCCGGACAGGGTCGGACTCGAGTATTTTGCGGCGCAGAGCAGTCTTCACAGCGCCAGTTAGTGACCTCTGTTGGCGTTCCCTGGGCACAAACCCGTTCCAGGTACGGTTTCGCCGTAGCACAAGCCCGGCACCAGGCGTAAATCCATGTTCCACGTTCTTGGATTGCAGTTTGAAGATTTCCGACGGCATGGATGCCCATGCCATGCTTAGCTAGTGTTTTGGCGGAAGGGAACCGTCGGCAGAACGGACATACGAGGGCTGCCGTGTTAATCATTCTACCGACTGTATTGAGGCCATACCAGTGCGACAGACAGTCCTTGCAGATCCGCTCCTGGCAAGCCCGACGTCCACAGGCGGAGCTGAGCGCCGTGGGATGGAAATTGCTGAAGCAGAGGGAACACGCGACTCTCGCAGAACGATATCGGGATACGAAAACCTGTAGTTTGGAAATTATTGCTTCACTATTCCGAATCAGCTTGCCTCGCACTGTGAGGCGCGGGTTCAACACCGGGAAAAGTGTGATACGCGAGACAAAGTTATCGGGCCCGATTGTTGACACGGTGTGGTAAAGCGAGCGGTCGCTGAAAACATGACCATCTGGCTGCAGGGAGTCTTTAATGAGCCAGGACAGCGTGTTTTCTCCAGCCAGCTGCTCCGCACTCGTCTCCTCGCTTACTATTGTTTGCCGGCCTGCCATACACGCTGGGCAAACAAAATCAGCCTCGGAGAAGTTAGCAGGGCGATATGGCTCCGGCCAGATTATTCGACTCAGACACCAGTGACATTCCACATAGGGCGCATTCTGGAGCGAGTGCTGTGCGTCCCCTGTGCGCTTTGAAGCATTCTGTGCTCTGCAGTAGTAGCATTTCGGCCGGACTCGTAGCTTGTGGACTCCATACACTACATATTGTACCCTACAGGCTGGATAGTAGCATTCCACCCATGTTATCGGTGTCTGTTCGGTATCTTCCTTTGTAGCACCGTACGCCTCGGGAAACCCCGCGTTTATACACATGCCGCATTGCCCATCCCGGCCCATAATGGTGACGGATCGTGGGTACTGACAGGTCCGACAGGTGACGAGAGGGCCGATGGGGAATGTCGTTCTTTCGGGCGTCCATCCAATCTGAGCGGTAACCGTTGTGTGGAGATTCAGCTCCAAGAACCGGTAGGCGATCAACTTCTCGAAAAGCTCTCGATCACTCGGCTTCAAAAGCGTCGGTGGCTTGATCTCTGCAGCGGCGACTTCACCAGCATGGTCCATTGCCTGTTCCAATGCCCGCCGCTGTTGGTACTTGTGATCAGCATCGACGAGTAGGGAGAGACATGAAACCGTCCATGTTTCTGGTGCCTCGATGTTGTTCCAGTATTCCCTCATAGCCAGTACTTCCGTCTCAGCTGCAGGTATTAAAGGTGTGATACCTAGTCTCAAAGCAAAAGCAGCCAGAATGGAGGCTGGCCGAGAAGACAGCATTGTACCCGGGACAACAACATGCAGTAGGATTCGCCAGAAACGGCGTTCATGCTCGTCTTTCGCGAGAGCCATAGGAATCTTTGGAACTTCTCTATTCGTCATTGACGCAATATGCTCGGGCATATCGGCTGGACTCTCAATGTAAGTTAGCTGAGTTAGAACCCGGCCTAGACGGCGAAGGATGTCTGGGTGGCATGACCGGCCTATCTCCAGAAGCTCTGCCCTTGTGAACTTGGTAATATCCGCCGCTTCCTGCTTGGCTCTCTCATCATTAATGGGGTTGGAGTGCTTGAAAATGAGGGTAGGATCGAAGCAAACACAGGGAAATCGTTCGGCCTCTGGGACACTATTGATAAATTCTGCAACTTCTCCAGAGTAGTCGTATGATGCTTCTAACCATTCCGTCATCCGGGACCGATCTTCAGCGTTATTTATTCGGCTTACATGTAAGCTGAATGCGTTGAGTAACTCCGATCGGGCGGGGTGGGTTCGGTCATCGCAGATGTTGCGCCAGAGTGTGGCGAAGACCGCATTGAGAGCGATGACACTCACATCCTCCGTAATAATATGCTTCAGGTGCTTAACCGCTAGCTCTTGGTATGGTAGATCGGTAGCCCATGATTTGGCGAAATCGGTGACAGGGCTACCTTTCTTGTGGATGTATTTCTCCATAATGCGGGGTGACAGGTGGCGTATCTTGAGGCCACCAACAAACCCGGAACGCCCTGGGGTCGGGAAGAACATACTCGCTTCTTCGTCGTGTTCACTGCGGATGGTATCTATCCCCGTCATGTCAGGGTAGCTGACAAGCTGCGGGTACTTTTCTTCACCAGTATCCTCAACGGCCTGCTTGCCTATCCCCATCCAGGTCAACAAGACTTCAACGGTCACCTTGGTGATAACGGAAGGGAGGTCACCATGTAATACGATACATGAGCCTTGTGTCATTGTACAAAGATAATTATAGTAGCTAACAAACGAATGGGACATGCGTGGCTGGAGAAGACAAAAGACTTGAGCCTTCTTCTCGCCTTCACGGAGGAGGTTACATGCGGACACCCAGTCTTTGAACATCGGGCCGAAGCCACCATAGCTCGTAGGATCCGATAGGGCTTCCTGTTCGCGAATACCATTGCCCTCTGTTCGCCAGAGGCCTGGGAGTTCAGCATTGCCAGCCATATGAGGGGGGGCGTCGGTATAGAAGAGAATCACTGTTCTGGCATCCGGACGCATGACTTCGTAGGCTTTGGCCAGTCCTGTCTTTGCCGCTTCGGGGGTGTCGAAGTTTCCTTCTGTTCGAAGAGACGCAGCAATCTCGAGTAGGTCGGGCTGTATACCCGTCGCATCGGGCGAAGTATCGTACCATCCGGACCATTCTAATAGGGTCGGGGCGCTGTAGTCACGATAGGCTATTAAGCCAATCCGCGAGAAACAGCGGGTGAGCACCGACATGGATACTATCTGACGAAGGGATGATCTGAGCGACCCCATGAAGGAACTCATGGAATATGTTGCATCGAGCACGAGCAGCAGATCATGCTGCTCTGCCTTCGCGGGGAGTGAAACCTCCATCCTGATGGCCGATTGTTGACAAGGTGAGTTGGAAATAAACTGATGCCCCCATCGAAGCAGGTATTTATGTGTCCTGCTAGTGAGTCATTTGTAAAGAGCTCGATGTCATTCATTCAGAGTCTCTGAGCAGAATGGCGCTTTCCTTCCAATTGGGCTTATGTGAGTCATTGGTAGGAAGCCACAGTAACATCCGGCTAGATTGTATACGCCTCCCTATTATAGACCCCGCCTTAGCTCCCCTCATTTACGTTACATGCCTGGAGATATTAGCCCAGTGCGGGCTCTAACTTCATTGGTGGCCAGTGGAAACTAAAGATTTGCATGACTCATGAGATAGAGCCGCATCATGCCACAGTCTGTTATACGTAACAAGTGTTCTAATTATACGAAGGGCAATCGGCCACTGTATCCTGTCTAGCCTAGGTAATATGCTGTAGCAGGGTGGAAAAAGATCGAGCTGATCTCGGTAGGGCTGCTTGTATATCATTTCCTCGTACGAACTTTTGCCAGCTGTATACAAAATATAATAGGCTCTGATAATTCCACTCGCGATCTGTAAGCGAACCACCCCACAGGGATCGATACGATCTTTGCGCGCCCTATCTCAGTATCAGTAGTTGGTCAGATGGACTTCCGTATTTGTAGTGGCCAACAATGGCGCAGCTGAGCGAAGCGAAGCTAGTATTATATGGGACGGCGCGAAAGGATCTGGGCTCTGATCGGTCAATGTACCTGGCTTTTGATTGGCTGAGAATTTATCAGAGACATCATTCAAGCTTTCTAGAGCTTTTGAACGTGTTGCACTGCCCGCACTGCTATTCAAGGAGGAGAGGCGATGTAGATAGGCAATCTATGTAAGCAATTGGCTTAGGAAATCTAGGTAATCTATATACTTGGTATAGAATAATCGATTTAGATAATCCTAGTAATTTAGGAACGTGATCGAAGGTCATATGAATCTTTCGTTGCGCATGCCTTTGCTAGATCCTTGAGTAGCGAGCTGGCAGCCCCTAGTAGAACATGGATAATTGTAGGGACATCACAAATTCGATTAAGAAACGGATTGCGAGTCGAACTGTGAGCTTCACGATTTCGGCAAGTCTGTTCAATGTCCTATTTTGTTACGACCCGAGGAGCCGACTTGTGATTGGAATCAACCTCCCTTTCGCCAGTAGCACTACTCTCCAGCTTCTTTAGGGAATACCTTGAGGCTATCACGTTTCGTAGCGGCGTATCTCAGACGTAACGAACTGACATATGGCAGTTTGGATGTATTCGACCCAACTGATACTCGTCGCGCAATCAGAGTCATTGGTCACCCGCACGGCACACGAGCCAACTACTAAGAGAAGAAACCGAGCAGGTTATCCTGCTTCATGGAGTACATGATACATGATTAACAACGGCCTAAGTATAGTTGTGACCACGGAAATCGCTCGCATGTTTTCCTAGTGACTGCCTTTTTCACTACTATTCATGGCTTGGCTTTTCTGGCCTTTTCTTGTCTGCTCCACCATAACTGCACGATCTTATCTGGGAGTTCATCCTTCACAATTGGAAACGTTCGGAACGTACAACCGAGATCTTGTAGATTCGGGAAGTGTTTCTCGATTTGTCGGACGTGGTCATAAGCTCGGCTGGGATCAAAAGTCAGCGGATTTGTAGATGTAGTGTAAATTAGAAGGGCTGTCACCTGTACGAGAACAATCGTTCACAGTTGGTAAATGCCCCGATAGAAAGAAGCTCCAGCGCTGGAAACAACGGTAGTTTTTCATATCTGAAAGCCGCCATGTCATAGATACCCATGATCTCACAGCGTTGGAGTGATGGGCAGCATTTCCCCAGGCTCACAAGGGAGTCGGTCGTGATATTAGAGCGAAAAATATCAAAATTGAGGGCTTCTAGTTGGCCGAGGTTTTTGAACAGCTCTTCAAAGTCCGTGTCTTGGAGTCTCGGCGCTATCAGAGAAATTGCAGAGAGCCCGCTGATGCTAAAGCGTCTCAAATGTGTCAAGCTTTTGAGAGACACAATGTCCTCGGTCGCGATCCTCATGTTACCCCAGATCAACAGAGTCAGGTTCCGTAGTTCAATCAACTGGGAGATATGTTTAAGGGCAGCACTGTCAAAATCCTCAGAAAGGTCAGGGCCGCCTAGGGTTAGGTTGAAGCTCCGGATCGACTTGACCATGCCCACCAGCGATGGAAGTGCGGCTTCCGTGACTGATATCGTTAGGTGTTGCAGGGCCTTAAAAGGAGATGATATATTGAGATCTCCAATGGCGTCTGTATCGATGACACCCTCAAGAGAAAGCGTTTCCAGTTTCTTGCTACCTGCCAGATGTTTGAGTATGTTACCGGTGATTAATTCTTCGGAGTGGATAGATATGTCCGATAATGCAGGGTAATTTTGAAGAAATTCAAGGAGGATCTCTGGCGTCAGACGGGGATCGTGTCTGCTAATTGAGAAGTAATATAACCTAGGACAGGAAACCTGAATAAGACTAAGTAATTCAGGGTCAAATGTTCCACTGAGTTCGATTTGTGTAAGCCCTTGGCGCATGTAGCATTTCAGCGACGAAAAGTCTAGGGCGTCATGGTCGTCCTGCTTTAAGTCGATACGTAGCATTTCCAATTTCGGAAAGGAAAGTTGACTGAACTCTCTCAGATTTTTGTTGGTCTCTCGATAGACAATAAACTCTCGGATCACCGACGCATAAATCTGTCTTCGGTGCTTTGGGACTCGGCTAAGGAGCCACGACCGTGCACGTCGCCATACAAGGGAAATTCCACAGTTAAACCACTGGGAATTGATCCGTAGACAGGGAATTATATCGTGCCCTGCATACTGCAGGATTTCTAACACAATCTCGGAGGAGAGATACACCATGTTGGGGAGAGGGAGGGCTGGGATGTTGGTTAAGGTGAGTGGGATAGTGGATGTGTTGTTGACTTCGCGTCCCCTCATAATACGCGTTTTCTCTGGAATTGTCGACTTTCATTGGTGGAACACGCTGATCTATTAGTATAGGGTGGGGACATCTATTGCAAGAAATTCTAAGCCTTGTAATAGATCTACTGGCTAAGAGACTATCATCTTTCTTAGACTAGCGCATGATTAGATGCTTTTTCCCCTCTGGCGTTCGGTTATTATAGACCTTATTTAGCGCGGGTGGACGGCACCTTATGGTAGCTTCATTGACTACGGGACGAGCAATCTAAGCTCGCTGCCTCAGGCTACCAACCTGGCTTTTGAATCCACAACTAATGATCCTCTTGGGGATACCGTTCCAACTATTTGATAAATACGAGATTCACCAAATAGCAGGCTGCCTCTTCACTTTATAAGCGTAACTGAAGTTGCATTCGAAATGTCAGGTATAGTATTCTGTATCTAAACTGTTGCCATTGCCTCCTTATTGGTGTGTAACATCTATTAGCGTTACTGTAAACTGCGTTGCCAGTGGTGTGTGCTGGGAGAAGAGACTACCACGCAGGTTACTGGCCTTCATGTCATTCACCTGCCTCGAGGGAAAGAAGACGGAAAGGGGAAACCCTGTAAAGAAAACAAAGATTGAGAAGACACAGCTGGCGCAAATAGACTACCGCAAGCCACTAACATCCACAGACATATTCATGGCAAAAGTATAAGGCTGATCGAAGCATGCATCCCAATGTGTCTCGCCCGACGCCCAGAATCTCTCCAGAAGACCCTCCGCCATAAGGGGTGCATACGTCCCGGTAGAGTGACTTAGCTCTGGTAGTTGCTCCCGTAGAAACTTCCGGATTCCTGCGTCCTTTACTCCCACCACGCCGAGCACTACTAGATCCCAGATGATGAATCTTTCAATCCGATAGAAAGTCAACGCGTCACTTAGAAGCCTATGTAGATGCTGAGCGTGGTGGAGGCAATGCTGTTGTAGGAAAGAGCTTTGAGGCAGGACAGCTAAGCTTTGCAGAGAAAGGATACAGTATAGAGCCACGGCGGCCTGGTGGATGTTTCCTAGAAGTACCCATTCTGCATGGGATGTCGACATGGACTCAGCCCACTGTTCTGCAGAGAAACTATGGATTCGATTAAGAATTTCATATGCATTGTTAGTATACACGCAGGCTGGTGTGGGGTCGCTCTTCGAGGCCCGGACGCGGAGGTAGTTGATTTTGATGATCTCAGAAAATAAGGCGGTAGGGTATGCCGCGAAGGCGAATGGTCGACTACTATATTGGTTTATCATGAAATCAAGCTCTTCGAGATGCGAGGTCGCCATGGTTAAATCGGGTACAGGCGAGGAAGTATCTCCCATGACGGCGGTGCTGTGTGATAGTCAGCCCAGGGAGATCATTGAAAGGAACAATACTTTTCACAACTACATACAACACGACGAAAAGAAGCAATGGCACCATCCCGGTCGATTGTGCCAGCGAACGTATGCCTCCACGCAACATGATGATTTTTCGTACTCCATCGAGATGGCACCGATAATGCGGTGAGGCACCTTGTTGGGCCTTGTGTGCCCAGACATGGTCAGTACTATCCTTGCGTCCACTAGGGTGTACCGACGTACATCGACAAGAAGAAGTGTCAGGATGCCTGCAATGACGAGATCGCTCATACATTTATGTTCGACTTTGATATCATCACTTAGAGATCGAATGAGCTGGCCACGATAGTGAAAGAAATTCCGCGCCAGCGCATGGCACTCGGGTCCATGTCTGGCGCGATTCATTCGGTGACTCAGGGTCATGCAGACGATCACGAGTCGGATATGATCAGGATGGGTCGCAATGGCCACCTGGAAGATTGGAGGTGTGATTGGATATATGGCAGTGTTTGGGCCAAGTCTGGAGATGTGCAGTAAATCGGGGTAGATGCAGGCATTATCTGTCGAACAAATCAGTATGATTCACGCGACACTTGCCCGAGCACTCTCACTGACAATATTCTGTCGCCTGGACAAACACATGTAGATCGGTTTGTAACTCTGTTGGAAGGCTAATTATATCATTAGGGCTAGCCGACCGCTTCCTCGTTATTTCTTTGGTGTCCTTGTTCATGGGCTTCCGTTTACGAGATTTGACTCTTCCGGGCGCGAGCCACCTTAGCCTGAGAGGCTGCGTATCATTATATCCCGGGCAGATCACCCCAGTCGCTGAACATCGCTTACACTCCGGTCGCGTGAAGTCACATACTAAGGACCGTCGAAGGCATTCCCAGCAGTGACGCTTTCGATCCTCTGCCATGTCTTCCGCGATTCATATAATCCAGGAGGAACTCAGATCGACATGAATCTGAGTAGCTAACCTGGCTATTCGTGGTAGACCTGGAGAGATAATGTCAATCAATTAAACACACGCAGTTCAAGCGATTTGGTGGCAGTGCCAACTTGTTACGTGATCATTCTGGTGGGGGCGGAACAGGCACCCAAATCGTCATCGAAATCAATGCAGATTTCCCATGAAAACATACATAGCCGTGACATGAGTCTGGAATAATACTACCCAGCCCGGGGTTATGTCTTAATGAGTTTCTTGTGGACGGTGGAGTTGAGAACACTCCATGGAGAGATGGGGGGCCAGCATTTGCCGATTGGTGTCTGTCTCTTTGCATCCACACATTATATTACTATTTAACTATCATAAATATATCACAACACGACAAAACCAAATTATGGATCTTTTCGCGCATCATAACCATTACCGATCCTGAACAACACATACCCTCAATCTCATTAAAGGAAATATCCGTTTGAGACCCGAGCAAACCGCATCTCATCTTCTCCAAAATCGAACACAGCAACAACATTCTTGAAGAAGGGTACTCCCAGAATATTGATCACAAGGCCGGGGATTCCATTCTTCTCCGAGGGGACCAAGGTAGAGACGCAATATCCCTTCCCAGTATTGTAGATAAGATCTTCTGGAGCATGGTAGAAGGTCTGGTCTCCAACAACCACGCCAAACACAGGTGGCTTGGCGCCACAGTCAACAGTGTAAGCCTTCAGCTCCTCGTTGTAAACCGCAGGGGGGTCGAATCGTGCATTAACCGGGTCTACAACTGCAGTAGGGAGAATAGAAAATTCGTTTCCTGTGTCGATAAAGAGCTGGAAGGGGGTGTTGTCGACCACGAGGGCATCCTCTTCTTCTTCCGCCGGTCCGTATTTTACGGCTGGGGTAGTGAAAGCCCAGTAGGAGATCTGTCGCTTATTGGAGGTAAAGTTTATTGGGATGTTGTCCATAATTTCCACAGGAACGGTGCTGAATTCACTCGTCAGTTCCACTGGGGGGAGCTCGCCCAGACTGAGGTAGCCGCCAAACGCCTCAGCACTGTCGCGTGAGGTGTGAGCCAGTGCGATGCTGAAGTACGGCTCTTCTATCAAGCCCTGCTCGTACATGGAATTAACGACGGGGCTGTACACAGTCCGGTTATAGAAGTAGGTGTCATTGGGGGTGAAAGTGCCCGGATGAGCCGAGGTCAAGCTGGGGTAGCCCAGGCCGAGGAGCCCATTGTTCACCCCGTCGCCCATTGGGTTAGAGCGGTCGGCGAATGCAAGTTTTGTACGCACGGTAATATCCGCTATAGTAATAGTCTCGTAGGCCATGACACCGCTGGCTAAACCGGCACCGTATTCGATTCCAAAGTTTTGGTCGGGGACTTGCTCATAGCTCGACGAGATATGGTATGTTTCTGGGCCATACAGGCAGTCTTCTGGGGCGATGATCTGATTATCTGTGGCGTTGATACAAGTAAAGCCGTCCTGCATAATATATGTGTCGCTGCTTCCTGTGTCGACGAGCAGCTTAAAGGCCTGGTTGTCAGCGCCAACAGTTACGTCAACGTCGAAGACACTTCCGCCTAGAGTTGCAAGGAGGGGAGCATTGTGGGACTCTTCCTCTTCGCAGGGGAAGCGACGGTTTAACGGGAGAGTCAACGCCGAGCTGAGGGCAGTGAAATGAAGAATTGGTGATAGTTGGAGGAGCTTCATCTTGACTGTACTAAGTACTAGAGATTGAAACTATGAATGTTTGTTGTGTTGTGCTGTGGGTACAACGAGTCGATTGAGCTTGAATTTATATAGTAGAGTGGAGGTATTGGATAGGCTCCCGTTTTCTTCCGTTTTCACTAGTGTTGGGACAGGATTTGGATCCTTAGGCCAAGCTTCTTTGTGGTATCGATCCAATTTAGGTCGATCACCGAATAGGGCTGCGCTGACGCGGGGTTTGCTAAGCCCCGGCGATATTTTTTCTTTATTAATTTCCGGTTGCCTATTGTTGAACAAAGAGATCCCAGTGAAAAATTTGCCATACGAAGTGTTATAATGCGAAATAAACAGGACGGTCCCAGGTGTCTCCAACAGACGGGAAGTTCACACGTCTCCTCGGAGGCTGGGCCAATCGTGCCCTTGCATCGCATGCAGGTAGCCCGCAACCACTTCCGCCCAAGACTGGGTTTAAGGCTCTGATAAAACACAATCTAGTATACAGAGTACAGAGTAGTACTCTGTACGATGGCAATGTGAGGCTGAAAAGCGGCATTCTTTCTCCGGTATTTTCTCCATATCCTGTGGCAGCAGTCTCTAAAATCGAATGATGTCTAGGACGAATGATCCTTCTGTTTCTGCCAGCAGGCCTGTGCGAATGGAGCTCGATTCTATTGTCCCTAAGCAATTTCCGGATCGAACGTTCTCGGCCAACATTCCGAGTGCGTTGTGAACGAGGCTCAGAGATGCTACCTAGTAGTTGGGCCCTAAGACCCTTGCCCGTTGAGCGTTTGACGTCAAAGATGCATCGAACAACCGCCGATCCTTCCTGTTATGTGCTTATTACGGCGAGGAATATAGTCTAATCAGTCTAGTTCAGCTCAGTTCATCATCGTAGGGCTTTTCTACCTATCAGTAACCTAGAGATTAATCTCTCATAGCCCCAACAGAACCTGCCTGCAGCAGCCAATAGGAATGAAATCCGAGTGTTGGTGGCCCGGCGGTAGCCTTAGGCTACCACAATCAATTTTTATACAAGGATCTATTGTCAGGGATATAAACGACCAGAACACATTCGCGACTGAGTCTCGCCCATAAAGATCAGTCCTTCATTTCTACAGAATCTGCGGTAATTGTGGTCCATAGATCACGCCATAGCCCATCCCAGCTAAAACGTCTCTCCGATACTGCCCTCCGTAATTTTCTCAGAGACACTGGTTTTCATACCCTAATTCTACCAACTAATTGTATTATCCATTGTACGACGAGGTTTACGCTGGCTGCCATGTAGATCAAACCCTAACCAATGATTGGGTACCCTGTACTTTTTGAAATCCAATCTCTAGAAATAACATGGTATGGAAGGCAATACTGCAGTCATCAATCTCCATTCACTATTTCTTCTTACACTTGGGTTAGGAGACTGCTGGCACAGGCTGTCATGATACGGTGTCAGCACTTTATACTCTCATTGGCCAGAAGAAACCAAGCTAACTGGTATGGCAAGGAACAAGAACTTACCTTGGCGTACTGATTGCGCTAATCAGACTACGCGTATGGTCTCAATCTAAATATCGTTGGTTTTAATTTGAAGTAGATAGGCGGACGCATAATAAATATACCAATGGCAACCAGATTAAACATCAAGTTATTAACCCCAAGGCCCGTCGCCTTTTACCAATACATTGGCAGGATAATAAAGTCTAAGATTTGTACCTCGACTGTTGAAGTAAGCAGAGTGAAGGCACCCTCGCAGTCACAATCCTGAATCATATGTACATCCTGTATTGAAATGTTATGTACACCAGTTCCGTAGTAGTTTGAATCGCTTTCGATATCGGTGGTTTTTTCCGATCGCAGTGTGACGTGTGACAAGCAATCCGGATCCAAGCCAATCTGTAGCAACGGGCAGTGCCACCTGCTTTGATTTCTAATTCAAGTGATCCCTTATGAAATGTCACCTCATGGCTCGATCTTGACTTTGGACCATATGATCTCTTCTAGACCCATTTCCAAAGCTCAATGGAGGGGCCGATTGGCCAGCACTGCCTCAACCCAAAAGCGCGACTAAGAGGAAGAAAGAAACGGCGAAGGCACGGGACCTCCTAGCAAGCCTTGATAGCAATACAAGCCTGAGATGGGACTTCAATATCGAACATGAACTTATCCGGGTCGTCGAGGAACGCCCGGCGATACCGTAGACACCGCTTGCTAGTTAGCAGTTGGCCCCGACACGATACGTCCGAAGCGTATTTGAAGAACTGCTTATTTCCCCGGACATTACTGCTACGACGGATCATGTCATCCACACGACTTGCATAGTTAATGCAGTCAGCGCAGTAGGCATGCCGGTCCATAGCTTCCGGTGGGACCCGCGTGTTGCTGTAGAGTAAGATGCCTGTTGTTCATCAGTTATGGAACGTTGGAGGCTTTCTATAGGAAGCACGGCAAAGGTCTCGTACCACATCCTACTAAAAACAGGCAACATGCGGTAATAGCCACTGAGATGATGGAGATCCTCATATTAGGGTTTGGCACAGCGATCGATGCTTCAGAGTGGACTTTGTGGAATGAATGAATGTTGGATGGATTGCTATGTCACTAACCAAATTGGGCGCGTTGAAACCCCCTCTTCGATTACCAATTCTGGCTTAGTGTGTGTCTATGGACATCTCAACACGTGACCGTATGTTAGGCATCTATTTTTGTTCACTCATCTAAGGAGTCGTGGTGACGAGAATACAGTGCATAGTAGTATATGAATAGGAAGAGCTTGCTGTTCATTAGATTCATTGGTGGAATAAACGCTAGCAAGTGTAGACAGGAGGAATCATGGACATGGAGATTCTACGACGTGCACGAGATTCAAACATAGTAGAGATCAGAGACCTTCACCTAACTATTTCTTCCGTGCTTGGATGAAGGACACACCATTCCTCCAAATCAGGACCATGCATGCAAAAGTGCCGTGGCCAGTCCAAAAGATCTGCGTACCCAGGTGGTATGACTTCCAAGACCTCCGACAGGAGCGATTCTGCACGTTTTTCCATGACCCAAAAACCCCGGAAAACATGTAGCTGTGTGCAGTAGCAAGCTAGCAACACAAGGGCAAAAGGATGTCTCTGCTCAATCAAGCTAATAAAACCGACGCGGACCACAATCGGCCAAATATAAACCATACCGCGGGCAGAAGGGGTGCGTGCATGTTCAATGCGTTGGCAGGTTTTCTTCAGTTCGCTGATGGCATGCTCCAAGACTGTTTTTTCTTCTTCGGCAAGTACCTCAACAGTGAGTCGATATCTGAGCCTATTGATCTGGTCATCAAGGCCATGGAATAGGCGAGAAGGCGTATCCCTATGAATCAGATCAGTTGGAAAGACAAAAATCATGACGAGATCACAGGGGTCGCATACCCTTTCTCTCTCCAGTCCCGAGCAAGTATTGGCCCAATACAAGACTTACTAATCAATGGAAAGAACTCCAGGAGAGATGTTATGCCACGGCAGAGATTAAACATCTCAATCACACTGCTCAGAGGCTGTGCATCCTTGGAGTCGGTGGGGACCGCGCATATCCAGATCATGATAACGCTTGAGAATGCGAAGAGGGCAACGCAATTCTCCGCTGTTGGTTTCCGGAGTATAGTTCTGAAAGTTTGAAGCCCAAGGGCCATATGGAAAGTGGAGCTGTTAAGGTAATGACTATGTTTTTCGGGCTTGACATATGACAAATGTAGTGCGGAGAACGATAAGATCCCATGCATGAGAAACTCATAGGAATAAGCGATCTTCGGAATCTCAGTTCTCCACACGTGGAGAATATCTTCTTGATCTGATAAGGTAGCACATGTGGATATGCAGTAATGGTGCATCAATTCGGGGTCTTGACCGTTCCATTCTCGCACGAAGTATGCCGTATCTGTTAAATTACGCTGGAAGACACTTAAGGCGGCATCTGTCCGTGTGGATATCTCGGCAAGAGAAGTACCGGGAGCTGGGGTACATGCAATTAGTTGTTCAGCATGTTTTTTCTTCGGTTCAGGTTGTGGTGTAACAACTCGGGGTTGATAGCTACACGAGAGATTGCGACGAGTACAATTTAAACATGGATCGGCTTCATCGCACTGGAGACCATTAATAAGGAAGAGATAAAAGAGCCAGGTAATGGCGCTATGAGATCTTGATACTTGCCTTTACTCTCCTTTTTTTGCATTGGTCACAGCCGTTGCGGGACTTCTTGTGAGATCTCCGGGGCGGCATATTCCGTCGGACGTAGTGGCAAGGCGACGAAGTCTTCGTTATTCCTTCGATACGAAATAAGAAGTGTGTAAGGCCCAAATATGGGGATCGCGAGCAGTATCTGCTTGAAGTGCGGCGTATTTAAGTAATACGATAGCGAAAACGAACATTGATTCGAATACGGGGCTTTAGATATAATTGGCCGGTTTGAACGAAGGGGTCCACATTGCATTGAAAACTTATCTTGAGTGGCGGCAAGCGTGGGTCTTGAAACAGAGAATGTGGAGCACCCCAAGATCAAATAGATTGCATTCACAATACAGAGTACTTGCTTTCAGACTTAAGAGAGGTCGGGAAAGGGCTATAGATCAATAGCCTGGTCTTGCCCATGTTAACCTAGATCATCATGATGTTTCTTTTGGACGTTGTTAGGGCTTCTAATATCAAACCATCTGGCAAACGGCAATGTTTCAATATTTAATCCTTCAAATCAGAACCACTTAACACTATTGGTTACTCCTATAAGTGTAAGCACACGGATTATTTACTTCATCTCGGTAGATGGCCGTTGTTGTGACCAGGCTTGGCTATTCTAGGCACTTCATAGCGGCAATCTTGTCCCATTGAACCCCTGGAGCAAGTGGAGACATCCGCCGACTATAATTATAGATCCAGAGGTGGAAACGATAACGAACTCGAATTCGAGGCCCCATTAAAAGCAAGAAAATGGCCATGAAAAAGAAAGATGGAAGTCTTGATTTAGCAGAAATCTTTTTTGCCCTTCGCCTTGAAGCAATTATCTGCGATATCAGTCAATATGAGTGGCCACGACGACGGTGGAATCGACTTTCAACTGTACCGCTATACGCCATCCCTTGTCGCAGCAATAATTTTCATTGTTCTATTCACCCTAACAACCGCGCATCATCTCTGGCAAACTGTTCGCGCGAGATGCTGGTACTTTTTGGTCTTTGTGACTGGTGGAATATGTACGTTCAACTATACAATAAAGTCAAATAACGCGAAACTAACAAAGACCAGTCCAGATAATAGGGTACATCTGTCGCGCGCTCGCGCATTCTAATAAGGAATCCGTACCCATCTATTCCGTGGGAACTATTTTGATTCTTCTTGCGCCCCCTCTTTACGCTGCTTCGATATATATGACTCTGGGCCGCCTCATCGGATATCTTGATGCAGAGAAACTCAGTCCAGTATCGACCAAATGGCTGACCACAATCTTCGTCATGGGCGATGTGATCGCATTCCTGGCACAAGGAGCAGGTAGAGAACAGCCCAACATTTTCCACCGTGCTTAATTCAATGCTGACTATAGTTTAGGCGGTGGAATCATGGCAATGGGCACCGTCAGCGCTATGAACACGGGTGAAAACGTCACAATCGCAGGTTTATGCGTGCAACTCGTATTCTTTAGCATCTTTATCATTGTTGCGACCATCTTCCATTATCGCCTTCGCAAGAATCCAACTTCCAGATCTACCGGAGCCTCCCTCTTTCCTCGCAGCTGGCGCGAGGCTACCTGGGAAACTGTGATGTTGGGTCTATATGGCGCGAGTGTTCTGATCCTCATTCGGTCGATCTTCCGGTTGATCGAGTATGCGCAAGGCAACGATGGGTACCTAATTAGCCATGAGGTATTCATGTATGTGTTCGACGCGACGCTGATGTTCATCACAATGGTGGGGATGAGTTTCTTCCATCCTTCAAAGGTTTTGAGTCCGTTGGCGAAGGCGGAAGCGCCTTTAGACAGGTCCTACACGATGACCACCCAGCTATGCGATGAATCTGTATGATATGAATGCTTGGTATTGAATCTGGGATACTTGTTGCACTGTTTGTTGTACATAACGCGGTAGATTAAATTTGATTTCTGAACAGTCCTGCTTCAACATGAAGCTATCACCAGCAGAGCTTCAATATTCCTACATTTGGGATCACACTAACCACCACCACGGCATAGTCTATACTTCAAGAGGCGCCATCCAAACTGACTCTACCGAAAAGCGCTGCCTCACACCAGCGAACACTCGCCCACACCAAACTATACGGACCCTAACCCGAACACGAGAGTCTAACAACACACCATGTCTTGGCAGTTGTGCATCGCCACGAAGGAACCAAATATGTCTTTGATATCAATACTTCTCGTCCATACATGCTTTCTCCACATTAGGGGCCTCGCAGATCGCCTCACAGCCACACCATATGACTACGTCATGTTCCCATGCCTAATCCTCACCATGTGGGCTACATATTTCATGGTTAATAGAATCCACTACAGCTTGAACTCAAGTTAGCCACGCATTAATATTCTCGGAATATTCCACATCCATATATTGACAACTACTTCATTTTCCTCTAATCACAACCAAGAAGATGGACTCGACTTTCGACCCACCTCCTCCCTACTCCTCAACACCAAACTTCCCCGAACAAGAAACCCTACCTCCAACCACCTTCATCCTATCAAACAAATCCATCCACACCGAAACCGCCCCCTCAACACCCCTCTACCAGATATCCCAAGACATCTCAATTCTACCCCAAAAGTTCACATCAGTAAAGTTCGAAAGAATAGAGACCATTGCACCATTAAAACCCGAAAGCCAGTCTCCCGAGCCACAAAGGAAGCACATATTCTACCTCGCTCATCCGGCACATGCGCAGTACCGGAAAGATGTGCCCGCATATTATATTACCTCCGTCTCCCTGGGGTCTTTGGGCAATATCCGCTTTGAGATGAATAAATCGCGGTTTCAGAAGGTGGAGTTTAGGGCGCTTATGAGTCCAGGGAAAACTATGGCGGATAAGCCGTTGTTTTGTGACGATGCCGAGACACTTCTGTTCAGTGCGAAGATGAAGTGGACCGGGGGTGGGTATAGATGGACTGACACTTGGGGGCAGGAGGTGGCGTTTGAGGGGGGGAAGGGCGAAGGATTGAAGTTGGTCATTACGGCATCTATGAACCAGGATATGAGGGATGCGCTGGTTGCACTCTGGGTTTTGAGGGCTTGGTCTGATACGGCTGAGAGTAGCGAGGCTAAAGCGGATGGTGAGTTAACGTTCCATATCCGGATACTGTTATAACGCCGGTGCGGCCGTACCGGCTTTTCATGTTTAACCTTTGAATAGAGCTAGCGGCCTGGTTGCCGCGTCCAGTGTATGGAAGCACGGATTTAGGCTTCGCGAAGACGTCGGGAGCGTTGGGAGCCATTGGCGCACTTGGTGGAGGTGGCGCTTGATCAGTGGATTGACCCTCACACACCTCAGTTGAGGGTATTAACTGATCATAGTGGCATGTCACAAGACAACAACCCGATCTTGGGCAAAAATGATAGTAGAGAAATGTCATGGGGTTCAAATAACCTTCTATTCAAATTCACAACCTCTATTCGCTGTGCTATGCTTCTATCGTGTCTAGTCTTAACCATTGCTCAAACGGACGGTCTCTAACCAACCTCAAATCTTAGCCCCATAAACCCTCATCAACTCCCCCAGCTCCTTCTTCTCCTTCTCCGCCGGCCTCTCCCCCTCCGGAACACCAAACACCAACTGCGCCCTCAACTTCCAACTAGCCGGCACATTCCAATTCGCCGCAACCTTCTCATCAATGATAGGGTTATAATGCTGCAAATTAGCCCCGAACCCTTCCTCCTCCAACGCCACCCAAGCCATCAACTGATGCATCCCACTCGTATGTTCAGACCAAGGCTCGAAGTTCTCCGCATAGAGGGGGAACTTCGCCTTCAGATCCTCAATCACGGGCTGATCTTCATAGAACAATACGGTGCCATATGCCGCCTTAAACCCATCCAGCTTCGGTCCCGTCTTCTTGAATGCCTCGGGTCCGATGCGCGCCAACAATACGTCCTTGGTGATGTTCCAGAGTTTCTCATGTTCTTGGTTGAGGAGGAGGATTGTGCGCGTGGTTTGGGAGTTGAATGCGGACGGGGTTTTGTGCATTACTGAGCCGAGGATGGACTGGATTTTGCTGTCCGAGATGGGTGATTCGCGGCGGAGAGCGTAGTAGGATCGCCGGTTAGCCAGGGCGGCGAGGAGGGCTGCGCTGCCTTTGGACATTGTGGTTTTATCTGGGCTTTATTGGGGTTTGATGTGGAGGGTATAATTGCGACAAAAAAACAAAAAAAAAAAAAAAAAAAAAAAAAAAAAAAAAAAAAAGGGAAGTAGGAGTCCTTGCTGTGTGGTTTCCGTTAGGAAGAGTGTCGAGTATTTATAGATTTCCAAATTGAACAGATCTCGGATAAATGACGTTATTCATAATTCCGGGGAATCGGGATCTTAGTAGGTTTTGTCCGAGTCCCGATTGGCTCTGGAGAATCAAAGGGACGGTTCAATTAGCTTAGTAAAACTTATCTATGCTTAAAACATCCTTAAGTAACTATGTGTCATGCTTTGTTAGTCAACCCGTTCAAATTCGATGTGGTCTCAGATACGAGGATGCCATAATCCTTGGTCATCCTTAAAAACAAAGTTAGACTTTAGCCTGGGGGTGGTATAGTGGACCATGCCGAGGTAAATCCGACCCGGATATATAGTTCCATCATAAATCGATCAATAGCGTATCTGCGATTCCTATGTTGATATGTAAATACCTTTGGAGAGACGTATATGATTACGTATAGATTATTGCTAGATCACTCTGGAGGTGATCAAGATTCGGATGTCAAAGTTGTAGAATATATAATAATTCACGCAATTCCAATGCTAAATATCCAACCAAACTGGGTAACATGACAAGGGGAGCATGATAATGATGCTGTCACACTTGGAGATTAACCGCCTCAGCTCAGGACAGCAGCTTTTTGTACTCAAGTCAGGATTAGCTGCTTGACAGACATTATCGCGACTTGAAAGTAAACCTTGCCATCGGCTATCCACGATTCGGGTTTGCGTAGATATAAGTAAAGACGAATGGAGCCTATTTCCTTGACGCTGTGCATGTCGCACGGTATTAGTACCACCGTATGAGAAATAGTACCCATGACCGAACATGGCATTCATGTCGGGGTTGAGATCTCTCAGTTTTGCTATGCAAAGTTCCAAGCAGCTGACCCCAGTATAGAACGGTTTCATAGGAGTGAGCGCCGGGCGAATCTTAGATCAAGCGTCACTATCTGGTCCCACAACCAAATCATCAAAGTCTTTCTCGACTCTGTGGGTAAAGTGGAGTTCCTCCAGTTGCATATGGTGAGTCCAGCGAACATATCCCTCGGTAACTGGGGTCTCCCTCCACTGCCACCGCTGGACTGGAATGGTCGTCGGTAATTATCGGTTCCTCATTACCAGATGAGACATGGTTCTGATAGATGCCTCAAAGATCAGCTTCTCGAATGGCACGTTGTCCTGTTTTCGAGAGTTTTGTGAGGGCTGAGGAAAAGAAACGAGGGGAAAGCAGGGGGGGTTATATACTCCGCGGCTTTTGCTGGAGCCTGAGCGCCTGAGGCTCATTCACCCTCGGGGGCATCAATCGCATAACAGGCAACATATTGGCTATTTGGAGATATCGCGAGATGAAAATGGCTGTCAAAGACAGGATTAAGAATCACATCACTCTTTCAGACCTAAGTTGTCTCTAGTGATTATAAATTTAATTATCTTTCTATCTTCTCATCGAACCACATACACCAATCAGTATTTATCTTTTATATCAGTTATATGGTTGAGGGGAAATGATCAAACCCAGGTGCTGGTTGATGTCTGCACGACTAATCACCCTCGTGTGTTGAAACACTCCTTGACTTGTAATATATATCCGGATTATAATCATATAGTCACGCTTTGTCATCATAGGGACCCAGACTCTGATGCTGGGAGCCACAATTCAGGATAAGTAAGATGCATGATTACGCCCACTTCCTACCCCTAGTACATACATCGTCCTACTGATCGTGGGAAAGTCACCCGGTCGCGGAGGTAGGTTTGACAAACGAAATATCATCCCGTTCGACTACCTAAAATTCCCGGACACCATAGGCGTCTCTATAGGGTAATTTATAGGTGAAGACTCAGGTTGACAGGTTTCAGGATAGGTGCCATAAGGGTTGAGCGTTTCCCGTTGAAGGAGTCATCAGAACGTGTTCCCGGTGACTCTTCGGGTCCCAGCACAGCATTTGTCACCATGGTCACTGCCTGAGTGTTTGACAGCTCAGCCTTCGCCCAGTCTTTGCAACAGAATAGGTTGAAGGGTGAAACCGTGTCGCCGTCGTGCGGCGGCGTTGGCAACCACAAGTCTTCCGTTGTGAAATGCCAGCCTCCGTCCAGACCATTCGGTTTTGTCAACAACGTCAATTTATGAAGGGTGCACCCGGTGGCCTTCGTGGGTGTCTGTTCGGTATAGAAATCATGCACGCGGGCATGCTCGGGGATGATGGATGCGTCCTCGGTGGTAGCAACCTTGTGCGGATCCAGACACGCTTCTTCGAATTCCATGATTCGTGAGAATACATCATAGTAGTGGCTAACCTCATACCACCATTCTTTTCTCGGCATCCGCCGAAGCAGATCTAATCCTTTGCGACGGAGGCGCGGCCAGCGGCACTTCCATGCGACAGCGTGGAGGGGGTATAACAAACCGAAATCGAGACAGAGTGTCTTTGATAGCTCATCAGGGTAGCGGGCGGGGTCCGACACGATCTTCTCGCCGATGCGGACAATCTCCTCGAAGTCCTCTCGGTGCTCGTCCCAGGCGCATTCAGAACCCACGCGGTATGTGGTCGTTCCCATCACGGTCGAATACCACATTAGACGAAGAACTTCAGCCGCATCCTGGTCGTTCTTGTTCCACGTTGGCCCCTGCCGTCGAACAAGATCATCAAAGTTCGTTTTCCAGCGGTCGCGCGTTTGCCGCAGTCCGCTAATTATTGTTAGCAATCCAGCATCTGGTAGCTTTCCTAACTTTAAATTCTGATCCAATAATTGGAATACCCCCGCAGTAGCAGTGACCAAGTCCACCATGGCTACCCGAACTTCGCGGAGGCTTTCAAACCGGTCCGTGAGAATAAGCAGACCGGTATCAACTGGGTTCAGCAAGACCTTCCGGCGTGTGCCGGGATGGAACTCAGAACTGTTGAGATTGAAAAGACTCAGAATCGGGGCCAATTCCGTTTCCACAAAGTACGACTGGAACGAGGAATACCCCTGGCCCCACGGCACCTTCGGCCGACTACCGGTCTTCTCGCGCCATGCCCACAGGAGATTAATACCGTTCGATATATGCGACGCTGCGGCGGATGCATTCCCCCGAAGAAACTCAAAGGCCGTGAACAGAATGCTTGCCACCACGACCATAGGAATCGCGCCTATATCGGCGGCGTCTTTCTCTATCGTCGAACGAAGAGCCCGGGTATACAGCTGGATAGCCGGATGGGGATCGCCACCTGCGGTATTAAACGAGGAGATCAATTTACAACCTCCTTTGTGCTCATGCAGCGAGCCTATTGCAGCGATGGCTTGGCGAATGGCGGGTTCCACAAGACTGAGTTGGAGGACAGTGACTTTCCAGAACGAGCCTTCAAAGAACCCAGACAGCTGGGAGGACGACTTGTGAAAGAAAAATTCCAGCGCGCGTGACTCCGTACTCGACTTGGCAGTCGTGACTGTCAAGAGGGGCTGGGAGATCTTTAATGGCGCGAGCTGCGAAGCATAGCCGTCGCATTTTCGTCCTGTACTTATGCACCTGAGACGGATTGTCAGTCCAACGGCCCCATCTAATCTCACTGTCTCTGCTTATGTTAGTCGTACCGAGTGCAGGCGGGCTTGCCTTCATCACACTTCACTTTCCGGATCCTGCAATCGCAGATGTCTTAGCACCGATTACCCCCTTGTTTGAAGCTCCGCGCAGGATTTGGTTCCAATAGCCAGGAGCACTAACTTGCAGGTGATACAGCCCGTTCGCACTTTTGGTTTACTCGCCCGCCTTCGTTTTGCTGGAGTCGGCATTTCAGATACAATTGGAAATCGGAGCTCTATAGGACGTCTATGTTTAAAGTCGATGTCCTAGTGAGAATGCGAGGCGATGATTATCGACGTCTTATATCACGTGATCATAGGGTAGCTACGTCATACCCGTTGCCTATTTTGGGGGACACGATCCGGTCGGGACGCCTGAAGACCAGGCTATAGGGTTACAGTTACATGTAATTTTTCCAGTGGAAGATGGGCTAGATCTCAGTCCTAGCCATGATTGGCAACAGGTGATGCTCTTCTCATTTGTAGAAGTTGCGTCGTACGAAATAGTAGTATGTATAACCAACGGTCCGTAGAGACGGGATCGGGAGTATACAATCCGGGCCAATATGCAACAGTCTGGATTTAACTATAAGCATGGAGATCGTGTAAAGTTCCCCGTCCCGAGGCCTTAGCCTGGACGCTAATCTCAGGCGCGTCTTATCTCGATATTCACTTCTTGTAAACCTCACAGGATTTGCATCACTCTCGAGTACACCACCATAAAGATGTTAGGCCACCCATCGCTGTGTCCAGTCACAAAGCCCGATACGACACCACGAGGATCAAATGTGGAGTGGGTTTCAGATGCTTTCATCTTAGTGTCAGTAGCTCTACAATATCAGCCAGCCAAGGAAGAGAGGGGTTCCTTTGAGACCTACGTCGCCGAGAGGAGAAACAATGTACACAGTAGCATCGGGGACCTTGGGCACAACTAGTGATACGCTAAATTCCATCTGGAAGAAAATAATCGGCTACAGTGGGCACATTCCATTGTTTACATAAGTTGCCGTGCCGTGAAAAGTGGGATGGAAATATATCACCGTCAGGTTGACAATGAAACTGTCGGCAATGCTTGACAGACGGGATATAGCGTGGATTCTGTATGTCCGCTAAACCTTCTACTTTGAATTCTATATCGAGTACTTCGGGTATTTCAAACAGCCAGGGTCGGGCCACACAAAGAAAGCATCCCATAGCTTTAGTCGGGAACACGAAGCTCCTAAACCCCGAGAGTAGATTTCCAACAATGAAAGTTTATCCCGACTGTTGACCTGGTAGAAGATCGCCAAGGCGGTTCATGAGCTCACCATGAAACCGATACTAGTAAACCAATGTAGAAGGGACAGAGAGCAATTGTCCCATGCTTTCACAAGATGTAATGACCGACTCGCTTTCGAGTCTCCCATGAACTTCACAATTATGACGTACAGCAGTCCAGCTTCAAGTAGAGATAAAAGAAATAAAAATTCATATAGAAAACCAAACCGTCCTATGCTCCACGGCAGGCAGGACACACATGCAATAATTCGCTCAGAAAAATCCTTGACAATCCCAATGCATAGATACAAATTCATTATTTATCGATCATCGGTAGGCGGTCACGGCGCTCTCTGCCCATAAACGATATGCAGTCGCGAGTACAGATGGAGGGACGTGTCGCGCAATTCCTTCCGCATACCTGCCAACAACGCCTCAATCTCGACCCGTTCCCAACCAAGCTGCCGCGTAAACAGCGCGTAACAATAGGGCGGCATGGCTTCGATCATGTTGACTTGGTGGTAACGACCGAGCTCCTTGAGCTTGGGGTCTTTAGGCCAGGGGCTTTGGGGGAGCTGTTGCCGTTAGCATTTCTTTAGTGCATGGATTAGGGCAGAAATATATGTACCTTGTAAACGTCCTCGCGAACATTGACGAAACCGGCATTTTCCATGTGCGACCGCCAATTCTTCACAGTGTCGAAATCCTTGCCAAACATCTTAGCACTCAGGTGCATGTGCTTGACTCCGTGCATCATAGACTCTGCTTTGAGATGTGTTTCGTCGTCGGAGAAGCAGTTGACTTCGATCGAGGCAATTTCCATCCAACCACCGGGCTTCAGGTTCTCCAGGGCCTGTTCGAACAGGCGGCTATGATCACGGATGAAGCCTTCTAGTTCACGGCCATGAATGTAGTCAAAAGGCTGGCTGTAAGACCAGGGTGCTTCGAAGTCATCCACCTCAAAGCGGAGGTTGGGAGGGATCCTAATCAATTAGCGACATCCAACAGACCGGGGACGCATCGATCATACCAAGACGGTTGAATAGGACTGAGATCGTTTCCTGAGCCGACCAGTCAATACCGAGTTTCTTTGTAAACAGAACGAGATACCTACCAATCACTTCGGATTCGGGATGTTCACTGATATCGTCAGTACTTGGCTACTGACTCTCATGTCCGGTCGGACTTACTCTGCAAAATCGATAGCCCAGATTCCAGTTCCGGTACCAATATCCAGGACCCGAGCGGGGTTTTTGATGGGGGCTGCGTGCAGCTCTCCTTTCAGAACCATCCGATAGATGTGGTGGCTCTGTTCTTGTTAGTTCGGCCATTCTAATATTCACCAGTGGTTCCACTAGGCGCAACCAACCAAGTCCAGACGATCTTGTTCTTGTTCATCATTAGGCTATCTCAGTTAGTATGGCTCCCAAATCAGGCAATGAGACACTCACCAGAATGTATTCGCCCTCATGGTACGAATGATATCTGCGACCATTCTATAAGATACACTTAGTAACCGCCGCAATATCCCGGTTGAGCCAAGAAATACCTCATATCTGTACAGTTAGCAACCACATCCCAACGGAACTGCGAACCGGTTACATACTGATAGTTCATAGCACTTGAGGTAATACTGGTGGTATAACTGGCATCTCCCAGTCTACAATTGTCAGCCAGTGGATTTGGGCGAGATAGAACTCTGCCACTTACGATCCCGCATATAAGGAATCACCGTCGCCATCCGAAAAGGTCTAGTAAGTCCAATTAGCGGGATCCTCCTTCCAGTAATAAGACGAGAACAAAAACCAACATCGGGTTCGATGACGCCCTGAATATGTCCCTGCGGTATTTCTGGTTGCGGTTCCGGTTCCGGTTCCGATTGAGGTTGAGCCTGAGGTTCAGGTTCAGGTTCTGGTTCTGCTTGAGGTTGAGATTCAACTTCTTGTGGTGGTATGCTCTCCGGTGGAGTTTCCTCTCGGCGGCGTTTCAGTGGTGTTGTTTCGCTACGGGATGCCATTCTTGCTCAAGAATTGGGGAACGGCAGTAATACGCGGACAATTTCAGGGAAAGGGAACAAGTGGGTGATTCGTGAAATGGTAGGGATAGAACCAGAATAATCTGGGGAATAGAAAAATGGTAAAAAAAGCAAGGAAAAACAAACCCTAATACCCCCCCTAACTATAGCTAATGACAAGAACAATAGTAATAGAATTTATAGCGGTAAAAAAAGAAAAAAAAATTATTAAACGGGAAAAGAGCAGGGAAAGCCGGCAGGAAAGGGGAAGAAAAGGTCCTAAAGAATGAGGAATTGTGGTCCCAATCGCAGCGACTCTTAAATCGGACTCGTCGACGGGATACTCATAGCGGGACCGCCGTTGAAAGATTTGCGGTGTCTCAAAAAGCTGGCCAGGTTTCGCGAAGCAAAGTACAGAAGTCCCCATTCGGCTCCAGACACTATTCAATCCATTTCATCATAATATTTACGCTCGTCACTCGTTAGTTCGCATTTGCACGGATGCACCAACAATGTGCCGCGACCGTCGATCGAGGAGGTCTTGTGGCTTCTTTGGGAGGCCAACAGCTTTAGCCGCTTGTTAGTCGGCATTAGTGACCGTCGAAGTGATCGGTTAACTGGTTGGTTCAAGGTCCAGTGGATCCCCTGGTCGGGTCTTTTGCCATTTTTCTGTGCTCAGGCGTTTTGTCCTTATTTTTTTTTTTTTTTTTCTTTCCCCCTCTGTCTCTCAATACCCCCTCGATTAGGGCAAAACCGCATCCCCATTCTTTGTATCGAAAAGGGAGACACAAAGGCAACCGTTTCGCCACGTCCAGTTGGGTAGCATAAATGAGAGACTCTATGTCTATTGATATAAATTCGGTCAAGTATTATAGCATAATAGGGGTTAGTAAGAGAGAAAAATTGCCTCCCGGGGTCGGCACCTCCTCCACTACCCGCTGTCAGCAATTCCAATCACGCCACGTCACCGTGGTCGAAATTCTTCAGGCTCATGTGGTCCACGAAAGGCCATGGAAAAGAGTCCCGAGCATCTGTAGGGATCGGACTGAGCCGTTTCTCCTGATTCCATGTGGCGGTGGGGGCGGGCGTCTTTCTCAATGCACGAATCTTACGCATAGCGAAGTTATTGACCCTTGCTAGTAGCTCCACAACCTCCCGAAATGGATCGATGCATCACATCCTTAAAAGGGCAAGAGCCGTTGCTGCGTTGGCAAATGCGACTCTAAACCCTGTTTGTGTGCACGAACTGAGCACACGGCACTTCAGCAGCTTAAACAGTCTAGAACAAGCTATGAGAGCGAAAGATGGTCCTTTGCAGCTGCCCACAAGATCCCAAAGTACGAGAAGCCTGACACCCAATCAGGTCCTTGCCTTTCGCTAGTGGGCCCATGATTTCTGTGCAATTTCATTCCTGCTCGGCGTTCCGTGGTTCGTCGAGTCTGGAACCCGAGTTTTAAACCGCTCTGGAGATCGGGAAGACACGAGGGGAAGCGATCGCAAGTTTGCAAGTCACCTCCCTTGCGTTCTGATCTTCAAGGCCATCATCTTGATTTTGAGTTTGATAAGACGTCTGTTGGGGATACATAGAATAGGATTCCATACTACGTATGCCGCGGCTAGATAACGGTCTGTCCTACTCACTGACTCGTTTTGTTTCCCCCTTTGTACACAATCGATTAGATCCTGATTAGGGCTAAAATCCGGCACACAAGTCCTCCGTAGTGGCGGACTAACGCCCTTCTCTCACAAATCTTAGTGTGTTCCTTCCAGGAATCGTGCATAAGATGCATATCCTTCTCCTGATTCTGTATTTGGGCGGGGGCGGCGTCTCTTGGCGTGCGATAATACCTTCCGATATACGAGGGTCATCGGATGGAGGTGGGCGGCTCGTCGGATGTTCCCCGTTTCTCTCAAGGTGCGAGGGCTTGTGCACCTCAACAAGCCTATCACTCTGTCTCGCGTCCTCAGTATCGTCGTATTCATTTCATGCCTCCCTCCTGACAAGCAGTAGCGAAGAATGGTTGGCGTACCGCGCAGCACTGGCTGTCGCGCCTGTCTCCAGCGGCGGGTCAAAGTGGGTGCTCCAATGTTAATCTGCCTCGGCCGTGTTTCCACTCAAGAAAAAAAAAAATTAAGAATAAAAATAAGAACTTTACAAGAAAAAAAATCAAAATCAAAAGAACAATGAAAATCCTATCGAAGCGGAAAATGCCCATCCTAATGAAAGAATAGTGCGATCAAACCCGACCAGAATGTCTACGCTGCCAAAAGCGAAAAATACCCTGCCCTGGTTACCAGAAGAGATTCCAATTCTACCATAAAACCGCCCCGGCTGTGGTTAAATCCACCCGCCCTTCCGAATCCGACGACGCACGTCCATCTAAACCGACGCCGAAAGGGTATCACCACCAGCAGGCACTCGTGCTCGGCCGGCCTACAATTGACCAATCCTTCGCACCTAACTTGACGGCGACCGCTCTGGACACACAGCTTAAAGAGGTCTTCTCCGATGTCGTCTACGCTGTCTTCCCGAACTTGTATGCCGCGTTCTCTGCCCGTGTCGATCTCACCTGGGTCGACTTTGTCCGACATCATTCCGCTGCGCAGTCAAGCGCCGTGAATTGGGGTATTCGTTGTTTGAACACTTGGTTCTTGGCGCGACGACATCACGACCATGACCAGCTACAGGCGAGTCGACACATGTATAACCGGGCGTTGCGGTGTCTAGCCCAGTCCCTGCGCGACCCCGCTCGCGTCAAATCGGATGGCACCCTGGCTGCAGCGATCGCACTCGGCGTATACGAAGTACTGGACGGTGTCGGATCGAACTCATGGCTGGTGCATTCGCGCGGAATCGGGGCGTTGTTCCGATTGCGTGGTCCGGATGCCCATCGCTCAGGTTTCGGGCGTACCATGTACACCACATACCGGGCGTTTCTAGTCGCAGAAGCCTTTACTTGCCAGGAGCCCTGCTTTCTTGAAAGCGAGGAGTGGCGGGCGATGAATCGGGAGGCATTACTAGCGGAGGAACGCGACGGGAAGGGCAGCCGACTGGGTGAGATCACCGAGAATGCGTTCGAGGAAGTCTTACTCTGTCCGGGGTACCTCGTGCGCACCCGCAATGTGATTGCTGGGAACGTGTCCGAGTCGTCAAGGGAGTCCCTCGCCGCGGAGATTCGTCGCAGCCGAGACCTCTTGCGGGGTTTGCAACGGCGGTTAGCTGCGCTGTTGGAGCTTCAGATGAACAGTCAGACGGTGCAGAAGAGAAATCCTCTAGACGGTTCAATTCCGAAACAGTTTGTGCACACCATTGCGCATAGGTCGTTGCGGGGTATGGACTCAGCGTTAGCACTCCTCGACCAGCTTCTCGTGCTGCTTAATGCTAGCAAAGCCCGGATGCTAGGTTCCGATGAGAACAGTCCTACTCAGAGTCCCTGGAACAGGGTCACGTATCAACCAGCTCCGGAAGGGCCAATATCCGTGACCGATGAGGGCACTACTAGCACTAACGAGGTGAAATCCCTCGATTGGCTTGATCAGCTTGCATTGTCCATGGGGACTCTTGCGCTCAAGACCTGACGAACTCTTAGCTCGTCATTTGGACCAGGTCGTCGGCTATGTGCATGGCCATGACTTCTTGTTTGCTCACCCGGTAAATCGAGCCTGTCAGCCTGGCCCTCCCTTGTTTTCTACTCAAACATGACTGCACACGTTGTCCTCGCAACCTGGAATGCGGGACAAAACTCTAGTATGTGGGACCGATGCCCCGGAGTGGGATTCCAAGTCTCGGTCGCTTCAAACAGGGCATAAATGTTCCTCTGCCGAATCGCGTTCATCGTCACCGAGCGTGAACAACAAACTTCGCCCCGTATGTAGAGTTGGTCAAGATGGGAATCAGCTGAATGTATATATAGTCATATATGCAGTAGCTCATCGCACAAACGGACATCCTTGCATACGGGGCGTTGAATGGTTTGGACGCACTCCCGCAACATTTCCTTGGCAATTTCAGCCCAGAGAAAGTACACGAATATCTGGCTCTTGTATTTTAAATTTTATAATGTGTACCGTTGCAGTCGTCTATCTCAATGGGAAAAGAAAAAAAAATAAACAAATGAATAAAGAAATAAAGAAATTAAGAAACTAAAGAAAAAATACTAGTAGGCAAATAGTAAAATAGGGAAAGTACCTTGAGGTTGTAGTTCCTTTTTGTAGGTCGGTCCTCGGCAACAGACTGGAAGTTATATATTTTGGATAGCTACTATGTCTATCCTCTACTACATGTTAATAAGGAACCCTATCAAAACACTAGAACCCCTAGAAAATAATAGAGAATATACATGATTTAAGTCTGGTTTCCCGGATCCGTGCAATCCTCAAAAATTTAGTCCTATGGCAAACCTTTACCCAAATATACCTCCCGTAGTCAACATAGTCAACAGAGGCTACCCCGTGTCCACATTAACCCGACCAATGGGAACGGAAAGCAGGGCCTACACCATGAAGTTCATACAGACGTCACTGAAGCGGGTGGCAGCAGGAAGATTGCCGAATATGACTCGAAATGCCGAAGGGAGTAGAGTTTTATTTGCAAGAGTGGCGCTACACGTACTTTTGCCACCTAGGATGGGGCATATCGATGGCCAATGATGTTTTGCGAGAGCAAGACAAGACTTCCCTGCAGGTGTTGTCACCTTCGCGTTAATGATTGACTTAGATGAGGTGTTGGATATGCCAACTACTGTCAATCGACGGAATAGCCATCTTGGACCTATAATCGGGTCACTTGCGGTCAGGCGAGGTGGACCGTTACGAACACACATTACGCGAGCTAAATGTGGGTAATGGCGGTCGGAAGTGAATGAACATCGAGACTAGAGGGTGAATGCTTAGATGTGCCAATGAAACTGAGTTGATAACGAAGATCGAGAGATTTGTGGGAACTTCCTCGATATGTGAGACATGTAAACGATATCTAACTGCCTAGGTTGTGTACCCGGTTGGACAGCAGCCTATGTACACTAACTCTAGCTGCGTCAGAAATAGCCGTGACCGGATATCAGTGTCCCAAACAGCGCAAAGATCAAGCTGTAAGACGGCTGCCTTCTCCCTTCTTTGGCATCCGCGGCAGCCCTAACCACAGCAAGAGAATACCACCGGACAAGCCAATGATGAAAGGTTGGAGAACCTCGACTCCTCGTGCCTGTGCAATAGCGCCGACCGCAAAGGGTAGGACAGCTGCACCCCCTCCTCCAAACGCAGCTGCAAATCCAATGGCGCTGACATGCTGCGACTTGGGAAGAAGCTTGGTAGCTACGACCACGACAGCAGGGAAAAAGGGACCAAGGAAGAAGCCTTGGAGGGAGACTGCCACCGCCGATGCATAGAAATTTGGCACAAGCCAGAGAATTAAGCTCAGTCCAATTGCGAGGAGGGAGTATACCTGTCAACGTTGTTAGCCGCGATGTGACTGTCGGTGAAACATGTGACGTACGACGATAGAGACCTTCTCCCCAATTCGCGGCGTCACGAAGCCGAGTACCACCCGGCCCACGGTTAATCCTAGCCAAAATCCGGTAGCCGTCATACCGCTGGCAAATGCTTCTCCGTTGCGGATTTGCATCATGAATGTGACGATCCATCCCCCGAGTGCAACTTCAATTCCTACATAACCAAGAAGGAAAAATGCACACAGCCAAGTTACCCGAGCATACGTCTTCTTGAAAAGAACTTGACGGAGACCACTTTTGCTTTCATCGGCGCGAGCGTCCTCGGCAGGTGTGCCGGGAGAGTCCCAGAAAACTGTGAGAAGGAAGGCAAATTCGAGCGCCGCGCAGCCAATCTATGACCCTTAGCGATTGATTGGCAGTTGGCTAGGTTTCAGCCTACCATGATATAATAGAAGTAATACCATTCTCGATGGGCTCTCGTAATCAAGGAAGTTGCTATTAAAGGGCTTAATACTCCGCCAGCACCATAAAACCCGTGTAGTAGCCCTAGGAGCTGATTTGCATTGGCCATATCCCCAAGCCATGCATTCCACGCGGCATCGCCAAGTCCATTGCCAAAACCCGCAAAGATGAATGACACAACTAGGACCGGATATGGGGGGTGCAGACAGTTGACAATATACGCAATGAGATGGCACCCAGGAGCCAACCATGCAACGCCGCGACGGCCAAGCTTGGCATGGATTCTATTGTTTAAACAAGCAGCCAGTGTATAGCCACCAAGGGGTGAGAAGAATACAAGCGACACAACCGTGTAAGATAAATCGTAGTACGATTCAAGCTGCATGTTCTTAGCATTGATCGAAAACGTCTACGTAGCATGTCGGGAGACTGACGTAAGGTATCAAAGGCTATCCATGTCAGCAGCTATGAATTATATGGGAAGTTATGAGATCGCTCACTCCATACGCAGCGTCATTCATGCCCATTACCAGGAAGCTCCAGTATGTGGCCAAGGTTTTGAGTATGTTGGACCGGGGATGGTTCCATCGCTCTGCCTGATGAATTATCTGGGGAGGCTCCTGCGTTGCCATTTCAAACGACGGTTGGTCTTCCTGATTGTTGGAAACGGTGCCCTCCGTGGTTGCCATCTTGTTGGGCTATGTATCTGACCGTGAGATGAAGCGATCCGTTGACAATTGATTCCGATAGACTGTATCTCTACCATCGTAAGGACTAATAGATCGTTCTCTCCCCGCAAATGCCAAGTGCCAAGATGAACAACTTTGACCTTTTGACCATGACGTCAAATCGGCTAAACTTCGGGAAGTCCCCGGGGAATAACTTCGCAACGATGTGTATGTTTGACCGAAGCAGTGGTTATTGAACGGTTAAGGAAGATGCTTTGCTGGCGATGCGTTCACCTGCACAACAGTCCTCCGGCATTAATGAAAATAATCGATAACAATGGTGATACAGCATCTCCCGATTCAATGAGACGTATATTGACTGGACAACTTGGTCTTGGCATCTGAAGGGTAATAACCCGTTGTTCGTGTGGTACAGGACTGGGTAAATTAGATAAGTAGAACGTAGGGTTGTTAGCCCTTGAGAGCCATTATCAAACGCATCGGAAATTGGTACGCATACTGCGCAGGTAATCTACAAAGTCGGGCTCTTCCAGATGCTGACCCTGAGAAGGCGGATATTCGCGCGCTTGTTTGTCGCGAGAGCGTGCCTCCGAGGTTGGAATCCTTCTCCGTTCAAAGTCATAAAGCCGGCAATCATGTTCTCCAAAATCACTGAATAGACAAGGAATCTACGAAGCAAGCCGTCCGAGGGACGATCGATGACTCCACATTTTCCCGCTGGGGGTGTCCGAAAGGAATTTGTGCTATAACCGTGGTGTTGATGGACGTTCCAAAGTCCCTTGATAATATCAGAGCATCGCACAATCGGTTTCATCCCACAGGGGTTGCCAAGGCTTTCCTTTCACGGTCGGGATAGTGTCCTTGACAAGATGACGCCGGATTCTGATAGTGACTCTGGACTCTTTCGCCGGAGTTCAGCTTATGGAGTGTTTCCGATTTCTCCCATGTGGTGTCGGATGTACACGGGAAGTACCTTATGCAGCCAGTCGCCCAATCGTGGCTGGTCTTGACCCTGTCTCGAGCGAGGCCGGTTTCATGTCTCTGGCAACGTGGATGAGGAATCTTCCCAGATGTCAAAAATAGCAGACGAGCTCGGGGATACGTAGGAGGACGGCCCGGACCAACCGGGGGAATACTATATCACCATTGATGTGGCTGTGATGGGTCCACCTGTCGCTGAGCATCGGGTTATGGATTTATCGATACGGGAGTACCCAGTACCGTTTCTGCCAGGGACAGTGCGATCTCACGTGGGTCAAGTCTCATTAGAGCAATCCTTGCTAGGTCCTACTCTGATCTTGCATGGGCTGGTCACATTGGAGAATAGCGGATCTGACTCAGGCTGACACACAAGACGATGGTTTTGGATGGTTTCTTTCTGTGTTGGACCTTCAAGGTCGACTTGGGAAATGATTCACCGAGGCAGTCGCTAATCGTAGTAGTGGTGCCGGGGGTTTGTGATGCCATGTGCATTGTGGGACTAGTGCAATGGGACAGGAACATACTCCGTACATGTTTTCGAGAGTTTCGGAGGTCCTCAGATGCCGTTGACTAAGAAAAAGACCAGAACATTGGATGTCTTGGTTCTTGGTCTGACCGAGGAATACCGGAAGCGGAAAGCGGAAGTGTGCGGACCAAGTCAGGTGAAAGGAAAATCACATGTTACACAGGGCGTTCCCCCCAGCCTTCCAGGATGTTTTGGCGTTCTTGACACCCCTGACAGGGCCAGGAGTAAGTAAGTAGTACTGTGTACCGTTCGGATGTCAGGTACCTGGTGACTGTTGATCATTTGATGTAATGGTTGACGAAGGGATGTTCCGGATCGGGTAATGATGCAAATGAATGACGGATAATCACTGGCAAGACGGGACAATCCTGGGACAATCCTTGTAGTCCAGAATGGTCGGTTGGTCAGGTACGGAACAGGAACAACCAATGGTGAATGTGGATGCCTAGTAAGTTGTGAGGGCATCGCCACAGCCATGACCCCGTGCTTGCGTGGCCCATTTTTCTGATTGAGGGGGTTTTCACCATGATTGGCCATTAGTCAGAGCCAAGCCTTGGGTTTGCTGCATTAGTCGAAGCTTGGCTTGCCGAAAGCCAATCAAAACAAATCATGACGGAACAAATTGGGGAAGAAACGTCATGAATGACCCGATACGGCCGCGTCACAGTCTCACAAAAACCAGCGCACTCAAGCAACGATCGCCATTGGTGGCCGTTGCGTGATTTCGGTTCTAAAATAAACCAAAAATCCCCCAAAAAAGAAAGAAAAAAAAAAAAAAGAAGAGCAAAAAAGGAAACACCCAGGTGACGGCCGATTTAAGCGACAAAGACTGTCAGGGGTCTAGACGGACCTCAATTCATCATTAGAGTTGGAACTGTCAGTGGAAGACACTCTGCTGTTACTCAGAGAATATCCGACAACGTCTTGATCCCCACACACACTCTCTCTATATATTTATATAAGTTCGACCGTACCTGCATACCTTTCATTTACCTATCCCAACACTCAAAAACGTTCAATTGAATACTTCCCAAGTCACACACATACACAATGGCATCCAGCGCTGCAAGTCAGCGGACCGAATCGGTCTCCTCCCACAGCTACAAAAAGTCGCTCTCAAACAAGGCCGATCCCAATGCTGCCCTGAGAGAAGAGCAACCGAGTAAGTACATGATTTGTTTCAATGCGGTGGCGAACTCGCGGCTAACCCAGGTAGTTGCCAATGCCATCGGTGGTACATCCTTGTTCTCCTTGCGATCCATGCAGCATCGCGATGCAAAAGGCGAGATTATCAGTAAGTGTACGCGGCAACCCTAATCCTTGTTCCATGGTTAACCTCTCTTTTTAGCCGATCCGGATCGCTCTAACCCGACTCGCCCTCGATTGGAACGACCGCTCGATACTATCCGTAGCTTTGAGGCGGCCATTGAGGCACGCCGACGAGAAAATGCCATGGGATAGGTAGAAACTGGGACTCGGAATTGGTGTTCTTTGGGGAATTGCTTTGGTTTTCTTTTCTTTTCGAAAATGATATGATGGGAATGGTTGATTGAGCGATTGTCTGTATGTATATTATGACTGGGATCGTGTGAATATTATATTATTTCTAGTGACCTTGAAGATCTCAACTATTGGACCAATGGATCGTATTCTCACTGACTTAAACATGAACGATTGATTAATTAAACTAGTCTAGGCAACCATCGAAGCTCAAACATGTTTGGAACTTCTGATAGTCTCCACTGTGCATGAAATCCGAGGGATAAGAATTTAAATTCTCTGCTCGGAGATAAGGGCCAAATCCACTCGGCATCCACAGCCGCACTATCTAGTGATGCGCCGGCAGTTACCATCGTCGTCCCACTCCGTCGCTCTATCCAATCTAAGAGCGACGGTGAAGATCCGCTGCTCCATGTCTAACGACATTAATGGCGGGCTAAGCTTTTGAGGCATAGACCGAACTGCACAATACAAGCGACGCCGTGGCTGGTGACGCGTTCGATGCTGTATAGCGGGGCGGTCCTCCTGGTTTGTCGACGGCGGATAAAGCATAATGAGACGTTGCTATTAATACCAGATGGCAGAGTCTGCGGCGAGAATTTAACAGGGGCAGCTGTCCTTTTTTTTCTCTCTCTCTCCAGACTGTTTGGAGCGTTGTTATTGCCAGTCGCTCTTTTCGTATCTATACATACATTCCTGACGTTCGTTATTTACCATCGTTTGCTCATCACTAATTCCAATACACCAACAAGCCTTCCTGTTCTACACGACGATGAAGCTTTCGTGGGCCGTGGGAGCGGCCCTGTTGGGCACCGCTGTGGCCGATGTCGACCCCATCATCATCAAGGGCTCCAAATTCTTCTACTCGAGTAACAATACCCAATTGTAAGTCTCTGACCCTCATTCGGGGTCCATCTCTGATACTCGCTAACCATGTCAGTTATATTCGTGGTGTGGCCTATCAACGTAGGTCTCTCGAAAGTCTTCTCCCTACTTATCGCTACTGACCATCACCAGAGGATTACTCCAGCAACGGCACCACCAATGGCTCTAACAGCTACAAGGATCCCTTGGCCGATGCTACGGCCTGCAAGCGTGACGTGCCCATCATGCAGGAACTAAACACAAACACCATTCGGGTCTACGCCATTGACCCGACCGCCAACCACACCGTATGCATGCAGTTGCTGGCCGATGCAGGCATCTACGTGGTCTCGGATCTATCTGATCCCACCCAGTCCATCGACCGGAGCGATCCCACCTGGGAGACTACTCTCTACTCTCGCTACACATCGGTCATTGATGAGATGGCGCAGTATAAGAACACCTTGGGTTTCTTTGCGGGTAACGAAGTTTCCAACACAGTTGGTACGACGGATGCCAGTGCCTTTGTCAAGGCGGCCGTCCGTGACATGAAATCCTACATCAAGCAGAAAGGCTACCGCACCATGGGTGTGGGATACGCGACTAACGATGACTCTGCTATCCGTGTGAACATGGCCGACTACTTCAACTGTGAAAGCGAAGAGGAAAGCATCGACTTCTGGGGCTATAACATCTACTCCTGGTGCGGTGACTCGTCGTACTCCGCCTCTGGCTACAAGGACCGCACGGAAGAGTTTGCCAACTACTCTGTCCCTGTCTTCTTCGCGGAGTATGGTTGTAACGAGGTCCAGCCTCGTCAGTTCACCGAGGTCGATGCCCTGTTCGGTGACAAGATGAATGGCGTATGGTCTGGTGGTATTGTTTACATGTACTTCCAAGAAACCAATGATTACGGTAGGATTTTCCAATCAGACTGAACTGCACGGCCCCTAATTCCATCTGTATAGGTCTTGTGTCTATCGTCGACAGCACCAGTGTCAGCAAGCTTGCCGACTTCACCTCCTACTCGAAGCACATCGCCAGCGCTACCCCCTCCGGTGTGAACAAGGCCTCTTACACCCCTACCAACACTGCCCTGCAGAGCTGCCCGGCCGTCAACAGCGCCTGGAGAGCCACCCAGACCCCCTTGCCGCCTACCCCGAACGAGAACCTGTGTGAGTGCATGTCTGATGCCGCCGCTTGTGTCGTGAAGGACTCCGTCTCTAGTGACGACTATGCCGACCTGTTCTCTCTGGTCTGCGGGTACACTACGTGCACGGGCGTATCCCACAACGGCACCACCGGAAACTACGGCGCCTATGGCATGTGCAACCCCAAGCAGCAGCTTAACTTCCTCCTCAACAAGTACTACACCGAGCAGAACTCTGCCGCATCGGCCTGTAGCTTTGGTGGCTCGGCCACGGTGACCTCGACCACCAAGGCGACTGGCACTTGCTCCAGCCTGATGAGCCAGGCTGGTACTGCCGGTACGGGTACCGTCACTTCTCAACCCACCGGTACCTCGGGATCGGGCTCGTCTGCTTCTTCTTCCACCTCTTCCAGTTTGGCTCCTACCACGGGTAGCACGATGGTGGTGGTTGGATCTGTTCAGCTGGGCGCGTACATTGTGACGGCTGTGTGCGCTGCATTGTTTATGATTATGCTGTAGATTGGTCGGATAGATACGCGGATTTTATTTTAAACTCACTTTAGTCGCTCCTTAGCTTTTTCTTGTATAATAGATCGTTTACATCTTAGTGGACGCATCTAGCAATTTTGCGATCTCTGACCAACATAAAGTATCGCTGTATTTATTGACATTTAGCAGAGCTCTGAGAATACTTACTATTCACATTCCAATGACCGCATGACGCTACCAAAAGGATAACAACGGTGATGCAGAACGAAAAAAGATAGAACACTGACTGCCAGAAAATGAACACCTAATACACTAAACAGAGCGCAACACAGCAAGTGGCAAAGTTTCTTGAGTCCTCGATAGGAGAAATAGACAGAACGCAACGCATGCTCTCAAGTAAGTACAACAGACAAATGGGTCGCGCCTTCGCACAGCAATGTCCACATTGTGTTGGATAAGGCATCAACGTGACTCAGTTCCATTATACTTCATCCCCTTCTGGGCTCGCGCATCCACAGCCCGTTTGGACACAACATAATATCCCCTACGACAGCGTCGCAGTTCGCGAAAGTAGAACTCAAGATTAGCACAACCTTCCTTGGTCCTCAAACTCTCCCGTACCGATTTCAGAATGTCATCATTAGTATAGCCCTTTTCGACCTTTACCCTAGCCAGAACATAACCTTCATACAAAGAAGTAGGCTGCTTATCTGACGCTCCCTTGGGACTTATAAGACGTGCAGTGTTCCCCTTAAATGCGTTAAGCGCAACCTTCCTTGCGTCCTCTCGATCAAAGCGTGTTACTTGGTGCGTTTCATATGGAACGAGCACATAGAATGTTTTAGAATGAGGATTGTGTGGTTTTGACTGGCGCCTATGTGTCTCGTGGGTTTGGTTCTCACGGTCTCTAGATTTCCGTTTGGTATCTTTCAAACTGCGGTAGCATTTGTTGGCACATTTACCGACCTCGAAAACGTGGTTGATCGCTTTAACACCATGCTTCAGTCCCTCAAGCAAATCGGTGATCATTTCAATGTTTTCGGATGCTGGCATTATGAAATGGGGAATGGAATATGTATTAAAAGATTATGTCTCGGATCCTAAAGTAGAAGAAGAAGTGCTGACCGGGCTCATATATGGGATGAAGAAGGATTCTTATAGCTAACTTTGGCTTCGCTATTTTAACTAGGCCCCGGAGCCCAGTGCACACCCCGGTGACTGCCATGCGTATAGGGCGTCTTTTTCCTGCGTGAAAGCCACCAGTGGGGCGATATATGTGTTGAAATTGGCGGTACGCGGCGACGTATTAACTGTACTAGATTAATGTAAGTAAGATCTGGATTCCCAGAGACATCATTCGGTCATATTGGTTTCAGTGACATGGCATTTGCCATGGCGTTGAGCGCAATGCAATATTTCACTAAACCGGAACTTGCACTTTGAGATGTGCCGATCTAACCAGATGTGCACAGCTGAGTAGGAATAACACAGTCCCAGCACCATGATATCCTATAAACGGTAGAATGGAACGGTACGCGCCGTGATCTATGTATTAATGCATCATCACAGCTTGATATGAAATCTAATCCTGGCATGAGGGGAGGTATGGAGATATCCTATTCGGTGGCAATCCTATGAACGCAGCTACACCACCCGGCTTATTGGCTCGAGACGCCTTGTTCTGTAACACATACAAGCTAAACACTACCTGTGGCCGCTCATCATAAGTAATCAACCTCTCTTTAGCCTTTACATTCGCAATTCATAGTGACCTGACTTTCAACCCACCTTAACCAGTTCAGATCAAGGGAAGGAGAGAGATAATTGCATTCACTAAATCTCCACTAGAGATATACACCCCTAGGGCAACCTTTTGAGAACTACATGATGGGAGGCCTCCTACATAGGTCGGTATTTGTATGTTTCACTCATTATTTGGTACCTTTGTCTAGAGTATACACAGGTAGTCTTCCAGAATATCCGAAACAGCTAAATCTGGTTGATGACGACCTAACAAAGAAAACGCAAGATATCGAGGAGATTTCCACCCTCCTTGAGGCTTGTCCCGGGTGTCGACTATTGAGTGCATGGGCTACTGGCCTTGCCAGCCATCACATCAGATGCGTCACCAAGACCACCAGCTTGGGAGATTCCTCTAGACTTGAGCTTTTCTCCTATTCTCGTATTGCTCTCGTGTCATGTATGAGATTTTGTATTCCCTGTCCGTTTGTCCGATCCTTGCATAGATTGATCGCTGATTTTCAGGAGAAATGTTGACAAGAGACAGATCGTCGCCGGAACAAGACACCCACTCTGGAGTTGTGCTGAAACCATGTATCTTATTCTTATTCCACATTAAGATCATACTCTTAATCTCTCTGGGCGACCCAAAACTGCGCCTGATATGCATTCTTGCTCAAGCCCTTTCCATTCCGGGCGTATGCTACTTCCTTGCCACGAACTGTCATCCCAGGTATTGTTATATCCCCACAAGATGCGTCTGTCTCCTGAAACTTAAACCCGAGGTGCTCGGTTAAAGCTATAATCTCATCCAGCGACAGCTGCAAAAAGGGTGCACTTCCGTATAGCAACGGGCCTAGATTGATCCACTTGCCCCCGGGGCGGAGTAACCGATGGATATTCTCAAAATATGAAACCAGGTTCCGCGCAGTATCAATGAAGAATAACGTGACGATCACGTCATATTTCCCCGTATCTTCTGCAAATACGGTAGTAAAGTCGCCTTCTACCAGGAGAACAGAGGAACTAGCCAATGTATCCGGAAACGAGACGGAACGCTGCAAATCAGCCGTCGTCACTTGATGCGACCACCAGTCGATATATGGATGGAAAGCCTTGCTGTTGGCGCTCGACAGGCTGGATAGATATCGATATGCGAGGTTCATGTACATGGACCATTCGTTCATGGTTACCTCGAAGCCTGCCGGGGTTAGTCCACCTCGATTATCTTTCGGCTGCAGCTGACGCAAAAACTAACCATCTAATGCATTAACCTCATGCGCCAGTCGTCCCAGTCCTGCCCCGGGCAATAACACTCGCAACGGTTGCTCGGATGTCCTTGACATATTCGCAAGAGTACCTAGAACACACGGAAATGCGTCCTGCCGCTCCTCGTATCCTTCATCGGCCCAATCGCGCACGAAATGCTTCATTGCCTGTGAGACGCTCGTTTTGTCAGTATTGACCCCCTTATTCTCGTTTTCCTTGATGAACTGGTCCAATTCTGCTTGGGAAATGTTATAGAAATGCATCCCATGCTTGACAATCTCATGCGCCAGTTGCTCATTTGTCTCGAAAAGGTGCTCCACGGTATTCAGCTTCCGGGTATATTTAACCGTGGATTCAACGATCTACCCCGTCGTTAGTATGGGATACTATGGGTTTGTACGGAACCGCATACTGAGCGTTGTTTCTTGGGGATTTTCTTGTACCAATCCCGCCAGCGCTTTGTTTCGACTAGATTGCGCTCTTTGTAGCGATGGAAGGCATGGAGAGCTGTGAGCAATCTCTGTCGAGGATGTGATGTATCCCATGATCCGGTGGAGCGTTGAAGACGGCTTTGTAGTCGCGAGTATTCCTCTTGCTGGCGTGACTCGCTCTGGTCGATGAGGGTGATGTTTGTCACGAAGACGTGTGTTATTTTCTGCATTCATTTTAGTAAAAGATACTTCGCCAATGGGTGGGAGGTTGTTACGTCTAATTCGGCATCGTATTGTGGAATTACGTCTTTTGCCCAAGCAAGGCAAAAAATATAGAAAAATAATAAAGTACAATGCATTGTGTCCTACATATGCAGGTCATATATTATAGCAAAGAAAGAAAAAATAAACTGAAAATAAAAGAGTGGGAGACCGCATGGTCAAAAATTCCGAATCCACGACGCCCCGAAGGTCCTCAATCCAGAGTCCTTGGAGCATTGCCAAGTCCGACGGGGCTGATTTGGTCCATATTGTTGGAGATGGTTCGTCTTGGCACCCAAGAGTCATTTGCAACGGGTTTACGACTTGAGCCGAAACTGATGATATTCATGATAGTATTGATGGTCATCTTCCAGTAAGTTCACCATTTCAGGAGAAGTGGCTAAACATGGGATTCATTTGTCTTTAGCGGGTTGATGATCCGGTGCTGCTGCAGGCTCTGGCTGGACATGTCGAGATTTAGATGGACGATGCTATTGTTCACCACATATTCCATTACCCAAAGTAATCATAAGCAACAGTCCAAGGTACACTTACATTGATACGTCGACCGTGTTCTTCTTCGAGGAGAGCATAGCGTTCTTGCTTCTTTTGTATCTCCTGATGGGCGAGTGCCAGTTCGTATTGAATACTTGCCATATCTTGCTTCTAGGTCCCGAATCTCCTCATTAGCTTTTTCTTTCGAAAGAGCTGCTATGGAGTTTACTTACGATCTCTTCTGTACTCAGCAGCTGGGGAAGCCTGCGCCGTATAAAGCGGCGCATCGCAGCATTGGCGGAGGGGCGCTGAGGGGGCATTGTAATAGGATGAGAGTGAAATTCCGATTGCAGTGGTCAGACGGGAGAAATCAGTCCTCGTATGTGTAAGTCACGAAGCTAAAACGAAAAGCTCAGGGAAGAAAGGGGGGGGGGACGCAAGAAAATGTGGATGGTGATGGTGGGAAAGGAGAGGGGCAAGAAGAGAACGAAAAGAAATATCAGGCAACACCTGACCCAAAGAAACAGGACTTCAACCCAAGGTTCAACTCTAGGCCGGCAACTTCAAGAATGAGCCATGACTTGCAACCTCTTCAAGTGTATAGAATATCTGGCAAGCACGTAAACGTACCGGGCCTTGTGGGCATTGTCAGGAAAAGAAAGGAATGGGGGGCGGAATACTGTCAAATAGGAATCAGTAGTTAGGACATCAGGAATAACAACCTACTACTGAATCAAACCGGTCTACCCCGGTGCATTCTGTACACGAATCGAGACGGTTGTCTCCCTCTATGGCGTCTTAGATATCTAAGGAATACCTAAGCTCGAGATCAGTGATAAACAAGCAGTAAAGCACACCCCAAAGAACCGGGGTGAGATAGCCAACATGACACCGGAAAGGTATCTGGTGTGCAGTACCTGCCTCTGCTGGAATATTAACAACTCTACTCCGGTCCGTGTTTATTTTGATGTCATAAACTAAAGGGGTAAAAAAAAAGGAGATACGTCTCTCTGATCAGAAGATTTTGAAGTAGTAAAGTATTAGAACGTATGTGAATACAAGACAATACTATTTCTTCGAGGAACGACGAGAGTCGGTGTTGCCAGCGTTTATATCTTTACCTTTATATTCCTATCTCTTTTCCTTTTCTATCTCGTTGTCTAGTTCTCCAATCTCTTTGTCAATATCTACAACTGAAGGGTTCAGAGTATGGAGGAGAAGCCCTTTGGTCCAATGATTGGTCTCTGATAGATTAATAGGGTGGCTAAACAAGTCGTTCCAGGAGTTGATTATTGGGAGGCCGGGTTTAGAAGGGGGTCGAGTGTCCTTTGTTATAGAATCTACTAACCTCCCGGAACGCACACCGTCACTGTTATTTTGGGCTTTGACTAGTGATCGATTGTATATTTTAATTAATTAACCCGTATAATCAGAATTTACTGAAAGATTCAAAATTTTATAAAGAATAGAGATATTCCTTATTTAAATAAATATTATAACTTTAATTATATTATTAAGGAGATAGATAGGCACCTAAAGGCTTTACCCACTGATCCTAAGCAATATATGATTACTGCACAATCAGAAATAATTGTATGTAAAAAAAAAAAATAGCTTAACTAAAAATTCAGCCTTTTTCACAAACACACAATATCTTCAATATTTTATATTTTTGGTCTGGATAGGAACAGTTTGCCTAGCCCCCAAGGCATCGAGGTCAACAAACAGCTACGAACACCGGGTGCAACAATTTTGGTCAAAGGTGAGCTATATACAATTCCATCGTATGAAGAAATTGTATAGTGCACTGCGCTAGATTACGCTATGTACTATGTGCAATGTACTTTTATAAAATAGGTGTTACCCCCCTTCTCATGACTTGTGGATGATTCTCGAAGTTGAAAAAGACCAAGCGATTCATCATGTTGCGAGACGTCACGCCATATAGGTCCGGTACCTCTATATCCCCACCGTTTTCTAAGAGCAAATTAAAGACCAGATGGGCTTTGCGATCGAATATATCAGTATAAAGATTCCCCACTGCAGCGTGCAACGCGGTTCCTTGTATTGTTCCTCGACCGTCGTTGGGATCGGCGCCGCGTTTAATGAGGAGCAACACCATCTCTGCATTTTGTTTACACACTGCGATGTACAATGGCGACAGGGGATGACCGTTAGAGGATGGAGAGATACCATCCACCTTGAGAAGGGTGCGAACAGCGTACATGGATTGGAGCATAATCGCCTGGCCGAGGACTGTTAGGTTATCCGCGTTGGCCTCATTGTAGAGCTCCGGTGTTAGAGGTAAAATGAGCTCTAGCACAGCGGAAGCATCCATGTTACCAAGTGCAGCATGAAGCACCGTGTTGTTGGTGATATCCTCCCGAATAGTAAGTGGAAGGCCAACTTCAATAAGGCACTTCAGCGCACCCGCGCTCAAGCGACGGATTGCCACAAACATAGAAGCTTTATTCAGTGAGGCAACCATGTCGGAGCCCGCCAGATCAACGAAGCGAATGACACTGTCACTGCTTCCTGCAAGAATCACCGCGCTACCGAGGGTTACCACATCGTCATCGAGCCAGGCAACTGTGAAAACATCCTCTGCTGTGATGTGTCCGTTGCTGAACAGGTATTCGGGAATTTCGGGGTTGGCAGTGCACATTATCAAGCTCAACAAACTGCAACCCCCTTGTGCAAAATGTCGCAGGTCAAGCCCCCACTCGAGGTACTGTTTTAGACCGGCCACATCGCCCGTTATTACTCGCATATTGGCCGCTTTACCATGGGGGCAGTCTTTCTCCACCAACCTACATATCTCATACTCTTCAAGGCTCTTGCAGAGACCAAAGTTCTGCTTCTGAAATTCGGGTTTAAGGACGGCTAGGACATTCTGCTGCAAATGGCGAGACACGGCCATGATGGAGCGAATCGTGCCGTTGTCACAAAAGTAGATGATGCGCTGTATGAGCTCGGATGGTAGATCTGTCAATAACATGGTTTTCGATTGATCCAAAAGACGTTGACAGTTACTTCTGGTATAAATGGCCTGGTAAGTGTTGGGAGTTAGTGGTTCTTCCAGGTAGAGGTGTAGACTTTCTGTGATAGTCAACTCAACTTGCCAGTTGCGTTTCTGCAAATGGAAATGTTGAAGTCCCGAGCATGAGATTACCATGTAGGCCCCTGTATTACATACCTAGCTTGCTCGGCACGTCATCACCATGCAATTATGTGTAGTACACACAGGGCATTGCCTGAATTATTAGGCCTTGTGCGGGAATCTCTATACGGAATCTCTTTGAGCATGAGTTAACAAGCCCTAGCATTTAATAGATAATAGTACATCTATCTATTCCGCGAGAACCTTCAGCAGACCAATCTCTGTATTTGGTGTCTTCAAGGTTCTTTATTCCTTTTCATTTTCTTCCTTCTCTTCATGGAGATGCAGAGTGACAATTTCGATATGGAAGTCATTTTAGTCGGTATCTTACTCCAGATCACTCCACAAGTTGAAAGTGGCAAAGAGCATAGGTATCCACCCTAGATCACCCCTATCCCATATGCTACGTATACTTGGACTCGGAGTTTCCTGCATCGGAAGTACGGAAAGAAGGAATAAATGGGTGTTGAAAAGAGTCCCACACAGTCCCCGCATTGATAAAGCATCTCACCCGCAATATCCGAGGTGGGGGACACGGAAGCCCATCCCGATACCCCAATAAATAGGGATTGGAATCCAGCATCCGAACGGTCTTGAGCTCTCATTTTCGACAAATACGATTCAGACCGTCAAAATGTCCTGGACACACCTCATCCGCTTCATTGCCGTCGAAGATAGCCAAGAGCATCTTGGCCAGTTAGTCGACACAACTCGCGACATTGGCAAAGATAGCGTCAATGGCGTGGAAATCGCGGCGTATCTTATCGATGGGACGATCTTTGACGGGCGCGTATCCACGACCGTGATGTACGTTAAGCAGGTAAGGGCCTCACCTGCTAGCGGGACTCTCATCGAAAAGGTATCCTAACCATAGAGAGTAGCTTCTCTCCCCAATCACCAAAGAACAATGTAGTTACATCCGTTGTCTGGGTCTGAACTACCTCGACCACGCCAAAGAAGCCAACATGGCGCTCCCCACGGTTCCCGTTATGTTCACCAAGCCCCGCACGGCATTGGCCAACCCGTACCCCGCTACGATTAATATCCCCAAGTGTGCCCAGGATGAAACGAGTGATTACGAGGCCGAACTCTGTGTCGTGATTGGGAAGACAGGCCGTGATATCCCTGAAGAGGAAGCGTTGGATTACGTTCTCGGTTATACAGCGTCTAACGACGTTTCGGCGAGGGCACTGCAATTCGCGACTTCGCAGTGGTCGTTTTCCAAGGGCCTGGATGGGAGTTGCCCGGTTGGTATGTTCTTTGTCTACTTCTCTCTTTCTGTCTAGATCCCACTTGAGCGTTGTCTAGAGGTTCCTGTCCCTAACCAGTATAGGACCCGTCCTGGTCTCATCCTCTGCCATCAAGGACCCGCAGACGTTGTTCATTAAGGCGATCCATAATGGGAATGTCCTGCAGGATGGCCATACGAAAGAAATGCTATTTTCGATCAAGAAGCAGATCTCCTATCTATCTCAGGGCACGACGCTGGAAGCAGGCACAATTTTCCTGACAGGAACTCCGGCTGGAATTGGATTCACTCGGCAGCCCAGAATTGTGCTGAAGGATGGCGATGAGATCAATATCGAAATTGAACAGATTGGCACGTTGGTCAACAAGGTGCGGTACGAATAGATAGCGTTGCTTATATAGAAGAGACTATTCCTTTCATTCATTGGTATACCTTGAGATAGAATGCGTTTCACCAATCTGTCCATCGCAAAGGACGAGATGGTGTAATATAGACCTACGAGATGTAGTATATGTGCCATCTAGCACCTAGGGATAGTCATAGGCTTGAAGATTCGTATTATCTTGGATATCCCACTTCCTTGGAATAGCATAGCTTTAATGTATATCTTCCACGAGTTATGATCATGAAAAGTAGAATGAGTATGGTGGAGATAATCGGTACAGTTGCTCTACCCGGCACCGCAGCAGAACTAGTTCAAGAACCATGATGGGACCTCAGGCCCCCAAACCGCCAACGACTCATCCCCCGCAGGCCCATACCCAATTGGAGTCTCCTCGTTGATCAAATCTCCATCTGCATAGTGTTCTACCATATTGCCGGTGGTATCCCACCAATAATCAAAGATTTGGGAGCCTAGGATGTGTCTCCCCACACCCCAAACCGATTCATATCCCTTTCCGCTCAAGTACTGATGGCCAAGGTGCTGCGTATCAATGTCATGAACCTCAAAGGAGCAATGGTGAACATGCGAGGTTGGGTTTGTGCTCAAAAAGAAGCTGTGATGATCGACATAGTCTGTTCCACGGTCGATATGCGCGAAGAGAGCGACGTTCTTTTTCTGACCGTCCTTCTCAACGTGCAGAAAATCACTCGGCACGATATTGAAGTTTGTAGTGTAGAAGTTTACCAATTCGTCGAACTTCTGAACGCAGAGCCCGAAGTGCCCAAGCTGGTTTCTCTATTAGTGCTTAATTTATACACAGGGGTAGGGGAGAAAGCGCACCTTATGAACGGCCGCTGGACCCGGATTGAATCGCTGGAATTTCCGAATCCGTGGTTTCTCAGACTCCGTATTCACGATAATGCTCGTCGGGTATTCACCAGCCTCGCGGAGCTCTTGACCACAGATCAGGTTCACAGGGAATCCCTCCGGATCAGTTAGAGTCAGCAGATGCCCTCCCCCGGGTGCCTCTGACAAGTCTTGAATTTCCCCAGCACCAGGAAGGTGCGCCGCTCTACACGATTAGCAAATCTTTATATGAGCCATAGGAAACAAGGACAGGCAAGCCACTCACTTCTCTAATTCCTGGTATGATTCCACCTCAAACGTGCCCCCTAAGAACTTCTTCTCTCCCCTCTGTGCATAATACACATACTGATCCCTTCCATACCCGCGGTACCAAATCCGATCGTCCGTCTTCTTCACCACCTCCATCCCAAAGTCCTGCAAAAACACCGTGATCTCATTCAAGTCCGGATGCTGGTACCGCATGTGCGACAGTTTCACCAGTCGGATCTGCTTCCCGGTGTCAATATTGCATCGCTTCCTCCACGATGCGACCGACTCTTGCTCCGGGCCGATGGCGGTAATATCGGGAATCGAGGCCCCATGGGCCGGCGCGGGTAGTTCGCGCTGTTTTTATTTAGTGCTCACTTAGCGGGCCAATATTTTGGGGGTGGAGGGGCGGTGGTTCTTACCACGATCATACTGTATGCTAGTTGCTTAGCGGGGTTAGTTGTGTTGTGTTGAGGTCTCAATGTGCTCCTGTTTCTTGCTGCTTATATGGATTACCCGGTGAACTTCCCCACATGGAGGAAGATCCGAGGGGCGTGGCTTCATTCCATGGTTGGTCCCACTGTTCAATAGCTCATGTCCCACACTCTTACTTGTGGGGCTTATTTATGTTCCTGGTTGTTGGCATTAACTGGTGTATAATTATCGGGCTGTTGATCTTCCGTCAAAACTTTTAAATCCTGATTCTGTTCATACCGAGGGGATGCACTGATGTTTCAAGATTGAGGGTGCTATGAACCTGTAGGATCATGGGCATTGCCTGCTTTGGTTCAGAGTATACAAAGGGCTGGCCCTATGTGGGGCCTAATGGAAGACACCATATATAAAAGTCGAAAGCGAGCAAGAACATGCAGAAAAGGAAAGATCAAGACCCAACAGCAAAAATTACCAGTCACACCTATCTTCAATCCTGTATGTATTGACATGTAGCCTAATGGGCATCAGACCATTTCCATCGATTTGGCCTTCACATTATCGGATCGGAGTGAACGAGCCTGCCACCCGGAAATCCCTGCTTGAAAAACCAACGCGTGCTTGCATCAACCCGCTTGGTATCACCCACTGCTGCCTGGTAACGTCCCAGTGACTAATATCCCTCCTCGTTAACTGGAAAGTGATGTCTCTAGACTCTCCTGGCTGGAGCTGCACCTTCTCAAATCCCCGAAGAACATTAACTGCCGAAGCCGCCTCAGACGTGCCTTTAGGAAGACTCAAATAAAGCTGTGGCACAGCGGCCCCAGCTACCTCCCCAGTATTTTTCACAGTAATAGAGATTCTGTAAAGTATCTCCCAAAGGTTGGGGTTGCCTCCCGGGATGACTTTTGCATCCGCCGGCAGAGCCGATAGTTCACCATTGAATAGAGGAGTGATGGAGATGCGCTTTCCGATTGAAAAGGTCGTGTATGAAAGACCGTATCCGAATTCGTATTGTACCGTTTTATTATAGTAATCGAAGTGTCCTATGGAGTTCCAGTGTGTCCTGTTAGTATGCTTCAAGGTCTCCTGGCGTTGGGCTTCAGAAGTATGTGTAGGTCAGAGGAAATACACACGGTAATCAATCAACACCCCTTCCTTAAAATCAGACTGCCATGCTCTTGGATCATCGGTGTCCTGGAGGTCTGTGGAATTTTGAATCGAAGCAAAGGAATAGTCAGATTCTCGCTTTGCGATCGTGTAGGGCAAGTGGCCGGACGGGTTGACATCTCCCCAGAGCACATCGACAATGCTGCTGCCGGCTTCTTGGCCTGAAAGATGGGCAGCCAGGATGGCTGTTACGTTGGGATGGTCCGCCCAGGGTAGGACGTTGACGCCGTTGGAATGAGTCACAACCACCGTATTTGGGCACGTAGATGCGATCTTCTCGACAACCTCGTCACCATTCCAGTCCGAGTGGAGGGACGTGCGGTCTTCGCCTTCGGTCGCCCAGCTTTTTAGGAAGACAATGCAGACATCCGGGGACGATGGGAGTAGAGCTTTGAGGCTAGTTTTAATTTCGTTAGTGGCAGCTGGGGGAGGGACAGGGATAGATGCACTAACTATGGGCTATTTTCTTCAATAATAGCACTATTGTTTAGCACATATTGCACAAGAGCCTTCTCTCGGAAGCCAGCGCGCTGCTTGATTGCCTCTAGAGGACTGACTAAGTACGTGAAGAGGCCTGATCCAGAACCCCCGCCTGCAGCAAGCACGCCATATTCATAGTTACCGACACCATTGAAGTAGAAAACGGACATGCCGTTCGTGAGATCACCAGCATCATTGCCGAAAACTGTAATATGTTTCGGTGACTTCAGAGGAAGAGTGTTGTTGGTGTTTTTCAAGAGCACAATACCGTCTGCAGCTTGCTTGCGGATTTCTGCTCCATGATTGCCGCGAACGTCAACATTGGCGACTGCTCCATAGGTGTAATTGTATTTGTACTCTCCAGCTGTTTGCTATTTTAGTATGAAACCTCCACACATACATTCCCATGAGAGTTGTCACTTACGGCTAGAGAATAGGACTGCGTTGAGCTCTTTATTGACGGGGTCCATGGCCGGGAAGCCCTTGTCCTGATTCAGGTGAAAATACGGCGTCATCACTCTGCGACACATGTCGTCCAGGCGGCCCATTGGAACAGAGCCATTTTTAACAGACTCAGTCAGGTTCTGGTTGAAGAATACAGGGCCGAAGCTTGCAGTGCCCGGCATATCCATGTCCTCACCTGCGTTAATGGCAAACGCCCCGCTGTGCGTAGCACCCCAGTCCGACATCACGTACCCTTGGAAACCAAGTTCCCCCTTGAGGATACCATTTTGCGCCTTGCTATTCTGGCATCCGTAGGTTTGGTTCAAGCGATTGTAGCTGCACATCACCTAGTACCGCACTGTCAGACGTAGTTCGCCCACACTGTTATGGATAACTTACAGTAGCAACTCCGGCCTTGACGGCTTGCTGGAATGGCCAAAGATAGAGCTCGTGCATAGTGCGATCGTCAATATTGGAAGAGACACTCTCAATTGTCGTGCCGTCTTCGTTCTGGGAAGGCTGCCGTTGAGTTTCTTGCTCATTACCGATGTAGTGCTTCGCGCATGCCTGCACACCGCTGTCCTGGATACCAAGGATAGTCTCCGTGAACAATTCTCCTGTCAAATACGGATCAGGGGAGAAGCCTTCCCAGTTTCTTCCACCGAAACCACTGCGACCAAGAGGCCCAGCAACAGGCCCAAGAAGGACCTGCGACCCCTTGCCCCGGAACTCGGCAGCCATCTGACTGCCTCTTTCGTAGGCAATGTTCTTGTCCCACGTTGCGGCGATAGTGATCCCGGCAGGGAAGACAGAGGAGTAAGTGCCTTGCTCTAATGCCAAGGGGCCATTCTGTATACAGAGCCCTGTGAAATTAAGACGGTAGATGGGCGCAATGTTTCCTACACAAGGCCCTTCCGTCCCCGAGACAAGGCCTACCTTCTCTTCGGTGGTAAGCTGGGAGACAAAGTCCGACGCCCGTGCAAAGGCATCTTCCCACCCAGAGCCCATTGCATCCGCTGTTATGTATTAGAAAGGCTCACGGAGAATATGTGTATCGGTGCTCACTGACGGTTGGGAATCTCATCCGGTGTAGGGCTATGGAGGTAGTCGTTGTGATTCCATGCTGCGCTAGCAGCACCTATACAAGAAGCAAGCGCTGCTGTAAACAGTAGTTCTCTGCGCATGGTGGCGACTCTTACTCAACGGAACCTCTGTGACTATTTTCTGCAGACAGGAAATAATTTTCTCTGTCGAACGAGACCTTTTATAGTCATGCGGCATGCCCTTCCCCTCACCGTAGGATTCAACCGTGACCCCGATACATCATGTTTTCCTTGAAATCTATGATGACCCTATCTTGCGTCTAGCGTCTTCTCATTGCGCCTTGCGTGGTTTCTCATCACTTCCCCAGATCTACAATGCAATAGCAAAAAGAGGTATACAGGAGTTCCGGCTAAACTTCGGCTAAACATCCGTGCATATGGTGGATCAGTCGATCGTCCCTCTATTTGTCTAAGCACCATGGATGGCAAGGGTCCAGTGATGTAACGTCGATACGTAGAAGAATGCGGGGATGAATCTGGGGCACGGCATGAATTTAGATGAACTGGGTCGGCTGGCAATTTTACCCAATTTAGCAAAGATGTAGGTGAACAACTCGCTTTAGTCTCTGCCAGGGAGGATCAGTAATTATCAAACTATATTTTCTATTTGCGGAATCGCCCGACATATATCCGGTTTCGATCTGGTAGGGGAAGCCTTGCCCTGAACTGCGGCAAGGGTTGGTTGTGCATACTGCGGACCAGGCTGCCCGGAAGGGAGTCACTCTCTCGGGTACATGGCAGGTTTTTTCCGACGTCAGTAGTCCTAACGAAGCATGTACTATACCGGAATAATAATATACTACGAGTTTGCCAACCTACTCGAATGTGATGTCTTGAAAAAACAATACAACTGTCCGACCCCGTTTCCTGTTCAGTACAACTAACCTCGACGGCACGGCTTTGGCAGCCGGGGCACTCCGCAGAGGGCCCGCTCGAACCTCCATTCAAGTATTCAGCTACATGGGAGACGTGGAGCTTTAGACTTATTATGAATTGATGATGCCAGATGTATCTTGGGCACTGCCCAAAGTTGTGTCTTCTGTCTTACTCCAGCAAGTACTTAGAGAGCTTTGGCCTATTGTCGACAGTTGTGCTATCTCGTACCATTAAACAAGACTACTCGTTACTACAAAGGTGGAGTCAAAGTGGAACCTCAAATTTGGTAGAGATATATGAATGTAACAGCTCTCGTTTAAAGGAAATGACTCAGTTACCTTTGAGTGTCGTTAAATGTGGAGGAACGCCCCACCGAGACACTGCCACTCTTTTGAAGTGCGTTGGACAGGCTCAAATCTTAGTAGTTGCAGTGGCATCCTCCTTAATCATTTCAGAGACACGTTCCGCAATAGCGTAGAGATTAGCCGTTGGATGGCCACCTATCTGCATAGGTTGAATGGAGGAGTCAACTACGCGTACATTACTGGTACCGTAGACCTTCAATCGACTGTCGACAACCCCACCCATAGAGCGGGGTAACATAGATGTCGTCCCGATGACATGGTAGTTGGGCGTATCTAAACGTTCACGTAACGAGTCAGCGGAGGCTAGAACCATACTTAAGGAGATGTGTGGATGTACGTACATTGCTCCCCTATCCATTTTGTCCAGGCTTCGTCCGAGGCATCCTGCGGAACCTCCTTGAAACCAGGAAGAGATTCATTGCCGACCAAACTTTTGAGCTCGCCCGTCTTGTACATCTGGCGCAGGAATTTGGACATGGCAATTTGTATCTGGACGTCCCACTCGAAAAGGCCGAAGTTTGGGTTTACAACCGGTGGTGCCATGGGATCGGCGGAGCTAATATGAACATTTCCTCGCGCAAACGGGAGCAGGCCCCAGTAGCCAGTGTGGATGGTATTGGCATTCTCCAATATAAAGACATACTCAGCAACTGGAATATCCTGGGCGAATACAAGGTCGTGCTGGATCTCGAACATCCTCAGCAAGTCCTCTTTTCTCATAGCACCATTGCTTCCACTGGACGCAATATCGGCATATTCATCCAGTTGTGAGCGAACTGACGCAGCCACTGACTGTACTGATGATCCGAAGATATCCGATGCCGAAGCAAAAGCAACCGTTCTTGTTCCCGTTACCGGAGTGTTGGTAGACACCACAATAGAGGTGTTAAGTTGATCTTGCAAGTTTTCGCCAACGCTTGGTAGATTGACCCGGACAGGAATCCCATATTTTTCCAGTATTCTGTTGGTGTCAGGGTCCCTATGCAAATCCGCGTAATAATACTGGGGCAGGAAAATGTTTACCTCGGATTTCCGACACCAGAAAGCTCTAGAATTGCAGGTGTACGCATCGCACCCGCAGCCATGATGACTTCCCTTCGGGCATTAACGACATTTATTCGTCGTCCACCTCCTTCTTGAGTAAATATCTCGACTCCTTGAGCACGAATATCACTGTCCTTCTCATTATCCCATATGATCCGGGCGACAAAGGTATTCAGCTCGACCCTCAGATTTGGTCTCTCCGCATAGGGCCAATAGTATGCTCTAGCCGCATCACTGCGAATATTCATCACATCAACCGTATAAGGATGAAGAGCGAAACCTCGCATGTGCCCGGAATTTAAGTCCCGATTCCATGGAATACCCAGTGCCTCTAACGTGCGATTCATACTCGCTGTCAAGTCACCTTCATCTTTTCGTATATCCATGAAGCCAACGTGCACCGGTCCACTGGTGCCGTGGTAAGCAGGACAGATGGATGCTCCGGCCTCTATTTGCGTCTGGTTGGGGGTTGTCATATTTTCACTTTTTGTATAATAGGGAAAGAGGTTGTCCCAGTCCCAACCTTCAATTCCAATCTCACGCAGGGCATCAATCTGCGCTTTTTCTGCTCGGACGTAGGCCGCGCCTGGAAATTGTTGGAAATTTTTGTCTAAAGCCAATTTGGAGTCTCCGTACGTACCGTTCATAACGCTTGTTCCTCCGAGCGCTTTCCCCGCGCGCATCACCTGGCGGCGTTTGCCGAAGCTCTGTTCCGTAGTTTCGTATGCCCAGTCAAGGGGGCTGTCATATGTGTACGGAAGATTGCTGATATCGGTCACATTGACATTATCAAAAACAGATGATCCAGCCTCAATAACTAAAACTGATACGTTTGGGTCTTCGGCCAGCCGGTTGGCAACAGCCAATCCGCTTGTGCCTCCGCCAACAATAATATAGTCATAGTCGGAAGAGTCGGAAGCTATGATTCCAACTACCAAGGAGAGAATCCAAAATAAGAGCATATTCAGAAATTTGAGCACCGGAAGCTTAGCGGCCCTAGTCCTAGATATATGTTTCGAATATCTTATTCAGGATTGTAATGGGGCGTGGTGTCTGGGGTTTATATCTTTCACCAATACCTGCAGCAGAAGCAGACTCTAAGACGTCATTGAGCATGCCAAGGGGAGTATGCGATAGTACGATGGTTAAAGTAATTATACAGCATCGGGGTTTGCTGGGTAAGTTACCGTAAGTAGCATTTTCTGCAGGCAAGGGTGGTATTGCATAGCACTAAAACTGCAAGGAGTCCAGGATAGATCTGCATTGCCAAGTAACTGGCGACTAGAGAGGACCGGGATGTCTCGGTGCGAGGGCTCGCGAGATGGATGTCCATGGCTATCTGACTGTCTGGAATAGAGCCGAATATTTTTTGTTCTTTAGGTATAGGGCACATCTTGACCGCAAACTAATGTTTCCCGCATCCCAAATGGTAGTATTTGTATTGATCTTGCATTGGCCAAATTCATCACTGATTGTTGGTTTCCTTTCTAAAAAAGAACCATATTCAGCTACATATTCTCCTCACCATTCTACCCCGAGTGCACGAAATGCCGTCTGGTTGCATCTTTCTAAAAAGGCCACTGCCTCGTTTCTGTCATGCCATGCATCGTTATATGCTACACTCAAAGTCAACCTATCCTTCCAAGTGCCCAAGAATACACCAAGTCCCGTGCCTAACTCTTCCCCGGTAACCCATGGGTTGTCTAGCTGGAATGGCCCATGGATGGGGCTTATCACTTTGTCAAGGACACCCATGCTGGATATCGAAACAGAGGGCTTATCGTTGCGTGAGGGGACAGGGGGGGTAACTCCATCAGTCGGATATGGAATGGTAGACATTTTCCAATAAGACGGAACAAGGAAGATGTGCTCTTTGTCATCCCGTATGTCGAGATAAAAGTTGCGTACTGTTTCAGCAATATCCATGAATTCCGCTTTGTCTTTCGCTGCGGTAGACGTCATATCAGCTGTCTCCAATGATGATGCAACATTCAAATCGATTGCCAGGGACCTCCCTGATACAGAGTGGTATACCGTTGCGGGGTGGGCCCAAGTACTATATGGGTTCCTGCAATGGCCACGCTCGTTGATGAGGCTATAACTGAGATAGCGGACTTTGCGCTCATTCACGTGTCTCTCCTGGGTGCCCTGGACAGTAACCGCGATTGCAGTATGGTAAACGTGGGTAATGCTAAGGCCAGTCTCCCGGCATCTATCCAGCAATTGCTTCGTTTGCTCTATAGAAAGAGTGATGGCGGTGCGCTGATGTTTACCCGGTTGTGTCCTATCTCTGTGAAATGGGACGCTAGCAATTTCAGCGCCCTCCTTGAGGGATTGGTTGGAATGAATGATATCTTGTAGCCGGTTTTGTTGAGCCGGCCGTAAATCCTTGGGTATCCCGGCAGCCACACGGAGTGGCGGGCTCAGATTAGCCCATTCACCACCAAAGCAGGGAGCGGTATAACTTGCTCCCCATTTATAGATTTCTGCCGCATGTGCGAATAAATTGTTAAAAAGCATCAAAGTGCCCATTCCATCAATAATGTCATGATGAGCTCGAAGAACAACATCCGCCCGAAAGGCTCCATCAGCCGAGGATGGCTTTTTGATCAGAAATAAAGTCGGCAAGGCCGGGACAGGGGGATCCAAATTACACCATTCAAGCCCTGATATGCTGGTTGACACGATTTGGAACGTAGTTTTCAACCAATCCTCCTGTGAGCACTCTTCTGTGAATGTCTCATATATCTTTTTGCACTTTTTCCCATGAACATCGTATTCTACTCTCGATGCGATTGTGGGATGATCGTACCGTAGTCGTAGCCAAGCATTTCGTAGAACATCCTCTGTTCTATTCTCGGTCTGGTGGTCTGAGGAATGGCTCTCCGCAGGAACAAAAACTGAAATGAAGCCTGTCATGGCAAAGAATGTTCTTCCGGTTCCTTCATACGCTTTTGCCAGTGATGTGTAGAATTGCTCCGCCTCATCAACGTCACGCTCCCATCGGCCATGCCTGGTCTCACCCCATTCAAATCCATTTGGTATCAGTGATGGCATTGTATTATCCGAGGCGCGTAGGTATATATGTGCAAGGAAGGGGCTAGTTATGTCGTAGGGATGATTTGTGCTGTGAATTCAGCTATTGTCAACGAGCGGGCAACACCGCTTTGAACTTTATTTTACTTGCGCAGGAGTTTCGGTCCGATCTTCCGTGCATCTTATATGTAGGTTAGTGGATAGTGGACTGTGAACATAGCTAAGTAGTATTTGTAGTGAGGTGGATTATAAGTTTACTGGCTGACGGCTAAACTTCGGGGTTTCTTATATCAGCGCATAGACCTTCTCGATTTGGTAAAATAGCCAGCAGCTAATGGGGATGAAGATGCCAAGGTGCTAGCTCCCTTACAATATGCATCTTCATGCAGGGGGACAGACTTTTTATAATCACGATTAACATGACAAGAGTCAAAGAAACTTCAAATAAACTATTTATGTATGAATGTATACCTCACTCATATGACAACTGACGTCCATTGTAAAGCGCATTTATATTCGCTTCTGCAAAAGATAAAGTACAGAACCTGGTTATTCAGGCACCGATCAGGGGTATACAACAGGAGGGATTCGCTGGCGGTCATCCACCCAACTACTAAGCTCCCGGCGTGTGGCTAAAACGCAGCTATAGCCACAATACCGTTTACGCACTAATCTGTCCTCTTGTGAATAGCCTGGAGGCCGCGTGGGCCTCCCTTGTAGCAATACACGTGATTACAGTAATGCCTCAGGTTACCATCACCTAGCCCCAACGATAAGAGTGGAAACAGGACAGTCTTCCTCCTTGTAAGCTTTCACTTATCAGGAGAGTCATTACAATCTGTATACTGTATCCTCAAGTACGAGTGGGAATCTTCTCTTATTGTCCGCTCCGAGACCAGCTCCGAGACCAGCTCTGAGAAACCCGGCATCAGCGAGGCTGCGTCTATTGCAGGCAACCTGCACACGTCTCAAACCATGAGAATATTTTTCGGGACGCTGACTTATCTTTGCTCTTGAGATAGATTTAATGGTGTCATCAAACGACGTTGTTCAATCAACTGCCAGCTTCAAGTGAAGAAGACTATTCCAACTCTCAATCATAAAAATTACCGAGTAGCCTGTATAGAGCTCAGTCAGCGTGTTAACACTTCTTGTCGCCTAGCGGTCAATCTTGTTGATACGAACCCATTTAGTAGGATGTTGGGTGTTATATAAGTAGCGCACTACGGTCTAGAATGGTGTTGATTTAGCTTAACTATCTCTCGAGAAATTATTAGATCGAGGCCTAATCAGTCCATCGTCCAGTTTCATGGATGATATAAGATGGAGAATGAGTTGCTCCTGTATCCTATGGTGTATTTAATTAAGTGTATTATTATACTTTGAATATTTCTTGACTCTTTTGATACTGAGGCAGGGCCCATTTCGCCATCCATGAGGACTCAAGGACCTGCTTGGCAGTAGGTCGATCCTCAGGTCTAAACGACAGCATAGATCGTAGCATCGAGAAAATGGCATCTCTTTCCTCCTCGTCAAATGGTGTCATGTTACTATCACGCCTCGGTTGCTGGACACTATCTTCGAAGCGCGTTTCCCATGATCGAAAGGGGTTTCTGTTTATTGGTATACCGTCCACGGTGAATTTATATTGTCGTGCTTCCCATTTCTCCCACCATTTCGATGGCAAGATACCAAGAGCATCAACATGTTCGCAAGTCATATCATCTTGCGTAGCAAGAAAGCCTTCAAATAATGGTCTCTGGGCAATGATAGTCCAGATAGAGCATGCAAGTGTCCAGATGTCTGATGGAAAAGACAAAGGTTTGCTGGGTTCAAACCGTGTCTCTGGAGGACGAATTACCAGGGGAGTCCGAGATTCATACTTTTGGTCTTGTGAGGGTGAAAAGGCTTCGCCGAAATCTGTGAGCACAATTCTGGCTTCCGCGGGAGAGATCTCCTCACTTGCTTTTCCAAGCCATATCGGCGCAATGCCATGAGATGGGACGCCAGGCGGAAGCGGTTTTCCATCTAAATGGATTATTGGGTCCAGTTCTGGTGCTCCATACTCTTCATATAATCTTTCGACTGAAAGTTGACCGAAGTTTGGTGGCATCTTAAGAAGGATATTGCCTAGATGAAGGTCTCCATGAACATAACCCCGAGTATATATATACTCAACAGCAATGGCAAGTTGCGCAGCCAATATTCGGCACACGTTAGGCTGGAACAAGCGGATCCAGGATCCATCTTTTACGTCAGCCAGACTAGCTCTTGCTGGAATGGTCACGTAGCAACTATGGTTGCCATTCGGGCCTTGAATGTTGAATGTATCTATAGCCGAAAGGATCATTTTTTCGCCCTGGCATTTGATGGAGGGATGTCGAGAGCCAGCAAGGATTGATAGAATGTCAAATTCCTGTGGGCTCGAATCTGCAGTGCAAATCTTGACTGCGACATATCTCATATTTTGTTCATCGCGAGCAAGCCACGTTGTAGAATAAGAGCCATAGCCTAGTTTGTGAACTATTCGGTAACGGCCTCTGAACTGATCGCCAATCTTTACGGGATGATATCCTCCTGGTCGATAATTTTCAAGTCTCTCTACCCCTTCAAGAGGCTCATACAAAGGCTCGAAAGTAAAGGTGTTAGTGGTCGCCATCATGTTGAATGCGGTGGCGGAGAATGCTCGGTGGAACTGGACGGGACGAAATAGAGGGGGAGACTTCTGTGTGAGAAGAGAGGAGAGTATAGTAGAAGAGAGCGGCCGCCTCAACAACGCATGATACATGACTAGTAATGTCCGTAAATGATTTGAAATGTTCGAAGAAAATACCTCATTCGCTGCTACGTGCTGTCGCTATCTGGTTGGTTATAAAGATCTTCCTGTTCCGGGGGGGGGGTCAAATTCCGCTCCTGGAAAGACTTTCCTCCGCTCCGGGAGGTACAAATATTACACTGATCAGGATATCCTCTGCGTCGTAAGCAATTTATTCATTTATGTTCTCGATGATACATCTTTCTGTGGCTGTCGTTTGCTAACGGTACACTAACGACTATGATCATCGTATCTTGTATCCTGCCTAACTGTTGGACAGCTCAACTTGAAATATCATTTATCCAATTCGAAGCTCTGTACCCCTGGCCTGATTCTGGCAAAAGTATCATCACTAGACCTTGTGGCATATCTTGGGATGATATAAATTAGAAGCATCCAAAACGCATTGTGATACGGTTTTTATGCTGTAATCGTTGTCAAATCCGGGGAGAAGTAGGTGGATTTTCCAAAGAATTGGTACACAATAGGTTCATTAGTAACCATAAATTATAAACGGTATCACACAAGGCCTGTGTTATATATGACAGGTTCCCTTGTATTTCTATCAACTTCCCACCAGTCCATTCCGTATGTGTAGGTGGAAAGTTGAGCATTGAAGACTTTCGGAACATCCATCCTATATGCAAGCAACGACACAAACTACCGGGATAAATGCGATGCACTCACAGACAAGGCCTATCGCAAGCCCCAATACCCCATTTCAAGAGAAACCGAGACACGTTGGGCGGGAAAATCCAGAATGCGATAAGCAATACAGATTACCATGACCGCGAACAGTGAAACGTGCCAGCTGATGATTCTAGGCTTCCGCCCGCGCATATGGGATACAATCTCATCGCTAACTAGCTTGCTACCGGCCAAACAGATGGGAACACCAGTTCCTGGATGAGTGCTTGCACCAACAAAGTAAAGGCCATTAATATCTGCGTGGCGATTCCTGGGCCGAAAGCTGAGGACATTGAAAAAGGAATGCGAGAGACCCAGAATAGCTCCGCGATCGAGATTATATTTGCTCCTCCAGGATAAAGGGGTCTCAATCATTTCGTGTATTATCTTCTGGTTTAGGTCAGAAACACCTGTCCGCCTTTCAATGATTTCTAGCACCTGGCTCCGAGCTTTTGTGACGACTGAATCCCAATATTTTGTTGAACTTGTGATATTGCCATTCTCACCACTAAGATGGCCGACAGGCACGAGTACTACGACGGCGTCCTTGCCTTCCGGGGATGCTGAAGGGTCCAAGCGATTAGGAACATGCACATAGAATGAGGGCTCCGCCGGCATGCAGAGTTCCTTGAATATAGCATCAAAGCTTTCTCGATACTCTTCTGCCAAGAAGACATTGTGGTTCTGAAGGGCTGGAATGGTAGTATCAAGCGACCAGAAGAACGAAATGCTGCTGCACGACGTCTGTCGACTCTTCAAACTTTTTGCATATTTCGACGGGGGAAGTAGGTGATTGTAGGCATATGTCAGGTCAGCATTGACGATCACCACGTCAGCATTTATCACTTCTCCAGATCTTAAAACGACACCCTCTGCCGTTCTTTGGTCCTCGGAGAGCTTTATGGTGGAGACCGGGCAGTTTAGTCGGTATTGGACACCCAAACGAGTCCCTACACGGGCCAAGGATTCCAGGACCTAAAGAAAAGGTTAATATTATGCGATGTACCAGACATCAACATCAAGAGTCCAGTGTTGTATACTAACCGTTTGAAACCCCCCGATGGGATACCATATTCCATCCACAATCTCAGCGTACTGCAACAAAGAATAGGTTGCGGGAGCGTCAAACGGACTCATACCCAAGTACATGCTCCCAAATGTGAAAGCCTGCTGTAGCTGCCTCGAGCGGAAATATCGACTGGCTCGGGAATGGATGCTCTCGAATGGATGCAAGCTGCAGAGAGAGCAAAGAAGATTGGGCCGGAGCATATTCCAGAGACTTAGGAAATTGCTTCGAAGGACAAGGGAAACTGACAACCTATAGTGATGGCCAGCTTCTCGTAGAAAATCCAGGAATCTGGCAAAGGATTGCTTGCCCTCAAAACGTTCTACCTCATGTTTCATATGAGTCAAATCAGAGGACAAATCGATTGTTTGTTGATCCGGAAACCAGATCCGATAGTTTGGGTTGCACTTCTTCAGCTCCACATATTCCTTCTCCAAAGTTGTATCCAGATCTTCGAATATTTCCTCGAAAAGCTCTGGCATTAAAAGGAGGGATGGACCCTGATCAAACCTCTTGATTAGAGCGTCAGTTACTGAATCACTGAGATCCAAGAATCAAGAAAGAGGAAAGGGAGAAACAAACATAGTCCTTATGATGAAGTAGGGAGCATCTACCGCCGATCGAATTATTCTTTTCCACCACAGTGACATGAAACCCGTTCTTTGCCAGCCGAGCAGCAACGCCTATGCCGCCTGCTCCAGCCCCTTGGATATGAAACTTAGCTTACTATGTTGTGCTATTTTCACTTCTGTGATAATACGTACCGATAACGATTGCTGTAGGGCGTGCCATTTTTCACTTTATCTTGTTCTTGAATTGTAAGGTACTAGTATGTGGTTATTGCAATGTTGAACTGAAACTTGGAAATAAAATATTCAGAGCTTGGGAATCGTGCCTATCGTGAATCATACCCCAACTTTTCTTCATGACATTCAACACAGGCTATTTAAAGCAGCTTCTTTTGCTACCTAATGTTCTAACACACACAAATAGGAAACAAGCTCTGTTACGTATTGCCCAATAAATGGGAAGCGGAGAGGTGGTTCCAGTATCGGCTGTTTAATCGGTGACAAAACCCTAATTGATTAACTAGGAGGTCATGCAAGCGTTTTTCGTTAGTCTGGGTTGTATCTGTAGCAAAGGAAAACACTATATCGCTTATGCAAGGAGGAAGAAGAATGCTGATCATCCTGGTGACGTAGAAAAAGAATCGAAATTTTCCTATCTGGTGAGAATTCGTGACCCAATCGGAGTGGAAAAAACGGTAGCACAGTTTATCTATATTAACGTTTCGGTTGTCTCAATCAATGCTCAATATTTAAATCAGGAGTAAAAATGGCATCCCATATTAAAGCAGAGTATGGGCCATATGTACTGAAATGTATCCCTTACATGGCGGCAAATCTCGGTAAATCTCGACAAAGTTCGCCTCAAATAATTGAGAAAATTATGGAACTGTGAGTAAATCGACATCGGATATGACCGTTGGCTCCTTAGTAACTGCTTTACGCTCGTCCCAATTAGGCTGGGGCTGTCATTCGTATGTGTTGTGAACTGTTACCGCTACAGGTGTCTTGATACAGATGGTTCAATATCTTCGTTGAAAATTACTATTTGAATGTATATAGTAAGAAGCGAGAGAATAGTTGGTGACAAGTGAGCATTAGACACAATAATATAGTATATGTTCGGATCTTGATATTTGAATCACGAATCATCGAACAAGGGTCTGGGAAAGAAAGAAAAGAAGAGGAAAAAGATGAGAAGAGATAAAAATAAAATATAAATAGAAAGAAAAGAGGCAAAGAGCGATAAATAGTAGGGGAAAGGAATACATAAATGACTTATCATCACTTATCATGCCCGGCGTAATGGCTGCCATATCTTTTGACTGCTTAGACCTCAATGAGAGACATTGTGTTGCTTCATCTTACAGAAGTGAGTAGCTCTGTGTCCAATCACAAGACTCGCACCAGAGTGGACAACCAATGAAAGATCCATATTCAGAGTGACTTGGGCAATGCTGTTGACAATCCTGTTTAGAAAGACATTCTCACTCGCCGAGGTAAATATACAACCCCCAAGAGTTAAGGAAAATGTCACTAACGCAGCTCCTACGGGGACATCCTCAAGGCTTAGTACATCTTGTGGGGCAACAATAGCAAGCTGAAATCCTGTGCCAACCCCTGCTCCGCACATAATTTGATACCTGATCCATCTTGCAGAACTGGTTTCCATTGTCAAGGTGGTAAGCAGTCCAGCTCCAGTGCTAGACAGAATGGCCGAGCCATAGAAAAATGGTACATAACACCCTCGATATGTGATTCTTATTCCTCTCAGCAAGGTCAGTAAAACCAGTGACAGAAGCAAAGCAATGGTTATGCTGCTGGACTTTGTCGCAGATACTTCCTTCACGGTCTGGAACCATAAAGGCAAGAAGTAGACCATTGTGTAAAATGATCCTCCGAGCAGAAATGAAACTATGCATCCGGAGAGTACACTTCTTTCCAAAATAATGCGTGAGGGAACTGTGGCAGTGTCTCCTTACCTGCGCTGTACGGCGGCGAATGTAATTAGGAGAGCAGCAGCCAGTATGAAAAAGGCAATAATTCGACCATTAGACCAACGGTAGCCGGTTACTCCCACGGTAGGGCTAGTAACAGTGCGATGACTCCTGGGAGTAAAGTAGCAGTCCCCAAAATGTCCAGGTCATTGAGTAGTGTGTTTCTCTAGTACAGCCCAGCGCTGTGCTTGCTGAAGGCTTCACAGAGAGAAGTATAGTGACAAAAGATAAAGTCCCTATTGAAAGGTTCATATAGAAGCTGAGTTGCATTAGGTTTTTGATTGATAGTAATTGGGGTTCGTAGAAATCTTACCACCACCTCCAGCTGATATGATCAGTGAAGATGCCTTCCGGCAAAGGATCAATGAGACCTAATTCGAGAGTTTGCATATTTTATAAACTCAGTGCCATCTATAGAAATAGGCCAAGGGCCTGCATCACGTTGTTACGAGGACAAAATTAAGAATGCCAATAGTTAGTGGTTGGAAGAATTGTGTAATACATAATGTGCTATTAGGAGGATCTACGACGAAAATTCCCTTTTCTGTCTAGCTAAAGTATATGATAAATAAGCAAATAAGCCTCGTTACGACGTATTGAGCGAGATCAGATGTGATGGGTATTGGCCATATGATGTGGTTCCCTTGGTCATATTATAGGATACATCTGCTTTCAGAAGGCCTCGTCAGATTGCTGAGGCCATATGTGATTTCTTTCTATGCTATAAGACATTTGGCTGATATTATAACATAATATTCAATCAGCATTTCCTTTGCCGCATAGCAGACCATGCCACGAGTAGTCGCCGCCACAAGGCACGCTTAACTTTGCACCTGCGAGATTCCTCCCTTTCCTTTCTCTTGGAATCCGACAAATCTCCATATAACGATCCACAGTTGCCCTAATTGGACTCTGGACGCTATGAGGTAGTTTGTCTATAGTAGCACGAGCGGCGATATAGCACATATCCGCTTTTTTGAGGAACTTCTCTTGAAGCTTATACACGTTGACAGATGTGGGGTGATGAATAACATCAAGTGAATCTAATCCCATCTCATGTAGCCAGGAGGTAGGGAGGTAAACTCTACCAATTGCTGCATCCTGTCTGATATCTCGGGCAATATTCGCAAATTGCAGTGCCTTGCCCATCCCCTTTCCTGCCTTGGTTATATGCTCAAGGTGATCAGGAGGGTGGATTGGCTTGTTGTGATAGTAGTAATAGTAGACCAAATCGAGAGCAAGCACAGCTATTGTGCTTGCTACTCGGGGAGCATATAAGTCGAGGTCCTCTTCATACCTACGGGAATCTCCCCTTTCCGTGATCGAACTCTACATCCATCTCGAACCCTTCAGCAGATCATGAAGCGGCTTGAGAGAGTCGTGAGACCGGAAGATGATCCAGCGACCACTGGAGCTCGTTGTACTTTAAGGTTATTTTAGGGTCATTGGACTTAGGCACCTCCGTTGTTTGGGCATTTCTAAAGCGGTTATCCAATGATGTAACACAACTGCGGATCAAGTTCTGGGCTTTTCCTTTGTTATTACCACTGTCGTCAATGAGATCATCAACAACACGACAAAACGAGTATCTGGAAATCAAATCAGTAGATGGAAAGAAAATCTTATTTAGTATGAACTGGGTGTAAATGGAGACTGCACTCAAAGGATCATAACCTACAAAAATATCAAGTCGATACGTAGGTTTCCTTGGAACAAGGCACTGCCCAGAAACATACTTTGACTCTTTCCCTGGAGACGTTTAACGGCACTTGTGAGCTCATTTTTAGCTGCAGTATCTTTACATTGAAGGGGCTTAAAAATCCTGAACAATATATACCCTATCACTGCGTCTAGCGGATAGGTCCATATTCCAATGTGAATTGGGTAGGAATCACATGGAATTGTAGCGAAGACGGCGATCTATAGAAATTAGCTATTACACCATATATTGACTTTGCCAAGGTGGCTGTCCTGGTATGCATACTACGATAAGGGCAAAGATCTTGGAGAAATCATGACGGTTCGATAATGGAGTAAAGAATATCGATAGGATTGCCGCTATAAGGATGGCAAATTTGCCATGGCTTTAAGCAAGTAAAAGACTGCAATTAGCTTTACCGACTATAACAGATTTGTTGTATGTTATTCTCACAATAGAACATAGTCGAATCCCATGGCGATTGTTCCCATTCAACATGAGCAGGTAGGCCTAAAAAAATTTACGTCGCCTTGCCGTCAGTCAATCTGCAGAAATACCATGGTACTTCTTCATGTGGATTCTATTATGAACCACCGAATGAAGCCCAGTATGAATTTGGGAAGCAAGGGACATAACATGACGAATATCTTCTCGGCAGGGATCGCCCCACAATCTTCTTGCATCGATTGTAAGCGAGATATGATATGATCCGTACGATCTCATCTACCTAAGTTTAAGATTCAGACTAACTGCACGACGCAGATTTCCTTCCTCCACTTAGCCCATTCACAAGTACATAACTCCAAACATTGTTTTCTCTTCTTACTATCAATTGTATCTTACTATCCAATACTTAATGCCATCGTTTCCTATTAGCCACCAGCGACCCGCGATCGTCTTGTTCCTTCGTTCATGTGATAGTAATCTCTCCCACGAAAGCACCTCTCAAACATTTATGCTATGACGAATGCCGATAGTACATGCGCAGAGCCAAGGACGAGAAAGCATAGGTTTGCCTGAATTTACTAATATTAGCTGTTGAAAACTGTCAAACACTAAGCTTTCTTCCTCATTATAGGTATATGAGCGGTAACTTTGCTCCTGTATCCGATACACATAGCTTTGAACCATGTTATTGCATTGGTCGTATCCCCAGGGAACTCAGCGGTGGGCAATATGTTCGTAATGGGGGAAACCCTGTGATTACAGTTGATATCCCTGGTAAGGCACACTGGTACGACGGGGATGGGATGCTCAGCGGGGTATATTTCAGATCCTCACTGGACGGAGCACATCTTGTGGCTGAATATTCCAACCAATATACGGTGACAGACGTGCTCCTTGCAACTATGGACCGTCCGACCCTAGAGGAGCCCATTCCCCTTAGTATTGCTACTCTGTTGAACCCAAATACTACGCTAGGTCAATTTCTGAAGCGGTTATGGCGAATGTCTCAGACGATTGTGACGAGCTATTGGCAGAGCCATACCCGTGCCATCAAGAGGATTAGTGTGGCAAACACCAATATCATATACCATGATGGCCGGGCTCTCGCACTCTGCGAAAGTGGGCCACCTTTGAGGGTCTCGCTGCCTAGTCTTGAGACGGTTGGGTGGTTCAATGGATTGACTGCAGAAGGAGAGCCAATGGGCAACTCTGACATCATGGGGTTCGGACATTCTGGTCTCTTCCGGCTCTTCCAGGAGATGACAACCGCACATGTAGGTTAACAGGCATTCATGGATATTTGCTGTTGTATGCTAAAGTGGACTGAGGAAATTAGCCCTGTGTTGACCCACACACGCATGAGATGATATTATTTCATTCGGTTTTTATGCCACCATACGTCTCCTATTCAGTCCTACCAAAGCGGAACAAGATGTTGTGCCGGCCAGCAAACATGTTTCTTAATGTACCTGTACCAGGCCTATCGTCACCTAAGGTGATGCACGATTTTGGAGTTTCACGAAAATATACCGTGATGATTGACTTACCTCTTACTATTGAGTGGTCGAATCTCTGGTACACCAAGCCCGTGATTAACTTCGATGGCGGCAGCAGGACTGCGTTCGGTATTTTCCCCCGATATAATCCAGACGAGATCCGCTGGTTTCACACCGACGCATGCTGCATATTCCATACTGTCAATACATGGGATACAGAACCCTCAAGCGACGAAAATGGTCTTCAACCATACGTAAATATGCTTGTGTGCCGGATGAATACCCCTGCCATTCTCTACACAACTGCTGACCTGGATCCACCGGTGGGTTCAGATAATTCTGCGCAAGACGAGACTCCACAGTGTCGCCTTTACTATTATCAATTTGACCTAACTCATCCCTGGAATCTCATCTCCCATCAATGGGCGCTTTCCGCGATCCCGTTCGAGTTTCCGCATGTACCAAAGCACCGGGCAATGTCAGCGACAAGGTACGTTTATGGCTGTTCCACTACGAAGGGATGCTTTGGCACAGCACTTGGACAAGGCGTCAAGATCAACTGTCTAGTGAAGGTGGACACCAGCAGCTTAATTCAGCAGGGGTTGAAGGCGCCCCCTGACCCTATTGTTGGTTGCGTGGACTGTCGATCGGTACATGATATTGTCTACCACCGAAAGCCGAATGATCCTATTAGTATATTCCAATTGCCCGTCGGTTGGTATGCTCAGGAATGTTCATTTGTGCCTCGGCAAGGGAGCGTGGATGAAGATGATGGTTGGCTGCTGAGCTTTGTGTTCGACGAGTCACAACTGGACAGTGCAGGTGTGGCGGTGAGCGATGCCCGTAGCGAGCTATGGATAATCGACGCAAGGAGCATGCAGACGGTGATCGCTCGATTGGTGTTGCCACAACGAGTCCCTTATGGGATGCATGGGAACTGGTTCTCCCGTGAAGAAATCGAAGATCAACGGGCTGTGGAATCCTACCGTCGTCTTCTCAGAAAGTAAACCTTTATCAATTTGATTGTTGGCTATTATTGTTGGTTTATTGTATACTGACTGTCAATTTGCGCCTGAAAGACTTATTTCTCCGATTTCTTAAATTGTTAATCATCACTTTCACCGCATTATATCCCTGGTTATCTGTACCTGCATGAGCAATCATGGCTCAGTAAGTAAAGGTAATTGGGCTGAGAGTAGTCGCGGATGTCCTTTCCCCCCCTGAAATTCCTCCTTCTGAATCACAAATTAAAAAGGGTTTGCAGAGAGTTATCCAAGTAACTGAGGCTTTTCTTGGTCTTCTTTGCAATATAATGGCACCTTCTTCCCTCCATATCCTGGTATCTAGCCTACAAAATCCATACAGTCTCAGTCTTGACCGGGATGGCCCTTTTCCCGTGTTATATCGCCTCCTACGGACCAAATGTATATCGACCGATGACATGGACCTTCCGGGGTTTGCGAACAAGACCATTCTAATTACACAATGTGAAATATGTGATACTAGCGACGGTAAAACCAAACGCCAAATATACTTTATGTGGTCCTCAAAATCGTTAGTAGCTGTACCAAGGCGGGTGATTGTATCTTTGTGAACAATCTTCAAGCCTAACGATTTGAAGATGACACTGTCTTGCATATTCCGTTCTAGAACTACATACGCAGCCTTCAGGCAGCAGCTTAACCGTGTGCTCTAGGTTGCTGACGACCTAAGAACCTACTCATGACCGCACATGCACCAGGGACAGAAAGACCATCAATAACCTTTGTTAGATCATTTCAGAAAGAGGGAGGGAAAAGCAACCACACAGGCAGAAATCCTTAAAAGTGCCATATTCTGTCTCGGGACCTCACAGATTACGGATGTTCCGGGATAGGCGATGACTGCCCCGGGACATTCCTCTGGATTCGACAGTAGGCCCAAGCCAGTCGGGCTGATGAGGCTACATAGAATACTCCTGGAATACGAGGCTGCGCTGAGAACTTCCGATCGATCTAGAGACGTCACCGGGTGTGTTGCCACTTGAGGGGGTCCGTTCTAAACCAAAGCTCATCTGCAAAGTCCAAATTGTGGTCGCCATGCTAGTGAAACGGCATCGCGAAATCCGGACGCGATCGGATCACTTGTATACAATCCTCGGGGAATTGCACGTCATGCACGAGACTGTAACTTAAGTAGGACGCGAACCATGGGGTCTGGACTTACCCATATCGGCTTTCATGGTGTATCACATAGGGGAACCTTCTTTATTGATTCGGGTTTCGCCATCTCGTAGCCGTCCTCTCCTGGACGAACGACAAATTCGAATCTCCATAGCCGGTCTGCCTGAAGACCGAACCACCCGCATACGGCAGGGCGATTAGGATTGCAGATAAAGCGCAATTCATATGGAAAGAAAAGGTCATACACTTGTTCCGGAGTATAACCCAACGTCCACAGGGGAAACTCAGGGTGCGACTCGGGTGTTGGTAATGTGATTCGCCAGTTTAGCGCTACCCAAGTCTCCTGGTAAAACTACCTTAACATAATATCAGTGATGCAGTTCTTAGCAATATCATATGCCACATACTCCGTGACTTTCTCCATATGTACACATTTTGCCTCCAGGTACTGCTTCCGGCTAAATCCCGTCTTGCCATCCGCGCCGACGAAAAATGGCGCGCGAATCCTCCGTTCAGCCCCTTGTGCATCTTGATACCTGCAGTAGATCCACTGCACGTCTTCACACAATTCATAGACTGTTAGTTCGGATCTCAGAGTGCAGAATGTGCTATGTGACACAGCCTTTCGCAAGTTCCCTTCGAGTGTAGGTTGTTTGTGACAAAGAAAGCCGATATGACCTGTTCCTCCAGCCGTGTGATACAGTTGGTTCGCATATCACTAACGACAGTATGCTCGACTCACCGTGCTATAATCCAGAGCGGGAATTGGGTTTTTCTTGAAGACTGGCTCTGTTCCGCCGATGAAGTTGAACCGACCCATACCTATTCCTACAAGTCAATACTGTAGAATTCAACCATAGAGGAGAAAAGAGAAAGGGAATGATACTGACAACTGCCGATTTCGGTAAAAATTGAATCATATATACCGATCCCCTGGAGAAAGCGAATGCCATCCTCGTCCAGGGCGATTCCACGGGGATCGGTAGTGATATCAGCTTCTCGCTATAGCACCACATTCGGGATGGACATCTGACCCAAATAAGCCGATAGCATGGCACCGGGTGGGCCACAGCCACAAATGACTACATCTGTGGTTTCCCAATCCTTGATTTCTAATGGCCTAGCCTCAGAATACTGTTGTGGTGAGAGATTGTGACCGCACCGAAAGTAAGAAGGAGCAGGAACAGTTACAGGTGTTATATAATAAATGTTATGCACCCCTGTCAATAACATATATGGTTACATGATTATCCTGCGGGGTTCTGTGAGGCCAAAGGTCCGCCCAGTAACGAGCATAACATACATTTATAGCCACAAACGATGAAAACGACTAAAAAGACGCTGAACAAAGAGTGATGACGGAGTGATGAGTTGACCGGGATGGCAGGATGTAGAGTAACAGTCAAGGTGGCGGACAAGTGTGCTAAGAGGTAAGGGTATCGTCTGCACATGACCCAGCGAGGTACACGGAAATATAGGAAGGCAGGCCCACAACGACAACCTTACCGCATACCACTCCTTAGGTATCTTCATCCTCAATACATGAAACAGCTTGTACCACTACATTTCGCGGAAAAAACAACCTGAAGAAGGATATGAAGTTTTTTGTGCTTTATAGAGCCCGCTCAACTTATCTCAATCAATTCAAGAGGGAGGAACTTAGCGCGTAATGCCGGGGAGTTAGTCAGTCCAGTATTCCATCACCCTCCCTAGCACTAGAATGCCTATTTCTTATGCTAATATCTCGTCAAGCTATGCTCCTGTAGTTATCTCTTCTTCTAGGGCATCCTCTTCCTTGTGTGGCGTCTTATTAAGACAAGCCAGGGGTCTACTACTACTACTACTACTACTCCACGTATTGATACTAGACACACAAAGGCCATGTCATAGTCAACTGATCATTGACGATCGCAATTGTCCTACGGCATACCTGATTCATTGATCATTATCGCAACAAGAAAATTTTGTTCCCTACAGCTCCAATATATGTAAATCTACAACATCCCTTTCTGTGACCCACTATATACACCTGCACGGCCTTAGCTGGAAGCCACTGAAGGAGCTCTTACGACTTTCCGGGAATATGGTGCGTTATTGAGGATCTCTGATGCCATAGCGAGGGATATACAGTATGTAGTGGATTCCTGGCAGTTTCCTAGAATCTGAAGCTCAGACCACACGACTCTTCGCGACTGTTCCCTTGAATACACACGGAGCTTTCGGGACGATTATATATATTACTATCCCAACCCCAAGAGAATTGCCTAGCACGGATCGTCTAAAACAAGCTGAAAGCTACTCCCAGATACGCAAGCTTGTATTACGAGATAGTTGGACGATCTCGACATAACATGGTTTACACAGGAACCATGCAGTGCTGACTCTCTGTAGGTAGAGCGATGTCTATCCATGTGTCGTCAGCCGGTCATGCTCCCTGCTGTTCTCTAGTGATCTAGGCCTAGTTCCGCTGGCTGCCAGCTGAGCTAACTAGAAATCAATCACATCGGTTTACATGCCAAGTTAGGTAAGTATGGCACTTCAAGCAGCTATCGCCCCAACAGAGCGTAACATAGACTGCGCTATGGCCTGCCTTGAGACATTATGCTGGGGTACATCCCACACGATTCGCCCTACCAGTGAAGTCCTTGTCCACGGGGCGGTATGGTGGAGCAGGTGTCTGTCAAATATCCTAGAAGAGATATGGTCGGAACGAACCGATCTCGGGAAGGTTTGGGTGAGCGGTTTTCCTTGTCATCAGAGACAGGAGGCCTCTTTTAATTTCCTCGCGCGTGGGATATCTTGAGGTTAATGACTCGCCGGCGCAACCTCAATGAACTAATCAAGTCAAGCGTTGGCCGTTAGTCGCGGGTCGTGTAATTTCCATTGCCAGGGACCCTCCATCAGGCCAATGAAGGAACAAATCATTTCGTATCGAGGCTGGAGGGTTGGTCCCTTTGTCGCTCCCAAGGTTCTCAAGCATCCTTGGCATGGGGCAAAAAAGGACTTGGCATCTTGAAACTGTCTGCAGAATGCCATGTTGGTTTGGCATGCTTGACTTGCCTGCGCATCCAAAGTGAGTTTGCGATGGCTAAGTAACCCCACGTGCTCAGTCAGCAAGATAACAGGATATAGGCATTTCTAATCTGTGACGGATTCATTTTCCAACAGTTTGACAATGCCAACGGATACAGGGTCTGCCGAGCACGATGAGAACCTTGGAGACGCCAAGTATTCCACTGCTCTTGGCACGCTAGACATTTGATACAAGCTGTGGGCTGTGATTTATGTCGTTTAATTTTGACCGGGTGGTCGAGACAAGTTAAGAGGCGAGTGACCTTGGAGGGCCGCTACTGGTGTGGAGGTATAAAGTCAATCCGATTTCCCCTGTTGTACTTTCTCAGTCTGCCACTCCCAAACGCACATAAGCTTGGACCATATCTGAACATACCTGCAAGAACCATGAGATTCTCAGTCCTCGCTCTGTTCGCCTTGGCCTCGGCTGCCTTGGCCCAAGACAGTACTAGCCAAGATCCAGGCCCGTCCCCCACTGCCTCTGTTGGATGTGAGCCACATGGAGACCACTGGTATGTTTCTGTCGTCCTCTTCAACATCACAGCACCGATATCTAATATATATCCAGGCACTGCGAAGGTCCAGCGTCGACATCGGAGACCGCCACCCCAGCCGTTCCTAGCCCAACTGAATCTGTAGGCTGCGAGCCGCACGGCGACCACTGGCATTGCGACGGCCCCGCCTCGACCACCGCAGCAGCCACTACCACGGGCACCCATTCACACACAGATGAGGCTGATGCCACCGAGACTCCGACCAAGCCCAGTCCCACGGAGTCGGTTGGTTGTGAGCCTCACGGCGACCATTGGCACTGTGACGGCCCTGCTGAGACGGGAGCCTCGTCATCAAGTGGCACCAGTAGCAGCGGTTCGACTGGCAGCAGCACAAGCACTGCTGCCGCTGCCACAGGTACCGGATCGGATGAGGGCAATGCGGCCGGGAATGTGGGTGTTCGACTTTCCGTTGCGGTCGGGTTGGCGCTAGGAGTTGCGGCATTGCAACTTTAAGGTAGCATGGTCGATGTCGGACATTGTATATTCCACTCTTGTCAGGGTCAGGGTGTGCCGCACTATAATGTATTTACTAAAATTGTTTTGGATTTGATTGGGCCAATGGTTCTATAGGGTTGGGGATTTTTTTCTAATTAGGGTTGCCTGATCAAATATGATTCTTCCCGGATCCGAGTGGTGTGTCCCGTCAGACCATTCGGAATATCCACTCGTCTTGGCGTCGTTCCAACACAATGGTAAACGTTATATAATGGATGAAAATCATCTTAGCTGTGATTGGAACTTCGAAATCACCCAGTGCGCAGGAGTATCTCAACATGGAGTCCTTCAATTCTACCATCTTTCCCCAAATGGCTTCATATGCGGACCTCACCAAGCTGGCCCATCAAAATCCCAACCTATCCAGCATGGAAAACCTCTGGGAAGCTTACTACTCCTATTGGAACAATGATATCCTCGCCACAGGTACCCTTCACATGTTCGTACGGTCCCCGGAACAACAACTAACCGGCGCAGGAATTATCACCTTCATCGCCCACGAACTGATTTACTTCGGCCGCTGCCTCCCGTGGATAATCGCGGACGCCATGCCAGGCACGTTCAACCGGTGGAGGATACAAGATCACAAAGCACCACCCTCAGTAGCCACCCAATGGAACTGCACGAAATACATCCTCGCGATCCACTTCATCGTCGAACTCCCTCTGATTGTCCTCTTCCACCCCATGATGGACCTCTGCGGCCTCAAGTACGCCTCCCCCTTCCCAGACCTCAAAACCCTCGCTGCCCAACTCGCCATGTTCTTCATTGTTGAAGATACCTACCACTACTGGTTGCACCGCGCGTTCCACTGGGGGCCCCTCTACCGCTCCATTCACCGCATCCATCACCAATACGCGACTCCGTTCGGTCTCACGGCCGAATACGCCAGTCCCTGGGAGACCCTCCTGCTCGGTCTTGGCACGATCGCCCCGCCGCTCGTTCTGGGCTACTTTACAGAGAACGTTCATCTGATCACGGTGTTGGCATGGATGGGTCTGCGCCAAGTACAGGCTATCGACTCGCACTCGGGATATGATTTCCCCTGGAGCTTGAGACGGATCATCCCGTTCTGGGGCGGAGCTGACTGGCATGATGATCATCATCGTTACTTTGTGGGCAATTATTCTAGCTCGTTCCGCTATTGGGATAGTAAGTCTTTCTTTTGCTTTCTTTCCGGGATTTGCTTTACAAGGACTAACCTGCGACAGTCTTGATGGGTACCGTTGCTGGTCCCAAGAATGGACGTGAGCATAGACGTCGTGATTAGTTTCCATCCTTGACTTGCGAGGGAGAAAAGCTCTTCTGCTCTTTTTGAACTGTAATATGTTTTAATGGGGCTGTGTGTATAGTTGTGGCCTTCTTTTTCATGTATGATTAGAATGTGTAGTATGATACGAGATAATTAATATGAGTAATATGTCTACGATCCATTGTTCGACTTTAGGGAATACTACAGAGATTCTGAAACCTGATTAAAAAAAGTAATAAAGAAATAATAAAGAAGCAAATACACAAATAGGGGGGGAAATATACATCAAGGAGGATATAAACCCATCTCGCCCGAGAGGTCGGATATCTCACCGGCCATAGTTCGGGATTCAAGCAAACACCGAGTCATCCCGAACTGAAGATAAATACACAGAGAATACACAATTTGCGAGAAATCCCATTCGCATATTCTACTCACTGCTAAAATCCTTTACAGCCAGAAACACACCCGTTGCTTAAAGTTCACCATATCTTTGACGCCAAGCGTGTCGGATGGTTATCATCGGAACTCTTTTAGCGCCGACATTGGTCTTTCAAGAACGTGCCAGTTAGGGTAGCCAGACGTTCGAATGCAGTGATTTCGCACTTGATATTAACATATTAATTGGTATCAGTCACTATTGCCATACTAGCATTTCCTTCTATCTGGAACCCTAAACTTAGAATTGGCTTCAGTGTGACCGGGGGTCCTACTAAATGATAACAAAGCTTCGGTCCATGGCACCAATCAAGATCCTGCCCACTTGATGCGGGGTATTTATTGAAATAAATACTGATAAAGAACATCGTAACCCCTTTCAACACAAATCCACTTTCCTGCTCTGAAGGCCACGCTCGAACATTCCCACCCCCTCAATCGAACCATGACATCTCACACGGCGAATCCACCCACCGAGAGCCGCCTCTCAACACGCATCTCCCTCCGATGGCTCCCAGAACCCGCTTCGGAAACGACGGACACCATCGTCATGTCCGTGAAGGGTTGGTATGTCGACCTTCGCGTAGATAAGAAATCCGGTGACATTGACTGGGCGATTGCCGGTCAGCGGGTTGTAGATAGTAGCGACCCTCGTAAGTTGCATTGATCCCATCCCAGGACTGTACGTGTACTGACAATCTCAGGCCGCGTGCAGTTTACCCATGAGATTGACTCCCATAACGCTTTTGATGACGTTGACTGTGGTACCTTTACTACGTTGCCGAATGGCGATGACCTCGAGACTGGATCTATGTCTCGTCCGGATCTGCCTGGGGCTCCGGTGACAGAATATGAGGAGGTCTGGCGGGAATTGAGCTTTAGGGAGGGTCCCGAGGGGCCGGGGAAGGGGGTTTCATGGGTTTTGGAATCAAAACATAATCTCGACATTGGGGAAGGCGAGGAGGCGCAGGTTGCGAGGACATTTTTGGCGAAGATTTGGGGTACGTATTTGGTGGTGCGCCAACGGCAGGTCTACGTGCGGTTGATAGGTTCAATGGATGTAGTGGTGAAGACCGGGCAGGGGGTTAGCGCTAGGAGAGAAGAATGGGATTCGAGTGCTGCGGGCTGGTCGGCGAAGTACGTTCTGGGTCTGCAAGGCGACAGTTTGCCCAGTGCTCAAGACGTCGAGGTCAACGAACGGCTACGAACACCGGGTGGAATAATTGAAGTCAAAGGGGAACCATATACAATCCGGTCCTATGAAGAAATTGCATAGTGCGCTGCGCTGTATTACTCTATATGCTATGTACAAGGTCTCTTTATGAAAGTTTGATTTACTGCTCGTTCACAAGCACGTAACGGTACCGGGCCTTGCCAGCGTCCATGTCCACGATGGCCTTGTTGGCATTCTTCATCGGTACCTCCTGAACCCATGACCTGACATTCTTCTCCGCAGCCAGCTCGAGCATCTCCCGGATCTCGCTGGGGCTTCCAATCAAAGATCCTCCGAACTTGATTCTCTTGACGATCAGGGCGAAGGCGGGGATGGTAAGGGCACCGTCTTCGGGAGCGCCCAGCTGCACGAAGTTGCCACTGGGCTTGAGCATCGTGATGTAGTCCATGATGGGCATCTTGGAGGAGGAGACAGTAGAGATGATCAAGTCCAAGCTGCGGGCGTTGTTCTTGGCCCAGTCGGCATCTTCATCCGTTGCGATATAGGCATCTGCGCCAAGCTTGAGAGCATCTTCTTTCTTGTTGGCCTTGCGGGAAATCGCAACCACCTTATCGGCACCCAGAGCCTTGGCGAACATAATTCCGAAGTGGCCAAGTCCACCCACACCGATAATGCCGACCTTCTTTCCGGGACCGCACCCGTTGTGACGAAGGGGGGAGTATGTGGTAATACCACCGCAAAGCATAGGAGCAGCCATCGCGGAGGGGATGGCATCGGGGATCTTGATAACAAAGCGCGAAGGCGAACGGTGGTAGAGAGCATAGCCACCATATGACTTGTCCCCGTTCCAGTGCTTGGAGTTGTAGGTACCGCCCATCAGGTTAGGGCAGTACTGCTCCAGTCCCGAGGCACATTCTTCACAGTCACCCTTGCGGCCCTGGCAGGAATCGTTCTGCGCACCAACACCGACGCGATCGCCAACCTTGATGTTTCCTTCGGCCTGGGAACCGACTCGAACTGCAACTCCGAGGATTTCGTGGCCGACACAGCAGGGGTACATCGTAGGTCCCTGGGAATGTTAGCAGCCGTGCCAATATCTTCCTCACAAAAGCTAAAACATACCCATCCACTGCGCAACGTGTGCAAATCTGAACCACAGATACCGGAGTGTGTAATGCGGATATCAATATCGGTCTCTTCCCAAGCCTTAGGCTGGAACTCCTGCCAGACCATGTTACCCTCGGCGGCCTTAGGGTCAAGACCCATCCAACCTTCGAACTTGTAGTCGGTAGCGGCCATTGTATGCGGATGAAAGTTTCACTTTGCTCGGGTGTGTATATTCTGTAGAGTCTCGATCGAATCTGGGGTGTTGATTCCTCGAAGGTCCTCGTGAAATTTATACAAAACAAATTGCCCGTGGCGGATGGTCTCGGCAGTTCTCCGGAGTAGGCGACAAATTCGAAAAAAGAAAAAAGATTAGAAGAGCTTAGAAATCCATTTTTAGGATGATCCACATTATTGAGGACTACTCCGTAAGTCCATTATCTCCGCGATGACAGTGGAGTTAAGCTACCCGTTCCACGGTTGTGAAACCATAGTGAGAAGCGTAATTTGCAGCTTGGCAGGGACAAAACGAGGAACAAAACCAACAGGAGATGACATCAACTCGGAATGTACGATTATACCAAGCCTTTTTCTATCCATGAGTTAAGCTGCAAGGTTAAAGCGTAAGCTGCATGCGCTCATGACGATGATGTCCTCCGTGGTGACTGCAATGGCTCATGGTGGGTCAATACCCACTTTGTGGATCTTGAACCACAAAATTCTTAAGAATCAGGAGATATTATTGGTTACCGAATATAAGATCCTTCTTCTGGCTTCGATTTCGGCTTCTAGCCCGGAACCTTCGCATGCTAACTCCGAACCTCTTCTGCGTACTGCTGATGCCGCTCCACTTGGAATTTAAGATTATAAGATGCTTAAAACCAGGGCAACCAATCCCATTTCAAACAAGGTCGGAGACTTTTGGAGAAGTCGGCCTAATATTTGTACCAACGGCAGCTCGAGAGAAACCGGTGCCTTATTGGCTCGTGTAGAATCGACACTACCATGAAAGGGTGTTGTCTCTGCTACCATTCCACAGGCCAAATGAACAAATACTACAATTCATCCTATGGCAAATAGCGTTTTCCATACTGCTTGTTCTAGGACCCCAGATTTCCAACTGCCCGCATTCCGACGAGACGCACAGATCAATCGCCGAGTTCTTCCAAAGATCATTCTTCGCCATCGCTGAACGCAACACGGGCATGCCATCATGCATAGATCATTTACATTATAACCTATGCGATGTTGGCCTCCCCGCCTCGAGCAGCGAAGGTAAGGTTACAGATCTGATCCTTGGGCCGAGCGGAGATGATCTGATCATCCAGATCCATCGACGCAGTCATATCCGGGGCGACCGACGACCGAAACCGAGAATACAGCTCTCGCAGCAAAACTTTCATTTCCACCATTGCAAGACTACATCTGTCAGTATAGAAGCACGACTCTAGGTTTTGTTTCACCTACTTCCTTCCAGTGCACCCTCTCCCGCCTGTTCCAAACGCGAAGAACAATCGATTCCGGTCGTGGAAGCCCTTTTCTTCTAACCATCGCTCGGGATTGAAACGGTCCGGCTCGGGGAACACTTCTTCGTTGAAACGGTGTACCGTATATGGCTGACAGCTGACAATAGCATTCTCTGGGATGAAGTATCCATCGATGGTCCTGCCACCGGATGGGACGTACCGTGGAAAGGACATCGGAATTGGCGGTGCGCATCTCAAGGCTTCCTTTATGACAGCGTCTAGATACGGCATTTTATCAAGTGGGGTATCATCGGATGCGGATAGCAGCTCCCTGTGAAGGCGATCCTGAAATCGGAAGTTCTGGGGCTGAGATAGTTCCCACATCAGAAAGCAAAGGGCATCACCGGTAGTGTCAATGCCAGCCGCCATATGGTCTTTGCATTCAGCGGCAACTTGCATGTGGTTCAGCGGCGAGCCTTTACGGGTGAGACGCGCGACTAAGCTGTGCTCGTCTGGGTGTTGTTGCCCGGCCATCTGTAAAACATAGGCGTTTGCTTTGGGAGCAGGACGGGGGTGTAGGCAGGATGGGAAATATGGAGTTAGCCTGGGGAGGTAGTAGTGGAGAAGATTCTCTGCTGTGATCAGCGTCGTTTATACTGAGAGCTAACCATTCACATACTTTGGAGGCTTTGATGATATGTCAACTCCTCCATCATCTCATAGTCCTTGTCGTTATCTAAAGACTTCAAGCCACCAGGGCTAAACATAAAATTGGTAACTCCATCTAGCGCATAGCAGTGCAAGAGGGACTAAAATCGTGAGCCGTGGTCACTATAGGTAACCGGAGGACTCACGTAGACGTTCACGTTTCCTTCAATGGCAGCACATCTCGATACAAAGGCCTGGGCTCGCTCCTTGATGGCGGACACATGCTTGTCGCGTACGATATTCGACATGGCGTATCTATCAGCCAATTCCCGCTTTCGGTGACTATGCTGCACATTGTTAGTTGCAATGACTGCTATTTGGATGCGTGAGCTAACCCCTTGCTTCTCGAGCGTAGAGAACATGGTTCTTTATTTGTCAGCTTGGTTGTCTTGTTATTGCCTAGCGATGTTATACTTAATGCCATATTGTCGGAATAAATCATAATATTCCGTCTTATCATAACCACTACCCCCGGATGCGTAGATCTCTCGAATAGCATCTAGGGTAACAAACGAGACTTCGTTCGGTGCAAGGCGGACTACAGGGCCATACTTCTTATGTAGGTGATGAACGAAAAGACGTCTAGTCGCGGTGAACTCGTGGTACTTCAGGCAGAAGCTGGTGAAATTCGTATACCATGGGCCGGGGATTTTGGCAAGTGGAGATGATAGACGCTTGAAGAGATATAATCCAAGAAGTAGGATACTGCATAGCCATAAGGACCACATGTTGGATCAACGATTTCCATAAATCTTGACTGGGATATTGTCTTGGGAAATACCGATCTATTCTCATGGCCAGTATATATGAACACTAGTGATACGATTAAGGAGATAGAATAACTCTACTCCATCCGAAAGGGGAAATTCGAAGAGATGCTACCCCAGGAAATCATGGTCTGTCCAATCCTTTATCTGATAACTGCATTAGTCCCTCACTGATAGGCGTTGGTTATCGTGCGGGGATGCTTTTATCGGGTCCGTCCGACTGATAAGCAAATTGCGTCTCGGCACTGGAGTTTCGTTTAGTAACAGATGAGTTGGACTTGAAATCTACCGCGGTATCAAAACCAAGATACTATTCAGAACCAGCACACTAGTTCTACGTAGCGTGGAAAGAGGCACGAGTAATCGTTTCTCATATGCTGTGCCATGTTATGCATTGTCTGTTCGTCATGGAAGGCTGTGAGTATTGCAGTCATCCTGTGTGGGTCCCAGTTCGTAAATTATCGTCGATGACATCCTCGATTGCCTTCCAACGGACTACCACGCCTTCTGCAGTGAAGTATATGTTGAGCTCCCCCTGAGACCCGTTGTCTCTATAGAAAGATCTCACGGTTGGAATTGTCATTAAGAAAATGGCATAAAGTGTCCATTGCGTTATTCTGGTTTATTGTCAATAAGCTGCTGGGCCCAAGAGAAGTCGCAATGTGGGCATCCGGTTGGATGGACATAGGATCGCTGATGCTTAGGGTAAACAGCCAGTTATCGCTTAACTAGAGTACACGAAAAAATGCACCATGGGTACTGAAAATTCGTCGACATTGTGTTGGAAAAAGTCATCTCCGGCATGCAAGTATTTTAAAGGAGCTAATTCCTACTATCGCGTCTAGGAGAGGCGAAGAGTTAAAGCAAGCAAGAACCTCTGTCGCTAGAAGCCTATTAGAAAGCTGCGGGTCGCCACCTAACATGCCAGGTTTCCGGTAGGGAATAATGATCAAAGGAAGGCGTCAAAAGGCATACCAAATTCTTGATCCTGCTCCGTTGATCTATACCGAGAAAATATTAGTGCAACGACAAGATCTTAGCAGTGGAATAGGAGCCCGTTTGAAACAAAACCCAGCGCTGCCGCGAAGTTGTCAAAAAAATATATACTAACAAATCCATGAGCTAAGGCTAATATTATAGATTCTCATCAGACTCGAAGGCATTTTTGTGATTTTAGCGCTCAACGATCATCTAGACCTCTCCTTGCCAGAGACATCCCCGTGATCTGCCTAAACCTCGAACAGTACTCCGTACCCAGAATGAATACCTATTGGAATGTGGGACAATCTTGGCCACTCACCAGTTACAGAGAATGGAACCGTTGTGGGGACTTGTATGATTATTGACTTGTGATTCGCCACAGTTAGACCCATAGATTATTAAGCTGTGGAGGATGGAAGTTGGTGTCTCCTGAGCTTCTTATTAATTGTTCTCGAGGACCGAGAGCTTATGCATATACTCAGCAGCTCACATACGCATTAGGGCAACACTTTCCCTAGTTTGTCCGCGTGTCTTGATAGTTGATAGACGCATAACAGAATGGTGTCTGAGGCGCCTAAGCGTGTTACTCTGCGCAGATCATGCCAAGCCTGCGTTCGAGGCAAGCGTCGTTGCGACCAACTCTGGCCGCGGTGTAGTCGGTGCCAGGCACGAGGCAGCGACTGTGAATACATCAATATTCCACTGCCAGCTAGACCCGATCCCTCCAATATCAGTCCACGGTCTGTACGCCAAGTAATCCCCGTGTCGGCTCTGCCGATACACCGGCCGCTCCCGTTGGTGATTATGAAAGGATACGATCGGGAAATCATTTCGTTCCTTATAGCCGGAATGCGACGCTTTCCTATCGAGTTCGCTGAAAATATGAAGACCCAGTTTATCCACCCAGACCTTTGTCACAAGCGCGAGGCTTCAACCGTGTTTCAAAATGTTCAGTCACTTTGCAAACTGCATACCCAAGCTAGTCAGGGGGGCAACACCACGGCTCTTACACCTCTACTACAGCAGCACTGTGCAGAACTCCTTCGCAAGTCGGGTCGTCCAGCTAGTTTCCAGGAGCTTCTCGCAATCATCCAATCGTTGCTGATCCTACAGTGCCTTCTCGTCCTCGATGAGAGAGCCGATGATGGTCCCTATTCGGAAACAATCAGCACTATGCTCTCTAATGTTGGGCGGCGCCTCTGGCAGCAAGCTCCTATCCAACTCTCCCATACTCTGAGTCCACGAGAGGCATGGCTCTTCGCAGAGAGTGTTCGGCGGACAATCATCGTCGCGTTCATGTTGCGCAGTGTATATTCGCTACTAAAGCGAAACTACTCCGTCCGCACTCCGTTTGTCGACTCATTACCTTTCGATGTTCGCACCCCCCTGTGGGATACAGAACATGAGGACTGGGATGACACAACGCCTGCATCTTTAGAAAACATGGTTTCCTTGCAACAGTATTCGACCTTGCTAGATTCGGGTGCAGTCCATGGCATCTCGCCTTTCAGTGCTCTAATATTGGCGGCATGTAAAGGCAAAGCTGTTTCCGACGTACCTTACCCGCCTGTTACAGGTTACAAGACCTACTGAGAGCTAAGGCGAATGAACACTGCTCAAAGACATGGAACAATAATTCGGCGTTGCTGAATGGTCTATCTCTAATTCACATCCAACAAGTCGATCGCTCATCGCAAGAATTGCTTGAGCAAACCCGCCAGCATCTCAGTCATCTGCTGATATATCCCTTGCCTCTTAACCTCGAACGCCTCAAAGATATCCTTGGCTGATCCGACCGGGATTTGTTCCTCGCCTTGGGTTAGCTTGGCCCACACTTCATCGATGAATTCCTGCAGCGGCATTCCAATGAGATGGCCGTCTTTCAGATCCGGTTGGTGCTTTGCGTCGTGCAACTCGGTCTGCACAGCGGGCGGGTATATCTCCAGCACCTTCACATTTCCGGCTCCGTCCTGCAGTTGCGTACGCAGGGCGAGGATGAAATGGTGCAGTGCGGCCTTGGAGGCACCGTAATTCGGACAGCGCATCATCGGAACAAGAGCCATTTGTGATGTGGTAAATGCAATGGCTGTCTGGGTTGGTTGTTTTTGCAGGTGTGGGAGGAATGCCTTGGTGAGACGAACTGCAGAGGTATAATTCGTGACCAATTCTTGGTCGAAAACGTCTAGATCGACGCTCTCGGGGTGTGCGAAATCAAATGGCCGCTGGACTCCGGAATTGACGAAGACACAGTCAAGGTCAGGGTTTTCGGAAATCACTTCTGAAGCAAATTGGGGAATCTTTGGCATGGGTTAGTTGAGTCCTTCGTGGATCCAAAGCGCGGGCGGCAAAGATTCGGTTGGCAACTCACTGCTTCAAGATTCATGACATCAAAAACTTTGGATTTGACCTTCTCAGTGCCATACTCCTTGACGAACTCTTCCAACTTCTCCTTCCTCCTACCAGCAATGACAACCTGGGTACCATTTTGCACGAGTTTAGTAGCCAGTGCTTTGCCAATGCCTGATGTAGCACCGATCACTAGGACTTTTGTGTAAGGGAATGGCATGTTGGGAATAATTGATAGAAATTAAGGATGATTATTACAACTACATTTCACAACGACATGCCTTTCCTCCTTTTATATCTAAATTCAGCTGTCTTGATGCTAATGTCGTCACCATGTCTAGCGGAGACTAAACCTCTTTGGGACTTTTCTCATGGCCCACCACCTTTGCGGAGACTAGGCCAGATTAGGAAATCGACCTCAGCGTCCACGGTGGCAATCATGCGGTATCAAACTTAGACCTACGATGGCCCAATTGTCAGAAACGGACTTAGGACATACCTGACCCTAAATCCATGATCTTAGCTTTGTGAAGATATGTTTCGAACAGTCTAGAAATACCGCTGCACAATGCTTCTATGTCATTAGCTATGTTGCAACGTACTTTCTAAACAGGGCTTCGTTCTACATCTGTCTATAGAAGTAGTCCCAAACAGATATGGACATAGCATAATCTAAGTCAAGTCCAAAGAAACCACACATAGAACTCTAGTATAAAAGAAACTAATGCTCAGAGCACCTACCTACTCCCCCTTCTCACTCGGATAAACAGAATCCTCCTCCAACTCAACCCCCCAAAACCTTCTCATCCTCTCCCTAAACATCTCATAACAAGCCCCCTTCCTCACAAGCTTCATCTCCCCGAAATCAAACAATATACTCGCTCTCCCATATATATGATACCGCTGCAACCCATAATCAACCACAATATCCGCCGCCTCCAAGATCTCCTCCTCAATATTCTGCACGCGAAACTTCTGTCCACCACCCGTCACATTCGCACTCGACCCCACAACCATCTTTCCCACCTCATAATGTAACCTCACAACCTCCAGTAGAAGCGACCCCCCACCCACATGAATAGCCATATTCCCATCCTTAGTCGTCTTTTCCAACGTCTCAGCTGACATGCCCTGCAAAAGCGGATGGTCGGATCTATACGGCGCAATGACCCCAAGCGACATGTCTAGATCGTGCGTTAGGACCTTAGTGATATTGAATCTTTCCTCCGGGAGGATATGTAGTGCTCTGTGGACATCGTAGTTGCCGATTATGCCTTGTGTGTGTCCCGGACGACGCTTTTTGGCGTGAAAGGCACGAGTGATGGCTTCACTGGAGGAGGCGATTAGTCCGTAGCCTACTTCTGTAGGGACTATGGCTATTCCACCTTCTTGGAGGGTTTGGAAGACTCTTTGTGCGTCATTGCGAATGTTTGGGGGTTTTCCCGGAATAGGGATTAGTTTGGTTTGGCGAGTCATTGTAGGTGAGGTGGCTATGGTATGGGATTGTACATGGGATTGTGATGTAGTTTTATAATGTTAGAGCAGGTGAGATAATAGAGCGGAGGTGCTGATCATCCACCCTGACACGTCAGCCCGAGTTGGGGGCCGTAAGGTCAGCACAGTTCTTATCCAGCTAAGCTTTTCATAGTGGTTTGAGTGCAGCGAATAAGCGCATGCATAATCTTTCTTATTTGAAGGTTCAAGATGTAGATATTTATTAGTCTAAAGAACGTATCTGAACGTCTTATTGTCGATCTCTGTTTGATCCTAGTTCATAATCAGCTTTTGTGTAGTTCACACACCATGAACAGGGAATCTTACCAACATGCCCTTCTCAACACCATCGCTCTCGTCACTGTTCGAACCAAGAGCTTCCCGATCCCTCCGTTGATTCTCGAAATACATGTACAGGTAGAGGGCAATAATTGAAACCAGCTTCACCGCGTACCCAACCAACATACTGAACAACAGTTAGCACCGATACCCCCACACAACCACTCCGATTGGAAACTCACGCAACATATGCACTATGATATCCCGGTGCCTCACTATCCTTGAACGTCTGCGGTCCAATGATATTTCCCACACAATACCCCGTGAACAGTAACGCCCCGGTTACCTGTTTCTTTGTGGACCCGGCAATATTAGAACTCACGATCGTCAGACTCATACTGAAGCCCAGTCCCTGGAAATAGCACAGCCAGAGCGCAACCAGCCGGCCCCATTTATTCGAGTCCGGAAGACCGACTAGGAGTCCAGATCCGATGATGCAAACTAGACAGGCGAATATCATGCACGCACTTCGAGAGTGGAATCTGCCGCTATATTTCGTCGCAATCATGCCTCCAAAGAGGAGTGTGAGGAATTGGACCGCACCACCGGGGATCTGCAAGTATTGCGTTCCGAGGGTATCGAAACCGAAGGATCCGACGATGATGGAAGTGAACTGTGTTCCTGTTAATGACTGTTCGTGGCGGAATGAGAGGCTCAAGGTAGACATACACTCGTCAAGGCAGAGTTTGGAACTTGAGCCCCAACAGCCATGATGAACAATAACCACGTCTTAGGATCTCGAGCTGCCTGCCACACTTGGTACCATTTGAAGTGGTGGTTCTTTACCCCTTGTCGGTTGATCGCGACGCGGTCGATAGCAATCGCTTTCTCACGCTCGGTGAGGAATTTGGCGGTTGATGGGAGATCGGGGAGGAATAGGAGGGATGCAATTCCGATGGCGAGTGATACCGCGCCAAAGATTAGGAATACATACATCCATCGCGGGAGACCGCCCGTTATGTGCCCAATTGCGTAGCCGAGGAGGCTGTTGGTGATCAATTGGTCAGTCCTTTACTATCAATTGGTTTCACGACTTTGACTGAGACCTACCCTCCAAACATGGTGGCAATGCCATTGGTGCAGTAATACGTTTCGAGGCGCAGAGGCTGCTCGCTTGAAGTATACCAGATGCTCATCATAATGACGAATCCGGGGTTCACAACAGCTTCGGTGACTCCAAGGAGAAAGCGGTTCACTGCTATCCCGGCGAAGTTGTGACAAGCCGGCGTTGTCATCAACAGGCCTCCCCAGACTATATCTATTAGCCATGTTGAGAATAATGCAGAGTGAGGAAATCCTACTGATGGTCGTTGTACTAAGAAACTTCCCAATTGGAAGTTTTTGAAGGGCTAACCCAGCTGGCCACTGCGCGACCAGATAGCCGAAATAGAAGATAGATCCTAGTTCCAGTCAGTCATGCTTAATTAACTGTGCAAGGGAAAGCATACCTAGCCATGAATAGTCCTGGCCTTCCAAATGCGTTCCTTGCTTCAAGCCGTAGACCGACGAGAAATTGAGACTGTTTTTGTCGAGATACTAGAAGAATAAGCATACGATCATGATTCGCCAATGCATCCTTCTTACCTGCAATAAGTATATAAGGAACAAAAGCGGCATTAATCTAAGGTCGATTTTCCGCAGAACCTTTTTGGCCTCTTCCGGTGTATATTCCAATTCACGAGCTTGTTGGTAAACATCATAGCTATCATCTCGCTCCGATGACCCTGCAGACGACGGAGGAGCCGACGAAACATTCGTCTCAAGATCCTTAGTTAAGCCCATACTGTAGAAACCCAAAGTCACGACAAAAGCAAGACCAGCTCGCGCACTCTTTCACCATCGTTACTAGCGAAGGGCCCAGCTTTTATAACCCATATCGCGAGACGACGCGACTCAACGATGCGGGTCATGACCCCACAGACATGGTTCGATCATATCCATGTTGGGAAACTAGGATTAAGCATAGGTTTCGGACAGAGAAGAATATTATTTGCCGTCGAGAAACGCGCACGGCGCGGAGTGCTTGCTATTGAGCGGATGGTTGGTGATTTTGGTGTACCGTGCGAGCACGACATCGACCCCACGATTGCGTCTTCTCGGCAGTTGCTGATGGTGTCATAACTGCAGTGTCGCTCGGGAAAAGTCCGATAATCTAATATATTCTGGAGAGTATTATTCGCTATTAAGCAAGACCAGATTATGCATCGTGCCGTGAGGAAAGTAGGTTTGGTCGACAGACAGGGAGTCGGGGTTGCCGTTATATATGGCTTTTCCTAATTAGGAAATGATATTGGGCTGCCTGCCTGCCATCTACCCCAAATTATCTTAACTCTAATATCAAATATCAAATGAGATAATGGAATTATTCACCAATTCTATATCATTCTAGGTATACTTCCATTTAAATCAACCTCCGCCCGTAGATAATCAACAAATTGTCGCATTGAACGGTACGATGCGTTATGTACTGCGTTGATCCATCAGTGAACCGCCAACAGCAGTATATTATACCATCTTGATCACAAACTTAGAGATAGATAATAGCGATCAGAATTTAGATAGTAGACAATATTCAGCTCATTTTATTTTCCCTTTCGTTTTTTCTTTTTTTTTTTTTTTAATCCTCCATCTTTTCTCTTGATATTGCCTGGCAAGTCATCCATTCGTAAAGACATTGAACTGATAAGCAAATGAGATTTTAGACATTAAATTCAAAGCTTAGCCCAGATATTCCCTGAGCCGCCTACTTCAAGCATGCAAGGATAGTAATAACTCTCATGTGACATATACATTAGACGTAACTACATATACAAAGCGTCGTATAATACATGTGATACAAGTGATAAGTACATCTGAGAAGAGACCGTGCCACTATACATGTCAGGCCTCCAAAATATTATAGCATAGTCCCTGGGCGAAGTATAAAAGCAAATTAATCACCGGAGGATGGGGTAGCCCAGGCGTCTTCGTGGACTAATCACCCAAATATTACTGTGCTCACAGAACAGCAGCGGCCAAGGCCACGACGGCACCACCGAACAGCATACCGGCATCTCCAGTAATCTGGGGCATACCACCGGTGCTGACAGGCGAAGAGCTGGAGCTCGAGTCCGAAGAGGAAGCAGAAGACTTCGAAGACGTCTGGGCCGCTGAAGTAGTGCCCTTACTGCCCGAATCGGCCGTGGTGGTAGCCGAAGCGGTCGCAGCCACGCTCGTAACAGACCCAGCAGTGATCGTTACTGGTAAGAAGGACATTTCACTCTGATGGATAGTCGAGATAACAGTTCCGGGGAAGTTGGCTTCAGGCCCATCGCCAACTGCAGTGCAGACAGCAGAGATCGTCCCGGCCACGGAGCAGTTGACGGTGTAGGAACTGTTAAGATGAGACATGTTAGCCGCTGTCTAGCTTGAGTAGAGCATGGGTAGGAAAGAGGAATCGCACAAGTCTGGCTTTTCATTCATCTCTATGATAGTCGTCGGCGACGCATCTGTGAGAGTGAGACCAGGCCCTAAGCCGCAATCATAGTCATCGTCATCGTCATCGCTCGCGCTCACGGTCGGACTCGGAGCACAAGTAATACTATAGGTCGTCGCAGTGGCATCCTATTTTGCACGTTAGCTCATGCGATAGATTGATAGAGCCGCGCGGCCAAGGGATCGTCCGATCGTCATTCTGTGGGGAACTGACATTCCCAACGATAGAAGCTTCCAAGGATTGTGGGTCAAAGCCAAGGAGAAACATCGAAGTCACGCTGGAACTCGCTGAGATGAGGCCGGCCATCGCCAGGCCCATAAGCAGTTTCACGGCCATGGTAGTTTAAGCGATAGATAGTTATTTCTTGGGGTGGTCAAAATGTAAACACGGAGAAAGAAAGGGGTTCCGAGTAATTTGGTGGTTTAAGTATTTGAGAAGTCGTGTCTGTCGTTTTTGTCCTCGGATTCAGGGCCAGGGGCAAAAGAAAAACTCAAATGCTTGTCTAACGTCTTTTCGGGTTAGAAGAGGGAGCGTTTGGAAGATAAATTTAGGGATCGATTCAATCTAGGCCCCTTTAGCGACTTTTCTCCAACGTTGTTATTGGTGCCGGTCAAGATGCGCTAATAAACCAGGGAAATTAGTCCAAGATTAGGTAAACCCTGAGATAAATCTCCTGCTTTTGCCACTAAAGTAAGAACTGACAGTAACTCCTTAAGTAAATGGTACCTGAGGGCCCACTTCTGATCCATGGGGCATCTTCGGCATTTGACCATAAGCTGAAACTAGGCTAACCCTAAATTCGACAAACAACGAGTGGACTTCAAGACTTCGGAAGAAGAATGCAGATTGCAGGTAGAGACCATTGATCACGACTCAGACACAAGCTAGTAGTAATCAGAACAAACCAACTTTCGCTTTTTGTAAGTCGGACGCGGAGTATCATCAGAGTCTGTAGACTAATTGTCTGCGATGCTCTCACTCTTCATGCTGCTCTCACTCTCCATGCTGCTCTCACTCTTCACGCTGCTCTCACTCTTCACATTAATGTCCTCTTCAGTATTAGAATAGGGCGAGCGGTCGCAAACCGGCGCACATAGAGTAGATAATGAAGGGCGCCTTCTTTCCCACACCACTGTGGCTGGCACAGCAAAAGGGTCACATACAAGTACAGTGCTGCGGCCAGACTCAAAATTGGAATCTGGCACGAAGTAACAATATTCGAAATGCTGCTGGCCCGAAAGTTGAACGCCATTATGGTCTTTCTTCCCGAAGAACGCCGAACACAAGTCTTGCAGAAAGCCGCATGGGAACATACCCATATGCGCTTGGAATCTCTTCTTCCCTGCACTACACACCCACGAGTCCACTGCCATCCGACGTAGAGGGGAGCCTGGAAGAGTGCTCTCGTAGGCATAGGCTACCGCGTCAGTTCCTATGGCACCTCGATCAAGCCGCCTCTTACAGAGCATTAACGCATAATTCTGCAGAGTAGGTATGCCGAGCTGATCTGCTAGAACCCAGAGCTTGAACAGATCAAGGACTCGAAGAGGTTGATTCATGCAGACCCGGTTCCAATACATCCACCTGACGAATGCTCTGAAAGTACGTGAATCTTCCGTTGGTAGGTGAAGATGTTCTTGCATTTTATAGGCCATTGGACCGCTGTAGAGTTCAGCAAAAACCGGAGATAGTCCGCACAACAGTTCAATATGAACGTTGTAAGACGCTGGCGGGATTCCCACGTCCAGCTGCACAACAGCGCCACGCATAAGGCTGCAAAACAAGGTCACGATTACGTTAGTACATATTGGTGATTTATGATGAAGGGCTAATACGCACTGCTTTCTTGCATTGTTCGACATGGTGACTTAAAGCATGAGTTCAACTGATGATGAGCTTGCAGAGTGAATTCATGTATCATGGTCAAGATGGTGAGCCCCTGAAGAGGTATTTATAGACGCCGTCGCGCCCCGTTGTCTCTTTGTTCAATTTTCTCCCTTGTCTTGGCGTTTATGTGTAATTATCCAGGTCACTCTGCATTATCATGAGCCACTATAGTCGCAGCTCTCGGAGATTATTAACAATGCATAGAGTGGCGCCTACCGTGGACTTCCGAACATCACTCAACTACAGGAGAACACCAGATCCAGCTTCTACAGGACGAACTAGGCCACAAGAAGTTTCAAATAATAAACTACTACCGGTCATAATAGAAAAAGTAACAGAAATTAGATGAACACCACTGATAAGCAGCTCTCCAAAAACTACGTGATTTTTTTTCCAGGCTGATCACTCGCGTGCAGAAATTGCTTGCAAGCGAAGCACATACCGTCAATTGACATATATGTCCTTCCTCCATGTAGCTTCAATCAGGTACAGGAGCAGCCAAGGTAGTTATTGGTGCAGCGGCCATTGCGACCATCGCAGCCATTTTCATTGCACTTCCCGGTATTCCTGCCACAGCCATATCCACATGGACAGCCCAGATATGGACCCTGTTTTCAACGTGCATCAGTTAAGTCCATATAATCTAAATTAGAGGCGGCAGGGTTTGATTTACCGAAGTGCAAGTTATACGGTTTGAACTAAGCTCGCCATGGCAGTTGTTATCATAGCAGTTGCCGTTGGGCCAACCGCAGTTGTTGGAAACAGCGGCTTCGTCTGGATTGGCAGATGGATGAGAGACAGCCAATGAGGCCAGGCTGACTAGAAGAAGAGACTTGAAGTGCATTTTGCGTATGTTGGTCTTGTGGTATAGAAAGGCTGTAATCTGTGCTGGAGGAAGATGATGTTTCTTTGATAGTTTGAGATAATCTTTGAGAGGGTGATAACCCCCTCCTATTTATACACTTTCCATGGCATCTAAAGTCCCAGTTCATGCGCACATGAGCCGGTCTGCCGAGATATCCAGACTTTTGCTTTTCTCTTGTTCTGCAGTTCTCCGGAACTATAGCTTTCGTGCATGCATCTTGTGTAGTTGACGGAGAGGAGTTCTGTCTTATTGGCTAAGCAACGTAAGCATTAGCTCAATTAGGATGGCTGTACTACACGAACTGGACGATTAGATGGGCTTTCCTATATGTAATACGCATTCTGATCCCCCCAATACAACTTAGGGCTACCTCTCTATTACCCCTTGTGGATGTTTCTCGTATAGCGGCCACCAACAGTGCATACTATGAAGTGCAGAGGATAATACTCAACACTGCAACCTGAGGCAAGGGGTGGGTCTAGATTTATTTCACTGGGCAAGCTTAAAATATCCAACACAGCAATCTTTCTTCTCCTACCTCCAACCTTACAAGAATAAGCGAATGGGGTCTATGAGCAGTTTAGAAATGCATATAATCAATAACAATGTAAAGATTGGTTGACAATTGACGTCAAGCTCTTTCAATGCCAACTGCCACAGTACGCAGCCGGTTCTATATAGAATTTGGATGTAACCCTATCGCTTACGTTACTCACGGCTACATCGGTACTGCAAGATCCTTGCAGAAAGCGGGGGTATGTAAGCCACTATCACAATTGTGATCATGGTGGGTTTTAAACGGGCAATACAAACCGTAGCTACTAGCCTAGCTCCCCGGATCCTGTTCAACTTTGGTGCGAGCTCAGGGGCAGATTAAGGCAAGCACGGATACAAGGCCAATGAGGTGTAGTTGATCTCATCCGTAAGTCTATCAGCTTACTTTCCTCGTCCGGGATAGCGAACTGCAGTGTAACTCCTCGGCCTATCATAGCAAGATCCGACGCAGAACCTGTGCGGCTGAAGGTGTATATTGGCCTGGGGTTGTGGGGAAATACTGCCCAAAATAAACCTGTGGTGCTAACTATATCATATGCAGTGTACGTCAGCCAGCCATACTTCGGTCACAAATTGTTCTCTCTCGCCTGCTATAATTCGCATTCATCTTGACCAGATGCGCAATGAGGGGTGTTGTTCAAATCAGTATCACAGCTCCGATATACCTGAAGCCCCGGGTTATGGGATACAGAGGTCAGCTTTAATCCACAGTAATCAGGCAAACCTCCAGGTTTCCTTGCATCTGCAAAAACTGGCTAACTCCTTATTCACATAATCACTGCAAGCCCCAATTCAGGACATTGTCAGCAGGCCTCGTAGACAGATGATGTAACAGGAGGATAGCATTCTGATCCTGTGAAGCGATTGGCCCGTATTTAGTTAACGCCCTCTCCTATTCAGATAGAGAATCATTGGCTGGTTTCTATGTCGCCTCATGATGGATCTTTGTGGGATACTATGTATGAATAAATTTCTCCCCAGTCGGTATAACAGCAAGTCAGGCAGTTTCGGTCCCGGTCCGAACCTTCCAACATTATGGGTCCTGCATGACGGTTCGTGATGCTTGTATTCGACCGAGCTATCCCGAAGCGCCTGTGGAGCGATGATGGAAGTACTCCCATCTGCTCTAGGCTATGACAATTAGATATCCGACTTGGGACGTTCCCAAGCCAAATGCGACTGGTACAGATGAGATCTGATAGGTGTATGATGCATCGATCTTTGATGGTTCCCCATTTGGATACAAGATGCTGGGGCACGTAGGTAAGTACAGACCAATCACAGGATCATTAACTAGTGGCAAAGGCTGTACTCAACTGGTGATGTCATGGCAAGTGGAAAGCCACAACACGCGCGATGCGGGAGTACCCATGGAACTATGAAGTTTAAGGACCGTGGGTACATCCATGGTAACAGGTGGGTATGTTCTGGCCGATCGGAATAATTACAAAGCTTCCTCCATGGTAGATCGTAGATTGGTATTATCTTATTCGTGACAGATTAAGTAGACTCATATACAAATGCTAAATCGAGAACTAACGCATCGCTAATCTAGTTGATCTTCACACGCACGCCTTGCGAACCAGGCTTTACGTGCGGTAAGAACATATCGCGATAACAATCCACAGAAGACCGATCTGTCTCAAACAGCTCAAAGTCGAAGTTCCGCAAGACATTCGCAAGAGTGAGGTACATCTCCGCATAGGCCAAGTTGATCCCGAGGCAGGACCGAGTACCTTTACCGAAGGACACAAGGTAGCGCGTCAACTTCTTTCCATCAGGGGCAACGGGATCCCCAAGCCAGCGCTCGGGCTTGAACGTGAACGATTCGGGGAATATTTCTTCGTCGTGGGCGACCGAATAGTTGTCCATGCTGACCACGGTTCCCGGAGGGATCACGTAGTTCTTGTAGGTGAGGGTGATGTGGTCCGAAATGCGGAACGCACGCTGGCTTACACCATAGGACATGCGGACGCCTGATCGGTGAAGAGGGTTAGTGGCAGGTTTAACAAAGGGGGGAGCTACGCACATTCTTGAATACAAGCAGTTAAGTAAGGAAGCTGTTCCAGGTCCGTTAATGACGGCATATTGTTGGGATCTGGTATCGCAGATCTTAGTTCCTCGCGGAGACGCTGGTAGATGCTCGGGGTGTTTATAATGTGGAAGCCAGCCACCGACAGGGCATATCTTGTTGTATCGAAGCCTGCTCCGATCACTGTAATTGCTTCCTGTTGTAGGCGGGTCAAAGTGAGCTCTTCCGGGGGTAGATCAGAGTCGAGCAATGCATTGAAAACATTCATCTGCTCCGAGCCATTCCGTTTTTCCTTCTTCGAGAGAATATCGGCAACTTGATCGGCCATTTCCTGCTTTCATGTTAGAAGCACTTCTTACTCGTCGTTTGCTGCCCCTCGGTTCAACGGAAAGACGGGCGCTTATTTGTAAATTACCTGGTTATAATTATTCACGGACTTCAAGCCCGGCTGCAGAGCCTCAACCAAGCCCTGCGGTAGCGAATTGAAGATGGTGGCAATCCACGGGAATTGCGTGACCATATGGACCCCATCCAACAAGTCAAACAAGGCTTGGATGAAGGGCGATTTAAAATCCGGTGCCTCGAAGAAATCGTAGCCGCGATTGAGACAATAGCGGACGATGATGTCCGACGCAATGCATCCCATCATCCAGTCCAGGCGGAAGATCTTCCCCGTTCCTTGGTACTCCCGTCGTAGTCGATCGCAGAGCTTCGTGATCTGCTCCTGCATCATCGGGACCGCATTGTTGATCGCGCGCTTGGAGAAATACGGATTAAGAGCTGCCCGACGGTGACGGTGAACTTCATGGTTGTGTGTCGGGAATAAGCCATTGGCGTTGTTGAAACGGTGCTCGAGTTCTTTCGGTTTATCCCACGGTAATGACTGCGAGTACATCTCCTCAAAAAAGGAAGAATCCTGGATATGAATTTCGAATGGGCTTAAGCGAATAATTGGGCCTTGATTGTGAAGTTAGTGTACGTCTTTTCTTCAGTACCACATACCCTAACCGACAGGGGGGTGGTTTGACGACCCATATCGAACTTACCATACTTTTCATGCAATTTCCGATAGTGGAACAAGTACTGTCCACCCGGAGATTTGAAGAACTCATAGTAAGTCTCATACCATTGAGTAAAAGCAGCGAGTTTAGGGCCTGGGAATTTTGCCAACGGGTGCAATGTAATGCGATACACCCCTAGCACCAGCACGTACAGCACGGCAGCCACCACCGTCGTCGCGCAGAGAGCCAGGGGCGACTCGATTGAGGGTTGAAGAACCGACACCAGATCTTGGATAAATCCCATGGTGCAGGGATTAGATGTTGTTCAAAGCCAAAGGCCTGTGGAATACCTTACTCCGCGCGGTTGGTAGCCATGGACCCGGCAGTCTGGCACCAGGAATTCTGCAGAAAAAAAGAAAACCATTGTCTCAAATATGACAGGCCCCTATTGTGGGTCTTGGCCGTATGATCCTGCACAGGGTCGTTTAAACGGAAAAGCAGACGGGTTGTACGTTTTGGGCTACGGGATGCGCAATGACTTTCACCGGGTCGCGTTTAGTTTCGGAGGTCTTGCCATATCGTCGAAGTTTCTTGTGAGTATGCCTTGGAAATTGGGGGAGACCCGCATCCTGCAGTACCAGGCGATTGGTACGATCAGTTGATAGTGCCGAGTTTCTAACTATTAGACCCACCACAGTAGCGACAACACGGACGGCCAGGCCACCTATCACATCCCTGGGAATAATCCACCGGACGTTTCTCTGTGGTTGCCAATTCAGTAAGCAGAGCGCGACAATTCTCCCGCCTGATACCGTACTCGGTTCTGTGGCCCAGTTTTGCCCCGTACATTTGTCGAGTTTTCTGTGCCGACCATCTGCGTCCTATCCAATATATGGCGTCAGCATGCATTTTACCCAGCACAACAACTTGAGTCCAACTTTCAATCTTCCAATCTTCATATTCAACCGATCAATGAGTAACCGTGGATTGAGAATTCGAGCTTTGGCCAAACGGCCACGGGATTGTTCCACGTAGCACGACATCCGTCTCCATAAATGGCGTAACTTAAAAATGAGAGTCAAAGCGTTCGGACAGAGAATTCCGGTAGTCTGTTGAATCTTGATACTCGATAGTAAGGATAGTGGCTGGCTGTTTCTGTGGTTGTAGATCCTACACTAGGTCTTGCAGCCCTCACGTGGGTGCCTCCAATACTAGTCCGCGCATAAGTCTGTTCTTCGACATAGTATTGGATTTTACCGGTCATGGAGACTGAGGGTCGAGCCTTGATCTACTAAGCGAAAAAGTTTATTCCTACCAACTTGCCGACGAGAATTATTCATATTCTGCTCCAGCAACTGTACCTTCCGGCTTGGCTGACTGGGGTGTGGAAAGAGTTCTAGCCGACGGATAACGCCGTGGCGATTGTTTTAGAGGGACGGTTTAAGACATGGCTAGGGTGCAATTATATGGAACACCCGTTTTTGCTACAGTAAAGGTGGGCAAAGGGAATGTCCCCCCCCAAAAAAAAAAAGAGAGAGAGGGGGGGGGAGAGAGAAGAGAAGAAGAAAGAAAAAAAAAAATGCGCGCATAATATCAAATGCTGATATGCCGGGTTTCTAGCTAAATAGTTCATGCGAGATGGACATCATTTTACAAGGCAACCCAATTGGAATCAGAGCCGGTATGGTTAAGCCAACAAAGCAAATTCTGCAGGCCAGGAAGGAAGTAAACAGTCTAGTTTTAAAGGGTGTCATTTCGCGACAACCTTTTTTCCCTTTTTCTTCTTTACGCTCGGACCGGCGGCATCCGCCTCAGCTGGCGGATACTTCATATGAAGATCGACAGTCGCTCAGTAACTACCAGGGAGGATGTGGAGTACGTAGTAGGACAATCTCAGAAACTTAGCAGATACGAGAAACTCTGCGACCAGCTTAGAAATCCAGAAACTCAATTACATTCAGGTTGGTTGTGCATACACGAATGCATTAGGGCTGGTCATCCCACCACTCAGTGTTGTTGTTCAGTTCGTTCGCCGTTGAGGACTATCTATTAGCGGCCCACTTGGATCGCACGTCGCAGTGGGTGATATGATATCAACCGAGTGATACCGGATTCTCGACAATGGTCCCGGAGACTCCCATGAAAGAGTGACGGTCCAATACTAGCGTACAGCTGATATGTTGGGGAAATTTAGATGTAAATGCTGTCATCCGCCTTCCATGTCTCTCGCCAACAGCTTTCTAACCGCTAGTGCGAAGCTCTTGTCATCCAAACAACTCACAGATTTGCGCTGCATGTCAAGGACGAGCCTGACGACAAAAGTCTTTTTTGTTATTGATCGTCCATGATTCAAGTTTGATTATCATGAACTGTACGGACATCTATACTTCTGTCCTTCCGGTCTTCAGCAATGCCCAGAAATGGAGGAGCCTGGGGTTTGAACATGAAGAAATTCCAAGACAGCATTAAGACTGAGCCGTGCGCTTAATGCGGCACCTATTCTCTGTTCTTTGTAAGGGTACTGGGTGCCTTTAACGACTTTCCATCTTAAGATAGGTTGAGAGTCGACCTGGGGATCCGCCCCGTTGTCTATTAAACCTAGTCCCACTTGGCTTCTGAGAGAAGACAGAATCGTTACGCGGAACGATCCCGAAGAATGCCATGAAGCATGTTTCGCTGCGGTAAATCGCAAACTCCGACTCTATCGCAGGACCGAAAATGGACAAGCACTTCGAGATATGATAAACAGTTTCTAATGCTCTTACAACGAATTTGTCCGAGCTTGTCCACATAGTGAAGCTCGCTACAATCTGTTCGTTGCGACAAGAAGGCAGTGGAGAACCGTTGACTTGATTATGCTAGGCAAGCACTGAATTCGCAAAGAAAAAAAAAAAAAGAAAAAAAAAAGACTGTCGATATGCACTTAGCTTCGTCGAAGCATCCAGGCGTAGCTTGGCAGAGTATGATTAGGCTTCAATGACGTTCTAATTCACTAAATCACTAGATTATCTCGTCGTTTGGCCCCAATCCCTTGCACACATGAGATATGTAAACGCAGATCATCGGGCACTGGATCTGCATAGTGACATGTCACATAACAACCCCAGTCTAGCCCAGATCACAATGAGAGACGAACCAGAGATATGCCAACGAGATCAATATTCTCTTCGTGAGACATTCCGGGAGGTTTGTGTTCACCTTGGAGGTATTCGTATCTGGCATTGAATAGATCAACTTTAACGGCATGGCCTGTGATAGATCCCACAGATTGTATAAATCGAGCGATCTCCCGCCCAGCCTCCCCCATTTTATCCTCCTTATTCTCCTCGAACCACCCCAGAACCAAGTCAAGCGGTGAGAAGCTGCGGCCGGGAGATTTCTCGGACTTCCTTAGGATCTCATCCCTATTTTCCCGGTTGGAGGGGGCGCTGATATGTTATCCGGTGCATATATCCCCAATTCATGGGCCCTGGGGTTGACAAATTAGAGAAAAAAAGAAAATATGAAACGTATTCCATCACAACCAGTCTCACTATCCAAGGCCACACACACACAGAGGAGTCCGGAGAATGCTGGAAGGGGGTCGTCTGCAACTCTGCTAATAGCTGGAGATTATGCATCGCCTCTGGGGGGCGATAACTCCTCGTCATTGCGATTGTGAGTCACCGGAAATAAAAGTCGGTAAACGCGATTAGGCTGTACATTCGAACCAGGCCAATAGGTCCCCAACGGCGGAGCTGTTTAAGTAATGAAGGTGGCGAATCTCACCCCCTTCCACCATTGCTCCCTTTACCCCATCGCGATGGCGCTTCACCCATCTCTCCCTCTCTCCCTCTCTCCACTGACTGTGACATCAGATCTCCTGTTCTGCTCAAAAAAAAAACAACCGTTGAAAATGATCGAACCTCTTTGTGCCATTTCCTCCGAAGCCAGCCGAGTTCGCCACTGAGGCTGATGGAGTCCCACCTGCGGGGACCGCTGGCACACTTTCTCGTAGGGACGGAGAACGATGCAGTCGAGTACAATCTGGAGCAAATTACGCCAAATTCAGCTGCCATTGAGGCGGATTCACATTAGTGCCTCGAATCTCAAACATCCATTGTCTTCGAAGAGGGCTGTTTCGATAGTATCATATCATCATACCATGGCCGTGATGTAAGCGCATGGAGCTAAAAGTCCAAATATGCGGGAGTTTGACCCACTTTACGCTGGAGTATCTTCAGCTCAGTTCATGCCGACAAATTCAATCTAGTTGTGAAGGACACGATGTAACACAACAAGGTGCCAAGCGGAGAGGCTGCTAAATAAGTTGGTATTAATCTGTCTCACGCGCTCCACCACGGCGTTGCCTGAATTCCATGGCCCTCCACATGTCCCGCAATCTCACATGTTGTTCTGCCTAGCTTACGAGTTAATGACTACTTACGTACCTTCCAGCATTTAGGTAACAACAACTTCTTCTCTTCCTCGCCACACCGCAGCTGCATTTATAAATACGAAACGACGTCCTCGCAATTTCGGTGTCGGCTCCTCACCGTTTTGCTTCTCCAAAAACACCCATAGATATATCTCCATTGAATCAGTCGCCATGGGTCTTACAATCCACACCGTCGGAACCTCCACCCTGCACCGTCAGGCCGAACGCGCTGTCATCAACCTCGACGTGTCCAGCGATGGAAAAGACCAGTCTACAGTATCTCAAGACGTGACGCGCACCTCCAACCGCCTTCAATCCCTCCTCAAAGATATCGCGCCGAAGCAGGACTCCGGCGATCCCACCCTCGAAGCCCCCGTCACATTCTGGAGCATGAGCTCAATCAGCACCGGCAGTTATCTCCCCTGGGACCACGACAAGCAGGAACACCGAGCACGGGTCTACTCCGCCCGGACCAACTTCGAGGTCAAGTTCCGGGACTTCAGCAAACTGGGCGAGTTCGTGTCGGACGTGGCGAAGGACCCTCTGGTTTCAGTGCGGGATGTCGACTGGCAGTTGACGGATGATACAAAGCAGCAGCTGGGACAGGAGTGCAGGAAACTAGCGGTCTGGGACGCGCTCGCCAAGGCTAAGGATTATGCGGGTGCGCTGAACATGAGTAACCTTCGACCCGTTGAGATCGACGATTCTCAGGGACATGTTTCTCCGGCGCTATATACTTCCGCGCGGAGGGCACCTGCATTTGCCGATGGTGGGGGTGAGCAGGCGTTGAGTTTTGTGCCGGAGAGTTGCGAAATCGAGTGCTCCGTAAAGATGCGCTTGGAGGTGGAGTGAGTCGCCGGTGAGCGAGCGGAGACTAACGGGTTTAAGTTACGTGAGATGAACTATTCTTTGACAAATTGATACCACTTCAAGTATTTATACAAGTATCGGTTTTATGGGTAGAACCGAATTCCACAAGTCACCACTTAGTAAGTGTAGAGATATAACTGACTGCGGGGGCGATTAAGACTAGTAGGGATGTTGGAAAGTTGCATAGGACGAAAGAAAGTATGGAGGAAAACTGAAGGAAACACAAGCAGCAGCTCGGGTAGGAAAAAAAGTAAAAACAACTGCTCCCACGCGGATTTGAACCGCGGACCTCATGATTACTAGTCATGCGCTCTACCAACTGAGCCATAGGAGCGAAAGTCGTGCATCATCCGTGAATCGAACACGGGCCTCATCGATGGCAACGATGAATTCTACCACTAGACCAATGATGCTTGAAAGAAATGGTCCCGGAGAGGCTCGAACTCTCGACTTCTGAGTTATTAGCTCAGCACTCTAACCGACTGAGTTACGGGACCATTTGTTGAAGTTTTGCTTTCACATTATGTTAATTGACACTAAACCAAGGCAGTGGTGTTCAAAGAGGCATCCTCTACATCTATCTCCAGGTAGTCAAGGCATATTTCACCCGATACAGCTCATTGATATCCGTATTTTCCACGTAATGTCGCTATATCCGTTGATTAGAGCCCATCTCCGTCTCTAAATGCGTTCCCAGACATCCCCGTTACTCAGGCTATAAAAGGCCATCCTCTCCGCGTCGTTACCAGGAAATATATATAGTGATGCTATAGTGTTCTCGCCGGACCAGATGTCAAGATAAAATGATGGTGATTTTTTCTTTTTGGTCGTTTCTCGTCACCTGTTAGCAAATCCATTACATTTATTCATCCTTATGTGTGACCATAGACACTTCGTTTCTTCTTTTTCCTCCTTTTTCTTAGGAACATCCGAAGGCCCCGTCTAACCAACGCTAGTAATCACTGGCTCAGCGGCTTCGTTGTGCACAGAAGTAGGATTTTTGGTATTAAGTATATAAAACAAGGACCTCAATTGAACCCGTGCCAATATGACCAACGAAGATAGTGAAGTCAAGATAAATCAGTAATCTGCGTGGTGTTGAAGTCGGGCCTAAAAAGTACATGACAGAACAAGGAGAGAAGGAAAAGCACACGGTGCTGAGAAGGAAACATAGAAAAAAGACAAAAAAAAAAAAAAACGCTTTTCATAATTTTAGAGCAAAACACCGGTCACCCAGCCTGCTTCAGAACATAATACGTCTCATGTAAAGTATGAATGGCTTCGACAAACTCCAGACCCGCCTCCTTCGAGCATTTCAAGAGCTCCGGCTCTTTCCAGATCTTTTGCCCGGATTCAATATGGCTCTCTTCGATAACTTCTTCATGACCGGCATTAGTCCGCTTGATCACTTGCAGCTGGTAGAGAGCGCTTTTGATTGACCCTTCTACGGTTGGACTGCCAATTGGCAGTTGTCTGTAAATAATATTCTCATAGAGCTCACTCGGGAATTCATGCCGTTCGCACAACCCTGTACATGTCGCGTTTTCGCTCATTGGCTCCGTGGTAGATTGCGCCGATAGTAGATCTCTCCTTACAGATAGATAGAAACGCCCGGATCGTGGTCGAAGCAGTGCAGCAGCCTGAGCGAGAAACCTCAAGAGCTCCCCTGGCCCGGTAAGAAGACTGACGCTGCCAGACGCGGACAGGAGTAAATCAACCTGATTGATATGGGTTTCCAGCAGCTCGGCTGAGATTAAATGGAGGACTTCTCCGACGAGCCAATCAATGCGACCGACGTGCGACATGCCCGGCGTCTCCTGCTGTACTGCTAATGCACGATGGATCATCGATGGTTTCTTATCAACCCCAATAAATTCGACATTGGATAGAGGAATGTTGTCCCGAACGGCGTCGGTGGCGAGATTGGCCAGCACACGCCCGGTTCCTGTACAGACGTCCAGGACGACAAGATGTTCACCGTGATGATCAAGAGGGTAGTAGGATTCCACCTGCTTCTTCAGGGCCGATAGGTAGATTTTGGCATCATCTTGAGCGTTCAATCTCGTGACATCTGCCTTGGCCTGTAGATCGTAGTATTCTGCCAAATACGCCGAGTTCTTGGATTTGTCGCTCATGATGAAGAAGAGGACGGCAGCGGCGGCCTATGTTCACAACAACAAAAAGCCGGCAAACCAAGTGACTACAAGGTCAAAGCTAGATAGATCCTGATGAGTCGAGAAGTCATCCAGCGACCGTGCGCAATGAGTAATATGTTTTATGAAAGGGCCTCAATCGTCCTACCTAAGGTACGAGCCGCGGAGACATGTACCATAGTTAGGATGAATCTATCTTCTTTGAATGTTGTCAGAAGATATGATTAAGCAGGATCTGGTTGAATAAAAGGAGGTAGTTCTTCTGACGTGGTTGACAGTGGCAGTGGCAATGGCAATTGATGTAAGGGCATAAATGGCTCGTGCGCTCCCAAACCCCGGAAACCGAAACAACGGTACCAGTCATCTGCCCATCTGCAACCTCAGCCTTTGGCCTTTATAGACAGATAGACAGAACGCCATGCGATTGTAATCCCTTTAAAAGTGGGAGTCTATTCAGGCAACTCGGAAATCCTGAACCGTTGCCTCCTACGAAAATATGCTGGGGGGCCGTGTTTACTCATACGATTCCCACCAGGACTTGCTCAAGCCAACATAAAAAACCATATATTTTGACTTGAAGTAACAATACCAAGGGTGACAAGTCTGCTAGTAGATAGTACGTCATGACGCCAGCTCATGATGTGCAAGTTGATGTCCAGGAACTTCGACTAGACAGGCTGACCGAGGTTTGAAGATGCATGATTTATACTCAACCCCAGTACTTCCCGAGAGCAAGTTTTGAGCCCTGTCAGCTTGAAAGTACCTCGGTCGCAGCTGGAAATACCAGATAACGATCGCAAGAGTCAATAGGAATGCACATCCGAGTCCGACGCCAACTCCAAGTCCCACCTTTGCTTGCGGTGAGATTGCACCGCTATTGCTCGGATATAAGGGTGAAATGGGTGATGTGGTAGAGATTAACGAAGTCGCTGATGTGGTAAGCGCGTCGGTTAATGTTATTGTTGGTGTTGTGCTAGCTGGCGTTAAGCTCACTCTGGTTGGTGCCAATGCCTCACTAGTTGGTCTCGGTGCTGGGGCAACTGACACTGTTGTGGATGATGATACTGATATTGACAATGTTGTCGTTGTTGTTGTCGAATCTTTCGTCCTTTTAGTGATATTGAAGTAATGGCTAGCAAAGAAATCCGGGCTCTCCGCTTCGTCGGCATCTCGGATCTGGAAAAAGAAAACATTACCATCATCTAGACTTCGCTGGGTCGATACGATCCAGTTATACGTTGTGATATCCGATAGGTTTGCTGTCATCTACCGTCAGGTTGAAATATATGGGGGGCCCTTAGGCTGTAGGGAACAATGACTTACTTTGAAGCAATTCAAAATGGGGATTATCATCTTGCCATAGAATTATGGATATACTTTCCAAACTGGTCGCCCATCTTAACTGAACCATTTGCTCAAGTTCGTAGACTGGGTTGTCCCTGTAGACATGAATAGGGCCTCCAGTTGGGGGGTTGTAGAATATTCCCGGCTCTGCTTGAACCGAGTATTGGCACAGAAGAAACGAGGTTAGGAGTAGTTTTAACATTAGCACGCAAGTCTCAGGTTGACTCGAGGAACGAGTGTGCACATTAGTATGACAAACCTAAAAGCAAAGAGATGTCGACTTGTGAAGTAATGGAGAATAAACTAGAAACTTGCTACTGCTCCTGGAAAGATCAAGGCCCCTGGAGTTCCAACTCCATCTTGGGTACACTGCTCCCTCTGAGCGGTTAGCATGTTACCATGGTTATTAAATATCCCTGTTAGGCTGGGGCTGGAGAAATTGGTGCCTTTCAAGTCCTGTCCCGTGAAACAGATATTTTGAAAACATGCCCAATCAGTCAAGCCGTAGGTGAGTAGTTTCATTAACAAATCTACTGCATCTTAGCGCTCGAGGGTTGGGCCTGGGCGAGGTTCGTGTGACTTTATACTGCCCAAGATAGCACGGATGAAGGTATCGTCAGACAAAGAACGACTCTGTAAGAAATTAGCTGACAGGGATTTTCCCGAGCGAGAACGAGGAAACATCATTGGATCCGTTCAATGCAACTAGGGTCCTTAGGGTCTTGGTCTGCAGGGCATTTAATTTGTACTGATGAGGAAGGATTTGCACGATCATGCTCACCATTAAAGGCCGTTGTTTCACGCCCCCACTTCCCCCGACTTTTGCGATACCGTGGCCACTGCCACAACCTCCTGAACTCACCATAGATGAGTTGCGTATAAGACGAATGATGTTGGTCGTTGCACGTCGATATCTCTATCTGGGAACGGGCTTCGGCCTTTTTTGGCTATTTTGGTATATCTTCGGAAGCCCTCTGGCGCAAGTAACCGGAATTGTCTCTCCACCTGAGCCGGCCTCGGTGCCCCCACCCACGCAAACTGCAAGAAATGCTACTTTAGGTGTACGCATCTTTCTACTCCCCGAGAATCTCCATTCGATATGGTACTAACTGGCCTGTGTCATTCTAGTTTCAATCTATTCTTGCTCTTTCCACGGGCCCTTCATGGCGAACGAGAGGATTAATGGCTGCCGCAAACCTAACCGGCCTCTCCATCCATATCCCGCCACAACCACCAATCCATCCCGATCTCGTCAAGACCTTCGAGACGTTAGGATCGGAGTACATTCGTCACCCTTCCCACGGGGCTAGCGTGGCCTGGCTTGCACATCTCGATATGATCAAATATACCATCCAAGCAGACCTGGATACTGCCCTAATTATTGAAGACGATGCAGATTGGGACGTAACAATTCGCTCCCAAATGGTGCAAGTCGCAGAGAGTGTCCGCAATCTGACTAAAACCCCCGAGAATGAAACAGCTCCATATGGCCGTGACTGGGACGTGCTTTGGATCGGTCATTGCGGCGAATACTGGGAGGACCTATTTGAGACAGTCTTCTACGAGGATCCCACCGCATGCCCACATAAGTACTATCTTGGCTTTGCACAAGGGGACATGGAACGTATTCCAGACCACCAGCGCGCCATCTACTGGTCGGCAAATCCCGTGTGTTCTTTCGCATATGCTTTGTCGCGTGATGGTTCTCGAAAAGTGATAGAACTGTTGGGCGCAGGGCAAGACGAAGCGTTTGATGTCAGTATGATGCACGCCTGTAGCGCGGGAAAGCTGAAATGTATCTCAGTTGTACCTGAGGTGGTGCATCAGTACTTTCCCAACCAGAAATTCGGAGTTAAGAGCATGGTTGATCTTGGAAACGGGGAGCAGGCTGGTCCTGCCGACTCGGAGTTCGAGCATATTATGGGGTCAACGGAGAATATCCTCGAAAGCGCGCGGTGTCGTGCCTTGTGGAATAAGAGATGTTTAAAGGAATGATTGCTGATGCTGCTTTTTCTTTTTATTTATTTATTTATTTATTTTTTTTTTTTCACATTCTTAACATGATCTAGACTAGTGCTTAGTGTGAATCTGTAGTGTAGTCTCGGGCTTGCTCTCTCCGCGTGTACTTCTGCACCTTGAAAATCATGGAGTATTCTGGATACAAATTGTAACTCTATTGATCCTGTAGATGGTATGCATTGCTTGACAGAAAGAATCATCCCCCTGGAAGCTCATACCGAATCTAGCTGGCAGTTCCCGACGATTCATTCTAGAGTACTAGCGAGAAAAGAAAATTAGTTGTCCATTCACAATCTACATACAAATAATTACTCTCATTAACATCACGTCATCAGCTTCGTCACTGCTTCTCCAAGAACACCACATTGCTATCATAATCCGATTCAAACTTGAACTGCAGTCCCATGTTCATCAATGTTGCACCAGAGTACGATCCACTTCCGTCAACACTATACGTGGCCTTGGCATCCAATCCTTGAAGCCTGATCCAGGGAGTGGCATGGTTGACATTAGGGCCGAGCTGGAAATTGAAGAGGACCGCTTGGTTGCCATCCTCGGAGATGAATAGCACCGCGGGCCAGTTGGACTCCTCAGGAAGCCTGAGACGCCACATATCGCCTGTTAGGATGATCGGGTTAACTTTTTCTGCAAGCGCAATCAGCCCAGGGACTTCGGCCTTCTCATCCTCGTGTAGCTCGGCGGGGTCTAGCTCGAGGCCGAATGACCCGCCCATCATAGCGACGTGACCACGGAATTTGACAGGAATAGTACGTCCGGTCTGGTGATTCGGGACCGCTGAGAGATGGGCGCCCATGGCGCTGGGTGGGTATGCGAGCGAGGTACCGAGCTGGATGGTGATACGCATCAGCGCATCGGTATTGTCGGATGTCCAGATTTGCGGGAAGTACTCGAGCACACCGGCGTCGAAACGGCCACCACCCGAGGCACAACCTTCCCACAGAATATCGGGAAAGCGCGTGGTCAGGGTTTCGAATACCCGGTACATACCCAGGATGTATTTGTGGTCGTTGCTGGGAGAGGGTGACTCGTGAGTCGCCCGGTTGAAATCCCACTTCACATAGGAAATAGCCGAGCTGTTGAGAATGTTGGTAATGGAGTCGATGATATAATCCTGTACCTCCGGCAAAGCAAGGTTGAGCACGAGCTGGTTACGCTGCAAGGTGCGTGGGTATTGGCCGGCATGAAGCACCCAGTCAGGGTGTTCATGATACAGGGTCGAGTTGGGGTTGACCATTTCTGGTTCAACCCAGAGACCAAAGCGGAGGTCGGTTGAGGAGTTTGCTACCTTCAGCTTCGTGACATCTTCCACCAGGGGGGATAGACCGTCAGGGAAGCGGTCCGGGTTGGGCACCCAGTCACCCAGACCGGCGTTATCTGATACACGGGGGTACTTGTCGCCGAACCAACCGTCGTCCATCACGAACAATTTCACTCCCAAGGCGGCCGACGCCTCAGCCAGGCGGTAGATTGTGCTCTCATTGTAGTCGAAATACAGACCCTCCCAGCTGTTAAGCAGCGGTGGGCGGTCCGATGTGGCGAACTTGCTCTTGATCAGATGGTTGCGGTAGAGGCGGTGGAATGAACGAGACATGCCGCCGATGCCGTCGCTGGAGTAGACTGAAACACATTCCGGAGAGGTGAGTGTCTCGCCCGCACCCAGCTGCCAAGACAACTGACTGGGATTGAATCCCAGCAGAGCGCGAGTGAGGCCCTGGGAACCCTTCTCGACATCAACGGAGAACGAGCCTGTGTAGACAAGGTTAAATCCCCAGGCCTCGCCCTGAGACTCAGTTGTAGAGGGATGCACGATCGTAAGGAAAGGGTTGTGCAGGTGAGAGGAGAAACCAGTGCTACTTCCGAAGCTGTATATCACGGGTGGAACATTAATTTGCTGCCTTTGTCATGAGGCTTGGTTGAATAGTAACTTACCCTTGGACTCCGTATTCCACCTTTCGCCTCTGACGGTGGGCCTCTCTTGCCCAGTCGCCCCTGAGGCTAATCATTTCAAGATCTTCGTATGGGAAATCGAAGCTGAAGCTCGACAGTGCCTCGACGGTGATATTTTGAGTACCCTTGTTCGTAACGTTCGCGCTCCGCACAATGGCATCATATTTAGGGAAGATGGAGTATGACAGGTCCACCGCGATGGAGCTGTAATTGTCGTATAGATGCACCACCAAGGTCGTGACATCCTCTTCACTACCAAAGGTTGCAGGCAGACCGGGCAAAGCAGGCTTTCCCGGAACCACCGAGTATGACTGATACTGCAGATCTGTCACAGTGTAGCCCGCTTCTTGGCGAATCCGAACGGCGGGAATCCGAAAATCTCCTCGGCCCTGATCTGGAAACTCACGGCGAAAACGGCCGGGCAAACCAACCCAGCCACCAAGTGCCTCGGGACCAGGTCCTGGGAAGATATCGCCAGTGATACTGCCACCGAAATGATCGGACACCAGGTCACCGGTGGTCTCGTTCACTCGGAAGCGGTATGAGACATTCTCTCCATTGAGGGTAAAGGTTTTGCCGTCCGCGACAACTGCTGTACAGGCGTCAACTAGGAATGAAGCTTGGAAGAGTGCTAGCGAGGACGAGCTTATGTGGCTTCACTTACCATTGTTGCTTGAGGTTTCCTGCGCCATGACTGCTGGACCGTTTCCGAAGACAGTCAGAAGACTTGCGGCTGCCAAAGCAGCACGCTTTGGAGAGCCGAACATCTTGTCTTAAAGGTGATTGAGCTGTAGAGGTGGCGCACTGAGATCCCGGAAAGGATGGGTATCCATGCATTTAAATAGTCGGGGGAAAGCATGAAAAGTGACAGATGCCGCAATAATTCCCCCAATCATTTGCAAAGCTGCACTACCACGGCAAGGTTCGTCTCCATTACCCCTTTCATCGAGGGAAGAGCTGGACTCGACACTAACGGAAGGCATTGGATGTGGACCGGGGAAATTCCCGCATTAATTCTACCAGCCATGGCCGCACTTTTCCTTCCATCGTCACGTCATGGTTCCTTTTGATAGTTGGGGATAGACAGACCGATTCCCCGTCTTGGAAATGTGGGGATATTCGGCGCCGGCAAATGCCAATGCGGAGGAACATCGGGGAAATATCTCTTGTGTGTTTCCCCCCCACATACCCCGTACCCCATTCCCGCCCTCTGTGGGATTTTTGTGTATCTGTCGGGTTCATCCCCGTGTTTCACCGGGCTTGAACATGCTATAGAAGACGATGTCTACGCGGATTTGCGAAAGTTGCTGTACAACACTCGATGGAGCAGCGAAGAGCAATCGAGGGCACCTCAATAGCCATGGCTCGACAAAACTCCTAGCGGCCAGACCGCGGGGTGACCGTTGCCTTAGGTCGGATCTTGGGAGCCTCTCAGAGTAGCGGAAATCCAGCCCCACGGGGTCTGTTCAAAACCGGGGCCTCCTATCGGCTCGGAGCTATCTCCGGCGCTCGTCCTGTGTGTGCTCTCTGTACGTGCGCCCTGAGGGTCATCCCACAAATCGACCCTTTCCGAGTAAGCTTGTCCGGACTTGGGAGACCGAACCACCCCCGCTCTTTCCAGAATACTGTTTCCTCTATTTGTCTCGAGGTGGTCCGTGATGGATAGTATGATCATTCATAGTGAACACCTTACTGGAAGGTGTTTTAGCAATTGGAATTATGATCATACCACTAGCTCGGTGAGCCCATTCAGTGTAGGCTAGGCAGCTTCCAAGTCGGCCCTTGTTCCCTAGTCTTGGCGAGCCCGAGCCGACCGGACAGTGACCGAGCCGAATATAAATCAAGCGCATATACCCAAGGGAACCTGAAGATCCACCCTATCACATGAAGCGGTGCTTCTGTGCCCACTAACCAACTTCCCAGGGCGCAATTTCCACCGGAAGATACCTGATTCGCTCAGACCTATCACCACAATGCCCCAGTAGAACCACTATACGAGACTATATAAGGACGAAAGCACATATCTGAGCCGAGCGCGGGATTCTTGATTTCTGCAGTACCGCTCCTTGCAGCCCAGGGTTTGTTGCAAAAATTCACCAGCCCTCTCGAGTTATGTCCTGCAACATCCCCTCTCGGCGTTCAGCAAGCATTCCAAGTGCTGGCTGGTAGGTCTTGTACTAGGCACAACCATCACGGTCAATACGCGACCTTGGCAAACCCCAATACTTGCTTGTTCATCTCGGCTTCCTCTATACTGAGTATCTCTGTCCTCCCTAGAGAACAACGAGGTTAGCGGTCACACATCTTCTTGAGTACAGCGGATACCGCTGTCTGTGAGGAGTATACTATCGCTATCCTTAGTATTAGTAAAGATTACTATGACCTGAAGTCTCGTTTGCTCATGATGTGCCTAGAGAGATAGTGAGGTCATGTCTTGTGTTAGATTTGCATGCGGTAACACTGCTCGGCTTTCCACCCGGGGGTTAGAGTTCTCCTCGGCCCATATTGGTTTATAAGCTCGGAATAGAGCATAAGTAGCCCTTATTCATCCATATCATTGGGGTGAGCAAGGGCAAGAAGCGTGAGCTTCAGCTGTGTTGACATTTAGGAATTGGTGAATGCCGAAACACCAGCCATTTGCAAGGGATATTAATAAAGATAAATGGCATGGGTGGTTTTGAAGGACATGAACGATTGCCTGTGTTTTAAATCAGTTTCTCCTCATAGATGCCGACTTATGCTAATATGTCCTGGGTCAACTTAACAAAACCCGCCATTCCGAATTATAGCCAATCGGGCGTTTTCATTTGCCCTTTAGCTCCTGAAACCTCCATTTGAATGAGATATAACTGATGATTACCTTTTAAAACATAGGAATTTGGGCGGGGTCCTTATATAAGCTAGCTAGCCCGTATTATCACTCACGTTTCCACAATATGGCCTAATTAAGAAGTGTAGAGTAACATATTATCAGGCGTGCGACAAATCCCGTTACCCCTTGGGCGGAATTATGTTAAGTTTATAATGACCAGTAGTGTATCAATAGACCGGGGACATGTACATATACAGAAGCGTATATGCTCCACCCATATATTTCAGGCTACCTAGGCAAGTATTCGAGGACCTCCCCGGAAATCAATTCATCAACAGCCTTCTACCAGGTAAATGATGCTCCAACAAAGAGCGATAATGCTATGGCTTCTGCAGAAACAGGCTACTAGATACCTCTTCTACATTGTCAACCCTAGCGCCGCAGGAGTCATGATCATGCCCAATAATGTCGTAGCTGTGCCTCCTCTACGAGAAGATGCGGGCTAACGAGCTCGTCCAGCTAGTGAGATTGTATTCAGTTTATGTCAAGTCTCTGATTCCAGATCTATAATATCGGAGTTAAATACTGTATGAGATCCACGAAGGTCTGCACAACTTATGCTTGGACGATGATTGACCGTGCCCGGAAAATGTTCCCTTCACATTACTCAATGCCGGTGGCCTTCCAATAGCAAACTTGTGGAAGATATTGAGGATTCCCGCTTTGAATCACCAAATGTAGATTTTTTATTTTCTTCAAAATACAAATTCGTGCCTTTAGAGGGCACTCTGTAGCTCTCCTTAACCTTTCTCCGAGTATTAAATTCGCTTATTATAATACCAAACGAGTATTGACTTTCGTTTATAGGTAATATAGATAGATATAGATTGAATAAAATATCCCTGAGTTGGAAATTAAAACTCACGAGATGATAAATAAAGCCAGGTTTGGTCTAAGAGATCTATATTGTTCTTTATTTTATTATTATATTTTTTGTTTTACCTCTATCTCATTTTACTTTTGGGAACCATCGCTACATGCGGACTTGAGTGTAGGAAGATCGCCTTTTATTATCGTGTTCCAGTATCTCAGGCGCCTATCATATATCAAGAGAGCTTCTATTTTTGCACACGCTTTCAGCTCTTAAAAGGTGTGGCTATACACAAACAGTAGATGTTGCTACTTACACGCGTGAGTATTTATAAGGAAGAACATTGTTGAACACGAGGAACTAAGCAGTAACTATTCTAAGTACAAAGTAACAAAGGTCCTATATAGGTTATAATTCTCTACCAAATGTTGATGGGTCGCTTCTAAGAGAGTTATGCTGTTTATTGCCAAACCATGGTACATATGTGACGATGTTATCTGGTTTAGGTTTAAGTACATAAGAAATTAAGAGTTAAAGGGTGTGTGATTTAAATGTTGGATTGACTATATATTCGATTCAATATATGTCTAACACATCTAGTTAGAAGGACTTTTGACCGCTTATATAATAGTTAGGCTTCGTGAAAAACTTCTGAGAGCTGATTTGATATTCTGAGTATGATTCAGAAACGCAGAAAAATTGTTCATCGCCAAAACAAAGCAGATGGGCTAAGTAGAAGTCGGCAAAATGATAAATAACACACTCTGATTTAGACATGTACGGCTTGGCCCACTCTGATAACACGTTCCGCACCTACCAGCAGTATCAATTTTTACTCCGGGTGTCAATCCCAAGATCATTCCTTTTCCTGTCAGTTATGCATTGCTTCCTGAAGCCAGTATCTCCTTTGCTGTCAGCTCAGATAGTCGCAAAGCGCTACCTATTCACCGATATGACAGATCCCCCCTTCCCTCTTTTTATTTTACTTTAATTTTTTTTTTTTAGATTAATTGGAGGGAGCACTCAATTTTCAGATGCAAATCTCAATTAGAGACTAGAATGTGATATACATCGGACTTGATATTTCCTTCCAGATACCAACGCATTTAATATAGTACTGGCTGCTGGATCAAGCCGCAAGCTAAACCATCATTCGTGCCTGGAACCCTGCTTTTTGAATCCAAGGCCACACGGGGCGTATTTAAATGCGGGTTTTAGAGTATAAGGGTATGTCGCTAAGGTTACCACGAATCTTACAAGGCAGCATTTGTGAAATCCGTGCTAGCCGACTGGGCTCTCAGCAGACAAGTATTATTAGATTAAAGAACCCATCCCTGAGTGTTATAAATAATGGCATTAGTCCCTGAATCCAGTACTACAGTGGCAAAGATCTGTAAAATTAGGCATCTCCTTCTCCGATTCATGAGAGACCTTGTGTTGTATAATATAGACTAAACTAACAAGTTTGACAAAGTAGAGAAGGTGCAGCGATCCCCTCAAGTCAGGATCTTGCCGATTTCCCTACGACGATTCTATGTACAAAGGTTGTAGGCAAAAATACCCCTTCTCCACCACTATTTTCGTTAGGGTCTTGGGAGATTCGGAGAACGCCGGCTCGATCAAAGTCCGGTCCTATCATTGACCTCTATGCAAGCGGAAGATGTGAGGGTCCAAATACAACGAATCTCACCCTTCTGCCTATTCCTTTGGCGATAATCGCTCCTCTCCACACGACCTAAAGTTACATTCACTTGCGTTGTTGAGATAGCCATTATAGTAAGTAGCCGAACGATCGCTTTAGGCACTGCCAACCTCACAATTTCCTAATACAGTAAAGATGGACATCACTAGTACAGATTTGGCAGGTACACAACAACCCAAAGGGGAATGGTGTCAACTTATGCCGCATAGAGCTAACCAATTCAAGTTCAGTCTCAGTCAGCTCCGTCAGTACCTTAATAGTACTTTGTACATTTTCAGGGACCTTGATACTTCACTGCTTTGACCCAGTATTTGTCTATGCCTAACCTCATATAGGTGATGTAATTGACGACACCAATGTTGGTAAGACTACTATCCAAGTCTCCCTTCTCCACAGCTTGACTTCTGGCCCCCACCGAGACGAATACTACAGACTAATCAGCAGATGAGTTCAATGCGTGGGGTAGTGGCGATGTCTCTCGGCACTGCTTGGAATACTGGCGATCAGCATAATAGAGGCTCGGCATGTTGTCATGTAGCCAATCTAGGAAGCTCCACCATACATCTAGCCCCCAGTATCCGTTGTTCGTAGGAAATGCGGAACTCGCCTGGAACATTGCGCGTATATGCACAAGCGTATAGGCACATGGAAATGGACCCCGAGGTAAAGCTCAATGTACTTGATTCTGAATACAGGTGCTCACGGCAGAATTGAATGTCAGCGCCCTCTTAGTATCAGCATGTTCTATGATGTATTAGCTTCCCATCCTCGAATATAAAAGCCGGCACCTATCCCCTCCTGAAAACTGATATCTACCAACACCATCTATCAAACTTGTCAATTCCTCATTTTCCAAGAAGCTATACCTACCTCCAAAATGCAATTCAAGACCCTCGTTCTCCCTGTTTTCGTCGCTACCGCGTCAGCCGGCTATGTCCAAATGTGCGGCCCTCAGGGAACATGCACCGACACCGGTTCTGCCAACAGCAACACCTGTATCGGCCCAGTTAATGGCAATGGAAAATTCACCTTTCAGGCTCACGACATGGGTTCTGTCATGATGTCCATTTTCACAGATAAAGGATGCTGGGATAACAATGTTGCTACGTGTGATGATTGCACCAGTGTTAGCTACACTGGACAGGGTAAGTAGTGGTTTGATCCTGGTTTCTTTTTGGGTATGCATGTTAATTGATTTTCAGGTCCTGTCTGGGCTATTTTCCATTAGACGGTTTCTGCGGGAAGTGTTACGGGTGGGACTTTTGTGGAATGGGTGAAGTACTTAGGATATGAATCATATCGTGGTGTGGATAATGTATTAGTTCGAATGTGACCACCATGCCTCTGGCGCCAACTCGTACCTGTGTTGGACTTTTATTGGCAAGTTCCGTATGGGCGGTAATATAAGTAGCTACAAGAGCGTGACTGTCAAGAACTATGAATCTCATACGGAGCTAGCCATCTAAGTTTTCCCGCCTAAGTTCGAATGTTACAATAGAATTAGTAGTCTTCTCAGGATTGGACCGGGGAAGAGGGAATGCTGTCGTATTCAGGTCACCGTTATACATAACTAGTTTCTTGAATCCCCTTCATATTCCTTGCCAGAGAAGTAGTTCCGCGAAGACTTAACGAACGTGAGGAATAGCCCGGTAAACTATATCAACTGTTAGATCTGCCCTACATGCGTAAATCTAACTGTAGCAATTGGCACCTTAATTCTCTATCATGAAGTTATACTTGGCCCACCCCATCCCAGCGTCATGCAAAGATTTTTTTTCTTTTCTTTTTTTTGCCTCTCGATAACACCTTCTAATATACTGTACATATATATGGCTCCAATACTATATGCCTCAGTTGAGCCCATATTGACATTAGTAGGCTTTATGCATCCACTCGTAATTAAAAATGTATTGCGCAAATTGAAACTGTTTGTCAGGCAATCGGGAACAATATTAGTACAACAGGCCCTAGACCTCACTAGTGCACTTCTAGTTTGTTAAGTCTGGAACAGCCAAGTCGGTTATATGTTTAGGGCGTCATCAGTCTTGGCCCCGGTTTTCTTGTTAGTCTATGTTGAATCCCCTCACGCTTACGTTCATTCTGCATGATCTAGCTCAAACTTATTCCTCTATATAGGTTAAGTAATCTGACAAAATATATGATTCAGTGAAGGACGGTGCTTGGCTGTCACCATTCTTCAAATCACATATTTCCGAATCTGATGTCAATTTAGTAATGAACGACGTGAGTCAGCTAAAATGACTGCTTTCAGATACAAAGTGCATATCAAAAGCCGTCAATAGATACATGTGCCCTTTCCTATGCATGCAAGGGCATATCAGTTGTAATTACTCACCAAGTCAAAGAGAAAAACCACACCCGAAAACTAGTGAAAGCAGATTTCCAGAACCCAACCAACAATCAAAAGTCTCGTCACCCACCAGTACCCGACCAACGTGCTGAGTAACCAAATTTCGTCACCTAACATCCACCCTGAAGCATTCTCCAGCCAATTGCTGGTGCCCCAGGTTTCCCCATTAGCTGATTCCGAAAGAGCACATTCCCATCGCCCTCAGGATAACTCAGCTCGACCATGTAGCTCATCTGTTTTTCACAGTCAAGAGGCATAAGGCGCTGCAGCCAGCCCTGCTGCACTTCCCACGTGGGAAATATGGCTTTTCCAACGGTCTTATCCTTGTGGGGCTGGTTATCCCATGTTGGCGTCTCCGATCGATCGACAGCCCAAATCTCCATAGTCGTCGAACCATGGACATACTGGCCTTCTGGCATGGCTGGAATCTCAATCGCGAGAGTACAAGTCGTTTGGCCGTTCGTCAAAGGCCGAAATGTTAGCACAGATTTGGTTTTCTGGTCGTCACCCTCGCGGCTGACCGCGAAGCGTTGTCCTGGGAATTGGTCGTGCGGAATGCGGGAGTCGAGGACTTCAATGGTAGATGGAGCTATGACTGTACAAGAATCAGAGGGCACTAGCATTTCCCCTCGACGACTTGTGCCTGTATTGTAGCGTTGGCTGTAGCATCTGTCATGGAAGGGTTCAAGGAAGTTGTCATCTGAGAAATGATCCTACATGCTTCATCAGTCATATGCTTTGTCATCCCTTTACAAAAGATCAACTTCGTATAGATAGGCCGTTGATCACAAGCATATCCACGCAAGTAACATCATACCTGGCAAGCAAGTGGCTTCTGGTGCGATAGGATTCTGTGCCATGGGGCACCCAGTACAAAGCCAAAAAAGTTTAAAAGAAGAAGTAGCCAAGTAAGCATTTTTATATAGAAAGTGTGTGTAAGTACAGTATAGAAATGAATTCCTTTACCTAAACTAAAAGAGAGAAACTATAAGGCAACGAGAGGTGGGCAAGGAAAAGCCTTCGAGGGTTTATATGCTCCCAGGACGCTTAGCTTGAGCAATTCGATATCTAGGTGGTGCATGTAGCTCACAATGAGGTATTACAGCTCAATGAACAGTGCTACACCATGATAAACCGAATCCTTTCTATCCGAAGTGGCCGAGCTCAGCCAATGTCTAATGCTTCTGAACCTTCAAGATGAAAAGGTAATTCAAGTAGCTCGTGACGGACGTACAACAACAACATCGCTATGACTCGAACTTTATGTTTGGCAGAAGGCGCCGGCGGCTTGTAAATTAATATTCAGGGAAGACAGTAGAGCATAGGAACATCCCATGAATTCCCCACTCCAACTTGCTTGCATATGAAAAGAGACGACAATGCCTTTGATCAGGCTTTCGGACTTGATCGGAAGCGTATTGTGCCCAATAAGCTGAGAAAAAAGTATTAGAACCACACAGCCTTGGTCACGCATCGGCTACCGAAAAAATAACTTATGTAACAACCCTGACAACCTAGGCAAGTCAATCATATATCAACGTAAAAATGTTACTGGTAAGATGGATAGGTGGCTAATATGAGATAGCTACTAACGTAGTGACTCCATAACTTGATTTATTCTGATAACCTGAGCATGCTATCGCATAATGTTGAGGCAGCCAAATCCAACAAATACCTCCATTTAGACCTATGAACATTCAAAAGAGCTTATGGCAGGTTGGTTCAAACGGAAATTACTAAAACTTTAATCCGAGCGGCTACATTGTTAACCTAAGTGTTCAGATAATATTCTCATTAATTTAAGGCAACCTTTGAGTCGCCAACCTATGCGGTCAGTCCTGTATAGAAGTATGATGGAGACGTCCCTGCCAATGGCCAATGGCCCTTTCCTGAAGATTACGAAGAAAAAATCTATCATCAGACATCCTAGTATGCCGTGCAGAAGGAATTACCTAATTGATCCGTGATAACTATGTCATTTTGATCATTTTATCCTAAATCAAGATTTAGTGAGATTTTGCGTATGCATGGCCCCAATTGCTATGTTTACTTCTTATTTCCTTCTCTTTGTGTAAGCTAGGAAAACAAATTTCTCCTCTGAAATCACTTATTTGGGCTGTAACTACAATGGCCAGCATATGCGAGAATAATTGCTGCTGAACCGCAATCGGCCGTTGCATACATCCTTAACTGTTACCATCGGCGCTGTTGACCGACAATAGGCAGACTAGACGCAGCATATGACTGTTGAAAAAGATACCTATCCTGTAAGAGCAAAGTCATGGTCTGTATGGTATAGCAAGCAAGTTCCCTAGATTTTACAGGTCAATGTATCCTTGGCTATAAAACCTGTAAAGCCGCCCTTGACAGAGATTATCATCAAATTTGAAAAAAGATACTTCTTTCTTGAATATCTTCTATCCGACTTTCCTACAGTGACATGAGGATCTATATTTCAACATCAGTATGCGCTCATGCTTTATCTGTCATGGGAGCCTGCCTAGTTATTGGCTCTGCTGTACCAAATCACTTTATCGGGACTGTTGAAGGTCTGCGCATCTCATATGATGGTTACTCTGTACGTTTCTTGACTCATTTGAACTACACAGGGCGTGGGTGGGTCCCCGATATTAGCCGATTTTTACCCTCCTTATATGAAGAACTATGACCTCCAATACACAATGCACGACACTGAAAACCCTTAAAGAGCGAGACCTTTTAATCAAAAGCTCTCCGGCAATTGTACCACTTCGAGTTACCAGTTCTTTGTGCAAAAGCTCATAATGTCCGGCGACCAGGCGTCATATGGTAGAAACCCCAGCTCATCATAACAACTTCCGCACTAACTTTCTGCTAGTCACCCTTGATGTATTCGCTTCAGAAAGGTACAGATCACTATCCTATTAGAATTCATTACCGGCCTCTGGTAACTGAACCAATTGCTTAGGTTCAAGGGAAACCCACTCGCGATCGTGAAGACTGGCGATCACAAACTGTCGCAGCAGCAAAAGCAACAGATCGCCAAGGAATTCAACTTCTCCGAAACGGTTTTCTTGCACCCTTCGGACCACGATGGAAGGCCTCGGGCGGACATTTTCACTCCTGTTAATGAAATGGAATTTGCCGGCCATCCTATCATTGGCACCGGCCATCTGCTCTTCAGGGAGTTATTAGCCAACGACGCCAGCGGGTCAACCAAATTGACGATAACTACTAAAGCTGGCCCCGTCGCAATATCTTACGATCCAACTAGCCAAGTCGTTTCCGCAGGAGTTCCCCATAACATACACATTCACCAACAAGAAGCGACACTCAGCCGGATCCTCCCGGCCCAGGCGACCTTGATGGCAGCATCGGATTTGCATGGCGTAAGAGATACATCACCGGTAGTATCCATGGTCAAGGGTGTTACGTATGCGCTGGTGGATTTAACTGAGAGGGCGGATCTATTCGCTGGCCTTGTCACGGGACCAAGTCCTGAGCTTGAGCTTGATGAGAGTTGGACGCCATCTTTCACCGGTGTTATGTATTATCAACTACTGGAGACTCGGCCGGAGGGAAATATAGCCGTCTGGGAACTTCGTGTGCGCATGATTGCTATTAACTTGGAAGATCCTGCGTGTGGAAGTGGTGGATGCTCCCTGGGCGCTTATATTGCGTTAACTAATAGTCAAAAGGGCCGGAGGCACCGACTTTTCATTAGCCAGGGTTCGGAGATGGGAAGGCAAAGTCATATCATTGTGGAAGTTACGTTGAATGAGGAGAAGGATGCAGTACAAAAGATTGATCTTGCTGGTCAGGCAGCTTTTGTGTCAGAGGGGAAGATATATGTAGACTAAGGAATTCTATAAATTTATGTTGTTCATGAATCGTTTGAAACTGTTGCTTTGAAGTGAGCCCTTTGCGGCATATATATGAGACTCAATTTGCACTTCTCAGCCAGGTTCATTCCTGGAGAGCTTAGAGATGTCATGAGGTTACGGATTTTCTGTACTAGTAAAACCCCAAATAATAACTAAAAAAGGAAAGAATATTTCCCATTGAGGAGAGCTAAGAACTTGGGGATATCTGGGAGATTCAAATGACCGGCATTAAGCAGTCCCGGCATCGGGAAGAGAAAGGCAGAGCCCTCGCATGCCTATTGTGCTTGGAAAGATCGGACCGAGTGGACTCCATAGCCCAGGGACCAACTTTCTCTAGCGATACCACAGATCGAAAGTCTAAAAGTGACATATCTCATGGCGCGCCCTGTGTCAGTCACTACCTCGGTTAAAATCGGCCATGCGGATTTCTGCGCCCTATGTCTTTCTATACACCACGCACGCATATCAGAATTGACAAGGTGTCTAGCTCTAATATCTCGCGATAATATTTCAAACTGTCTTACTTTTGCATTTGTCTTTCTTGTCACCCTTCATGGCCAGGGACAACACCAAGCACCACATAGTTGCCATAGAGGCTGTTCATTGCCCGATTCCAAGCTTCGATTTAGCCCAACCATACTCTCTCGACGTTTACAGCTGGACCAATGAAGCAGATCTCACTTCCCGTATTAAGGATGCCACAATCATCTTAACCACGACAATTCGACTATCGGCGGGGACTTTGAGTCCCCAAATCACTCCAAAACTGCGCCTGATAGTGATCATGGCAAGTGGAACAGATTGTGTTGAGAAGCCTGCTGCCAAAGCTCGAGGGATAACCGTGTGTTACTGCCCCAGTACAAATGTGGGTAGCGTCAGCGAACATGCAATTGGGCTCTATTTCGCTACTCGGAGAAAACTGGTCAATCTGAATAATATCACGACGGCGGTGCCTGCGGATATGACTCATGACACGGAGTGGAAAATGAATGGCTCAATTCACAGGCGACTTCGTACTGCAGATGGAAAGGCACCATTGCTGTGCTGCGATGAGACTGTGGGAATCATCGGATACGGATCGTTAGGGAAGCGCATCGAAGTATTGGCTCGCGGGCTTGGGATGAATGTGATAGTGGCCGAGCGTAAGGGGGCTACTCCGCGACCAGGTCGGATCTCTTTTGAAGATACATTGAGGAAGTCTACCGTATTAATTCTGTGTTTGCCGCGAAGTCCAGAAACGGTTAACCTGATTTCGATCCAGGAGCTACGCATGATGCCCGCTCAGGCTGTACTAATTAACGTTGCTCGAGGTGGCATCGTGGATGAGGGCGCTTTGTTCCGTGCACTTAAAGAGGACAGCATCTCAGGAGCAGCGGTTGATGTTTATGCTAGTGAACCTATCGGGAGAGGAGACTCGCCTTTGTTGAACCCGGATGCAGCAAACCTGAACTTGGTCTTGACGCCTCATCTTGCTTGGTTCGCTGAAAGGACGTTACAAAATCTCCAGGCCGCTGTAAAATGTACCGTTGAGCGGTGGTGTGTAGGAGATACGATTAATCAGGTAGATTGTTGAAGTATTAGGTCGCAAAACCAATAGCGTCTATTCTCCCTGTCTTCCTTTTGGACCGTGCACAAGGGTCCATGGCTACTATGAAAGGATACAATGTTAGATAGAGCTAATGCCTATCACGGAAACTATATATGTAGGAATCTCATTCAATATTAAATGCCTATTCATAGTCCTGATACTCAACTCATGCTGACACGGATCACGCGAGGCTCACTGGCCTAGTCTAGCTGCCTCAGCGCGGATAATTTCAGGGATCTCAGCCTCAAGGCTCTGTTCTTGGGGCTTCCAGCCTAACGCTTTCCTCGCTCGAAGAGCAGAACCTCTGGAATTGAAGCCCCAGCTAGCAGCCTCGAAGCCTGCGGGTGATTTTAGGGCTTCGTCAAGCGACCATTCCTTATGCTCTGGTTCTTGCGTAAGGTAACCAAGTTTGAAAGCTTGCTGACCGATCAGCCTGGATAGGTCCCCCCAAACATGTTCTCCATTCTCGGAGAGGAAGTAGCCCTTGGCGCCCCAAATTTCGTTATCGTCCTTTCTTATAGGATCAAGAGCGGCCCGTACTAGGCCGTCATATAGCCTACTCAGGTCGTAGACGTGCACATTGTTCCACCGAGCCAAGCCCCTTCCTAGCTGCGGGCTATACTTCTGCGTCAGGATAAACGAGGCCAACTCATAGACTTGTCGACCACGGTCTGACACGGGGCCCCTGCCACGGCCGTAGATAGTAGGAGGGCATACAATGACCGTCTTGACACGGTCGGAATGCTTGGAACCAATGTCCAATACAATTTCATCCACATTCCGATGAAATGCAGCCGCAGGCAGATTAACCAGCTCGTCAACGCCATCCCAATCGTTAAACACCTTGTCATCAGGCTCGCCAGAGACCTTGCGTACTTCTGAATCAAAGTAGGTCAAGATACCGGTACCACCGGTATGTAGCCAATATCCTGGTCGCTCGGAGCTATGGCCTTCAATCATGCCCTTCGCGATAGCATTTGCAGCCCCAACATGATCTGAAGCATCGGCAGTATCTGAATAATGTCAGTTGGAGAATCCGGGGCACTCAGTTATACGGTTTCTTGATACGAACGAATCACAATGTCTGCCCACGCAGCCTCTTTGACAATTTTGTCTGCATCGTCCAAATCTCCCAGGACTACCCGCACCTTTGGATACTTCTCGCGTACTTGCTGAGCTTTGTTCTCGGTTCGAATCAGGGCTGAGAATTCGAGATCCGGATGGGTCTGCTGGATGAGGTGGAATGCGTCGCCTCCGATATAGCCGGTAATTCCGGTCACAAACACTTTTGCGGGCATGATGGATGATTTTAGAGGCTATGAAGGATGGAATAGGGAAACTCTTTGATTTACTGTATGTTCAGCAGGCAATGAAGCAGTTTGACCACAGCGATTGGTATTATTAATCCAGCTGAACTTAAGATGTGGGGTAAGATATGGAACCATATTGAAGCTATCATTAGTTAACTACTCGTTAGTGTGGGGGAGCTTATTAATATCAGCGCAGCGAATTCCGCCATTCTTATTCCATTCCTATCTTTATCGGATAAATATATTTCAAGACAAGATAGCAAAAATAATACGAATTAGTAATTTATTAACGCTGAATAAGTTTAAGAGGCAGTGTTAGAGAAGGACCTAAACCCAATGGAACTGCTTAGGGTATAGACAGAAGACTTCAAACAACGTCTCCACTCCCTCAAAGTATAGAATCTGATAGAAGAATACTGCCTTTCTTCAGGCCGAAGATCCGTCTTCATTAACCTTCACGAAGACTTCGATAAACCCAGAGGGACCTTGTACTCCAGCCAAGCGATGTACATCCTGAATAACGTAACGAGGGACCACCCGTATTTCCCTCTTCCACTTTATTGTTGGAGACTTCTTCGTCCACAACATCTGCCGCCAGCTCAGAATCCAGCCACTCATACACCTGCTTCGCGTTGAGGCCAGAATCAACAGCCAACCCGGTCGAGGCCGCTTTATATGAGATGTCCCTCTCCAGCTCATGATAGGTCGCAAGGATGTTCTCCACTGGGCGCACTCCAAGTCTTAGTCCCACAAAGATGAACAAGGCGATGCGCATCGCAAGTATTCCCAATCATACTTCCACCTTTGGAATCGATACCAACTGGGCGCCCAATCTGATTCATGCGGCTGGACCAAGACATTCATTGCTCTGGGGTCATATCGCCCAACTAGTCATCGATCAATTCACTCTTGGAAACGCTGTGCGGGTGCGGCTTGTAGTTGAGATTGTAGAGACGCCATTTGATAAAGGATACGTCTGATCTTCCACACCGTTAGAGCTGGGCATCTATAGTCTTGTGTATTGAAAGGCTGAGAGGCCTACTGCGCAAATGGAGTCAAACTACCGTAATCAATAACCGTCAAGTTGTGCATGGGTTAAAACGCGATGTTGGATGTCATGATGGGGACAAAGAGGGGGTTCCTTTGGTAGGAGAATGTTCTAAATTGTTAATACAATGGCGATATACTCGTGTCTAAAGTTAATTACTAGCTGGGTATTTCTTGGTTTTCCAATGGCGAGTCAGCGAATGCGTCTGATTGATTATATCGGTGACTGCCCCTTCTCGCCTTAGCGGCAACATTGACCTGAATTAAGCTTAACCCGGGACGCAAGAGATGGATTAAAGCATGAGAAGGTATATAAGATTGATGACCTAGTTGGTGAAGGAAGGGAAAGAAAAGGAGGAAAAAGAGACATTTCACATAATTATACAGTTCGTCGTAAGTGGGTGGGGGATTATCGATAAGATGAAGAAGATACGGGACAAAAAAACAAAAATTAAATTCCGATGCGGGGAATCGAACCCCGAGCTGCTGTGTGAGAGACAGCGATGTTAGCCATTACACCACATCGGATGTTTGTTGAAATGTTGTGTTTTAATTTATCTTATTAGCCAAAGTTATCACTGAAAAAAAGTCCTTACCTCTCTTCAAATATGACGAAAGATGCAGAGTGTTTGAGCATGGCTGCGAACTCAACAATAGCAGGATCTGCTCAAGGAGCTGTTTTATACTGACCATAATGGTATATCACTAACATAATAACCCGAGAGAGCGATGCCTATGATCTTTCACATAGCTCGAAAATGGAAGCTTCAGCCGACAGGCCATAGGTGGTTATATATATTCAAGTAATGGGTCCGGTAGTAGATCGACCTCGATGGTTTATGAAATATTATGCAAACATGGAAACATATGCTTATCACTCGGAAAACCCTACCCACTACTATTTATCTTTATATTTGATCGTATTGGTTAGGACAGAAACTACCTATTCTGAACTTGGAGTGACACCGATGATCGGCGTGTAGTACCGTGGTCCTCAAACGTGATAATGAGGAGTGAAAGGGTGACACAAACTCCCTCTAGATAGAATACAGAGAAGCCATATTGATAAAATAATGGGGAATGTTCGTGCAATTTTTCGGGGAGGTAGTATCAAAAACATGCTTATTCGGGAGGCAAACGATGAGCGTGACGAATGCAACTAAGATCGGCCAAAGTTGAAGACAAAGCAAGTTTCGTAGATTGAGGCTGTATTACCGCCAGTGCTAAATGAGACAAGAGAGGCCTTATGCGCCCATACTCCATGGTTCGAGGTTCTAAGCCTAACCTCCATGACCTTTGTGTCTAGGATATCGCAAGTGGAATTTGTTACGCATTTTGGATACTCGCAAGGATGTCGTCCATATAGGAAGTCCAACCATAGGTGCGCTTTTTGGTTAACCGGTACTAAGTTATTGATTGATGTCATCGATGTTAGCCGAAGACGACAACAGGGCACAATGAGTCCCGCTATAAGTAATCTCCGGTCAAAACCAAGGGCACACGAAGTCGACCTTGAGCTCAGGCCCAGTCATCTGCATATCTAGTAGCCCTACAGAATCATCTAGCGGGGAATTGAATTTGTTGGCAAGCTATGGTCATTGCCTTTGCTATAGCAGCAACTGGCCGTAGCTCGGGTCGTTCCTCCGCTGCCTTGTCCACAAAGTCGTTAAGCCAGGACACCAGAACGAAGTCGTCCTCGACTTCGTATCTGTGAGATCCGATAATGTCCGTACAAAGAATAAAGAATGGGATAAATTGGTGCAGTAGTATGAGACTATGAGGAGAAGGCCGTGGTCAACAAGGGAAAACCAGACACTTTATTAGTACATACCTAATACCCCAGTACGTGTGCAGTTCCGCACTCGTTAGAGACTGAAACATTTTCAAAGACTTCCTCGCGACATCTACAGTGTGCCTTGGCAGGAATTGACTGCTCTGGTTGCACCTCTTGGACTGCGTGAAGACGATGAGCATCTTGTAGCTACTGAATAAGATATCCGCACTGAACCAAGTGTCAACATGATTGGTGGCGCTGATGACAAGTTCCTCCTTCATTACGTTAGATCATAAGCCCTCATTATCCATGGATCGGGGTCAATTAACAACATACCGCGTTCCAGTCTGACATGATCGTTTGAACTTCTGCAATGAGGCCATCAAGCGCCTGATCATACACACCCGTATCTTGATGCAATTCAACATCCAAGTCCAAGTATTTCAATAGAGTTAATGTGAGACGCATCGATGCTAGGAAATGAATCTGGATAAAGCGCGTCGACGCATCATCAACACCGGTAATGGTGGGATCAGGGAAGTTTACTGTCCATGACCCACCGGGTATGAGGGCCGGTTTGCCAAAGGATAGACGGAACAGACAATCCATCCTCAGAAGATGCCAAAATTCGAATCGCTTTCGATTTTTATCCACCTCACTTTCACTGCTACTATGTGACACAGACTGAGAATCTTGTCCGTGCGTTTGTTCATCGACGGAGAAGAATCCCAGAGCCCGAGCAATATTGCAGGCATAGCCGAAAATCTTCCAGGACATTTCGCTATTACAACCCTCGAGCGTCATCGACATCTAAAGGGAAATTGTCAGCCTGGGACTCAATCTAATTGATATTCTATACATCTACTCACCATAACAATAGCTGCAAACATGTCCGGGAGAGTGTTTTCGATGTGGCATAGCCAGTCATCTACCAACATCATACTACTCTGGTACAGATATTGTATGATGTTACCTCTCCCAGGAAGGTATTCCGAATCTAACATGATGCCTTGAAGGAGTATGTTGTAGTAAATGATCTTCGATGTACTGTCCATGTGGACGTGGGGTATTTCCAACAGGTCAGGGATAGATATGACGAAGCTCTTCTCAAGAGGAACTCGAAACCCCTCGAACTGGTGGACTTCGTAGTATGCTAGCGAGTCCGATCAGCGAAATGTCTGCGTCCAAGTGATCGAATAGCACACACATTTTATCCACCTCTTTGCCATTTCTTTAGAGATGGCAGGAGGATCTAGTACGTTGATTTCTCGCGTACTTTCCAGGCGTTCAACTTCTTCCATGGCAGCTGCTACCGCTTTCACACATGTTTCGTTCTCAAAAAGGCGAGACTCCACGTTCCGCAAATGACAAAACACATTGGAAGACAGCAGCAACCTGGCCTGATCATCTTTTATCCCGTTCAACATGCTGTGAATCACGGGTTGTGTGTTTGGGGTTTGAGGCTGGCTACCGTGTAGCAAATCGATGCTTGCCAGTCTCGTTCTAGTGATATCCGACGAAGTCGACATTGAGCGAGATGCACCGCCATGACCTCCACTATCTGAACTGATCTTACAGTGGTCCTCTAGACGTTCGAGACGTCTGAGTATGTCCAGTAAAAGGTCTTTTTCAGAGGGATAACTAGTACATTATATTATGAGTGATGTAAATAAATTCGCCTTTTTTTTTTTTTTTTTTTTTTTTTTTTTTTTTTTTTTTTTTTTTTTTTTTTTTTTTTTTTTTTTTTTTTTTTTCTGGTTTGGGCTGTCATAGGAGGATATGTCATACCTTTGCTTCTTTGCCCGAGCTTTTCGAGGTACATAGATACATTCTGCATTGATGGCTTCACATTTATCACATTGAGGTTGGACCCTGTTGCATCGAATCTAGCCCTGACGTCATTCTGGGGGTGTCCTTCTTCTACAGGCGAATTCGTCCGACTAATACCTTTTTGGATTGGCAGCGAGTACACTAAGATCAATTCTAATCAGGATTTCATTCGAACTGAACAAAGTGAGGCTTCTACTAACTTACCGATATGTACTTCGGCGGTTTCCGGGAGCTCATTTTTTTTTTTTTTGTTCGGGGAGAGTTGGAATGACTGATGACAGTAAGGGGGATGAGAACGGGGTGTCGCAAAGTCCGAAATCCCGGATGGAAAAGAACAACACCCAAGCGTCAGTCACGTTGCCTGTTCGATCGCCCGGACTTAAAAAATCCCCGAGTTCCCGGAAGTATATACCTAGGGCTCCACGTATCATCTGCACGCCACCTCCTCCACTTGGAAAATCATGTTAATTCATTCTAAATGTGGAAAAAGTGTAGGCGCTAGGTCAGGGACCAAAATAACTTTTAATGCTCTGAATGGAGATTATTCTAGATTAATACCTGAAGAATGATCTAATCTCTCTTGCCCAGACCGTGTTCGTATTTGAACGTAGTCATAAGTCGCTTGGACCCGCTTCTTCTGGAAATACTTCTTAACCTATAAATTACCCACTCCCTGAATAACCATTATGATATTCCTTCATTTGCCAAAGCCTGTGACACAGATTCATCACCATGGGCCGTTTGTCGGACAGTTCTCCGCCACCGAATTTAAACGAGAAACCACATCATGAAACCGGAGAGCTCTGTGCCACTCCTCCACCCGCGGAGGACACGTCGGAGAGCATCGCCGTCAACTCAGATCGAACCGGAAGTGAAGTTGAAGGCAAAGATGGACGCAAAGATGCTGCAGAGGCTGAACAAACCGCCTCTTTAGCCAACTACTTTGTATGCGGATAAGCTTTTCATAGGAGGCCTTATTTTCTGCTGACGTGTCTATAGAGAGTCCTCTCCTATACCAGCGCCAAGGATCGCGTCGTACTCGGAATGGCGTTGATATGCTCTATCGGATCTGGAGTGGTATGTCGCTTTTCTGGGAGAAATTGAAGTTATGAACCTGATGATTGTATAATAGCCACTGCCCCTTATGAATATCGTGTTCGGTAAGATGGTTGGTGAGTTCAACGGATATTTTATCCCGGGTACATCGGTCACAGAAGCACAATTCAAATCATCCGTGAGCAAACTGAGGCAAGACATCCAGGATATCGAAAATAAGTCTTGTTTACTCATCAGCTGACGCCAATATTAGCTTGTATATCGTTTACCTCTTCATCGCCAAGTTCGCTTTAACATATGTCTCAATGGTATGCCAAGCTGCAACTAAGTTAACCAGTTGAGAAAATTATACCTAACACTCACAGTTCTGTTTCCGTGTCATCGGTCTTCGAGTCTCAGCTGCCTTGCGACTGGAATACATGCAGTCACTTTTTACCCAACCAATTACTACGTTGGATCAAGTGTCGGTGGGCACGGTCACAAATACCATCTCGACGCTCTCCAATTCGATTCAACAAAGTATTACCGATAAGCTTGCGATTCTGTTCCAATCTCTGGCACTTCTAGTGACAGCATACATCATCGCCTTCAAGTACTCGTGGGCCTTGACTCTTGTTACTAGCGCTTGCCTCTTATTCATCCTCATTGCCTGTAGCGTGACGATTCCCATTATTACTAAGATTCAACAGAAAGTCGACAAAGCCGATGAGAAGCATTCGTCAGTAGCAGCAGAAGTATTCGGCTCTATTCGAACTGTTGTTTCCCTTGGGGCTGAGGAGTCTCTCAGCAAGAAATATGCTGCCTGGATTGAAGAAGCACAACGACGTGGACAACGTATGTCCACTGTCATGGGAGTCCAATTTGCTCTCATGTTCTTCGCAATGTACTCAAGCTTTTCTTTGGCATTCTGGTTTGGACTGAAGTTGTACCGGGAAGGCCATATCGATGATATCAACACTGTCATCACGTAAGGACATAATTATATCCCAAGGGTTGTTTGTATCGGCTAATTGTCTCGATAGTGTGTTTTTTTCTATCATGATTGCAGTCACTATTTTGGGAAATATCGCAACCCCACTGATCATCATCTCTAAGGCCGCCAGCGCTGCGAGTTCATTTTTCGAAATGATAGACTCCGAGAGGATTGAGCTTGGGGGCCTCCGTGATCCTGATGTTTCAGCCCACGAAGACATTGTTTTCCAAGATGTCCATTTTACATATCCTACGCGACCAGATAGCGCAGTCCTCAAGGGTCTGCATGCTCGATTCGAAAAAGGCAAGACCACGGCATTGGTTGGTCCATCAGGCTCGGGTAAGAGTACAATTGTGGCTCTTGTTGAGCGATGGTATCAATTGCGAGTGGGTGAAGAGGACCACAGCCGAGGAACCATTCTCGTGGGCGAACACAATATCAATAGTCTAGATATAAAATGGTGGAGATCGCAGATCGGATTGGTTCAGCAGGAGCCCTTCCTTTTCAACGATACTATATTCAATAATGTCTCATTCGGCCTGATCGGAACGAAATGGGAAAATGAAACCGACGCAGTGAAACGAGAGATGGTGGAGAAGGCCTGTCGAGAGGCCTTTGCGGCGGAATTTATTGATCGCCTGCCAAAGGTATGTCGACTTCTTTTGATTTTGTTCCACTTCATCTAATCTTCACAGGGCTATTCAACTATGGTGGGCGAGAATGGTACCAAATTGAGTGGCGGCCAAAGGCAACGTCTTGCAATTGCTCGAAGCATCGTGAAAGAGCCCACCATTTTGATCTTAGACGAAGCAACAAGTGCAATCGATGTCCGTGGCGAGAAGATTGTGCAGGCCGCCCTTGATCAAGTTTCGAAAAATCGCACCACCATCGTAATTGCTCACCGGCTATCGACCATTCGACGAGCAGATCACATCGTTGTAATGAAGGGCGGTGCTAATGTCGAGCAAGGAACACACGAAGAGCTTTTAGCAGTTGAAAAAGGGGTTTACCATGGCCTCGTCCATGCTCAAAAACTTGAGCTCTTGGCAGAGGACGAGACCCACGAGAGTGAAATTGCTCATGAGTTGAAAGAAGAGATCCAGTTAGCTCATTCTGCTCTCGACTACAGACCACAGACGGAGGAGGAAAATAAGAAAGACAGAAATCGGGGCTTTTTTAGTAGCATTGGTCGGATTCTATATGAGCAACGTGCAAATTGGCCCTTTTATCTTACGACTGTATTTGGCGCAGTTGGTGCAGGAGGTAAGGTTCGGAGATTCCACAAACTACAACTCAATAACTGACAAAATGCTATTGAAAGCTGCTTTCCCGCTTCAGAGCTGGCTCTTTGCAAAACTTATCCACGTATTCCAACTTACTGGTCAACAGCTTGCTGATGCCGCTAACTTCTGGGCTTTGATGTTCTTCATCCTTGCCCTAGGGGTCGCTCTCAGCTATAGTATCGTAGGATACTCCACTAACTCGCTTTCTGTGGTATGACCATGAAATACATCTTTACGCGTCTTATGAGAGCTAATATGGGCACAGAGGATTGGTTCGTCCTGCAGGAAGGAATATTTTCAGAGCATATTAGAAAAGCCTATACCATTCTACGATATGAATGAGAATGCTTCTGGGTCTTTGATTTCTCGCCTCGCAACTGACCCAAAACAAGTTCAAGATTTAGTTGGAATGAATGGAATATTCCCGGTTATCTCCATATTCAGCATGATTGGTTGTATTGCGATTGCGTTCTCGTTCGGTTGGAAACTCAGCCTTGTGGCAGTATTTGCAGCCCTGCCATGTACCTTTCTAGCTGCCTTTATGCGCATCAGATATGAAATGCAATTCGAGGCCATGAACGCAAAAGTGTATTCTGGAAGCTCACAGTTTGCAGCAGAATCCATTGAGGCCTTTCGAACTGTATCGGCATTAACGATGGAAGACTCGATCCTTGACCGCTATGCCAATCTATTGCGACAGCAACAAAACAAAGCTTTCAGGAAAGCATGGTACGCGACGCTAATATTTGCTTTCTCCGATAGTGTCGAGCTATGTGCGATGGCACTAACGTTCTGGTAAGGATTCCTTGAGTAAAATGTGCCTATGAAATACTCAAACTCTCTACTAGGTACGGTGGTCAACTACTCGCGTCCCGAGAGTACCAGCCAACCTCTTTCTTTGTCATTTACATGGCCATCATACAGGGAGGGCAATCAGCTGGTCAATTTCTTAGCTTTGGACCGAATATGGCACAAGCCACTGCATCGGCTAACCGGGTGATGAACCTACGACCAAGTTCATTCACGAAGGACACGGCCAATATCGGACAGAAACAACTTGCCCATTTTGCTTCACAATCTGGAGCTAGCATCGAGTTCTCTGACGTTGCTTTCAAATATGCATCTCAAGATGCCCCTCTGTTTACTGGACTTAATGTTAGTATCGAAAGCGGGCAGTTCGTTGCCTTCGTTGGACCTTCTGGCTGCGGAAAAACAACTGTAATATCCCTGCTAGAACGGTTCTATGATCCCTTTCGAGGCACGATATCCTTGAATGGCCAAAATATCCGCTCCATTGAAACAACGTCTTATCGCAGAGCGCTATCGCTAGTGGCCCAAGAACCAAGACTCTTTGAGGGAACAATTCGTGAAAATATCACCCTTGGACTGAATAAGTCTGACTTCACCGAAAATGAGATAATCCAAGCCTGCAAAGATGCTGAGATACATGACTTTATTACGTCGCTGCCTGAGGGCTATTCCACCGAGCTGGGCATCAAAGCACAGACCGCTCTTAGTGGAGGCCAGAGGCAGCGGCTATGCATTGCGCGTGCACTACTACGAAAGCCGTCATTGCTTCTATTGGATGAGGCAACTTCGAGTCTAGATTCGCAATCAGAAAAGGTAGTACAAGCGGCTCTGGAGCGCCTCGCGGGGAGGAGAAACATGACAATTGTCGCGGTCGCGCACAGACTTGCTACTATCCAGAAAGCTGATATGATCTTTGTCTTCGGCGAAAGCGAGGCTGGCCATGGATCCCGAATTGTGGAGCAGGGAACACATCAAGAATTGCTTCGGACCAAAGGGACCTACTGGCAGATGGTAAGTATCAGAACTCTCTTTCCACGACTGTTCGCTTCATTCTCCTTGCTAAAATTGTCATAGTGTCAGGAAAACGCCTTAGATAGATGAAGTCCTGCATTGGATTTGATCTTTTGCTCCTTATCCTTTTCTTTGATTGATTGGGGGTGTTTAACCTTCTCTGGCTCTTTTTATAGATACCAAACTACAATGCTACTATTTTCTTTTTTAGCTATTTGGTTTAGATGGATCGGTTCACTACGGTGGTGATTTAATATACAACACATACTGGGCACCTTAGATTTGTTACATTATGAGTCAGTATATGATATGCTGGACGCGACTAGGACGTCTGTCAATGGAGAATGATACCTCCTGAAAGTCTCGAAATCATATCCTGCGGCGTTTGATTGTCTTATGTAGATTTTGGCGGTTTCTTACGCCAGGCTAGGAGCTGGTGACCTGTACTATAAAAAGGGAATACATAGTGGAAGTACCCTGGGGATCTGGAGAGCCTAGCAATACTACAGTACATATTTTAAGTTTAAGCGTCTTTCTCCTTAAATGTTAGTAAATACCGGGTATCATCCTCCATCGCACCTGACGGCAGTACTCATCCCAGTGTTTCCCATATTTTGCTGCACACTTTACTTCATCACGATAACATCGATGGATCACCATCCCCCCAGCCATAATTGCCTCAGTATAAGGGAAGATTCCACCATACCCGCAAGCAGCGCAAAGAGCCAGAGTGTACATCACGCTCCCTGTATAATTCGCATGGCGAGCCAGCCCCCACCATCCTGTGAAAGCCAGATTGTTAGTCTTCTTCATTGCGGACCCGTAGTAATAGCCCATTTAATCAAATGAATAGACCTACCAGAGCATAGGAGCAAGGAGTGACGTATCTTTCCATCTGCAGTTTGGTGTGATGCTCTAATCCTTTCAGCGGTCCTGCCCCAAATTCGACATTCTCCCTCCGTTTGACGAAACTTCATTTTCTGGTAGTCCGCAGAGAATCGGATGAACCAGCCAACAGCAAAGAGCAGTATGACACCAATGAGCGCTATATTCGAGAGTTCTTCGGGATGTTTCACCAGATACTGTGTTTGTAACGACCAAAGCACGGGCATCATGGCTGAGAACCCATAGATGTTGTAGAAGCCGAAGGACTCGTACATGCCGTCCAGGGTGTGGAAAAACCTGGTTAAGCTAGGTTATTTCGATTTCTTAAGTTTGGATGTAAGTGATGGCTGTCATACCATAACTCATTGACGAAGAAATCCACGACAACCAACGCGCGCATAATGACTACCGCCGTCATGGTATTCGTCATGTACCCGTGAGATTGATACTGATAGGCGGCGAAAGATAGATCACTATAGTATTTGGTTTAGAAACTGGGCTATGCATAACTTTCGTGCAAAGTGGGGAGAATGGGGCTTACATCAACGTCCAGGCGAGGATTCCCCCTGTACGCGTACAGAAGAACTGTCTCCAATCCCACATCTTCCCGATGCGAGGATGAAGCTCACCACCCTCAAAGATGTCGTACCAAAACGATCCTAGGGCATTGAATTAGCGAAACACGAAGAAATTGGTAAATCAGTAAATTCTTGCCTGTTATGAACGTCTCAGCCTCGTTATCTGGCATCATTCGAGCCTTGATGTGGAACAGTACGACAGCAACCACGGAAAAGACGTTGGTGATCCAGACTAGGCCTTCCCAGTTCTTAGCAATACATGCAGGATCAATAATTCCCGAGACAGCCCCAACAGCCCATAAAGCAACAGTTGCGCCCCACGCTGCTAGGCCGTTCAGTTTATACTTCAACCTCCTGCCTGCGGGTGTCACGGGACCAAGGGCTTCGCTCCCAGGCAAGTAGATATACAGGATTGCCTGGAGAGCAAGCCAGGCGGCATAACCCAAGATGGCATTTGTGCTTGAGTGTGGAAGGCGAGCGGCAAAGAACTGAAAAGGACCTTCTGAATAAGCAGCTCTGGCTGCGGTAGCTATCGATGTGTCAAAGTAATGATAGGCTATCCAGTAGTAGATCACAACAAAAGGGCTAGTTGTACACAGGACGAAACTGATTATCTCAGTGAGCCACGACGGTCTCAAATGTCGACTCGTAGCATTTTCACCCTCGGGAGAGGCTTTTAGTACGCCAGTAGAGTTTCTTGCTTTTTCAGTGTCCATTTTCAGGTGTTTCTCAAGATAAAATTGAAAAGACCCCCGGGAACCAAGCAGGGAAGAGAAAGAGCTACAAAGGTGAGACAGATGATGAGCGTAAATACCTTGGACATTGCCAAAGTATACTTTGCAACTATTCAACACCACTCGCATGCAAGGGCTTTATTTTGCACCAGATTTACCCTTTCTTGCCACCAGAATGTGCTCGAGCGACGTGTCATTTACCTAATGATCAAAGCCCCTTGCTTTGTATTGAACGAGTCATTTCCACTGATGCTCTGCTCCACTTTCCTCAAGAAAACTATCTGGATCTACCTTCTCCCTACTAGGGAATTTTGGATTTAGCGTGTACTGTACAGACATACCATCAGTATTCGGTGCTCTTTATTTTTGTATTTATTTATTTATAAAGAAAGGAAAAAAAAAAAAAACAAAGCCGCGTATTCTGAGGCAATATCCAATTTACTCAATTACTGCTGGAATTACCGTAAACTATAGATACTTGAATACTATACTCAAGAAAATACACATTACTATATAGTTTAAAAGAAACGTTACGTTTTTGTAAAGAATTAATTATTATTGTTACTATGTATATACTCTTACCTCGGGGGTAATATCGACTAGATTCAATTCCAGTTCTCAAGACTCCTTACTTCAAAACATGGCAGCGATGGTAAAAGAGTGCCAAGAACTGAAGACAATCTTTCATGTTAAATCCAGTCCCAGTAATACTAAATCAACATTGGCGCAACATAAAAAGCAATGAAATATATCCTGAAAGTCATGTCACAGTATTGGATGGAATATACAGAGACACAGTGAGACTATATAGAGTAGATCATGCGTTTAGGGTAGAAAGCACCAAGCCTCGTTCTTCCTCGCGAGTCGTCTTGCTTCCTTGTCGTCGTAGTTGTCGTCTAAGCCAATCTCGGGTGCCCCTGGAGTTCAACCGCTTGACCTTGACCTTGAGAACCGTGTATACCAGCAAACGATAGCACAACATGACCACAACACCCCCCAAGACTTCCAACCATGGATTTTTCTGATCGAATTTGTACAGCTGCAAGACTTGTTCTCCGGTTTCTATTAGACACTTTCCATTCACATCTCGCTGCTCATCCGTGCAAGTAAATTCTAAATCTCTCATGGTCAAGACAGAGATACTGGTTACTGCATACTTGACTGGCGATATGTGATTGAACCACTGAAGTACCTTTGGTGGATCCAGACTCATGACGCCGCCTAGCACGGTGAAGATAGCAAGTAACGACGCCGTGAAGCTGACTGCTAGACTTATATGATCAAAGAGAAGATAAAATAGCATACTTATGGATTCCCCACTGTTCAGCGCACAAAGGGCGCTTAGGAACAAGAAACCAAACAGGTCTGCCTTAGGTGCTAATTTTGCTGCGTATGCTAGTAACAGAGCAAATAACAGGGCAGAAAAAGCTTCGAAAGGAAGTTCGAGCATGGTGTACTGCGCTAGAAATGCTTCAATATTGTATAGGCCCTCTGATGTCTCCCGGTACATAACATCCACTTCAGGAGGGAAGGTAGCGACGTTCTGGAGCATACCTAGATATCAGGAATGAGTTTGTGAACCGGTTGGCGAGATTGTGAGACCAATTATGAAGCTTACCAATGAATGCTAAACACGAATACTGTTGAATAACACCCATGCGAGTTTGGATGGAAATGTAGTCTGTTTTCATCGGTGCAGTAAATAGTGCCAACAAAAGACCGACGCCAGGAGCCTGGATTGATCGGGCCAGGATTGATATTGGCTGGCGGGAAGTGTTCAACATGGCACGATGTACAAGCATCGGAAATGCTGTTACAGAAGAATGATGGTTGCATGTTATAGAATCCGAAACCGATTCCGTAAGACCACGATCAGTTCCGGGCCGAGAACCAAAGGATTGGTTTCTTGTGTAGGACCTATGGGCTTTCCACGCATCGACAAGACTGCCTAGTCGCTTCTTACTATCTTCGTAGCCCCCTTGAATTTCACCGGATGTTGCAAGATCCATGAAGAAGTCTGCAGGATTCATCGCCTTAGGGCACTCAAATCCCACTGAATAAAAATAGGGACGCATCTCAGACGTTTCACCAGAGTACAACGGTAAGCCATCTGGTGAGAGAAGCAGGCAGGTGGAGAAAAGTGGCCACATCGACGACGTGGGCTGATGGACTGTGAGAATGATAGTGCAGCCTTCAGCAGCTAGACCCTGCAGGACTTCTAGTACAGTGAGTGCCATGAAGCTGTCGAGTCCGGACGTAGGCTCATCTAAAATAAGAACTCGCGGCATGGTTAGGATTTCACAAGCGATCGACAGACGGCGTTTTTCCCCGCCGCTGATTCCCCTTATGATTGCGGACCCAACTAGACGTCTGGCACATGATTCCAGACCGAATCTTGTAATAACTTCTGAAACACGCTCACGCTTCTCACTGTCAGGCATAGAGGATGGCAACTTTAGCCGAGCGGCAAAGAGCAATGTTTCGTCCACCGTAAGTGCCGGCATCAGATTGCCATCATCCTGAGCCACAAATGAAACCATTGATCTGATTTGGACCTTTGGTAATTGCTTTCCATTATACAAAGCTGAGCCTGTACAGCACCATTTGGAACCTGAACTCGGAGGAAGCCTTTCAGATAATGAAGACAACAATGATGTTTTGCCACTACCTGATGCTCCCATAATCACATTCAGCTTTCCTGGCTGAAATATGGTGGATATTGGACCACAGATCCTGGATGTGATACTGGTTACATTTCGCCGTTTCGCCTCTAGGACGTAGTCTTCCAGACAGAGGGAAACTGGAGTCAATGAACGGTCGTATCTTGCCCTAATCCCTACCTCCGTCGAACTAGGGTTACATACCCTTTCCGGTGGGGTGAGAGGTGGCTTTGGATTCTTAACATGGAGGACAATGGCTCCCCATAAATGAAAGATACAAGTCATGGACCACAAGATAACAATAGGACGCCATATCCACTCTTTCGGCATTCCCAGGCTATCCATGACAAACCGTCCAGTATACTGCTTACAGCGAGGATCTGCAAGATCGGCTGAGAAAGGACAGTCATATAGGTGGCCTTGGTATGGGCCATGCACACCGATAAACTCGTTCGTACATAGAGCACCAAATGTATAGAAAGTATGAGTGACCCATTTGAGCCATCGAGCGTACGGTGGGGCCTGATCAGTCTGGATAAAGTATGCGGATGCCACCATCTGCAAAGTGAAAAAGAGGTTTCCCATCAGGCCTGCTCCGTGAAAGCTCCTGGTAGTGGCCACACAAAGACCGGCGAACCCAATGGCAAGATAATGTGTTAGTAGCATGACAAGTAGAAAGATGCAAACCTGGGAGCCCGAGCCACGATATCCGACCATGGGATAGTAGATGGCCGTGAAGAGAAGTGGAAGGCTTAGATCCTCTAGGAAAAACCTCGACGCTCTCCGGCTAAGTAAAAACGCGGACGCACTCAGGACTCCGTCTCTCCGCTCGTGATCGAATAGACCAATCTCATCAATTAGACGGCATATCTCATGGACTAGAATCAAGTATCCATATAGCCCAGTGGCGTCCCAGAGGCTCCCTTCGCGTGACCTAATCCCACTCAAGCTGCCATCTAGTTGCCAGAAAGCCCAACCGTTGATAGCAGCCAACGCAGCAACAGCACACCAAATTCCAAATAGCGACTTCCAGTCCCTCCAGCATATTTTCAGGTCTCGCTGTATCATTACTTTGCATACTCTTGAATAACTTGGAGCTTTGGTACCGGAGTCTAAATAATCACATACATCACGGGAGTTGGAGAGACAGTTAGCTGTAATGGCTGCCGAACGACTCATCCAGCATAGTTTCAGCTGCTCCACGCGAACACGGGATTTAGACTTTAATGCCTCTGAGCGTACATCAATTGATGTGATATCCAAGAGAAAGTCCGCCGGATTCACGAATGGAGGCATTTCATATCCACAATCCTTAAAATAGTCGCCCACCATATCTGATGGTCCACTGTACATCAAGTGACCACTGGACAGTAAAATCACATTGTCAAAAAGACTCCATGCGTCAGACCTGGGTGCATGGAGTGACATGACCACTGTCATACCCCCATCGGCTAGTTGCTTTAAAGTCTGAATAACCTGAAAAGCCGTTGTTGCATCAAGACCTGCAGACAAATCAGCGGATAGACTCCAACTACTTCGCAGCGTACATTCGCGATCGTACCAGTTGTTGGTTCATCGCAAAAGAGTACCGAGGTCGCTTTTAGCAGTTGAATCCCAATGCTGACTCTTCGTATTTCACCCCCACTACATCCCTTATTCTTGCTGTCTCCAATTCTGGTTTCCGCACAGTTTTCGAGGCCTAGCCTCGAAATGATGCTATCGACAGCACGGTTAATCTCCGAGACTCCTGCAGAACCCAAGCTTAACTCAGCGGCATAGCTCAATATCTCGCGGACGGTCAACATCGCAGGAAGGATATCTTGCTGTACCAGATAGGCACTCTGAAATGCTCCAATGTCTGCGCTACCATTGTACGTGGTGTTGCCCGTAATATTTAGACGACCATTCTGTGTTCGGCCAGAGAGCACATTCAGGAGGGAAGTTTTTCCGGAACCACTACCTCCGAGGATAACGGTCAACTGTGCAGGGGGTATATATGCTCGTACGTTGTGGAGAATCCTTGGTGGTTGTGGTGGTATAGCTGTACTTTTTGTCGTCTTCCAAGCGCGTCGTATACCTTCGAAGGACGAAGTAGTGAGGGAGACCGAGACATCATGGGCTTCTATATGTACAGGATTGTGTCTAAAGTTGGCTGAACCTGATGGATCCCGACGGTCGTGATCGCGTTGACCAGTATCACTATGTGACAGCAATTGTTGATGGATCCTTGGGTACATTGCTGTTAGGTTGCTCGCACGCGGCTAGCCAAGAGAGCGTAGGCCGATGCTGTAAGCTAACAAAGGTGCAGATAGATCTAGCGCTCGAATCACATACCGATGAAGAAGCAGTGCGACATGAAGAAGAAAAAGACGTGCCGACTCTCTTGTGGGGTGACGAAAGTGGCTATATTGATATATGGCGGTGCATCCTTAACGAATAGTAAGGGGTAGACGTAGGAAGGGGTGTGAATATGGGCCTTGGTGGGGGCCCACTGGCACTTTAATCACATAATAATTTCTCGAAAAGGGACCTTATCTTTCTTACTAGTCATATTTACGATTTCAGCGGGGTGATCTTGAGCAGCTTTACATTTATAGGATTAATTCTGGGTCTGTCTACTTTCTATGACACACGAGATATAGCCCTTTATCTTGTACAACTGTTTATTCTCCAAAAAAGCCAATGCCCTAGACCACATTGGCCATTCATCGGTCACAATAAGCTTGTTATACGATGCTTTCCTAACTTTTGACTGTTCCTTCCCGTTTCCCTGCGAAATATCTCTCCGGGTCTGCGTAGGTGCCCCCTAAATGATCCCAAAGTGTAAGAAACTGTCCAAAGTTTAGCTTAACATTCTTGTGATGCACAGTATGGAATTGATCACGATTGTCGTCTGGTGTCATATTTGTTAGCGGCAAATGAACAAGTCTCATAGGGATGGGGTCGGCACGTACGCAGTAAAATCGTCCATATATTTGTTGTCACGAATACAATGAGCTGTGCCTCCCGAGACATCGGCCATAAAAAGCTATAGGCATAAATGGGCAGGCTCATGATGTACGCCTCGAGAGGATCGAAGGCATAGGCCGAAAACGGGGTTGGGATAATGTACCTGCAAGTGGCGCATCAGTTTCAAAACGATCCCTAATTATCAACTAAACCAAAGTGTCTTCTTACTGGTGGTGCTTCTTGTGCATCAGGTTGAACAGGTAGTTGATGTGGAAGGTTCGATGAAGCCAATACATGCAAGTATCACTGAATAGGACAAAGAGCAGAAATTGCCCAAACTCGTACCAGAAAGGTACTCCCCCAGACCCAAAATCATAAAGCTTTGCGTATCCGCGAACTTGAGCAACGAAGATTGGGACGGTAAGGACATTTAAGCCGAAAAGAGAGAGCAAGGAATCATAGATCTCGTGTCTGATTTGGTTCTTATGATATTTGGGATGCTTTTTTAATGCCTTGTCAAAATATAGATAGTGGCAAACGGTCCCAAGCAGGAGAAAAAACACCGAGCTAGAAATCCTTTCCGTTGATTTTGATTAGCAAGAGTTCAACCAAATCATGCCAATGCACAAACCATGTTACAATGAATATGCTTAGGCTTTGCCTATAGATACTTTCCCTACACCATAGCTTAGAATCTGCGATGACAGAACAGACACTTGAAGTATGTGAGGTAGCACAGAACCCTAGTTGCAAGGAGCCACGAACTGAGTCATAAACACTGTCAATGATAAGCGGATCTAAGTAGTTGAATATTAGGTCCATGTTGGCCTCGTTTGCGTTCTTCCAATAATGCCAGGGAAAATATCCATTCTCTAATATCTCAGAGGTAGTTTAAGGAAGAACCCTAGTCTCACATAATATGCCTTCGTCTTTGCGCCACCGCTAGACAGTTGGGCTCCCTAGAATGCATTATGATCGACATTTGGCAGTGTGGAGGGGTTTATGATACATCTAGGGAGAACCCAATATGTCGGAACGGGCCCCACAGTTGCAACATTCGGGCACTAGTTGAATGGAGTTTCTAGGGGTATCACATAACTGAATCTCAGGACGTAGCTCAATCGAATTTACGGTACGGTGTATAGAGTAGTCAAGCATGCGGCTTCTTAAAATCTGCCAGGTCCCAGCAAATGGTAGCTATTTTACTATGGAGAACAGAAATCTTCAGCAGGACAAGGGCAGAAGTCCTCTTGTGTATGATTAAAAACCAAAATAGACAATTGTTCTTTGCTGTTCAGGGCGAGACGGTATCGTTCATTTAGAAGATGCGGTAGTTGCCCCTTGCGTAGGTATTGTGGACCATACAAATTTCATTCCTAAAGTATGCTAACCCTGGAAGGACTACAGTAGATACTACCATAACACCAGATAGATCTGCATACACTCGATAATTTTTGAGGCATGTAACTTCATTCCAGATCTACCCCAGTGGGTCAACCAACACACTCATGAATTAGCAACTCACAGCATTGGATATGAGATATTTGCACACAGAGCCAATAATTGGTTAGGGCTTTAAGTCTTTGATCACCACTAAGTGCAACTTATGGCATGATTTGGTGTGCAAATATTAATATTGTCTCCGAAGGTCTGCATAAAGAAATGGGCGTTGTTCACATGATCACTACTTCATGTAAGGGGGCTATAGCCGATGCCTGACGATTACCACATAGGGGAAACGTTATACTATAAGCCTTGTTCTAATGGAATGCATAGACGGGTTACTGTTGACCGGATGTGGATCTTTTAGCGTCCGCAAAACTCCGAGGTGCTCGGTTGAAGCTATTATGGCGGTTTTAAACTGTAAATATAGCTTAGGAAGCGTTTATATTATGGCAAAATCAATACTAATGAGAGATATTTATCGACTATACTGACACTATTGATGTGTAAAATCGGCTATCCTTTTTATGGGAAACAAAACCGCCAAAGCTTAAGCGAACCGTCTAGTAGTGCGAATGCCATCTTTACAAATAGATAATTCAAAAAAAAGAGGCACCCATGATTCACCTTCAACACTGGTTTGGATATGCGCGGAGGCTCGGATAAGAAATCCAAGTATTCTGTTTGGCCATCAATATCTGATATGTAGCTGATAACTTGCTCACCATGATATGAACCAATGTATAGTCCTAGCCCCTTAAAGAAAATTCCACAAAAGCTCTCACATCGAGCCAGTATCCATGAACATGTGTAGAAGAATCTCATTCTATGCTTTCGTGAGGCTTCCCAGGATTGTAATATCGCCTCACGCCCACATTTTTCAGAGCAGACACGACCCTGGCGTTTGTCTAGGATACAGACAAGGCGATTAGCTAGCGATGCGGCACTCTCAATAGCACAGTTAGCTCCTTGTGCCAAATTCGGAGTCATCTTATATTACAGTTAGTCTTCTGGTCATATCTTGATGAGGGATAGAAGACCGCACTCACTTTGTGTACAGAATCACCAATACAGACAATATTCCCTGAAACCCAGTTCTCACAAAGGAGTTCCTCGAGCCCAACATGAACACATGTTTTGGTGTTGTAATACAGATCTTTGAAGAGGATCGTGCTAGAAATATGGGTATCCAAGAACGGTCGGACCTGTTCGTCGATTGATGTCTGGTCTTGCGCGTAGCGTGAAAGACGGGGGTACTGATGTGTTTCTTTAGATCTGATTGACAGAAGCCAGTAGATACGGCCGTGTTTGCCAACGTTAACGATAAAGGAGAAGCCGTTCCCATAAGTTCGATGCGCTTGTCCTGGGTGTAATTCAGGTATAGGGTTTGAGATGCCATAAATGCCGGAATACTCTGAGGTCAATTCTAGAATGAAGGTAAGCCAAGCACCTATCCAATACTAACCATTGTAACTCACTTAGCGGCACATTTTGAATACAACTAAGCGCCCTAGAAAGGTCTTGCTGCCAGAGGGTTTCTCTTCGTGTGGCACTATGAATGCCATCCGCGCCGACAACTACGTCCCCAGCAAATGAGGATCCATCGGCGCATTTCACCTTGACTTCCGATGAGCTTTGATCGAATTGAACTGCACGCTTATCAAACACAACGCGGGGCCTGTCCCCGACCAAACTATTGTAAAGGATCTCTATCAAATCCCAGCGGGCAATCACGACCGAGTCGTAACCATGTCTAGATAGTTCTCAGGAGTTGCGTGACTGATAGGGCAGATGCGAATTCCTACCTCGTGGACGGAAGCTGCATCATATCAACCGTTTTGAGCAGATATCCGCTGGCAAGCCAGGTTGAATGGCTAGTGATTGACTGCGAAGCAGCTTTAAGATCTTCCAACAGTCCGAGTTGACTGAGTATGCGCACCCCATTAGGGAGTAAGGTAAGTGCATTCCCGGTAAGAGGTGGTGGCAGGTTCTTTTGGGATTCGAGAACGACGTAGTTGATCTTACGCTTAGAAAGAGCATTGGCAAGTGTTAAGCCAGCAATGGAACAACCCACAATAATAACGTCAAATTTTTGAGTCTGTTTGTCAGAGAAGGTCTCCATGGTTATCCGACGGTCAGACGGTGAGACGAGCCTCGTTTAACTTCATAGCAGAGTCCAAGCATGAATCATGATAAACATCGCAGGATCGGACGTCAAGCACTTGAGTAAAGGTGCTGGGTTCTCCCTGTGGTTTAATTACTGGAAATGATCCCGAATACAATATTTCCTTTCCCTTTTTCTTGTTTTGAATTTACGGTCAAGCGTATTCAATGAATTGAAGCATTCCTAAAACCTGGACCAAATTAACCAAGTACGTGCTACCCGAAAGTTACTGCGGTCAATATGAGGAGTCTACTTCCCTCAACTCGATTGAATCTTATTGATTTTTCCTTTTCTTGTCAGAATGTGTGAATACATAGCGGTCAGGAGGTATATGACGTGTCCTAGCGACTAAACTATAGCAAAGGGGTTTCCTAGTGCCAAGCATTGTTGGCCAACCGTTGGGAACGTCGATCTGGTCCCTCACGTAAAATACTCAGAGAAAACTCGATTGAAGCTATCCGTTGAAGAAGGGTGGATCAAACGTAACCCCCTTGCAGTGTAGATCTCAGTAATAGCCACTAGGTGCTCAGTTGAATCACTGTACAATTCGAACTAGTGATATGCAATCTTCGAGATCTAATGAACCTATCATGCAGAACATGTAGAATATTATGTATGCTTACATTACTGGTGCGTGTGAAAGGCAGTAAAACTTCACTCCGTTACTACAGTCGGTGAAGTCACATTTTCATGTCAATCTATCTCCTCTAAATTCCTTTGACGCTCAACGAACCAAAATACTACTCTCCTACAAAATCCCACCAAACATTGCTTTCTAGCATCTTTGAATCCAGTTCACAATGGAAATACATAACGCTATCGTTCAGAGAATCTCCGCACGAGTGAAACAATTCTATAATGACAAAACCCCATTCCACATATACCATGGCTCAACGAACTCGACACGTGCTTCAACGAAGCTTCGCTCGAACACTGTTGACACAGGCAGTCTTAGCCGAGTGCTTATGATTGACCAAGAGAGAAAGGTTGCCTTAGTAGAGCCAAATGTCCCTATGGATATGCTTGTCAAGGCAACGCTTCCATTTGGAGTTATCCCACCTGTCGTCATGGAATTCCCCGGAATAACGGCTGGTGGTGGATTTGCCGGAACGGGTGGAGAAAGCAGTTCCTACCGACACAGCTTTTTTGATAGAACTGTCAACTGGATCGAGATTGTGGTTGGGAACGGCGATATTATCACTGCCTCCGCAACAGAGAACTCTGACCTTTTTTTCGGGGCTGCGTGCTCATTTGGGACCCTGGGCATAACCACTCTCCTCGAAATACAGCTGCTAGAGCTCCCTGTAGAGCCAGCGGTAGAGTTGACATATTTCCCAATTTCAATGGGCGTCGATGAGGCTGTGCGAAAAATTGAGCATCTGACGCCAGACCCAACATACCAGTACTTAGACGGCATTATGTTCACCAAAGAGAGAGGCGTTATTTGTGCCGGATCAATTACAAGCGCCGCAGACCACTGCTCTCGGCGAATGCAAACGTTTACTCGCCCTTCTGACCCCTGGTTTTACATGCACGCTGAAAAGATGGCCTCCAATTCATCTGCCGAAGAGGTTGGCCCGGCAAAAGACCTTATTCCGATTGCTGACTATCTGTTTCGATATGACAGAGGCGGGTTCTGGGTTGGCAAATATGCGTTTGAGTACTTCCTATTTCCTCAAACCAAGTTCATGCGGTGGGCCTTGGATAACATCTCTCACACAAGGGTGATGTACCATGCAGTTCACAAGAGTGGTTTATTCGCCGAATACACTATTCAGGATGTGGCGGTCCCTTATAAAGGGGCCAAAGAGCTTATTGACTTTGTTGACAATTCGTTTGGGAAGTATCCGCTTTGGATTTGTCCGGTGCGTTCAACGACAGCTCATGTCTCGGGGTTAGTAGCAGAACCACGAAGCCAACCAGACTCTGATCCGGATAATCCCGGAATGATGCTCAGTGTGGGAGTCTATGGACCGGGCCCCAAAGGCAGAGAGTTTCTCCGCTTTAACCATGAGCTCGAGAAACTAGTAAACAAACTTGGGGGTCAGAAGTGGTTATATGCGCGGACCTATTACTCTGCGGAAGACTTTTGGTCTATTTATGACCGTTCCACAAGGGATGACCTACGGCAGAAATATCATGCAACATACTTACCAAATTTATACCAGAAGGTTCGGGCCGACCGCGAGGGGTCATCTGGTAGCTCCATGCACTCGTCATGGATATCAAGCCTGCAGGAACGAATATGGCGACAGTGGCCTATCTGTGGACTTTACGGGCTCATGCATACGTTTTGGAACAAGGAGTATTTGCTAAAAGGAGCAAAAAGGAGCTTAACTAGAGAAGGGTGAATGGGAGCTAGTTGTCTTAATGCAGGGTGTGTTCACAAGTGAAGTATAATCCTTTCGACAATTCTCTCGCATCTCGAAGAAATGCACAGTAGATTGTAGCAGACGTTTTACCCTTCTGATCAACTTTCAGCGGTTCATCTCTTGGAGTAACGAAAGTTTACCTATGACTTGTTGGTAATTGGGCCGAAGTGGGCTTAGTGTATACATACTCGATTGATCGAAGGGCTTTTCAGTATAATTTGAAAAGGTTCTATAGTCTATTATATCTCAAACACATGTTCTATGATCTATATCTATGCGCCTACTCAATGCAATTCTTCATAACTCCAAATGAACGACCTCGCAAAATACAGAATGGATCGATCATTCGAAAATCGATGCCTTCATAGAGTTGGGCTGTATGTATTCCGAGGCATTCCGGAAGCTGGTGAATCCCCAGCGGATCTGAGCAGCCATGGCAATTTCAACATCGAGATCTTTAGCGAAGTGCCAAGCAAGGCCGGTATCACGCTGGAAAGCCCGTCCGACAAGGATGACATCGATATCATTTTCGTTGAGAATCTGGTCAGCCAAGGTGCCGCTATTGATCATGCCCACAGCAGCAACCAGCATCCTATCACCAACAGCCTTCTTTACAGCTGCTGCAAAAGGAACCTGGAAAGCAGTACCCGACTTCACTTTTTGAGCACTGTGTACACCACCACTGCTGATATCGATCAAGTCGACACAGCCTTGTTCGGCCAGAGCCTCTGCAAATCTGACTGTGTCGTTGACCTTCCAGCCTTTCTCCTCGGGCATGCTGGTTTCCAGCCAGTCAGTGGCAGAAACACGCAGGAAGACCGGGACATTGGGGCCAACAGTATCCCTGGTCAACTTAGCGATTTCCAAGGGGAGGCGGAGTCGATTCTCAAAGCTGCCACCGTATTCGTCGGTCCGCTGATTGGCTGCAGGACTGAGGAAGGATGAGAGCAAATATCCGTGGGCATTGTGAATCTCAATGAAATCAGCCCCAGCAGCCAGAGCGCGCTTGGCGGCAGTAACCCAAGCGTCCTTGAGCTCCTGAATATCTTCCTTGGTCATTGCCTTAGGGATAATATCATCCGGTGCGAATGGGATGGCGCTGGGACCCTTCACATTGTCAACCCAGCCACCAACAGCATCGGTGGCAATGACTCCACCGAGCCAAGGTGCCACTGTGGAAGCTTTGCGCCCAGCATGCGCCAGCTGGATACCGATTTTCTGGCCTTGGCTATGTGCAAATTCGATGACCTGCTTGATAGGTGCAATCTGGGAATCCTTCCACAAGCCAACACAGCCTGGAGTGATACGGCCTTCGGGAACAACCGCAGTTGCTTCAATGATCATCAAACCAGGGCCACGTTGAGCAATGCCGCCGTAGTGGGTCAAATGCCACGGAGTCATGTGGCCGTCATCCGCACTGTATTGACACATAGGCGCCAGCTGTAGATACTTCATTAGACAAGTTCTAACAATACTAGGAGAGCACCTACCCCCAGGCGGTTTTGGAATGTCAGTCCTCTGACTGTGAGAGGTTGGAAAAGCTTTGGAATTGGCCTCCCACTAGTCTGCGGGTTTCGAGCTGTACCGGCAGGGGGTGTTTGAGCCGGAGTAAAGTAAGAGATGCCCTCCGCGGGCTTGGTAGGGACATCGGGCCAATTTGCCATGGTTGAGATTGTGTGTGGTTGACTATATCGAAATTTCAGAAGCAAAGAAGAGGGGTATTTTGTGACGGTTTACCAAGGTAAGGTGAGTTTTAGATAACTAAATAGCGAAAGGTTAAGTCGTACAACCTGTATGAAGGTCTAGAATATATATGTCTTCACATTGTCGCTGATGCTCCTGCCCAGTCATGAATGCATTGCAATTTGCTGACAAAACATAATGCAACAGGAGAATGTCTCCGAGAGTGCGAAGTTTGAGGTAGATACTAGAAGTTCCCCTTAGAAGTCTCTGCAGAAGCAATTGGACCAAGGTTTACCGAGTAGGATTGCATTGATGGTGACGCCACCCAGATTTGTCAGGATTTTGAAAACACGGTACAACCTGTAAGGAAAAGTCTCCGAAACGGCGGGATATGGTTCGGGATCTCACGTAGGGCGTAGCAGATGCCGTGATCCACATCTTTTACCCGCCCGAAAATGATACCATGAGCCGATGATGATCCTGATCTGATACAGTCTACTTCCCCAAACAACAACCAAAACTGCTGGATGGTAGAAGAATAGAATGAAATGCAAATGATGAATCTAACTCAACTGTTCACTCATACACCCCCGCAAAGCTGGACGCGAATGAACATGTATACTATTTAAGCAAACGTCGTTTTCAGAACAGGGGTAAATCCTTTCAAACTATTGGCTTAAGTCTGAGGTTCTAACTGATGACAAATGGATGGGAAAAGCGGTCATTGTATATACTGAGGTTAGAGGTATTGTTACTCGAGAAGATGCTGCCCAGGTTGCTATGGAGCTTCTGGCGCAAGCTGATACCAACTATTGAGTCGACTTCATGAAAGGCGACGAAAGTATTGATACTTGGTGCAATGAACTGATGTTTTTCGAGAAGCTGGTATCTCAAACTAACAGCCCTGTGAACTTTTTTATATGGGATGTCTGTGAGCTATGCCTGCAGGAGAATGCCAAATGTGTGATTGAGATTGAGTAAAGCCAAGCCTCAACTAAATTGGGGACATGGAGATAATCTTAAAACTTTTGGTTTCGAACCACTGGCCATATCTGGCATTGCATTTTGTAGAAGGTATTTGGATCGGAGATCTATTTTTCTTTAGATGTAGCTGGCCGATTGGCTTCATAATAAATACCACGAAGAGCAATGTATTTTGCTACCAAGACCTAAGACATCATATCCTTCTCTATGATCTGTAGGTGAATTGCTATCCACAAGACTCTTGTCGTTTTAAGTAAAAGAAAAAGTCCTCGCCAAGTGTCTTGCCTTCCATGATCCCTGCGATGAGTTTGTCATTTACATAGCGGAAATGGTCGAATACCGGCCGCTCATCGTAGACCATAGTAGTTGAAACCACTCCTCGATACACCATCTCCTTCAACTAATTTTCGGTTAATTTCCATAGACAATTATCTGGAAACTGATCACATACAGTTGCAGAACCCCACTTGCCCCAACTGGTTCGCTCCCCATCCTTCTCAATGATCACTGGATCCACGTTGTTGATGGACTTGAATGACTTGCCCACCCACCGTATCTCTTTCAGGGTGCTCGCAACCTGATGGCCAGTGTCGAAGAACCCTCCATCCCACTCCCCAATCAATTGGTCTGGTTTAATTGGAGGGAGTTTGTCGAATATGGAATTTAGCACAGCGGGCTCCACCGGTTCTGAAGCCTTGATCAAAGCAATGTATTCATCCTGTGCACTAAGAATATTTTAGTTGTCATAATTCTATATGGGAACGAGAAGGAAGCATACGTAGACATTTTTCTTTGTTCAGTTAATGACCAGAGAAACTCTTTTTCAGTTCTTAGATTCTAACCTGGGCTTGGTCACTCGATGAGTTGGAATTGCTGTCTCTATATAATACCTAACAGAAGTGAATTACATTACTAATCTTGACGGACCTTCTATCAGTACTCCATATTACTATTAGTATGGAAACTAATCAAAGGAATTGCTCCGAAGGCATATTTTACGTCATATGTAGCCGAGAGCCCTTCCTGGTGTTTGTTGGCGCCACTTTGAAGTTTAGAGCAGATCCCGAACCAGAGTAAGGAAAGAGGGGGGTTATGAGGTCATGACACCAGAGAGGGTACAGCTTTCATTCTCCTCTTGCTCGAAACAGATGGTATATAGAGAGCTTCGAGCGCATTAGTATCTTGAGCTTGGTATATTCAACTCCAGACTCCTCTTCATCGCGTGAACACTAGACCATGCCTTCGGCTATCGTTACTGGTGCTACGGGTAGGGATCAAAGCCTCCCCTCGACCTTGTTAACTTTCCCTATCTAATTAAAATCCGTCAGGCATAACGGGTAGTGCTATTGTCCACCACCTGTGTAAAGACTCTTCCTATGACAAGATTTACTCGCTTTCCCGGAGTAACCCAGGCTTCCAGGATTTCAAGATTCAACATGCAACCCTCGACCTCCAAGCTAGTGCAGATGATATGGCGAAGACTCTTGAGGGCATCTCCGCTGAGTATATCTACTTCTGTGCCTATCTGGCACGGGATGACCCTGCGGAATCATCTCGCATCAATGGCGTTATGCTTTCAAACTTTATCCAAGCTCTGGAGACTACAGGGGCAATCAAGAACCTGAAGCGCTTCGTCCTCACTTGTGGATTTAAGCATTACGGTGTGCATCTCGGTAACTGTAAACAGCCCCTTCTCGAGGATGACCCCATCCTAGTTGGTATCAAGGGTGGGGTTTCGTGGCCCCCTATATTTTACTACAACCAGGAGCGCATTCTGGCCGAGGCCGCTAGTCGCGGTCAATGGGAATGGATCGTCACACTCCCCGAAGATGTCTTGGGATATGCACGAGGGAACTTTATGAATGAAGCTACTGCTCTAGGTTTATACTGTGCTGTGAGCAAAGTCCTCCCTGGCTCGGAACTGCCGTTCCCCGGCTGCAAAGCGAACTATTTTGCTTTCAATTGCTGGACCTCGGCCAACCTACATGCCAAATTCTGTCTCTGGGCTGCGACCGCAAAGAATGCGGGTAACAACATCTTCAATGTGATGAACGGGGATACAGAATCGTTTCAAAACCTCTGGCCTCGCCTTGCGGCTCGCTTTGGTTGTAAAATCCCCAATCCTATGTTCCCCAATGGTGGCGTCCCGGACACGAAAGGGTTCAAAGATTTTGAGTCCACCACAGTTCGGATGCCAAACAAGCATCCACTGACTGTTCGTGGGGTAGACATTGGCATTTCTCTTCACCCAGAGAAACAAGAAACTCCAACCTTATTCCTCCAGGTCGATCCAGAAAAATGGGCGAAACGACGCGATGTCGATGAAGCATGGGTCAAGATACGAGATACTTACAAACTTGACCAAGTGGCGTGGGACAAGGCTACATGGGACTTTTTAACATTTGTCTTGGGCAGAGACTGGAGCTGCGTAGGTAGTATGAGTAAGGCTAGAAAGTTAGGCTGGACAGGTTATGCCGATACTTGGGATGAGTTGGAGGAGACATTCAAGATTTTGGAAAAAGAAGGAATCTTGCCACCTGTGGAGCAACTGAAAAGGGATTTCTGATCAACCTGTTTCGGTCTATGGTCTTAGGGTTCAGTCCTGTGTCGGCAGTGGACGAAATAGGAAATGTATAAGTACGCCCTACGCCCTACGCCCTACATTACAAGGCCAACCCAATGAAATCTTGGTTTATGAAATGCTATGATTGTAATGTACAGACACATTAGGGTAAAGGCGCTGCACACTCGATGGAGCTTTTCTTGTGACCGAATTATTTTATCGCTCATGGTTGAGGGATTTTATCTAGTCTGTCTCAGTCGCTAATCAACTTCAGGCGTACGCTGTCCTTGCCACGAGTTTACAACCGATTATTACGAAACTAAACATCATCTATTCGCTTTCCTAAAGTAGCACTCAACAGAATACCCAGCAACTACACTTTGAACCACCTTCGGCTTCTCGGAGCTACCTGTCATTGCGTATTTATTCCTAGGAAATGATACTACAATGGTCTACTATATCCATCCCAGAGCAACGAGGAAAGGAAATTTACAACTTGTCAGTTTCAGCAACTGTGAAAGAAGTTGGTTCAGTCAAATGTAGTCAGCAGAATATGAATCAAGGCATAATAACATGGTTATCACGAAATCCTTACCTGAAGGTGATGCCTGTCTGGGCAAAGATACCACAAGTCAAACTTTGCCCTAGTTATAGTGTCCCTGGCTGATCCCGGGCCATTGCTCAGGACCACGACACGGTAGGTCCGAGTGGTGTCAAGAAGTTGGACAGAATCAGTTTTTCATGAACCTTCTCGCAGCAAATTGAACCCAACATATGGTGTCTTGCATCAGACCTCCTATGCGTTACAGGACGCATCGATTATTCTGCGGAACTTAAACATTCAACAGCAGGGATTCGAAAACAATGGTATCTACGTTGACCCGATCCTTGATCTGAGGAACCTGATATCTTTGATCCACATTGGGTTCGGATTGCCGTGCGTGGAAGGCTTTAGGGTGCCCTAGAAGTCATCTATGGCCTTGAATGTAGCCCATATAGCCCTAACCTTGTAGGTTGAGCATGTATATGACGTAGGTGTCCAGTTGTCCTAAATTGCAATCGACCACCAAGACCTTCAGCAGTGTTGAGAAGAAATTGTATCATCCAAGTCATATGATTTGCGAGGCAGTGTGCATTTCACTTGTACACACAGAAGTACCATGCTCCTAGCAGATACACTGTAGCTGAAGAATATGACGGTTATTTAGTATTTTGATGCGGTAGTGTAACTATATCTAACTATCCAGGTGGCTAACATGGAGGAGATTGAGCATTACCTGGAAAGCGTATTCCAATTGTTACTGTGGCTCACAATAGTTTATTTAGATCTGAGTTCTTGCTCTAACCTTAAAAAATCCCGTAAGCAGCTCGTCAGTTAACCCACATATCTTGACTTCCAAGTTATTTATAACTTAAGATGATAAAAGAAACTCAAGAGAGCCAACAAATAAGAGAGTTCGACATCCTCAAGTCAGGTAATTTTTAATATATGTGACGTGGCAATTTTAACTCTAATTGCCCTAACACTATATAAGTGCTCTCATCGACTCACATTACAGGTGCAAAGACCTATCACTTCCGACAGACTTTTCATAACAAAAATGAAGACGCGTGCATTCGCATTCTCCAGGCTCTTGTTCCTGCCATGAGCTCGTCGTCTACGCTTTTTATAAATGAAAATGTACTACCGGAGACGACCTGTCTACAGAGTATAGGGCAAGACTTTCGATGACAATGATGGCCTTGTTCAATACCTACGAAAGACGGGAGAGGGGTTGGCACCAGCTCCTGGGCAAGGTTGGTCTTACGGTCAAGGAGCTTAGAAGGTTTAGCCGGCACGGGCCTTATGGCAGTTAAGAAATAGAGCACTGAATCAAGCATGGTAGTATGGAAAATGGTTTCAGAAATTTACAATGACCTCACTTTCAATCTGTTGCTGGAAGCCTGTATTGGTATTAGTTCTTCGGTAGAACCCAAATCAAGTCACACGAACGGATCTCAATCCGAATGCACTGAGACTCCATGACGGTCTTTAAGGCCCTGAGCTCTGGTGTTTGTATATTTCCCCATGATAACCCTATTTTCTGTCATTTTAGGGAGGACATACGTGGTGCGATCCACGTTCGTTCTTCAGGGAACCGTTGATCCGACATACGTAATTACGTGTGAATCAATAGTTAACTCTACTACATGCCACTAAGTTACTCGTCTAAGAAATTGACTTAATATAAACTATCAAAGAGCCGATAACGGTGGAGCAACATCCGGTTCCTAATCGGGAAATAAACGGCTCGCGTCTCAACCGGCAACAATTGCTAGCTGGGCCCTCGCACCTTTGGAGAATGGAAAGATTTTAAGCGAGCATCCTAGATTGACTCTACATGATTCATGGACTGGGTCTGAAACCTGCCCACATGGTTTAGCTTTTCACAAATGTCGTACGACGAGGGATCGGCCAGGCGTCAGTGGATACCATTACGAATGCCACGCGGTGGGCATTGCCGATCACCAGTTGCAGTCCCAACCACGCGGATAATGAATCCGACCGTTGAGATATTCGGTTAAAATCATGCATGGATTCTAGGACCCTGTGTGTGTTTGACTATCGCTAAAGTCGGAGCGTTGTTCTAACATGTTGTGGGAAACCAAGTGCGGGTTTTCTTTTTTCCGGCGTAAATTGAGCTGAATTATGAGAGTTAAGTACGGTGCAGAGAGGGGATATGATAGTGGATTGCTGAAGTGCACGGATTCTATCCTAGCACTATGTGTTCGCAATACTTACCGGACGTAGTTGAATCGCACAATCTGGGGAGTTTCTCAAAGTCCTTGTAGGGCAAGTAGAGGCTATAACAGTAGCCACAAAACTCATTTGAAACATGTGGTAAAGAATACTGTTAGAGTCAGATGTTCAAGGCATGACCTAGGCGCCATATGGTGCTTTGGTCGGGTGGTATTGAGGAATACTATTACTACTGATGATAATCGAATCTTCCCGAATAGCTAGGAAATGCAAATGTGAAGGTTGTACGGTAGTTCTGTTTATATTCATAAGATCGTTCGGCATGGCTATTATGTTATCCATGCATGCATCTATACAAGTTTCTATTCTATGAAAGTTTGTACATAAGGAAAAGGTCAAAAGAGAGGAAGATCGACTCTAGCAGTTGGGGTTCGGAGAGTGATGCACCGTATATTCCACATCCTTCTTGATGATCATCTTAGTACTCCCCTCACTCCCAATACTATTTCGATCATCACGATCTGAATGGCCACCGGTCGATGAGCCAGGTTGAGCAGATGTAACCGTCGTCTCTCCGGCTCCAACCTTCGGCCGGAATGGATCTGGCTCGGGCGCAACAACGGATCGATTCTGAAGCGACTGTAGTGCGTAGCTGCCTTGGTTGCTGCGACCACGATCTGACGCGTAGGGGTAACTCCGACTAGTGCTGAGGTTGGAGTCACCGGCGGTACCGTAGGACGTCGTGACGGCGTTCATAAATGGACGAAGACAGAAGGCCGTACAGGCAATTAAGGAGTAGTTTAGGGCGACTTGCGTCCAGGTGTAATGGTTAATGGCATCGAAGGTAGGATTCCGAGAGGAGGTAAATGAATGAAATTCAGAGAGTCGTACGGCTTCGAAGGCAACGAGCCTAACCATCATTTCAATTAGCATTGGTGTGCCAGGACTCGGAGGACAGGTTCGACAGCATGGAACACATACGGAATTCTGGAGGCGAAGGCCATCATGATCACTAACTTCGGCTTGATGGCCATTTGGAGCCCGTATATTAAGACTATCGAAAAGATAAATAAGGCGACTTCGGTAGTGATGTCAATCGCCGTGATGAATTGCCATCGTGCAAACTACCGTTGTTGTTAATCATTACCGATGTTTATTAATGCTGAGTACCCTGAAATCGGGCGATATACGTACCAGGCTGGTGCAATGTTCGCCAGGAGTCACCCACGGTTTATTAAGTGAACAATCAATCGTGATCACAAGGATGGAGATAACTATTCCTGCCGTTGCGAATGCAAGGATTCCCCATAAGGTATTTTTGTGTCTTCTCCGAGGTGTCAATCTCGAATAAATGGCCACGACGCAGCATCTTGAAAGGTACAACGTAATGAGGTAAAAAACATCACTCGCGACAATTGACTGATCAATTATTAGATAACTTTTCTCTGCAGGCTTCGCGTAGTTTCCATGAGCAGCAGAAAGTAACCTACGTTTTGGATACTCCTGACGACATGATCGTCAAGGAGGCGGATCGCCGTTCCGAATCCCATGGATGCGGCATGGAAAACAATAATCGACTCCACAATTGCGGAAACCTGAAATTTAGGGAATAAGCAAAGGAGAATGTGAAGCCGTCTTGACAAATATTCAAATCCATCCAGCACCATGGGGTGAACTGCACTTACAGTCGCTCCCAGAAGAATCACATCGTCGATCCCGAACGGTGGGCTAAGCAAGAACCGGACGTAGAGCCGGATTAGCAGACACACCAAGGACAACACCAGACAAATAGCGGAGACTATAATGATAATTCCAGCATGGTGGTCAGCATCAACCGTTTCGAATGGCGGCGATTGTCCAGGAGGTACTTTGATAGCCATTATCTTTGAATGGCCGTACTTTCTAGATCAAACGCGCCATGCGAGCCGGCGTTGAATGGTGCAGGTGTCAAAAGTAGCCACCGACAGGGGTTGAAGCTGAGGGGAAAAAAGAAATACGGCAGGGGTTCGGGTCAATGATTCATATGTATATTGACCAGAGTTAGTGCGCTGCATCGAGAATTTTAAAACTGCTCTAGCAGGGTAGCGATCGTGGGAGCCTGGGTGTCCCATATGATATGCAATAAACTCGCATGAACCATAGACGTGGTACTGGCGCTACCACATGAGTAGCTTGTTGGTGCGTGCCCTTGGGGGCACGCGATTATGGAAATTGATTGAGACTCAGTGCATTTTCAAGTCTCAGGTTACTTGTCTATGGTCGGGCCCGATCTGGACCCGTAAGCCCGATCTTTGATTTAATTCTAAAACTTTAGGGCTTAACGAAGTCGGCATATTGTAATATAATCCCTGCAAAGAAGGACTCCATCGTTGCATTATACTTACTCCAAACTGCTCCGTAAGTTCCGTAGAATCCCTGTTACCCTGGCTAGTGAGCTGCTAATAGACCCTTTTAAGGTTTCAAGTCTTCCAGCAGGGCGATGCAGACGATGGTCTGGTAATTCCTCTGCCTGTCACCCGGCGAAACCCATGCTATACCCGAATTTACCAATGTAGAAGTCCAAACAAGGCTCAGCCACCTAATCACGCACACTCAAAATCGTACGATCGAGCACATTCTATGAACTTTAACTAGGTACCTGAAGCAACGCAACCGCCACGAACTGGCCCAGTATCTCTTAATTAAAGTTTGACCTTTAGGCTCTTCCGCCCCATCCGAGCATTCTACTGTTAACATGAGAGTCAAGGTTCCATCCAATCAGGGCTCTAAGGATCACAAGTCAAGTCTGAAACTATGACAAATTTAACATCAGCGGCAACTCCGACGCACATATGGGTCCCCTCTGGCCCCCAGCTCGTAGCAGTTGGAGGTGAACTAGTGACACGTTAGGTGAAGAGGTAATATGCGGAAGTATTCCCGAACTATTGTTTCCCCGTCCCGTCGTATTCTTTATTGTTCTGTTTCAGATTACTTAAAATATATGTTCATTAGGAGTTGGGTATGTGGTGTTCCAATACTGTAAGTCGTTTTCGTCCAGAGAAAGGGTGCTGAGTATTTGACTGACCCCAAAACTCTGTACGAACGAATAAGCCTCGGCAAAGTGGACTAGATCTTCAGTCAGAATGGCGTTATTCTCCTCAAAAAATTTTCATTCGCAGGATATGAGTTAATATCGAGGTGGATTCCACACTTGCAGCAACAACAGGATAGTTGAGCTAGAAAACAACCAAAACCCGGACCCACTATTCTTAGGGCAATGCACGTGCCAAGCCGCTACACGGAATATGTCAGCTGTGGTGTTATTAATGTTAATATAATAGATTGTTATAAGCACGCTACTTATGCAACTAATTGAGTATTTGGTAATGACCTTGTTCTTCACCATTCAACCAAGAAAAGAGGCCCATTACCTCGTGGTGTACACTTAATCTAGTTCCACACTCACCAACATGCCTTACTGCTGCTCATCCCCTGTTCACAGTTGTCTTTCCCTTTAAAGCGATCCCCACTACGGGATCGCCAGTCCCGCCAAGAGGGCTTCGTAATAAGCTTCGAGCGGACCCTGACTATCGAGGTTCCTGTCTTCTCAGTGATCTGGCTCTGGGAAAGAGGACAGTGGATGTGGGGGCATCAGTGGAGCTGCGGTGGGCCTTCAGGTTTGTTTGGCCTGATTATTCGCTGGAGCCCAGAGAGTGTGACTATCAGGTTGCACTGTGCAGGAAAGACCATGAGGGGCTGAAGTTGAGCAGATTTTTTTTCTTTGAAAAAAAAAAAAAATAGCTACGGGCGCAGGACAGGCGTGTCTTCAAGAAAGCAACTCGATCCAATATCCTTTCTATACTATCTATTTCCAATTAGAATTAGGTGGTTATAATCCTAGTAAAAAAGTATACAACCTCAAATGTCACGCTTGACCAGAGCAACGGGAGGAACGTAGACGTGCCGGCCGCGGAAAATGTAGTATAAAATGGCAATAATCATAATGCCGCCGTACATCACCACGCACCAATTCATCGATTCTCGGTCGACTGTTGAGGTCAGGGGGAAGAAAGCGAATACAAACACCGGTACCAAGAAACACAGGGCACCGATGTTAATGGCCATTCCAAACCGACCCAGGCTCCACCGACGAGGTGGAAGGGGCTCGCCGCGGATCCGTTTGAGCAGCAAGCACCCAATCGTAATGACGTATGAAGACATAAGTGATCCGATGGTCAAGGTGACGATAGCCAAAAGAGCCGTTGTCGAACCGATGTTGATCAACGACAGGAGAACCGTTACCATAAGAGAAACCATCACCGCATTAAGCGGAATGTTCCACCCCGGAGTAACCTATATATGGATCAGCACCGATGGCCCGAGGCTGCCAGCAGACGGGGCGGTGCCACTTACGTATCCAAAAAACCCGGAAAATGGAAGACCGCCGTCTCGGGCAAAAGACCAAAGTTGCCGAGAGGCCGTGGCTAACTCGGTAATCGTACTCGCAGTGAGTGTAAGAACCAAAATTGCGGTCATGGTGTTCGTGCCGGGAAGACTATTGGTAGCATTGTAGAACACTTGAATAAATGGGTAGCCGGTGGGAGTTGCGAGGACCTCGTCGATATCACCCAAGGTGAAACAGATCGTCACCAGCATGAGAAATCCCGCACAGTCATTGATGAGAACGGAAGTGATCATAGCCTTTGGGAGGGTCTCGGATGCATCTTTAATTTCTTCGGCTAGGTGCATTCAATCCTATTAGTCGATGTCCCAAATCCAACTGGAGAATGTTGTACTTACACATGTGCACGGCACAGTCATATCCAATTAGAGCAGTAATAGTAGTGGAAAATCCAACTAATGTTGCTGTCCCAGCGCTGTTCCATCCACCACCGTTGTTAAATTCTGTAAAGACCTGTTGGGCGCTTCTTCGAGGAGCCAGAACCCAGAGAGGGATGATAATGGCAAAGAGCCCAACGACATGGAGGATAAGAATGAGGACTTCGACGAATGGCAGTTTCTTGGCCAGGAAGGTATTGAACAAGATACCGAAGAAGGTGATGGCAATCACCAACAGCGTACCATGCCAGCGCTCAAAGACATAATCATCATGGTTGAGCACAATGAGACCCTGAATAATAGTTCCTGCAAGGAAGGCAATTGAGACGATGGCACATTGCCAGCCCATAGCACACAGCCAACCTTTTTATGTGAATAAGTCATATGGTCCAGGATCTGTGGGAGCAAGCATTCCTTACCGGTGATATAACTCAAGAACTTCTGGCAACTACGAGGCGCGAATTCGGATACCCAATGGTATTGCCCTCCAGATGTCGGAGCCCTGTGTATATCAATGAGCACCATCGAAAGGGATCAAGATCGGGGAGCAATTACATAGAAGCCATTTCAGCTAGACTGAGGAAAACGAGCAGGAATCCACACGCAACGATAAGGAAACCCCAGATCAAGCCAGCGGTACCTCCATCGGTCAAACCTTGCTCGAGCAGTCTGTAGGATAGGGTTAATAATTAGAGAGCTAAGGTTCTCGATACCCAAGAGACATACGTCAGGATAACCTCCCATGTTGCGATTAATGTGCAACCAAAACCGACAATAGAGATGAAACGGAAATTTCTCTTCCATGAAGTAAGTATCAAATTGCTTGTTTGATCAAGACCAACAAAAGACATACACGTAGCACCTGTTCTCGGCCCAGAGCACTCATGTCCGCCTGGTCCTTCACAGTACCCCGGTATTTGGCGGGCACGAAGTGACCTCCTTGTGCCGCTTCATCGCCATAGGTAGTTGAGACTTGGGGGCCACCTTTCAGACTGTTGAGCGAGACCATATTGGAGACACCGGCGCAACTAGTTGCGCATTAAGAAAATTGTAGTTCAGAGAAAGGACGGGTTCAGCACGACAGGGATGTGAAGAAAGAAACCGAGTGTTTAAACCAGAGGAGCTCTAAAATAAATTAGGCGTAAATTAAACTAGAAGTAAAAACTAGAGAAACCAGATGAAACGAGCACGTTGAATCTACTAGCAGATTTAGATGCGCCACTCGCTCGGAGATTTTCAAAGCCGAAAATAGTCTAGGGAGTTGGAGACTTGGAGTTCGTAAAGATCCCCTGATATCCGAGTCATCAATCGTGCTAATGCTGTTCTAGAAGCAATCTAGCAAGCTAAACGGCATTTAACAAGCGACTGACTCGGGAATTGTTGCCACAATTAGAAATCCCGGTAACACATGCAGAGCTATAAACGATGATGCAGAGGCAGCAGCTACGTTCAGGATTAATTCCTTCGAGGTTCTACTCCGTACAAGGTTACATAGGACCCAGGCGCTATTTGCGAGATAGGAAAATGAATAATGGAAAATAAAAATAAACAACAAAAGAAAAAGAAAACGATCTAACTCTGTCCGCGTTCCATGGAAAGACCAATCAATCTAAGTGCAATATTTTGATTGATATCCACTCGTAAAACGCCATTGCATCAGCCCATAAGCACACTATCCCTTTAGTTCATCGCCAAACAGCCAACCGGATCTAGCCAAGATCCCCTTGGATTCTCCATACGAACCATCCAAAAGGGGATTTCGGCCCATCCCGTCATAGGCAGAACCAAATCGCGTTTTTTGATGACAATCTGGAACGTTGACTGGGGGGTTAGTAAGGGACGTTGGACTCTCTGCGCGTGTTTCTGTTATGCAAACTTTACGAGGCTGGAATGCAACCGAGTAACATTAACCCCTCTCTCAAGAATTACCCTTCTAGTCATAGTCATCAGGGTTACTTGGCACCGATTCTGCTTTAGTAATGTCAACAGTGATTGGTTGCACGTCATGCTGGCCTGATTCCGGAGAACTTGATACTCAGGACTTGCATCCCGTTGTCTGTACTCATGGACGAGGTAGGGCTTCATAAGTCACGACTGATGAATCTTCGCAAAGTCTAGGACTTCAACACTCGATAGGCATCATTTATAGCAATCATGACATCGGCTACCGCGATCGCGATCGGTATCCTTTTAGTGGCTTTGGTATACAAGTATATCATTCATCCGTACTATTTATCGCCAATCTCCAGGGTCCCCAACGCACATTTCACATCACCGGTTTCGAATAGGTGGATAGAAACGCAACGCAATGCAGGCAAAGAAGTCCTTACCATCTACGACTTGCACCAAAAGCTCGGTCCTGTGATCCGACTGGGGCCGGACGAACTGAGCGTGAACTCGCTTAGTGGCCTGAAGACAATCTACACGGGCGCATTCGAAAAGCATTCCTTTTACAGTGACGTTTTTATCAATTTCCAAACGCCTAATCTAGTTGGAATGCTACACAACAATCCGCATGCTCGTCAGAAGCGTATGCTCAGCAGGATCTACTCCAAGTCCTATCTACAGGAGTCGCGGGATCTGCGCGATATCTCCAGCATTGTTCTCTCCCAAAGACTGTTCCCAATTCTACAGCGTGTAGCCAAGTCCGGAGAGGCGATCAATGTGTTACCTTTATTCCAAGCTGTGGGGATGGACTTCACGTCATCTTACTTGTTCGGCACAAAGAATAGCACCACATACATCTTCCATCTTCCGGAGTGGCAACAATGGCTGGATGAGTATGAGAAGTTCAAGTACATGAGTGTACAGGATCGGTATATGGGTTTCATCGAAAGCTGGTGCCTTTCACTTTGTCGAAAGGTCGAGAATAACGATCAGCCGAATGATGTGCCTATCACCACGAATGCAGTGGTGTATAACCAGCTTCGTCAATCACTTGAGAAGGACCCCGACAACCGACCTCTCGAGTTAGCCATTGCATCTGAAGTACTCGATCATCTTGTGGCAGGCCATGAAACTAGCGGGATCACTTTCACCTATATGATGTGGGAGCTCTCTCAACACCCAGAGCTGCAAGCCGAGTTGCGCCGAGAGCTCCTCACGCTGACTCCAAATCTGAGAACTCTATCCGTCTCAGATGATGCAGAGGGCCTACCATCTCTCCCTTCGCCGTCGGCAATTGATGGTCTTCCCCTACTAGATGCAATCCTCCGAGAAACTCTTCGGTTACATTCCCCCGCACCAGCGCCATTACCTCGCGTAACACCGGCCTCCTCAACTGGCGTATCAATTGATGGCTACCACAATATTCCTGCCGGCGTACGTGTGAGCTCCTCTTCGTATTCTCTGCACCGTATCGAAGAAGTTTACCCTCAATCGTCGGATTGGCTCCCCGAACGTTGGCTTAAGCCTGCACCAGGCAAGATTCACGATATGCGTCGAGTGTTCTGGCCGTTTGGAAGTGGTGGGCGCATGTGTTTGGGTAGTAATTTTGCTCTGCAGGGTAGGTCAATCATGGTCTTCGGATGAAATTGTGCGTATCCGCTTCCACAGAACTGTACTAATCGAAGGATTTTACAGAGATCAAACTCGTAATGGCGGCGGTCTATACGAACTTTACGACTTCTATTGTTGACGACGAAGGTATTGAGCAGGACCATGCATTCATTTCCCTACCCAAGGGTCGCAAGCTTATGTTGAAGTTTACTCCTGTGCCGGAGACATGATCTGACGCATGGGAGGACAAAAATGATTATGGAATCAATTATGATTAAAGGAATGAGTGATATCTTTCTACAAGAATGATAGCTATCTTTCCTTGTTAACATCTGGATTTATGAGGATATGAAGTAGCACAATGACGATCATCATCTATTGTACACCCCGTATAGGAGATGCAGCAGGTATGCGGGATTATCCCAAAAAAAAAAAAAAAAAAAGGTCTGCCCTAGACCTTTGGTGCCTAATAGTTTCTCGGGGCGCGTGGAATATGTCGAAACACTGGTCTGCGTGAGTCCTTGCTCAGAACTCCGGTCAGGATGACCGCAACCTGGCCTAAGCTCACAGGGCGAAAGGGTCATTTCTTTCGTGCTGTTCTAGTGAAACGTGGTCTCGCAGAGCTTACTGACCAATAAAACTCCAGAAAATCTTTTTCTACGTAGCTTTAAGGTTACTCCCAACTGGTGAAGCAAAATGACCGTTGTGATGTGGCCTACGTTGTGTTACTCTGACGTGTCAATGCATGACACGCAAGGCCACCATATACCTCTGCTTTGCCTCAACTATACCCAACGCAGTACTATGTTTACAACTGAATTTAAATTGTACAATGTCTCTCTCCTGTACATCGAAAGTACAACAGCTGTGTCTGTTAAGTTTTCCGATATCCTGGTGACAGCTTTTCCTGGTAACTTGGCATGATGTTGGATCTGGATGATGTGAGGAGGCGGTATAGAGAGCTGAGCAGTGTTGAAGATAGTAAAGAGAAGATTATTGAGGTTGGTCCGAGCCTATATCCAATTCACCGCTCGTGTTAACTTAGCCTGATGGTATGCAGGAGCTATTCTCTCAAGTTGAGGAGCTGCAGAAAGATCTCACCAAAGCCCATGATGAGCTCGACAACTATAAGGAGCTTGCTGCGATGTTCAAGGACAAGTCAAACAAAGACAAAGAGGCATTGGAGATGAAGAACCGTGATCATGTAAGTTAAGTCGATGACGCCCCGTCTGCTGCTAGGGTGAGTCTGTCTAATACGATACCATTCAGGCTAGACTGAGCTTTGTTTCTGTCCTCGTTGATGGCGACTGTATGAATGTGAGTGTCCCAATCCTCTGTATCCCCACCCATTCCATACCTATTTCGTCGCTGACACTCGCTCGATTCTTAGTTTCAAGATTCTCTCATCCAAAGTGGATATGATGGCGGTCAAAAAGCTGTACAGCTGTTGAGGAAAGCGGTCGAAGACTACCTATTTCAACTTGACCCCGAGGCGAACCCCAGGGTCCAGTGTAAAATTCGTGTATATGCCAATGTGGGCGGTCTGTCAAAGACGTATCATGATACGAACATTGCCCCTGTCGACGGGACACTAGAGGCGTTTATTCAGGGATTCAACATGGAAAACGGTCTATGTGATTTCGTGGACGCAGGAAACGGAAAGGAATGCTCTGACGTGAAATTACGAGGTGGGCTATATATTCCCCGAAGCAAATGGCATACAGAGTTGCTTACTGGTTTTGTCTCTCAGCCCTATTTGAGCAAGATATCCTCGATGTTCATTGTCAGCGTGTTATATTCTGCGCGTCTGCGGACAATGGATATGCACGCGTGCTGGGACCACATCGGGAGTCCCACCGTATCTCCCTCGTCGAAGGGCCTTCTTTCGCACGTGAAATGAAAGATCTGGCGCCGCATTTTGCAACCACAAGTTTCCCAGACGTTTTCCGGTCGACAAAAATAATATCCAGGAGAGTATCATTCAGCAATGTCACTCCGCCGAGGACACCCCCTCAGAACTACGCTTCTGCTGTGAAAACGTCACCACCTCGGTCACAATCAGCGTCGGATGTGAACCGACGATCGCCTTCACCCCTTACTTCAGCTCGAATCTCTAATAGAAATTGCAGTCCCGTCCGGTTAGCGGTGTGCAAGAATGCGGCAGGTCAGCGTGTTGATCCCCCCTTGCGGTATTCCACCAAAGAGAACGTGGATTCCTTGAAACAACGCAAGTTGTGCAATCCTTATCATATTGTGGGCTCATGTTCCTACGGGGAAAACTGTAACCATGATCATAAGTCCCGGCTTCAGCCTCAGCAAGTAGAAGATTTGAGGTATATTGCTAGGTTGAGGGTCTGTCCGAGAGGCGTGTGGTGTGCGGAGGAAAGTTGTGTTTGCGGTCATCGGTGTCCTAGGGAGAATTGCCTGGGTCCTGGGTATAACGGGTGCAAATTTCCCAAAATCATGCATGGAGTTGACTCATCAATTGTGGCTACTACTTTGTGAGATCTTATGTCGGTCCAGGTGATGCTCAGGATACGATTTATTAATGATTGTTCACTGAATTGTTATCCGATACATACTATTTATCACCGATCAGCAACAACGTGATGTCATTTGTGTGTTACTGTGTGTAAGCATTAGGGATGCTATGCTCTCCTCCACAAGAAGGAAAGTGTGTTTAGCTAGATGATGTTCAAGTTAGTAGTCTATGAGGGAGCCCATTCAAAAGAAATAGAACCAAGACATCCCTACTACTTCAACGATTGTCACCTAGAGTCAGGCCCTTTTATAGCCCATAGCGGAACTACATCTATAGCTTGGAAGGCATATTTGAGCACAGCTATGACCGTTTGAGCACGTGCTTCGTATTATCTTTACATATCAAAAGTCAGACTAATAGTGAGAGTTGTTTCCTGTGGCAAGCAGGTCAGTATTCCCGTGACCAATCACGCGAATAGATTTCTAACATATCATATCAGTACACGCTTAGAAGTCCACAGAAAGCGTGCCTCGTACTGGTGTTGCATAAACTAGCCAGTAGGGGTAAAAGGACGATAAAAGAATGATGAGCCCAAAAATTGTGTTGTTTCAACTTGGTACTGAGGACACCCTTCTCGACAACCACAGTCCTCCAAAGACAAAAAGAGAGAAATAGCAAAAGACACTTAACGATATGGTTTGTAGTTCAAGCGATAGCCCGGTTCATATCTTCGTCTCGTTTGATACCTTCTGCAACAACGGAATCAAACGCATCACTCTCCCGCCTCGAGACATCAACACCATCAAAATCCATTGTAGTATCATCTCTGGCGGAATCATGCACATCGATATACTCTCTAGGTTCGCACCAGCCACGGGTTCGCACCATGCCCACGATAGGAAAGCAAAGGCATGTTAAATAATATCCAATGAATGCAATCAACAGTCCGGTCGGATACGAAACGTAATAGAACCGTTGAATAGATAACGGCCCCTTTACACCCAGCTGGTTCAGAAACCCATAAAAGCTCGGAGCTATTGAGAATAGATATACTGCGAAGGCACGGAAGTTGATTCCGCGCAGGTAATGGTAGCGACCCTCTGGATTCATGGTGTACATTTCTGGGATACAAAGCCGGCCTCGGCGGATCAGATAATAGTCGCAGAGTAGGATTCCTGCAATGGCGGAGAGAAAGATCTGATAGGAGGAGAGAAACTTGATGAAAACAGCGGCTGACGATAGTAGATACCACGGACAAATGGCGTAGGATAGAACTGAACTCAGAGCTAATTAGCAATTATAGCCTAGTTGGGATTTTGCCTAAGGGTCGCTTGCCTGCGCATATGAAAACGGCACGCTTGACGTTGAGGTACTTGGGAAGCAAGGCTGCTATATCATTTCCCACTCTATATGTGAATTAGATCGTAGTGAGTGACTGCAACGGGAATATATATCAAACTTACGGTATGGAGTTCTCGAATATATTGGTGAAGATAGTTGAGTAGACAAAGCCAAGAGAGATAAAAAAGCAACCCGCTCGGTTCCCGGCTGTATAGCGATCACCTTCCATGAGACGCTCGAGAATGTTAATAGGGTTCCATATAAGCTAAAGCGGCCAGGTCAGCTATTAATGAGTGACATTCGTGTTGAACCATACCTCCCCAAATATAGGCTCACTGGTAGCAGCTATAACACAGCCCATGATGGCAATAATAAAGTTAGCCACAGGAAAGCTGAACACTTGACCCAAGATAACATCGTTCGGTCGTCTAGCATATCGCTGAAGATCGGCAGCATTGGAGACGAAGGTGGCAACGCTTGCGAGCCCTAGCCAGAAGAACTTGGCAACCATCCAGGACTTTTCGGTACCGTGAATTGTTGAATGCGACCGAAGTGTCTGCTTGGAAGATCCAGATAAAGACAGTGTCCAAGCCAGCATAGCGACAGTGGCACTATAGTAAGCTACTACTTTGATATAGACTAGTAGCCTCATCTTGGGTATAGGGATAAATAGAAATGCGCAGTTGACGAACCTAAATAATGTCAAATTTACCGGCAAAGTAGAAGATGTCCACCATGGAAGGATGCAAGTACCAGAACACGGAAAAGCATATCATTCCTGCACTGGTAAGGGCAGACTTAGAGCCCATGGTATTAGGAATTCTAGCCATCGACGGGGAAATGGAATGCAGCAGTACACTAGGCGAGCTGTTATTAGCGATGACCATAGCTATGTATTCAAATAGCAGGACCGGCATACTTCAGGCACTGCGCACCCTGGACAGCATTGACACCGTTCCACACAATGGCCATTACTGCGCGGTTAAACGTAGGCCAAAGAGCCCCAAGTGGACCCCAACTAGACCGACAGAGAACCGGGAAAGGGATACGATACAAAGCACCAGCGCGACCATTCAGAGCCATGAGAATGCCTGCCAAGATCTGTCCCCCTAACTGACAGATAATGGACTCCCACATAGACAATCCGACCGTCAAGCCGGTTGAAGCAGCGTAGAGATTACTCACATTTCCCGATGCCGAGAACCAGAAGGCTAAGTAAGTGATATGAGTCCATGTTCGATCTTGTACCCTTGTTGGCCTTATCGAGTCATTGTCGAGAAATTCAACCGTCCGAGGGTTGCCATCTCGGTCGACACTTTTCACGATCAATCTCTCGTGCAGTGTAGTTAGGAGTTTCATAGTGACTTATACAGGGAGATGAACCTGCACAAGGTAGTACCCAACCTTACAAGGTATATCATCAAACGGACAGCTCCTACAGACTAATTTATAGCTACTCATAGCCAGCCCACGGAGTCAGCCGATGTGCGACTTGTTACTCTTTTTGAAGTGGTACAAAAGGAAGATAACCCCCGCGGATGGCGCATCAGACAAAGAATCTTCCAAATCACCGGATCTTGGATCCTGATAAAGCTCCAAATATGGCAGGGATAATTTCTTGGGTCAACCAATGTTTGGCTTGGGTTAGGTCATGGCTTATCTCCCCCGCATGAACTGCCGTGGCCACTTCATCGGCGATTGCCGAGTTGGCGTTGGGTATATATACCATCATATCAAGATCAAATTAGCCCAAGTTCAACTTAAACGTTCTTACGATAGCTCTCTTATCTGAAGTTATTGGCTCCTATGACTAAATCATGACTACACAGACATACACGCAAATCGAACTCTTGAGCGCCAATGGCACAGTGTTGCGCCGCGTGTCAACTGCGCCCCCCAGACTGCCAACAGATGATGAAATTCCAGTCATTGATCTGGCACCCATCGATGGCACTCTGGATAAAAGAAAGGCCTTGGCTTCCAGGATCAAAGCGGCATCCGAGAACACAGGCTTCTTTTATGTTCGCAATCATGGGATTCCCGAGGAGCTAATTCAGAATTCGCTGTCGCAAGCAAAGACCTTCTTCAACCAGCCACTAAGTCAGAAGATGAAGACTGATTTTAGTGCCTCGAAGGTTTCGGCTGGTTACCACGGAGTGGGGAGCACGCAGGTCAATCGGAAAGAGACGAGAGGCAAGTCATTCGCTCATGATCCCTCTTCCTAGCTAACATTCGAAGGCAGATCTCAAGGAGACTTTCTCGATGAGATATGACCCAAGAATTGATCCAACTTGCACTGACCCCAAGAGTGTTCTTGAACAAGAAGGCAAATCTCGCGACGATGGCGACTATATCTGGAAGGGAACTAGTCATCTCCCAAAATTTCAGGAAGTGACTGTTTCCTTCTGGCAGAGTCGCTTGGCATTGGCCCGGAAATTGGTCCGCATTTTCGCTCTCGCGCTCGGCGAGCGAGAAGACTACTTTGATGGTGTCACCAGTCATCCGGGTGCAGATGCACTTTATATCCACTATCCAGGAGTACCAGATGTTGCGGCCGACTCAAATATTGACGTTGGCATTGGATCCCACACCGACATCCAATGTTTCACTCTGCTCTGGCAGGACAACTCCGGCGGCTTGCAGGTACTGTCTGCCCAGGATGAGTGGATTGACGCCCGCCCAATTGAAGGAACTCTCGTAGTCAACATTGGGGACTTCCTTCAACGCCTCTCGAATAATAAATTCAAATCTACAGTCCACAGGGTATATAACCGTCAGCCGGACTCACGCTATTCGATGCCGTTTTTCTTTGGGTTCAACCCTGAGGCAGTCTGTAAGGTTGTTCCATCCTGCGTGGATGATGGGCATCCGCCTCTGTACGAGCCAATCTCATGCGGTGAAGTATGCTATGAGTATTCTGATCAGTTTGTTACTTCCTTGCTAACCCTAGTAGTGGCATAAGGTGCGATTGGCACGTTCTCGGGTTTATAGCGGGGGAGAATAGCATGTTAGAGAATGTTCAGTCCTTTTCAGTGGTCTAAGCAGCATCACAGCAATCACATTGGATTTTGTAAATTTCTTTTGGCTACTATTACACGATGGTCCCGCGCAAATGAAGAATGTAAAATCATGTGGGTAAGAGCCTTTCTTTAGGAGGTTCAACGTCAGGGTGAGTGGAGTGTCTTGCTTTACTCTCTCTTATCGTCAACGATTTCCTAAAAGCTTCTCTATGATCTTATACTGGGATTCAACATGTAGACTGGGAGTTCAATTCAATTCTATTTCCATTTGCTGCGAATTCCTAAGCTTACCTTTTCGCTGAAAGCTATGCTAATTGAAACTGACATTGACCAGACCAAGTTTGACAACTAGAAGGGATTAACGAACCAGGTTCTAAGGGACCTGACTCAAATCGACGCGCTTTGATCCTGGACACCATTTTAAAGAACCCAGACTTGGCAGAGGCAACGCTGAAGTCCAATGGAGAGCACAGACATCGTCACCGTGCCCACCACATTTAGGCTGAGAGCGGCAACCCCACTCTGTATATTACTGTCCGAATATCCGTACTTCGTACGGCCCCAATAAATAGACCTGCCCTATTTACTACGCGCGTCTCCATCCATCCAGGCCATCACAATGCTGCCGCACGGATTCACACTCCTGCTGCCACTCATGGCAGGCGGTGCCGCTGCCGCTAACAACAACAACACCAATGTTGCTGGTCCTGATGGGGTCATGGAATTCGACCTTGTCTTCCCGCGCAACGAGACATATGCGCCTACGCAGTACTTTCCTCTTGTCCTGGCTGCCCGCAATGCCTCCGCCGCCTGGCCGAGCGGCATGATCCTCAGCATGACTATTTGGCCTGACAACGAGGATACGCCGCCCTGGAATAGCAGATTCAACTTCCCTGCTAAAGGCCACACTTCCGGTGCGCCGCCCTCGGAGCCATACTTTGCCATCGCCGGCACCAACTTGACCAACGGCACTGACGGTGGCTTTACTGTCATCTGGTCCGTGGTGCTGCAGGAAACGTGCAGGGAGGACGATCCGAACACAAAATCATTCTCCTCGGGCGAGTACAACGTGCGCTTTACCACGAAGCTTGACGCTCCGTTGCCCGACATTGAGGAAGCGGCGAGTGCTTGCTCAGAGAGCTCGCTTGCGCTCACCCCACGCGCTTGGCTCAGAGAGGGTGCCTGTCCTGTACTCGATTCTGGCTCGGTGACTCCGGCGGCAGCAGAACCTTGCGGCCTGAAGCCTCTCGCGCAAGAGCTGGCTGCCAACGTATCTACAGCCATGTTGGATCTAATGAAATGTTCCGAGGGCACTTGGCAGACCATACAGCAGCCTTGCCCTGCCAAGGAAGAGAACATCGCAGGAACGCCGCGGTGGGGATGGGGTCCTGGGCTGGTATGGGTAGCGACACTGGCCGCGGTTGCATCTCTCCTTCTTTAGACTCTCCACGAATGGATAGCTGGCATGTTACTCAACTCAGTAGTGTAGTTAGTAGGGTCCATGGGAAATAGGTCAAAATTTGAATAGCCCTATTTTGTCCCTAGTCATAATTAATGCATTAATTACTGAGTGGATGGTATAGGTAGGTTAGGGTTACCGCGGTGCTTGCAGTATCCTCCACCCCATGTTGCCTCGGTCTCCGTCTAGGCAGTGTACGCACGTAGGCTAATGCTTGGCCAAACCAAAAAGGTCCGAATGTGTCGAACGGTGCTTCATACATACATACATACATCTCTAGTTCTATACAGCCCTAGCTGTAGTCCACCTTGCATGGGGTGGAACGGTATCCTGCCCTTAAACTATGATTCTCCATCCATTCATCCACGGGTGTGGTCCAGGTCGCTGTGCCACAAAGGGCCCCCTGGTGAACACAAGGTGTCAGTGGTGGCGGAGGATTTGGACCTGTGGTGGTGAAACCAGCCTCTTCACGAGTCAATACGGGAAGCTAGACATATTTCAGGAGCGCTACAAAAGCAGCCCTTCAAGAGAGAGTTTTTCTTCCAAATTGCTGGCTGATAGTTTGGTAGCCTTTGTGAATACGAGTGAGGCTAAGACGATCTGTCGATCGTGGTCCAATAGATTTAGCGCTAGCAGATGAATAGAACACCTTAGGAGAAGAAAAAGGCTTGGCTTGTGATGTCTCATTCGATATTTTCCACAAGATTTAAGGGGTCATGCCGCCTCAATGGCTTAGCGGGGGCTGTGTTTGGTATTCTTTCTGGCACTGAAGATTTCATGAGAATCATACCCCTATAAATACTGCAGGCGATTTATCTGCACAACTGGACTTCAATCATTATTTTCAGAAGATCTAATACCCACCACGCATCATTCTTTCTCCTTGAAACCCTCTGCCACTTAAACATGTATCTCTCCAAGATAATCTCCGTCGCCCTCCTGACTGCCCTCGCCAGTGCTGCTGCAACACCTTCCAATCTTGAAGCACGCCAGGAGAGTGCATGCCGCCAGGCACAGTCTGGGCTCCAGCAAACATCTCAATATTACAAATCTTTGGCCGAACAATGGAATGGCAGCGCACGAGTAAGGGTCTAGTTCAGACTTTGGGTATATTTCATATCTAATATACCATATTTAGGAGGCCGTGATACGGCTTAGTTCTCAGTTGGACGCTGAGACTACCAAAGTTGCAGATATCTGCGCCAAGCTTGCCGAGGCAGAGAAGAGCGCACATAGCTCTTAGTATGTCATTTCTATCGTGTTCGCTATGATGATTGAAAGTTACACCAGCTAATGGCACGGTGATTAGCTCCGATGCTGAATCCAACATAAGTGATAAATTCTCGTAAAGCGGTGGTATTCAGGCGCAAGGATACGGGTGGCTACTAGAAGGCCCACAGAGGGGGATATAGCAAGTCTAATGTGCGAAGAACTAGCGGTTCCGAAATTATTTCTTTACTGGCCATTGTTCTAATGTACGCATAGTAATGTTCTACGAGAAGGAAGCCCTCAGGGAAATTAATATGAGCTCTATTATGTCGAAACTTTCAATAGGGACATATATTGTAGCCCGCCTTGCTCGTATGGCTGTCAATTCTTTCTTTGCTTATACCTGGGTTTAGAGCTTGAACCTGCCATGTTCCTGTAGGCTGGTTTACTTGGTTTACTCTATTTTCGCATAAATTGCATAGAGCAGCTAGTTCAATTTATTGGTCAAGCTTGTGGCTTGCCCAATTCATTCAACTGTTCCTTAGATAGAAAGATCAAGCTTAGAGAGCCCGCCAAAGTGCATATAATTTCATAATGCCAGACAAACAACCAAGTCGACAAATGTAAAACAACATTGAATTCCACAGCCTCTTGAAATGCAGTACATCGACTACTAATCCTGCAAGCACGCGCTGGAGGATAGTGGTAATCTCGATGGTTATAGTACTATGGAGATAGATTAAGCACCCATGATCTTGTCCAGTTGACTGCAACCCCCAAATAAATACCAAACCTGCCCCAAGTTGGCATAAGTACAACCTCCATTTCTCCCGGGCCAGCAATAGCGGGCACCCCTCACAGGCCCCATTCAACAGTCATCGTTACTGCACATGCAAGAAAAGGCAAGACAGCGATAGCATCTGTAGCCGAGTCGAGCACAAGTGGCCATGCAGATTGGTGCGGTGCACCATCCTTGAAAACCTGCAAAATTCGAGTCTAGCGCGGAAGATCAATATATGCTCGGATGCCTATGCGAAGTCTTGTCCTAAATACATACCAAACTTGATGGACAAACCCTTTTCGGGAAATGAAAAGCCCTCCACAGACCCACTGTGCGCAGCAGGTGTTGCTGTTGGTGTCCTCGTTACGGCAGAGGCACCGAGGCTGGCGCAGGCAACAAGGATAAGTGAGGGCTTCATCTGAAGATACTTTTTAAAGTTCTCGACAATAGTTTAATAAGGTCTCCTCCCACCTAGTTACTTCTTTATGGCTAACTTTATAGCAACAAGGGGTAGTTTGCTTGGGAAGGAGCCCACTATTTATACCCTGAAGCAGTAGCTAGACGCCTGTGCTAGGCGTTTTGAGCTGCTCAGGCTAAAAATACGACATTATAGTCGTTTTTCCCATGAACCCAGCATGCTTTTACATCAATGTCATTATATCGGTTCTGGGCTTTTCTTCAGCTATACAGATCAGGAAATGTCTCATACTAAAAAGCTTGGTTTACACGGTACATTCGCTCTTGAACGCCCCCAAATCGTAACACGATTGAATATTCAGCTCATTAAAGTTACCGAGAGCAGGGGTATCCCATTTATAGTGTCCTTGTTGTCAACTGCTGCGCGTGAGACAGGGCTCCCGAAATAGTGGTAGAACAGCCGTAGGAGGGAGCCCACAGTGTCATGCGGTATATTGCAACCGCCAAACGACATGGATACAGCGTAATATCAATAGACTGTTTTGGCCAGGTTACTTGATGCAGCCAGGTAGCATTTCCGCTGTCAAGCATATTGACCCGTTTGTACAACAAGATGTATTTGTGGCACAGTACATGGGAGTATATCAGACTGTGTACGACTAACGATAGCTTCTCTGCGCCATATGTTTCACTGAATTTGTGTATACGGTTGTTTCCTCGCTGGGCTTATCTATCACTACGGATTAGACGGCATTCTGACATCGGCCGAACTATGCACTTGAAATATCCCGGAGCTTCCCCAAAACATGAGATGTCACAAACCGGACGACGTTTGTGCGACGAACCCAGTTCATTCTGCGTGGCAATCAAACTAAGCTCTACAAACTCAGATGGGATAGTAACACTGCTGGAATTGACAATTTTGTGCATTCATATACATATCAATGAATAGTTTATGCTACAAGCACCCATATCCCGAAATTCGAAGTTCGTGTGGTTGTATTCCAGAATTCCGAGTTCATCTCACATACCAGGTTTGTTGATGTGAGTGAGCTACAAAAGCATAGGCAACTGCATAGGCAAGAACCATTATTAAACCGGCAGTTGCGAAGAGATTGTAGGCAGAATACTATTCAATACGCCAAATTGACCAGAGTCATACAGGGCCGTATAGCATCCAGTGTATCTGTAGGAGTACGTACGTTGGTGCCTCTTTCGGGATCAAGTTGTCCATTGCATAATCGGCATGGTGGAAGAGATTCCACAGTAGGGTGTGATGAGAGGCCTTGTATTGGTGATACAGCACATATGGACTACATGGACTTCTCCTCCCGCTTCAGTCATACGTTCAGGACCCTTGGGCGTTGTTCCAACCTACACTGGAAAAAGCTCAGACGTAACACGTACACAAGCGTGTATACACACAAACGTATGTTCAACGATCTAATTCTCTAGCTTCATCTATACAGCAGCAGCATACTTATAAAGACTGAAACAAATTCAAGTGCAGTATCATCCATAAAAAACATCATGTCGCATCATGAGAGAGATACCCGATCAATACCTTGTTCTCATAATCACCCAAACCCCCGTTTAAATGACACGCCATTCCTTCATCGCTACGTTCACCGGTCATATAGCTTACTCAGTCCAGTCGGAGAGATCCATCCCGATCTCCCACTTTGTCGAGAGCATCCGTAATATGAGAGCCCTCCCCCTCGTAGAGGAGAGAGTCGTAGGTTGCAGCCCCCACGATGCAGCCAATAATTGGGGCGAACAGAGGGACGACAAAGTAATAGTTGGCTGCAGTGAAGACCTCTCTACCATAGATAATGGCAGAGAACAGCCTCGGACCGAAGTCTCTCGCCGGGTTGATAGCCTAGGTAATTAGTTTAGTCAACTATCCAAGTACTCATTGTACTCCAATTCCAAGGAGGCACGTACATATCCGGTCTGCCAACCCAAAGAAGCACCGATCGCAAGCAGGAGTAGAAAACTGGAGAGTTGGGGAGAATAGAACCGAGGAGCATTTGACGGGTCTGATATGGTAAGACCTCCAAACATAAGCACCGCTGATCCAAGCACTTCGTTAAAGGCAGCCTCCCAATTCGACCCCAAAGTGGAGGCAGGATAAGTCGAGAAGATGCCTGCCGAATGGTGTCCCTGAGGACTCAAAATCGATCCACCTGGAATGGTATACTCGGGATCCCAGGACTCAATGGCCGACCGGTAGTTGATGTACACAAGGGCCGCACCAACAAAACCACCCAGAAACTGGGCGAACAGTTTACCTGGCAGCTTTTTCCATTGTCCTGGTGTAGGACGAATGAGGGCCGTACATATGGTGACGGCAGGGTTGATGGTGGGACTGGGATCAGCAAGATAGCCGGAGATGCAGACCGCAGCTGCCCAGGACATGTTGATAGAGAGCCAAGTGCCATACTGATAATCCGATAGGAGACATTGTGCGACCACTCCATCTCCAAGGACAATCAGGAGGGCTGTTCCGAGGAATTCGGCAGCATATGGTTTCAGGACTCCCCGAGGGAGGCTAGACATGTTGAGAAACATCTTTCTCGGCCCGATGAAGCGATTGACACTCGGGAGAAAGAAAAACAAAGAGAAATAGAGATGGGAGGGAGGGGAAGCTGAAGTCGATGGAGTTGACGATCTGCAGATTCGCTGATTTCACCGCCCCCAGTCGGGTAATCCGAGATATCCACCGGAATTGCCTAATACGGAATAGTGTTACTCTCGCGTGATGGACGCGAGAATGAATCCTCTTTTTTTTTTTTTTTTTTTTTTTTTTTTATAAAGACTCAAATCGACTGAATTTGGGCTCTTCGGGAGTCAGTTATATAAATCAGGTATTTCAAGTGGTAAACACATATTTATCCTATTCTATTCCACCACACTGGACTCGTGGAGCCAATCAGGGTTTGCCGTGCGTCATCGTGCAAGGGTCCCCAGTGGTGGATCATTCTGAACAATCTGAGCGTCCAGGCCAGTGTTGCGAACTTGCGAGACGTTTAGTCAATGCTGCTAATCTCTTCTTGGCATGAACCTTGAGTATAGCTTAAACAGCTACTTCCAATGAATATCGAGGTGCGCCGAAAAGACTCTATAAATATTCTACATTTATTCTCTTTGCTGACTTGTATCATGAAACCCTACTTTACCTAAGCGTGCTAACGAAATTCATCGACTACGTGCTCGCAAAGCACATGGGAACTAACCCATGGAGCTCTCTGTTTTAATTTTTTTTATCTAATTACCTCTACTCATGTCACCACAGAAGCAACAGGTATCCCGTGGCATTGACCCCTAACGCAGATTGATCAAATATTTAAACCTGAGAAAGCCCGACTGTCCTGCTGCGGTTATAAAGGCCTCTCGGCTACGTTAACCTGTTATTATAGGTTATCTCGAGTGAAAGAAAGCCCTGACTTTGTTGTATTAATGTTCCAGGAGTATGAGGAGTGGCCTTCATGTAGAATACCATAGCATTTTACGTATTCTTTCCATGATGATGTGGAGAGTGTCAGCTTGTGAGTAACGGTGGATGGTATGGTCCAACCTCCTCTGACAATTCAGGTGGGTGGTAACAGCAATGACAAGGACTTATTGCCTTCCACAGAATTCAGATCTCTGAGGGATGAACCAATGGTAAGTGGCTTGGGAGCTGGCTCCTCTTGCCATCTTTTTCTTTTTTTGACCAATCTACGCCTGTCCCATGATAAAAGTCGTATCCAGTAAAAGCAGCTGTCAATGATCATCAGAACATACTTGAGATTGACACAAACCTGAGCCTTTGGTGTTGTTGTTAGGCATTTGCCCGGTACGCCAGGAGTCTCGGTAAATATGGAAAACATTCATAATGATGCGAATTGATCCATACATATAAGATGGTAAACACGTGCAAGTAATTGGCTCCTCCTTATGAGCACAATTTCCGGTGTGGGCTATAGAGGAACTGCAAATACGCGTGGCGTCTTGCGACGGACCGATTGGTTATCAGCATGATGCTAATTGTACAAGTCCACAATATCACGGCGATACCACGGCGAATTAACAAATTCCCGCGCAGGAACCTGCGGATGGCCCATTAGGCCCTGGACCATGCATCCCATTTAATCCTATTTATTCCCCGAGCCGACTTGAAACATAAGGTTGGCTTGGCAATTCTTGGAATCTCTTGGCTCACTGTCGGTAATTTGACCCTGCGGGATTTGGCCTGCGGTTATCACCCATTCCCGATGATATCAAGGACCGGAGATCATTGTAGGTTAGTAGTTTGAGCAGTATCAGAGCACTCTTCAGACATCTAAAGCTTATGTCAACAAAAGAAAAATAACAATTGGCCCATAGACTTTCTGCAATCGCGGAACGTCTCTCTCTGCGGCAGGACTTCCCGCTTGTCCGTTCCACGGTTACTAGTAGTTTGACGGTGGAACTAATGCTCGTACCGCCGTCTCTAGTAGCTGAGCTTGCTGCGCCACAGAGAAGGTTCCGTTAGAGTGAAACAAGCAGGGTCTCTAATATAGCTAAATAGCCAAAGAAGTCCATTAGAAGACCAGGGCTCTCCCCCGTTATTCCCAATCAGGCAGACCATGCCGCAACCCATATTATAGCCCTTGATTGTGCGAGGCCTATCGTTACAAGACTTGGCAGGAGTTGATCCGGGATCAGCCCGAATCAGGAGTCAAGTCCCTTTGGATTATCTCACCACACGGACCCGGAAATTACCCTTTAGACACTAACTAACTATTGAGGGACAAAACTACTGACACATTACCACCAATCGGATGTCCGGAGAAAGCCCAATTGTCGCGGGCTGATACTCAAAGAAGCCTTGATCCTTCCGCGCCAAACAGACCGTGCCAACTGAAAGGTCGGCAAATGCTCAGCGGATGTAGGCTCGAGTGGAGACCCCATCCATAGACCCCATCCAAAGAGCTCAGGGTCGTGTTCTAGTGGACTTCTAAGCAGAGCTTCAAGCTGACCGCTGTTTCGCCTTTACACCCAGTTTTTCAACCATACCGTGTGTGGTAAATTGAAACAAGACATACCAAGACCATTAAATTGTTCATTCATATGTGAACATTCAATACTTGGGTCTGGATACCCCTAGAAGAAGTATAAATTCTTCATCATTACCCTTCTCAGAATCTTTCAGACAAGCAGAGCAGCAATCAAATCAAACTTCTTTTCGCTATCAGCCATTCCTCGTATTCCACCATGTACCAGAAACTTCTCCTCGTTCCCCTCCTCCTCACCTCGGCTCTGGCCAGCCCTCACGATGCTTCTTCGCACCAGAGGTTCCACCAGCTGAACGAGCGCGCTGCATTCCCCATTCCCGCTTCCAAGGGTAGCCAAACCTTTAAGGAACCTTACTACGTCAAGGGTACCTATGATGGTGGCATGAAGACCTTCGGCCGTGGTGTCAAGTGTTCCGGTCAGAAGGAGGGTGGCGACAAGGACGCTGTCTTCATCGTCGCCGATGGTGGTATCCTTCGCAATGCCATCATTGGTGCTGACCAGATTGAGGGTGTGCACTGCGAGGGTTCTTGCACTATTGAGAACGTCTGGTGGCAAGAGGTCTGCGAGGGTAGGTTCATTCGCCATCTCACCTCTTCTCTCTCCTATTCATAGTGTTCAACAAACTGACCAACATGTATAGATGCTCTCACCTTCAAGGGTACCGGCAACGGTGTCCACAAGGTCATTGGCGGTGGTGCCCAGGGTGCCGATGACAAGGTCATCCAGCACAACAGCGGTGGCTCTGCCATCATCCAGGACTTCACTGTCCAGAACTTCGGCAAGCTGTACCGCTCCTGCGGCAACTGCAAGAAGCAGTTCAAGCGTACCGTACAGATCAGCGGTGTCAAGGCCAGCAACGGCAAGACTCTTGTCGGCATCAACCCTAACCTCGGCGACTCGGCCACCATTGACGGCTGTGCTAGCAGCATTAAGGAGATCTGTGTCGAGTACCAGGGTACCGACAACAACGGCAAGGAGCCCAAGAAGGTTTCCTCCGGCCCCAGCAACACCTGCAAGTTCAAGGAGCCCCTGGCTAGCTGCTAGATCATGTGGTTGGGGAACAGGGAAAACCTAAAGAGGTGAAGGTCTTAGCTGTGGTCACAACACTATTGTATTTTTAACTTCTCATTCGTTCATTATTAGTTAGAATCATACATTTTATAGACCGAAACACTTTAATAATTCCTTAAACATTCCCCACGTCGGGGGGGGCCGACCAAATTGCGTCCTTGTATAGTCTCGCAATGCGTTCTTGAGCTACGTAGAAGGGGTCTATAGGACACAGCAATTGCGAGTCCATCCAAGTCCAATCTAGAGCGCTCACAATAGGAGTAAATTTTAAGTGGCAAATAATCCAGACATGTCATATCCATATATACTTGCGATTAGTTACCAACTGCCAGCCATCCGTCTTGTATTTGCTAAGTGCAACACATTCCTTCGCTAGGAAATCCCAATTTGGCGAGACTTATGAAGCCCTTTCGTATATGCAAAGGTGCTACATAACTAAACACTCTAGCAATTATCAAATGAGGACCCGAGGCCAAAAGTTTTCTGAAATGCCAAGATCCAACAACAAAACAATCTTCCTTTTTCCAACCCTTTGCATAGAAGTACATCGAAGATTGCTTAGAAATATAGCATCACTATCGAACACGACTAGTTATATGAGTCATATCACCTTGAACAGTCTTGTATTTATAATCAAGGTTACCAACGATCGCGGTGATTCTGCTAGCAGCTAAGCGTTTTCAATTACAGATGCCAAGCGTGAATACGAGGCCCATTACTTGGTACGAAGCACGATGTCGTTCCCTTGCGATTTCGCTAGAAATCATGCATAGGGCAATAGGGAGCTCCATCCAGCCCGCAAGGTATAAAAGTTAGACTAAGGCCAGGGAATAAAGGGAGCAACTCAATCGAGGAAACTGTCTATCTCTAGCATTACCAACGACTCTCCAATTACTATTGACGAAGTCTACTTTCTTGATCTTTTGGCATTCTTTACGAAAACAAAATCAATGGCATCATACTCGGGCAAAAACGTGGTCATAATCGGTGGTAGCCATGGGATCGGTCTATCAACAGCTCAGCTTCTGGTTGACGAGGGTGCAAAAGTCCTCGTCACCGGTCGTAGCCTTGAACCCATTGAAGCAGCAAAGCAACAGCTGAAAAATAAGGCCGAAATTGTGCAGTGCGATATCACTTCCACCGCGGCCATATCTAATCTTGTTCAGACGGCGCAGTCCTCTTTCGGTTCTGGACAAGGCATTGATCTTCTGTTTGTCAACGCTGGTTATGCTTCTTTAGAGTCATTCGCTACAGTATCAGAAGAGTCTTTCCGACGAACATTCGACACTAACGTGTTCGGTGCTTTCTTTGTCGCGCAAAAGCTATCCCCTCTCCTTAAAGATGGCGGTTCCATCGTATTTACCACCTCGGTCGCAAATCAGGTTGGCATCCCTGGCATGGCGACATACTCCGCCTCGAAGGCTGCCGTCCGGTCGTTTGTGCAGACATTGGCAGCCGAACTGGTTAGTCGAAAGATCCGAGTCAATGCGGTCTCCCCCGGTTTTGTGAAGACCCCAACTATGGGTGTTGCAAGTGCCTCCAGTGATGATCTACGGGAGTTCGAAAACCAGGGTGTCCAGACTACACCCCTAGGTAGGATTGGAGAGCCGATCGAGGTCGCGCGTGCCGTTTTGTTCCTCGCTTTCGAGGCTACCTTCACGACGGGCTCGGAGGTGACACTTGATGGTGGGCTGGCGTTACTGAAGGCACATTAGTGAGACATTGTTGAACCTGGGCGAGGGAACGCTACTGTGGGTTTTACTATACGTATGCTAGGTAATGTATAGATAGAATGAAGGTATTACAAAGGCCTAGATATCACCTTTGTCTGTGATCATCTTCTCAAAATTAGATCGTGAGCAATCAATTGTCATCAATGCCAGCTTTCCCCTCCACTGTATATCTCAACGTTATCTCAACGTGAGAGCTGATAACCAGGGTCATTTAAACATTTTTTCAAACATATACACCATATTAATGTATGAGCTATCAGAGATAGGTGGGCGTTACATCCTATTGGCTCCACCGTGTCTTGCACATCTCGCCTTCGTGAAGTCAGATATCCAAGTTTGTCGTCACCTTCATTCTGGGCAGCAGATTAGGAGGGGCTCGCTGACCAAAAGTGGAAGTGTAAAGTAGTGACCTAATAGAATAAATGGTTTATTTGCTATATGCTACCATAAAGTAATAGGATGAACAACGAAAATAGGTTTAGCACAGCATAGAATGCTAGAAATCCATCAATCCAAAGTCTTCTCCACCTCAAAGTATTCAATCAGCGCTGATAGATCCTCGCCCCTATGCCCCCCACCCACTGCTTTCTCTATCAACGCTTTAATTGGAAGGATCATCTGCGACGAAACCCCCTGCTCCTCGCCAGCTTTGAGAATGTTTTCTACCCCGGCCAATTGCATTCCCAGGTTAGACCCCTGAGTGGTGTAGTCACCCTGGTCGATCTGTTTCGCGATAGAACTAAGATATCCCATCATTGCCGACAACCATGGAGTTAGAAGCGGCAATAGCCCGGTAGCGGTAGTACCCTTCTCGGACTTGACCAGAGCAACCGCATGCAGAAACCCGGAGAAGAGACCGTACATTCCCGACAACAGAGCTAAATCATGCAGAGAGGCAGATCCTGCATCGGTACCGAGGAATTTATTCATTCCAAGGAGAGATAGGTAGCTTTCAATACTCTGGAATAGCTCAAGAGACCCTCCACTGTAAAGCAGGACAGCGAGCGGAGAGCCAATCATGGTGGGAACAGCCATAATGCCGCCGTGGATGTAGTGTGCTCCGTGGGAGGTGACAAAATCTGCGAGTTTGCGAGCCTGGTTTGGCGTCCCATTGGTAAGGTTGACAATAATCTTACTGGGTAAAGCGTGAAATGCATCCCGTAGAATGTCCTCGACAGCTTGATTGTTAAGGAGGCACATAATGATGAGATCACTGGCGTCTAACCCTTCCGAGATTGTAGAGGCTAGCTGGGCACCCTGCTGAACGAGCGGAGTTGCCTTTGCAGAGGTTCGATTCCAAACGGTTGTTCTGTGACCATGTTCGAGGTACTTGGCTGCGAGGGCCGTTCCCATGGCTCCGAGTCCGAATATGCTTATGTGCTTAGACATTGTAAGGTATGGATGATTGTGTTTGTCTCGTTGGGAGGCTGGAAGTAGACCATCATCACAGACCCGTTTGTATTCACACGGTTCTTATGAAATCACTATCAGTGCATCTTGCTGTGACTCAACGCTGATTTGAAATCAATGATTAATAAGATTATATTGTCCCTGCTTCCAGGTAGCTCAAACTCCTATATCGAAGCTCGTATTCGAAACTTGGCAACAAACCCCAATTGAGGCATGCCACGGTTCCGAGGTAGGAGTTTCCAGTTGTCTTCTAGCACTAGCTTGATCAGACGTCGTTCGTTGTACGTCCTTTCTGGAGGTGAGAGTTAGCCTATGCGGATTTACTACATTCATTGGCTAGCTATAGAGAGTAGGCCCTACGAGGCATGGGTTGCATATATATATTTTGGACTTTAAGTTTGGCTTTCTAGGCCCATCAGGCAAAAGCACCTTAAATAGTACCACCAATCTAATTCCAAAGCTGTTTTCAAGGTGCATAGTAGCTGTATCATGCTAGGCTCCGGTTCATGGTAAGGTTACTATCTTTGAAGGACCTATAGATGTCAACCTCTTCGGGGAACATTTGCATTATCTTGGGCTTATTTTTAATAGATATTTTAGGGATATATTATTAATTAGTTGGATTAGCAACCAAGAACTGGCCGGCTGGCCCAATGGCAAGGCGCTTGACTACGAATCAAGAGATTGCAGGTTCGATCCCTGCGTCGGTCATTCTTTTTGCAGTTTTTATTGCATCTGTTTCCACCCCAACTTCATCACGACACGCATAAACACTCGCATCAAATCAATCGCTCGCATCTAACTATCACTAATTAATATTTGGCCTCAATGTGGTTTTAATGGGACCTGAAAATCTCTATTTGTCCAACTTCCCCAAAGATGCCATTCAAAATTCGGATAACCCTACCTTAACGATATGAGCATACGTTCATTTCTTTGTCCCTGACCAGATTACTTGAGGTTGTTGGCATTGTAGACGCAGACACTCTATTTGTAGCCGGGCCTTAGACGACTCCGTGGGATGGACACATCGCCAAAGGCATACTAGTAGCATCATGGTCGATGGGGTCCATCTAGGCGCAGGATCTCGACGCCGATCACATCTCCCATGTCCACCTTTCTTCCGGTGGGAAATGATCCGCTCACAGTACTACTGTGTAGGTTTTTCCTCGGGAGTATATAGGTACATACTTTGCATCATAGTATACCTTTAGAGTCAGGTATTATCAATTGTAACCCAAGTATCATGTATCCGTCTGATGTTCAATTCGTTGTCGGTCTTTCCGGATATTTCGTGAAAGACCTCCAAGCAGTCCGACAGAGCCCAACATATGATCCACTAATTGATAACATACCCCCTCAAACACCGGGTTTCAAGAGCGTGGTACAAGCCGGTCAAGCTATCTCTATCCTACTTCATCTCCCAGACGGTACAATTGCAGTTGGCGACTGTGCCGACGTGATCTTTTCTGGAGCTGCGTCTCGGGACCCCCTCTTCATCGCCGAAGAGCATCTCCCTATCTTAGAATCTGTCGTTAAGCCTCGACTCCTTGCATGCGACGTTACTCGATTCCAGAACAATGCAATCATAATGGACGGGCCATGGCCTGAGTTACAGCATGGTAAATTGCACTCCGCCGTTAGATATGGGATTACCCAGGCGCTTCTCGCGGCCACCGCATTGGTGCATCGATGCAGCATGGCCGAGATCATATCGCGCGAATGGGGGACTGCATTGTCACGTCATCCGATTGACATCTTGGCCTCTTGTCACCGGAACGATCATTTACAATTGGACCGCATGATTATGAAACAAGTCGCAATGCTTCCCCATGCCTCCTTTGTGCATGTCGACGACATAGGGCCCCAAGGCAAAACGTTAATCGACTACATCGAGACGGTATCTCAACGGGTTCAAGAGCGAGGAAGCCCTGGATACCGTCCACGACTTCACTTCGACGTCTACGGAACAATCGGTGATCTATTCCCCGACAATGAGGATTTGGCATCTTTCCTGGGCCAGCTACAGCGATCCGCTCAGCCATACGATCTGCTCATTGAATCCCCAATCATCGCACCCACTCAGTCCGAGCAAATCCGACGACTGGTAAATCTGCGGCAACTCCTGCGAAAGCGGTCGATCCAGGTCCAGATTGTGGCCGACGAATGGTGCAATACGCTCGAGGACATTCGGAAATTCGCTGATGCAGACGCCGTGGATTACGTGCAGATCAAGATGCCTGATCTGGGAGGGGTCCATAACACCATTGATGCCGTACTTTATTGCCAGCACAAGGGCGTGGGCTGCTGTCTTGGAGGATCGGCCAATGAAACCGATGTTTCCGCCCGGGTTACGGCGCATGTTGCCTTGGCCACGCAACCAGGCTTCCTGCTCTCCAAGCCTGGGATCGGTGCTGATGAGGGCGTCATGATCCTTACCAATGAGATGTTGCGTGCGTCGGCCTTGGTGTGGAGGACAAGAACGAATAAGTTGTAAAAGGTTTGGATGGGAAGACCTCGTGGCTACCTGAGCCCTGATGTGTGGGGACGGAGTCTAGTTTAATTGATTGATTAGTGGCGGTTGGTCAACTGAGGATACGTAGTATAACAATTCAACTAGTCTACCCCTCTTCTTGTCTATGCAGAACCCCCTCTTTCTGCGATTTTAGTTGCATGTACCAAGTCGAGCGGCCCGCCAACAAATGGACTGAACTGAACGAACTGTACTCCGTATATCGCCGGGTCCCCCGCTGGCTGCCCGGTTACAAGTTGGCAATTACTAGCGTTCTGCACGATTTCGGTGGATCTTTTCTTATTCAACAAGTAATTCATACGAACTTCCCCACTTGAGCTTCATGGTCTCACAATTTTACTGTGCATCGTGGGTAAGGACCCCCCCCGCCACACGATGATATGCTGTTTCCTTGCTTTGCTACCCCATTGCCAAAATTTCTTTGGCAAAGAGGCATAGGGTAATTGATCGAGAGCAGCTTACAAGCGGTCAGTTGAGCAAGTTTCTCGAATCACTTGTCCAAAGAGGTTTCTAGTTTTCGCGATAAGGAGAGTCCCAAATTGGTCCTGGAAGAGTTGAAGCAGAAACGGAGTATATTTCATAGAGGGGAGGCTAGGAGGACAGGTTAAAATTATTCATAGAAAACCTTCGCCTTGAATCCCCCCAGAGTAACATTCTCCCCCAAATCGGTGGGAGATCTAGTCCAGTTCTTCTTGATCCTCGTCCGGGTCCACTCAGGAGCCGGAATATCGATGTCGGTGGTATCTTTATGATACCCCTCTCTCCGAAGCAACGGGCTATCCACACTCTTCAATTTCAAGCGATCGCTTGGCCGCACAAAGTACAGGAGTCCCAGCCGATCGTGGTGTTGCTGGTCCTCAGGGGGTACGATCACGCGGTGCACGCCGCTCTTCAACCATCCATTCGACAGCATGGTCATGATATCGGCGATGTTCACTGATAGTGTGCCTGGACGGATCGGGAGGTATTCCCATTCCGAATCGTCATATTTCTTGACCTGGAGGGCGGCGACGGGCTGCTGGAACACAAAGGTGATGGTGCCGTTGTCCGTGTGTCCACGGGAGTAGAGATGCTTGTATTTCTCGTTCTCTTCCGGTGAGCGGGCCCGGTAACACATGTAGCGGAGGCCGCTGTCGCATTCGGCCTCATAGCGATGTCCGTCCACAAGCTGATCTTCTGGGAGTTCCAGAATGATTGCCAGCAGCCGGAAAAGTTTATACGCAATATGCTCGTGGCAGTGGCGGTGGAATTGCTCGATTTCCTCCCAGTAGCGTCTCACTACGTCTGGGTGAGTCCGATCGTACTGGGGAAGGAATTTCATGATGTTGTAAAATTCGATGTTGTCGCGCAGTCCGGGCAGGATCTCAATCGAACCCAGAGGTCGGTAGCCATTGTAGATTCCCTCTTCTAAGGGGGCGCGGAAACTCAGTCGTTCTTTCTCTGGGAGCGAGAAGAACTCTTTCGCGATGGCGAACTGCCGGTCGATTTGTTCTTGAGTGAGACCGAAATTGGTTACGTAGAAGAAGCCTGTTCAACTGCACATCAGCTTGGTGTTCTGTTGGATCGATGAGATAGGTAAGAAATAATATAGTATATACCAACTTCGTGAGCAGCCTGCTTTAGCTGTGCTGCGAGCTTCTCTTTTCCGCCAGGGCGATCAAACTCCGACAGATCAATTGTGACCAAGTCCGCATATTTCACTGGGTCGTCTCAGTACTTTGTGTTTGGTGATCGGATCCCTGGCTACTCACAGTCTTGCTTTGACTCGGGAGGATGAACATACGTTTCCAGAGGCTTCGTGGATTTGGTTAGGGGTACTTCTACTACCGACTCCGTTTGAGTGGCCATGGCGTGTGAAGCTCAGCGTAGTTGACGGGAGATCAAACAGGATACTGGTAGATGTTGGCTAACATTCCCCTTGTCCTTTATTGTCCTTTATTGTCCTATTAGTAGCCACGCAAGGTGGAATGGCTTGCAGTCCATTGGCTGTCCCTCGGATAATCTCGGTCTCAAGGCCCAGGTCAGAATGCAGCTGACGTCGTGCATCAGATTCGACTCTGTCCCCGTCTATGCTGCCCCGCTTCCCATTTCCATATCCCCGATAAGTCTCTGTATGTTTGGGACTCCGCCGACTTGTGGAGATCCTTACCCTAAGAGTATAAGGACACAGATGAATGGGGCCCTCTTCTAGGGGACCATGCATATGAGGGGCTGGCGATATGCAAAGCCCCCTCCTCCATGAGGGGCAATCCCCGTGTTGTATCGCTCTGCGAGTATGGTGGGTCTGGGATGACGTTCTGCGGGATCTATTGCTCATCTTTTGGACTGCTTGTTGGTTGTATGTGCGAAACCCAAGCTACAGAGCGCTGGTACCTATATGGACAGGCTAGGTGTATCACTAACTTCACGAAACGAACGAGAGAAGGCGTCGGGATTCGATGCGTTCCCTCATGCGTAAGAAGGAATGTCTGGGGATCTAACATGTGTTGATATTTCGTCTGCATCCCTCGCCAAGCAGGGTTATGATCGGGATCCAAAGTGGCTGATTTATAGTCCAAAGGGACCAGTGTCTCGGTCGACATAGTAATCCACATTGGTGTGACTTTGTCTCCAGAAGGATCATCAACATTTTCCTTGAATGTCGTTATTATATTACAAGGTATCGTTGCACCTGGTCTATCGTACATCTATAATACATGAGAAGGGAATATCGAGGCCTAGGCCTGGGCCTCACGTAAACACGAGCTTAGCGACGCTCGAGGACCTTGAGGACCAGCTCATAGGTACCAATTGTAATAGCAGCAGAAGGAACGGTCCGAAGGAGATGTGCCGTCAAGCCTCCATACAGAGCAGCTGCACCCTCCTCCTTCAGAATCAACCGCGCACATTGAAGGATTCCGGTGTACTTCTGGCGACCGTCTGCCATCGGAGCCTGTCGTAATCTAGTCCTGATAACCTGCGACGGGTTAGATGATATATTCTGATCTGAAAAGAGTATTTTCGGAGCGTACCTCATGGGGATACGCGATCAAACACGCGATCAACTTTGACAAGCCCGACGCTCCACTCATAGCAAGGCCTTGAACAAGTCCATTTGTATCGCTCTTTTCATTGAGGTCAATCTTCTTCGAGATCATCCCCTTGAACCTCTCATACATTGCCAAGTGCAATGTCGTCTCAATTGTACCTAGGAAACTCGCTGACAAGCCCCGATAAAAGCCCTTTGGTCCCTCCTGTTGCAGAACCTGCCGGGCGCAATCCAGACTATTCTTGTATCGTCGGGCCCCGGCCTTATCCAGCTGAAGTCGCGTCTTAACCACCCAGATCGGATTTGTGGCCGAGCCGGTGGCAATCCCGGCGCATGCAGCGGACAGGGCGTGTACCAGTGATGAATCCTTCTCACATCCGATAATTTCCGGAAGAAGCCGTTTGCAGTTTCCGTATGTGTAGAACTTGACGGCGCTGGCCGGAACGACTCCGGTCAGACTGGGTCCGAGACCCTTGAAGAGACCTCGCCAGCCTTCCACGCGGTGAATGGAGAAGAGAATCTCGAATGTGTCGCGGAAGTGAAGGAGGGAGGTGCGATAGAATGATGCACGAAGATGGGGCTGTGTAGGAACCGGATGAGACTTCGCTGCTTGGGTTTGGTAATAGTCGGTTTGTAACCTATAGTCGTATCGAATTGTGTTAGCCTACTGACACAATCTGTGCAAGCAAGATTTCTGCGACTGTATCGTACCTGGTTCGGAGGACATCGAGTGGGCTTGTGAGAACCGCCGTGACCATTCCACCTGCGCTGTATTGACACGACTCTTAGTATATAGGCCATAGAGTATTCCTTCCAGGACCACTCACGCGCCAGCGATCAAATGAGACCACGATCCTAAAGACGACACATTGGGCTTTGCTGGCAAGGCCTCTGTCGGGAGTGGCGACGCGAGCGATTCTCGCGCCACGTCCCCCGGCTTGTGCGCGATGTTTTGCATTTTGGTAAGAGAAAGAGGGTGCTTAATTTGTTTTTCACTTTGCCTGCTGCATTGGATAAAGGAAAATAAAGTAGAGATTCCCACCGAAAAAACGACAAAAAGAAAGAATGGCGCCCTTTTGCTGGCTTGTTTTTGCGGAGATACAAAATAGTTCCCGGAGTGAAAATTGAAAGTCCGACTTTTTGCGGAGTGGAGACTAATGGTCCGCTTCTGATTGGTTGCCGGCTTCAGGGCCGACGGTCTGGCCGCCTTATCGATAAGCTTATCGATATCAGCCATCGAAATCAGGTGTCTATCCCGGGAAGAGAACCATAGCCCATGCTATATCTGTTATATCTACGCCCTTAGTAGTTAGTACTGAGAGTATGAAGTGTTACCTTTGATGGAACTGATGCTTACCCTCACGCCTGCTGAGCTGGAGGGCCAAGGATATATAGCACGGGTTCTTCGGTCGTCCAGAGACCTGATTTACCCTGTAATGTCTAATGGGCTATATTAAAATCCCTAGCAAGATGACATAGCGCTGGAAGTGATTGACGATAGGTTACGATAGTTCCAAGATGTAGAGAAGCGCAGGACCCCTGGCCGAGGTCGATCTAGTGGTAGAATACGGAGACATCGTGATCATTTTAGATTAGTGAACAACCCCGATCAGTCGGGTTTACCCCACGAAACCTAAATGATGAACTTACCCCTTTGATAGTGGACCTTCTGGGTCGATTTATCCTTCAGCTTATACTTAGAGGATTGCGGGCAGTAACCCTGTAAACATGAGTATAAACCGAGGTCAACCGAGATCCATGTGCTATCCAGATGATGAGGATAAATACCACGACTGCCTCCCAGCACAGGGCTGGGGGATTCCGAGATCTACTCCCTTATCCCATTGTCTCACCATTGAATTGGAGATCTAATTGAAACGGTGGACAGATACATCACATCTACAGGTCAAAGTCAAGCCAACGACAAGATGGCAGCTACCGGAGGTTCAGTGTATTCTTACAAATATTTCACGGTCCATTTTCCTGCAGCACGACCATATGTTGCCCATGTCGAGATCAACCGCCCAGAGAAACTAAATGCATTTATTGAGCCGTATGTTACAGGCAACTGGGCATAGCGCCCTTTGGCAAAAGCTTGCCACGGACGTTGCTGACGCTGGGTATAGAATGTGGCTCGAGATGCGTCAAGTTTTCGACCAACTTTCTTCTGATTCTTCTGTCCGTGCAATTGTCCTCACCGGTGCGGGAAGCAAAGCTTTTACTGCCGGACTGGATGTCAAACAGGCTCCCCAAGTGCTCTCCAGTGATAAAGGTGGTTCCGACACTGCACGCAACGCAGTCAACATTCGACGCTATATCCTTCAGTTTCAAGACTGCCTTACTGCCATTGAGCGCTGCGAGAAGCCTGTCATTGCTGCTATGCATGGATATTCGTACGGGTTTGCGATCGACATTTCTGCGGCTGCCGATGTCAGGATATGTACTCGGGATGTTCACCTCTCCGTCAAGGAGGTCGATATTGGTATGGCAGCAGATATTGGCGTATTAAGCCGACTACCCAAGATTGTAGGCAATTTTGGCTGGGTGAAGGAAGTGGCACTTTCAGCCAGGATCTTTGGTGCAGAAGAGGCGCATAGAGTGGGATTCGTGAACTCGATTCATGATTCGAAAGAGGTGATGGTGGGAGCGGCTTTGGATATTGCCAGTCTTATTGCACAAAAGAGTCCGGTTGCTGTGCAAGGAACGAAGGAACTATTGAATTGGTCCAGAGACCATCCTATTGCCGAAGGTAAGGAGTCTTTGGGACTTGTCCTCCCGTCTCCAGCTTGTCTGATTTTTGATTCCTACACCTGTGGTCGTCCAATAGCTAACGAATGCCATCGTTCTGAAGGTCTTCGCTACACGGCTGTCTGGAATAGTGCTGCTATACAAACAGGCGACGTGTCCACGGCTTTGATGGCTGGCATAGAAAAACGCACGCCGACGTTTGAAAAGCTGTGACGAATAAAGAATCTTCAGTCTAGATGTGGAGCAGAGATGACAACATAAACCTCTGGATTCTAATTTCGTTCCCCAGTCTGCATACAAATTCCACCCAATGATGTAATGAAGCGAGACCCATCATTCATTACTGGGTCCGGTGCTTATAACCCCCGGATAACCTTAATTGGGACTCTGAGCGCTGAAAGCCGTTTTACGCCACGGTGATAACTTGATTGCAGGGTATTTATCATCAATAGATGCGGAGTTGACACATTCCTCCTCTAGAAGCATACAATTATCGCTCTTCGAGCCATATAAGGCCGTGGATTCCCCTCGGACATTACAAAAGAATTAGATTTCGATCGTCTCTTCTATGTTCTAATAATGATGGTTTATTGCTGTGGCAGGAGGCACAGGCGTCCCATTGTCGAAAATCTTAAGGGATCTAAAAAGCACGAGATCTAACTCTGAAGGTATCTATGCATCTATAAATATTACAGAAAATCACAAAATTCTGAATACTTCTCCCGTTGGTATCTTGGCCGATTGCCCATAAATTAGACCGTCTATAAGTGATTAGAAACCAAAGTCTCAAACATCCACCTCAAGTGGGCCGGTATAAATCGCAATGACACAATAAACTCCAAATGTACACCTCTATGTTCTAAATCGTCTATATTTGCAAAATCTTCCCGCTCTCAGAGCCTCATGTTTGGGAGCAATAGAGCCCTCCAGGGACCCATAGGCTCCTCATTTGCCATCATCAGCCCTAACAAAATGGAGAACACCGGGCTGGGAGCTTCCTTTCGCGGATACATAGATGCATTTGCGGAATGTCGTCATTAGCGAATAGAGGAAACTCTCGTCCTTGGATTCGTGGTATTTTTCGCCGAGCAGTGGCTGGATGGCTTTGGTTGCTTCCTCGGCCTTGTAAAATGGAATGCGGCTAAACAGATGGTGGACGACATGGTAATCAATGATCTCGTGGAAGAAGTGACGACCGATGAAACCGATCGTGCGGTCAACGGTGGCGAGCGCACCCTTGGTATAGGTCCAGGCCTCGGCTGTGTAGTGTGGGACTTCGGGGTGGGTGTGTTGAAGGTACGTGATGGCGACTGGGCAGATGTTAGATAATAGTTTCTTACAGTAAAAAGAAAGGGGTCATGTATGTAAGAGGGGTTCCAGGAGACATACTCAGCCAGTGGTGGACCCAGAGATAAGGGATGAAGTACAACAGCACGACATTCCAGACGCCAATCTGGGTAGACGCATAGTACAGAATGGAGCCCATGATCAACAGCCCCAAATCAGACAGTGCGATAGACACTCGCTGAGAGCCCGTGAAGAGTGGCCCCATAAAGTTGAAATGGTTTGCAGGTCCCATCTTTCCTGCTCCTTCGGGCAGACTTTTGGAGCCTGCGGTGGCATTCAGGAGCAGATAGATTTGCCATCCGAACAGCTGGTGACCAATTAACTGCAGAAGAGACACAATCGGGGTCTCCTCAGTCAGATGCTTCAGTTGCTCAATCCGCACATTCTTCTTCTTTGCTAGATCCTCGTCTGTCCACGGCACATATACGGTATCCTTCTCCATATGACCGGTGTAGCGGTGGTGGCGGGCGTGGGTAATCTTCCAAGAGAAGTAGGGCACCATCAGGAATGAATGCCCGGCCCAACCGACAAAGTCATTCAGCCTCTGGTTAGGCGAGAAAGCTCCGTGGCCGCACTCGTGCGAGAGAATCCATATTCCGGTGCCGACACAACCTTGGAAGAAACCGTACGTAGCCCAGGCTATTATACGCAGTGGTAATGAGGGAATACGGTGGATTTGAAAGGCAGCGACAGTCAGAATGGCGCAGTACAGGATGTCGCGAGCCAGGTACAAGAGGGATGTGATGGCCGAGGACTCGAAGCATTCCTTGGGAATTGCATCCTTGAGCTCTTTCAGGGTAGGAGTGGTGTCTTTCTCGACAGCCTATAGAAGAAGGGTGTCAGCAATGACTTGCGCCTGGTCTCCGGCTTCCTTGCTTCACTCTTTTCGTTTTCTAAACCAGACCCAAAGGTGAACACATACCTTTTCGGCTTTTCTGTTGTGCAACTCGGCCATTGTTATAGCACGCCCAACCAAATCTCGAGCAACAACTACAGAAAATCTCCTGGATATCTCTGCTTATAGAGGAAAAGGCACAGAGGATCAAAGACAAAAAGAAAAAAAAGGGTAGGAAAAAAAAATAGAAACAAAAAAGGAAAAAGACAGTCAGCATCAATAGCTTCTGGGGAACAAAGAATTACAAAAATAAATTAGAATTAAAATAAAGCCCTAACTCATACTTCGTATTGCCTATAAATCTGCTAGCAACCATTGGTCAATTGGCCCCTGTCTCCTAAATCTTCCAGAAAAGGTACGGAACCATTGAGGCATATTCCCTAAAGCTAATCTTCTCGTAAAAGAAGTATTGGGTTAATCCGTTAATTCCCCTGATAAGAACTGTCCAACCGTTTAGCAACGGGACTATTTGACGATCCAGACACTGGTGCAGGGTGGATCCATGGTCTGATGAGGACCAATCCGTGACCACCGTCGAGCACTTTTCTCCACCACCTTTTTTTAATTTTATTTCTTCGGGTCAGTGAAACGGTTGAGTGTTGGGTTTTGCCATTGTGATTGAAGAAAATGGAAAGTATCTGGATCATACTGATAGGTCATCGGACTTCACAAGAATTCGATAGGTATGAATAATAGAGGGAAATACAGGTCGACTGATGTGGTCCGCGCAGGAACTGCCCCTTTCTTTGCCCTGTCGATCAGATACTTCTTTGGGGTTTCTTTTTTCGGTTTTAACTTCTCTTTCTCAACGTTCTTTTAGCCGCAAGCGCTACCGCCTCAGCAGATTTCGCCTCAGCAAAATTTCCATTTGCCTCTTAGGGTTAAGATTCTGACACGGCAGAGTTTCGCTAGGAGTATTTTTCCTGGGCTGAGCCACAAAATTCGATAGTACACGTGGCGAAGGAAGACGCCGTCTGAGGTGAACTGCCCATTGTCGTGAAACCGAAGGGTTTAGCAGAAAATTTCCAGGGAGACAACGTAGTATGCCGAGGCTGGGATAATTTATAGGGCTCCAGTATCACGAGATATCTTCTATCTTCACATGACATTTGAACATCAACGAAGTGCTGCATTTTTTCACGAAAAAGGTCAAAGCACATTGTCTGAATACGCAACGGCTAGGGGAAGCTGTCCCGTAGTCATATATATCTACTGCAATAAAATCCCTAGCAATTTTGTTTTTATTTATATATATATTTATTTTTTACCCACATAACCCAGAGTCTGATAAGTTGGGCGTGAACGGAGCTATGACCAGAGAGGTTGATAACCATGAATACCTAACAGCAGGATAGCGCGATGCTCCTGAGGCGTATCATTAACGAACACTAAGGCCAATCATTTTTTTTATCGGTGGACAGAGTTTTAGTAAATCCAGTATTATAAGTGATGGAAAGGTTGTGAGTCTTTTTGAGATAACTCGACATAGTATATTTCCCCTTCTAGGACTAGTGCATCTCCAAAAGTAAAATAAAATAGAAATTTAGTAGAGGGCACTATTCTTGACACATTTGGTAAATGGGGGGTCACTAAATTTGTTCGATCTGGTTGAAATACTGGATGATCGACTTAAAGGGAGAAGATAAGTTGTCAACCATGTAGTCCACGACATCTTCGCCAGCGCTTCCAATCTTACTTTTCTGGCCTGTGTCAAGAGAGGACAGTTCATTGCGTTAGGCAGCACAAGAAAAATCAGACCGAACAGTATGGAGTATTCTCATTTGCCAGATCCAGACAGTCATGATTGTACAAAAGTGCTTCTGAAGAACCTCCTCCCAGGAGAGTCATGTGTCGATTTCTCACACCTTCATTTTTAAGAGATTCTTTTGCCACCAGTGTTCCTCTTCATTTAACGCACGTTTCTTGTTTGCCGCTTGCCGGAATCCATGTCCCTCGCCGGCAAACACCACCAGCTTAACCTGGCGGTCGTGCTCCTTCATGACGCGTTCCATATCCTGCGCCTGATTCAGCGGTACCACGTGGTCCTCCTCCCCCTGGAGCATCAGCAAAGGGGCCTGAATCTGATCCGCGTGGTAGCACGGGCTCCGGTCGTGGAGGACCCGTTCGCGCTCCTCGTCAGGCATGTCGGGCGGGAAGAGGAGGTTATAAGCATACTGGCTTTCAAACTTGTGGGTGTCCTCACAGAGGGTCCGCAGGTTGGCGATGCCGTACAACGAGTTCCCGCCGGCAAAGAGCGTGGGATAATCGCAGAGGGCTTGGAGAACGGCGTAGCCCCCTGCGCTACCGCCGCGAATTCCGACCTGATCCCCATCGACCTGGGAGGTTGAAGCTAGGAAGGAGACGCAGCTGGCGGCGTCTGCGATGTCTAATTCTCCTATATATCAAGAGAAATGTCTTTTATTAGTGGGTACACACACAGAGAGAGAAAGAGAGTGAGCGCAATACCCCATCTGCCGTTCAGCAAATCCCGATACGCACGGCCATATCCTGAGCTTCCTCCATAGTTGACCCAAACAACTGCGTAGCCGCGAGAGGTCCAGTAAAGATTGGAGAGTTGCAGACCTACGCCAGAACATGACGTTGGACCCCCGTGCAAGGAGACCACCAGGGGAGGGAGAGTCCCCTTCGGAGCCTGGTAGTCGGGATTTTGCGGCGCACGGAAAATCGCATAGCACTCGCCTTGTTGGAACTTGCCATGGACTCTCGGGAAAGAGATATGTTGCGTGGGAGAAATAAAGGTCTCCGGAAGAGAGATATCGACTGCCTTTTTGAGGGCTTGCAGGTGGACCGTCTCGCTGATACTCAATATGTAGAGGGTGTTAAAACTCGTGCTCGATGATCCGAGAACAGCGACACTGTTCTCTGACAGTGGGCGCTCGGCCAACTCGATGTTGTCCGTGATAGGCATGTTCAGCTCACGGTAAGAGTCGTCGTCGAGATTGATAAGGATAAATGACCACTGGGCATTCCGCATATAGGCCGCGATGATCTGGTGAGATGTGAGGCAAGTATAAGTGCAACTAGCCGATTCGTTAGCATTCCGGCATATATCCCTATTTCCATCAGGGTCTCTTACTTTCCCATATTCCAGTCGGGATGGGCGAATTCGACCTGTTCTAAGTCATTCAACTGTATACGGGTAGCTTGTGACGAGGCACCAGGCGGCAAACGATAGAGTTGCCAGTATCCTGTTCTATCGCTGACGAAATATAACGTGCCATCAGGCCCCCATCGGGGCTGGGTAATACTCTCTGCCTGTGCCTTTCCCGCCACAAGGTGGGGCCCAGACAGGTTTCCATTCTCCCAGTGACCAGTCCACAGCAGAGTTCCAGTCCATGGCATGTCCGGATGATTCCATTGTACCCAGCAGATCTCATCCCCGGCCGGAGAGAACTGCGCGTAACTGTAGAAGTCTGCGCCCTGGAGCAGAGGAACGATTTTCTTGGTGGCCACCTCAATCGCCACAACTGTATTCTGGACGTCCGCCGGAGCCGGTTTCGTGTGGTCTTCCTGGACTGCCAGAATCCAGTCGATCTTCCCCGTCGCTGGTGAGGTGTGGATGGAGGTGCACACGTAGCGCAGGGTCTCTGAGGGTGTGGTCAAGCGCTCGACGGTTCCCGTTGCGGGCTCCAACCGATACAGACCCATCGTCTTCCCGTCGGTAAAAATGATCTCTCCGGTCGGGCTGGTCGTCATCGCCTTGCCGCCATATTCATGCACACGGCTACGGGCATTATATCTGGCGGAATCCAGTCAGTAGAGCCAGACGATACTGTGTAATTGGTTGGTTGCTCACTCTCTCGGCAAAACATCTCGCGCTGTCCCCTGGGAACATTGCACAATGCAGTTTCGTCCGTCTTCAAGTGGTCGAGCTTCCAGCAAGTAGATGGTTCCATCGGATGTCTAGACCAGGTTAGCGAGCGATCGACACGCCTTGATGGAGCGTGAAGCCGTACCACCGTAACATTCTCCATATTGCCACCAGTTTGGGCCAACATGTCTGCGGTAATCGGACTGGCCCAGGTTCCGTACGCTGCCGTCTGTATTGGGTTCGCCATGGCGCGAGATATACACAGAAAATAGTACGCTGTTCGCCGGGGTGGAATGGGTTGTGCTGGAGTTGGAATATGTGTTCTGACGGTGGAGGAGGGGTAATGGCTAGGTCCGGCACTTCGACCAATGATATCGATCGCGTCAGCATATCTATTATCAATTTTCTTCTGGCCATGAGGGTGGAGAGCACAGTAAGCCTCGGGGCCGGTTGACGTATAAGTAGTAGTAGTTCGGGCAGGAACATACGGATAACGGTTGGAACAGACGAGGTGGTTCGAATCGGAGCCTTTCGCCAATGCCTTATTATGATTTTCATGGAATTATTTCATCATCTATGTTTCTAAGGACTAACCGCTAATCCACCCTAGTCATATTGAGCTGCCTCTTCGGGCTTTTGACAGTGTCTACCACACTCTTATCTAGGGTTCGATACGTCAACCCTATTCCAATAATTGGTGGCCGAGTATCCCATCACAGCTAATCAGCCGGGCGGAGTTCCGCATAGCAGGCGAAGACGTGTAAGAAGATTAATCTGTAACATAGAAAAAGGAAAAATCAAGATCTTCAAAGTTAAGCCGACTCTACAGGAGCGGGCAAAATGGAGTGGGTTTAGGTGTGGTCAAATATGCAAGTCGCTGGGAAGCGGGAGAAAAGATATAATGGAAAAACATGGCGGTCGGTGGTCCTCTGATGATATAGTATATTCGTTAGTTAATGGGCAACGACTGGTCCTGGATTATTGCTATTATAGGAGCGAAGTTATACTATATATCAAGCAGAATAAATATATTAGTATACACTATGTAAACTTTTATATTAGTCTAGCGGCTTTTAGTAGAGATCTAGAAATAGTCTAGAGTATATATACGGACAAAAAAAATATAAACTCAGTAAAGCAAACTGAGCTAGATAAATACTATTTCAGAAATCCAATGATTAGAGTTATTTTTTTTTAAAAAAAATAAAGAATTTAATATCTAAACTAGAAAGATAGAATTCTTACAAAGTATATTAAGAGTTGATATCGGTACGGGTTTGCCTGCGAAGAAACCCGCCGAGTCGGGGGCGGGTCCTAGATCTTGGACCTGACCCGATATCAACTCTAGGTAGGAACGGCCGCCTGGTTCCTAAAATCCTTGTCCTCTGGTAGCCTGGTGTGTTCAGAGCTGTATGTGACTTAGGACTGGGTTATAGGCAGTATTTAGATCATCCCCAGTGCCTTTTGTGATGTTTCAACCGGAAACTCGGTCCACCTGGTCCCCGTACCGGAAAATCCGTTTCACCCGTCGGGGTCGGGGATCATAAGTAGTATTCTTCTCTGGCACTGATTTCTTCGACTGGGGTTTATATAATTGTGAATTCCAAAAGCCTCTGATACATACTTTGCCGGTCATTAACCCCGCACATTTGGGCCATGTTTGACAAATATGTACGGCTTTCACCTTAACCTTGAAACACTGTTTTTTGGATAGACTTGAGCGAACGACGACCAAATTCCAAATCCGTTGCACCTGGCCGTTATCTTGTACCTCACACAATGTGCATCAACGGCTCACTGGAATAGTTTTTATGTATTTGAATTAAGCGAGTGTGTTTACGGAAACCTTGATTCTCTGTTATGAAACCCTATAATACTGTATCGGTTGTCATATAACATAATCCACAAACATACCAGCGATGCTAGCTAAAACCAGTGAGATTGCTCAATAGTGAACCCCACGGGATATCATCAACAGGGAATATGTCGCCCAGATCGACGTAGGTAGAAGGCCATACTTGGGGTGTCATAGCAATCTCATTGGCGTGAACTGCTATCGTGGACGTATCCGGCCTTGTGTCTTGGGACGGCGCAATTCCAACAATTGCCCGGACTTGATATGGATAACACCGTGCTAGCAACCGCATTTTAGAGCAAAGGCTCCCCAAAATGTCAGTCTCTTTGTCTGCAGCAGACATTCCCTCAAATCTTGTCTCCAGCGCGGTGGCAAGCTCTGTGACAAGATTGGGATACTCTGCTGTATCAACAACGGCCTGCACCTGAGCGTCCATAGTAGAGTCGGTGGGCCCAGTAATGAGATTGAGAAGGGTCAATACTGCAGTGGGCATGTAGCCCACCGCGGCACATATACGAGCACTTGTAGTTATTGTCATGTGGGCAATCTCCGACGCTGGTAGGTTTTTGATCGTCTGAATGAGCTCCTTGCTTCGTTGGATTATACCCATCAGCATGGTTGTCCGGACTGCACTTGCAGGCTCTGCAGTCCACAGTTCCTCCCGAAGAGATAGTTCCTCGAGCCGGATTTCCATATATTTGATTTCAGTGTGTAATGCAGTCGCTGCAACGGTTGGTCAATCTCCATCAACCACTGTGGGGAGAAGACACACCTGTTGACGAAGGGCAGCTCGCGAGATATTTTTCTACATATGCTCTCACGTTATCAAATTGCTGCTGCAGAGAAGCGCGCGTAACTTGGACGAGTACCCTTCCACCGCTTGCTTGCATCGAAGCGTAAACTTCATCCATTGTTGCCAAGAAAGACTGTAGGTGGATGAATGGCGCAACCCACCGATCTGACAGATGCCCAGTAGATGCTAGACTCTCAATGCACTCATCGATTCGACTATCATGCTTCATGATAATCGGCCGGCCGAGTGTGCCAGAGAACCTAATACTTATAGTTAGCCGAAGCCACATCTACCAGCGTGGCAGACAACCTCACCCAACAGACAGCCAATACGTACCGAGCAGCGCCCGCTGCTCATCCGAGTTCAGATTCGGCTTTCTGTGAAGTCCCAAATCATACAAAATAGAAACACAAAACTGAATCAACAGCAAAAGTCGTGGGTGGTATTTCTCTGCAGGATATGAGTACCATGCGCTGTGAACTAGCAGACCACGGAGCAACTCGAGATTCCTCTCGGACCGTACCACAAGCCTTAAGGTAACGTGCTGCATAATCTCCTCGGCGACAGTTTTCCGCATAGGGTGCGCACTGCCCATGGTCGCAGCCACGATGCACAAAAAGAGAAAAGGCTCTCGGTCCCTGAGACGAGTGGCTGTCTCGCCGTGTGCGACCAATACAAAGGGAAACTTCGACACCAAGTCAAGCTGAAAGGCCGTAACTAAGCGTTCAGCCTCGACTTCACTCAAAAGCCCTCGATCTACGATGGATGGCTGGTGCTCCAGAACAGAGCTGATCGGCGGATCAAGGCCGTGGGACGGGTCCTTAGCAGCATCCAGCAGCGTGGCAATGTCTGTCGAATCCAGTTCGGGATCACGAGATGGGCCCAAGTCAGTGGTGGGTGGAGTAGAAGTATCGGGCGATGTTTGCCCGTTCTGTTGTCGGGTCAAGGCAGCCAGCTGCGACATCAGTTGATCGACCTTCTTCTCCAACACCTCCACACGACTATATCCAGAATTAATACCACAAGTACGATGTGTGTTGGGAAGGATTACCTCGGTGCAGCCTTGTGTTTCCGCTTCGTCTGCGGAAGGTCAAGGTATGTGCATGACTTGCCCAAACGAGCGCACCGCTGGCACAGGTTGACGGCTTGCGGCGTGCATTTCGCCTTGGCAGCCGTACACGCCACGCATGCTCTCCTTTTGACTGCAGATGGTGTGGTGTTCATGATTGTTGCATAAGGAGGCAGGGAGGAAACGGAGCGGCCGGTTGATGTGGAAGACGTCCGGTTGCTGAGCAGTTGGACCGGGAAAATCGGATCATCCGGTCGTCGGAGCGGTTTGTAGGTAATCCGCCGAATGCATATAAATATAGGGAAGTAAATCGAACGAACATCGCAATGGCTCATCGTTAGTAGATCAAATCCATTCATCACTGAAATAACTATTTTATTATACTTTTTACCTTGATTAAAAATAAATAATGTCTTCATATGCCATCACAGGAGCGTCCAAGGGCATTGGCCGCGAGTTTGTGCGCCAACTCGCTAGCGATACGACCAACACAGTCCTGGCTATTGTGCGAGACCCCGAATCACCCGACATATCTAAGCTCGCCTCCAATCACCCTAATGTGCACGTTATCAAAGGCGATGTTACGGACCCAAAGTCAATTCTGGAGGCTGCCTCGGCCGTAGCCGACGTGACAGGAGGGAAGCTGGACGTGCTTATCCACAACTCCAACGCTGTTGATTTGGCCACCATGTCCTTCAACCCGACCCAGATTCCCTTCGATGCTCAAGCCACTCGGGCAATTTTTGACCTGCCATTCAGCACGGGTATCTACGGCGGTCTATGGACAACAAACGCCTTCCTACCCCTGATTGAGAAGGGTATCCAGAAGAAGATTGTGCACATATCCAGTGCCATGGCGGATTTGGATTTTATCAAGAAGACTGGTGTCAGCTATGCTGTCGCGTACTCTGTCACAAAAGCCGGGATGAATGTTCAAGTCGCCAAGTACGCAGCAGAACTTGCGCCTAAACGCATCAAAGTGTTGGCTTTAAGTCCTGGATGGGTTGATACATGGGAGGGTAAGCGGCCTTTTTGCCTTGCTGCGGCAATGGTGGACACTGATATCATCACAGGAGAAAAACCCTCTCAGGTAATCCAAGCGCAAAATCTCATGCTGCAGCAATTTCAGGCAGCCGAGCCTGAGCTCAAGGGGCAGACTCAGCCTGAAGAGAGTGTTAGACAGAGCCTCCAGGTAATTGAGAGTCTGGACGCCGAGTCTAGCGGCTTTCTCCTGAGCCATAATGGAGATAAGGCAAGGTGGTTGTGAGTGCATTGGATACCGATGACTTGTATCTGGGACTGTATCAAAATTACGTAGACACAAATTGACTGCATGCTTGATAAGAACTAGCTACGAATATCTAATTTAGGAATAGGATCATAGCCAGACCCTCCAGAGAGCGGTAGAACAAGCCTCTTTAGAAAGGTTCAATTTGACGCAGAGAAAAAATCAACACCAAGCAGTGGGCCTCCAAAGAGGTCCATGATCTCCAGACCAGGAGTGAGCCTGCTATCTGCAAACATGGATATATCTAGAGGAAAATATGAAGACCTCTGAGATGATTCATCGCTCACCGGCTGGGGTGGTACCTAGTAGGAGAACGTATCGTTAGACAACCTGATAGATCTCTAGGGCCCTTAAGCCGGGTTTTACCTCCCAGGGCATCTGGCTATTGGTGCTTGAGCCTGTGCCCAACGTTTCAGGCGTGGGGTGGTCAAGGGTGATACCCATGCCACTGTTGCCGCTGTTGATATCTTCTACATGAGCCCTTTGAGAAGACGAATGAAATGCGCGCGCGATCGACGCAAACTGTATCAACATAGAGCCTGGTAGATATCCGCTAGTAGCATACTCAAGCGCACTAAAATAGCCAGTCACACTTTCAAGTAAGACTAGATTACTGCGAGCATCGTGATGGGCTGGATAATGAATAATAAGGTCGAACAAGATGAACAACGCCGTGAGGGGCATGAAGATCATGATACTGGACATATCAACAACAATGGAAACATGTACCACATAGGGAATGACCTACAAAAATGGGGTAGACGACTCTTGATAAATGACTCGTGTGAGGTCAATCACGGCCCGTGCTGAATTCATCATCTCAATAATGTCTGATGGCGACTGGGAGGAGGATTGGCCGCGAGTAACATGAAGCTTCAAGCGGTGAAGAGCAATCTTGAGCTCATGATAGTGGTAGTGAACCCGAAGGGCTGCAGCAATTTCACATGGATGCGAGAATGTTTGCGGTCGCAGCTTGGTGCCAGGTTGGAATTGAGGAGGGATCATTTGACATTGCTGTTCTAAAAGCATCTCGAGTTCATGAATCTTGGCAAGATATGCCGTCTTTGAGTTAGTCGTTGCGCTTATAGAGAACAGGTCGGTGAAGGTGCGCGAATAGAGCCTTGCAAATCTGACTGAGGTGAGAAACCAGTCAAAGTCACCGAACACTGCCTCTTGGACGATAGGTATGGGCGAGCCAATGTCACAGTCTACAATGAACTGTCGAGATTGTTAACCAGATACTTGGGAGGCAGAAATGATCTTACCGAAGTGGTTCCATGATGAAAGGTGACCGTTTTTTCAATGTAATACACCACCCAGAAAGCTCGACTACGAATTGTGGCGTCACTACTCGTTGACGCTTTGTTTAAGAATGCTCGCTGGGCAACGCGCGCCGCTTCAGATATGATCTTTCCTTGTATCTGGGTGCCGGACAAATTAAGACAGAACACGGCCAGTTGTCATTGTTAATGTTTTGCAATCCAAAGGGAACGATGGAGGAATAGAACCTACCATGGCTGTGATTGCCTACACACTGTCAGTTCTGCTAGATTGTTTTGAAGACGCAGAAAGAATGAAAAAGAATATAAATTTGCTCACCTGCACCTCTAGCAGGTCTGTGTTTAGCAGCAAGACTCTCGGGTAAAGATCAAGTGCCACTTTAAAAAGACCCCAGGCTTCACCATCACCTGGTGCGAATGAGCCTCCACCGTCAAATTCGCAACCTAAAGCTAATACTGTATAATATAAAGCAGTCCACGAAACACCACTAGCAAGATCAGCATGTAAAGTGGGCGCGAATGCCCTGCACTCGAATTCGTAACGGTCCAGAAATGGATGCAAGGGATGAATATTTTCGAAAAACACTGAAAGCAGTCGAATGTTCATTACCGGCCCTTGTCTTCCGATGGGAGTGATGACTTACTATCAATAAGGTGGCGTGCTTTATCCGGCGAGAGACGCGGAACCTCGCCAGATTGATTCCATATGCTGGACGGCCCAAGGTTGCGATGGAGGACTTCCACGCGAGATTTGACCATGCGTGATATCCGTGTGATAAGTGACTTCAGTGCATCGTTGCCTAAACATGCTGAAAGAGCGTTTAACCGGCTGTCGGAGAAGAAACTCATACTTGAGCTGGCCACTGGTATCAAGTTAGGAAAGATCACAGGAAAAACGGTTCCAGTTTACTGTATCGCATACAATGATTTTCGTTGGCCTTTACTTGGCTGGTTAATTTCAAGTCGTGCAAGGCGTGGATTTCGAACGACTCACTCCGAGGAGAAATGAAGCATTTTGGGTACGTCCCGTTGACTGCCGGGTTTGAAGTAGTTGGTCCATGTAAAGAGGGCCCGATAATGCATCTGTAATTGAACCTTGGGATTGCGACGCACCGGGATTGCTTCCCCCATCTTCTGTATGTCCTCCAGAGGACGAAGCTGTTAACAGTGGTGTTGGTGCTTCTACCCTGTCCGTCTCCAGTGGGAGGCAGCCAGCGGGTGAAAACCGCCTCGGGCTATAACTCTGAGCCTTGAATTTTCTCTTTAAAGGGCTATAGACACAATCATATCCTTTTTTCTATTACACATGATCAGAAACTTGCATCAAAAGGTGGGTTTGCCACGTACGCGACAGTTTGCACACGCTGCAGAAGGGTCTACCGTCGAAAGGTCCGATGGCTCTACATGCAAGGTTTTAGCTTCTGAAGCCAAGGAAAGTTTCTGTTAAGTCTGACTATGACACTTGACCTTGCGTGCCTTACAGGCATCACAAACATGCGAAAGCCGCGATTGCAGCATTTTTCATGAACCGGAATGGTTGGGGAAGTGGGGAACTGGAGTTTCGGAAGTCGCGTTAGGGTCCATTGATTTAAACTATCGGAACTCGGGATTCGGACCTCGCTCCGGGTTCACGAAACTCGTGCCCCAAAGTCCATGGATTCTTCTTGGATTGGCGAAAATGCTAGTCTCTCGAATTAGACAAATAGTGGTGTGAAAACGAAAAGGTATGGGAAATGCAAGGAATTTAGCAAGGGAATCGTTGCCCCTCACAACTCTATTTCTTCATTTATTATACAGCCTATGCAGACAATCATTCATACTGGTGGCTCATTCATATCATTGGATCTGGCTACATGACCCTTTATACCTTGGGGTCATTCTTTACATACATGGCTTGGTCAAACCGTACTCAGGGGAGTTTCGAGGATTTCATCGTGTAGCTGTTCTCGCCGGCGAACCGTCCCATCTCCAAACAGAGTCAGTAGCAGTGGCAGTGGCAGAAATGCGCCACTCAAAATAGCCGAGAAGACAAGAGATTTGTGCATATTGTTGGGTGGATTGCCAGTGGGTCCGGCAATCATCGCAGATTGGGCAATAATGAAGATCGCACCAAATATCTGTCCCCCAAGCCAGGAGATGGTGCTGCCTATTTCAGGGGAGTGGGGGAAAGTCATCTCTGCCAGAAGCTCCAGTAGGAGTGGAACGAGGCTAAAAGAGGAAAAGCCTAAGATTGCACAAACGAGATACGTTGGCCATATGCCCCAGGAGCTCGCCGGTGCAAAGATAAGCGATATGTACATTCCGCAGGTAATAGGGAGGAGGATTCGAATGGCTCCTATGTACCACTTGAACCGATCATTCAGTGGGGAGATGATTGCAGCCCCTAAAAGTCCAGCACCGATGAGGATACCGCCTGCGATGCCCGCCTCCTCTTCTGTGGCGCCATACGGTATGACTGCTTGGTTGATCAAAGTGATGGTGGAATTGAACAATGCCACATAGACAGCGAATGGCAGGGACAAGAGCCAGAAGTCTCGCTTTTTAGCAATGTCCTTGAATGCCACCAGTAGAGGGGCTCGGTTCACTGCAGCGGCCGCAGAGGGTGGAGTCGGTGGTTTTGATGGGATGAACAGGGAAGGGATTGATGCCACTGACGACTGTTGAGCCGCGTTGTCAGTCTATAGAAGGATAGATTCGGTCTGGAATCCTGAACAGAAGTTGGCGTCACTCACGATGATAGAAATGATCAAGACCATTCTAGGTAAGTCATCTGGGATCTTGGCGATGTACGGGTTCGCAAACTGTCCCAGAGCTGCCCCCAGAGGATTAGCGAGGGTAGCAATAGCAGTAGCACTGGTGCGGCCCTGGTCCGTGAACCAACTGTCACTGAACTTGCTAGGCGTTGAGAGGCAAAAAGGCTGAGCCAAACCAATGACAATTTGGCCAAACATGACAACCCCATAATTCTTGACCACTGACAGTGTCCCTGCATATCGTATCCAGTTTCCAACTACCAGGAGCACAGAAGCGACGATGTTCGATCCTCTCAAGCCCATGCGCTCTACTGTATGGAAAACAAAGCTGGTAAAAGTTAGAATATGACTGGATTATTTTCGCCGCACCAGAAAGAAAAGACTCACAGTGCGCTGACGCAGTAAGCAAATAGAGTGCTCGTACTTAGCCAAGTAATTGCGTTCACACTAACATCCAAGAACTCGGCTGATGTTACTGGGACGGTCGGATATGTGACCCACTGCTCAGTCAATATTTCTGTTTGATTGTTGCTGGCAGCCGATAACTTACATTCCAACTGACGACAATATTGAGGAGGGCCAGGTGAGCAACGCCGATGAAGCGGCACTTGTAAACCTTCCCCACAGTGGGCTCTTGATACCCAAGGCCGATGTCAAAAGAAGACGGCCCAGTGCAAGAGATCGATTTGTTACCACTAGGGTTTATGCACTTTATATCCGCATTGTCGGCCATAGTTTCGATGTGCTGAATGGTGGTCGAGAACGAGGATATGACAGAGATAAAATCTAAGAATTGAGGAAGACTCAAGTTCCAAAAGACCCCCCTCGAAAGCTGTCCCGGCCAGATATAATACTTTAAGACGCCCTTAGAATTCCAGCTATAGGTTTGAAACCTTAATCACATCCTCCTATCAATGTTCATGAAGCTAAAATACCCCGCATATCGAAACCCGACTTCCGTGGTATGCTTCGCTATCTTGACTGGGGGTTTACATTCCTGTTTCCGATAAGCCATGTTGACGTACGCTGCAAGCTTCCAGATTCAGAGAAGAACTCCCATGTTTAATGCCATCGGCTTTCCCCCAATCACATTCCCCTAAAATGGTTCATTGCTTCCAGTAGGCCAATTTCTTCACCTCTGCCAGAGAACAACACTTCACCAACGTCCGCGGAAACCTTAGATCCAACCCCTTATGCGTCCCGTCAGGGGCCAACTCCAGGAAATAGAGCTTCTGAATTCCCTGCTCTTCCACGTATTTCAACATCTCCTCATACATAGCCCCAACATGAGCGATGCCATGGCTGTCATCAGAAAGACAGAATCGACCATTTAAGGCAAGAAATTCCTGAACCTTTGTTAGATCTGAGATTGTAACACTAGCCTGATTAAAGGCAATGATTCATACCTGGCAAATCTCCGCTGCAGGGTACGGCGTCTCAAGCCCTTTCCGCAGTGCAGCTGAATTCAGCTCTAGAAGCCCTCCGTAGCTTGATATATATTTTAGATTTCGCATCACTCTCTGCCACACATCTGTCCATCTCCGAAACCCTCCATCGGGTGCGTTTGGGTTATCAGAGTGAAGCCGAATCAAGTCAAAATGGCCCACGATCATAGGTTTCAAATTTTGCAACATTTCAAAATGAACATCGAAATAGTCTTCAAAGATACGCTCATCTGTTCCGCCGGAAATCTCTCGTGCCTTCGAATATAGCTCTCGACTCCAGTCAATGGGAATTCCATGGAGATGGTGCACCGAACCAACAAAGAACTCAAAAGGATACCGAGACAGCGACTCATGTATGAGTCTTAGTGAAGTGTCGCTCCGAATCCATTCCGATTCGAATCCTATGAGAATCTTGATTTGGGAGGCATATTTTTCCCGTAGCTGGATCGCTGTCATGAAATACTTTGCCTCATTGCTGACCAGAGATGATGAAGTTACGCCGGCCTCGATCTAACATGAATCAGAATGGAGATAAAAAAAAAAAAAACAGACAGACGTCAATGAGGTTTACTTCTTCTTCGTATAATTCGTCACTGGAGCGCGGCATATGTTCGCTCAAACAAAATACCTCCATACCTTGTGATATGGCAGTCTGTATCACTTCCTCCAAGGTGTTTTGGGCATGGCTAGGACAGAATTCTCCTGAGTGCGAGTGGTGGGAGAAAGGCATGTTGTCGTGCGAGAGACTCTTGAATGTATCGGATTAAAGATAGACGTAGACATCGAAGTTCAGGAGTGTAGTGATTGACACATAAGTCTAGCTATCTTACATGGTTTTTATCCGGCCCAAGTTACCTACTCGTTGCCAACCATTGACATTCCTTTCTCGGGTTTCGGAGGTGGATTGTTAGTGGAGTTGCTCGTCTCGGCTCTCGGCTTTGGGATCACCTATTTAATCCATGGGAAGTAGGGCATCGCTCGTTGCAAGTTTACTCCTAATTGTTGAATTTTCCTTCACTCCACACTTAGTTCATTGAGAAGTTACCATGTATGCTCTTAATCAGACGGTAAAGTCGGGTTGGCTGCTCCTGACGCAACCAAGTGGAATATCGAAGTACGACATCGTTTCTCGATTAGTTTGTACTATTCTTATCATACGAAGTGTCTATACGGTCTATCACAATGTCACTTGCTACGGTGTTGCTGGAACTTTGACAAACGCCTTGGAATACTGTCGGAGGTGGATATCCCTAGAAAGACGACCAGCTCCCCGGAAATTCAAAAGAGTGGACAAAAATATCGAGGCCATATCGAACTCGATGGCGCAAAAGCTGGCTCGTCATGGAGCTGATACCAGGAAGAATCTATCGCTTCCCAAAGAAGGATGGGGTGTCGAGAAAGTCGAAGCAGAGTTGGAGGAACTCCACAACTTAGACCATACACGATGGGAGGATGGCCGGGTCAGCGGAGCAGTATACCATGGGGGCAACGAACTGCTGGAAATGCAAACTAAAGCCATTGGAAAGTTCAGTGTCTCGAATCCAATTCATCCAGACGTCTTTCCAGGGGTTAGAAAGATGGAAGCAGAAATCGTAGCAATGGTATGTGATCATCAAGGTAATTCATTCTACAGCAAGGGGATTAACGAAAGAGGATCCAGATCCTAGCTGCCTTCAACGGCCCCGAAGATGGTGCAGGAGTAACCACCAGTGGTGGCACAGAATCCATTATCATGGCATGCCTGGCTGCTCGGGAGAAAGCTGCAGCTGAGCGCGGCGTCACAAGTCCTGAGATGTATGTCCATTGTATATGTGTTTATTTTTTAACTGCCGTACTGATTAATCAGGATTATCCCAAGCACTGCTCATGCGGCATTTTTTAAAGCTGCGCAGTATTTCAAAATCAAACTTCATCTTGTTTCATGTCCGGCGCCTGAATATAAAGCATCTGTTACCGAAATTCGTCGACTGATCAATCGTAACACGGTTCTTCTAGTCGCGTCTGCACCGAACTATCCCCACGGCATTGTCGATGATGTCCCAGAGATTTCACGATTAGCAACCGAAAATGATATCCCACTTCACGTTGACTGCTGTTTGGGATCACTTGTTATTGCGTTCTTGCAAAAGTCAGGCTTCCCATCGCCATACGACAATAGCGGTGGCTTTGACTTTCGCCAGCCTGGAGTCACCAGCATCAGTGTTGACACACATAAATATGGTTTTGCTCCAAAAGGCAGCTCGGTCTTGTTGTATCGCAATCGGTCATACCGAAACTATCAATACTTCTTGTTTCCTGATTGGTCTGGCGGTGCATATGCTTCACCATCCATGGCAGGTTCTCGCCCTGGCTCCTTGATCGCAGGCACTTGGGCGACACTGATGAGAATGGGAGAGTCTGGATATATAAGCAGCTGCCGCCAGATTGTGGGAGCTGCGAAAAAGTTCGAGACTGCCATACTCACAAATCCTATCTTGAAGCCCCATGTTGAGATCATTGGGTCTCCTATGGCTAGTGTCATCGCTTTCACAAGTAAGAATGATGAAATCGAGACATATGACATTGCCGACGCCATGGACGCTAGGGGATGGCACCTGAATGCGTTGCAGTCTCCGCCGGCTATTCATTGTGCTTTCACCATACCCACAGCTGAAGCTGTGGATAGTCTCATTTCAGATTTGATTGATGTCATCAATGAGACATTACTTCAGATTCAGGAGCAAAAGCAAAACGGGGAACAAATCGTACGCCAGCGTGGTAAGAGTGCGGCGCTCTACGGTGTAGGGGGAAGTATTGCGGATAGGACCATGGTCAATCAATTCGCTGAAGGATTCTTGGATACCTTATATAAAGCTTAGATCGCACTACAAGTTGCAGGATAGTAAAGCAAGCAGAAAAGAACTCTTCTTAGAAAGGGGCCTTTCATTCCGTGTCTTTCCTTATACTAAAAATTGAGCTCACGCTTTAACTTTCGCCATCACCGTGATGTGTATCATCAGAGAAGTTATTAGATCAAGATGAGAAGCAACTGGCTATTCCATTAACACCAAAATAAATTGCCCAAATATCCTTACTTAGTCAACAGGCCTTACATCCTGAACAGTAGATCCTCCGTTACAAAGGGTATATACGGTATTCAGGTCGCTTGATATTTCTTTTGTGATCTAGCCGATGTTGTAGATTTTACTATTTGAATAAACCACATGGCCGCTTTCTGTCTCTCCCATGTAGTTTTGAACTATATACATCGGTCTATACAACTACAACTCAAAGCGGGCACCCGGGTTTTGTATCTTTTGACTGTTTCCCAAAGCCTATATCAAGATACGCCAAACCTCCCTTAAGGGAATTGTCGGGTATTCTGGTATATCATTACAGGAAGGAGGTTATATTACATGTTTCGCTAATGCAAGTATTGCGTGTCCCCTCCCCACTCCCCAATGAAGAACATAATAAACATGTTGATAAATATGGTCAAACCGCAAAGCATCAGAGCGGCGGGAGTGCTGAAGGTGCTGTTTAGAGATGTTCCAACTTCAGTGCATCGTTGGACGCATACCTTGAGCGGCTCACTTCAACATATTGGAGCATCACTATGACTAGTATAGTGTGTATAGATAAATTGGACGAAGCGCACACTTTCACGGATCCCTAACCTTCAGAGAATTCTCTCCACAGTAGTTTCAGATTCATGACCATTCTTTATGCCATGACGTGAGTTTCGCCCAACCCATTCCCTGCCGAACGAGACTCAAACACCAGAAGGCCAACATCATACCGACTCGATCAGCCCACTTTTCCAGGGAATAGAGTGCTCGGGATCCGAGGGGACCGAAGACTTTATTTGCGTGATCCAGCCCCTTCAGTCCAGCTGCTCTCCTAGCGATGAACCAGATACTATGGATCCATATCTTCCAGTCCATGATGCGAGTTTACGAATCAGGCTCCCCATCTAAGCAGCTTCCCATCTATTCCCTCATATTGAGCGTGTTCTAGGCATCTCAGCTGGGTCACATTCATGATGGCAATGGTAGTTAGTATTCTAAGAGTATCTAGAGAAGCAAATATTTTACCGAGGGTCTTGCACGTTACCGAGGATTGTAGCTTGGCAGCAAGGCCTATTGACTCTCTGCAAGGGTATACGCGGAAGACTCAAGAATTACTCGTTTCGACTCGTTTTTGTAGCTGGTCTTACCTCGGTAGGTCTTGGTTGTAAAGTTCAACTACAGACTTTGAGACTCGCCTTCGATAGTTGGATGCTGCCAAGACCACATCGCGCTTGACTATATCGAGTTAGAATTTCCCAATTTGGGTGAATTCTTACCCAAATCCGCTTCGAAGGCAAGTCAGGTCCTGCTTATTAAAAATCGGTTCGAGACCAAGATGCTTGCTAACGTTCACTGAAGCTCCCACCACTGCTAGGTTTCATGCCGAAAACCGGCACTTGATGCCAAATCTTTCTGATCTAAGCCATCTAGATCGTAGGTGGGGAATACTGCAAATCAGTAGTTTGCAGATCGACTATTGAGTAATTGAATTCCTTGTTATGGCAACAAGTCTTAGCTCATTGGTCCTTCGATAGGGCAATCTCTGGGACTCTTCGTTCATTGTTTTAGCGATCCTCAGCACTGACTATGAGAGGGCTAAGTGGTCTACCAAACTGTCAGGCAACACAGTATTCTTTTCGCTGGGACAGCTGATGACGTCTCCGGAATGCTTGAGGATGTCCCGGCGAATAGCCATGTACGGTCGAGAACCAGGGGGGTTTGAAAGCGAGAAACGAGAATTCGGTTCACTGCCGGTGGGATTCACTCCGCTTTCGCTTGGGTGATGAATACTCAGATCACCTTAGTAATGAAGTCGTACTCTTGGTGTTAAAGAAACAATATAAAGACCATGGTTGTTCACCACCAGCTGCTGAAATGTCATGAGACAATCGAATTTACCACAACTCCTTTCTCATACAACGAACAAGTTCATTATTAACACACTGCAACTGCACTTTCAGTCTTGCCCATCATGGCAGAGAAGTGTCCCTTCCACACCCAAGCCCCAAAGCCCAACGTTGCGGGCAGTGGCACCCGGAACCGCGACTGGTGGCCAGACCAGCTGAAGCTGAACATCCTCCGCCAGCACACAGCAGCCTCAAACCCACTGGACCCAGACTTTGACTATGCTGCGGCTTTCAGCAGCCTGGATTACTATGCTCTGAAGAAGGACCTACAAGACTTGATGACTGATTCACAGGATTGGTGGCCAGCGGATTTTGGTCATTATGGTGGTCTCTTTATCCGCATGGCCTGGCATAGTGCGGGTACCTATCGCACCTTTGATGGTCGAGGTGGTGGTGGACAGGGTCAACAACGGTTCGCGCCACTCAACAGCTGGCCGGACAACGTGAGTCTAGACAAAGCTCGCCGCCTGCTTTGGCCTATTAAGCAGAAGTATGGTAACAAGATCTCCTGGGCTGACCTGATGATCTTGACGGGCAACGTGGCACTAGAGTCTATGGGCTTCAAGACATTCGGATTTGCCGGTGGTCGTAAGGATACCTGGGAAGCAGACGAATCTGTTTACTGGGGTGGTGAGACCACATGGTTCGGGAATGATGTGCGCTATTCCCACGGTTTTGCCAGATCTTCCAAGCATGGTGCTGTTATTGCCGATGAAGCACCCCATCGCGATATTCATTCCCGCGAACTGGAAAAACCGCTTGCAGCAGCTCATATGGGGCTGATTTACGTGAATCCGGAAGGACCCGATGGAAACCCCGACCCAGTCGCTGCAGCTCGGGACATTCGTACCACGTTCGCTCGTATGGCAATGGATGATGAGGAAACTGTTGCGCTAATTGCCGGTGGTCACACTTTCGGAAAGACACACGGCGCAGCTTCCTCAGACCACGTTGATGCTGAGCCTGAGGCTGCTGGTCTAGAAGCACAGGGCTTGGGGTGGCAGAACAGCTATGGATCCGGGAAGGGCGCCCATACCATTACCAGTGGTCTGGAAGTAACCTGGACAAAGACTCCAACCCAGTGGAGTTTGAACTTTCTCGAGTACTTGTTCCGTTTTGAATGGGTGCTGACCAAGAGTCCTGCGGGCGCGAACCAGTGGGTAGCTAAGGACGCAGATGCCTTTATCCCGGATGCATACGATCCATCCAAGAAGCACCGACCACAGATGCTTACCACTGACCTGTCTCTGCGATTCGATCCAGCTTACGAGAAGATCTCACGCCGCTTTCTGGAGAATCCGGATCAGTTTGCAGACGCTTTCGCGCGGGCCTGGTTCAAGCTGACACATCGGGACATGGGGCCGCGTGCTTGCTATATCGGTCCAGAGGTCCCAGCTGAAGAGCTGTCCTGGCAAGATCCCATCCCATCAGTAAACCATCCGGTGATTAATGAGACCGATATTGCCGCACTCAAGCGAGATATTCTCGCAACCGGTGTCGATCCTTCGACGTTCATCTCGACTGCTTGGGCATCAGCATCGACTTTCCGGGGCAGTGATAAACGCGGCGGCGCCAATGGTGCGCGTATTCGCCTTACCCCTCAGCGAAACTGGGAAGCAAATAACCAGCCATGGCTTGAGGCGGCATTGAAGGCCCTGGAAGACATCCAAGACAAATTCAACAGCGCCCCGAACGACGGAAAGCGAGTATCCTTGGCGGATCTCATTGTGCTCGCTGGCTGCGCAGCTGTCGAGAAAGCTGCCAGCGATGCCGGCCATATTATCACCGTGCCATTCACGCCGGGACGCATGGATGCTTCGCAGGACCAGACGGATGTCGAGTCATTCAATCAGATGGAGCCCGTGGCGGATGGATTCCGGAACTATGGCACATCCACTGCTCGGGTGCGAGCTGAGCATTACCTGGTTGACAAGGCGCAGTTGCTCACTCTCTCTGCGCCTGAAATGACGGTACTTGTTGGTGGTCTGCGGGCTCTGAATGCCAACTACGATGGCTCTGCCCATGGTGTGTTCACTACCAGGCCAGGCCACTTGACAAACGATTTCTTTGTCAATCTCCTCGACATGAACACTTCGTGGAAGGCATCTGGCCGTAGCAATGACATTTACGAGGGCACTGACCGTAGAACCGGCTCTAAGAAATGGACAGCTACCAGGGCCGATCTTGTCTTCGGATCTCACGCCGAGCTGCGCGCCATCGCCGAGGTGTATGGCAGCAGTGATGGAAAGGGGAAATTCGTGAAAGACTTTGTTGCCGCTTGGGCTAAGGTCATGAACCTGGACAGATTTGATCTGAACTAGGATGTTACATTATCTATGTCAGCCTTTGTGTACTATTCGTCATGTTTTGGTTATTCGTGTTGCATGTACACTAATAGAATGTAATAAATACCTCACTGGACTGTTGTGCATAGCTTTTATCTTTGTTTTGCAATCCCCTAAAAATCGAAAATCACAATAGACTCTCATGTAGACCGACCATTATCAACATAATCTGATTGAACTGCCGACGGAAGGAACCACGATGTTGAGTCCGAGTTCCTTTTAATCTATTCTGATCAGAATGCCCAATCACAATATAGAATGGGGCCATAACAAAATGATTTCGGCAATCTAGTTGTTCATTTTCTCTACTGTCTGAACTTATTTTTTCGCTTGGCCGGCGTTAGATGGGTTTAGACTGGGCAGAGAGTGACGTTGGTCGGCATTGACGCGTAGATAGTTTGATTGCGCCATCAAGCCCCAGTCTCGCAGCATATCGTGGATAAAAACTAGCCCAGACACAATGCTCCCCTCAAAGATAATGCGGGAAAAATTATAAATATTATGTATCTGCCGATCGGGAAATTTCTATAGGAATGAGATCAGATTACAGAAAAAAAATAATTGCTCGCTGGGGATTACGCTAAGTAGTAAAATCGAAAGATATTACCCTAACTTTCTTTTCAATCAATCAATGTTATGATGTCTTTACCCGATCAACATTCGTCACTCGATAATGATCTACCGTCAGAGAAAAAGATCATAACCGAAGTCTCCACGGATCAGGAGTCGTCGGATGAAGAAATTATCAAAGATTGGGATGATAAGGAGGAGAATGCGCTTCGTCGAAAGTGAGTAACCGCATATCCTTCCAGAGAGTTGAATAACTAACCACCACACCTCTATCTTCTTCATACAGAATTGACTTTATCCTTCTTCCCATTCTCGGTCTCGCCTTTTTTGCTCTCCAGGTTGACCGTGGAAACATCAGCGCCGCGCTCACGTCCACTATCACAGAGGACCTGGGGATAACAACCAACCAAATTAATATTGGTACACAATTGCTCTCGGCTGGGATTGTCATCACAGAAATCCCGTCGAATATCGTTCTTCAGCGGATCGGCCCGCAGGTATGGCTGTCGATACAGCTGTTCGCCTGGGGTCTTGTAGCGACCTTCCAGGCGTTTGTGCAGAGCTATCCTGCTTATTTAGTAACGAGACTGTTGCTGGGATTGTTGGAGGGCGGGTTCATTCCTGGTACGGATGTTTTAACTTGACTGAAGATATGGAGCACTAATGCATGCTTTAGGCGCATTGTACTATCTTTCCACATGGTACAAGAAAGGCGAGACAAGCTTCCGCACCACTCTCTTCTTCTTCGGACAAATGTTCGCAGCAGCGACATCAAGTCTTATATCCGCCGGTCTACTAACACTAGACGGTAAATGCGGGCTCTCCGGCTGGCAATGGATTTTCCTCGGTACGTCAATCAGGGTGAACCCCAACAGAACCACCTCTCTAACGATTTTATAGTCGAAGGACTAATCACAATCTTTGCCGGTATCATCTTTACTCTCCTCGTCCCGCCCAAGGCAGGCAATGGCTACGCCCTTATCGGCCTCAAGCGCTGGAGCTATTTCACCCCACGCGAGTCCCACATCATCCGCAACAGGGTCCTTCTCGACGACCCGCGCAAAGCACGCGGGCACATCAAGATCACAGCCAAGGATATCTGGAACACTGTGCGCCAACCAAACACCCTCCAGCATTTTTTCGTTACCCTCGTCGCCATGTCAGGGTTCCAAGGTCTGACGCAGTACACGCCGAGCATGATAAAGTCGTTCGGGTTCAGTGCCGTTCGGGCGAACGCGTTGGCGTCGGTGCCGATTTATTGCAGCATGGTGTGGTGTTTGGGGTTGTCATATCTCGCGTACGTTCCTCTCTTTGAGCATACTTGTATTCTGGAAGTGAGCTAATGGTTCGAGCAGAGATCGCACCGGCCATCGAGGTCCTTTCGTTCTTCTCTCCATTACTTGGAATGTGATTTCATACGCCTGTCTGCGGGCGATGCCTTATTCCTCGTCAAGTTGGCATAAGTATGGGGTCATAGCCGTGGCCAATGTAACCTATGCCAGCATGCAGTACGTTCATTTCCCTTCCCCGTTCCCATGTCCGGGATTCTCACAAGGTCAACCAACAGTGTCCTGAACATCGGCTGGCTATCCGTCTACTGCAAAACACCCCAAGAGCGGAGTGTCTCCATGGCGTACGTTTATCTTTTCCACATGTAGAATACCTCCTTTCGCTTGACGTTGGCTAACGGTGATAACAGCTTGATTGTTATGGCGGCCAATTGCGCCGGTATCTCCGGGTCACAGATTTTCCGCACCTCGGATCAACCCAGATATCTGCATGGTTTAACGGCTATTTGTGTCTTGGCCGGAGCGTCCTGGGTACTGGCGGCGGCGTTGGGAGTGCAGTATTATTTGAAGAGAAGAAAGGCCGGAGGAATTGGTGGCGGGGTATAGATTCCACGGTTGATGTATGATACTGTTGACTAGTATGACCCGTAATAATGGGATGTATATATCAGGTTCATCAACTCTTTATTATTAGAGATTTAAGGTAGAATCTGGGCTTTCTGTCCGACATCTAGTTCGTTCCGCGTGCCACAGGCACCGAGGGGGGCAGTGTGTAGTATAGGTAGTATGGCAATCAGCACCATATAAAAAATAGAAAAGAAAATCCGAGGAGAAAAAACAGGGGAAAGGCAATCAATGCCCAAATGTACAGACCCCAACCGTCTCCCAAGAAACACCATGAAAATGAAAAATATTATATACATACAATCAACCATGGAAGTAACCAAATCCCGCAATTCTGAACCTTACCGACAAATCTGGACTTGCTCGACTCAAGGCTTGACGAGCCAACCAACGGCGCCCGTGATTGCGGCAATCATCATCACCATCAGGATCCAAGCGCCCGCTCGATCCGCCGTGGTGATCGGCTTCAGCTCAGAGGGATCCTTATCCCCTCCCGCGGAAGGCACGTTGTGTTCCTTCGCGTCGGGGTTCGTATCGATCGTGTTGGGTGACTCGGTTGCCATAAGCATCAGATTGGCCGTAACACCACCCAGGGCCGACATTTGAGCTTCGAGGCCCTTGACCCCGTCGAACTTGTTAGCACCCCAGGTGAGACCGCACAGGTTGCTTTCGCCGTCGGATTGGCCGTTGCACATCTTGGAAATTGATTCAACCGACCCTTGCAGCTTAGGGACGATCTGATCCTTGGTGGACGGTACCAGAATGGAGGTGAAAGCTAACCACATGGACAGGTAACCCTTGAAACCGATCTGGTTTCTGTCGCAGGACATGATGGGCTCACAGGCGACTTCGGACATGGTATTGCCGCCGTACTTGTCCGGGAAGAAGGTCTTGAGAGTCGTGCCGAGCAGACCGTTGACCCGATTCAGCCATTTTTCATCGCCATTGGTCTATACGGATCGTTAGCGGGATGACATGCGTGAGGGAGCACTTCCAGAGTCCCATCGGCGACGGGAGAAAGGAACTTACGTAATTGTACAAGAAGGCCGCCCCCGACAAATAGGTCCCATAGTTGTAGGTCCACTGGAGATTGTCTGGACTCTTACATTGATCGTCGTTGTTGACCGAATCGTAGATTATCCACTTGTTGACGTCCATCAGCCCCGACTTGGCCGACCAGTCCCAAATCTTCTCGGCCCATTCGGTATAGGTGTCGTTTTTCGTAAACCGAGCTAATCGCGCTGCTAATTCAAACAAACCACCGTTGGAGATGGCGTTCTTTAACTGATATCCAGCTTGGTAGGGCCAGACCTGCCAGCGCATACCACCTCCACAGGTTTGAGAGTCCCAGCGCTCGGTCTGCTCGTTGAAGACTGCACGCGCGAGGGAGGTCCACGACGGTTTCCCATCGCGCTCGGGGAAACCGGCCTCGGAGGCAGTGATCGCTGCCAGACCCCAAAACATTTGATCGTCGTTACCCTAAGCACGTGATGGTCAGCAATCTTGCGCCCGAGGCGAAAGTAAAGTAGGCGCCATGAGGACGACGAGCACGACGTACCAGCCATTGACTGTAATTTTGAGAGAAAAAGTCATAATTTTCGCCCGCTTGGAACATGAGATCATGAGACACCACGGCGTTCTGACTGTCGTCGCCCGATGCTTGCCAGTATTGAATTAACGTCATGAACATACTACCGGCGATATACCAGGTATCCGTCAGCTTTCCAGGAATTCCCTCCGTCTGGTTCTGCTTGTAGAACTCCATCATCGGAGGGATGATTTCCTGGGCGCCCTTTTTTAACGAATCTAAAGTTCTGCGTTAGGACACTGAGAAAGTTGGAGCGCATGTCGGACCAATTTGCGACCGTGAGGAGGGGAAAAGAAGCATACCCTCATTATTGGCGACAATGCCCAAGTCCGACAACGCGGTCTGGGCGTGGAGAAAGAGGAACAACAAAGTGGCGCATAGCTGTCGACTGGTGAGGTAGTGCATCCTCTCCGATGGTTTAGTTAAAGAGGGGGGAATCGAGTCAGTCAGTCAGTAAGCAATATAGCAGTGACCGGAGACATCGAAAAAAGCTTGGAGAAGAGTTGGCGAGAGGGAAAAAGTGCATCCCGCAAGGCTTAATTTAAGTGACCCGTGCCAAGCGCACTCATGGCCCCATCTTGACCTGACTAAGTCTCTATCATTATGGAGTCGAACGGAGTCCACGCTACCTTGGCAAGATCGGCCCTGGTGAAACGAGACCAATCATCCCCTCAGGTGCGTCATCCAAGAGAAGTCTTAATTTTCCCCTGCCAATCTCTGCGCACTGCCTTCTCTGTCTCGTCCGCTTCTGGGTTGATGGTTCCCTTTTTTTTTTTTCCCCGGATGTCACCTGACTAGGGTTGAGGTTACATACGGGCAAACAGGATAGAGAGAGAGAGAAACTGAATGAACGAAAACCCTGAGAACCCTGTCTCCCTGTCGATCGTGGAGTCAGGGGTCTTTGGAGGGGACTGATTGCTTATCCAACGACCCATGCACAGAAAAATTGGATCCGTGCTCCCCAAACGCAGCTATGATACGCTGCTAGTCCCGTCCCATCCCCACTCTCACCACTGGATGATGCGTCCCATGCTGCCAGTTAATTATAGCAACCCCAGTTCGTCAACTGGACAAGTTACATTGGCGATGCACAGTACCACCCTAGTGGGCCTGCTGCAGCAGTACTGGCAAGAAAAAAAAAAAGCTTCAAAGGAACTTCTTCTAGTCTCCTATGCTTGGTCGTCTATGACATAATTACATATTTCTGGCGCGGTGCTTTTTTTTTTTTTTTCTCTCTCTCTCTCCCCAGATCTCCACTCATTACGGAAATGTGGGGATCATCACCAACTGTAGTCTAGATTGGTCCTAATGAACAGCTTCAAGCACCACACTATTTGAAAGCCACCGTTGTTAGCTAGGTATTGTCACTCGATCCTAGTGCAGATAAATATATTGCTAATGTGAATTCCAATTACTCAAGTATTTACCAAACCAGATTTACTCCGGGTACTTCGGAGTAAATAGAAATCCATTCAATGAACGTCTTTGTAACTTGGTGAGCCAAGGGCCATCGCCATATCTCCTTAGCGCTTACTCGCACTGGAGCTATCATCAGTATCAGTGCGAATGATATGACCTGATAACGAAAATATGGCTAGTTTAACAATCACCAGATCTCCGGGAGGCCTTGAGTCAGTCTGACTCAGAACACACATATATATAAAGGAACCCTGATTCCAACCAGTAGACCAGAGTCTCTTGCTCCAAATTCTACACTGATCATCCAACCCTCCACACATCACACTCTAGAAAAACAGAGTTGGCCAAAGGTTCATGAAAACCAAGGCCATAGAACGTGCCTGTTATGTAGGTAAGAGGCCCTAAGGATCCATCTTGTGGCATAACAACTAATCAAAGTATACAGCAGTAGAATCACACCTTGCGTTCCTATTAGAGATATATCTACGCATTAAAAAACAAATCAATAAAGAATGGAGGCACCAACTCCCATCCTCCAACTCTCCAGCTACCTCATCCGCCCCTTCTACCCTGGCGATGTAGAAGCCATTGCGAAAGAAGGCAACAATCCCGAAATCGCCCGTTGGCTACGCAGTCGATTCCCCGAGCCCTATACCATCGAAGACGCCAAGACCTGGATATCAATCGCGACCTCTAGCTCACCGATCCTCGATTTCGTCATTAGCCGGCGGGAGGATAATATCGCCATCGGAGCTATTGGGTTAAAAGCCAGGGACGATGTATACTATCGGACTATGGAAATTGGGTACTGGCTAGGTCAAGACCATTGGGGAAAGGGTATTGCGACGGAAGCACTATCTGCAATGACTACTTGGACCTTTGAGAATTTTGCACATGTTTTGAAGCTGGAGGCGGAGGTTTTTGATGGGAATGAGGCAAGTCAAAAAGTGTTGGTGAAGGCGGGGTATGAGCTTGAGGGGAGAAGAAGGAAAGCCGTTGAGAAAAAGGGCATTGTTATGGATACGCTTAATTTCTGTACTTTTAGACCTGATGAGTAAGTTAAGTTGTCGTCATGAAGCTTGTTACCTTTTCTTTTCTTTTTTGGAGGTCCTGTTATTTGTACTGGACTCGAGGCTGGTACGGAGTAGAGACACCACAAAATGATAACCAGGATTAGATCAAAGACGGAGTAAATCAGCCATGGAAGACTACTAGAGAGATCAGGGGTGAGTCCGAAGTGTCCATGCTTAAAATAGATTATAAGAAAGACGATCTTTCACATCCTTGCAACTGTCAAACTCTCTAGCAGATGATCGATCAATCACGTGACTATGCCTTCTAAATTCCTCCCATCATGGGATTAGTAAGGCATGAGTAAGGCATTTCTGCTTGATTAGGCTTAACGCCTGGCTGCATAACTCTTGTAACAGTGAGACTTTTTCCGCTTAGTAAGTAATGCTGTCCAAATGCAGTAATTTCGGCACAAGAGTTGAATTGTGGGATCGAATCGCCAAAATCATTCGTTCCTCGGCCAAGAATGGGGACACTGGAGACCCATCGTGCTTTGAAATCAATCTTAATTTTTGATTAGTATATCTGGTGGTAAAATGGCGGCAACACGTTTCAATTTCACAGCGACTTTGCGTTTTTACGACACACTTCTAGCAACTGATCTCATATCCGTACCGTTCTTCAAGCCCAATACGACTTCAGGAACAATATGTCTGCAAGATACAACTCTGACCCAGTAGATGTAACCCCATTGGGGGAACCGCTCCACTTCGCCTTCAGTCAGCGAACCGCGCCCAACCGTTTTTACAAGGGTGCCATGACGGAGCGGTTATCGTCCTGGTCCCCGACAGATCTGAAAGCGCGCGGAATTCCCAGCAATGAGTTGATCAATCTGTACAAGCGCTGGGGTGAGAGCGGCTACGGCATGCTCTCCACCGGAAATATTATGCTTGCATACGATCAGCTGGAGGCCCCGGGAAACCCCATCATTGATCTTGAGAATCCCTTCCATGGAGAGCGTTTTGAGGCGTTCTCTCGCATGGCGGCGGAGTCGAAGAAACATGGCAGCTTGATCGTCGCGCAGGTCAGTCATCCCGGTCGCCAGGTGGAAGAGCGCGTGCAGGCCGATCCCGTATCGGCGAGCGATGTGCAGCTGCAGACGGAGGCGCTTAAGATGACGTTTGCGAAACCACATGCCGCCTCTAAGGATGAGATCCGGGATCTCGTTAAAAGGTGGACTCATGCTGCGGTCTACCTGCACAAGGCGGGATTTGATGGCATCCAGCTGCATGGCGCGCACGGGTATCTGCTGGCTCAGTTCCTGTCGCAGACCACGAACAAGAGGACCGACGAGTATGGCGGAAGTCTGGAGAACCGGGCACGTCTGATTGTCGAGGTTGCCCGGTCCATTCGGCAGCAGTTGCCGTCATCGTCCGGGTTTATTCTGGGTATTAAGATCAATTCGGTCGAGTTCCAGGCCGAGGGGTTTACCCCGGCCGAAGCTCAACAACTTTGTCAGATTCTGGAACAAAATGAGTTCGATTTTGTGGAGCTCTCTGGTGGAACGTATGAGGCACCCGCCTTCTCGCGCGACCGGGATTCCACCAGGAACCGAGAAGCCTTCTTCCTGGAATTCGCATCCATGATTACCCCTGTGCTGAGCAAAACCAAGAGCTACGTTACTGGCGGTCTCCGCACGGCGTCGGGAATGGTGGCTGCACTGGAGACGGTGGATGGTGTCGGTTTGGCTCGACCTGCTTGTCAAGAATTTAACCTCCCTCGCGATATCCTTGAGGGCCGAGTGACTGGCGTAATTGAGCAAAAGGTTGATCAGCAGAACTTTGGTTTGACGAGCGCCGCCGCGGGTACGCAAATGAAGCAAGTGGGCAAGGATGAGCAGCCAATCGATCTAAGTGACGAAGAGAATCTGGCGCTCTTCATGAAGCACCTGGGGGAATGGGCCCAGCAGATTCAGGAAGACGCACCCAAAATGAACATGTATGGGTTCATGGATCTCCCCAAGGGGGAGGCTTTCCGGGGATAAACGTTGTCTCGGCTAGTTATAAAGGGGCAGAAGCCACCATTTGGGCTTTATAAAACATCAGCATTGTGAGCTAATCTCCTCAGGCCCGTTGATCTCCAACTCATGGATCTGCTTCTTGAAGTCTCGTTTGTCGAAGTTCGATAGATTTCGCATAATATTCACGTAAAGCCAGACGCGCTGTGCAGGAAACGTAGTGTATAGCTGCTGCAGCTGATACTTAACTCCCAACATGTCATCTTGTGTTAACCCGGAACGGCTCAGAATCACATCTATCTAGATCCTTAAAGAAAGCCATAAGTTGTGACTGCATGAGATCATAGAAATATGAGTCCAAACCCCCATCTGCAAATCATCGGAAGTTATTGATCGTACTCCGTAAAACTATTTAAGTGGAAAGTTACCTGGTTGCATGAGCTTGTATACTTCTGGTACGTCCGATTTGCCTGACAACGCAAGTATTTTCAACCCAACTATATGTGAAACCCGGTAGGACGTATGGGTCTGGGGCATTGGGAGAGCGATGGTCTTGTACTTAAGGCAGACTTTCCCAACTAATTGCCCTGCAATTTTCTCTAGCTTCTTTAGGAATGCCAGGTGAGGGTCATTGGCCCCATCGGTCACCACTTTGAAACCCTCCCTAACGTTTAAGAGATATGATTTGAGGGTTTTCCCAAGAGCCGATCTAGATCTGTATACTATAGTGTCCCCTTTAGTTGCCTGCTCGAGGAAGATATTATTGATCAAATTGACATAGTAGGAAGATATACGAGAACAGGTAAAATAGAACCTGTCTTCAGCCCGAGGGCCCTGGTTCGGCTTCAAGACGAGCTTCCCATTGACGATAGTCGCGTACAAGTTTCCACATTTCTCAATAGGAAGTCTTTTGAGTATCGAGACGGGCTTATCAGGAGACAAATGCTGGTTTCTGACGTTTTCACGCAGGGTTTCCCACTCCTGGATTTCATTTGCGCCTTCCTTAGAGGGGTTTACAAGCAAGGAGCTTCTTAAGATGATAATGAGTTCCGCAGAAATCGGGGCAAAGTTATGGTATTCCATGTATGCTTTTTCGACAGCTCTCCCGGTGGCGGAGTCAATCTGGACATCCGAAGGGCCCCCCAAGAGTCCATACGCATTATGGGTCAATATGAACTCGTCTTCCTCTGACGAAGGCTGACAGAATGCCATGAATTTGCCCTGCATGTGATCAATGAACATCATTGCATCGTCCGGGAATGCCTGTTTGTGAACCATGCTGATCCACTGCATGTCTGGTTCTATTTCTAGATCCAAGAATGCCTTGAGATTGGCGTACTAGATATCACGAGGCGATTTGAATCCCTTTCCTCGCATGTAGCTCTCCAACCGGTGTTTATTATTAGGATCATAGGTCCTGATACTGTCATGGTTGAATCGAGCATAGAAAGTGGAGTTTCTGTATATCATCAGGAAGCGGAACTTTCCTTATAGTATCCCTTTCGCGGCGATTTAACTCAAGTTTATCACCAACTTTGAATGTATCTGATGCACTTTTGATAGTTCTACCAGCATGACCTTCTAACTCTCCGGGATTATCCTCGATATGCCTCGGATTCGGGTAGCCTTGATCGCGGTACATGTCCACTAGTCCAAACTCGTGTGATAAACAGCATATTCCGTGGCAGTGACTCGATATCAGCCGGAATGGGATGTAGTATTGGGCTCTCCCGATACTTCTCTCGCTCCGAACCGGCATATGCGTCCATCAAGGGCAAAACAAAAGTTAAAGGATCCTTATCTAGATATTTGGCCGGCTTCAGCTTTCTCCACGGTGACAGCCGCAGATCGACCTGTGGATAAGTCAAGAAAAAAAACCACTCAGGCATCTAACAAACCGGTAACGAATGTATATCTTACGGATGCGTAAAACATCACCGCTGCCTTCACGTTGAACTCCGACCGGGCCAACCATTGCGCAACGCCTAAGGCTAGATTTCCTCCAGTTGAGAAGCCACTCACACTCATCAGTCTTGGATCAGCGCCCCAGAGTCTTCCCGTGTTTTCAATCAACCATTCAGCCACATCTTGTACATCCCTATGGGCAACGGGGAAAGTTTAAATACCGCGGGAAATATCGGTGAGAGGTTGATATCACTACCGCCCCGGTCTCTGCCGCGACTCGATCACAGAACGGCGTGTTGCCTTCGGGGAGTCCTCCGAGGAGCCCACCGCCGTGGATGTTGAGGTGGAGAGCTCGCGGTTCATTCTTTGACTCTTTTTTGAGGGGGTGGTACATAATAGCGCGAACAGAGTGACCCGGGGCACACCTCAAGGGAATCCAGATAGTGGTCTTGGGATGTTTCGAGCGTATGCCACGTCAATATTGAATTGCATTTGTAAGGAATACTACGGGTTGTAATGCAAGCAGGTGCCAGCGAAAGCTGAAATGGAGACCTGGACATACAATAGCATCGTACAGGGGACCGAACCAGCGATAAAAGAAAGACATCATTTCGTGCCAGCGGGTGTTTTCTCAGTGCGCATGTTTGCGCATTGCATATTTATAGTCCCTTGACCCTCCGGAAACTTGGTTGCGTTCGTATTCGTCCGTATGACTGTCCCGACGCATGAAAGAAATGAGTCACTCAAGATCTCGGGTGTGCTCTCGAGTGACCTAATCTAGATTCATCGAGACTGAAGCGTAAGTTGACTTTGGATTGCTCTCCTGTCAAAGAAAAACCTTCCAAATCGCAACAACGTGTACAGCCTCGTGATGTCATGTTTCGGGTGGACTGCTGAGCCACGATGTGTCCACAGCCCATCATTATGGCCGTCAAGAGTTTAGAGTAAGGGTAAGCGAGCAGATGCAGGTCTGTAGAGGATAGGACGTTTACGGCCACTGCAACCTTGTTTATATCTTCAAAGGAGGCAAGCCATCCTTGGTCATTCAAAGCTGTGTGCATTGTTCCCTGTCCCGAATCCGCTGTAGAATTCCGACCGATGTCATGACTGAGCCCTAGCACGTGATGTGATATCTCTCTGCAAGCAGAAGCTGATTTTGAGGGGTTGCGATTGCCCTCTGAGAATCATCCTCGGAGACATTCACGTAGTATATACTTTCCCCCAGAAAAAGAAAGAAAGAAAAAGGGGATATTGAAAATTACTACGGTGGGAGACTGCATCGCCAAGAGCTTTCCAAGTTTCACTGCTGGACTGCCGAAACAGCGGTAATTGATTCAACAGACCAAAGAACACTGTGTATGATTTGGGGCATGAGATTACAGGGAAACATATACAGCAAATTACATCGACGCATCCACTGTTGGTGGTCTTTTTGTTGGTGCCAAGTTTCGACATTTCTTCCCCACCACTGAAGTATGGTTCCCATTTGTCACTCAAAAGCAGGATCATCCAACTCCTCCAGGCTGCATTCTTGGCACTGGCCGACGTCCCTGCCCATAAGTATTTTATGATCGTCGATGACTTGGGCCTCCGCGCATGGAGAGATAGAATTGTTCAACTGATCGCTGTTCCTCACGAACGCTCCCAGTTTGCATGACCTGTTGCTCAGAGGTCCACAAGTGAACAACGTAACAAGAAAGAGAATTGCCCCTTAGGTAACGGAGACAACAGCCGTCCCCAGAATCCTCTAGCTCGGATTACACTGGGGATTAGGGCCAGAAACGAAAATAGCCGTTCGTTCAACCCCTAATCCTGTATCGTTTTCAAGCTTACGGCAGAGATTGAATCGCACGATGCCAAGACTTCACAGCCCTTGTTCCATGGATTCAGCAGCAGGCAGCACTGAGCAATCACGCCTGAGAGCCTCAGAGAGTGGATCAATGATGACTTCTGCTAAAATTCGGCCGTGGGGGCCAGAGACTCTTGACTTCTAGACCAAAGTCCCCGAGACCCTTGAGTCCCTGCGTTATTCTCTATCAGGAAGGTGAGCTGTCGGTTTGCCTTAGGACGCTTTACTTCCTTAGGAAAAATGCCCTGTCGATAGAAATTTCGGAACGGGAGGTCAGCGATTCACCACAGCCTCATCTGAGGGTCATAGGTGTGAGCCTCGCCGCAAAGGAACCAGATCAACCCTCAAGTATACCCAATGGTACCGCGTAGGCACGGAAGTGGCTAACAAAATGAATCGGAATATAAACAAAAAAAAATAAAAAGTAAATAGTCAAATGCTTAACTATGGGTGGGTGATTACACTATTTTCTCTTGTGTAGGGTCCAGCTTGCTTACAGGCAGTGCTTGTTTTACCGGCATAATTTCCCCTAGCGCGCCCACGTCGTATTCAGAATATGTAGCCAGTCGAAGAGAAGAAGATTTGACAAGTGATGAAGGGTTCCCCAAAAAAGAAAACCGTTCGGAGAGCCCCAGTCAAAGTTAACATCCGACCCACTTCCTCAGCCTTGTCTTGTCCTCGGACAGTTGATTAGGCTGCGCCCTCTTTTTCCTGCTGCCAAGGACCTAGTGTACTGTGTCTCCTCGTGTTATAAATGATGCGGTCTGTCGCGCTATCAGTTTTTCTTCGAGACGCCTTTTGATTGTTAACTCCCATAATTTCAACGTTCCGCAGCATCCGAGACACCAGACTTGGGGCGCTGTTTGCAATATGCGTCTTTTCGGCATCACTCTGGTTTCAGCTGCTCTGGCTGCTGCTCAGAGCGGTGCATCCACTTCCTCTAGTGCCTCGCCGTCTGACACCTCGGAACCATGTGCACTCGCTAGCCAACTCGCCGACGAGAGCGAGGCCATCCCAGCCCAAACCGCTTATGACTGCTTGAAATCCGTCCCAGTGGCTGTGGAGCAAGATAAGACCCTCATTGATCAACTCAAGCTCCTGTGGGAGTGGCACTCAGAGACTGGCTATCTGAAGAACACTCCTGACACATGGGAGCTGGGTTCCGTTGACCTCCTTGGGGAATTGGACAAGATCAAAGAGAACCTTTCCTCCTACGACAGTGAATATGACGTGCAGCTCGCAATCAACAAGTTGACCTTGAGGACAGGCAACTTCCATTTCAACTATGTGCCCGATATCCTCCAAGTCTTCTATTTTCAACGCGTGATTCCCGTGACTACCGTCTCGGAGGATGGAACCAGTGTGCCAGAAACCTATGCTGTCGCAGATCTTGTGCAGAAAGACTCCGACGATAGTATTGACATTTCGCCCATCGTCAAAATCAATGGTGAAGACACACAAACGTATCTGAACAAGATAGCCGCCCAGGAGCAGTACATTGACCCCGACGCCCGGTTCAACAGCCTCATGTGGAGGGGTAGCGCAGCCGCCTCGATGGGCAGCTTTGTTTACACTGGCCTAGGCATTTATGAAGGTGCAACGACGAATCTCACTTTTAAAAACGACACCACTCGCGTTATCAAGAACTTCGCTGAGGTACGTCAAAACCTGACAGCAGTAACCAGCGGAAAGTCGTTCTTTGAAGAACTGTGCACCGGTAGCTTTGCTGGCATCGAGGCAATGGGCGCGTCCATGAAGAAAACACCCTATAAAGGAGCTCCTCATCACTGGAAAAGACAGACCATTCCTAGTGACGGCTACCCCGAGCCTGTTGTTGAACACAGTGCTGGTATGGTCGCTGGCTATTTTATGAATGGATCTGATTTTGAAGACGTCGCTGTCCTCAAGATTGTTACCTTTGACACGTCCTCGGCCGAAAGTGAGGATGCTGCTATCGAGTTCCAGGAAGTCGTGAAGCAGTTTCTGGGCAATTGCACAGACGCGGGCAAGAAGAACCTCGTCATTGACCTTCGAGAGAACGGTGGAGGTGAAACCGCCCTTCTCCTCGATACCTTCATGCAACTTTTCCCCGGTGAAGTGCCCTTTAGTGCTCAGAGATATCGCGCGCAGGACCAGTACAAGCTCATTGGTGAAGCTGTCAATTCAGTTTATGAGGATCAATCTGTGCAGACGTTGATCAAGAAGGCTACTGGCGAGAGTAAGCAAAACACTGTCCGAAGTGAATTAAAGTAATGCTAACCTGTCTAGGTTTCGCCGATATCGCCCTCGTCAGGTACTGGGCTTACTGGAACTTTGTCGATGTTAATGGCGACAACTTCAAATCGTGGGATGAGTTCTACGGTCCTCACAAGTACAATGGTGATGAATTCACGACTATCATGAGGTATAACGTAAGTACAACCTAGGAATCCATTGAGCAATGAGCGTTTCCAGCTTACATGACACAGATGTCCAACAGCAACCCAGTCAGTATCCTGGGCCAGTCAGGCTTCAAATTCCTGAATCCTCCCGCCGGAGACCCCCCGTTTGCTGCTGAGAACATCGTCATGTTTTCCGACGGTCTTTGCGGATCCTCCTGCGCTTCATTTCACGAGGAGCTCAAGAACATTGCTGGCGTCAAAGCCATTGCCGTTGGTGGTCGTCCCCAGGAGGGAGCCATGCAGACCATCGGTGGCTCCAAGGGTGGAGAAGTCATTCCACTGAACATTATCCCCCTTTACCTCCAGACAATGATGAACCTCACTGCACCCTTGGGCATTGATAGCCTCGATGATGACTCTCTCACAAAGCTCGCCAACCCGGATGTACTTCTCACTCGCGCCGGCGATTACAGCAGCCGTATTCAGGTGCAAGACCAGATTCGCAAGGGTGATGAGTCAGGCACTCCACTCCAGTACATCTATGAAGACGCCGACTGCCGCATCTTCTACACCACCAAGATGCTGCTCGAGCCTGAAACAGCATGGGAAGCTGCATGGTCAGCCTACACGGATGATAGCAAGTGTGTTAAGGATTCCACCAAGAAATCATCCAGCATTAGCGGCGGATATAAGCCGTTTGGCCCTGGAGATCTGAATGGTAAGCAGTCGGAGAACAGCACCTCGTCATCCGACAAGGATGAGGAGAGTGCTGCCTCTGCTTGGAGACCTAGCCTTGCTATCTGTGCCGCGGCTACAGTCATCAGCTTCCTTCTTTAGATGATTTCTTTTTACGAGTTTTTACAATTTTTAAGGGCCAAATGTGTTCAATGTTTGCATTTTGTGCATGATGATACCTATATATTACGATGACTATTCTGTGGATTTACCTTTAGATATTCTGATGAAGATTGTACATATACACACATTATTTACTTGTATGATCTGTTTGACTGTTGAGTAGTAACTCGTGTATTTAGATTCACTTATCAAAACCATTTGCCAAGCATCTACAGTATCAGACTATAATTCGTCTTCCTATGTCTGGCTGTCAAGTAATAATTGTACGGGAAATTTTGAGTCTTACTCCACTGACTTATCCTTCTCAATAATGTCTTAGTGCTGTAGATTACTGTTGCATAATCTATTCTCTTTATTTGATTTCACTGGCAACAGTCAATCAATATCAGTAGTCGCGGCGATTGACCTGGTACCCTCCAGATCTCTCTGTAGATCTCCAATTTTGGACTCTAATGCAACTACACAGTCCTTTCCCAGGGGCATACGGAGATAGTCATAACCCGCAACGGTAGCGTTAATGATTGCCCGCGCCGCCTTATCGGGGTCTCCCTTGACAAAGTCCGGAACGGACATGATATGTCGAGTTCCATTGACCATCTGCTCCACCGCGGTGCCCTTGTAGCCCTCACTAACACCATCCTCAAATTGGGCGGGAGTCAGGATCCGGCTCGAGAAGGGTGTTCGAAATGCACCCGGTTCTACTATGAGGACTTCTATACCAAAAGTCTTGACCTCTTGGGAAAGGGACTCATGTACGGCTTCAATGGCAAATTTACTGGCGGAATAGGTAGCTCGACCCGGACGGGCTATGAAGCTGTCCACATAAAAGGTTTCGTCAGACAGATTCCAGAAAGAAAATTAAGAAATAAACATACCCAGCACCACTGCTGATTAGAATGATGTGACCAGAACCTCTTGCGCGCATGACCGGGAGACAGGCCCGAACGGCGCGAAGAGGCCCGTAAAAATTGACTTCCATTTGATCGCGAACTTCAGTCTCACTGCACATATGGATAGTTAGGCAACCCCTAGCTTGATAATAGGGCCACGAGGTCACTGACCTGGTATCTTCAACACCACCGATGAAAGCATAGCCTGCATTGTTGACGAGGACATCCACATTGTATTCTTGGGAGCACTGGGCAAATTTATCATAGGCATCCTTTTGGGCGGGATCTACACCCAGCCAGATGCCGCCTTTGACCGAGAAATCCGGACAGGCGATCTCGGCCTTGCTGATATCGCGGGTAGTTCCAATGACTTTGTAGCCTGCCTTGAGAGCTTCCAAAGCAAGCGATTTCCCTAGGCCGGATGAGGCACCAGTGATCAACCAAGTAGAAGGTGCTACTGCCATATCGAATGCTGTATTTGCGTTGTAAGCCACAAACTTTCCATGGTACGAAGTAATGGTGGACCAGGAGGACAGCGATGTAAATAGTCGGTGGTCAAGCGGAGTTAAGGGCTTATCCCCTTGGGCTTCTGTGCTAATTTATTATAATGATCTTACTAGAGAATTATGCGCAAACTCTGTGAAATGCAAGTTATGGCCAGCCCTGATAGACTATATTTACGGTGGAAAGTGCGCCACGGTTTTGCGGTCAGCGATGAAGTCCTCGAACAAAGTCAATTGAACTAGTCCGGTTCGTTCTACTATCCTATAAAGAGTTAGTATATTAGGTGACTGTGTCTTATTGGATTGTTTTGCACTCATATTATAGTGAATAGACATGAAGGGTTGCTAAATCGATATTCAGCTGAAGTATTACACTGCATAGATACGGGTTATTCGACGTTCGGACTTTACTTCGGATTTTGCTTAACACCTCCTAGTATAGTCGTGTTGCGCTTACATAGAATGGTTTTAGTGTCTACTAATTCCGTATACGTGTTAACAACTATGGTGTACCCTTTTATGATGGTTCGATGCTTGAGAAAGTGGTTTAACCCTCTCAGCAGTGTCCCGAGATTGGTATAATAAGTATCGCCTTTGCCTTGAATGCAGAGAAGATTTCGAAATAAAAGAAGTATCTATGAAGCAGAGCTCTAATCGCACACCTGTTCGCTAACTATCCTCACTTACCCTACTTGCTCGCCTCCACACCTTCAGCGGCATAGGTCCGGAGTTGAAATTTGTCGTTTCATGTCTGACCGGCTCCCAGGACGGCGACGGCAACGCGAATTCGAAGCGATGCACAAGTGAAGCTAGAAGAACAGTCTGTTCCAGATAACTGATATTACGACCGATGCACCCTCTAGCGCCGGCACTGAAAGCAACAAAATACGGCTGAAGATCGCGCCCCTTATCGCCAAGCCAGCGCTCCGGCTTATATCTGTCCGGGTCTGGAAATATGTCCTCGTTGCGATGAACCACATACGCCGAAATACCGACGGAAGTATCGCCTGCCACAAATTCACCTCTAATAGTGGTGCCTTCCTGAGGTGTCCGGCGTGGAACATGGAAAGACACAGGTGGGTACATGCGCATGTTTTCATCAAGGCAAGCTCGCAAGTAGGGCAAATGCTTCACTTTGTCATAAGGTGCAATAAGCTCATCTTCTTCCAGGACACCGTCGATCTCCTCCCGGAGCTTTTCTAGACAGTGTGGGTTTTTCAACAAAAGGAGCATCACGTTGCTCAGGGAGATCCCTGTGGTATCGGAACCTGCGTTCATCATGATGCTCACTTCAGCTACGATTTCTCCCCATTCGAGGTTATTCGGAGCACCCGACTTGTCTTCCATGAGGGCGGAGAAGAAGTCATCGAGCTTTTCTCCTCTCTCATACCGCTTCCACCGTGTTGTCGCCCGGTTGTTCACGATCCCGTCCCAATCTTCCGCCAGCTTCCATTTCTGGCGGTACGTCGAAGACACCAGTTTACTGACTCGGACCAGCGCCTCGTACCAGTCATAGGCCCATACTAGGGTCGAAGAAGCCGACGCATTGGCGAACAGACAATCTCGAAAGTGGACCTTTTTTACAGTCCCATTTTTGGCTTCCGACGAGATAATATCATTGCCTTGATCCAGGAATCGAATATCTTCGCTAAGTCCAATATTGGCAATGGCGGCGATGGTGTACAGATTCGCCCACATGCGATAATCGATCGTAAGGTCTTGGGGGTCTGGATTTTGGCCCTTGGGCAATGGACTGGTACACCTCTCGTCAAATGCTTTGATGATGCGTTGCGTCATATCGGCCACCTTATATTCCCAACCTTCAAGATTCTTGATGGCGTAGGCGCTGGAGAGAACTTTGCGCTTTCGAGCATGGTCTTCCTTGTCCACTACGTCTGCGAGGTGGTAGTGTGAGCCGCATAGTGCTGAGTAGAATACATCCTTGGTGCACTTTGTACCGTGTCCGTAAATGTCTTTTATGGCAACGGGGTCTGCGTAGGAGAGTTTATTGGGTCCAATCCGGAGGACCGGATGCTTTTTGTGTGCTTCGAGGAGGACATGCGAGCGGATGCCCTTGTGGGAGTAATAGATAAGTGGGAGGTCAGAGATGCCGGACACAAAGGTCAAGCTGGGGTACTTTCGGAGGCCTTTAGGGTCACGGAGGTAGTTAATGATTGGTATGGCGATATAGTAGATGAGGAGGAAGTGGAGGGTGACGATGAGAAGTAAGCTGTACATCTCGTCCGGATTGTGGTGGATGAGTATCTGGCTCGTGAATGCCAAGGATGAGTTTATTGGGATTTCCGGTTCCTCTTCTATCTATGTATTCCTCGACATTTCGGGCATCTTTATAACATATTCTGTGGGATCCATTACTATCGGCTCGAATTACCTATGCATCAATTTCCAGTAAGGTATCCCCAGGACGAGTAAAGTTCGCCGGAACTTATTCTTTATGTGGAAAGTCCCGGCGAAAATGTGTCTGAATACGGAAATGATCCACACATCACGTATCACTGCAGCCCTCACTGGCATCGTAAATCACTCAGTATCCTGGAGTAGATCCACGATGCGGGGGTCCCGGCGCTTTATCGGGATCTATATTCCATGGATAGTGTATCCCACCATAGCCTGGAGCGACTCAGGAGCTGAGAACCTGGGCAGCTGACAATTATCGCATATTCTTATTTCCAGTCCCAGGTTGCCCTCCAAATGCCGACAATTTTTTTTGTGTACCAGCTGTCTCAAGCTCGCATCTAAACCTGCAACATATGCTGATCTATTCTACTCTGTCATAGAAAGACTCGATACCGGTATGAAGTGTCAATATTGACCTGATACGGCCGTCGCCATCCAATTTGCCAAGAGTCCCATTACAAAACCATCAGTCTTCATACTCAATAATAAAATTCTCCGACAAATTTTGTGGGGTAGAGCCAAAGTAAGCCTTTTATATCCTCTTACTTTTGTCCTGCGTTGCCATCGTCCCCGCATGCTCGGACATGTAAGCACATTATCAGTTCAGTTACGCATTATCCGGCCATTGTCGTCATGACACCTAGCACATGCTCCAAGTTCTCGCCCAGGGAGTCTGTTTGGATTGGGCTAAGTGCCGAGATGTATCTATGCAAGGTCAAGCACCTCGTAGGAGTAAGCTATATAAACAACGATACCTAACGCTGCCGCCCGGTCGACATGAAAACCATACTCATGAGAAAGGATAAATACCGATATTGTATCATCGGAAGGGATGGGAGAACAGTTTTAGAAAGACAAGGAAGAGGGGATATTTCAATATATAGCAAGCCTCCTCAAAGACTACTCCAGGAACCGCGACAAGATTGTGAGATAAGAAGGCTGCGCGTTCTGCCGTGTTAAAGTTTATACTATCATTTAGGCCAGAGCAGACCAAATGCTGTAGATGTCATGTAGTTAGAATGAATACAAACGTGGGCTATTTCATCGCTAAGGAAGCCGTAGAAAGTCCAATGGGTATCCAGGTCATCGTGCCATGGCGCCAGGTATGATCACTAGCGATACATCAAAATTGGACCTCATCTAGAAACCACAATCTCTGTTTCCCTTCCCCGCATTTCAACAAAAGAGTAAGATATCCTGGTTCTGTCTAGTCAGCGTTATTTGTGGTTGGATGCCTGAATTGTTTCGTGTTTCATATAATCTGACTAAGATTCAAAAATGCAACCACCCCCAATCAAAACTATTGCGAATGACTTCTAAGACAAGGGTAACAGTCAGATCAGTCGATGCAAATCGGGCCGTATTACTGTCGCAAAGTCAGCAGAGGGAGGATTATTTAAGGTGTGAGTTTTCCAAACTGGTGGTGATCAACCAGACGGACAGAAAATAGCCCTAATGTAGTTAGCATAGCTAAGGCCCGCAACTAGGATCTAAGCCCCAGGGATATGCCTTGTCATTGAGACTATTTAAAGGGTCATCTTATATCTTCAAGCGGTATCGCATTTTGTTTCCTGCTTTACACCTGGAAGAAAATAATCGAATGGCATCAGATAGTATTCATCATGGAGAGCCAGTACGCAGAGTGGTTTACGCGCATCTCCCACGACAGAGACCTCTTTTTCCTTGACCCCACAGAGCTGGCGACTTTACAGTCCTACTTTGAAGGCAATCTCCCTCTACAAGACACAGTCTCAAGCCTAACAGCCCCAACTGCACCTCAATGGCATTCTACCCAAAGCAGCAGGGTTTGGGCGATGCTTCTATCCATAGCAGAAGACTACGGAGAAGCGCATGATCGCATCATAGCTCTGATCGAAGCATTGTTTTCTCTCCCGAGGCCATCACAGCCTAATGAGCAGGACTGGCCGGGCGAGAAAGAATTCGGCTTTCCGCGGTGTTGGCGCGACATCCATGATTGTAAGTATCATAACCAGGACGCTGGGTAGTAGTTATGACGATTGTTGATCATCGATCCCACAGCTTTATGGGCTCGGGAATCAGAGATTGAGTCTTTGTCTGATTCCGTCGCCACGAAGTGGATAAACTACCAAGCGTTCACCGCACGCCTTCTGGCTTCGTCTCTTTTGAGTGCACATGACAGGGCCTTATTGAATACAGTCGATGCTCTTGAAATGACGCTGGAGCTAAAGGAGCTCACAGTGAGACAAGAAATTGAAAATAGCTGCTGCTGCACAGTACTGGATCTATGAGGGCTAAGAGACTTTTCACATTCCACTCCGATTCACTACATTTGGAGTATTCGAGCTAGAGGCATCACTGCACGAAGGGTGGAGAGCTTTAGTAGTGTAAGCTAGTTTTTATGCTGCTAGGGTGGGAGGAGGAGGCGGGGTGGGGGAAAGGGGAAGAAGTTCGAGGATATGCTTTGGGGAAATTCAAGCCATGGAAGAACTATGTGGTAGTAGTAGGGACGCAGCAGGCGGGCAGAGTGAAAGATGAAGAAGGTTTGAAGCCAGGGGAGGCAGGTGACAAGAATAAGGAAAGGAAGTAGGACTTTGGCAATTGTGGTGTCTTTCAACCTGAATCAGGGGGGTTCCTCTGGTAGGCAGCCCGGCGAGGCCGGAGAAAATGATAATCTGTGTACAGAGACCTGTGTGTTGTGTGTGGCTTTTCTGCTATTTACTTAGCTGGTGATCCTCTACTTCTTCGTATATTTTCTTGCACATTCTCGAAAACAATTATTGCTCGATGCATCCTGAGACATATAGTTGCTTCAAACCCTATATTTCTTCTGAAAAGACCAGGCTCATTGGCCTTCCGGTCGTCTCTACAGGTATATCCAAACTTCGCTTTTGTTAAGCTCCGGTTTTAGATCTTCAAGAATATCGACAACGCACACAACCCGTCGCTACGACAATTCCACAAACCTGCAGAGGCAATGGCAGGGTTCACTGGTCCAGCAAGAAGAAACGTAATAAGCCTATCTATTTCATAAACGTAAGGATCCTCGTATAAGAATGAGAATTTAACTTGTGAGCCGCGGTAATGATTTAGTTGGCCTGGTCGGAGCCACTGATGCCTCGCCCCTTGTGAGCAGAAACGGGGAGAGTTTCCCAAACCCAAACGTCGTAAGAGCAGCCACAAGCAGATTGTCAATGGTGAAGTCAGGGAAGGGATACGAGTAAGCCGGAGTAATTTTGGCCCCAGGGACAATTGCTCGTGATTTAGAGTTATTAATATTGTTGACCCTGCTTGGACGATGGAATTGAAAGGATCCGTGAGTCATAGAATGTACTATGATGGGCGAAGTCAGATTACGTTTATAGCGCCAATTATGCAGTATAAAAAAACCAATCAAAACATCATTTAGAACCCCACTGCCTCATCACACAGATTCCCCTCATACAAGGTGACATGAAAGAAGCATTTTAACGTTGCATCCATCGTAAATGCTGCGTTAGAACCTGTGTTGTCCCACCTTTCTATTTTGGCTAAAACATAACAACTCCCAACTGCAATGTGCTGCTTTAGCTCTGCTTTTAGCCTTTCCTCCTTCTATGATAAAGAGTACATGAAATGGAAACTTGTCCAGGTCAGCGTTTATCGGTTGTAGTGGTTGGTATGGGGCAGATGGGTCACAGCCATGCCCTGGCTTACCACCATAACCCAGGTTTTCAGATTGTGGGGCTCTATAACCGCAGTCCGGTCAGAAACCTCCCGGATGCACTCAAGGAGTATCCCTTTCTATCTAGTTTCGAGGAGGCCCTCATACTCAAGCCCAATGTTATGTCGATCAACACGCATACGGCAACTCATGCCGATTATGCCGTGGCAGCAATGGAGTCCGGAGCCCATGTTTTTGTGGAGAAGCCTTTAGCGACAACAGTCGAAGATGCGGAACGTGTGGTGAGGACAGCACAGCGAACGAATCGCAAACTAGTCATCGGTTATATCCTCCGGCATCATCCCAGCTGGATCGAATTCATCCACCGCGCTCGACAGCTTGGCCCACCATTTGTCATGCGGATGAACCTGAATCAGCGCTCTAGTGGCGATGCGTGGGCCATTCATAAGCGTCTCCTCCAGGATGTGAAAAATCCGATCGTGGACTGCGGCGTGCATTATGTGGATGTTATGTTGCAGATTGCGGGCAGCAAGCCGGTCCAAGTGCGTGGCATGGGCCTTCGTCTCTGCGAGGATATTCTGTCAGATGGACAGGTCAACTATGGCCATCTTCAGGTGCTGTTCGCCAATGGATCGGTTGGGTGGTATGAAGCCGGTTGGGGTCCAATGATGTCGGAGACAGCGTATTTCGTGAAAGATGTGATGGGCCCACGTGGCTCTGTATCAATTGTGATGGACGAGAAGTATAAGAGCAGCGATGGTACTGGGGTCTCAGCCGATCTGAACAGCCACACGAAGACGTCAAATCTACGCCTGAGTACTGTTGTCGACGGCTGCCCTCGAGATCAGGTTCTATCGATGGAGGGTGAGCCAGACCATTACGAACTATGTGCACGGGAGCAGCAGTTTCTGTTGGATAACATTCGTGAGGATCGAGATCTCACACAACATATGAACGATGCCATTCAATCGTTATCCATTGTGCTTGCAGCAGATCGCTCGATGCGTGAAAACCGCGCAATTGACATCGTCTAGTTAAAATAGTCTTGACATTCTTAAAAATTGCTGCACTAGATAGATTGACAAAATTGGATCTCTATAATTCGCCGACCCCCAACAAGCTTACAGAATAGTATGCCCAGCAGGTAGCCCTAGTCAAATATGTGTAGGTTATACCCTGGTCTTGAACATAGTCCTTCTAGGACAAACCGACATTGCTGAATCTATTAGTCTAATCTAGTGCGGTGTATATCTCCCCAATCTGTTTTCCCTAGGCCTTAATATATTAAGCTTGAAAATAAGCCTCCTCATCTTTCAGGGTGTAACCCTTTGGCATATAAACTTTTATTAATTCATAATCATGAGCATCAGACCTTTTCGTCGTCTCCCCCCTTTTTCCCATCCCCACCATGTCCCTGTGCACCAATTCTTAGAAACGCACACAGTGGAATACCGATGGCCGCTATACCTGCGCAGTACAGGAAGGTCGCACTATACGGCTCGATCGGATCATTTTTGAAATACCCGCTTGTCGCCGTCCCTCTCGCCTGAACCGCATCGAAGATGGCGGTACTGATCCCCATACCGATGGCCACACATAGCTTTGTCACCGTCTGGAAAATGCCACCGGCGATACTCTGCTGTTCTGGCGGTAGAGAACTCATGACATACATGTTTGCCACGCAGAACTCGAAGTCGGCGCCCACCACCGCGAGAAGCAAGCCCGGGAAGATGAAGGCCCAGTAACTACTATCCGAGTGTTGGAGGCCCATGAGGAGGAAGGATCCGACATACGCAGTGGCACCAAGGAGCATTAGGAGGGTATTGGACACGCGGTGCATGATAAGTCCTGCGATGATGTTGACGATGATGCCCATAATCGCCATGGGAAGCATGTGCACGGCAACCGGGAGCGCGGAGTAATTTTTGATCTCTTGCATGAAAAGGGAGATCCAGAATGTCATAATCGGGAAGGCGAGAAAGCCGAGCAGAAGAACAGCGATAACCAGCGAGAAGTCACGATCGCGCCAGATGGACATGGGGATGAGGGGGTAGGAATACCAGCACTCCCAGAAGACGAATGCAACAATGAGGAGGACACCCAGGATGAGGCAGACGAGGACGTATGGGGTCTTCCACCCTTGGGGAGCGTCCGAGCCAAGACTGTTGGGGGGGGGGAGGGCGTTAGCAAGAGCATTATTCGGCTTGGGTAGATGGCTAACCTCAGCGCGGCAGAGAACAAGCCGATACCAGCGATGGTCAAGATGGTACCGACGACGTCGAACCTCTTGACGGCCGCGATAGACATTTTCTCCGTGGGTGTATTGTCTGCTGGGATGGTGAACAGCGCAATTGCCACAATGACGACGTAAATAATGGCCAGTAAGAAAAAGCTGGCTCTCCAATTAAACAGCTGCGTAGCAATCCCGGAAAAGATACTACCGAAGACAAAGCCCAAGGGGTTTCCGGCGCTGAAACAGGCAAAGACCCTGTTCTTTCTTTTCGATGGTTTCTCATAGATGTTGGCGAGCATACCCTGCGCAGGCGGGACGGAGGCAGCCGACATCAGGCCCATGACACCGTTGAGAATGTCGACTTGCATGGGCGTTTTGGAAAATCCGGCAGCCAGCGCGAAGACGGCAAAAAAAGCCATGCCACCGACGAAAAGTGCTCTCCGGCCGAATAGATCTGCCAAACGACCGAAAAACAGAAGAAAGGATCCGGAAGCCAGACTGGTGGTCGACCATTAGCAACAGGACAGTCATGGACAGGAAGTAAACAATAGACGACGCACGAGGAGGAACTGGTCAGCCAAGTCAGCTCCGCGGTAGTCATGTTCAAGTCCTTCTGAACTTGAGACGTGAGCACCGTGATGGTCCCGGTGAGGAGGGATGACATGGCAATCGCCATGGTCGCAACAGCGACAAAGAGGATCTCTTGAATCGTGGATGAAAAGGCTTCCGGTCGGCCTTCATTGTCGCGGGGCGCTTGAACCGTCGTGGATGCGACCTTGCCATCCATTCTCCCATCACGTTCGCCAGCCTCCACCGGCCCTTTCATGTCCATTTTGCGCAGCGAGTAAAGAATTGCGCTGGGGAATTCTTGAGATGGCGATGGACGGTGAGGTCGTGCGAGGGTTTTGGCGCCGCGGAACTGATTACGAATAGCGCGGGAGATTTTCCGCTACGGGAGTTTTTTGCGCTGCCGGGGTTTGGCCGGTGGGTTACTACTATATCACCCACCCAAAAGGGGAGATATATCCCATGGCGACGTTGAGATCAGGTAGTGAGTAGTTCATGGACACGTCCAGCTCTAAGCGGGGGACCCCCTTGCTTGGTAAATCTGCAGGACGTGTTGGCTCAGTGAAGGGTAGTAATATAGAAACTGTGCAAAGGTTTCCAGTCGTACCACAGACCATATACTATTGGTGTCGAATAACGTCTCGAGGATGAGCATGGCTCGTAGCATTCAAGATTATCCTGTTCTAACTCCTCGGAAGATCCCATGGGTCCAAGCTGGGTAGATAGATCGGCATCCCATTCTAAGAATATACGGATCATACAGATTCCGTAAGTGCACCAGCCAGCAGTACACCGCCTGTGAGGAAACAAAAATCTAGCTGCAGTCCGTCCAGAGGTGGGGGGGAATTTGAGGATTAAGGATGTGTGGATCTGAACTAGTTTAGTTTAGATTAGCATAATATTCGCAATCACTTTTTGTCCCAACTGGAGTGCGCGGGAGGCCACATGGTTGGTCGACAACCAAAGCCAAATCACACTAGGGCTGAGCCTGTCTCGTGAGCTAAATTAGCTCTGGTTCTAACAGTTGAATGTCCAATATAATTTGTAGCAGTAATAAACCGTCTTGGATGTGACCTAACAATAAGTAAATAATAATAAAGTTCATGTCCCGCTTTGAAAAATACGTAAGCGAAACATGGCTGTCTCAAAGAATGCCTCATGCATATTCTCGATCTCGCGACGAGCTAGTACTAAAGTACAAGTAGTTATTAAAGGATTTTTGTGTCCTAATCTACTCTATATCACTATACAATGGCCCAATTTTCTGTTAAGATCTTCAAGGCTATAACTACTTTCGGGATAATTTTGAGAGGGAGGGAGAGATATATATTCTGCATCAAGATGGGACCATAGTAGTATCAAAAAGCATAAAACGATGTATGTTCTGTAATCTGCGGATTAGCATTTTCAAACTGCCACCAAACTTTAGATAACTTGGTAGAGGTTATGATTAGATTGTATTTTCCCGAGCTATCGATAAGTAAATCTCAATCGCACTCTTGTCAAAAATTCGTCTCTTCCTGCAGAGAAAGGGCGCGGTCCTCGAAGGCTCAGGTTACCAACGCTTCTATCCTATAATGCAAGCTAGGATTTGATTGCCATTCTTTCGCCTTCAATAAGGCCACCCAGTTTTACTGGGCTCTTAGAACTTCAATCTCTCCTTACGTTGAAGAAAGTTGTGATGTGAGGTTACCTTTATCACCTATACGTACAACTTCTGTTGAAGGGCGGGGGGAAAGAAAAAAAGATCGTCAGCGACAGGATTCGACTGTGAAGACGAATGTATACGTGGAAAGGGATAGGAATACACTGGCCACGCCCTAGTACTGCTCACACTTCAGCCGGCAGAACTCGTCCGGGGCATTTAACAATCACAATATGCTTGGAAATACAGATCTTTGTCTTCGGAGTCTCTCGGTCTTATTGAGTATGATTCCTGTTCCGACGTCCCACAAGGAGAGTATGAACAATTGCCTTGATAGTGATGGTTTTTGCACTCAGGACTAGAGGTGAGTGTCGTCTAGTATGCCCATGCCGCAATAAATGCTAGGGAAAGAGAAGATGTTACCATACGTGGATGAGAGAATATTCATGAGACCTCGCAGTTGCTCCCATTTTTGGCAAGGTAGGCTTCTGAGTATTCCTCTTCGGCATTTGTTGTCAGAGAAAGCACATGCCTTATCTGTCGGTAGCGGACGCCCGTCCCACTGAAACTGACAGGCACACGGTTAGAAACAAATACACCGGACTGAGTCGGCGGAATAAGATGTGAGAAAATGGAAATGTAACTCTCCGTGAAGGAAACATCCGGGAACATTTATCAGCTCAAATCCGACGCCTTTGAGTGTCGAATACGTATATTCTTATGTAGTATATATGGATTGGCTATTAAATTCTGTAGTAGGGACCTCTACATAACTCGGCCAAATAAGGCCGACAGGCGAAGCTTACATCTTGCCTTGAAGTGGTTTCTCTCCCGGGTCGTCGCTTGAAGAAAGCAGAAGATCGCTCCCGGTGAGTGGTAATGTTGGCTCGAAGTGCAAGCAGCATCGTGCACAATACTGGCCCACATGTGCTTAGCACAGCCTTTATTAGAGAATTAAAGCTGTCTTAACCGCTATCGGTTCAGAACGTGGGCTTTCAGGTACCTTCCTGGCCATGTCTGGTGCGTTAAGATTGTTCGGCTCCTGGATCATTATCCTTTAAATGGCGCGAACCTGGACATCTTTCTCAACCGCACACCATAGATCCGGAACAGAAAAGGGACTGGAATTAGAGCCGCCGCAATACCACCGAGGATCGACATCGCTGGCCCTACACCAAGATTGCGAAACATCTGCTGGGCAAAAAGCGGGAACGCGGCTGCAAGCACACTTCGCAAAAAGGTGTTAGACGCAGTGGCCGAGGCAGCGTATGGCCCGTATGTATCGACCAGAAAATTGATACATTGACCAAAGATGATACAGAATCCGCACCCGAACATCACAGCTGCCACGACGGGTAACCCCCAGGAATAGGATGGTTCCGCCGTCCAGCCAAACCAGAAGAGGCCCCCTGCGAACAGAAACCCTCCAACTGCCATGGGCATCAGGCGTGCCTCGGGGACCGGTTTCCCGCCACCCTCTTCCCATTTTCGGATGTAGTATGGCTGCCCGACAAGTATGATAAACGCGGCTGATAGGAGGACGCCAACAAACAAGCCGATAAAGGGTAATGTGGCAATCACCGGCTTCCACTGGCGGATATCGCCAAAGACAATGGGGAACACCTCGAGGGTGAGATAGAGCAGAGCATAGGTGAACGAGGCGTATAGCGCAATCACCGTAACCATTGGCTCCGTCACAAGCATGACAAGCGGGCGGGAGAAATGCTTGGTGACAATACTATACGCATCAATTTTCATATGCTCGTGTGGGTGATATAGGTCCGGGTTGCCGGTCTCCTTGCGCAGGCGCTTGGCTTTTTTATGTAGAAGCACGGGACCATACACCTCCGGTAAGCAGAAGAAGGTGACGGTGAAGACGAAAAAGACAATGATAGCTTCAATATACTCTGTCCAGCGCCAGCCCAGGCGTGGATTGTTGATCAGGGCAGCACCAATGATCGGTCCCATTGTTGGCCCGCCCACGACGCAGATGGCGTAGGATGTGCTGGCAACGGCGCGCGCCTTCATATGGAAGAAGTCTCCCAGGGCTGCCGATACATTGCTGACAGGAGCGGAACCGAACACCCCGGCGAAATATCGAGTGACGAGAACGGCGGCGGTACTCTTGCTTGTTGCGGTACCGATACTGAAAATGCCTAGCATGAAAACTGCCGGGAGCATCGACCAGCGGCGTCCCCAGATTTCCGAGATAGGAGCCCAGCATAGTGGCCCAAAAGCGAAGCCAAGACTGTATTTTCTTATCAGTGATTTGACCGATAGGGAATGCCTGCGGGGTCCGGTAGGCAGATAGAGGCGCCTTACATGTAAAGAGACACTGGGAGAATGCTGACTTCAGCACTGATGCCTAGGTATACTTCCAGCTTAGTCTGCGCCGGGGAGATGATACTAGAGCCTAAACTGGCGCTTAGGGCCAGCATGCCGAGCTGGAAAGTAATCCAACATTTATATATCGTCGAGAAGTTATGCGGATTCTCTGGATCATTTTCCTCCCATCCGACCAAGTTGGGGTCTGGACCGAGGTGATTTGTAGGCTTTTCTTCATCTGCACGCCGTGCGTGATCAGTCTCAGGCAAAGGTGTCATCCCTATCTCATTTTGCAGCTTGGGACTTTCGTGCAATTTCTTCAACGTCGTGGCTCGAGGGTCATGGCTGCTTTTATTGGCCGCTACCGGCAAATCGGCATTGCACTGCGTCAACGGGCCATCTAAACCGTGCCGGAGCTAATCTCCAATGTTGGAGGGAACGACACTAGTCGTGAGAAAAGTGGAGCGAGCAGCGGGACTTTTAGTGAGCTTCTCTTTGCCTGCCCTCGGATTTAGTCAGGGCTCGGACATTCGCTCTTGCCGAGATGCTTTGATTTTTACCCCACAAGTTGCAACTCTCTCTGTACGCCGGTTGGTCTCCCTGGTGCCACAAATTTATACTAGATCTATACTAGAAAATAGATTTAGATCCTCTGGAATCATGGACTGGCCCCGTACTTTTTTCGCCCGGCGGGTACCGAGTATAAGCATGGCGAGCTCCTGCAGGGGCAGCATGCCATACTGGCCGCATTTCTTGGTCACGTATTTTTCACAGCCACAGATGTTAATCATTTGTATGATCACGATCGAGAATACTTTGTAGAGATCTGTATCGGGAAGTGTAATAAAAAATCTATTGAATCCTGTTTACGGTCTGAAACGGTGCATGTGGATTCTTCCCTCCTGACCGCTGAGACGCAAGGGTTAGAAGCCCTGTAAGGATATACATCGCTCGTGAGAAAGTTCCCATACATTCATAGATAGCATCATCTCAGAATCAGCGGAATTCAAAGCCGCATATGGAGTAGTTTAGGTAGAGACCACCAATTAGGCCCGTCCCGCATGCCATGATATTAGATTGGGAGGCTATGAGGACCCTACACCCAGCCGCACCTTTGGGTGGTCAAAAGCCGATTGAATCAATATTTTCGCTTCTTAGAGAACTATAGACTTAGAGAACTATGGAGGAAATTCAAGAACGGCGTATAATTAGCCATCCATTCCATGGTCCATGGGGAACTGGGGAGAGTTCATGATGTAATAGAAGCTGTGGGTCTGATCATCTTCGCCACTTTGCACTGCTTGCAGCGTACTCCGTATTGTAGCCGGTATTGGAGCCAAGGGTTTGCATCAACTCCACACGGTGATAATCACGCCCTTCCCAGCAAATAAATAGCGGCCTCAATACCCCCCGCCGTTCATACCACAACAATTAGCAACTCTCCATTAGTCTCCGTAATGAAGTTCTTCACCAGTGTCGTCCTCTTGTCTGCTACGGTCACCGCTAGTCCAGTCCCAAGGATATTCAACCTGATCAGCTCAAATGCCTCGGATGAAAGCCACAACGGTCTCTACCTGTCAACGCAACATGTTGACCCACTGAACAGCAAGGCTGTCTTTCGCGATGCCGCCGACGCTGCCGAATTCTACTTTCTCGATGGGACCGTGCGTTACAATGCGCCAAATGGAGCTCCTTACGCGATGGCTCTCGTCTCGGGCGACGAGGTCCAGAGTGAGGTGGAGATTGGTGTGAGCCCTTCATCTGGTAGCACTGGCTTCAGTTTGGCCAGTGATGATATTCTGGCTACTGATAATGAAAATTGGGGTGGATGGCTAGGTAAGTTCCTTGCGTCTTAGAAAGAGTTGTAGGGATTGAGAGACGAACTGTCTTCTGTTTGTCTAGTTTGCGATGGCGCCAGCGACCTCCCTGGTCTATATTATCACAACAAAAGCAATGGAGGTGACGTCCCGGGTGGCTGTGATCCTATTGAGCTTGATGCTGTCTACAAGGATTCCTCGTAGAGGGGGTCATGACAGCTAATACTTCTCCGAGGGTTTGACAAATCGAAATGTCTATCCACGGGTTCCGATTGACATCGACCTATTCGGCCGCGAATACAGCATTCGGCCTTGCACCGATTAACGACGATATAGTATATTTAATCGAAACATTACGCTATAATGTGTACCGCTTCCATGAGCCATTACGCCTGTGGTGAAGGAGAGGGACGCCAAACTGTGAATATACAGCTTCATTCAAAAGAAAAGAGAAATTAATGCTTTATGATTGATGTATTTTTGCTAGGATAAAGTGACTACTGTACCTCAATCTTCCTCGGGGTAAATACAGTGTTGAAATTATACTGCCGCACAAACCAGGCATTCCACAGTTTCCATTCCTGCTCGGGGTAGGCTAATCGCACCTGTGCATTCAGATATTAGCATAGTTCCTTTCCACTGTCAATTGTAGTCGGAATACCTACATCGAATCTTCTTAGAAAGCTTGGAATCAGTTTATAAATTTCCATCAAGGAAATGTTTTTTCCAATGCATGTTCTGGAACCAGCACCAAACTGGAGCATCATTCCGTTCATGGTTTTTAGCTTCTCCTCTGAAGCATTTAGCCATCTATCTGGGTTGTACATATCGACATCGGACCCGAAAATGTCCTCACGGCGATGGATCACCCATGGACTACAGCCAACGATTGTACCTCCCGGGATAAACTGGCCGGCGATGTCCGCACCAGAGGGAGGAGTAACACGCTCCAGGGGTAGACCAGCAGCGGGAAAGATACGAAACGCCTCTTTTATGCAAGCATCGAGGAATGGAAGCTTCTGAGATTCGGTCCACGAGATAAGCCCGCTTGGACGGTTCTCGATTGTACCGTTCCGGATCGCCTCGTCCAGCTCCTCCCGCACCCGTCGCATGTACTCGGGCGTCTTCAGGAGATAATAGAATACGGCTGCAAGACTAATGGCCGTCGTTTCGGACCCGGCAAAAGCCATGGAGACGGCCATGGTGAGGACGCGTTTCTCTGTCATGAAGTTGGGGCGCAACTCGCCTGCTTTCATGAATTTGGTAAGAAGATCGCTGCGTGAACTTGGGTCGATCGCAGCCTTTGACGACATGCGCTCCATCATCCGTTGCCGTGCAAAGATGGCGACTGGATGGGAATTGTCCAACAACCCCCACTTTTGCATTGCGTCGAAGATTGGGTTCTTCCAGAAGACTTTATCCAACCATGGCATCTGGCCGACAGGCCCGGCATAGTTGAAAATGCGAGCGAGGGACTTTACAATACCATCAATGTCCTCATTTTTCTCAATAAAGCCATGGCGCTTGCTGTAGGTAATGCTGCCGATAACATCGAATGCGAAAAATTGTAACCAGCGTGCAAAGTCACAGACCTTACTACCACTAGCGAAGAGGCGATCGGTCTGATCGAGGAAGAGTAATGTGGTCTCGTCTACCATGGGTTCGTACTGTACCAGCGAGCTCATCGAGAACGCATGGTTAACCGAGCGCCGGAGCTCTGCGTGGAACTTGTCATCCAGAGTCGAGAACAAGGACGGTAAGGGCTCGCCTTTGGAGACAGTCATCTGAACGGGATAGAACTCGGACTGCAGTATCGTCAGACCTTCCGTGTTAACGTCTTAACTACCCGGTGACACCCACCTTGGTGAATCCCTTGTTCAACCCATAAATGACCTTGGTTGCAGCCGGGCTGCTGAAAGACAGTGTGTTAGGCCCGATGCGTACAACGTCACCATGCTTGCGGTGTAGCGCGATGTGCGTCTCATGAGGCTGCCGGCCCCATACATCAAGGAACCGCCAGAGGTCGGTAAACTTGGCCAGAAAGGGGCCGGGGTAGCGACTTAGACCGTTGTGAAAGTACAAGTGGCCGAGATAAATCAGCGAAATGAAGGGGAGAATATACAGCGCATGCTCCGGCGACGCGCGCGAGAAGATCTCGGCAAGAAGTGTCATGATGGCGATCTATCTGGCTGCCTTACGAGAGATTGATATGATGGGAAGGGCACCCAATATTTATCTGATCCAATCCCGTATCATTCCTCATCTCAAGGAGAGCAGGGTTACATGTCATGCCAAACTGTAACCAGCAGGGCCGGCAGTTGTGAAGGGTCGATAACATCCGATACACTTGGTGTCAACGCTGCCCCGCAAGGGCTCAGTGGATGAATGAGCGCCGCAGCTACGGAAGTATTGTTAGATAATAAATATCAAGGGACAAGCAGAATGGAGAACCCCGCACAGCACAACCCACAAAGGCCCACTGTTGGGATCCGGATGCTCTCCCGCTGACGTTGTCAAAAGCATTAGTCCATGGAAATGCCATGACAGTAGTCTTTAACTTACTCCAGAGATCTGGAGAAGAAACCAAAAATTGAAATTAAAATTAAAATAAGTAAGCAAGAATGAAGTAGCTGTCGGCATATAGGCAGACGCAAATTTACCGAGTTCATAACATAATATAGCGGACAAGTGGGAACCATGCATTAGCAATCAGTGCTTCCGGCGCTTAATTGGATGAAAGCCCTTCGTATTCCACTCTGATTGGCAGGGATCGGCTATAAAGCACCCTATATCTCGTCATATTATCAAGAAACGTGTCTTCCTAACTCATGCGTCATCTGCTACTTCGCGCATATCGATCCAAGAGCTAACAGTGTCGTGTGCTTCCTCAACCGTGATATGGAAAGTACACCCATCATATTGGGTCACGGCAAATGTCAGTACCCTCAACTGCCGACTTCAAATATTGTTACAGACAAAACTTAGGCGTCAATCGTCCAACGTAATATATTCGAAGGCACTGCTAGGGTGACTAATAGCTGAGGTTTCAAATTCCCGCATATTCACCAAAAGAACCTCCGTCTGATTGAACACATAAGTGATATGTTAATTTACCATACATCCTTTGAAGATACCGCCAAGTGGCTGTCCTTGAACGGCTAGATGTATCTTATATTAGTCTGCCTATTCCAACGTGCTGCAGATGGTTACGACAAGACCATGCTAAGTTGCAGGCTCTTGATTCCCTAAGCTGGCCGTCCTGGTTGTCCTTTAATGCACACTGCATCGTTCCTGCCCCGGACAAACCTCGTGGCTCATTCTCCAAGGGGCAGTCCTACCGGCCCTTGTGTTGACATGGGTTGCGTAGGGATGCAAAAGATCTACGGAGACCTACTTCAAGACTTCTTCTACCACATGCGAGCTCGGGTAGCTTCTGGTTGGCTTCTAAATAATCTTCGACCAAAGAGACTCTCACTTCTGAGACACATTTTGTTTTCATATATCGCGGTTTCAGTTGCCTCTTGACTTGTATCTGTTCTTTTATACTCTATGCCGCCGGTACACTGTTGTAGACTACGAGACCTCTGTGGCTTGCACAAGATGAATTGGTAACCTGTGAGTGGTCCATAACTTAGCGAATGACACTGGCGAATGAGACTAAGATGGGAAGAAATGTTCACATACTCATGCGGTGGAAGCCTTGACGGTACTTTCCCGCCGACGACCGGCGGCATCTGGTTATTTCTGACTGCAAGCTCTCGCAATACAGTCAGCGATCTAGATCTGTGCATATCGCTAGAAAGTCATAATATCATGTGCTCAATTTAGCTCTACAACACCCTGTCCTCGTGCGGCCGTCAGTAAGTATGTGCTAATTTAGCCAAGACAACCTAGTCCGCCCCATAGCAAGAGTCATATCCAGGCCTTAACGAAGGGGATTAAGGAAAGAAAACCAAGAAGCCAAGAAATCCCCACACCCGGGGTTAGACTACTTGAATCATGGGGAAATCTCCATCCTTACATTGGTGGGCACTCCGTCCCCATATCACTACCCCGGCATTTATAACGCGTCTCTGTTGCCGAACCCTATTCTTTTCATACGAAACAACCACAATGCCAAGCTCTTCCGCTCTCCCGCCACTCAATGCTAGGGATTCTAGATCGTTTCACTGGTTAATTCGCGAGCTATGCCTAATTCTTTCCAGTTGTTGTAGTTAGTTACTGGAAGGCTGCCTCTGGGGTTATCGCCTTCCCCGCATGAACTAATCTAGAGCTAGAGTTGATGGCATGAGTTCGACTACGCCTCTATGACTACATAAAGCGGAGACTTGCTGCGCATGATGATTGAGTCTCCATAGCGCGCTGTATCCATCAGCTCAAATTGTTAGTCTCCCCGTTTTCTTTTCTTATCAGTCATATTATTGGCGTTCTTTTGTTGCTCACCAATTTCTAGATCCAATAATTTCTCGCTATGTCTGAGGAAAAGGTTGGCTCCCAGCATGTCGAGGATGACAGTACCGGCGTTACGGAAGTCTATGATTCTAATGCAACTGATCGGTATGATCAGTGTCCCTTATATCTTAGACTACACCTTGGCTAACTCAAGGTCTTGTATGTTCAGATCCGTCCAACCCACAGTGGGGTTAGACCCTGCTGCTGAGTCCCGGCTGCGATTGAAGATTGATCTCTACATCGTCCCCGTCGCATCCCTTATGTACCTCTTCTGTTTTATTGATCGAGCAAACATTGGTAAAGACACCCTATATTAGTCGTCATGTTTGATGCAGACCTAATTCGTTTTCTTCCGAGCATGGATGGGTGATGCTAACGATTTGCATGTTACAGGGAATGCGAAATTGGCCGGGCTTGAAGATGACCTAGGGCTAACAGGCTATGACTATAATACCTTGCTCTCTGTGTTCTATATTTCCTATATTATCTTCGAGATCCCTTGCAATATCGCCTGCAAATGGCTTGGTCCGGGTTGGGTCATTCCTGCCCTGACCTTGGGGTTTGGAATATGCTCATTGTGCACGGCATTTGTCCACGACCTATCAAGTGCCGCGGGAGTGCGCTTCCTCCTAGGTGCCTTTGAGGCAGGATTACTCCCGGGCATCTCATACTATTTGTCGCGATGGTATCGGAGAAGGGAACTTGCCTTTCGGATCTCCATGTATATGGTGATGGCCCCTCTAGCTGGTGCCTTCGGTGGCCTACTTGCTTCTGGCATCCTGAAACTTCCTTCGTTCGGTAGCTTGAAAGATTGGCGTATGATCTTTGCTATTGAAGGCATTATAACTATCGGAGTGGCTTTGTTTGCATTCCTAACCCTCACAGATCAACCTGAAACAGCCCGCTGGCTAACGCAGGAGGAGAAAGACTTAGCCATCGCGCGGATCCGCTCCGAGTCCGAGTATGCGGGCGTCACCGAGGTCCTGGACAAGCTGGACACGAAGAAGACCATGCGTGGGATCTTCAACCCCGTCACATTAGCGACATCTTGGATCATGCTTCTTGTGAATGTAACAGTGCAGGGCTTGGCTTTCTTTGCGCCGACCATTGTGAAGACCATCTACCCAAACCACAGCATTATCTCCCAGCAGCTCTACACCGTGCCGCCCTACATTATCGGCGCTTTCTCCACACTCTTAATTCCCTACCTGAGCTCGCGTTTCAATCGCCGACTCCTCTTCTTTGTTGTGACCCCTCCCCTCATGATGGCCGGGTATATCATGTTTCTGGCAAGCACCGACCCACACGTTCGTTACGGTGCCACGTTCTTGATTGCTTTCGGATCGTTCCCCGTGGGTGTCCTTTGCAATGCCCATTCAGCAGCCAACGTCATCTCGGACACGGCGCGTGCGTCAGCAATCGGGACTGTGGTGATGCTGGGTAATATCGGCGGTTTGATCGCCACTTGGTCCTTCCTGCCATTCGACGCTCCCAATTATTATATCGGCAATGGCCTCAACCTAGCCACGGGGGCAACGACGCTCCTAACGTCAGGCTGTCTGTGGCTCTGGTCAGGTTGGGACAATAAGAGACGAGACAAACAAGATGTTGGCCGGGTTCTGGATGGGATGACTCACCGGCAGATAGAGGATCTGGAATGGCGGCATCCCAGGTTCCGCTGGAGATCATAGAAGAAAAGCAGATTGTTCACGGCGGGTTTATGATCAAGGTACCTGCACCGCTCAAGATGCTAGTGAACATTATTTCGGACTACTCTTAGTGTTCTATTAGACTCTCATAAGCTACCTTGGATAGCTCTATTCCCTCCCATTCGCATTAATATAGTGTAGAATAAGACGTCTCACGTTATAACGGAGTACCCAGGATGGCCATTGACCTTGATTCAACACACGGCATCGGGCGATAGATGGCGGACACCCAAATATCACCCACTCTATGTATAGACTCTACCAGTTATACACTACCGATAAGAGCAACCATGCTAGTATCTGGAGATCCGTCATAATCGTAAGTGAAATCTCATAATACAAAAAAAAGTCCCTATCATTTCTATTATATACAATTTTGAATTAGTACGCGCAGCATTCAATGCTACTCGTACGTGATGTTCACCTGCCGACTGACCATGATATCAGTATCCCCACGGCCGTCGTTTTGAATAATTTGCTTCTGGCTGTCCCCGTCGCTCAGCTGGCTGTAGCTGTCCCTACTCTTGCCATGAACCCCTCGCTCAACCACCGATGTGGTGAAAGTGTTGTTGGCACTCTTTCCGTGTCCAGATAATTCGTATGAGGCGGCGAATCTCGAAGGACCAGTCCGTTGGGAACGACTGCCGTATCCTTTGCTGCGGATCGTTCGGTCGAAAAAACTGCGGAACAGTGGACGTAGTGTAGCGACATTGCCGACGATCATACCGATAGCGTTCTCTGCAAACCCCCAGATAACCACGTTGGCGACGGCAAAGAGAAAGTCGGCTTGATTGGTGAGGTTGACCGTGTACTTGAGCCGAATACAGGCGGAAAGAGAGGCCCTGTCGTGTTTTAGTGTCTCATTGTTCAGCCGGTTTAGCGAAAAGCTTCAACAGCTACATACAGTATACCCAAGCCCATCAGCCCGATGATAGATACTTTCGTATTGCGGTCTAGCTGGACATGCCACAGCAAGGGGATAGGCCTAATCTTCAGGTCAGTATTTCCATTCCCTCAAAGCCTGGCGTACGATTTGTGACTAACATTAAGGCCGTAACCCAGTCCGTGACAATGTTCACGGCAGTGGTCGCGTAGTATATGTCAGTGAGAACATGGGCGGGTCGGCAGGAAGCCCCTTTCTCAAGGAGCTCCGGTTTCCATGCAGCCCTGGAACTTCGTTTAGCAATGTGACTTGCGGGACAGACAGGGTATGTTGATCGTACTCAGGCGGGGTGCAGTTGATGAGGATGAATACCAAGGCAACCAAATTCATCGTCGCAAACATTGCAATCACACCGTACTGGATATTGATGTATAACTTCCGCCCCTCAGCCACTCGGATTAGCATCCAGCTGATGCTGAACTTGATCGGAATGATCGCGGCTACGTATCCAACTTCGAAAATGAGGAAGTACTGGAGGGTCGGTTAGCATCAGGCTGACGGTCGAGTACGGTGGATATATAGAACCTTCTGGCCTTCAGCCTGGTACTTTTTATTCTCAGGCTCATTCAACAGCGTATTATGAACACCAATCCCATTGAACGCGCCCCCAAGGCAGCCTGCCGTGAGCACACAGAAGGGTATCTGTTTTTAACGAGCAATGTCAGTTGGGTTCCTTGGTAAAGCGCTCTCAAGGGGGCATTTACCACTGCGGAGGTCATAAGCCAATCTTCTGCGCCCCACGAGCTCCTGCTCAGTCTGCAATAGACTCGCAGAGCATAGGTGACAAAGGCCACCACAGTAAGCATGATGACACTCCCGGCCACATGTGGCGCATCGTCAGCAAATATGGCCATGGTCCACTGTCAAGTCACCGTCAATCGGCATAAGGAGGGTAGTTCTTGTGTGATGGAAGAAAGACCATGCTCAAAGAGAAAAGAAAAGTCGAGACGCGGTGCAAAACCGCCACAGATAAGTTTCCCCGCCTCCTCCTGTGGGGATTGGAGGCTCAGGATGCGATTTAGGTACTCCGTACATGACTCGAGTCGACTTCGATTTCACTTTTGCGTTTTGCTTTCAAGGCGTGATTAGCAATGGACAAGGTGCTCCACTTGAAGCACAGTGGACCCCACTAGCCTCTGGCATCGCAATTAAATATCGACGATCATTTCAACCGCTGGGCCGCTGGCAATTCCGACGGCAAGATTTTATAAAAGGATGGGATTGATTGCCTTTTGTCGATCAACAATCTCTGCTGTCCAACGGCATCATGATGGCTTTTCAAACAATAGCCTTGGACTCATTATCTATCTACCATACTATGCATAGTCAAGGAGGTAGATAGACGCCTTGCTGGATTGGATTGTATCCAGAGCTCTGTCAAAATTTCGAATCTCCTCCCCGAAATTCTCGGCAATCGTTCCTCCGTGCCAAGCATATCTATTGATGCCGAACAAGTCTAAGTCGTCTAGTCCGACGTCGCCGCTTCTGCTGCGAGGACAATGCGCAAGATGTATTCGAGAAGACCAATGGAATTCCGCCTAAAGACCCTCTGTAGGCTGCGAGATGCCGGCCGGAGAACAACAAGCTAAATTTGCCGACCGCTAATTTGCCACGGCAGTAGTTTTGCCCCCTTTTTCTTTTCCACACATAAAAGTGGAGGAAAAGTGGATTCTGTTTAGCCGGGGATGTTCCGATTAAATATCCTTTTTGGGAGATATTAGAGGAACTTTGAAGCCCTAAAAGTAGTGGGAGGCGGACTTCAGATACTATGACCCAAGGTGGATGGTGCCAAAAAAAAAAAAAAAAAAAAAAAAAAAAAAAAAAAAAAAAAAAAAAAAAAAAAGAAAGAAAAGAGAGACACAAAGGAAAAGTAAATACCAAACGAACAAGAAGAATTCAAAATGAGAAAAATAAAAGCAAAAAAGGCTGTACTTTTTCCGATTCGACCATCCTTCGACAATCAGCATGTTTCAAAAGTGTTGCTCATGAAACCCTAATGGCCGATTCCGGTAGACAACCAAAACAGCAAAAGTTAGCCATGGCATATCACATTCCTGATCCGGAGTAGACTCCTGTCAGTCTGAATCAGAAGCTTCACATCAAGTGGATAACCTCGGAAGGCGAACCATGGGAATTCCGAGGGAACACGAGGTGCTAGCGCTACTGTATGAGGGAAAACAGAGGCTAGTGTTCCCCGATGGAATACGTCCAATAACCTAGAGTGATAGGCGCAAGATAGTTTCCCAGCCGCGGCCCACAACTCCCCGCGCACGCCCGCACGCTGCTACTATTTTCGACAATCGCCAATCGCTAAAGAAAACGCAAGTCTCCCAACGCTCAAGTCAGGAGCATTATGCAAGGGACTAAGGGCAGACGCTCAAAAGGGGATCAATTGAGTTGGCTGTGCGGCATTACTCCCTTCGATTTCGACTTCTCTGCGTGACGATCCACCCAACAGGCTAGATCAGGTACCGCAGCAGGCATAGTCAATTCTCCCCTCCCCGTAAATAATATCGGAATTGACTTCCTGATAATCGGGGAGGAAGTCACACGGACTAGTACGTCGTAGCCAAGAACCCGGTCAGGGGGGATAGATCAAAAGCTGCTAAGGATGGGTGAAGCAAAAGAACAGGTGGCCTAGGCGAAAATGAACTCCGTTTAAAACCGATCTAGTGCTCTATTCTTGTCCTGTTGAGCTGTACTCAACAAAGCTCCTCAGGGCTGAAGTCTATCGGTGCTTCTAGAACTCTATGAATTTGAATTGTTAAGGATCTGTTGCCACCTTAAAGGCGACGTGGACTTCACTTCTGATATTCTCCTGAGTATTTAATACCTGTAACGTTACGTGCTACTGGATAATGTTAGCTACTCGCACAAACAAACAATTTAACACGCGATCTCGCCAAGACTAAGGCTAATGACTGCTAGCGAAGAACGCAGTATGGACTAGAAGAGACAGGATACTGCACTGATACAGCTAGTCGGCACCAGGTTGCCGGTGTCAGTAGTCCATCATAGTTATTAGGTCTATCACCTTGGTTTATTTAGCCCGATCAAAACTAATCTGTCAAAATCAGGGCAGTCTTCCTGAGTCATGTCCGTTCTGCCACATATAAATAGTTCTCCCTCTACTCCAGGGTAATTACCCTATCCCCTACAAGGATAAACTAGGGCCCCAATGTATTATTACAAAGGCACATAGTAGACGGAACTACAGAGTAGATCTGTAGCGTAAACCCCATTCGCACTTCAGACTAATTATGCAAGGCATGTAGATATCGGGTTTCTAAACCTAGAGAGGTGCGGTTGACTGTTGGCGTCTTTCACATGTTTTACCACTACTCCTACAGTCAGTGCGATAGCTTTAAAGCTAACAAGGATAAAGACGCGTTGCATAAGGACCGAGGAAGTACTAGCCGTGGTGAGATATAGCCGGAGTGCATCCAATAAAATGCCCGGCCACTTTAAGTTCATCGGTGCATAAGTTGTGCATAAGTCAAATATTGACAGTCTCAACGCTCGATGATCAACAAACGCAGACGTTGGCTTCTAGGTTCGGAGCGTCCAATTTTAATATAAATTGAGAAACTTGGTTATGTACTTCCTCCGCATCCCTCGAATTGATCCATGTGATCCTTCCAGTCACTCCTTCATAGTCGGTATAATCAACGTATCCCGCAAATGTCAATCAGGTCGGTCCAAACCTAGGGTTGGTCTCAAGCGAATCCAATTCTCTATCACACTTCCGGTGCACAGAAGATTCAATTTACTTGGGACAACGAGCCGGTTTTCCCCTCATTACCTCTGGTAATCCCGAAAAAAAAATCTCCACCAATAGTAAAATAATATTACTTTCTGTACTCAAACTATCGGCTACTTAGACTATCCTAGACGAACAAATTCGGTGTTATCTAGCCATACCTATACTGTATCAAGCATCCAGTTCCTGTCTCTCCCTTGAACTGAGCAACTTGCTTCTATTCGCCTCTTCTGACTCCGTTTTCCAATGGCCTCAAGCCGCGGGTCGATCCTCACAAATGACCAGACCTGGAAGGCTGGCGCGTGATGGAAACACCGGATATACAATTTATGGTCATTCTAGCTACAGCTTCCTGCGTGGTACGCCATTGTAACGCGGTTTGATTGCGGCGTATAATCTAATTAAAGTCGCAACCACTTTTGTATGCCATCTACAATCTCGCGAGGGCTCGAGTTTCAGCTCGCCATCCCACTTAACCAGTAGACCATGAAAACATCCCATAGGGACTTTGGTGGTTCACCTTCCGCAGACATCCATACACTTTCCGTTCATGGTAGGCTATCTACATATCAACCTTTCATCGGATTGCGTCTTAAAAATGGCCCTCTTTTAGCGTGTCAAACAACCTCTTTTGGCAGAATACTCCATGTGAAGCTTCGCAAGGTCCATGCGTCGGCTGGGGAGCGAGCTTGATAATATACAAGAAGAGGATGAATATGTTATGTGCGTTAATAAACGGATTAGACCATCTTTTGCAATCTTGCAGATACTGCGTTGTGGGCATTTATCTCGATTCTGGAGCTTGTTACATAGACTGCTGAGGGGCCGAGACAAATGAGTCTGGTTTCGGACAAGTACACCGCCACACCTCTGAGCCTGATGAAGCTGTTACCAACCGGATACCCTAAGATATAGGCTCATCTAGAAACTAGTCAAATTCTGTGGCCGTGCTGTGGTAATACCTAACAGCAGCGCACTTGAACGAAAAAGACTAGAATCTCCAACTATCGAGGTGCTTTCCCAGCGTCATCTCCACTTCCTTGCGAGCTTCTTCTAGCTGCTCGGGAGTCCGAATCTCCAGGGCAGCAGGGTCAAACAAGTGCCACGGCGCGAGGTCCTGGATAAACCAATGAACCCGAGAGAAAGCGTCTGCCCGTCAATTGTTGACGGCCGCAGCGCTCCAACCTTGGCTAATTCATCATCCCATGCCTTTGCGAGACCCCACTGGATATCGCGGCCACTGCCAAACTCTGCCGGACCTTGGCGCATCGGCTTAGAAGTTGGCAGATCTTCTGCATCGGGAAATCCGCACAGAATGGCTTCACGGAGATCTCCTGTCTCATCAGAGTTTGGCGTGGTAAGAGCGCCGGAACTGCTATGGAAGGATTGAAGATACTCGGTAGTTGAGATGGAAATGGGGGAAAGGCCATAGCCGAGCAAGGCGGTAATTCGAAGGCTTCCTGGGTCGTAGCGAGTTTTGAGAAGCTCTTTATGTTCCAGGTTAGTGGTGTAGCTTGAGGACAGGCTTGCTTCAAAAGACAAAAAAGGAAAAGGAACTAAATAGAATTTCCCTGGCAAGGGCCTGGTGGCTAACAGTAGTCGGAGTAGTCATGGTAGTTCGTGGTCCTAGATAAGATAGGCAACGGTAAGAGTCAATGTACAGCCAGTTAATCCTGCACTAAATTAACTGTTCCCAGAATCAAATGAAAGGAATCCCAAGATCAACAAAAGAACAAGCACGAACTAATTATATCAACTAGGACTAGGGTATTCCAGCCACAGCAGGCTTACACAATAAAATCGGGTTTTTGTCCGTGATTCATGCTATTCCTCGGTAATTTGCCGGTTGACAGCGATTTAGGATCAAATTGCATTCATATCTTATTATGTGTCTGTAGTATCAAGTGTGAGTGAGAACTGTAGTTAGGTTGTATGAGCTAGAGGGCACCCCAATCCGGTCATGAACCTCGAACCACGATGTTATCATCGAAAGAGTATGCTTGTAGCTTTCCGTATGATGAGCGATAAATAGCTGAGCTGGTACTATCAGCTACCTAGGGCCTTTTGACTGTGCAATAAAGGTCTGCGGCTGCTAAATTTGCAAGGAAGTACTGCGCAATCTATACTCCGTGGATCATCTTAGAAGAGTGTCTGGTCAGAAAGCTCGGTGATTCCTTCGTTCCCTAGCAAGCATCCATCCCGCTATCCTCATGTTCCCAGATCTTTGCCGTACCAGCAAACTGCGATTGCCATCCAGATGCGTACACACCGGATAGGGCTTCGTCACTTCTTATACAAGATTAACGTGGTTGAGTCGGATCGGTGTGGCTGCGAGGAGGGCTCCCAGACGTCGAGGCACGTCCTCCAGCAGTGTCCGCTGTACACCGATCTGCGCGCGGCCATGCTTGATAAGATTACTGGGATCAGGGGGCTACGTGGCCAGACCGCAGACTACGACGTACTGATATCTCACCCGCAGGCAATTCGTTACGTTGCCGAGTTTGTACACAAAACAGGTCTACTCAGGCAGTTCCGAGAGGCGGAGCTGACCGCACAGGACACAGATCCAACCACTGAAACGAATGGAGCCGAGAGGGAAGACGCTGGTTAAGCGGTCACACGAGGGGCTAGGGGGGTCAACCTAGGTCTGAGGTTTCTAACGACACAGTACTACTATACGGTGAACAGAATGGGGTACAAGACGCAGAGGGATGGTCAAAGGGGAAGATCGCGCGTTGTGGCACGCGCTTTAGTTGTGATTAAAAGCTTTTCGATTGTTATCTTCTCTATATATATGGGTTTGCGGGATTTAGGCGTTCTGGACCAAGATTCTGTCTCACCGGCAAGGCGCCTGCATAGCTAGACATTTCATTAGTTAGGCTCGAACAGGTTAATAGAACTTTGATTGATTGATTGATTGACCGTACCAGCAAGCCAATTTTCTACCCTCTCCTTGAGTAACATTCGCCCCCATCTTTCTATTCTTTTCTGGTACATCTCTTTGATAGCTTGTCGGTACAAGACATGAGCCGTCCTCCCTGGCAATATGCCTCCAAACAGCATGTCACTGAAACACCTGTTCATCTTGGTAAAGAAATCTTCTATACTATCAAACTTAGAAGAAATAGGAAAGTGTGGGCCGCCACAGATACAAGGATGGTCGTTTTCCGAATCTTGCTTGAAGAGATGTACACCTACATCGTCCTCTATCGTCCAGCGTAGGATCTCATCCAACTCGGTCGGGTAGAATACTTGGACTTGATATGGTCGGCCGAACTGCAGATATATAAGCAGGTGATCATAGAATTTGTGACTATACCATGGTGAATATGCGATGCTCTTCAACCCCTTGCCCCCCTCTTGCCACGTGAAATTCATATTACTCAAGAACTGTACATGCATGCTTTTGATCGATGGTGCATGTATTAGAATATCGACAAGGTTCTGGACATTGTTCCACAACCGTATCAAATCACCAGGGGACGCAGGATTCGGTGGATGAAGTCCGATGTGTATAGGCACTCTGTGGAACGGAAATTTATCAAAGCCGCGTTGAATAGCATCTTCTTTCTCTTCGATTAGCCAGGATATGTGTAAACCAGGGATTTTGAAAGCTAGCCATTGTTGTTTCTGTGGGTTAAGCCGGATCGAGACGCTTATACGGGAGTACAAGTGATGTGATATTTCGGCGTATAATTCCTTGCCGGTGCGAAGAATAGCGAGACGTGTTCGCCTCCGTTTAAATACTGGGGGACCTTTCAACGGGTGGACGATATGCCTTGGAAACAGCCAGTGCCATATACAGAGCCGTAACTCAGGTGACAGGATTGCAAAATTTCCCATTCCAGCGTCGGTAGAAGACATGGTCAATAATTGCTGGGATGAATATAAGGGTAACCAACAACTTGGGGTCGTACAGATGGATATTAATCCAGTCAAGAACATGACTCACTTGCAACTTGGGTGACGTGCGAATGCGATCAAATGGAATACATAATCTTCTGGTGTCCGTTATATTCTAGATTTTAGGCAGTAATACAATCTTCCAATGATATAATACACACCGCGAAGTTATTGTCCCACTTAAGGAGTTGCATTTAACTTATGCTGGAACAGGTGGGCCTATGGATCTCTTTCGCTTCTTAATCTTGATATAGGCTTGCTCCTGTTCTTCCATGTGACCTTCTGAATGTTCCTTATATTCGTCATGGTCTTTCGTTCTACAAATAGATTTCATCTTTTACTTATCTGCTCGGGACACCATTTATAAACAGAGACGGATGACCTATCATCATATACTGCGTTGTTGTATGCATCTACCAGGTATCTCCACCTGAAGCTGACATCTGCTTTTACTCAATATAAGTTATTGCTTTGGAGAGGTCCAAGTCGTCAATTTCATCAGCCTAAAACAAAACATAGCTTAGAGCCTAATCATGTCCAAAGCTTAAGTAAAAAGTGGTACATATTCATGATGTATAGGAACAAAATAAAAAACCTACATATCTCGCTACAGTCACACCAAGCGTGCCGATTCACCAACAACTGATCGTTTTGTCAATATCGCTGAGTGTTCATTTAATTGCTCCCAAGCATGTGCATCACGACATGCCTGTCGACTTAATCGGACCGCCCGCTTCGTACGCATCCTCATCTCTGTTTCGTAGATGTCAAGTGCAGCCTGTTGGCCGGTTTGTTCAGAGTAAATTTGAGAAATGGCATCCCCCAGATGGAATGCATCCAGGAGTCCGTGATTTGCAGCTTCACCACGATCTAGTCATCGTCAGCATCCTTTCTTTATTCGGACGGATATACGCAACTTACACATTGTCATTGCATGTGCAGCGTCTCCAGCCAGCGTCACACGGCCATTCTTGTTATCCCAATCCAGGCATTCCCAGTCGGCCAATTTGATCTCTAGCACAGGGGTCCCCTCCGGTATCTTTTGTACCGCGTTTCTTAAAACGGGCACAAAGCCTTCAGCCCGGCGCTTCATGTTGGCCAGACGGCCTTCATCAGTATCAGCTACCTCATCAGCGGAGGTATGTACCGGCCAGGACATGCAGATCTGGGCTCGATACCTTTCACGCTCTGTCCCAACTGTTCCATTCACGAGCGGAGTCTCCAGCATAGAAAACCAGAAGAACGCCCCGGTCTCAGGATGACATCCTTGAAACAGAAGCGGGTCCATAGACCGAAGCGGTTTGATGTCCTCCGGGGAGAGATCCACCGCTACTCCTGTAAATCGGATTGGTAGCAGCACGTTACTATACGCATCAGGTCTCAACAGTTGTCTGATGGCGGACCGACTACCCTCAGCCCCAACGACCATTCGTCCCGTCACAGAGGATCCATCGCCGAACTCCAAGTTCACCTTTTCGGGTACAGTCTCTAGATCCACGCCCACCACTCTTCGATCCCAGTGTACCCGATCTTCGATTCCGTGAAGCAGGGCCTTTCTCATTTTCTCCCGGTTTACGCGCCACCGCACAGATGGCGGGATCTTGAATTTTGGCTCTCCCGTGGCAAGATTGATGAAAAGAAAATTCCCATTGTCGTTCAGGGCCACGTCCGGATCGACCTGGACATCTTGAATTCGAGCTAGAACGTCTGCGGGGAGCATCTGCTGAAGATATTCCAGCGCCCAATGGAGAGTTATAGCCCAGCCTTGACCGCGAGCATCGGGCGTGGGGTCTCGCTCATATATTTCAAACGGTATACCTTTCTATTCACTGTTAATGATACAATTCTACTTAGACTCCAGGTTGAGGATAGGTGTATGGGGTAGAGCAAAACCTTCTTTAAAGCCTGGCCGAGGGTTAAGCCGACAATGCCGGCGCCAACAATAAGAACAGGATCCATGATGTTGCGAATCTTTGAGATGTAGTCGAGGTGCAAGACATGGTAAACGTGTTGTCTTTATTACTATTAATTACTAGTTATGGCCATTCCCATTGACATCATTATCATCTTTGACTAGTAGGACGACCCTTGGGCCCTTGGGTCGGCTACGTTGAGAACGTTATCCGACGATCGGACCGTCGCATAGATAAGTGAACGAGATGCGGGGGTGGCTTTGGCTTTGGCTTCAACCCTCAAACCTTCAACCTTCTGATTAGCGTTGACGTTGCCGTCGGAAACTGCCGATGATCGCCTCAGGAACGTTCAGCCGAATCAGTGTATAAATCATCGGCATATTCACACTATCTGACCATACGCCAAACAAACAATAATCAAGCAGAGCAGCAAAAATGACAGCACACGAAGCCCTGAACCCTATCCACCCGTCCGTCTTGCCTTATTTGGATCCAGTCTTTGTCAAACTCTACAATGAAAATGTAGCCAACACCCCAAACAAGCCCATAGACTTGGCCATTCTTCGATCGAAATATTCTGTTCTGTACTCTTATGGTACCGGACCAGCCCCCGAACCAGCTAGAATATATGACGCAACCGTGCCCGGATATAATGGCGACTTGATTCCAGTACGGGTATACGAGCCTTCATCTCCTGGGCCTTGGCCGGTGCATATTGATTTTCATGGCGGTGGTATGTTCTTCCTTCCCTTCTCTTTCATCTTAAGGGATAACCTAACAGAAAGCTAATGCCGACCGCAGGCTGGGGCCTGGGAGACCTCGACACTGAAGCTCATATCTGCAAACATCTGTCCGTCAAAGCAGACGTTTGTGTAATCGACATTGGTTACCGGCTGGTCCCAGAACAGCCGTTCCCCATTGGCATCCAAGACTCCTTTGCTGCCCTGCAATACGTTCATTCCCAGGGCGGCTCCAAGTTCAACATCGACCCGACCCGCATCTCCCTCGGCGGCGTCTCAGCTGGAGGAAACATTGCCCTTATCGTTGCCCACCTGGCAAGGGATGCCAGCATTCCTCTGAATCTTGTCGCCGTTGGCACCCCCGTCATCGACGATATCTCCAAGTACGCCTCCGCAAGCGAGTCACCATACCCCTCCGTCCAGCAGATGGAGCATGCGCCCACTCTCAACTGGGCCAGGTTGAAGTGGTTCGACAATCTCAAGTGGGAAAGCCTTTCCAGCGACGTGAGCTTGAGGAAGGAGCAATTTAATAAGATCGGTTGGTATGCGAATGCGATGAATGCGCCTGATTTTACCAACCTACCCAAGACGGTGATTTACACTGCCGGCTGTGATCCGCTACGAGATGAAGGAGAGGCCTACGCAATGAAGCTAGTGGAGGGTGGCAATGAGGTTACGCTCAAAAGGTTTGAAGGCGTGCCCCATCCTTTCATGCATATGGATAAAGGTATGACGAATCCCCATTTTTCTTTTCTCCTTGTTTCATTCTGCGTGTTTTCGAAGGGCCATGCTGACGAAACGTGACACAGATTTATGGCAGGCGAAGGAGTTTATAGACAAAACGGCCGCGCATATCCGGGTTGCTTTACATTAGACTTATTGTATTAATTTTCCTTAAAGCAAGAGTAACCAAATCCGACATAGAAAGAACCCTTGAACTGTCGATGCATTCCTTTAGCCCAATGTTCTTAAATTCCTAATGATTCATTGCCACCATGATTCCTTTGTATGCTTTGAGTGATGACCTTAGTAGAATATAAAATCAGTCCGTGGATATAACCGTAGCATTGACAAAATACTAAAGCTTACTTTGCTTTTGTAGTTGGAATACAATGCTTATACTTAACGTGTCATCGTCCATGATAAACATGAAACGCAGGGTTTTGGTTGCCGTGGCTAACGAACAACCTAGATCGCAAGACATCGTCTCGGATTGTATACTAGTATTCACCTGAAGGCCTGCGTTTCTCGCGCAGATAAGATTTATGAGATTGAAGTAGTGCCAATTACAGCAAATGTCTAGGGAAAGCTCTGAGGGTATAACTATTGATGCCTGAATACTAAGATGATTTCTTCTACAGTATGTATAACGACCCTAAAGAACATCCCCACTATAAATCTAAACCTCGCATCTCTTTTCAATAACCATCTCCCGAGGCGCTCACCTAAGAGGCCTGCTCCAATGCATACAGCTGTGTCGCCAAGGCTACCAGGCTGTCTTTCAGCGGCTTAAACCTCACATCTAACATCTGTCGCACCTTTCCTGAATCGCACGAGTAATGCGTATCCTTGATACGCTTGCCGGGCTCTCCCTCCGCGATCCTATTCTGGCTCTCGGGAAGCGCCTTCCTGACTATATCGGCTATCTCCTGCGTATCGTATGATCCCTCCGTTACCAGGAAGCGCTGGTGAGAGGGCAGGTCCACTGTTAGTGCCTGGAGACTAGTCCGGGCAAGGTCTTCAACGTCAATCCATACTAGAATGTACTCATCAGTATGCTACGTTTGATTAGGATCACCGAAACAGCAGATTTACCAGGCGCCTTTGTAGGTGGGATTCCATTGCCCTTCAACACATCCCAAATAATTCCGTTGCTAACATTCAATTGCGAGATTGACTCAATCGGATGAATCATCTTGCCAAAGACCATTCCTGGGCACAATGTAACCAACTGATAACTGACTTCGTGGTCACGAACGTAATCCCACGCTGCTTTTTCAGCTATCACTTTAGACGCTCGGTATGCAATGGGCTGTGAGGGTTAGTGCTGTGCCGAATCCAAGCTAGTCGCAACAGACAGGGAAGGATAGATGGAAAGGATTGCATACAACGAGGCTCGCATTCTTTCCCTCTTCATAGGTCAACGGACACCAATCCTTCTCTGTATATACCCTCCCGGGCTGCGGTCCCAATGAGGCATCGTAAACCGCGGCAAAGCTCGACATAATCACCACCTTTTTAACTTCGGGATACTTTGAGGCAGCTTCGCATACGGCGACTGTTCCCTTGAGGGCGGGAATAAGAAGCTTCTCCTCAAATTCCCCGGGCGCGGCATCGTAGCTAAACGCACTGGCCAGATGCAAGATGCCCTTGCAACCGGCCACCGCGGGCGCAAACTGGGTTACATCAGTCGGGTCGCGGATAACTACCAGGTCGAGGTTCGTTGTATCCACGCCTGCTGCAGACAGGGCTGCTTGAGTCGCGATGGCCTTCTGTTCGGAGCGGACGGTGCCGCGGACGTGGTGGTTTGTGGAAAGAAGGAGCGAGATGCAGTGCGCGGCAATGAAGCCATTGGCGCCTGTTACTAGAATTCTGGACATGCTTAGTTCGGTGGTTTTTTTTTGAAGAATATAAAAAAAAAAAAAATGTTCATTGATGCTGCCTGTGGGTGCTGTCGAACTTTGCCCGGTTTTAATACTTAGTCCAGTTGAGGGGGAGGTTTCAAATGGTTATCCAACGTCCGTCGGATAATTGGGTTAGAGCGGCGGACAACTAAAAAAAAAATAGATCGTCTCCATGCATTCAATGAATCCGACGCAAAGAAACTTCGGAAGGCGACTTACCACTTATCCCTATTGATCATTTCTGAGGTCTGTGGTCCACTCACTAGTAAGTCAAGGTTGCCGTGGAGTGGTAGTGTGGAGTCTAGTCTCTGGGCTATGAAGGAGCAAATGGCCTTTAGTGTGTTGGTTTACTTAGATCATTCATTAATGGTGGACTATTTGCAGTACTTGAGAATAACAACATGGATCAAATTGTTCCATCAACGCCTAGTTACATTCACCAGCCGCTAATACACGTACCGAAAGTTCACGTCGTCATGCACGTCTTCCTCTGCCATCCTTCCATTCGCCAATTTCCCCTCCATGCGACTTCTCGCTGGAGTTCCCAGACGATCGGCTCTCGCATTCCGTCGCCCATACACAATGCGGAGGGCCGTGGATACGATTATTGCACCGGCGTTGACCGCTACAATGGTTATTTTGGCGGGTATGTACCTGATTTAGTTAGATTTGGCGCCAACATGGAACTACTAGCTAGGAGTGGCGGTGCTTACGCAGGAGCATCCTTCGCCTGGAAGGTCTGGGGACCAATAACATTGGCAATGCTGAATGCAGCAGAGACCAGAGAACTGCCCGACACCTGTTTTTCTCAGTTATTTGCCCGGCGTGGTCGGGAGAATAGGAAGATATACTTACCTTCATAGTATACCCTTTGAAGTTCGCTCCGGTCCACGCGAAAATCAGTGCCAATGGAGCCACAGTCTACTTGAGTTAGTTCACTGTTTGTTGATCACTCGGCTGGCAAGAAGGGAAAGATGTCATGTACCGTGTTGACCATGTAAATGCCCACCAAGCACCCTGCCTGGTTACTTCTGGGCAGGAACGACATTAAACACGAACCCAGCAATGTCGGAACTAACAGTACATCAATCGCCAGCCATCGCGAGTATCCACGAGCGATGGCCCATGTAGACAGAATCGTTGCCACAATGCTAACTACCCCCGAGGGCATATTGAGCAACGCACTTTGCTTAGACGTATATCCGAAGTCTTTGATCAGAATGGATGAGAACGTGGTAATAACACCGCTGGGGATAGTAATTAAGATGGTCAGTAGGACGAGAAGCCAGGTTTGCAGATCACCGATTGCTTCAACTACCGAGCCCCAGCGAAAGACTTTGTGGCCAACTCCAGCTTGGTCATCTTGAAGACGTTGTGCAATTCGGTCACGCTCCGTTGGGCTGAGGAACTTGGCTTTCTCGACATTTTCTGGTAGGACAAACAAAACCAATATAGAAGCGACTATGTTAACCACACCGATCACGACGAACATGATACGCCACCCGTGAAAGGACATATTCGAGGGTGCGTGCTGAGCAGCGAACGAAATCAACCCTCCAACGATCTGGCCCATGCCTAAGCCGCAGTACCAGAAGCCATATCTCGGGGTGGACTCAGCACGAGTGTACCACATGCTTGTGTACATGGTAAGGGCGGGTGCTGACCCAGTTGTTAGTGGCAATGGTGCGAAGGGAAAAGACACTTGTACAGTGACTTACCAATAACCGCCTCCAACATCCCGAGCAAAACACGTAAAGCTATCATGCCAGCAAAATTCTGTGCGGCTGCTGAGCAACACAGAATCACGCCCCAGAGGAGTACATTGACCCCAAGCACCTTTGTGATAGGAAATTTCTGAAGGAGAATGCCTGTGCATATTAGCATATATCATAGGCTTGAAACGTTTTAGCCAACCTGTACACACCCTGGGGGATTTCGGCAACGGCATACGCCAGGAAGAACGCCGTTGCCAACCATGAAAAGTCATTTCCACTCATCTGTAGATCATTTTGAAGGCCCATGACATTCGCATACTGTCATCAAGTCAGCGTATGGACATACCATCACAATCTAGCGCCCAGGGGTAACACCCTCCTACATTCAGTGAAATTTTGTCCACAAATTGCAGGAAGTACGTGAGAAACATGACAGGCAGGATTCGCCAATCGACTTTCCGAAGTAATGCCCGGTCATCGTGCAGATCTCCGATGTCGTAGTCCTCGCCGGACAGTTTGCCGTTCATCCCGATATCTTTTTCGTTGGTAGGTGTCATTTTCACTGCATATGCATTGGAGTAATTTTTGATTGAGGGTGGCATGATCTTAAAAGGGGATTATAGCTGGAGTCAATTAAAGTGTAGCTACATTGATCCTAGTCCTCTAGATACCTGCACTTCCCCAGAATTCATCGCGATAGCCGTAAGTGGGGCCCTCTTATGCATCCGTCGCATAGATAGGCCGGGTTGGTTGTAGCACTGATAACGTCGGATAATGCTTGCCGCTGCTCTGGATGACAGGAGATGTCCCTTCACGTCACTAGCCGTGCAAAGATATAAGATCCCATCGAGAGTATGACTGATGCTCATCATTCGGATCAAGAAGAACAAGCACGACAATGCCTTCTCGCACTGACTCTCCTCTGAACATTGCCATTATTGGCGCTGGTCTTGGCGGCCTCTCGGCGGCAGTGGCCCTCCGGCGTCAAGGACATTCCGTGACCGTGTATGAACGATACGATTTCGCAGGTGAGGTGGGAGCCTCACTGAGTGCTGCCTCCAACGGATCAAGATTTCTCGAGCAATGGGGTGTGGACGTCAAGGCCGCAAAGCCGGTACGATCATCGTTTTCGTCTTGGGTGAGGCAATGCTGACGATCCCAGGTGATTTTGAAACGGTTGATTATGCACGATTGGTCTTCGGGAGAGGTAAAAAGCGAGTACGGATTAGGAGATTATAAGTCGAAGTTTGGGACTGTAATTCTTCCTTCCATATTCGAAAGAAAAAGGTTGCTTTGCTGATCAGTTACAACCAAAAGGATTACAACAACTTCCATCGCATTGATATCCACAAAGAACTTCTCAAGTCTGCCTTCGAAGAGCCCGGAGAAGGACCCAAGTGTACCCTCGAAGTGAATCACAAAGCCACTGCGCTTGACGCCGAAGCAGGTATCATCCAATTTGAAAACGGCGCTTCAGCAACCGCCGATCTGATCGTCGCTGCTGATGGCATTCGCGTACGTCCTCTTGCCCCAATAATCCAGTCATTGACAGGGTACTAAATCAGAAAGTCTTCCTCTCGTAATCTAATCGGAATAACCCCCAATTTTACAATGTCCACCTCATGTTGCTACCGCTGCATCATCGGTGCCGATAAACTGCGCGCCCTCGGACTTGACGATTATATCTCTAACGAAGCAATCGAGTATTGGGGCGGGTTTGGCATCGACAAGATTGTCATGTCTCCCTGTAGCAATGGCGAGGTCGTAAGCTGCTACTGCTTCTACCCGGCGGCATATAATGAGCTCCGTGATGATGGATGGAATATCTCCGCGACACCCCAACAACTGGTGGACACGTTCCCCGGGTTGGATCCCCGGATGAAGACGTTGATGTTAAATGCGGAGGATATAAAGATGTGGCGATGTATGTATTCGATTCTCTTTTGACTCACGACGTCTGTACTAACGATATAGTGTATCGGCATGAGCCCTACCCGTACTGGGTGAAGGGCAAGGTTTGTCTTCTGGGTGATGCTGGTATGCTTGTTCCCTCCCCTTGCTGGACGATTCGATTTATACTAAGAAACAGCCCATCCGATGATGCCGGATCAATCGCAAGGATCTTGTATGGCTTTCGAAGATGCCGGCGCTTTAGGTCTGGTTTTCCACCGCACATTCCGCGAACAATACAGTGTCGCCGACGGACTGAGCTTATACGAAAAGCTGCGCAAGCCGAGAGCAACCCGCGTGCAAGAAGCTAGTTTCAGAGCTCGAGAAGACCTCAGTGAGCGCATTGGATGGAGTTCTTCAGCCGATCGGCCTGGGAAGTTGACGATTGAGGAAGTTTGTGGATATGATATGCGAAAGCATTTGGATGAGCTAGTCGCTGCGATTGCACAGTAGATGTATGATTTGAACGTCTGATGTATTTACCATTTACAATATATGATTTTCCATCTCATCACTTCGTTGGTTATATGACATTTCATACAAATACCATCCCGGGGAACAGGCTATACCTCACCCTTGCCCAGTTTCTATCAGCCTCATCCGCCCAGACCGTCTCCAGTAACTGTCGGGCGTGCGAAATATGTCCAAATCCTAACGTATTCTCCATAACCATCAATCTTTCCTTGACCAACATCTGTCTCTCAACATCTGTGGTACTAGCCCCAGCAATTACCAGCGGGAAAAGTAAGCATCCCTCTACAGGACTACCATATGGAATGGTCATCACCGCATGAAGAATAGGAGAAACCGCGGTTTCCACCATCTCATGGTGTGGGTCATATCCATCAACAACCTGATGGAGGCGTAGTCGAACCGCCCATTCGAATGCTGTAGTAACTCGATCCGACTCGTGGTCCGTAACCGCGGCGCTGTCATATTCGGCTCTCCACGAATCCAACTGCGACTGGACATGGGAGGCCGCAGTGCGAAACCCCAGCTCGGAGAGTTCATCCACGCGCCGGCTACGATGTGCCGCGAGGAGGTTGACCAGACCGAGAAGTTCGAGTAACGCTGGGGCCATCCCCGAGACGGCATCTACGGGGTCGGATGGGGAACTGCAAATGGACTTATCCGCGGTAAGATCGGTGAGCTTCGCATCCTCTCGCAGTAGTGGTGGCTTGCAGCGGGATATTGTCGACATGGAGTCCAGATATCGGAACAGCTGGAGGCAAAACTTCCCCTCCGATGTCCATTCAAGGGATTGGTCTCCCACTGACGCGAGGAGTGCACTGGCTGCCTTCAGATGCCACTCCCATGCATGAGAACCGCCATCGCATAGCTCCGTGAGACAGAGGAGTAGCACCGTTGTGCAGGCCTCGAGCGTGGATTGGCCGCCGGCCGTTGACAGAAGCTGTTTTACTTGTGCCAATGCTTTTTGGGATTAGCTCCCCTGAACCCTGACAGCGGTATCAGACATACCTTTTCCCTGGCGCGCTAATGCGCGATTCCAAATGCCCGGGTAGACGCGTTTCCAATGGCAACCGCTCAGGCCTAGAATTACACTAGTCACTGTGTCTGAGCTGGCTGCCATCGGTAACAGGATCGACAGAAAGGGATTTCCGTCGGGATCACCGGACCGCGACAGTGAGCGCGCTACGATGTGTAGATAGTGATTGAATAGCGAGCGCTCTTCGTCATTGTGCAGATAAGGGTTGGCAGATCCGCAGGGTGATGCGACGGGCATGACGATGTCTTCCACAGCCAGCCATGGGGATAAGCTTCCTATCGGATCATCGAGCGCTTGATCGGAAGGGGAGATCGGATCTGGGCTTGCTAGCGATAGACTGCGTTCGGAAGAAGGGGGAAGCGACGGGTCGGTGGAGCTGGGGCATGACGGGGAGGCTTTCCATTGACAGGGGAGGTTTAAGCGGCGGCAATCACTGCATCGAGGGTGGATCTCGTCGCATTTCTTCTTCCTGCTGAAGTTAATAACCGCGCTAATACACTGTAGCTGTTGCTCGGCATCGGTTGTTCTACCTCGCCTTGCAGGACAGGCAACCACCGCGTGATCGGGACGCTCGAGGGCGTCGATAGGCGATGGTTTTGGGATCTACTTTTCCGCCCGGTCGTTGTGGTTCGCAGATATGTCCCAGGCCTAAGAGGCGGGCACATCAGCTCAGTCATCCCATATTGGAAGTGCGAGACACATACGAGCGCAGCGGGAACAGGGGGCGTCCCCGTCACAGCGCTGTTTCTATGGACTGTCAGTGGCGATCACACTAGCTGCGTTTCGGTATTCAACGTACAATCTTTGCGCATCGCGCGCATACACGACCAGTGGAATTCATGGCGGCAGTCGTGAAGCCACGATAGTAGCATATCCATGATGCAGAGAGTGAGGAGAAGCGACGGAACGAAACGGATTCTTATCGCCCATCCGACGCGACGGCCGCTCTAAAACTGATAAAGCTTCCCAACTCGGCCGTTCTACCATCGGTGATTCGTGGATAAGGCCAGAAGAGGCGATATGCAGCCTATCATCGGCAATTTCTCTTATTAATGAGAGAGGCGATCTCCACCAGGACCGCTAGTGCGGCAAAGACCTGGGGTAAATCAAATCAAGAGCACTGACTTTTTTTTTCCCCGCATTTCTTCCCGGCCATGGAGTTATTCCGCGCCTGTATCAATCCTGCATCCTCGGCTATGATTCAGTTCTCTCTATATATACCTCTTTTACTTCCCGGGTGTCAGGTCGTCTATTTCCGTCATGATCAAAAAGAAATTGCAAGAATCGACTCGACTCAATCTATCTTTACTTGACCAAAGAGACAGCATAGATACCGATACAAGCCCAACTTTTACCTTAACATCCATACCCTTTAGTTGATTCCCTCGGTGGTGTACTGGTTTCGAATGACAGATGGAGAAACTCGATTACCGTATCTCAAAAACACGCAGAATCGGTTCTCCATCGTTACCGTCGCCTTGTGCTGGCTTCTTCAACCATTAACATCGAGGCAGGAAGGCCATCCCCTGATATTCGCAGTCGAACCATTTCGCTAGAGCTTCAGCGGTACCGAACTCCAAACTATTTCATGTTGCTGCTATGTAAGGTAGATTACAACAGAATGCATAGGCTAGAACTACTCTACGTAAAGGGGGCGGAGACAGGAAGCTATGTTAGAGTAAGAAGAAGCTTCCTGGACTGCATTTAGCTAACGTTATGAAAAAAATGGGGGCAAATATCACTTCAAGACACTCCGATGTGACAATTAATATATATTGAGTTATATCGACTCTAGACTAACTTTAAGGTGGGCATGGGGTTGCTCAAAGATATATATTTCCGACCACCCGGTTCAGTTTTACCATCATTGGAACTTTCCAAGTTTCAAAACAACGTGTCAATAATATCTACACAACCAATTTGTTTTTTCTTTTTTCAAGAACACGTAACCAATGGATACCGAATTGTGATTTGTACGGCTATGTAGCAGCACAATAGTTTTGCTTAATAGAAATAGATTATACAAAAGGTATCAAGAAACAGGCCGGCTGGCCCAATGGCAAGGCGCTTGACTACGAATCAAGAGATTGCAGGTTCGATCCCTGCGTCGGTCAATTCTTTTTTTTCTCCCCTATGTCGTCTACCTTGGTATTGTAAGTCTGTCCCGTTCTTTACCCAACTTCTTCCGACTTGGTCCAGTTTTTATCCGCGACGATCCCCTTACGCCTCATCAAGCAATTAATGTTTGCTTGGCCGCACATCATAAAGTCGTCATGTGATCCGCCATGAAGAGTCGCAGTCGAGAACGAGGCCAGGATTCACTCACCCTCGTCGGTCACAACGGCCGTCTCTATCTCACCGACGAGAACGATGTTGAGACTGAGAGAGAACTGCGAATTTTTGATGGATACGACATCATTAGGTAAAGGTCGGAGAGAAGAAATACGAGGATTGGCGTTGAACTGTAGTTGACCATGGCAGGATCTACGTTGGGGCTGTTCGGTTGGGTTTGTTGGAAGGCTGGGTCTGTACAGACGCCGTATATTAAATGGGTTCTATTGCATGACCAGGGTCTGCTCTGAGAACAAGGATATTTCCCCGCAACCCCCCGCATTTATGACTACCCCAACAACAAAGTTCATCGAAATGTTACATCTTTCTCGGGACTCCAACAACAAACAAAGAACCGGCGAGACCGAACCTTATCGTTCTCTTTCTGTATCCAAGCGCCACGCTGAGCGCCCCTGGAAGCAAGGACCCGTACGGGGTACTAATGCACGCGGTCTCATTGGTGAGCGACTAGTGACACCAAATCCACCACCCAATGGGATAGACTCCACTTCCACGGGGAGGAAGAAGACATGGCTAAGCATGGGCCAAGAGAGTTTCTGTTCGTCGGAGGGTGGTGTGTCCGACGAGAAGGTCGGCAACACTGGTAGAGGGTACCACAAGGAAAACGGAGAAGAACACATGGTGGCGACGATGCCGAGGTTTATCCTCGTACGGAGTACTTTAAGAATATATATATATATATATATATATACTAAGTCCTCGTCCAGACTACTCACTAGTTAAGTTAATTATATCAGAGCTCATTTCCGTTACCTAATAAGCCGATGAGAGGGCCACCATCTGGTTCCTGTCGCTGGGGATTGTTTTTACATAATAAGCGGCCCTTCAGTCTGGGGAAATGATTAGATTAGATTCCCGGTCGCATTCTGTTAATAATGAGAACCGCCGACATGGACAGGGATGGAGAAGCACCCCAGTAGTCTATCTTTTGACTTTATCTGAACCTCAATGGTGATCCCATCTCATGATATCCATGTCGCCGAGTTTTGTCTGGCATTCACGGTCAGGGTTTCTTTTTGACATTTTTTTTTTTCCCTGCCAAGATCATGCCGAGAGAAGGTAAGAATGGCTAATTTCGGGAATCCGACGGGTGGGGTCGGAGGTGAGAAGCGAGATCAAGGGAGGAAATGGTGTAATCCAAGTTCATTTCCAATCATGTGCCCCCCCGGGGGGTGGATGGAGGGATGTGGCTCCATCAGAAGGTTGGGTAGCTACTATACTAATTGTAGTACATGAGCTAGTAGCTACCTGCCATAGACGGTTTAGGGTTAGTAGAGTATAGTAGAGTACTGCGTAGGACGAGATACTAGTACCAAGAGTTCCTGGTATCTCGAATAGAAATACCGATTCATTTCTCTTGACGCTGATTGACTGGAATGATCAGGATTAGGCTTTCTAGGAAGGTAACATCGCGTGGTCGAGTTTAAAGCCTGATTGACGGTCCGGGGTAAAAACGCACGGAAAAGGTTAAAACCGCACTCGGTGTGGCTGACTCAGTCGCATGGCCAAACAACAACACACCATCCCAGGTTTCAATTCCTCTCTTTCCTCGTCCTACTACGACTAGTAATCTCGAGAGATTTGGGTGAGATAGGAGCCGGAACAACCATGGATGATTGGTGTGCCAAGGGCCTGAGGTTGCACTACAACCTGCCAGCCAAGACATCGGCCAAGCCATGGTTCTTTCCCGCGACTGGTGAATTATACTCCGCTTGTGCTTCTTTTCTCAGCGCTCAGGCATGGCCGCTTATCTTCGCGTAATTGTCATTCAGTTCGCTATCTCTCAGTCGGCTGGTTCCGAACGGACGTCCCATAGCCAAGACGACCATATTGGATTTCTTGTCCAGTCACATATTCTCACTGATCAAGGTTCATTCATCGAGCATAAGGCCACTGGAGATATTTCCGGTTATCAACGGGTTGGGTCTGCTGTTGGGGGAGGACCAGTGACCGGTTTGAGATAATCCTCCGCGACTGGCCTTGGGATCGGATAGCTAATAACTTTAGTGAGATCCATACGGGGCGACTGGTCGGGAAGTATGGATGCAGGGAGATTCTATTATAGAAGTAGTAGTAGTAGTAGTAGTAGTAGTAGTTGTAATCTAAACCACGAGTGGCAATTGGACCGGCATGGGTCAGGGCACGCGATAAACCATCCCAATTGCCTTTTTTTTTTTTTTTTTTTTTCATTTTTTTTTTTTTTTTTTTTTTTTTTTTTTTTTTTTTTTTTTTTTTTTTTTTTTTTTTTTTTTTTTGACATGACACTTGATTTCCCCTCTCACTCTTACTGCCACACTTCCCTCTTCCCCCCCCCCCTCCTCTCGTCCCACATGAACCACCAAATGTATTAAAAGCCCAGATCTTCTCCCCGTCTTCGATTCCCTTCTTTTCTACCACGAACCAACAAGTCAGAGAGACACACATACACACCCTTCCCCCCCGTCTGTGTTCGTTTTGTCTGCACGTGTGACTCGACACTACAACATGAACCCCTCCGACCCTTCGGAGACGGTTGAGGTCGCCAAAGCGACGGCCAACCTTCATGATGCCCATCTGAATGAAAAAAGGGCCTCCTCCATGGATAAGGACTTGGCCATCACGCCGAGTATAGAAGAAGTCCCGGCGACCCAAATTGTTGGCGCAACCACCGAGGATACCGATCTGCAAAAGACCTATCCCACCGACGAGGAACTGAAAACCCTGCGTCGAGTGTGTGGACAAATCCCATGGACCGCATACACCGTGGCGTTTGTGGAACTGTGCGAGCGATTCTCCTACTATGGAACGACGGCGGTTTGTGTGTCTCTCCGCGCGGCTACGGGTATCCCAGAAAATCCCTTGCTGACATGCATTAGTCGTCAACTTTATCCAGCGTCCCATGCCGGAAGGCTCCTCCACCGGTGCTACCTATGATAATTCACGAGTGCCGGGAGCCCTGGACATGGGCCAACAGGCCTCCACGGGTCTGACCTTGTGTAAGTCGCATGTCCGTGATCGATGGAAGGCGTAGGTCCTGACCGTCTAGTCAATTCCTTCTGGTCCTACATCATGCCCACGTTCGGAGCATTCCTGGCCGATCAGTACTGGGGTCGATTCCGCACCATCATGTACTCTATCGCGGCCGCTTTGCTCGGCCATTTGATTCTGGTTATCTCTGCCATTCCCAACGTGATCTCCCATCCCCAGGGCGCGATCGCCTGTTTTTCGATCGGTCTGATCATCATGGGCATGGGAACGGGCGGTTTCAAGTAAGGCCTCCCCCACTCCTCCTCGTCACACCGAGGTGCCAGATACTGATGCACATCAGATCGAACATTTCACCTCTCATCGCGGAGCAATATCGCGAGGAATATCCATATATCAAGACCCTTCCTTCCGGGGAGCGGGTGATCGTGGATCCAGCCATCACCGTTCAGCGCATCTACCTGTACTACTACTTGACGGTCAACATCGGTTCCATCACCGGCCAGGTGAGCATGGTCTATGCCGAGAGATATGTTGGGTTTTGGCTGTCGTACTTTCTCCCGACATGCTTGTTTCTGTGGTGCCCGACGGTGCTGTTCTTTTGCCGGAACAAGTACTACCGGGTGCAGCCACAAGGCTCCGTCTACGGGCAGGCGTTCCGACTCTGGAAACTGGCGATGAAGGGGCGGTGGTCGTTGAACCCGGTTCGGCTGTAGGTGTCCCAACCGGTCCCGTCTGGCGGAAGGTAGACTGACAAACCAGGTTCAAACGGAATGATAAGCCCTTCTGGGAGCCAGTCAAGCCAAGTGTTTTGGGCCCGAATCGGCCTCAGTGGATGACTTTCGACGACGAATGGGTCGACGAAGTTGCTCGTGGGCTGAAGGCGTGCAAAGTGTTTCTGTGGTACCCGCTGTTCTGTATGTCGTCTCTCATCGTCTCGTTCGTCCCCCGTACTAATGCGGACTGTTCCCCAGGGCTCGCCTACAACCAGATGTTAAACAACCTGACATCCCAAGCGGCCACCATGCACCTCGGTGGCGTCCCCAACGACATCATCAATAACCTCAACCCTCTTGCCCTCATCATTTGCATTCCTATTTTTGATCGAGTCATCTACCCGGGTCTGCGCCACCTGGGATTCAACTTTACGCCCATCAAGAGAATCACGTGTGGGTTTGTGGTCGCCGGCTGCTCCATGATCGCCGCCACGGTGATCCAACACTACATTTACGTGAAAGGCCCCTGCGGCAAAGAGGCCAACTACTGTCTCGATGAATATGGAAAGTATTCGCCCATCTCCGTCTGGACCCAGGCGATTATCTACATTCTCGGGGGTATTTCGGAGATCTTTGCCTCCATCACCTCCCTCGAGTATGCCTTCACCAAGGCTCCCAAGAACATGCGATCGATCGTGCAGGCCGTCGCACTCTTCATGAACGCCTTCTCCTCGGCCATCGGCCAGGCCTTCGTTGGCTTGTCGAAGGATCCCCTGCTGGTGTATAACTATATGGTGGTGACGATCCTGGCCTTTATCGGGGCCATTGGATTCTGGTTGAGCAACTATAAGCTGGATCGGAGGGAAGACGAGTTGAACAACCTGCCACAGAGCAAGTATACCGAATCGAGTGGCGTGAATTTGGACGAGGAGAATGCCCGGAAGTAAGCGGACGGACCGGTGCGCGATATACCCTGTGACGCGGAGATGTAATGTGATGCTCGTTTATGTAACTTACTTTTTTCAACGATGTTCGGTGCACTGACGCCTCTCCACTTGGATTCTGATAATTCCCCGTAAGCCGTATTTTCTTGACCGTCCATATGTCGGGGGGCGCAGTAATCAGCGGTTCCGACCTCAACATCGTCCCTTGCTGCCAAGCTTCCAAGGTGTTGGGGGTGGGTGGGAGAAAGGGTTGAACGCGATTTTGCGGAACGGACAGCCACCGGCATGGCTTTTTATATTTATGGCTTGGGGTGGCAGTCGCCAGTGGTCCAAGTTAATCTGGTTGGTTTCTGAAAAGGCTTCAATGAATCTGCCAGGTCGAATGCGCTAGTGATTTCCGTTTTGAGATTGTACCGTACCGGATCGAAGTCACGAGGAGGATGAATTACGAGGTAACTAACTACCTATACCGTTGAAGATACTTATTCCCCCTCTGCCATGCGTATCATCCCCCTCTGCTATATGTTTACACTCTTACTTAAAGAACAGAGAAAAAAAAAAGAAGTCGGAGAGGATGAGCTCATCTTTAAAGCCAAGCACGTAATCTGAGTCCGAATCTCCACTGTGGGGGGAAAGGAACTTGAGGTTTATTCAACCACCAGTCCTTTGGACTCTTGGTTTGATTGTTATTGTGTCAACAACGAGAATAAGATCGAGTTAAACGTTACCATCCTTGCCAAATAACATATAACAAGCATTGGTCTGGTATATCCCGTTCAGGAAGACTCAGGGATGGTTCGGAGGTGAGACGTGACATTTAACAACCCTAAATCGATGCAGAATGTATTTTTCTTTGTCCATGAATAAATACATATCCGACGGAAAAGTGACGATCATCAATTGACCCCTCCTTTATTGGACGATCATGATACCATATCCGCTAAAATAAGAAGCTGTTGACGCACCACCACATGGTGAGAGATACTTGTCGATGTCCAATGGGCAACCAGTCCCTGACCGACCATTCCTGCACAGCGTCTGAGATCTCATAGTACCGATAGCTGCAGCCGAACACCCCCATAGCCGGTGGGTCTGAACTTTGATTTCCCCCCCAGACGGCCCGTCAATATTGATTGGCATTTGACTCCCATGTATGTTTTGTTCTTTCGACGCGCGGCGGGCGCTCGCACTGCTCGGCAAACCGTTTGATGGCATCATCCCGTCGCCCTCAATCGCAATCGCAAATGTGGACCCCCAAAGCTGTCCCCCGCATGTGAGCTGATATATTTATTGGTACCCAGCTGCAGATCTTCGACAGCTTCCCATGCCAGCTACAACTTCAGTCCCTGCTATCATGAAGCTCTCAAGCATTGTGGCCCTGTCGGGGGGCCTTCTGGCGGTTTCAGAGGCTCTCCCGCAGCAACAGATCCTGCAGAGAAATGTCGCCAAGAAGCCCAATTTCCTTTTCATTATGACTGATGATCAAGATCTCCAATTGAACTCGACTGCATACACCCCGCACATCCTCCGTCGAATTAAGGAGAAGGGCACTGACTTCGCAAATCACTTTGTCACCACGGCTCTTTGCTGTCCGTCACGAGTCAGTCTCTGGACAGGACGTCAGGCGCATAATACCAATGTGACCGATGTGAGGCCGCCCTGGGGTACGTGACTATTCATTCTATCGCATGCCGGGGGAAGACTCACGGTGAATAGGCGGATATCCCAAGTTCGTCTCGCAAGGCTTCAACGACAATTGGTTCCCCGTGTGGTTCCAGGATGCCGGCTACAACACCTATTACACCGGAAAGCTCATGAACGCCCACAGCCTCAGTACCTACAATACGCCGTTTCCCAAGGGCTTCAACGGCTCAGACTTTCTTCTCGACCCCCACACGTACTCCTACTACAACTCCACCTACCAGCGCAATCGCGAACCGCCCAAAAATTACGCCGGTCATTACACGACCGATGTGATCACCGAGAAGGCTTTGGGATTCCTCGATGAGGCCCTCGAAAGTGACCGACCTTTCTTCGTGGCGGTTTCGCCGGTTGCTCCCCATTCGAACATTGACCCGCGCACGGAGGGCACTGCCGCAAACATCATGACTGAACCGATTCCCGCGCCTCGCCATCGGCACCTATTCCAGGATGTCAAGGTCCCCCGAACTCCTAGTTTTAACCCGCTCAACGTAAGTATCTTCTTTTGGAACCGAGGAAGGGGGTCACTGACCATTGCAGCGGACCGGAGTGAGCTGGGTATCCAACCTTGCGCTGCAGAACCAAACCGTCATTGACTACGAAGATCATTACTATCGCCAGCGACTGCGTGCCCTGCAAGGAGTTGACGAACTGGTCGACAAACTGGTATCTCGTCTGGAGGAAAGTGGCGAGATCGACAACACCTACATCATCTACACCTCCGATAACGGATTCCACATCGGTCAGCACCGGATGCCCCCGGGCAAAACTACTGGTTTCGAAGAAGACATCCGAGTCCCGTTTTTCATTCGCGGCCCCGGCATTCCCGAGGGAAAGACCGAGGATAGCGTCTCGACGCACATCGACCTGGTTCCAACGTTCTTTGACTTGGCCGGTCTGCCGCTGCGCGACGATTTCGACGGCACGCCATTGCCCATCAAGCGACAGTCGGCTTCAATCTCCCATGAGCATGTTACTGTCGAGTTCTGGGGCAGTGCCGTTCTGGAGGGTGACTTTTCTAGGATCGGTAAGACTTTTCAGGCTCATAAGTTAGTTATATCCGTAAATATGTGCTGATCGAATCACCCACAGGCCCAGACGGTGAAAAAAACATGCCGAACAATACCTACAAGTCTGTCCGTATTCTCGGCGAGGGCTATAATCTGTACTACTCCGTATGGTGCCACGGCGAGCACGAGCTCTATGACCTAACAGTACGTTTGTTGCAATCCCATCCATCCCAGTGAATCATGCTGATGAGCCCAGGCCGACCCCTACCAAATCAACAACATTTACACACCCAAGAACACTACCTCTCAGCTCCTTGGGCGGCCCTTGCAGGCGGCGATCACCCGTCTCGATGCTCTGCTTCTCGTGCTGAAGACCTGCCAGGGTCCCACCTGTATCGAACCGTGGAAGGTAATTCATCCTGACGGTTCCGTGCAGAACCTGAAAGACGCGCTTGACCCACAATTTGATATCTTTTACCAGAAGCAACCTAAGGTATCGTATGATCATTGCTTAGATGGATATCTTCTTTCCAACGAGGGCCCGCTGGTTGGGCTGCAGTACCGGGATGGATTGAGCTGGTCGGCGTGGGCTTGATTCCGATGATCACGAGGACACAAAAATTATTATAATGTATCGATTGATGGTCTTGTACATAGAGGTTAACTTGTGATACCATATATTGTTCAAGCTGCAATTGCAAGCGCGCTACACAACATGAATTAGGAGTTGATTTGTTACGAAGGGACTGAACTGCCACAGCACTCTCTCTATGGCCTGCTTTACAAAACAACATCAGCTGAATTAGGCTATCTTTACTACGTATGTGCGTGGATCCTACCGGTATAGACACCATGAAAGGCAGAGAATATACAAAAGATCCGTTCCTCAGTGCTTCCTCTCACGGCCTCGCGGACCTCTCTCATGGAGCGCTAACACGCGGTCACCACTAGTGCATCTAGTCCACTATCCTTTCCACCTATAGCGCTCGATATAGGTATCTTGATGCTGTTCACGTTATGGTTCGGTGGCAGGTGTTGGCCGATATTGACTTTATTCCAAAGGTCTATCACGTAACATTAATGTTTCCGATATCAAGAACCAATTCAGCAAGCTGGTTCCGGGTATAATGCCATTATACTGATATATACGTTACTCATCATCGTCATCATCATGATCAACAGAGCGTCAAAATATGTACATCCATCTACTAGATATGGAACGAGGCCACATTCTTACTGATGAACTCATACGTATCGGACCGGAAATCATCTTTCAGGAGTTTTCCCGAATTCGCAAGGAAGTTCATCAGCTGCTTGTCCTCCTTCCACTGCGGCCACTCGATATAGTCACCCCTCCTTGAATTTGGATCCTGGTCGTACACGAAACTGAAGTAGTAGGTATGGGTCGATCTGGAGGCGTAATTTGGCAGGATGCCGTAGAAGACCTGTAGGAGGTCACTGCCGTGGAAGGTTCCCAGGACTGGCGTGCCATAGTCATACGAGGAGAGATATGACCAGTTGGGAACGTCAGGTTTGATGTCATTTGCCATCTGCAGGACAACACGTCGAGTGAGAGTGAAGGTCAGGTCGCCCAGGATTGCGGCGAGTCGCTTGAACTGCGGATACCAGTTGTTGAATATGCCTGTACGGAATGGAGACCCGTCCTCCGAGATTGTTTGATATGTGCCTACGAGCTCTTGCAGTTGGTCGTGCGAGGCACCATAGAAGAAGTACTTTGATAGGTACTCGACGACGTCGTCTGTGGTGGTGATGTTGGCTTGGAACAGTGCGAATATGGTTCCCTCGTCTTCTTGATCGCCGATGATGAAAGGCACCGAGGCGTACTTGCCTGCTTTGCCGAGTACCTCCGGGCTATCGGTGAGAACCTTTCCATCCGGACGAGGGAGGTACGACAGGGCCACAGAGTGGTAGCTCAATATACCAGGGACGGAGTTGGCGGCGTTGAGATAGTCCGTGTAATCGAGCTCTCTCAGGCATTGAAGCGTATCTGAAGCATCAGAGCAGCCGGCAGTGGCTACAACGGCGTCATAGACGGCTTGCCCTTTGACTCCGTCGACGGGGTCGGCGGGAACTGCCGACCCAGAGTTCATGATTGCGCCGTGGAACAGCGGCTTGCCCTTATAGGTATGATCCCCGTCATATAGCATCATCTGGTCAAAGACGGAGATGGATCCCGCCGATTCACCCCAGATGGTTACCTTCTCTGGATCACCACCGAAGGCCGCGATGTTATCGGCGATCCATTCTAGGGCGAGGCGCTGGTCCCGGAGACCCAAATTGGCAGAACCATCGTCGAGGATCTCCTTTCCGGGTAGGAAACCAAACCCACCGACACGATAATTAATGGCCACAAAGACGATTGGCATGTCCAAATTCATTGAACTGGAGACTAAGGGAGCCCCATCATACATGGCTGATGATCCAAGCTCGAACCCGCCGCCGAAAATCCATACCAGGACGGGTAGCTTACTTTCCGGGGTTGTTCCTGCCGGCCGACGGACGTTGAGAGTCAAACAATCTTCCCCAGCATTGGTG